TGGGCCCTTGTCAGCTTGCGTTTGTCCTGCTTGTCCCTGCTAGTCAGTCTGGGGCACTCGTCAAAGCGTATTTGCTCTCCTCGAAGCACCGCAGAAGAAGATCAAACCACTTTGATGGCTCGGTCATCTTGATGCCTTTCTCCGCATAGCGGCGCCAAGACAGTACATGATCCTTCCCGGAAATGGGAAGACACGTTCGTAATGTTCTGTTTTATTCGAGAATATCGCTACCGCTAGCACAAAGTAGGTGCTTACTCGCTTCAGATGAGCTACGAACAGGTTCGGACATTGGAATCAGCTGCGGAGCCGGAGACGAAACGGCATCCCAGGGCCGTTTGAGCGAATATTCAAGTTGCCTTTATTGTATGTGTTTGAGTTCGTCCTTGTTTGACGTGGGCGAGGGGTGAGAATCAGGTATACATACGCTAGACCCTGCGGTCAGAAACAAACATCAGTGGCCCCATCATCGTTGGCTCAAAATGATAGCGTCCTGTTAAAGCCACGAGGCCTGGAGACGAGGCTGGCTAAAACTCGGCACTCTGGCCACACTGAAGCTGGAAGATCATGGTTTTGGCTTTCTCTTAGCTCGCTAGGTCTTTTGTTGGCTGACGGGAGGACCGGGACGATCGTCGGCCAGGGGTTGAAACTCAGGTATCCGTATGGACGAGAGCTCCTGGTGCGATGCCATAGCCTGCTCTGGACTGCTGCAGGGTGATAGCATCATCACAAATCAAGAGTTGCAAACGCAAAGGCAAAGAAGCGGGCGAAATTGAGTTCAGGGTAAGTTAATACTGCTGCCTGATATCTGCTCGGGGAAGGCGCGAGCGTAACGGAAAAAATACATGCCATCCCTCCCCTCTGGCTCTGAGTCGGTGTTCGAATTATTCCGAAGACCCTCCACTTGCTTCTCCATGCCATCCAACGGCAAGCTCCAGCAGTTCCCTGGAACCCTGATCGTGTTACACCGAACCGCTGTGCATTGCATTGCATTGCATCTCATCGTGGGAAATCGACTGACAATCGCGTCTCCGTCGCTTCGCTCGCACCACCGCCCTTTGGCGGCCGGCCTCGTCAACTCGACCCGTCCGCACCCATGCCGCCACAATTAGTGAGACTTACTTGTACGTCCGGCCGATGACTAAACAACGATTTGTTCTCCCGAGCCTGGTATGGTATCTGCGCAACTGGTGCTGACCGGCCAATGGCATACGATACCAAGCTCGCGGGTCTAGCTCTGCCACAGGGCGTTATATCCGCACCAGGGTGACAGGCACCCTGGTCTTGGTTCCAGACAGACAGGGCAAGCAATGCGAAATGCTAACAAGACATTTACCTAGGAAGCTGACGGAATACATGGTAGCACCACGAGTTCTGCTGTGGAGAGCATCGGGAACTTTGGTAGATACGGGATGGGCGTTTGCCGGCTCAAATTAGCTTTGAGTTGGATGTGACCCGAGTCAGCATTGCTCCCTATGTACCTGGTACCCATCAGACCCATGGGGTGCCGTACGCAGCGCTTGATCCCTCGTGCGATGCCCTTTGGCAGCAGCGACTATGCCCCGTGCCGCGCGGATGATTGTCTCTGTACGACACAAACAAGGACCAGGCCCTACCCACTGACCATCTCCGATGGCCCTGCTCAGAGTATCATCGATATGGAGCATTGAATAGCCTAGATCCTAGAAAGGGGGGAGGGGCCGCTATGATGACGGAGCACACAGCCTTACGGTTAGCTCTCCAACCGCTCATTACTTGCAGTAGTACTCCGTACTGCTATATTTGAGAACAGGGCTAAGCAGAACGCCACACGAGATTGTCAGGGTGTGCAGAAGCCGAGTTCGTCCGCTCGGCTGTCGCGCGTTGACTGGCTACTGGTACTGGCAGCAACTCCAGTCTCTCGACTTGAACATTTGAATCCCAGCTGGGGGAAATGTGGTCATTTATGCGCGTCTAATCCTTCAGTCTGGAAGAACTGCTCTGGAAGAACTGCTGAGATATGAGCACATAGAAAAGGAAAAAGCAAGGACAAAAGCAGAAAAGGTGAGAAAGAAAAGACAGAGAGTAAAGAAGAGAAAAACGAAGAAAGTGAACTCGCTTTTTCCCATTCCCGCGATAATATCCGCCGGCAGGCTCTGCCGAAAGTTGCAGTCGCCACGATCTGAAAAGTCCATCGCCGCCAAACGCACCGTTTTCAAGCCTCATACAAGAGCTACTACGTACTTGTTTCATAAGCTTGAATCTCAAAACACGGATACGGGATATTGCAACCATAAATATTATGGGGAATGTAACCAGAGAATGAAACAGTACGCATATTATCGAAACGCACAAAAAGAAGGCAAGGCCTGTAAGAGACCTACATAGGTAGCATACAGATTTACACAGCCAGGTTATCGACCCGGGCTTACGGCCTTTGCTTCTACGACGGTCAATCTCAGCCCTCTCCATGTGCCCATCGTCACGATAGAGCATGTTGATGAACAGTATCAACTCAACTTATATGAGAACATGGGTTCCTTTGTCTTGAGCCAAAGAAAAGGGGAAATGGTGTCTATCAAGAGGCCCCTGTGGCCCAAATCATATCGCAATCTGGTCCCAAGCGCACGGTCCTTTCGCCCTGTCGTCCACTAATGCTTCTGGTACAGACATCCCAGTCGTTCCTCAGCCCTGCTGTCGGGTCGTGTGAGGGAGGGCGTGTGTGGAGGAAAAGCGGGCATGTTAGGTTGCACATCAAGGTGGAGAAGACTCCGGAACTGCATGGTGGGAGGTACCTGTGTACACTTTGAGACAAGGGCATCATTGCTGACTGCGGATACTAGCACTGCGCATCAGGACTTTTTCTATTCTCGCTCATCAAGTAGGGCCGTCTAGCTCTGCCCTATGCCGGCGTGGAGACGACCGGAGATGTGGCGCCCAATTTTGCCCAACTTTTGCAACTCCGTACTGCTGTTACTACTTCTTTTGGGCAATTGCTCATCTGAGGCTAAGTCATCTCGTTTAGGCGCGCTGCTGTTGCACAATTACTCGGTGCGTATTTAGTCTGAATATGGCATCTCCGTCCAGTCTCAAAGAATCGTGGCTGACACACACTAGCATCTGGAAGCTCTCGCATCAATTTCATCCGTTTCTTGACCATCAGATGCGATTGTACTGGAGACGGGGGGTTGCTGCTACCCAACTACCACTCGGGCAAAGGGAGCCACCACTTTTACGATTTGCTGAGTGCTGGGGTCCAACGGAAACTTTATCTGCACCGCTTTCTATCCGACTGGAGGATGCAAACCAATGATACGCGTTGGAAGAACGCAACAAGGTCAAGGAGTGGAACGAGCACTGACGACATGAGACAACAAGGCTTGCGTGTCTCTATCCCCTCACAATACTCTCGACAGCGCTGCATTACCCCCCTCCAGGGGATATGGCATGTGCTTGGCAGACCGGGAAACTCATTTTGACTTAATGGTCCAATCCCCCGTCTGCTAAAGTGGAACGGCGGTTCCAGCCCGCTGGCTTGGTGACTACCCGGGCTGGTAGAGCTGTATCTGGATCCATCGAGCCACCCGACCTACCACACCCTCCCTTGTGCCGCTCGTTCGCCAAGTGCCATGCATGGGATGCCATGCCTGTAGTTGGTTGTCCGAACCGTCGGTACGGTAGCAAGCGGTCATGTTGGCAGCCTGTTGCTAGTACTTGCTGCAGTCCTCGGATCATCACTACGACCACGCCCAAACTCCAAAAGGCTGTGGCCATACTTGCAGGCGAAATAAAGGGGACAGTACCTACACCAGCGCCAGAAACCGCTAAGGTCCAAGAGGCTAGCAAGACTTTTGGTGCCGCACAACTAATGCCTCCAGTATGAAGGCACCTGTTCTTTCCAGCTCCTCCTTATGCAGGTAGAGAGCTTGAGCGATATCCGTCTTTGCTACTGGCTTTCGCTGGCGGGAGTTGGGTACTTTACCCACCGTCACCTGCCAGTCGATAACCGCTCCATCGTGCCTCTCGAAACTCACACCCCCCCAGCTTCTCCGGCTTGTGTCGTCCCAGGCCAAGCACGCGCCTCTGTCGCAGTCTAGGGACCCACGGGTCGATTGCTAGGCTCGCCTGGCTGGGGGGCGTTTGGTTCTGGCGCTCGGCGACGCTCCGTCTGTGCTGCTACCGTTGCCATCTAATCGCCATCAGGCCGGGTTGGAATCGAATGTGTTCTGTCTCTGCGTGGCATTGATTTTCGTCCTTGTTCCTGCTTTGTACACGCCCGCACTAGTGGAGCTGCCGTGTCGACCGAGGCGGAGCCCTCCCTCAGATCAACGACTCCATAAAGACAGACGCCTCCGGCGCATCTCGAATCCCCTACCTGGGGCTCCTCACTGCTTGCTGCTGGATAATTACAAGTAGGCTCGAAAGCTCTCTTCTTTTTAAAACGCACTGAATCGCGATCGCCATATTCCGTACTCCGTCGCTTCGTCAGACAAAACGGGAGCTAGCTGCGGGCCTACACGAACGTCAGTCAGCACGTGTTGAGTGATCCCCTCCCATCGCCAACCGGCATCCGCTTAATTCTTACACTATATCCCCTGCCCGTCTCTACAAGTAGACGGATCTCGTCTCCGCGTCTTGAACTTTCTTGGCTGCCACTACTTATATCTGACTATCTCCTCACCGCTCTTGACCTCGCCTTTTTGACTTTTTACCTTTTCTCTTGTTTATAACAGATTTGATCCTGTTAAAACTTGGGTCATCTCCCGCGCCTCTGGAATCAGCCACTGCCTACTTCTTTGTCTTCACCTAAGCCTAGCATATCATCCCACTAAACCCCCGAAGCTTGGCACCAACGGCTCTATATACAATCCATCTCTACACATTGACAGATTCTTCGCCTCTGCCCCATATATGGTAACAACAAGATCAGTCTCGTTTACTATATTGGTTTGACGGCGGATATGGCACAAGGACTCTGGCCAAACCAGGAGGGCGCATCGCCCGACCTCAATCCCCCCCAGCAGGAGCGGGTCGATCGCCAAATGATTCGACACCTGCTTGGTAAATACTCAAGAGAAGAGCTAGGGCGATTGCTACAAGAAGAAGGGCGCATGTCACCATCTTCATCATGTGAGTATTTTTTTTTTCTTATGCATACATGTATATATCTTGTCTTTATAGCCTGGTATTCACCCTTCCCCTCGTCTAATCCGTCCATGTATCTCTTGTCTTCTTTCTTGTTCGCCTCCTCCTTCGTATCTATGCCTCTAACCATCCGAATCTTGTTTTTTAGATGAGGAAAGATCTTTTATGCTCTCCAGCAGCAACATGTCCAGCGGCAGCTCGCACGACGATTCAAACATGTTCGATTCAACAAGCAGTAACAACGCATTCTCAGATACGTCATCCACATGCGGAAGCATCACTTCCAACGTGTCACCTCGAGCGAGTCACCGTCGCAAGCCCAACGCAAGCCCGTCGACAACTCGCGCCAGCATATCTCTTACTGATGAGTCATCATGGGATGTCGAGGATGCTACACCTGCAGCATCGGCTCCGAAGCAAAAGGGGTCATTCACCTGCGGATTCTGTCTTGAAGAAGGCATTCAAAAGACATGCACCCGCAAGAATGACCTGAAGCGCCACATGGAAGACTTTCATCACACCAACGCACAGTGGTTCTGCCGCCACCGAGGCTGTCAAATGGTGTTTGATTGGCAAACCGCTTACAAGGCTCACCTGAAGAACTCTCATGGGGGATCGAGGATGAACCTGGACGACGCCAAGGTTCCGCTTTGTCCCCAGACTGTCTTCGCATGCGGCTTCGAGAACTGTCTCCAAGTCTTTGAGGCACCAAGCGACGTACACGCGGGCCCCACCTTCAAGGAGTACGTGAGCCACGTTGTCAAGCACTTTGACGAAGGCGCAAGCAGCGGCCAGTGGAGTTACTCGGCCAGGATGCGGAATCTGCTTAGACAATCCAGCGTGCTGAACGCCTGGTCGCAGTCGCTGTGGCCAGATGGTGACCCGAGCCGCCTGCGGTGGAACTCCCAAACCAGCAGCGTCCTGCGAAAACGCCTGGAGACGAGACATCTTGGCGACCTCCAGTTTCTCGTTCAATATGCCATTGCGCTGGGGTCAAGTCCCAATGGTGCGATTCAAAACTTTCGTGCGGACTTTGTGACCCCGATCCGTAGTGAGTGCCGGATGGCGATCCATGGCCACAGCAGGACCTCCGCAGCACCCACCCCCGACGCAGACCACATGCAATACAACATGTCAACGGGTGGTGCCAACCCAGCAATGATTGCATATTACCAGCGGCACGCGTACATGCCCCAGCCGGCGCAGCCGCAGCTGCACTCCCCAGGCTACACTTTTCACAATGCGCCTCCCTCTCCAGGATATGACGCCCAGCAGCAAGCTTTACAGCAGCAACAGCAGCAGCAGCAGCAATCGCAGCAGTACATGGGAATGGCCGATGCACCGATGGTTGGGTCTGATTACGGTCCACACGCGAATGGCAATCTCCAGACTATGCCCGCTGCTTATGCCACCAACGGCCTGCACAGTCCCGCACCTACGGATATATGCGGAACCGCGAGCCCGGGCTCGAGCATGGAACAGCGGACTAATACGTACGCATACAACTCGTCGCCGTATGCGTATTAAATCACGAGGTAGCAGTGCCTCGTCCACCAGGCCGTTTAAAGTTACATACACAAATGACGAGTGTGACCACATACCGTAGTGGCTGCTAATCTACGGCGTCGTGTACGGTTGAATAATTTTATTTTCAGGACAGAACGCATGTGCCCCAAAATTATCGGCACCGACGGGTTGCACATACACTACCGATCACTATGCTATTATTACCACAAACAACAAGAACTAGCTCTGGCAGCAAGCAAGGTTTTTTTTTTTTTTTTTTTTTAAAGAGCTCCTGCGGAGGCTGGACAGTAGACGATTACACAATAACGGCCGGCTTGCATCATTTTTCTTTGTCATTTCTTTTTTCAAACGTTGGCAAATTTCCTCTCTCTTCTAATTCTTTTTTATACCCTCACAAGCACGCATTTCATTTCATCAGTAAGATTGATTCACAATTTGAGAGAAAAAGCGAAAGAGCGACACTCATTGCGACTTGTTTTATGACTATTACTTTTTTTCTTTTGTTTTTCTACATGGGCAACGGCCGAGGGGAGGGGATCAAACTTGCACTTTTCTGTGTGCTGATGTGCGGGGGATATTTGGGGCTGGTACACGATTATGGAGGGCTTCTGCGGTTATGAAGTGGGCGCATTACGGGGGAATGGGTTGTCTTTTTTTTCGGTTGATTATTTTGTTGCTGTTACTGTTGCTGTTGGCTAATTCAGTTGGGAAAATGTCTAAACGGCCTTTTGGGATGAATCATTACAAGCGGGGAGGGGAGTAGGAGAAACAAAAATATGGATTACTTGTTACAACAAACATGTATCAAAAGGCCTACATTTATTAGAATATATTGTGGATGCAGCAATGCAGACGTACAAGTAAATACGCCCTCTCTTTTGTGTGTTTAAGGAGTAGTATTGATGCAGGATTTCAGCATAATGTGCCTACCTAGGTATATGTAATGTGATGGATCAAATTGCGTATATTAAACAGAGAGCAACGAAATGTTACCTGCGCCTGTAATGTACCTGTAAGTTACAGGCAGCAAATCGGAGTAATCAAGTTGGCAATTCCGTTAAACAAAAAAAAAAAGCGCAACCATTATCCCAACGAGGTAAGAAAACAAAACAAGAAAAAGGCCTTTATCCGAAGAGGAAGCTCTGCGTGTATGTCGCACAAGGAAGGAAGACAACTACTAGTACGTACGTACGGATAAAACGTAATATCTACTTCACACATACCTTCAATTAAGACTTTAGCGAACAGGGGGGAAAAAAAACAAGGCAATAGAATGTAAATTGTTTGAGTACTCCTTGTATTTAGCTTTTTTTTTTTTTTTTCTTGCAAGGAAATGGACATTAAGCCGAAACCTCATTAGTTGGAAGGAAGAGAGGGGGAGTGAATCCCTTTGATTAGATTGCGAATTACTTGCCGAAAGTTTTTTTGTGTTTTGTAATGAAAGGGATGCATTTAAGAAATGTAACTGGGTGTCAAAGTCTGTTCTCTTTTTTTTGGCTTTAGGTTTCGGGATGCAAATCTAACTTTCCGTCAATTTTTTTTTTTTTTTTTTTTTTTTTGGCATTTATGTGATTTTTGATTTGTTTGTACTTGTCAAGCTTGTATAACATACTTTTTTGCTTTTATGCAGCTTAAACAGGGTGTGGGACTCGTATATAATCCTTCTCAGAAACTCGGGAGAGGGAAAAAAAAAACACCAAAGCACGTCTGCGATGCCTGTCTTAGTACCTAGATGGGCAATCCTACACCGGTAATGGGGCGGCTGCCCATATACCCAGGGCATCGTCGCATATCGTCGCATATCGTGCCGTGCCTAAACCAAGTTAGGTATGTGCAAGCGTCGTTTAGTCAGTGACGGAGCCAGCAATTTTGGCAGCTTGGCAGCCATGCTGTTTGGTTTTTTTGTTGGTTCGTTTCGTTTACTCAAGGGGAAAGGAAGAGAAAAAAAAAGAGGTTCCATTGCAGCGAAGCGAAGTGTTTCCCCCCCCCTCGTCTAAAATCCTCCATACAAGAAAGCCAGAGGAGGCGGCCCCATTACTGCCAATTTTCTGTCATTTTTTTTTTTTCTTGCTTGCTTGCTTGCGTTGTCTATATCAGCAGCCCTGCAGCAGTGGGCCGTCAAAAAGGGCCCTGAAAAATGGCTTTGTTGGCCAAGTTAATTATGCCGTTCTTGCGATTAGGCAGAGAGGCTTTTAAGCGAATCCACCAATCAGTTGGTCTTTTTTCCTTCTTCCTTCCATTTCGCCTTTTTCACTTTCATACGAGCCGAGTGGGATTTTTTTTTTTGGGTGGACAGTGTTGGGCGGTATGTAATACTACCCTATCATGCTTTGCTCTGTAATGCCTACAGCGTGATATGCGGAATTAAAATGGAGTGGTACGGCTTTAGTACGCTGTCACGTACATGAAGGATTACATATTCACCTGTTGCTTCTTCGGTAGTGGACCGCTGTGTGTATTGCTTCGTCACTGCTACACACAGCACGAGGGGAGCATGAAGTTGAGTAGTAATACTACTTACAAGTTTTTCCCCTCTGTCTCTCATATAACAAGGGGGTGTGCCGGTGGAGAGAGGGTGGGCAATATACTGTAGTTGCTCAAGCTGCTTGTTTTCTTCTTCTTATACTTGTATATTTGCTACTTGTACAAGCTTCTTCTTCCTCTAGCAGCGCATGATTTTCCTCAATCTGCTGATTAATAGTGACGTATCACATTTCAAACTGGTTATCAGAAGGGCATGTCGTATATGAAATACAAATGCATATGCCGAAAAAGACGAAAAGTGATTACTCTTCATGCTAGAAGGAGGTGGTGGCAGTGGCGATAGCAAATACAGAAACGGGCCGGATTAGCCATATGCATTCCTTCAAGTAGGAGAGACGAGAATCCGCCAACCAAGGCAGTGGTCTCTCCAATAGCCGCGGCCAAACAGGGAGGGCACAAAGGTCGGAAACAAGGTCGCTACCCGGTGGTTGGGTCTTTGGGTGCGTGAGCCCGGATGCTTGGAAGCCGACTTGTCTGGATGGAGCAGCTGGGCAGTGACAAGGTGCTGATAGAAACGCACAAGTGGGCTCCGTTGAAAGGATGCGAGAGACGGAAGGAATACATACTTGTAGGTCTACATACCTAGGTCAAACACATGCACGGCGATAGCAACAGTAATGAACACGCTCGGTAGGAAACAGAGCAGTAGCAGGCTTGGAGGCTTGCCGAATCAAGGTAGGCTCTCTTTGGATGATCTTCTCCCGCATGCGCTGGATCTCAGGCGAGATTAGCAGCGTGATAGGCAGGCGCTGACGCAGCTCTGTCCATGCAAGAGCACAGCCATGCGTACGAGATATCGTGAGGGTACAGGTGCCAAGTATTTAGCTTCAATTACCACGGCCAAAGGGGGGGCGTGAAGCAATGAACAAAGGTAATTGGTACTAATATAGCACCTGCTAGCGCCACAGTTACGGCGTGTCTTTGATCAAGCGGAGGACCAGTTTCCAAGCTGCCCATGGGGGTTCATGAAAACTGGGATGCTGGGGCTGGGTTTCTTCTGGATTTGGAATCTTGTGTAACAATACTGGCCGTTTTGTGGCGCCGAGGGGCCGCGAGGGGCCGCGAAAGCCCGCAATGCCCGCGCGACAAAGACTCGAGACAGCAGTGAGCCGGCGGGGAGCGTAAGCAATGGTCTCGCTGCCGACAAATGAAGTAATTAGGATGTTGAGTAAGTCGATGCTAATAACAGGGACTTGTAGTAGTAGCATCAGAAGGCGCGGCTAATATAACAGAGGCGGTGGCCCTGCTGCATATGCACATGCACAATGTTGGCATGGACCACGTGCAGGTGACAATGATGGCCTCAAGTCGAGGCACAATGTGAATGGCGATGGCGCGGGAGCCAAGGATGGAGTGGCCTCCAAACAAGGTGAGTCCGTTGGAACGGCATACTTGTATGAGTGCTTGTATACCGCCGCCGCAGCTGCAGGCAGTAATCGACATGGCCAGGAGGTGCTGCTCCCATGCAAGCCGTCTGCACGAATGGACAAGGGACTCGCCCATCGGCCCAGGCTGGCGGGAAACCTTGACACGAAAGAAGGCAACGGCTGGAGAGAAGATCCGCGGCAATGGGCCACAGGGCAAGCCGCTCAGCTGACTGGCGTCGAGATGTGCAATGCCGGAGCGGGTTGCCAAACTTGGCGTTGAGTGCTACTCGGCGCAATCAACTTGTAGCTTCAACACGAGAGTACAGCGAGTGGTGTTGGTGGCTGTCGCAGGCACCATCCGTGGCGCCCCGTGAATGCATGTCATGCTAATCCATGCACCTATTAACTTTGTTGGTAGCAGGAGGTATGGAGCGAGGTTTGTAGTTGTATGTATACAGCTTGAAAGTAAGCATCCCACGATAGGGGAATTGGAGTAGACAAAGTCTAAGTCGGCCGGTGGGCGCGGGGAAGGGCGCCAAGTAGGTTATTTGGATGATTTAGCTTTGTGGCTGAATGACTTTGAGCCGACGAGGACACGGGAGTGGCAGTAGTAACGGCAGCAGCAGTACGTAATACGAAACGAGATACGACAGCACTCAGCGACGAGTGACAGACGGCAAGACACGAGATGGACCAGATAAGACAGGAGAGGATGCAAAAGAAGACGAAAACGAGAATAGACAGACAACCGGGCAAGCTAGGGAAACTCATTGTGCATTGTCATCGCCGCAAGCAAGGAACCAAGCAAGGAACCAAGCAGGCGAGCAAGCAGGCAAGCGACGCCACATTTCGCCGCTGCTCTGGTTCTTGTTGGAGAGATTCCTCCTCTACACCCACCCATCTGTGCAAAGAGGTGGGATGAGGGGGCTGAATGTGTCAAGTAAAGTGAGCACTCATGCGTGGTATGTGTGTGATACCAGCAGGCCAGACTGCCTGTGGCTTGCCACATGGGAGAGCTGAATATCGTTGGCCGATGCTGTGTTACGCAAAAGCCAACGCCATGCTGATGGAATATTTCTGGAACTGAACAAGGGAGCACCGCTCGGAAACGACCACGTGGCGGGCTGTGGGAAGGTGTTCGAAAACGAGGCTTGAAGGAAAGAATCACGCCATGGCTTGGTGGTTAGCAGAAACATGTAAGTCGGCTGGCGCAGCCACGGATTTTCTTGGCTTGACAGGTACTGTCTAATGTGATTGGCGTGTCGGCATGCTTTTCTCAAGGTGGTGTGCTATGAATATGCTTGAAGAATCAAGCAAACAAACGGATATTGCTCTCTATCTGGTCCATCTGGCCGGAGGAGTTGGTTGTTTCCAAGAGGCTGGACCGAGATCCTTATCAGAGCTGAGATGAGTCGAGGAGAAATGGCCAAACGAGGATATCGTCCGCAAAGTCGGCACTGCTAATATCAACTGCCTGTGTAGTATTTTGCAGTACGCTGCTGCGGCTGACCATTATCCACAGCGCTGTCGCGTAAGATTCACATTTCCCTGAGATTGCGCCGTTGCGAAGATGGTACGAGCTCGTTGCATTACTCGCGAGCCTGTATTGCAGCACTGCTCCGTACCAGGCTCATTGATATCGCGAGCCTGGAAAAGGTCTCACTTGTAGGGCAGTGCGGAGTGCCAGGGGGCTGGAGCCTTGTCCAAAGACGACCCATGAAAGTTTTGTTCTGCCCTGCTCATCTGCCGTTGATTCTCGTACAAGTCTCAAGCGAGACGGCATCAGCGATAAGAGGCAAAAGGGCCGTGCGTTTGGGGATCGAGGCACCCATGATGCTGGCCCTTGACGATTGGGTTCTATGGTCATCATTACTCCGAAATCCGAGCCCAAACACATGATGCAACGCTGCCGATGGAGCAGGTGTATATCTGGTCGGTTGCTTCATTCACAGGACGAGCAAGCAAATGCACTGGCATTTGCACGCGCAGCAGCATTTGACGCCGACAAGCAACATGAAGACGGCAAACCAGTGGCGGTCTTCAGCGGAACATTCGTCCGGCCCCCTTGCAGCAAAACGAGCGGCGATGCCGGGACGGGTGAAATAATAATCTGCAGCAGCAAGGCTTGGACGAAGATGCGGATGCCTCGGTGAGGCAGGGCTGGCCACCGATGGGCTTGTGCGGTCCCGAAGCAGCAAAAGTCGTTTGCAGCCCGCACCTGCTTGCGACTGTGATGCTGTAACCGTGATGCTGTAACCGTGATAGCCGCCGCCATGGCCCTCCTGGTGCTACCGCTTGGCATCCCATCGGACTTGTTACCGCATATTGCATCGTTGCCAGGATCGGCATCCCATCCTCCACGTGCGCGGGCAGAGTGTGGAGAGACCGCAGAGGAGCCTGGAGGGAGCTGGAGGGAGCCGGCAATGACTGAGGCTGACATAGCGAGGACGGCAACGGAGGTCATGGCCGCATTGGGTCCTACCAGCTGATTCTGCCTCTGATTGTTGCTGTCCTGCCCATGCCTTGGCTTGCTTGGATTCCGGATGGAGCAGGTGTTGGGAAGCTGAAAATCCTACCTGTCGAGTGCTAGCAGAACTAGCGGGATTAGCAGCAGTGCTAGCCCGAGGAACAAGAACGGCGGCAATGGCCAGCAGTAGTGGTCGCGTCAGGCATTAGTGGTGGCAGTAGTGGGCTGCACGCTGTTTGCAGGGCTGCATTAGCAACTGGTTTCCCTACAGCACTCGCGTGGTGCATTAATAGCATCGCGAGCTGAACAATGGGACGAGGAAGAGGAGGAAAGCAGAGCGATGAGGGGTTCTAAATATGGAGCCCCCACTACTTCAAGTTGTGCGGTATACTTGTATCATACCGCAGCGTCTATACTTGGAACCGCGTTTGTATCGGGTACTTGATGCTCAGCTACGGAGCCGCAGGTTTCACAGCGTCTCAGGGACATTGGGCGGAAGCCGCGCGGGTCCATCCTTTCGCAGCCACTGCCTTGCCTGCTACGCAGTGATCTGCGGCGCCCCAATTACTGGACTTGTATCCGTAGCAGCGCGGCATTTTTCTAGAACTCGGGCTGGTTGATATTTCTGGCTTCTAGTGCAGCTCAGCCTCAGCCTTCTCTGCCCATCGTGAGATGCGAGCACAGCAGGTATCAGTTTGATTGGCATGCGGCTTACCCACTGGCAAAAGCTGAGGTGCAAACACATCTGCGCCGACGAAGAAACATTTACGGAGCAGCCCAGCAACGAATCCCGGTCTGCGCGACTGAAGCGGTATTTGCACTAAACAATCCGAGTGGAACCGTCCTCATCGTCCCGTGTTTGGCGTCATCTTATCACGTACTTGTATGTAGCTACCTACCTACTGCTTCCACTATCTACAAGGGCCAACCAGGGCTATTCGTGCCCAAAGCGCTCTGCTAGGTGATCGGCCTACCCGAACACCTTGGTGGCCACGGCGAGTACGAAATCAACGAGTTGCAAGTGTCCGTCAATGACTTGTTGTATGCGCCAAGTACCTCAGCTATGTGGAGAGAAGTCGCACGGCACACAACTCGCGGCGGTAGCGGAGTGGGAAGCACAGCGCAAAATCTTCATGCTTGACGCTTGTGCTGATGCGAAACCAGGTACATGCACCAAAAAATGATTGTTGACTCGTGCCTGGATGCCCTGCCAAGTAGCACTGCATATGTTGGTGGACGCAGCCAATGATGCTCTCATCGGTCAGCACTTGGCTGCTGCAATCAGAGATGACTGCCAGGTACAGGCTGCGAATGGGTATCATCAGCCCCATCTGCATCCCCGGGCTTCTTTATTTTTGACACCTTGCAGGATTTCGTCTGCAGAGCGACTTGGCGGCAGGATTGGTGGCTGATAGGGCCAGCAACGCATTGCATGGCCTTTGCATGTCGCATGACTCCATCTATGTTTGGTTTTGGGCTTGGATTTGCCTTGGATTTGCCTCCTCCATGCCGCGGACTAGTAGTACCTGCCAAGCGGCAGCGCTAGACAAATCCGCGCCCTCTGAGGCCTTGATTTGCCGTTTGATCTTATCTGCCTGCTGCCATCATCGGCGCGGACATCAAGCCGCCGATGTTCTAGCTGCAACATCCGCCATTATGCCGCCGTGAAGCATGGTCGCCAGCCTGGGACCGTTGGGCACAATGTGGCCGTCTCATTGGCCTGGCCCGGATGAGACGCTCAGCACATGTCTCGCCTTTCCCTTCTAGAAGGACGGCAGAAGCAACTGGCCAGGGGTCCCCTCCCGGTGAGATGCAGGGGCCAACGAGCTGGTAATTTACGGCTGTCCCTTGCGAGGTCAGGCGACGAGGCTGCCTGGCCGCTGGTTGGCCGTGGCCTCTCCGGGCGAGGGCACCATTTCGACAGCGACAGCCATTTTGGCCTTCGGGGGACCCCACACCACCATCCAAAGTCTACACTGGTCGTTCGAGTCGCCAGACTGTGGCTGCTGGGCGCCAGCGGCTTTTTAGCTAGCCAGAGGCGACTTGTGTTTCAGGACGGCATGGGGGCCGCTGGGAGAAATGACACTGTTCCTGAAATGGGGGTTGGTGTGTGGTGCTGGACAGGGGACCGCGCAGCACTAATTCGTCGGATTCCACGACCTGACCGGGTTATGCCAGTCGCTCAGCAAAGAAAGGATTTGGGATTAGGGGGCGGATTCATGCTCCAAGCGTCGGGTCCCAGAGGTGGCCCTACCGCAACATTGTTGCCCATCAACGGTGCCCCGACGCTGTGGACTTGAATTTGCACGGGCTGGCGCTCTGTCTGGGCTTTTCTCCGACAGATCTTCTAGAAGCCTTCCCCGGCTTTTCGACCGTTTGTTGGCCCCCCTCGCCATTTGCTCTTCTCCCCTTGCTCGGCCCTGGCGACGGTGCCTCTTTCCTCTTTGTCGCTCGTTCATCCAATTTGCCTTTTCGTTTTCACAAACATATTTCCTCACAGGCAGTGCCTTGACAAACTTCTCAACCGACGACTCAATCTTGAGGCGACGCTAATATTTCTCGCACGTCTGAACCGACCAAGGTCGTACTAATCTGTCAACTTCACACTCTTTGATCGTGATCGTGAGCGTGAGCGTGAGCGGGACGCGAGACGGGGCTGGACTGAATTTTTTTTTTAACGCTCATACCAGCGACGTATCCAAGATCTCGTTCTGTCAACCCTCATCGCCGCGTTGTGCGGCGGTTATGCCAATTTGACGCCGAGTGGTAGTATTCAGCTGCTGCCGTCGACCTTTTTTTTTTCTCTCTCTCTTCCCGGCACACCGCTTCAACGTGTCTGTGGGCAGGTAGCGGTCGTCAACTACCGACACGAGCACTCTTCTGTGTGTTTTGGGCCATAGCTGGTCCGTAGTTTGTCGGTTTCAGCACAACGGCGAACGCAGTTTAATTGTCTAATCACAACAATCTTTTCCATCATGTTTCCATACGGAGCCGCGCCCGAGGAGTCTACCGTGCGTCCATTGGCGGATGAGGACCAACAGTTACTTCTCGGGCTTGTTCACAAATATGGAGCTTCAAGTGTTTTGTATGCCTTGACCGGCTATGGAGAACCATGTAAGTCGTTAACAAATGTCTCAACAAGTTCAACTTGAATCTGACTGGATTCAGCTCGTGCGTCTGCGTTTTCCGCAAACACACTTCTGAGCAGCGCGAGCGCGTCTTCAATAGCCTGGACTAACTCAGAGGCGGCCTCACAATGCCGATCAGATGAAGCCTCCATTCACACTTCATACACTTGGCCCGATGTTCAGAACGACATACAACCGGTGCATGAGGCAGAGGCTAACAAGGGGACTGAGCGATCATGGCTCGACTCGCCTGTGGCAGTTCCGTCTCCGATGATTCAGCCCCACGACGTTACATCACACCCATCTCCGCGATTAGTGACACCAACCTCCAAAAAGTACCAGTGTCACATGTGTTATTTGGACAACAGCCCCGTCGGATTTGGCCGAAAGAGCGACTTCAAGAAGCACCTTCACAACTTCCATGGAGCCGACGTTGTCTGGATCTGCCGGACCAAAGGGTGCCATCTATCCTTCTCCACTGAGCGTGCTTATGGCACTCACGCCAAGGAAGCTCACAGAATGAAGGCTCTCCCCAACAGCGCTGCTCGCACGGAAATGTGCCCGCAGCTTGTCTTCGCCTGTGGCTTTGGCAACTGTCGCGACCGGCTATTCGAAGCCCATAACGCGGAAGACGCCTCGGCAACACGCGATAAGCATTTCGAACACATCGCCAAGCATTTTGAAGATGGATTCGATGTTGCCAATTGGGAGTACCGAGTCCAGGTGCAAAATCTGATGCGCCAGAAGCAAGTGAAGCAGGTTTGGAAGACATGCGTATGGCCCAAGGAAAAACGACAACAGCTCCACTGGCGAGCCAGGTCTTCTGGTGACTTGAAGCGCATCCTCGAGTGTCGCCACTTGGGGACCAACATCTCCAGCCTGGTCAGACTGGCCTTCATTCTCGGCACTCCTCCGTTCACAACCAACACCACTCCACCGCCGAACGAGATCGATGCCTACTTTCAACTTCCGTATAGGAGCCAATGCTTACTAGAGACATCCGGGCACTCGACCCTGCCAAGCACCGCTTCAAAACCGGAGGAGGAGGACTCGCCTACGCTCAGCGTCCCCAAGAGCCGGTCGGGCATCACGAGTATCCCTCATACCATGCTCAAGCTCTCTACCCGCTCACTGAAACGGGGTACGCGACCATCAACGCCTGCAAGTGTCATGAGCAATGGCGGTGATACAATCATGGGTGACGATTTAGCGGCTGGCCCGCACCCAGGAACTCCGTTCCCCATCCCCAATGAGACTGTGTGGCCGGCAGACGCTCCCAAGTTTGCTCCGGATATCCCGACCTCCATGCCAAAGCAGGCCGATACACCGCTCTTTGATCATCAGCAGCTACAGCACCCGCAGCACCCACAGCAGCAGCTGATGTATACCATGCCGCCGCAGGATCCTTCACAGCAAGCATGGATGGCCATGGATCAACACATTCCGGCGTTTCAAACACAACAGCAGATTTTCCCAGACCAGCCGGATATGATGAATGGCCTATACGACTATTCGATGAACACGAGCCAAGCTTCTACGATGCGGCCAGCAACACCAACACCCCACAAGCGACCGGCATCGTGGAGCCGAATGATTAGCATGGAGAACCTGCGACCAGCTAAGAAATCGACCGCTGATACACCGCCGCCCGGTATGATTATGGGCATGTGAACGGAATGGGCGTCTTGTCTGTCTGTTTACCGAACTACATATTTGCCATTGTTATATTCTATCGCCGAGACGATCCGGATAGAGGGCCCGTTAGCGAATCGCTCCACTCTTTTATCGACGTTTATATGTATCCATTATATCCCTTGCTGCGGCTGCTTTCCTGTATTCTCAACCATATATACCACTTTATACTTACCGGGACGACAATGTACACTTAATTGGAGGAACTGAGGGCGGGGAAGGGGCAAGGCCGATCGAATCGCTTTCCATTTTTGTCACTATACTGATATTGAGATACCATTTCATTTTCCTTTCCTTTTTCTTCTTTCCTTTCAACAATTTCATCCTTTTTTTTTCTTTTTTATTTTTATTTTTGCTTTTATGCGGTGGACCGGCGTCGTTCATGAATCACATATATTCACATAGATAAGGTGGGATAGGTTACTATGGCATTACGTGGAGCGAACATCTCTTTTTTTTTTCTCTGTTGCGCTATAGTGTACGAAGGAGGGTGGATGGGGAGACAGAGAGAGAGAGAAGTTGGCGGAAAAGCAAATCAAGATACACATGAATACTTAGTTGTACGGCGCAATGTCTGGTGAAAATGACTTTTTTACATATGGAGACAGGAAGAAATCTACAATTGACTTTTTTTTTCTCTTTGATTCGTTTCTTTTTTGGTGGTGAGTGATGTGTGCCATTCCTTTATGCTTTATAGTGACTTGTAAGGCTCTGGAAACATGGTGTGAAGGGAGAATGACTACGAAAATTTAAACAGATATCATATTGGAGGTATAGAATAATACTACATGTACCTACCAGATACCTACCTACCTAGGAAGGTACAAGGTAAGTAGTAAAGCAGTGGAAAGAAAACACCGCCGGTCTGCTACGATAAATTACATGTGATGTGCGGCGGTGTCAAATTTTTTTTTTTTTTTTTCGTTTCTCAGTAGGTGAGTAAGTTCGTGGATACTACTTCGTACCTTGGATATGCGCGTATCGGGCCGTCAGCTTACTTGCCCTGAAGCCGCGTGTCAGCTTCGTACAGTAGGGGGACTGCGACGGAAGGGGCACTGTCGGAATTGGGATTCCAGCTGTTTTCTGATATGCGGCCGAGAGAGGTAGAAGTCGGTGAGAGGCGAGACATGGAGAAACCTGGGCTGTTGCTTTGTATGTAGCGATTGACAACGAATTTGGAACATGGGAGGTCTTTGTGGTAGGTTAAAGATGAATATAAAAATGTGGCATAAGACCAGGGGTACGAGATTGGAGCTACTTTTCCTTGGCGGTTAGTAATATCGTGTAGTAAAAATGTTTGGTTGAACGATGTTGGTTTTGAGAGAAGAGAACTAATAACGTTATTGGCTGAGACAGGAAGACGGAACGGGGCGAGACATGTTGGACGTGTTGGGGTTAAGAAGAGAAAAAAAGGGATGGTAAGCTTCGTACGCTTACATGGATGTACTTGCTCCGAGTCAAGGTCGGAGTATAAGAGGTGATACAAAGTAGCATGGAGTATAGCATATACGGAGCAATCCACCGTAGTGTAGAGCTACGTTGAAGATATTTGTAGCACAGAGTACCTGGTAACGCGGCGCAAGGATCCTGGGACTGAGCAAGGCATGGGCGCCTTGTCGTTGGCTATTGTGGGCTAATACTGTAAATTATAGACATGCCGCTTGGAGTATACGATGAGCTGACTCACGAGGTACTTGAAAACTAGTACCTTGGCGCAACGAACCTCTCTTCCCGTTCTGCCCCATTGGCGACTGATTCGGGACCCGGTTCGGGGGTCTGATATTCAGCGGCCTGGGTCCGCAAAAGAAACGAGAACCTGGAAGTTGTTACGCCGCAACGGTGCCGGCAAAGTCCCTAACTCCGCAGCTGCAGTGGAAGGTGGCGGCAGTCGTCCAATGAATGGCCTGGGCGGTTTTCTTGCCCTGCTGCAGGCTAATGCTACTAAATGACAGGCCGAGGAGGGTCCCCTGTGTGTAATTGATGTAATAAGCGCTACCGACCGGGGAAGCGAAGCCATGATTGATTGACATGTGCGCGCTCTAAGTAAGAGAGAGAGAGAGAGCATCGGATGTCGAGCGCGTGAGGTCTTTCGGGAATAAGGGCTTTTGCGCAGGTGTTGTGAGTCGATGCTTGCTTGGCAGAGGACATGTCCGTATTCCGCAATTGAGCACATTGCATCCAGTACTCAGCCAGAAACTATTGCTGCGGCTCTCCTGGTGAAAGATGTGCTTATATTATGGTATTACTCATGGAACGTAGAAGCAACTGCTTACACTTGGCTGATATGGAAGCACCGGGGAAGGCTGAGGTTTCCCCTCGGGAGAGTAAAACGTTGGCATTTCGGAAGACGGATCAGCGCAATGAACAATTCACACGGCCGTGTAAACATGCAACATGTGGCACGGCAGTAATTGATGCAAAAGGACAACGTAGAATTCGCATTAGTATAGATGGAGAGTCAGGTGAAGTAGAAATGCTTTGCGCTGCGTCTGAGTTACCGTGTTTGATGTTACTGTATCCATAAGGTGAAGTCCAAATGATGCGCTGTAAGTGCTTCGGGCGCTAAAGCCCTGTTAACGTGCACTGTAGTTCAGTGGCTGCCAGCTCCACAGCGCTTGGCGTGATTGGCCTTTTGCCACGCTGCCCATCTGAAACCTTTCTGCTTTGGCCTAATGGGAGGGAAATTGAATTCATTCAAGCAGCAAAAGTCACAGGGAGAAAGGGCAGGGAAAAAAAGAAAAAACCCTTACCCTACAGTATAGCAGCAGCGTAGGTACAGGTACTCCATCACAGTGCTTGTGCAGCACCAGGCGCCAAGTACTGTACCATTCTGTCTGGCTGACTTAGATGGCTTGAATATTACTGGAAGCGCGCAGTCACTAGCAGCAGATCTGCCCGGCATCGCCCTTGTGGTGAATGACACCCGATCTATGATCACCTCGGTTGGCCTAGGTACTATGGGCTATGTATGGCCTTCCTGCGGCTATTGGTGCCAAAGTGGCCCAGACGGATACTCTGGTCTTTGGCATTGATGGTGATGCTTCCTTCAACATGACCCTGACCGAGCTGTCGACCGCCGCACAGTTCAACATTGGTGTCAGATCATTGTGTAAACTTGAAGTTTGTTGTCAATTTCTGGTACACAGGCAGCGAGACCTTCATCATGCTGTCCTCTCAAAGTTATTTTACGAGTGGAAAAGGGGAAACACCCACGGTGGATTGGGTTTGAGAAAGAGATGGTAGCTCAGAGTTGGAAAAGAGGCAACTCGATATGTAGGGACTGCAATGGCATAATAGTGTCGAGTTGGCATGTTGAACATGCTAGCGGATCGGGGAATGAATAAAATAATTCTACTATCGGTCTAGATACTTGTTGCAGCTAATCAATTGTCATGTCTTGCAAAGGGTGAATTGTAATTCATGGTTCACGTGTCATGGTCTTGATACGCTGAAATGAACTTGATTGTTTTAGCTGCAGATGTGTAGGTACGCTATGAATGGCTAAAAATGCAAATCCAGTTTGCTCCAATTAATAAGCCTCGCCAAGAATGATTCAACGGACGCCTTCTGAATGACCAAAGCCGGGCGCAGCTAGTTTGTATTCAGCCTCATTTTCGAGCCAGTAGCAGTTAGCGACAAGTAAGTACATAACTTGGTAGCACTCGCTAAGCCTCAATGAATCAGAATCAATAATAGGGTTGGTCCATGTTTCCCCGCGTCGGCGATCATCCATGACGACTTGGACTTGTCAAGCTAATGAAATCTAATCTTTGTTTACTTTTTCTGTTTTCAAACCATTAGAAGCAAGCGACTTTTTATATTGTATGATTGATTCCGATCATTTTGAAGAGATCTCATGAGTCAGGATTATGCTAGATTGGGGGAGGATGCGGCGTCGGTGAAGGATGTTGTTGATGCCCGAGAGGGTATATGTATGTTGACTGATTGCCTTTATGATTGGCATGTTTTGTTTACTGACAAGATCTTTGATCCAGCTCTCCCTATTGATCGAGATGATGACGAAGATATCAGCAGTGAGGCAAGCACATTGCTATCCAGCGGGGTTCCATCATCACATCACCATCACCATCATAAACATCACAGACAGCAATACTATCAAACCGCCGAGAATGAAGAAGCCAGTACTTCGCGGACGGGAATCTTAGGGACCATATTCAGCGGAGAGACGATTTTGAGGATGGGGCTGTCTGCGGGCATGGTGGCGGTGGTGTGCTTGGCGGTGGTGAGGGCGATGGAAGGGGAGTTTTCGCCGGGGCTGGTGGCGGGAGGGGGGCTGATGATGATTATGTGTTTGGTGGTGGGGAAGAGGGATCTTTGGAGGGGAGGAATGGCGATTGGGTGAGGGTGAAGACGGTGATGATGGAGATGGATTACAAGCATATACGATTTCATGGATGATTTGGAATGTCTTGTTTGCTGAGCGGATAGTTGAGCAGGCTGATACATGGGACCCACACTCATATTGTGAGAGAACAAATGTGTGGTTCAGATATGGAATAGAATAAATTTTAAATCGTACATGTCTTCTTCTTCTTTTCGATTTCTACTCTAAAAATAAGCGTATTCAAGTAATGGCAATGCGGCCTCCAACTGCAGGGGCAACAGCAAACGGAATGGTCATTGATACCGAGTCGTAAATCCATTAGATCAAAGCAAAATCGCAGTGCCACTACGGCAACTCACATGCATGCTGTACCACTTACAAGGGAGGCTGCACTTCTTCGTCCTGTGAATGGTCCTCAAAGCGATTGGCATGGGTCTCTTATACGAGATTCATTCTCCACGGAGTACAAAGACGTGAATCTCAATAAGAATAACACGGGTGGAGAGTCGTGCTGGCAAAATAGGTACAGGCCGCAAAGTGATGATGGTAGCACAAGGCGAGAAAAGGGGGGAGAGAAGAAAGCTCGGGTATATTTGGTATCGTGAAACTTTGAGCCATTCCTTATCTTGATCCATGTTCCCATTTTTCTTCTCTTCTCTCCGTTTTCTTTTCTATTCATAGTTTGATTGATCCATGAAAAAAACATATACTATTCGAATGATATTCGACAGGGCTTATAACGAGCAGCCATGAACTCAAACTTGATAACGTTTGTCACAGCAGCAATCTCACTCTCAACACTCTCTGGTGCATCTTCGCAATGCTACTTCCCCAACAGTAAACCCACAGAAGACTATGGGTATACTTACCAGCCTTGCGGAGGCAGAAACACGACGTGGCAACAGTGCTGTGATTCTGACACGGATATCTGCGTTGAGAATGGCCTGTGTAAGCATCTCGAGGACAATACCACCCGCGAGTATGACTATAGAGCTGGGTGTATGAATGCGGACTGGTCAGAGTGTCCGCAAGTTTGCCTTGAGGGTAAGCTTCGTTTCTCCTCCTCCTCCACCCCCCCGCCCCCAAAGAAAAGTGAAAGCAGGAGGAAGAATAGAAGAATAACCCGATTTCTTTTCTATATCATTTAGTTTCGGCATCCTCCCCGGTTCTAGTAAAGAAATGCCCTTCAGGAGACTACTGCTGCATGGTAAAGGGTGCTACAAGTGAATGCTGTTTGGACGACAGCCGGCAATTTGATCTCTCCGATCATAATCCCAACGCAAAGAATACCACGGGAGCAGCAGGAAGCGGTAATGAAGGGATGCAGAATGGGAAGGATGCTTCTGGCGGCTCTGGCTGCAAACCTAGCAGAGTCACGATTGGAGCTGCTGTTGGAGGTGCGGTGGGTGGTCTTGCGATAATTGGTGGCGTATTCTGCGTGTGGCTGTATCTGAGAAAGAAGAGAGCCAAGCAAGAGAAGAAGGCAATTGCTCAGAGCGAGGCATTGAGCCCACCGGAGATGAAACAAGCCTTAGAGGCGGGAGCTGGTTCGATGACTGGGCGCAAAGACACTTCTGAAGCGGACATGAAAGATCATCCTTCAGTGGTGGAAATGGATTCAGCGGTGGTCTACGAGTTGGGCGATTAGGTTTTGATGTCTTTCCTGCTAGCATTGCCGTTGTGTATTCAGTTTGCCTGTTTTTTGTCCATTAATCATACATAAGAGGGGGGAATAGGTACATATCATTAGATATATGCCATAATGGGTTATCATGAGATCTATAACCACTTTGCTTCGTCTGATCCCAGAGGTTTCGGCATCTCCCCCCATCCAACCTCGCACCCCTCAACACTAGCACTATGCCTTACTGCAGTCATCTTCCCAAATCCAGTATCCCTCGTCTCAAAGTATTCCGCTGGCACATCTGCCTGCTTCACAAAATCTTGGCTCTCAAAGCCAGTCTTACCTGGATACTGCCCCAGACTGCGTAGGTACTTCATCACACCGGCCAGCGAAACGTCTACAACCCAAGACCCTCCAACTCGAGAACGATTATAGAGAGCGGCCATGACACCCGTGGCGAGGAGATATCCGCCCGCGTGGTCGAGCGCTTGACAGGGCATGGCGCGGGCTGGTTCTCCGGCGCCAAAGTGCTCTGCTTCGGAAATGTTCATCCCCGAGCAGGTCTGTACTAGAGAATCGAAGCCCCGGCGCTGGGACCACGGACCGGAGGGCCCAAAAGCAGAGAGATTTGCGCAGATAATGTTCGGATTGATCTTTTGGAGTTCTTCTGGCGAGAAGCCGTAGGAGGCGAGGCTGCCCGGGCGATACCCCTGGATGAAGACATCACAGGTGCGTAGCAGCTCCAGAAGGCGGTCTTTCTCATCTGAATTGTGTATGTCGAGCCGGATGGTGCGTTTGCCGCGGCTGAGGTCCCTATCGAGCACAGGTTGATTCGGTAGATTCGGCGATGTTATCCATAGAACATCGGCGCCGTGAGCGGCGAGTGTCTTGCCGGCCACTGGGGCAGCGATGACGCGGCTCATTTCGAGGACTCTGACACCCTGGAGGCAGCGGCTGCTACTTTTGGTTGTGGACGGGTTCTTTGGCGGTCCCGGCGCGAATTGCCTGACGAGAATAGGGTTGTTGTCTATGGCTACGGACTGGGGATGGGCGTCCCATTCGCTGTATGAGCGCAAGGCGTAGATGGCGAGCTTGCCCTTTTCCGTGCCGGCGGTTTCGAGGTCGACGCTCTTCCATTGGGCTACTTTGGCGGCGACATCTTGACGAGAGGCACTTGGAGGCAAACCGAGGAGCTCAAGGGTGCCGAGCGCATGGCAGGGGAAGTTGTCGTGGATGCGAACATAGCCGTCTGCGGTTTTGTGCAGGCCGCCGATGGATCCCCAAGGATCTTCCAGGGGCTGTTTATCAATGTCGTAGAGACGCTCTGACTTGAATTCCACCAGGGCGTGTTCTAGGGGAACACTCACACGAGATACCGGAGAGGATGAAGGTGAAGATTGTGTGCTGTGCAGGAGAGATGCTGAGAGGGCTGAGAGGGCGATGGAGCTCTGTGCGAGATGGCCGATCTTGAAGGATGAGGGGGTTGCTGGGGCGGCTTGGTGGCCTGGGAGAGTGAGAGACGAGAGGGCGTGAGGGGGGAGCTGGAGGCTGGTCCAGATGTCTTTGACGACGTCGGCTGCTGAGAAGGAGGTGCGGTTGATGAGGTTGTTCGATATGGACATGTTGGGAAGTGAGGTGGCTTATACAGCGGTTGATGATGCAAGCTTTGGCCCTTGAGCCCTTTTATCACACGTTTTGGTGATTGTATATGTCAAACGATCTAATCATCATATTCTTGTTTTAATGAGAAGAGCATAGAGGCGCTTCAATAGCTGTTGTTTTGTTGAAAAGCCGCGCCCTTGTGATGATCAGCCCGGGCGGATCAAAGGAAGATCAAATGTCAAACCGGGTGTGGAGTTGAATCCCGACGCTGAGTCTTTTTAGCTTCAACCGCCACCAGCCGAGGCTTCACGCATCACGTCTTTCAATACCGTCATGAAGCTGCAGTAAATGTCGAATGTCGTATGTCATAGTATTATCATCTGCAGGTATATACTCTATTCTATCTAGAAAATGAAATGCACGTCTGCACGCTCTCTGTCTCGTAAATGCTGCATTAATCCACCTCTAGCTTTTCGTACCTTGTATCTCTCGAACCCCAGGTCTATCCATGGTATCATACCCCTTGCAATGCTTTTAATACAATATAAAATAGGAATAAATTGACCAAAACCGCTTTCTCCAAAAAATAATAATTAATGCGTCCATCCAGTCGTTCTTTTTTATCCAGATTGAAATAAGTAGAAATAAGTTGAGTTGAGTTAGTTGGCTGCCGCTGCTTCGCGCTCTGCCTGCGCAGCCTTCTCATCGGCCGTCAATTCCGATGCTGCTTGACCAATCTTAATCGTCAGAACCAACATCAATGACAAGCCGGCCATGGCAACACCGATCCAGAAGCCAATCTTGTATTGCTGCCGCAGACTGAGGCCCTCTGGCAACTTGCGCCTATTCGCCTCGGAAACAGCCATCTCGGCAATGCCCAGCCAAAACGCCAGGCCGAGATACAAGAGAGTGTTGATGAGGCCTCCGGCAGTGGCCTGAAGACGTCGAGGCATGGACGTTGTGATGAAGACGTTTGTGACGTTGTAGGTAATGTCCACGCCAATGGTGCCGCATATCATGGCAGGGAAGATGTACGCCCAGTAGAGGAAGCTGGTCGAGGGATGGCCGTCGACGCGGTCGGGAATAAGGGCGAAGAGGAGGACGGAGATGAGGAAGCCGACGCTGGAGATCATCATGAGGATTCGGTTAGAAACCATGTGCATGACGAAGCCGCCTCCGACGGCGAGGCAGACGCCGCCAATGGCCAGGGGGGTGAACCAGGCGGCGGTGAGAATAGGCGTGGTATCGAGCACAGTCTCGATGCTGGTGAGGGTTGTTTGTTAGTGATGCTATAACGCTTGCATGAGTGAGAGGGGCACTTACTAGTAGCTTGAATAAAAGAGGTACAAGCCGAATACACCGTACAGGCAGAATAAAGCCAGAGACAGGCGCTTCATGTACTTGGGGCGGAATAGATCGGCCGGGAGAAGCGGCTGAGCAGACACCCAACCTTGCGTATAAACGCCCGCAATAAGGAAGAGCATGCCGATGATAAATGTCACATAGATGTACGGGGTTTGCCAGCCATGAGGGGCATGGCCTCCGTCTGTAAAGGCAAAGACAACTAGAATCAAGCCAGGCACAATGGTACACAGTCCCCACCAGTCCATCCGAATAGATTCATCCTGCTCGTGGAGATTTCTTGGGACAGTCAGGAATCCAGTGACAGCAATGCAGAAGACGATGATGGCGCCGATCCAAAAGTACCACCGCCAGGTCAGAAAGTCGGCACACACAGCTCCCAGGAAGATGCCAAAGTAGAATCCCAGACAAGCAAAGGCACCCCAGATGGCAAACACGAGATTCTTTCGAGGGCCAGGTCGATACGTCTGTCCCAGGAGAGCCAGACCGGCGGGCGTAAAGGCCGAAGTGCCAATGCCCTGGAGGGCTCGGCAGATGATCAGCATGATGGTGTTTGTGCTGAAGCCGCAGACGAGCGACCAAATCATGAACCAGATGTGGCCAAACAGAAAAACAGAGCGGGCACCGTAGATGTCGCACAATCGAGAAAAGGGCATCAAAAAGGCGGCAGTGGTGAGGTTGATGACGCCGGCGGGCCAGGTCCGCGTGTTCTCGGGGATGTCGAGGGCGTCTGCCACGGGGGGCAGGATGATGTTGAAGCCGCCGATGAAGTACTCGCTCATGGTCATGGACAAGACGACGGTCATGACGAAGCCGACTTCTGTGATCCACGACTTGAGGACGGCTGGGCGGGCGCGGCCGAGGCGTTCGAGCTCGGCCTTGTCGGGGAATTGGCTGAGGTCTGACGAGGTGCGGCCGGAGATGACGCCGCTTTCGAGGCCGGCGAGAGGCTCTGGCTGGCCCATTTTGGAGTTTCTTTTCTTCTCGTTTCCCTTTTCGAGTAAGATGAGACAAGATAATAAGGGGAGAGTTGAGGAAAGACAGAGTTGTCCACTCTGATTCAAATAAGAGGTGTAGAGAAGAAGATTTGACAGTCAATGTGTCAACTGAGTTCCCACAACGGCATTCTCGAGTCGATTTCCCTGGGTCTTATTTTATCCTTTTTTCCTCCACGCTCAAACTCATTTGTCATCTGTCATTTATGCCCTTCTTATTTCTCCACGTGGGAAAAGGCAAAAAGGCAGATGGTGCAAAAAACCGAACAGGCAGTAAAGAAAAATATCGAATACGGGGGGCCGTGAGAATTTTGTGGGGGTTTTTTCATTGTCTAGTTTGCGGAGAGGCGTTTTGCAATTTTCAAGGCTCTATGGGTCATGTTTCTCTGCGAGTGTGGAGTCTTGGCTGCCAGTCTGGGATTTGGTAAAGTTCCATATCGGGGCAAAAACGGGCAACGGGGACGCCAATGTATGAATCACGCCGTTCTTTTGACATGTTTCTTTTTAGTTTTGGCCATGTTCTTACATGCTTCTGTGTCTAGCTCCAGTGTTGGTGGGTGGTGAAAAGGGGGGGCAGTAGATCTTTGACGATGTGGCGAATGGACTGACCTCATGGAACATTCCCGATAGGTCTAAAAGGCGTCTGCAGTGTCTGCAATAGGCAACAGAATGGCAACTCTTACTTGACTGGGCTCTTATTAAGCCTCCTACGGTATGGATTAGAGTTGACTCAACAGGTACATGGCATTCATGGCAATAAAAAGAAATCGTCTAGACCTGTTCTCTCGCCGTGTGAGTGGCTCCGGATTTTACTGGCTTTTATCCAAAAACGCCCGAGTTGCGTCTTGGCTGCCGCTTTGGGGCAAAGCTTGACATCCCAACGGCCGCTAAACTTTTTTTCTTTCGGGCAATAAGCTGCACATGCTGCAGATGGCGCTTCTGCAAGGGCCATTGATACTGATTGATAACAGAAAGTTTGTGAAAATAATGGCATGTTCATCCAATAGGCGTGGTTTACAACTGGGTCTTGCAATCTTGGGATGTGCACTGCCATTTGTGTTCGGAGGACATCCGAGGAGGAGGATTTGGAGAGAGATCCTGATGAGGAAGTTGTTTGACATTTCTGTTCGGACAGAATGTGATGTTGGAGCTTGCATTCAAAAGTCTAATGTATAAGATCGAGCTTCATTTGTCATGAAGAATTTGATTACATGAGAATTGATTGCATCAAACTTGATTACATGAAGTTTGATTACGTACAGTCTGATTACACAGAACCAGGTGTCACAGTCATCATTGCAGACTATCGAAAAGCTTGATTCAACTCGAATCGGGTAGCCTCGGTAGATCGCCGTAGGGCAGGTAGTGCGTATTATTTTCTTACCAGTCAAACGCCACATCTCTCCTTATGCCAAACTGAAACGTCCAAGACGCGAATACGGGATATACACAGTGAAGGTTGCCCGTGTTATACCTGCCATTCAGTATATAACAGCCTCGTTGGTCTTGTGCAACTGTTTCTTTTTCTCCTCATTCTTTCTCCGTGTATTAAGCGAGTATCGAGATACGAACCCAGCGATGTCAGGGAGCATCTAAAGACAGGCACAGGCACGATCCAATAGCCGGACCCTGATCCTGGTACAGCTTGAAGAGGCAATCAATATCAGTCAATATTACTAGGATCAGTACCACAGCGTGTGTAATGATTGGCAGCTACGCAGCACATACAGTTGAGACAACGGAGCACAACAGCGTCTACCAAATCTTGTATCACACAGGCTTTCAAATGTCTCGTCATCATTATTGGCTATAGCCTATATACTTTATCCAAATGCGCCAAAAACAGCTCCCATGCCACGGGAAAATTACTCCGAATTACTACATGTACTTGTATACCATGTTATTCACAGCATCGCGTCGTTTACAGCATCTGAGACAAAACAGCCAGCAGACCCGCTCCAAAGATCAGACTGCCTGTCGCAGGAGTCAGAGCATTGGCAGCTGAATGAGGGCTCGTTGACGCAGAGGCAGACTTGGTAGGGCTGCTGGTGGTGCTGTTGGGGCGGCCACCGCTTCCACCGCTGGTGGGAGTAGCAGTGGCGGAAGTGGCGGGAGGCGCGGTGGAAGTAGAGCTGGAGCTAGAGTTGGAGGAGCCCGCGGCCTTTTGGTACTGGCTGACGACAAAGTCAACAATATCGTCGCCGTAGCGGTCAATGTACAGGTGGTGGACGGTGGCGTTGCTGCCGCTGTCGCAGTAGATGTCGCCGGTGTCGCAGTAGGAGATGATGCGGCTGGCGTAGGACTTGCAGACGTCGAGGCTGGCGTCGGTGCGGTTGAAGATCTGATGGGCAAGAAAGTCAGCTATAATGCATCTCGAGAAGATCAGTGGCTGGAGATCGAATGCTTCACTTACGCCGTTGTGCACGCTGGTGCCGCGGTCGTACGTTATGTTGGCGACGTGGGTTGGATCTCCGAAGATGGCAACGGCGACGACTATTGAATCACTGTTAGCTTTTGCTTCTCAAGATTTGAAAGCAAATATCCCAAAGCTCACCATTGTCCATAACGCTCGTCGACAGGGCCTTGTCGTCGATGAATGGGTTGCCAGCACCACCGCAAACGGAATCCGACGAGACTTGGGCACCCTGAACAGCACTGAATCAGCATCTCGACGTACAACTTGACCGCCACACAACATCAAATCATACCTGTGAGTAGCCCAGGATGGCAATCTTGCTGTCCGGACAGGCCTGGCCATAGGCACCCAGCAGCTTCTGCATGGCCTGCACGCCCTTGCCCTCGGAGCTCTCGTAGTCGTCCAGCGTGGCGGGATAGTCGACGGCGGCAACCTGGCTGCCGGGCACCTTGGCGGCGATCTGGCTGGTGAGATTGCCGGTGACACCAGTTCCGGGGGCCTCTTCACTGCCGCGGGCAACGACCATGTACAGGCCCTTGGCGCATGTTGGTGCAGAGGCTGCGGTGACGGCAGATGAGCCCGCGAGCAGGGCGAGGGAGAGGGCGAGGCTGCGCATTTTGATGCTCTTCTTGTTTGAATATCCTCCTTGGTTAGTGTTGCCTATGCACCCAGCTTTGGATCGTGGTCGTGCGAGGTCCCTGCCGTGAAGAAAAACTGCTTGCTGCCCGAAGAGGAAGTATTGACAAAAAGGCGGGAAGATGGAGCAAAGGGATCAGGGAATGCTCTTTATTTATTGATTTATTTATTCAAAAGAACCCATACACTCTTATACAAACAACAAACAACCCGCAAAAAAAAAAAAAAAAAAAGGAACAGAAAACAAAAGATCCAGTTCCCATTACGTAGCGGCCGAGAGAGAGTCGCAGCCGTGACGGAAGGGAGACGCCTCCCAGGATCCGCGTCTGGGGTCCCTCGCTTCGGGCCATGCCAAAATCGCGGCCTGTGCGTCAATAGTTCCATGCCTACCGCTTCCAACCACTCCGAATGCGACTGTGCCAGTGGCAGTGATTGTCTTGGTGCTTCCTAGGCACGGCCAGCTTCCGTCTAGCAGCTATACGAGCGTCTTAGCATCCATGCAATGCCCTCTTTCACTGTCAAAGCACCAGCGCCGAGCCCCAACTAGGACGAGACGCTTTCCCGAGTTCTCCAAAAAGTCTCAAGGGCTGATCGGTGTGGCTGCGGCGCGTAACTCTGTTTGGCCCTCTTTGGCTTGGATTTGCTGCTAGTTCCTGCGCCTCGAATCGCTAGTCGGATGGGCGGCTTCCTGTGGGACGGCCTTTTTTTCTTTTTTTCTCTTTGTTCTTCCTTGATCCCTGCTTTCGGTGTCTTGATCTCGCCGAGGCAACATGGGGAGCTGTGGTTAGCTGCTGAAAGGCACCACACAACGACGGTTGGCATCCCATCCTTCTTGGAGCTTTCTCCAGATTTGCGGAGATGGGCGTATTGAGTTGGAGTCGATTTCCCCCTCAATCTCTCTCAGCTTGCAGCATGCATGGAGTTGTGCCGTTGGTTCAGAACTCCCTTGAACGCTGACACCCAAATGCTACCACCCAAAACAGCTCACGGTCAATGCGTTTTCGCAGATGAAGCAGTCTTGAGACGTGACAAGAAATGGCCGCTGCTATGTATGTACCAAGTACCTGTAAACATCATCACAATGCACCGGAGGAAACACCTTCCGTAGCAAATGTAAATCTTCTTCTACCGCTTGGGAAGGTCGAACAACTCGGCTTTCAAAGCCGTGCGATGCCACCTTGAGAGCGGGGCAGCTCCGATCCTCGCCATGGGCTATTTTCGGCGCTCATATGGCTTTTGGGAGTAGATTTCCGTTTGTAGCTGGGGTACGTCTGTTAAAAATACTGGTACAATGGCCTCCCGTGAAAATGGAGATGGCCTTGAGGGTGGTTAAAAATGCTGTGAACGGAGTTTGCCGAATCGTTGAATCGTTGGCGGCAAACTCCGTTCACAGCATTTTTAACCACCCTCAAGGCCATCGCCTTCAATTTGTACAGGCAGACAACTGCCGCAAAGGCGCTGACCATAGCCGATCGTTTTGCTTGTTCTTTTCTTTTTGAAGAACGAATTGCGCGTGTCAAGATTATAGGTAGTCAAGAAAGGTTACGTGGCTTGGTGAATCGTTCGCCTTCACAGCATTTGTTTTTTTAATCCCCCTCAAGGTTATCGCCTTAGACATGTACAGGCATAAAACTGCTGCAACGGTGCTGACATCAAGTCAATCGAAGTTTTCTTTTCTCTTCTTCTCAGAGAACAAACTCCGTGTGTGAGCAATCACTGTTGCGTCACGAAAGACAAGGACTAGATAACATGGAGAACAGTCCAGAATACCAATGCCACTAAGCTCGAACACGAACAAACAATGTATCTGGATACAGAATTATGTGATGATAGAAAAAAATTAACTGCTACCTAGGTACCTGCTGAGCTAAGGAGGGGTGAATTTTATTAATGGCAATAAGGGATAATAAAGGTTAAAAGAATTATATTAAAAGGTCTTACTTATTTAAAGAGAAGTTAAAAGGCAGGACCTCTTATATATGTAAAAGATCCACATAGCTAGCGCTCTCATACATGTATTCCGACACCGAACAGCCGCCGGGCTCCCTTCACAGCATTTTTAACCTTCCCAAAGCCAAGAACCTCCCCATATCTGTGCTCTCCCAGTACCTACCCTTCAGCAGACGGCATAAGATTTTTACAGAAAGCTATTGATATAAACGCTCTTAGGTACGCAATTATACAGCGTACAGACAAGCACATCAAAAATCAACGTGCACGCCCTCTTCGTCTCCTCTACGCAATCGGTTGGTCACAGCCCAAGAGCAGGGTTAATGTTTGCTGCGATGATCACTTTGGAGCACGCGACGCTGACAAACAATATATTGACATGGCTCCTTTTGCTTTTTCGATGTTGAATGTGAATTTTTGCAAAGTCTCGGTGGCACAGATATTGGCCTATATTATCTCAAGTTGGTAGTTCATGCAGGATACCTACATGTATGCTACTACCAACAGTGAAGCGTAGATTCTTTGGTTGCGGGTTGCTTCTGAGGGACTGAAGTAGTAACTGTGCTCATATAACAGCCTGCTAGCGCTCGCCTTACTAAATTGTAAATCCATGGACGCTGACCTGAGCAACAAAGCCTGGGGGAGCTATAAAATGCTGTGAAGTTCGGCAGGGTGGCGCAGCAGTACATGTATGTTGAGGCGTTGGGACCAGCAGCCTTTGTATATACAAGTATGTAGCAAAGCAGGGGCCCGGCTATTAAACTAGTATTTGTCAAGAACTGAGAATAGAAATATACAACAATTAACACCTGCAGGACATAGCCATGAAGAGAATCTAGGTTGTTGTTGGGTTTTGTGTAGCATTCAAGGTGCATTGGAATATAGTGCTAAAGAGCAGATGACGCTTCAGATTCCCCAAAGTTTCACTGCAGCACGCCTACAATTACTACTCGAAGCTACAATTACCAATAATTACTAGTAAAACTTGAATCAATCAACGTAGTACCATTGTTGCGCTGCGATAGTCATCTGTTCTTTGGAAAACTACTTCAAGGGTAGGCCTCGGGAGCTGACATGCTCAGCTCGGTGGTTACAGCCTCAGACGAGTGGCGCGCCTAGTCGCAGCTAAATCTAAACACGGCCAGTGATTCATTCCTCGATGGTTACACTTCTAGGCCGGAGGAAAGAAGGCCCTTGGTCCATGTCTTTGGTGCCTGTGCTACAGATCAAATGTTCTCATTTCCATTACTTTTCTGACTCGAATAGATTCTGGGCCTCCCGCATTCACCCCTCTGGGAGTTACTTCGGCATATGCGATCTGTGCAGAGTCAGTGCCCACCTGAGCATCATCCATCCCAGTCACTTTTGCTCTTCTAAAGTGCCGTCTCTATTCTCAAAAAACACAACAAAGCAAATCGCAATACAATCAGAGACATTTCTAGCAACTTACAACGCTATTGCGCCTCTTTCACCGGCTTTTTGCACCCTCTCGCGACCGTCTTTGTGATTGAGCGTCATTCAACTATCCTGAGTCATCCGGTCCCAGCCTCGCTCTTGCTTCCACAACAGGACAAAGGTTCCATGTCATCAACACAAAGATCAGTGAGTAGCCACAGTATGGATGCAACAGACCACCGAGCTTACTATTTAAGCAACCACAGCCCTCCATTCCATATTGTGCATTCTCAAGACCGCTTCATCACCAAGCTGACGCAAGAAAAGCCTACCTCTCTGTTCTAGTCAACCCGACAACGTTGGAACCTACGTCGCAGACATATTTTCATCATGGGAGGCTTAGCTTTTACATCGGCAAAATATGCACTTTGCACTCCACGAATGCCCAAAGAAGTCTATGAAGCCACAAAAGCCTGGTGTCAAGAGATCCTTCGCGGTCTTTACCGTCATGTGGAATCGCCTCTTGATGGTCCGGGCAAATTAGACTTTGGAGACATCGATATCTTTTTGGCATCCCCAAAACCAGAAGCCTCTACTGGTCTTTACGCGATAAACACACTGTCTAAAGCTTTAGGAGCCGAACGTACCATTATTGAAAGCGGTAGAGAACACATCAATGTTGCAGCAAGTTTCGCTATCCCATGGCCCAGCGATGAAACCAGCAATGCTGAAGATGCAGACAAGAAACACATCCAAGTCGACGTCCGAGTGTGTGAATCAGAAGATAAGCTCCGCTGGATGCTTTTCAATCACGGCCACGGGGATTTGTGGCAAATTGTCGGGTCGCAAATTAGATGGTATGGATTGACAGTCGATGACAGCGCCATGTGGCTCCGAATTCCCGAGATAGAGGAGTCGAACAAAAGACTGGCCAAGATCTTTCTGACTTCAGATCCTCCCAAAGTTCTGGATTTTCTTGGCTTGCCCAAGGAAGAATATTGGGACCACCCTTTCCCCTCTGCGGAAGACATGTTTGACTATATTAGTTCTTGTCGGCTGATGTATGTCGCCCCCACTGCGCCAGAGCGTGATGCGAAAAGCCTCAAATCAAATGATCGTCGGCGTATGAAGCAGCGGCCAATTTTCAAAAAGTGGATGGATGAATTTGTTCCAGAATGTCGGCAACTTGGCCGATTCTCAGAACAAAGACTTACCAGAGAGGCCGTTACTGAGGAGGCATTCGCCGTGTTTGGCGTTGAAAAGGAATACAAAGCCCGACGCAAAGAATTTCTCATAAAGCGACAAGAAGATTTCATTTGGAATAGCCTGATCAAAGATAGTATTCCGGCTCCCAGCCCGTCGGATTCGAGAGCTATTCTTCATAAGTCGTGCAGTGTTAAAGCTCTGAAAGGTATCATTCTCGGGAACGGCGAGAACTACAATTTTCCGCTTGACAAAAAGAGTCTCAAGGACTCTGACGGCTTCTACAACATGGATTACATCAAGGAGTTTATTAAATTACACAAGGACGATGTTGGGGAGGCAGCTCTAGTTAGACACTATGAGAAATGCGCGGCGCGTTTGCTTTCGAAGGAGACCAAAGAAGAGACGCAGCCATCCTAAATCGTGCTCGAAAGAACCCTGGGTCGGGGTTAGATCAAGAAAGCTGGCCTTGATGCAGAAAGCTTCCAGTTGTATGACTTGTTCTTGAATTGTAGGTAGAAAATCGGCTACCTTCTGACCTTCTGTGCTGACCGCATCTTGATCCACAGAGCGCTTGGGAGGTGACAATATGAAGAACTCGTTCTTGGTTAGCAATGGTCAGATGATAAGGAACAGGGTGTGCGAGGAAAGAGATGTACCTTTGCGGAGGAAATATATTAGGTCATGGTATGCTTTATACGTTTTGAACTTTGGGCGTTTGACGTTGGTTATCATTAGCACAGGCAAGAACGCGCAGGCTTTGAGAATGTCACGAGCATGATTTCGCCGGGAATATTGATAGCACATGATAAAAGATTATTGGATTTCGGCGTTGCAGTCTTTTCTTGGAGTAAAAACAATTTAGCAGACCAAGGCTTAGCCAAAGCTTTTAAATCTGGAGCATGATTCCTATACGGAGCTGAGGCCTTTTTTTTTTTTTTTTTTTTGACTAGCTATAGTGAAAAACTATAACCAGAGTTGCACTCGAAGAATTTGGCCGAATAAGAAGGCAGCTAAGCAAAGTTCTTTTATATTGCTCGCTCTAGAGGTAGATGTACTAAAGGAGAATATATGACGCTAGGACTGGCGCGTATCCCAACTACAACACACGACGAGTCCGACCATGCTTCGGAAATGGAAGGGGCACAAGACAAAAAAGAATAGAATAGATAAATCAGAACATGAAAAGAAGAAAGAAAGAACTTGTAATGCTATACATCTGAATGCCAGGGGGCTAGAATAGCGAAAGCTTCAGAGTCAAGGCGTATAGACGTATTGTTCATCTGAGGAATGAGGTATTTGCAGCAGAAAGAGATACTAGTATTTATAGCAGCGCGTATAGTAGAACCAAAACGCCAGTACCCAAAAATAAATATCGACGGAATAGAAATCAAGGAAACAAGCCACAGGACCGCGTCTACGCCACCTCTACTTTGCGAGGCGTTGCTTGTGCAGCTCCACTTTCAACTGCAAAAGTCATGAAACTTCGAACAAGATTTTTTTTCATCTGATGTGTAAAAGCAAAAGCAAAATTTTCAAACTCTACTCCACTTTCAAAGCTGTGTTATCACTTAATACCGATACTTGTCCATCTTTGCCAGGGACAAATACATTTGCTACGGAGTCCATTTTCTGGATGACATGGAGAAGAACCATGAGATTTACTAGAACAGGGAGCATATACGGTTGATTTTAGCATCTTCATATGGAAAAAAGTACGAAATACTTGATCTGGATGATTCTTTTGACTGTAGCTTTATTAAAGAGTGACTCGTAGTCGACTGTTGTAGTCTTTGAAATCTCTGATATATATGGCACTTGCGGACGCGTCATGTCCATCTTGGACTTTTTAGAAATAAGTTTTTCAATAAAAGTCTGATAGCAAGTGCCAATACGTGGCAAACGAAAAAACTTATATAAATATGCGTCCCACCCCGTTTTTCTTTTTTCTGTCTTGCCCCCGTACAGTTTCTCACACTTCGACTCCTCTCCCATTCTACCTAACCATTGCCATTGCCCCTTCAATTCCTCAAGCAATGGAACCTCTCGAGCAAACAGCTCCTATGGAGGCCTCGCCTCTATCTTCGCTCTGCAGGAATGCTCCCAATGGGGGCGGTTTTCGCAGTCTGCGACCGCCCCCTGAGGGAGCTTTGGCATCGAATGCTGCCCCTCTTCCCTGCCTCCCTGTTTTGCCTCCTCCTATTTTCCCTTCCAGGTTTACTCTTCGCCGGAGGGACGATGCTCGTCAAATCAGGCTGCTGCCTCAGGAACGATATCCTCCCCCCACTGGACCGCCTCCTCGAGCAGAGGCCTCTCCTTCGCGGCCTCTTCCTCAAGTTCCATCCTCCCCCCTGTCCCCTCAACCCGCCCCCATCAACCACCCCAGCCCTCTGGGGTCAAATCCTCCTCAACAACCTGCTGCCATGATGGAGCAACATCCCCAACTCCCGTTTGTTCCCTCGTCGGCGCCGATGATTCGAGGGCAAGAGGCTCTTGGGTTGCGAAATGCCCTTCGCACCGGCATGCAGTTGAGGTCTGATGACCTGAGGCAGCCAACGCAGTTTCCGTCGACAGAAAGGCAGCCTGATCACCATGTTGTGCAAGCCAGACAACTATCCCCATGGAATTTTCCAGGTCGAGTATGATTTCCTTGATAGCTTTGATATCTTTGATTTCTTTGATTGAGGAATATCTGCTAACTTTCTCTCGAACAGGAAGTTGTTTCTCTAGCACCCAACGATAGTCCTATTGAGGCACAGTGGATGATAGGGTGTGTAATGACGTTTGAATTCCAACGAGAGGCTCTTCTAACGCAGTTATATAGGGAATATCTTTGGATTCTTGTTGGAGGCAAGAGATTCAGACTACCGATGCATCTTTTATCCGAAAGCCCGTTCTGGTCTGCGCTGACCGTCTTCGAGTCGCCGCCGCAGGGCTGGTCTATCCCTGATATCGACCCTGATATCTTCACCATTCTCATCAAATGTGTGCACACGGCCTCTGGCTTACGTGGCATTGAGAGTGAATTAAACTTGATCAAGCTTTGCTTTGCATTTAATCTTGCCAAGAAATGGTGGATGATGCAGGACCGAAGAAAGCTTCGGACTACAACCTATCGGTATATCGTCCGACGAATCTTGGGTTGTAACCCAAATGTGCCTGAGGAATGCCGTGATCTTGATTACAGTCACCATGTATATCGGTCAGAGGAGCTATATCGCACCTGGGAACTTTCCTCGAAGCATAAATCCATCCAAAAGATGCTCTCTGAACACGATATGATTGCGTTGTACTGCTGCGTCATCCCGCAAGACCTTTGGCCGGCGTTGACAGCTCGTTTCAAACCTGAATTCATACTTCTTCTCAATGTCTTTGCAGCAGCACGCAGAAACTCAGCTGGCGTGGCGTCTGGAGTGGACTACCGTAGGTGGTGGCTTCACTACTACCGCCTAGCAGGCTATCAAGATGCAGGTTGGCTGAGCCCTGATGCGCAGTATCGCCTTTTTGCACCGCTGAATCCTGATGAGGATAAGAACACTCAGGAGCGAGCAGACTTTGAGGCAGTTCGAGCACGGGGAAGCGCGTTGGTGAATGCGTTTGAGGCGCAGCAAGCACAAGAGCAGCAGCCAGTTACTCCAGTCACACTATTCACTCCAACTGCTCCGGATACTTCATCTGGTGAGGAATTCGATGACGCTCTTGAATACCTCCCCTCATCAGAGCACCCCCAGGAGACCCGGCGCGTTCGCTTTGCAGAGTTTCCGCAAGTCATCAGATTTCCTCCTCAAATCGAATCGGTCCAAATGACTGGCCAAGATGCAGTTGTTGATTCGAGTGAAGAGGAGACATTTCACGAAGAAGCCGCGCGTGCAGCTTGATGCTGCTGTTCTCACTCGGTGTTACGCCAAGTCAGAAGTTTGATGCCTTTCATTCTGACTCGCTTTCTCAAATGGCCTTTGGTGCCTCCACCTATTGTCCCTTTTTTCTCGACAAGTTCATAGAGCGGATATCCTTTTTAGTGCGAAGCATGGCGTCTCTTTTACTTGGTAATACGAGCTACGATTGCGTGTTTCACGATTTACGATATCTTGGCACGGATAAGCCGGCGTTTTAGGATCTCTCATCTCTTTATAGGAATGCGAAAAGTTTTGTGTTACATTTTTCATCTATAATAAAGATTTAGTTTCTAGCTTAGAAGCTATGTAATAAATCTTGATGCTTGCATGCTATCTCGAATTTCCTCTTTATTCATAATTCATTTTCTCTTTCTACTTTGTTAAATCTTTTCACAAAGAGTCAAATCTTGGCCAATGGTCGGAAGACATTGCAGAAACACTAACCCACTGACAAAGACTTTGCGAGACTTTGGTCGAAACATGGCGTAGGTGATGAGTTTATTGCAGGACGTAGTATATGGAAGAAATCTTGACCTTCATGCCCTTGGCAAAATAGCTTCAACTTGACAGTGTGACACAAGCTTTGGCTCTCAAATCTTTCTTAATCTACATTAATTGCGTGATCAAACCAAACACGGCTGAACAATGCTGCCAACTGACACTTGTAGTATCAACGGTGCCGGTGTGAACAAAATTGATGGTTGCCGTTATCTATGACTAACCTCGTACCCAGGCAAAGATGCAAGGCGCGCCCTATCACCCCACACGCCCCAACGACTAGAATCGAAACGGTCTCTAGCAGAGTCTTATTGGAGCTTAGTTGTTGGTCACCCCCGCATTAATTGTTTAAGCCCATGCGGATTAACAAATTGACTCATCGAGACCCTAGGACATGAACTCCATTGACTCTAGATGTATATAAGCTGAAGTAGTTGCGGTTGATAGCAATTCACAAACAAGAGAAACCTGAATCGCTACTGAGGCCGGTACTAAGGAAGTGGAGGATATTCATTGGACAAGATAATTGACATTAATAATACCGAGGTATGGATCAAGTCACTAACCGAATACACGGACAATCTTTATTTAATACTTTATTTCTAATTCCTATTCGAGAAGCTTTACTTTGGATATTCACTTGAGAAACACCATTTACTTCACCAAGATGTCGGAAAAAGTCTTGGAAGTTGCAGCCAGCGCTGTCCAAGCAAGGATCCGCATCCAAAAACACATTTACAAAACTCCCCTCATCCCAGCCCGCATAGCCGGCAAGTCCAACAACGCGGCCGTCCTCTTCAAAGCAGAAAACTTCCAACTCACAGGCTCCTTCAAAATCAGGGGCGCAACATCCAAGCTGTCCAGCCACCCCGCCGACGGCAACTTGATCACCGCCTCGTCGGGCAACCACGGCATTGGCGCTGCGTGCGCCGCAAAAGCCCTGTCTCGGAACCTCACCGTCGCGGTCCCTCATACGGTTGTGCCCGCCAAACTGGCCAAGATCAAGTCGTATGGGGCGAATGTCATTTTGGCGGGCGATGATCCCGGACAGTCTGAGCAGCATGCGCAGAAGCTTGCGGCCGAGGAGGGGTATACATATGTTTCGCCGTATAATGATGCGGGTGTGGTTGCTGGACAAGGAACGATTGCGCTGGAGATTCTGGAACAGAGTGAGAAAGTGGACAATGTGTTTGTTGCCATGGGCGGCGGCGGATTGATTAGTGGAATTGGATCTGTTCTCAAGGCCTTCAGTCCGCGTACAAGGGTATATGGCGTTTCGGCAATTCACTCAAAGGCATTGGCCGAATCCATGGCTGCAGGTCATGTCGTCGAAACAGAACACAAGAGCACTGTGGCAGATGCTGTTGCTGGCGGTATTGATGAAGACACAATCACGCTCCCGCTGGCAATGTCTGTAATAGACCAAGTCGTTGAATGTGACGAGGAGGAGATCAAAGCTGCTTTGAGGGCGCTTGCTTTTGAAGAAAACATGATTGTTGAAGGCTCTGCGGCGCTTGCTCTTGCTGGCTTCAACAAGGTTGCGGAGAGCCTCGCCAACCAAACCAGCGTCATTGTTTTATGCGGTGCAAACTATGACCAGGGACTTATCAAGAGCATAATTTCCAGTTGACAACCGTACGATTCGTTGACTACTTCCAAATATAAAATTCTATATAGATACACGCATGTGCACCATACCATCCTATATCATCAACGAGCTTCATACCCCAGACGTATCGTTTCAGAGATGAAGTGATTCCCCTAATCTTCCCCCCCTCCACTCCCTTTGCGCAGCTGGAGTTGATTCGAGTCAACAGTTGACGTATAGCTGCGTAAGTAACTGCCATGGATAGGTAATTCAGGATCCAGCCGTGGCCTATCGCCATGATGCACGCCTCTATCATGTATGCCCAAACTGGAAATCATCAATCACATTGTTGACAAAAGTAAAAGAAACCCGACCAGAACGACTGAGCCTCAGTTGGTATTGGGACTGATTTTTGTCCAGCAATTTGAAGTCGGAATCGCCAATCTCGCCAGCGGCACTCCTGGGGTGTAGCCCTTGTCTTCTAACCAGATCTCGAAAATGGTTATATTTGTCGATTTCTGTCTCGCTTAGCCTCTGACCGATACTCGCGGGATCCCTCCAAGTGTAGGTTTTGTTTGCTTCAGGTCGATTGAAGTGTGTATTTCGTAGTGTCTCTAGTTGCTCGCGGAGCGTCGGTAGGTCGGGCATATCAACACGCGCCGCCCTTTGGATCCTACCATGCAATTCATCAATCTCTGGGACCCTTGGCCTTGTTCTAAGAGATGTTTCGGGAGCCAGGCTCAGCTTTGCTTTCGGCTTTCCACCAGCAATCTTTAGCTTTTCCGCACTTCTCACAAACGTGCTGACGGCTTCGTGAGCGCCCTTGAGTCCACGAATGGCCGCCTTGCCTGCTGCACCAATGGCTCTGCCGACGCCCTCACCCACGAGGCCGCCGATAACGCCATACGCAGCATCGGTGCCGACGCTGCTCCAGGTAATGCCCTTGCCGGTAGCGCCATCGTAGACCATGCCGGTGACCACATCTGAGGCCGCGCCTACCGCGATCCCGAGGCCAACTTCAATGGCGAATCCTGCGCCACCAGTCGCAACACCAAAGGCGATGCCCACTGCTAGTCCGACTGCCATGATGGCAACATCGCGCCAGGTAAATTCTATGCCAAAGAGACTGAAGTGCCCGCTTGGATCGATGCGGTTGATGGGGTCTCCAAGACAGTACGCATAGGGGTTGATCTCGCCCGAAGTAAAGGGGCTCCATGAGTCTGGCGAGTGAAACACCATGAGGACCGGGTTATAGACGCGGTAGCCGTTGCCGAGATGGTACCAGCCGGTGACCGGGTCGCGCCATTGGCCGTTGAAGCCGACGGAGGGGCTGTTCTGGCCATCTCCCAGGTTGCTGAACCCATATGGCGTGTATTGCTGGTAATGCTCCGATCCATCGTTGCCAATCAAAGCCATGATGGACTCGTGGCCGTCAGATGCCCATGTCTCAGTATCTGTAGAGTTCCCCTGCTTCGATATCTGTCCCCAGTATCTGGCACCATCAGATACATAGCTGACTTGCTGGTCTCCCGAGGTAAAGCCAATCAGCTTGTCTCCCCTATAATGAAGATGATACTCAGCCTTGCCGGGGATTACCTGGCCAACTAGTTTTCCGGACGCGTCATAATGATACTGGCTACGAAGATTACCTTTGCGATCCGTTACAGCGGTGAGGCGACTCATGGCATCGTATTCTAGCTTGTTCAGCTGGTCGTCTTGGATCAAACATCCGTTCTGGTCATACTTCAAGTCAACCCGCGCATCGTAGCTTGGATGCGTATTGGTGACCAGGGTGACTTGAGTCACATCTTGAGCGTTATACAAGTACTCGGCCACGTTCCGGCTTCCGTCTTGGAACACACTCGTAATTTGGGTCAGGTTGTCATAGCTCCCAAAGGCAAAGCTCTGGCGTTGGAGCTGGAGCCCTTTCTCATTAGTTGGAGACTGGGGTCCCGTACACTGATAATCCACCAAACGATCGAGCTCGTCGTATTGAAAGATTTCCTGGCGTAACGATTGACCTTTGCCATCTTCCAAGCAGCGTGTTTTGGCATGGCCTGTTTCATAGTACGTCTGACTTGACTGATAGAGCGTCTCGTTCCCCTTGGAGACTGTTCTCTTGATTTCACGACCAAAGTCATCATATGCGAGACGTGTGGTCAAGCTAGTATCCCCTTCCTTCTGAACGCTGCTTGTAGACAGGCGGCTTGCATCGTCATAAGCATAAGTCACGTTCAAAGCCCCTTGGGCCAGTCTTTGAGGTCGACCTTGATCGTCATATTGAATCTCTTGGCGTTGTCCATTTGGATCGGTGTAGGATTGTAGTCTACCGGCCATTGAATAGGTCGACGTCGCAGAGTACTTTGGCCCATTTTTGAAGCAAACGGTTTCTTTCGATAATAATCCTGATGGTAAATAGTCGAGATTATTGGTGCAATAAGAATCATCGAGCTGTAGTGGGGCGAAAGATTTGGCATCGTATCGATAATTCGACTGATCATTAACGCCCAAGCTTTTCATGAGGGCATAGTTCAAGTGCGGCTCATATGTAAGTTTGTATGCATCTCCCTTGGGTGTTGTGACTGTCGAAGGTTTGGGCGCACTGCCTTCGTAAGTATTCTTTGCGGTGCGACCACCGACCTGTCTGCTCGTGACTCGGCCAAGTCCATCAAATGATTGGCCAGCCAAGACATGTTTGTTTGTCTCGATCGATATAGGGAACGCGGACGCTGTCTGTAGATCAAAGGCAGTGTCTACTACACGGCTCCCAGGCCAGGTAGTGCGGGTGATGCGGTCAAAGACGTCGAGTTGATACTGCGTGGTACGCCCCATGGCATCTCTCTGCTCAACTAAACGCCCCAGGCCGTCGTACATGGACTCTGCCGTGGCATACACGCTGTCGTCTCTATTCAGCAAAGATATCTTTGTCGGTGCGCCAAAGTTGTTGAATTGTGTTAGTCTTTTATTCTGGCCGTTGACATCCTCTCTGCAAGTGAGAGTGACTAGATCCATAAAGGTTGACGTGACGACAGAATCTTCGGTAACTCGACAGACATGGCCCCAGTCATCATAGTTCATCAAACGAGTCCTTCGCTGCGGTACTGGATCAATACTTGCTGCTGTTCTGATCCAATCAGTATCGACTACTGCCGTGCATTGGCCGAGCGAGTCGTAGGTGTGTTCCTGCACAAGGCGGAAGACTTGGTTTTGATCATCTTGCTCCTCAACCCGACAAATTCTTTGTAAGCCGTCGGTAAAGTATCTCGTCTGAACACCTTTGGTGTCTGTCATGGTTACACGGTACCCGGCTTTATCGGATAGGATAGCGTAGTCAAGCCGCTCAGTTGCCTCGTATTGGGTGCCGGGGGAAATGGTCTTCTTCACTAGTTGGCCAGTCAAATCATATTCAAAGTCTGTTTGAACCCCAGCTGAGTCTTGGTGCATCAGGACCAGACCAGACAACAACGAAAAGCTTGCCGTCTCGTTGATAGTGCTCCCATCGAAGTTCTTGATCTCGGTGGCCTGCGTCAGGCGCCCAAGAGTAGGGCGTTGATAGGTCCAGCTAGTTGTCGTAGGGTATTTCCCAGCCACGCGTGTGGTATCTTGCGCAAGGCGCCCATGATCCCGGGATGCTGGCTCATTCACGTAGGAACGCTGTAGGCTGGCAATTTCTTGGTCGTCTTGGTGAGTCTTCTCTTCTTTAGAAGCCACGAAATAGCTGGCGTAGGCTGCACCAGCAGCGGTTGGTAGCTGGCTATAAACAATCTGATGTCTGCTGATTGGAGTCTTGAACGTGCTTGGTGCAGGCGTCACAGTTGTACACTTGAGATGGCGTTGGAACTTGTGTGGATCCCCCGGACAATGGTCTGCTTCACCAGCAGGCGGATAGTACTCGCGATCGATTTTGACACCGGTTGGTTGAATAACCTGAGTTGAATTGCCCCAGTCATCAAAGGCATATTGTGTAGTTTCCACGCGTTGAGACCGCCTTGTAGTGTCTTGGTAGGTTGTTTGGACACTCTTGGGCAGCTGGTATTGTGCTGGTTGCTCATCGAACCTGCCGTTGAGCATATGATAGATGGTCGTCTGCGTTGTCTCTATTCCCCCTTTGGACATCTCGCTACTGAGGAGGAGGTGGAATCTGTTGTAGGTGTACTTGGTTGTCGCTCCTCCGTCCACTTGTACCGTCGACGAGTAGCGGTAATCTTCCCGCGTACGGTATAAATTGTCTTCGCCCTCCTTCCAGTCAAAGCCACTGCCGAATCCAAAAAAGTTTTTGTTTGAGAAGCTATATCTGGTTTTGATGGCTGGCTGGCCATTTCCAGGCGACTGGGTGTGCAAAGACACATACGGGATGTATCCCTGTGGAGCGCCTCTGGGTAGCTGATGACCCTTTTTGGTGTAAACAATGTCTTCTTCAAGGCCGGCAGGATTCTTAACCTTTGTTAGATAGGCATCCTGGTCATAGTCAAACTTCCAAGACGGCGAGCCATCCAAGGGGAGCCGAAGCTCAATCAATCGACCGCCTCTACGGGCAAGCGCCAATGTACTCGCTTCAGCCGTGTTTGGGGCGCGCGTAATTCTCACCAGGGCATCGCCATATTCGATATCGAGCAGAGTATCAATGCCATCTTTTATTTTCTGGAGTCGTGGCTGTTCGCCATGATTGACCCAGACCAACTTGAGCTGGCGACCAGTAGGGGAGTGCAGCTCGATGGGCACAGTAGTGTTGTAAGTGTTGCTTGCGTTGCTGAGGACTTCGACCTGGCCGGACTTGTGAATGACCTCGTAGCGATTCCCATTCTTCTTGAACTGGAAGCTTTTCAATTTCTGATCCTTGACCGCAACGGAGCTTGTGGTCTCTGTGACCTGGTAATTCTCCCCCGTAGAGAGGAGCAAGGTTTTGGCTCGCCGATGCTGGTATGAAGAGAGGTTGAATGACCATCCCTTGCCCAAGCCGATATCTTGTGCGTTTATTGGGTTGTAGATGAGAGAGAGATGCAAGGAAGGGCAGTTGCGGAACTCGGCTGGCGCATCGTACACGGCAACTGCACAAGTATACTGGCCAGTGCGGGGATCGACGCCTTTTTGGATAAAGCTGGTGAAATTGAAGCCTTGCGAGTATATGGCGGACATGGTGGGCAAGTGGCGTATTGAGTTTTGTCGGGTTATTTCTCCTTCTATTTTCCGTTCAACTTTGAGGCGATGACTGCTGCTACACAATACAGGGTTGAACACTTTATATCTAAATAGCACAACACATCAACCGCATGCCAAGAATTGGCTAGAGAATGCCCGTAGGTGACAAAGGCAACGTAGCTAAAAGCCCAGAGGAAGCTTCAAATTCTGCAAATAGACATGATAGATCATAGAAGCGTACAGTATCATGCCGTGATGGCACGCTCAGCCAGCCACTCTGCTACTCCACCAAGAGACATGGTCTATTCAGTCATTCATCTGGAACGGACCGCACCGCCAAGTCGCCTTTCTGCCTTGCTCTTATGGCGTCTGTTCGAATATTTGATTTGTTGATGGTGCGGAGGGTGCTTTTGCGCCTCTCTAATTTTCCACCACTGCTGAATGTTTATGGCCGAACCGACCAGAACAGAGCTCAAGAGCATGTACGGCTTATCATTTTTTGTAGGATGGTGCGGGTTGGCTGAACGGGGGTTAGCTTCCATGTTCAATGCAAGCTGACGATTCCTCGACCGGCATTCCGTGCAGGGCTGATGATGTAAATCGGGCGTTATGATGAAGGCTTAGAATGGACAATTGGGCTGACAGAGCCTACCAAGATTAAGAGATGCACGTAGTCTATCACTTTCGTCAACCAATGTAAGTTGACTTGAAAAGGGTTAGCTTCTTCTTTCATGCAAGCTGATGGTCCTAAACCGATATTTCGTGCAAGCTGAAGATACTAACCCCGGCGTTGTTATGAGCGCTTTTGACGAATCATTGCTTGATCGTCAAAATACCAATTGTAAATCAACATTGATGAATATGACTAAATCTAGTTAGAGATTTTTGCTTGAGACGAACAAGTGTTATTGATCTTTGGGTGGCTCTTTCGGCTGTGAAAGCTGCTTGTAAGCTAACACAGCCCAATTAAACAAGGTTAGCATCTACATCTAAATGAGAGCTGAAAAAGCATCCTTATGACTGCAGGCCTTCACAAAAACTTGCGTTGTAGCATCTGATAGGCCTTTATCCCCTGCTCGTCGACATGTGCTATGCGGCGCAGCAGTCGACTTCCTATCAACGTAGCATCCTTGGCCATGGTGAAGAGTCATCGAGGGTTGTATACTGCCCTGCCTCCCAAAATTTTGTCTACCCATCTATAAATATGAGCAACTTGCCAGCTCACATTGAATTCGTTTCAGGCACATCCAGACAAACACAGCATTTGAACCAACACTCCAACACATCCCTAACCAACCTTCACAATGGTCAATTGGCAAATCGCTTCTTTTTCGGTCTCGACAAGCGCGGCCGGAGAAACATCCGATGCGCTCTATGCCAACGGCCGGATGCAGGTGCTGGTGAATATTCAGATCAAGGCAATCGTTCCCGACAGCGATAGCAGCAGCACTCCTTACACCTTGTCCAAGCATGAGCTCGACTCCATCCGTCTGATGGACTACTTTACTCACGCCGAACTTGCCAATCACGGAAACGGCTGGGTGTGGAGCACAAAGAAGTCACCGTTTGCCGGCAGTCTATATTCTACGGGCATGGCTGAGTTCCAGGCAGAGGCCGACAGTCAGCTGGTACAGCTTTGGGTCTCGAGTACAATCTCAGAGAAGAAAAGCATCGGCGCCAGTATCAGGCAACCCGACAATACCGTGGTCAGGACCAGCGATTCCTCGTATAATTCCTACATTGTGTTGAAAGCGGAACCAGCTATCGACTACACCTATCCCGAAAATGTCGGGTTCGAGCAAGAGAAGGCTGGTTCTGGGCATTACGAAATTGATTTTGTAGGAATATCTGATCCCAGTCGTCGCTGGGATCAGGTCAATTATTATCTAACTACAAAAAACCACCATCTCCTGTACAGCGAGACCAACAGCTATGAGGTATATAAGCACGACAATCCATATTCAGACGAGCATTTGGAATGCTGTTATGCTGGCCAGGTACGAGCAGACGTGGACGGTAGCCTATCGCTCTTCTTCCTCTGGAAAAATCCCCTGGGCACAAAAGCATCCAAGCCCAGAGTAGGGCTGAAGAGCGTTGTGAATGGCCTGTTCCCGTCGGGTCCATGGACAGCCGAAGCGTTTGCAGACATCACGGTCAATGATAAAAAGAATAGTGTCTGCCTCAGCTATTTGAATTTTCGCGATACTCCCATGCAAGTTATAAATCGACTGTGGCCAGTGACTTGGGGGACGGTGGCCAAAATAACTGTCTACGATGTTCATGGGAATAAGGGTACTTTCAAAGCATCGCACACCGACGAAAATGACGGTGTTGTTATCCATAATGATAACTGAGGTGAGAGGTTTCCAATCTCTCATCATACCATGGAATCATGCCACTGCTAACATTCAAATTCAAAAGTGTTATTTATCCCAGTTTATTCTAGTTCAATATATGGGGGTTTTTTTTTTGTATATCACTTTCAATGCCGAAATGCCTTTATGTCTATCTTGTGCGTAAACTGCAAGGGATATCACAATGCAAAACTGTCAATCCATGTTTTATCTCATTTTACTTGTATGCAGTTCTATGAGCACCAAGAAGATGCTGCCCCGGGATAGCACTGTCTTATACCCACTGAAATGCCCACATGAGGGTCATGGTTGTGTCTCTCAATTCTCGTCACAGCATTTTTATGACATACATCTCCGAACACATCATTGCTGTATCCCCAGCAAAGCATGAACAGCGAATACGATAAACTCCCCGCGTATCTTCCATCCTCCTCTATGCATATATATCCATCAATCCACTCATGCCGTGTTTAAATTCCACAGCCCATCTCCCAAGTAATGCGCATCCTCCACCACCGGTCCCTTGCCCTTCGCCTTGACCTCGTCCGTCCCGGCAGCCAGCGTGCCAACCGCACACGCCTCCTCCTTGCCCTCTGCCATAATCACCACCGGCTCTCCCTTGGCCAGCTCCCTGCTCCACCGTCCATCCTCCACAATGCTCTGCTCCATTTCTTTCCCCTCCTCGAGCGGCTTTGCCCCATCGACGGGCAATCTGCCCCCCGCGGACGTCAACCCCGGCGCCATCAGCGTCGCGCCAGAAAGCACAAAGCGAATAGCTCCGCGATCGATCCGGATGCTAGGAAACGCCTGCGGGAAGCGGTGCACGAGCTTCAGGTGCGGCAGCAGGTCGGACCCGTCATTCTGGTAGAAGAGCGGCACGGAGTCGAGCACGTAGAGGGTGTTTCGGTCGGGCAGCTTCATGCTCGCGAGGGAGCCCTTCTTGGGGAGGATCTCTTCGATGTAGGGCGTCAGGAGCGGGTACGTGGCGAGGAGGGACTGGCGCAGCGCGCGCTGGGCGGAGGATTTGAGCTTTTGCTTGGGAGCGCCTTGGAGGCTGTGATGATGAAGTTAGCTTTTTGCGCTTCGGGGAGAGACGGACTTGAATTGTTGGCACACGTACTCCTTTTTGAACATTTTTGCGGTGTAGATGCAAGCGAATGGGTCGAGATGTTTCAGAGATTAATAGAGGATAGGATGCGTCAAAAGATCGCGGGTATCTTGTCGTTGTAGCGGCGGTTAATGAGGGACTGAAGTCGCAATTGACGGCAGCAGTTTGGAGTTTATTGACAGCCCCGCGATGGATAAGATAGAGAAATGGCGGGGCAAATCGCAGACATGCAATCAGCGGGGGAGCTTCAAGCAAGCTACAGCGGCACTACTAGAGCAGGTATATTGAAATCAGGGAGAGGATAATCAAGTATGCGATGCAGAGACATTATTGGCAGCTGATTGAAGAAATACATTATAATGCCGTCATCTCATTAATTGAGGTACCTAAGTAGTGTGCATCGCACCGTATGAGCTCCTCCACCGCCAACCCAATCGTCACCGCAACCTCAGCGCTACTCTCCTCTAACCATGAACGACATGCGACACCGATCCATCCTCCTTCAAGTGAACATTCAGTCTCTCCGGCCTGAAGTCCCGGGTCACAGGCTGCCCGGGCTTGATGATGCGATGCGTCTCCGGCAGGTCTTTTTTGCAGAACATCTGTTTGTAGCATCATCAGCACTGTTTCAGTCATTTCATTCAAGTTTCCCCGCCCGTATGGAGAAGTGGCGTGACCGAATACAAATAGCATTAGAACTATTAGAAGCACTTACAGTCTCATTAGATTCAGACTCCGAAAATGTCTTTCCGACGAGCTTGTTGGCCCATTCCTGGGTCTTGTCCTCGGGGTTGGTCATGATGCCGGGTACGACAAGAGGCATGATGATTGTTGATTGCGATTGTGCAGCTTTAAGTACAGCAGTGTAGAATTGAAGTCTCGCTCCTCAAGGTAATCTTTTTTGTTTGGAAGTTTTGAGTTGTTGCGAGTAAAAATGTGGAATTGAAATGAAGAAGAAAGCAAAATAAAAAGGAGGAGGAGAAGTAACGTTATATCTTCCCTTCTTAGGTAAAACAAGCTTGCGTTGGCGTTGCGTAAGTGATAACATCCATTTCCGGTTCGAACGCCAAAAAGGGCCTTGGAAAGCTGCTGAAAATGGCGTCTCAGGTGTCGCAGACGATGACGTCGACGCGGCCGTGTCTGAACATGGTCGCACTTACGTAAGTACCTGGACACGTATGGGCGACGCCCCTTTCACTCAAAAGAACTTTGGGATGGTAGCAAAATGGCCAATGGATCAGATAATATCGCTTCGCCATGGCATGGAAATTTGGCCATTGGCTTCTTTGATAGGGTAGGTATTTTCCATCTAGAACTGCAGTAGTATTTCGTGCCATACAGTTGCAGTCCCGCTGCTTAGCTGCAGCACTGCCCATTCGCATCAGGTTGGGTTCTGGCACATGATTATTCATCCCTCTGTTCGTATACAGTGTAATATTACCGCGTCCTACCAAGAATGCCCGGCGTGGTACGGGTACCCTTTTGCCTCCTATTTGCTCAACACATGGCGGTGGCGCTGAATAGATGTCGAGGCCATTGTCATCTTCCTCTCTCTCAACCTGGCTAAGATCTAATATCAAGCATGAATGTTGCTGCTGGTCGTTCATATAAACAGTGTGCACAATAGCAAAGGACAGAAAAGGGTTTATTATTAGCTAGCCACAAGTAGCGCTGATTAAGAGCCTGTCGATGGGGTCAGGAGGATGGGCCGCTTATATCGCCCGATGAACTCCGTACCCAGCTCATACCTGAAGAAAGGACATAATTGCGCAAAACAAAGAAGAGGGGAAAAAAAAAAAAGAAGAAGAAAAGAGTCAGACAGGAATGTGAAAAGATGGAAAGCGGAAAACGGCTAAAATTAACACAGAGTTATTCTCATTAAATCCCCTTGCCGTTTTCACTTGATTCCACTGCGTGATTTGGCATGCTTTCCTCTTTCACATGGTCCGGCATCTGCCACCCGCCGCCAAAAGACTCTAAAAATGGAAGCAAATCGTAGATTTAGATTCAGCTCGGGTCCGCAAGGGAAATGAGCCCGTCGCTGGCACTGCTGCACTGCTGCCAATTAACAGCAGTACGAATAAGCAACGTCTCACCTCTGCCCATCTCATCCCTTGTCAGTTCCTGGATTCAAAACTGATAAAACAATATTTTTCGTCCTTGCACGCTCCAATCATGACCATAGGGCTCCAAGCTGCGATGCGTGCTAATTGCGGCTGTGGCTCCCAGAACCCTCCCGTGGAATGCACAGCCCTTGAATGGCGTCGTGTAAGCGTCTCATCAGCGCCGTTGCTGTCCCCTAAAAGGCCATGGCTCGCAGGCCTTTGGGGCTAATCTTTGCTTGCTGCCCCCCCTTGTTTGGATCATTCAAAACCCAGCCCCAGTCAGCCTTGGGTCTGACTGAAAGACCCCTAACTGAAAGGGGACAAGTGCCGCTCCCCGTCAAACAGGTTCTCCTCGACTCCTTTTTCGTGTTAACAGAACCGCCTCTTTTACTATTTTGCTCTGGCACCACCTCCGTCTTTGACGATCCGTCTCCCATCCTTCGTTTCTTCGCGAGCCTCGTCTCTGTTTTTTTATCAAAAACACCTTCGTTTCCTGGAAGCATCCTGTAAGCCAAAAACCACCCTCGAGACCCACCATCCCGCCATCTTTTCCAGCACCCCATCATTTGGCTGCGGCTTTGAAACTCATTGTTCCCCCCTCTCTAGCAGTAGCCACGACACGACCCAAAAAGCTCTTCACCATGAGACTCTCCTCTATTGCCGCCCTCGCCCTCAGCGGCAGCGCCCTCGCCGCCTCGCAGCGAGAATGTTTCGCCCAGCACAGCCAGGAACTGGTCGAGTTCTCTGACTGCGGCAACCCTACCAACCTCGAATTCTGCCTCTCACAAATCACCAGCTCCGACATCAGCGACGTCGAGGCCTGCTACTCAAACGCCGGATGCTCAGCCGCCCAGGCCATCTCCGAGGCCAAATACGCACTTCGAAGATGCGACGAGTTTGCCAAGATCGGAGACCTGAAGAAGCGATACCGCGGCGTGCCCGAGGGCATTGAGAAGACGGTGGCTGCCCGAGATCCCGTCGCCGCCCCGGCACCGACCCTCTGGGCTCGCTCTGGCTCGCTCGAGTGTCTCGCCACCTCCACGGTCAAGACGGAGTCCTGCGACATCCAGACTGATAAGGGTGTCCTCAGGACCCTCACCTGCGTGCCCACCGAAGTCGCCAAGAGCGCCTGTGCCCCCGGCCTCATGTGCTCCATGGACAGCCAAGGCAGCACCGTCTGCATGAAGAAGCAGGACAGCCTCGGCGTTGGCGGCATCATCATCGCCATCGCCTTTGGCGCCTTCATCGTCATCGGCATCACCTTCCTGACCTTTGCCTGCTGCCGCGAGCGCCGCCACCAGAAGCAGCTCGAGGCCCGTGCCGAGGCCACCGCTCTCGCTCGCGCCCAGACAAAGAAGGCCCGCGCCGCCGAAGCCCGCGCTCCTTTGATGCGCCAAGAGGGAGGTGACCCCTTCACCGACCGAGCTCAGTCTTAGAAAGCCAGAATAGGTCGTGGCAACGGGCTAACACCAAGCAGGCTTGAGGTGGTTAGAGAAGATGAAAACGGTCGACATGTTTTGTGACAGCACGGCATACAAGGGAGGCGACCAGCACACTTTTTTGAATCCTGTCTTGTTTTTTTACTTTTCATTGTTATTTTGCGGCGTACATCATGTTGCTCTCTTTCGAGCCGTGGGTTACAGGGAACAAAGACGGGTGCACATACGTACTCGGGTAGCACCCTTGCTGCTTCTCGTGCTTTGGCAAGACGGGCACACACACATCATAAGAAAACATTCCAGCTAGAAAATGAGGCGAGCCTCGGGTAGGAAACGGGAAGAATTGAACGTTATACAAAGAAGCAGCATTGATATTTGGGGGATTTGAATTAGATTTTGAAAAATAAATTGTTTGTAATTGAAAAAATCAAAAAAATCAAAAGCTACAAGGGATTTCCATTTGGGACGTAAGAGTTTTATTTCCTCTTCTTCACGTGTTTCATAGGAGATTATCTTCAGTCGCGGCTGCCGCTCCTGCCAATACCGATGGAAACTACCTAGGTATAGGCTATATCATCGTCAATTCGCTCCTCCAGATGCCTGGTAACATATACCTAGGTACTGCTCAGAGAAAAGATTGTATCGGGGAGCTGTAAGCTATAGCCCAGTCAGAGGATAGCACACTGCGTCAAATTAGGACCGCAACGTGTACAACTTCACATGAGAAACAGGCCAATAAATGGCTGGGCACGAGTTAAGATCGAGTACAACTATCCCGAGAATGGTATTGATGCAGACACGCTTTCGCACTTATTTGCTACTCTTGTGCCTCTTTCCTCCCAAATAACAACCCACACGTCTAATTCACATACAGGAAACAAGCGCACGCGCCATGCCAGTTGATACTTGATAAGTCGCTGATTCCCACAGCCCGACATTTGCGCTCTGCGCCGAAAGCAGCAACAGCTTGGCTATATTCATTTCTCCCTCCCTGTCTGTCCACTGCTTATGAAAAGAACAGCAAGGCAGCATAGAGATTATTCCTTCTCATTTCCACTTTTAGGGCCCAAAAGATCTTCTGTCGTTGGTGCGAGGATCGAAGAAGCCTTCCCAAGTATCTGGTTTGTTGGTATCATCAGTAGCCGTCTCCTCACGGAAAGAGCTCAGTCCAAGATTTTCGCTGATGCCCTTCCTGTGGCTTCTTTTTGTATTGTTATTCCAAGAAGTCCGGTCTATCAGGTCCAAAAGCGTATCCATAATTACGGATGGCTGGGCACTGGGACCAGCTACTGTAACAGGTCTCGGTCGGTTATCCGACATGGGTGGGCCGCTGGTGACGCCAAGTCGCTCAAGGAGATTTTTACGCTGAGAGGGACTCTGTTCAGTCTTCTCGCGCCGTCTTTTGCCGGGACTTGCCTAAACCCCCCGCAATGAAGCATGGCCTACCAAGGGACTGCCAATCTCACCAGGGGCCCCAACAGCCCGAAAGTGAGGATTCAGACCTTCATCTGTGTCAGGAACCCAACGAACCCTCCTCTGTCCTAGAATGTCCTGCTTAACGTCAAAGGATCCTCCTCCGTTGGATGAACTGCCCATTGTATCGCAGAGGTTCAACAGATCTTGCTCCGAGATACTTGCATCGCCCGACATCATCTCCACGTGCGACTTGATGTTGATCAGATCAACATACCCCTCCTTGTCTGCGGAAGGCGTGTTTATCAAGTCTTTGCAAGCCTGGGAGAGCAATAATCGGACGGTTACATGGCGAGGCTGCGCATGCGATCGGATAGAGCCCATCCCATTGGGTGAGCCAACATGAAATCCAGGCGGACCGCTTGGAGGACCCCATCCAGGGCTTCCAAATCCTGGCAGAGGAAACGGCTGTGCAGCAGTGCTGGGAGGAAACGGCTGTGGAGGGCTGTTGATAGGAGCCCAAGGGTTGTGGCCCATTGGAAATCCCGAGTCAATAAAGGGGCCCGCGGCAAAGCCGCTTCGTGGTCCTGGTGGGTGGTTGCGCAAGCCGCCGATATTAGCATCCGAGCCCAGTGGCTCATCATCTTCAACAAGAACTCGGCTTCCGAGATGCTGCGTATCTTCATCCTTGTCGTGCGAATACCCATGGCCAATACTACCAGGTCTGCCTATTGGCGCCGGCCGTCCGAAGCTTTGCAGAGGTGTGCTAGGTGAGCTGTCAAACCCTATAGAGCCTTGGCGTCCGTTTGTCAAAACAGGCCCGTCTCTAGCGGGCATTGGGTATCCTTGGCCGCCAAGCGGGAAATCGCTTGTTGGCTGAGAGAATCCTGGAGGGGGCATGGTGACAGGTGGATATCCGCGGCTAGTTGGACTATTGATGCCGGGCGGCGGAATCATCATGTTATGTCCAGGATTAGGCCTGAACCCGACGGGAAATATTGGGTCATGATTTGGGCGACCGGGGAATCCAGGCGGAGGTTGATGAGCAGTTAGACCTGGGGGCGGCTGCATGCCCATGATGGGCATCTGGAACTGGGATGAAGGGCTCGGACCTTTGAGTGGCGGCAACCCAGGCGGCGTGACTGACGCCCCAGATGGCAGCATTGTGACGGGAGCACTTCCGCTGATTCGCCTCTCCGTTGAACTAGGGCTGGTATATGCTGGCGTCGTGGAATGTGGCGATGCGCTCTGACTAGGAGCAGACGCCCCTTGAGAGTCTGACGAGCTGGCTGGACCAGTCCCATGCTGCTGTTGAGATGCTGTTCTCAGCCGTATGGGTGTTGGCGCTTTGGGAATTACCGGAGTGGCCACTGCGATTTTGGGGGACACGAAGCTGGCTGGGTTAGGGGGATGTTGAGGTAAGACGGCGGGCAGCGAAACAGGATGCTGCTGCTGCTGCTGCTGCTGTGGCTGCTGCTGTTGGCTCGTTCCACGTTTAGCAGGCTGTGAAGGCTGTGTCTGGGATGGCTGGACAGAGGACGCTTTAGGGGCTGCCTTTTCTTCCTTGGTCGGTTGGAGCTGCTGCAGCAATTGTTGTTGATGCTGTTTGCTGACAGCCTCTGCCGCATCTTGAGCTTCCTTCTTGGCTTTGGCGGCCCTGGCCTCCTTTTCTCGCTTGTCGCGTTCTTGTTTCTCTTTACGCTCCTTGGCCTCGCGCTCCTTTTGCTCGCGAGCTTCTTGCTCCTTTAAGCGTTGCTCCTCCTTGAGCTTCTTTTCCCGCTCCTTGGCTTCGCGCGCTTTTCGCTCTTGCTCGGCTTGCTTTTCCTTCTGCTCGTGTAACCGCCGTAGTCGATCGGCTTCCTTCTTTAGCCGTGCTTCTTCTTCGGCCTTCTTTTGGGCTTCCTTTTGCCTTCGTTTCTCTTCGGCTTTCTGCTTCTGCTCAGCAATCTTCTTCCTCTCGGCTTCGATTCGGGCGGTGTCCTCGGCGGCCTTTTCAGCCTCTTTACGAGCCTTCTCTTCAGCAAGCGCTTGCTTCCTTTGAGCAGCCTTGTCCTTCTTTTTCTGAGCGCTCTTGGCCTTTTTGGCCTTTTGCTCATTCACCGCTCGACTCTCCTCCTCCAGCTCCTCCAATAGCTTTTCCTGCCTTTCCTTGGCCACTTTCTCTTTGTACGCGGATAGTACTCGTTGTTCGAACATGCGGGCTGCGAAGATTTGGAACATGCGGCGTCCTTCTTCCATTCGCTGCTCTTCTGTCATCGGGTCCTGGCAACAGCACTCAGTATGGAACTTGGACGGCATCATAGACGGGTTGTAGTATACCTCTTCGTCCTCATACTCCTCATCTTGACTATCGTCGTAGTCTTCTTCCTCCTCCTCCTCTTCGTCCTCGTAGTCATCGTCTTCGGGAGGAGGGTGATTGTGAGGAGTGGAGTATGAGCCGTTCGGATGACCGTAGCCGCGGGCGAAGTCTCTCGCGTCTTCTTCTCGGGCCATTCGACGTTCCGCAAGCTGCTCCATCATTTCGATGAAGCGTCTGCCGTCGTTTTTGAGTAGGTCATCCGCAACGGTGAGAATGCCGCCTAAGTCCATGTTACCATATCTGTGCAGAAGAGAATCAAGAAGTTGCGTACCCTTGACTTGGAGGCTGTTACCAAACGTCAAGAAATCAGCTACGTCTCGGTCAGGAGAGCCGTGAAATTCTTCCGGTGGTTCGTCGTCGCTGTACTCGTCGTCCTCGGCTTCGTCGTCGCTGTAGGCTTCCTCTAGTTCCTCGTCATCGTCGCCGACGTGCTCGACTATTCGCCCGCGGGCTGGCGGATGCCGCGTATACGCTCCCGGCATGCCTCGCGGCGCGCGGATCGAGAAATCTCGGGGCGGCGGAGGCAGCATGGCGGGGCCCTCTCCTTGGTTTGCAAACTGCTCCAATTCGAGATAGTACGCATCATACAGACCTTCCAGCTCCTCCTCGATGGCGGTGCGCTTCCTTCCGCAGACAGTACAGCTACACGTGTGTTTTTGCTGTTCCTTCATCTTCTTCAGGACAGCGTCTTTCTCGACCTTGACCAGGGATTTCCGGTCATCCTCGCCCAAGCCCAGCCAGAACTCTTTGATACGCTCGCGCTCCTCGTGATTGCTTGTGCTCCATATCTTATCCTTGGACATTCCAGAGCCTCGCGGCACATGAGTCGCTGGCGCCGGGCCATCATCGTGGTACAGATGGGGGCGATGGTGGTGATGATGATGGTGATTGTGCTGCTGCTGATGGTATTTTGACGTCAAAGCCTCCTCGGCATCAACGCCAGCATCACTACCTTTCTTCTTTTTCTTGTTCTTTTTACCAAGTTTAGCATCTATCGCGTGACCGTTCGCCGTAGACGTAGGCTCGACTTCGTCAGCTAGATAACAGACATCATCATCCTCGTCGCTTGGGACAAGGTCGTAGTCTGCGGGCGTCGGTTTATCGGAGCTGGGAGCGGGGCTAGGATGGCCGTTGACGGCTTGTGCAGCGGCAGCCTTGGCCGCGGCCTTTTGCCGTCGCTTCTGCTTCTTACGGTTAACAGTCGGAGCCGACATGTCGAGGCCTGCGGAATCCGGAGGCGGCAGGACGCTGTTGGGTTTAGCGATTGGGGGAGTCGATGGCCGGGAAGACGAGTCTGATGGGCTGCCCTTGGGGACGGTGATGAACTTGGACCCGTCCTTGTTAGTATATTTGGCAGTATTTCGAGGCGATGCCGGCACGAGGGGAGCCGGTTTCTGGTGATGGGCCGGCATCATAAATCTACGGCGGCGAGGCAGTCGAGAGCATCAAGGGTCTCGGGACACAGGGCCCAGGGCGGCTCAAAACGACGCAGCCTGCAACAAAGAAAGAAGGAGAGAGTCAGTCGTCGAAGCACGCAGCGCAGGGCCGAGAAGCAGAGAACAAAAGGCCGATCGAGAGCTGCGGGCAAGCACGAGGGTGGGCGAGCGAGAGGGTGGATGCTTGGCCGCGAAATTGTTGCGGCTGGCCTGTTTGGTGGAGATATCCCGGCGGTTCAAAATGAGGCACTCACAATCCGCAATTCAGGGTTAGGTCAGCAATGACGCCAGTGGGGGTTGTTGACGGCCCCGGCTCGAATGCCTGTGCAAGAGATTGAGATGCGGCGCGTCGGGTAGCTCGCGTCGAATGCGTGGCGACGGGGTCTGGGGAGGAGAGGGCGATGCTTGGGACGGCCTGAGATGGATGGAAGTCACCGTGGTGTAGTTACATAGCGGCATGTACTTTTGCTATGCAAGAGTGGTCGTCCCTGTTTGAGGCTGGCGAAAACCGGGGCTGACAGCCGTCGTTCAGGTTTGGCGCTGGGTTTAGGTCGCGTGCAGGCACGTGACGCCCAGTTTAGAGGCCGGAATCGACGTGTTTGTGCCTGAGGCGCTGGGGTTAGCGGGCCTACAGGGCGTTTGCTGCGCAGAACCTGCCTGAAGGCGCGGATCAGGGAGCCCGCAACCTTTATGGCCAGCCGCAGTACAAAGAACAAGGGAGCGGTACGCCGTGGTGCGCATTGACGGGCAGCGCAGCCTTTGTCACTGGAATGCGCGTGTCTGTACCCCGTAATCCGCATTGATACCGGAACAAGGAAACGCGCCTGCTTGGCAAACAAGTGATATTACTGTCGCTTTGCCCTGCCTTAGCTAATAAAACATCCATGCTACGTGCATCGTGGCTTGGGACTGCTGCACGACTTACATAAAGCGTGTGATGCTCTTACTCGCCACGTTGTCATTGTTGGGAAGCGCTGTCTACCTAATAATCTATCTACCAGGCAGTCAACTTGAGGGCAGAGCCCAGTATATACTGGTACCAGTGTGTTTTCCGTGCTGTTTACAACTGGACTTGGTCAAAGGCACCCTCGACTCGGCAACGGTGTTACTCTTGCCTCTTCGCTCCAGTATCCTGCGCATGTACTACAAGTATAAGGTACTACACCGGTCAAGCGGGTTGAGGCCAGGATGTGATGCAAGGAGTAACGGAACTGTTGGGCACCAAAGACATATACTCACGCACTTGCTGCTTGAAAGCCCTTTGTGACCAAGAAGGCTACACCAATGACGGACATTGTACGGTAATTCTACCATGGGACAAAGGCCAGACGCAGTGGATGAAGGCACTTTTCACACAATTCGATGTGACTGAAGCGACTAAATAAGTAGGTACCAGGTATGTCAGCTTGCATGCACCTTGATGGCGTTGGATTGAGGCTTGGTTGCCGTGCCTAGACAAACAAACCAGAGCGGCTTTGAGAAGGTTGTCAGCTTCTTTGTAATCGGCGGAATGTAATGTTTGCAAATGGGGCAGATGCCTGGGCGTTTATCAGAGGACATGCAGCACTTATTCAGCCGAATATCACTTCATTGTGTAAGGCAAGCAGATACATGTTGGTCGCGAGTCGCAATCGAGATATTACTACATGTACGCTTTCCGCATCGAGCAGAGATCCTCGTGTTCTACTACGTCAGACTACCCTCGCTGCAGCGGCGCCGCTTTGGGACAAGAGCAATTCACCTGAGCGGCTGATATGGGTCAGCATGCTTTGGCGATATCTCGGGCATTGTCCCATACGATGCCCTACAAGGGGCTCGGGAAGCCTTGGGACGAAATTGATTCTGCCTTGCGCCATCCAAAGGCCTGGGGTAAGCCCACCTTGCACCCACGGTTCTCGTACTTTGTTTGCGTGTGGCGCATACTGTAAGAAGAATGGCGAGAATCCTGCAGAGGCCGCCGAACCCCACCATTTTCGTCGTCTCGCAGCGAGCATCGGCTCAGGCCGATAACTTACCTGATGCGTTTAGTAGCAGGCGAAGGGCGTGATGTGCTGTAACTGTAAGTACGGGACGGGGACTCAAGCCAAGTGGATCGGGCAAAAGAGTGGCTACGATTCGCGGGAAACCCCCGAGAAGCTTCGCTCGTGCAGAGTTTTAAGCCGTTTTGACTCTGGCTGGCCTGCAGCGAGTCCGTCCCTTCTTGGTTATAATCTGCTTTAGGCGTCCTGGGTTTAGATGATAGGCATGATGGGCACTCTATGGAGGCAGCTTGAACTGTCTAAAATAAAACCTCCGAATGGGGGGACCCCGTATTCTTAGACCACCTGCAGTCCCTTTTCAGGGTCTTGATATCATGCTGAAGGTCTCGAGACGGAGCGGGTAGAGGTCCACGGGGCGCGTTACGGAGCGTATTGACGCATGTACTCCATCTGAGCATCCAATAAGACGTGCAAATCCAGACTTTGTTTACTTTTGCTAGCGCTTCTCTCTTATGCGTGCCGTTGCACCATGGCTTGCAAGCCCGTCGTTCATTCGCTTGGGGGCACAGCCTCACCTGGGAGGGCGGGACGATCGGTACTGGCCAGCCGAAAGAAGAGTTGCTGTGTACTTGTAAGAGCCCGGAGGAAAGAGGGAGATACAGATGGGACAAATCGGCCGCTGCAAGATAGATTGCTCGATTTGACAAGGCACGCAATCTCCTTCTTTATAAATATCACTGCATACGTAATGGAGGTCGACCGCGCTTCCGGCAACCATTTCTTCGGCCAGTTTCCACCAGCGTGTCTGCTGTAAGCTGGGTCCATTGCCGTCCCAAACAAGACATATTTTGAGCGCCGTCTGGGCCGCTGGTTGGTCGAGCCGGGCTTTAGGTAAGCCAGATAGTGCGAACTGCTCCGTTGGAGGTAAGACCATACGCCCCAAGCCTCACTCGGGCCTCGATCCACCGCTATGTGAAACGTCGTGCTAACAGTTTGGCTGCTTAGGTGTGCCGACGTGCTGCTAGAGCTGGTTTCCCCTTAACCCTGTCCTGCTTGCTGCCGGCCTGAGCCATTGTGGTCTGGTTTTTTGTCGCCATTGTCGCCATTGCCGTCGTTTTCTCTCTTCTGCCTCCCACTCTCTCTCGTCAACATCTCGCCATCAATTGTCATTGTGTGATCCTGCCCCTAGCCTTGACCGAACGCAATTGGCGCGGCCAAGTCCCTCTGCAGCCGACCGACCACTCGCAGGAATTAACTGGAGCCTCTTCAGCTCGTATTCCGACAGAATCGCCTGGCGACCAACCAGTCCGTTCCACCGCCCTGGTCGACCCGTATCCCCTAGACGCGACAGCACGATTTCTTTTGCGAGGCAGCACAGCAGCGGCGTTGCCGAGACGAAGATACAAAAGGCCGGCAGTTGAGCAGCATTTCCCCGGCGAACCGCTGCTTTAAACTGGTCCTGCCATCCACAGATCTTTCGGCGAACAGGCCGTAGGACTGGGGGAAGCTCCATTTGGCACAAGAATCAGCGCCTGGCCCTGTCTGTCGTTTATCCAACTGCCTATCCAGCAGCACATCATCACAGCGCTTCAACATGTCCAACGGGAGTGCGTCAAACGTTATCCGCAGGTACGAATCAAGGCCAAATACTTGCAAGCCAGACCTCGACTTTGCTACGGGCGACTTGTCGAGGCTGCAGCGCCGGCAATTTTGGATAAAGGACCGGCTTGCTGACCCATCGCAACGTGTAGGAAGCTCGTCATTATTGGAGACGGTGCCTGCGGCAAGACAAGTTTACTCAGCGTCTTCACACTTGGATATTTCCCTACAGTATGTTTATGTTTCTTTTTTTTCCCCAGGTCTTGGGCCTGGCCCCGGTCCAGATGGCATGTGCGGTCGCTAATCATTCGTATAGCACTATGTGAGTTCCAAATGCGCCTGCAGGACCCGCAGAGCCAAGATTAACGAGCTGGCTTAGATCCCAACCGTCTTCGAAAACTACGTAACCGACTGCAGAGTAGATGGAAAGTCCGTGCAGCTTGCCCTGTGGGATACGGCTGGTCAGGAAGATTACGAACGTTTACGGCCCCTTGCCTATTCCAAGGCGCATGTTATCCTAGTCGGCTTTTCGGTTGATACACCCGATTCTCTTGACAATGTCAAGCACAAGGTTCGACGATACCGGGTGTCAATCTGATAAGACTTTCTTTTGGCTGATATGTTACTATTATAGTGGATCGAAGAGGCCACCCGTCTTTGCGAAGGTGTACCCATCATTCTCGTTGGGCTGAAAAAGGATCTGCGAGATGACCCTGTTGCCATTGAAGAGATGCGCAAGAAATCCCAACGATTTGTCACAGCCCACGACGGCGAAGGTGTTGCCCGAGAAATCGGAGCCAAGCGATATCTGGAATGCTCCAGTTTGAGCGGAGAGGGCGTCGACGATGTGTTTGAAGCCGCCACCAGAGCTGCCCTTCTCACATTCGAGAAGGGGGAGACTACCGGTTGCTGTGTCGTCCTGTAAAACGACATGGCAACCCGCTCTCATGAACCGACCCGACTTTGGTATATCTGTCTAGCCCAAAGACAGTGATCAAGTACACGTTACTGGCCCACATGTTGTAGAATGAGATCACGACACGATGAATGAGTCTTCACAGCCTGCTGTTGCTGGCTTATCTGAGCACATACGCTTCCATCTCATCTCCTACCGCGAAGAGTGTTGGCATATTACGCTTCACCATCTCACGGCTTTTAGACCAGTTTTATTGGATACTCTGGCAATACGGCTGATTCTCATCATATGAGGCAACATATAAAAGCATACGACTATCCGAGAACATAATTTCAACCCCAGAGTTGAAACCGCTACAGTTTTTCCTTCACTGTTCTTTTTTGGCTTATCTGTTGGAAATATGTCTTGTTCATTTTTCTTTCATCTTCTTGTATTCTCGCAATGTTTTTGGCAAGCGTATTTTGTTGCAGCGGAGAAAAAGCGCCTTTGACTCGAAAGCGACTTCAACCTCTGTACTAATATGATTGATCGCAAAGATCAACGACTGTATTTCTTTTTTCCTCTCTGGGGTATATTGGGGGGAGGTTATTTCTGGACGGAAAAGGGTGAATGATGGAGAAGGGGATATTTATACTCCACTGATGGCAATAAAATTGTCGAGCCTCCCAATTGCGTGCCCGTGTTTACTGCCTGTGACTGATTGTTTACTACAGATCAATCGTGCTTACTTGACATGTCCTCAGTATCAAGGTTATCAAAGATGCCACCAACGGTACCCTTATGTGTTGTAATACTATACAATGCTTAATATTCATACATAACGTGTCTACCTCGTTTCTTTTTTTTCCCCCCTCCTCTCCCGCTAATTCATATAAAACTCTCTACCTCTTCCACTCGTGATTCCACGCCTCCTTCGCCGGACTGTCCGTCTGGAACCTCGCATACTCTATCGGCACACCTTCGAGCCCATAAACGCCCTTCTTCTCCATCGCAACTCGGTACAGGTACCCCTCGCCCCTGGACCCAGGCCCAACCGTCTTCCGCAGCTCCTCGCAGGCGTTGTACATGCCCGCGTGCATCCTGCTCCGCTCCTTGTCAATGGCCTCGTGTTGCTTCCGGCGGAAGAGCTGCCAGGCGCGGTGGATGGTCCAGTGGCGCAGGTATCGCAGGCGGGCCATGCGCAGCGGGGGAGGGGCCGGCGAGAACATGTTGCGGCGCAGCGTGCGGATGCGGAAGAAGTTTTCGGATTTGGGGGCTTGGCGGTTGCGGCGGGCGGCTTTGGGGGCAGAGCCGCCGGATGCTGGGGGAGGGGCCTTGCGGGCAAGGAAGGAGGAGGTTGTTGAGAAGAGGCGTGGGGTTGGTGTTGTTGTTGCTGTCTTCATGGTTGCGGTGGTGGTGTTTCGTGAGAGGAGGGAGAGCCGGCTGAAGAGCCCGGTGATGGACGTGGAGGAAGCCATTTTAGAGGTATTGAAGATTCGTGATGCGTGGACTGGCTGCTTGTTGCTTTCCCAGCAGAGGAGTGACGGTTCTTCGGTATCGCCTTGGTTCGTTTCGAGTTTTTCGCAGTAAATTCGAGGCTTGTATGCTGTGGTCGCTTTCCAATGGTAGAATTGAGCTCGAATTCAGAACGCGGCCCAATTGCTCCTCCCTCTCAGTAATGAGTCAAATTGGCGCGGGGCAAGGGTATAATTTGCCGTCTGCTGGAGAGATCTGCCAAAGCTGTTGCTTGATCTTGAGAAAATGGCGATGATAGTGCCATCAGAGCTTGCGCGCGGATAAATGTAAGCCCGGTGGAGTCCGTATTGCTTTCTGGGCAGCACGGGATATAACTGAGCGGCTGCGGCAACTCGTCTCATTGTGAAATTATATCTAGTATTTTTTTTCTATGGGAATTTATAGCTTTCTTTTTCTTTTTGATTGGTCTTTTATTTTTATTTTTTTCTTCTTTTTTCCCACAAAAGCAAACCTGCCATTCTGAAGTTACGGCGTGATTGCCTGAGAGAGCTAATTATGCATCATCAAGCCCGCCTTTTCCTCGGCCTCGTACATTTCTATCTCGTCCGACGTTCATGCATGTATCTAGGCGGACAATTGTAACTGCCCATTGCCGGATACAAATATGCTCTCTAGTATGATTGGATCAATACTTTCTAGCCACAAAATATCCTTCATTTGCCCAATCACTTGCTCAGAAGAGTGGATGCTGAGGTCACTCATTGACCGCCTCGCTTCGACAAGCAACGAGTCTCGAAATTCGGGCCGCGCCAGGGAATATGCTGTCACAATGGCCCAAAATCGCAGCTTTTTTAGCTCCATAGGTATTTCGTGAGAAGATTCCTGCAACAGGATCACGAAGCGATCACAGAGAGGACCGATGTCTGCCCAGTGGAAAGATGCAAGTCGTTTGAGCTCTGATAGGATCATCAGACATGCAAGCTGTACCATTCTCTGTACCACAAAGACAGGATAATCCGTTTGCGCATCGTCTTCGGGACATTTTGGCACGGATAGCGCAAAATGGCTGACGACGCCGAGTACTTCGACCAAAACGGCTGGTTCGGTCCAGAACAGGGTGTTGTGAAAATTGCGGTTCGCCATGGCAATAACTGGTGCCATCATCCGTAGCATGGTGTATATCCGTCCGCCTTGAGGAGCCACTTGCTCGGCATGGTGAAGCAAAGCACGCAGCGTCTGAGGAATATCGTCTTTGTTTATCCTCCGGGAATCGGCCAGCTGCCTTGGGATGGGGAATCTCGGGTAGCGGTCGAGCATGGATGCACCCATTAAATCAACCCTATTCATCTATTAAATGCTGAAGTAAATCGGGTTCGATATGGTTCCTTTGCTCACCAGAACGTCATCAGCGGGATTTCGCTGTCTGAAGCATCAAATCCATGACGAAGATGATATATTCGCTCCAGGCCATCCATATGCACCGTATATCGCTCCCAGTTTTCGACACGAGTCTGATCTAAATTAGTTTGGTTTGTCTACAAAGAGAAGATGAGTAGTAAAAGGTTTCTTACATCGACACAAATAAATCCCATGATGGTCGCTATAACGCCATCACTTGTACAATCTTCGCGATTGTTGAGTCGAAGAGCCAGCTGGTGCAGCGACTTGCAGTAGTATCTACTTGCTTCAGAGGTATCCAGATAATTTGACTCATAGTTGAGGGCATGCGGTTCATGGAAAACCCCATTTCGAATTACCATTGCTTGCGCGAGCCACAAGTCGAATGCGGTTGTATCAGAGAGACCGATGCGAAACCACGACGTCCGAAACGGTCGGTATACATAGTCAGCTTCAGCTGTCACTATAGCCTGTGGTTAATTTCAAGGACAATCGTCTCTCCCAAGGACCACTTACTGAAAGTAATAAGCTCTGAAGCACGAGCATCACGGCCGATGAGAAACGTTTGGAACGATGGCGGCATCCTCACGAGGGGGGGCGATTCGGCTGCTTCGGTAATCGCCGGTATAGTGTCTGGCGAAGTATTCGTGGTAGCAACCTGGAGGGGTATAATCTTGTACTTTGCCTTTTTACGCCTTGAACGGCCGACATCTGCCATGACATGCCGACGAACTAATGCCTTGGTGCGCTTGCTCTGGCCCTCGTCGGGACGAGAGATGTTGACAAAGGACAGATGTCTGGAAACCATGACTGGACACCGACAACCTGATGTGTTATTACAAGAGTATTACTAAGTAAAAGGAAAAATGTTGAAAGGGATTGGGAGAAGAAGCTTGTAAGTTTGAAAAGGAGCGCGGTCTTCTTATATGGCCTGGTCGGAAGCCCTTCCTTGTTAGCCTCGACACTAACTGGCATGGGGGCTGCTCCACTCGTCGGATCGGGGGCCGGTCAGACAAACTAGCACGATGGAACCGCCACAAGAAGCAGCATAAAGACAAAACTTGGAGCCAGTTGGGATTAATAATTAAGTGTTGCAATCACTGAACTCTCTAATCGATATTAAAGTCCGATGTGATTGGCCCATTTGAGCTCATGCAAGTATAAAGAGACTACACATAACTAGTTGCCCACGATACCGCCGCTGACAGAAATGCTCTCTCCAGTGATCCACCGGCTCTTCTCATTGGCAAGAAGCAGCACTGAATCTGCAATATCCTCAACAGTCCCAAATCTCCTCTCAGCCCTAGTCATGTTCAACAGCGTGTCTTTGAGCATTTCGAATTCGGGAGTCGGCGGCAAGGAGTCGGTAAGCACAGGACCTGGCATGACCGTATTGATGGTAATGCGTTTGCCATCGCTTCCCAGCTAGACATGGCTATTAGTCTTTATCAATTGGAATGGGGAAGATTTTGGCACTTACATCTCTTGCGAGACTATAAGTCAGAGCATCCATGGCTGCCTTTGCGGCTCCATACACGGGCTCGATACCCAGCTTTGAAGCCACGCTTCCGACATTGATGACCCTTCCGCCTTGAGGCATATGGGGCACCGTAGCCTGAATGAGATACAGCGGGCCCAAAACACAGGCATCAAAAGTTTTTTGGACGCTTTCCTGCGATGCGGTCAAGACAGGCTCCCTTGCAGCCCAGGCGGCGTTGTTTACTACAAGAGCACAAGAAATTAGTGAAATGCTTGGAATATGCAACGAAAGTATCAAATGCCCAGTGCTTACCAAGAATATCAATACGATCGACCCCGAAAGCATTGATAGCTTCAGCAACTAGCTTCTTTGTTCCCTCTGGCGTGGTAATGTCTTGTTGAATCACCACAACGCTGTCCTTGCCTGCAACTGCTTCAATGCTGGCCGCGACTTTTGCTGCTCGAGGAGCGGTAGCTTCAGAGACATAGTTGATGGCCACACGTGCGCCGTTGCGAGCGAGGGCGAGGGCAATAGCAGCTCCGATGCCGTTCTCTTTGCCGGAGCCTGTGACGATGGCAATCTTGCCGGCCAGAGAGAGGGAGTCAGTGTTGGACATTTTGGGTGTGTCAAGAAAAATAGAGGCGAATGTTGTAAAGAAGATGAAAGTTGTTGCTGGATGTAGAGATTGGATCAGGATATTTCAGAGGCGTCGTCTTGTCTTTATAGACGCAGATGGTGTAGTTCCAGCTCCTTCTTCGTCCAGGAGGCTCCATCTCTCTTGGTCGATTGACTCACTGATCTACGGACATTTGTATTTGTCAGGTGAGCATTGACCACAATTTATTATTAAATCTACCCATTTGCGAGGCAGAATTTTGTGAAACAACGTATTTCTAGACGCTTTTCGTAACTATTCACACATCGTTGACTGCTTCTACGTAAAAGCGGGTGGATTAGCGTGACAGAAAAGGAAAGAAGAGACCCCTGCCTGCACTAGCCTCTGGTGGGACCGATGCTCAATGTCAGATCCGGAGACTATTCCGGAAATGGAAAAAGGAAATCCCTGTCTGCATGAGGCTTGAAGTTTCGGGCTCGTCCTGGGATTGGTGGCTATTCAACGCATTATTCGGGGTCCAAATCGACGAGCTATTGACTTGGCTGTAAATGGTGCGGCTGAATTATCAGACGGATTTGTCAAGGTAGTATCTCGATGTCTACTGGTAAACTTTTGACCACTAAACCGCTCGCGGGATTTTTACAGAGTGTCTATTAACAACTCCAAGACCACCGAAGCCAACGCCACATACGTTTGTCCGGTCAGTGAGCTGGTTGGCTTTCGGTGGACAATTTGTATCATTGAGCATTCCAACTTCGTAATACAAAACGTGATGAATCAGGGCTCATTGGATACCTGCTATGTTGGAGACGTGCTATCATCATTTTCTCCCTCTGGCCAACCCTATAGGCTATAGCGTCCATCGATACTCTGCTTTCCAATCTGACCTGCTTTGTTTCTTTCCTCAAACTGGATACACTTGACTACAGCTATTCAGATTAGATTGCCATACCCTTTGAGTTCATAGAATCGGTAGCTTTTTTTTTTTGGTAGTAAAGCCAAAATGGCCACTAAGAAAATACCTGATATCAGTTTACAGGAGCGACATCAACATTGTGGCTGGCCTCGCCTCTCAGCTCCATGGAATTGTGCATCGTGAAGATGTGTGAAACTCTACAGATTTGGATATATCGAGAGATGGGAGCTGAGCCCCCTCGCTATCTGGAATATTCGAGAAGCCAAAAGCCTTATCAAACTCATTGGCTGCCATTTCGCCGTGTCCCTCGAGTAGGAAAGTCAGCCTGGCGAGTGGGTTGCATGCATTGGGGCATTAATCATGGCACTGCCTATTCCTATTCGACCCTATTTGCGTGTCCTGATGGTGTCAATGTCGTGAAACAATAGCTAACGGGGTTTGAGCTCAGGAAAAAACGTGTACGAAGAGGCAATAGTAGTTGTTACGCGCAACGTCGATCTTGTGAAACTGGAAGAACTTGCTGAGCTAGAACTGCTTTCTGTGCCCAAAGTTAGCGGCATTTCATTGACCAGAGGTCCAGGCACGTCGTGGCTGGACTTTGCCAAAGAACAAAGAGGGTCAGAAGTGGTGTATAAGTTGGTGATTGTAGCGATGGCAGCGAAGCTATTTGTATCTAAGTAAAAACATAGCAGCGAGACAAATCCGAAAGATCTTCTTTGTCGTTGATAAAGGTATAGCACCTTGGGTCCTTTATAGTACAAGGTACACTATCTGTGAGGCAGCCTTTAGGTTTGAGGTTGACGTTTGCAAGATGGAGGTTAGTACATTACAGCGAGCCCAAACCGACATCTACCGTCTAATGTTCGTTGGTTCAGCGTGTGCCTCCTTATTATGACAAGGGTGTACCGATCAGCTTAGTACAAGTCATTTGTCTCGATCCTGAGAACAAAGATTAGTACTAGCGGCAGAGCGAGAACTATACCTACTGCTTGAACGATGCAATTCTTTTCTTGGCCATGCAATAGTTCATCTGGTTACATGTTGTTGAAAGAAGTTTACAAAGCAATGACATTACATAGTCCTTGAGCCAATTGGTAGTATGAACAGATTACCATAGTTGCACATTGTGCCGTCATGACTTGAAGTGGGTCGAAGAACATCCAAAGCCCACGAACATGATCCAACAAAGAAGTCACAATTAGAGTCGCAGGTCAATGACCAAAAAATGGGAGAAGCCAGGCAGCCGAAGATGGTAAAGTCTCCTGCAGTATCATCAAAGAGAGTAAACCTTGTCGTACAAGTAAAGAACAGCGCCAACGTATGCATCGGCTGGTGATCAAAGGGCAGGTTAGCTTCTCAATCATAAGACAAACAGTATGATGTGCATGTTCAAAATGCTACTTGCAGACAAGGCAATACTGGATTACACCATCTGCATGGATCATATAGAGGTGTATATATAACAGGCCTTGTCCTCGACTTCTCCTCTAGATAAATAAAGCCGCGATAGACAAAATTTCCCAGTATTGTCTACAAACAGTTGTGATTCCATCTCTGATAAAGGGATAAAAGACACTCGCACTAGCTTCGTCTGCTACATATAGTCAACTTGCGCTGTTAAACTTTGGTACAATATTCTTGGCCACAGTGTCATTGAATAGCAATACTCGAGTATTATTGAAGGGCTTAGACTTTGTTGAATATGGACTGGAACGACAATACATTCCGCGTGTATTCTACGCAAAATGTACATGGATCGCATTGTTACACATCATATTTGGACCAATCATCTGAAAATGAGGTTCATATTATCGATCACGACATCGAAGACGACCAAGATGATGATGACGATGAAGAAGAAGAAGAAGAAGAAGAAGAAGAAGAAAAAACCTCCAACGGCTCGGATGACTCGGTTTCATCTGTGGCAAGCGATGATAAAGAATCGATTCCCTTCGCTATCTCACCCGATAACGAGAGCAAATGTGCCGGACTTGACGACGACCCTATGCATGTCACAGCTATAACTCCTGACGATGACCGCATCCAAGGGACTCGAAGACCAAGCTCTTGGGTAGTGCGACTGCAGGGTAGTGACCGAGATGTCCTGGTATACGCAGCAAGATTTATGGGACTATTGGGTCCTAGTTACCCGGTTCAGGACGCAAGCAATAACCTTTTTGGGCAGATCATTTCAGTCGGTTTCTTTAAGGGCTCAACAATAGCTCTTATTGAGCCGGCGAAAGAGGATTCGAAACACGCATGCAAGGAATGAAATCCGTCAAAAGAAAAATTGATTAAGAGATTGTGGGAAGACCGGAGGTTGTGCCGAAAGATCTTGAAGTAGAAAACAATGGACAGGCGGAGAAGGAAAGTCTATCTATAGTCTACGGTTTTAATGTACTTTGTCTAGATACTGCGATTTTCTTCTATTACATTGAACCGAAACTACCAAATATGTCTTATCTTTCTTACCACCTTTGCATAAGAAACTTACTTGCTTCGAAGACACAAGTAGCATTTTGGGGTACATAGGAGATATACAGCGCTAAATTGTACGGCTCATTAAGGGTGATTTAGGCTTAGTTTGAATACAATTGATGATAAAGAGAGATGGAAGCTTCTCAGAGAAGTCGCGAATTTGTGACTAGAGGCACCGTATTACTTGATCTCGGGATGCTTTACCAAGATCCAAGTATCGTAACTCCCCTGGCGGCCCCATTGAGCCATGTCTTGTTTTAGACTATCCAGCTCCTCAAAGCCCTGTTTCGTATACATGTCGACTGCTTTCTGCCCCATGGCCATCATATACAGGTCGATTCCTAGTTGATTGCCTTGTTCTACACCAGACTTGACAAGCATGCTGCCGATCCCTCGGCGATGATGGTCGGGATGCACTCCCAGGTAATCGAGCTCTATTCTCCCTTTAGCGACAAATATTTGAAGAAAGAATGGGATAGTACTTACTTATATAAGGCCCTTTAGGGGCATGCTTATGGAATTGCTCAGTAACGAGATCATCCGAATTCTCAACCTCGGGTCGGATGGCCCAGTCGGCTGCCTCGTAGGCTGCCTGGAAGCGAGCCTTATCCTGCTCATTCACGTCTGGGACTTGGGCCTCAAGCCAGGAATCTGCATGCGATGCCGGTAGTATCCATCGAGCATAACCGACAACCTGGCCAGTTGCCGTGTCGATGACTTTCTGGTGCCGTCTTGCGTCTCTGTCTTTCAGGAGATTGGTGGGCATTCTGGCTGTAGCAGATTCGATAATTGCATCGAGTGGCTTGTCCCAATTCATGTTCCACCAAGGCTCGCCGTAAAAAGCTGCCATGTTGGAATTTGCCAGACCGACGGCATCGTCTACCGTGCAATTGGGCACAAGCTTATATGTAGCCATTTTCTTTTGAGATTAACCTTGGACTTGGCGATAATGCAGAGCTTGCGATCCGATAAGATTTCACTTCCACCCAGAGGGAGCGTGTGTAGTCTATAAGTGTTATTGCCATAGTGTATACACAAGTAGCTGATATTATTTAGGACACAGTGTCCTTCACTCATTCATATTGGCCTCGGAATCACGGCTTGTTCAACATAGCGAAGTTGCATACTGAGCTGTAGCTAAGGCCGCTAAATCCTGAACAGGGATTTTCTTGGGCGCTAGGGCAACAAAGGCAGTGTTGCCTAGCTACCCATGCTGAGCCACGGTCTGATACAACTAAGCACTCGTCCTAAGCTGTCATATATTATGAGAAACCAACGAGAAAAAAGTTTTGAAGCTCTAGGTATAGCCATGTTTTTTTTTTTTAAAAGATATAAACTATTGAATACAGTATAGAAAAATAGGTCAAGTCTAGTAGCAAAGGAGAGCATGACCCAATAGGAGACCTGACTCCGTCTAATAAGGAGTGTATATCATCCATGGGTGTATTTTGAGCTATTGATGAGTTCATTGCATTACTCGTTGGGTAGGTTCGGTTTGCAGTGTTATCTGTATCGACGCTACTAACAGTCCTAACGAGAAGAGCGGCGGCGCAAATAGGGGCCTCCACGATCTGCCATCTATGATTCAACTACTAGTAATGATAGTAGTATGTAGCACTCTTTGCCTCAGAGTTCATCGGGACGTCAACTAGAACACTCGTTTCAATCAGCGTCATTTGATCAAGTTTTTCTGCTTTCAATTATATGCATTGCTCTGCAGAAGCTCCACTCGCTTTCTAGGATGTATACAAGGCCTCTCGTACTCTGGATCGTATGCATCTTTTATAACTCCCATATCATAGCAAACCTCATCGTATCCTATATCCTCAAAGGGGTTCTCGCCACCACGATACAAGAACTTCTCAACTTCTTCGTCAATCCAAATGGCGCGCCCTTGAACAAGATCAAAGGGAATAGGTACAGCAAATCTGATTTTGGGATGCGTGAGTCGCTCATGCCAACGCAGAGTGTCGCGCATTTTTTCGAGTAACTCATGCTGGGTTCCAGGTTGTAAGAATAAAAACCCCAGTTCAAGTGACTGTAATGCAGGGAGCTGTGAGAGAGTTGAGATCAAATCAGTGGAATTCACTGGAACGTTCCATAACCGAAAATGCTGTAGCCCTGTCCAGCAATTAACAGGAAGAAACGCTTTCAATCCTGGCGGCCATGCATGGTTGTCATCATCGTTGGGATCGTAGCTGGTATGGTCCATGCCAGTTTCTAGGCTGAAATGCTCTAGCTGTGAAGTTTTTGCCAAGGCGTTTCGCAAGAGGTTGCGGCGAAAAGCTGTCCAATGAAAGTCCACATAAAGGGACAGATGCAACTTTTTCATATTGGGGTGTTGGAGGCAAGTGATGAAATCTAAATACTCCTGGGATGACTGCTCGAAGAGGCGGCAACTAAGGCCGGATTGAAGAAGGTGAGAGTCAATGCGAAGTTCAGAGACGCGATGATGCTGTCGTTCCTGAGCCAAAACCTTTGTAAGTAGGCAATAGCCGCGCCACCGCGTTTTTGACTCTTCCCATGGCGCGAGTCTTTCGCTATTTTCTCCACAACGAGTAACTGGCCAGCCGCGTGGAATTGGATAATTGAATCCATAGGGGAAAGCCCGGATCATGGGAGTCTCGTAGAGCGGAGTGAATAGCCACCCGTGAGCAGCTGGTGTAACCGTGACTGTTTGCAGGGCGGGAAACTGCTGCAAGGCATATCGAAAAGCTTCAACGTCAGCTCCACGAGCAATGACGTCGTCTTGCTGACGTAGTAACTCTTGGTAATAAGCCCATGATTCTTCTAGCGATAATTCGGCATGTACTTGACGATATACTCTAAGATCTTTGGGGCGATTTGGCTCGTCTGTGCTTTCGCGGTGCTCTAAATCACCGAGATTCAGATCCCGTTCTCCCTGGAACCACTCCAACGTCGTCATTGGCCTATCAAAATCCACCCAATTTGTGTCTCTGACAAGCGCATTGTCGCCTTGATCAGTACGGGAATGGTATAAGCGCGCATCGTCATAAATAAGCTCGACAATGCCCTGGCGATACACATCATGGTCGGCAATAGAGCGAAGAACGCGAATATTGAGTGGGTTTGCAGAGAGAAAGACACGGCTGATGCGTAACTTGATGGCGCTGAAATGCCTGCAAGTCAAGCGTAGATTCTTGATTGAGCGGTTGTCTAGAAGGCTCACTAGATTCCCAATGAGCTCGGGGGGCAGCGTGGGTAAAAGAGGAGGAGAATCTACAGTGCAATTGTCATTGATTGGCAGGCGTTTTTGTTGGTTGGGGGAATAGGAAACGCACCTGGCGATATGGAGGCCGTGTACTCGAATGGGATAACTTGGTCGACTGGCGACTCAATGGGAAACCGATAGCGGCGTATGTCCTCGGCTCTCCTAGCTAAGGCGGCTTCTGACAAAGGGTTATCATCTTCGCGATCTCGTATGGCCTGGTGATGTACAGATTTTGATGAGCCGCTTCCCATTGGTGCGTCAGTGAGGAGAGTCAGGGGAATTTTCGAGCGGTTGCTGGGATATTAGCAGAATAATGAGGAAGGCATTGAGCTTGTACTAAATTGAGATTGATCAATGCTTGTGGCGGGAATGCAGTGCTGGTAGCGGGGAGTTTTTGGGGGGCTATAGGCTGATTATATACCTATAGGCAGGCATCCATGCGCTACCTACTAGGTACCTACTAAAGGTTCCTACCTACATGTAACTTAAGATGCATGTGTGTGTATGGAGCCAAGCGGTCTGCAAAAAAACAGGGAATCCGAAGATTTCGAACACACAAGACGGTAACTATACACATACATACGCTGGCAAACTTTTTCACAAAAGTATGCGCTTGTTGCCAATTTGTATGTGGTTATTCATTTTGCGGTCCCTTTTTTTTTTTGCAAACCGCTTGGGAGCTAACACTTGTACCTTCAGAAACTAGTGTACATGTAACTGATATCACATTCCATGGGAATTTCTGTCCGCATACGTACACTGTCTGAAACTACTAGTACCTGTACCCAGGTACTAGTAATTCTAATTATTAAAACCCAGTGCCCATATCTTATATGGCAACGGTATAACCGGCTGGGTAGTACGCTTGCATTCTCATCAATCTCCCGTTGACTATTAGTAGTAGTCAGTGGTAGAACATAATGACCGCCAGGTATATACATGTATAATATGAAACAGTCAGATCCAGAGAATAACACGTCTGAGGCTGCTGCTGAGATCTCAAATAAGCATTTGTATATCCATGGCCTTCTACTTTGCGAAAATGCCTTTTTGCAAACTATTCATCCTGTAACACGAGCAGCGGCAGCATTTCCCACACCGATGCATATGTATACACTCGCTTGAAGGCCAGAGCAATCCGTCTTCACAGCCGGATTCCACTTATACAGCGAAGATAGAGCTATTTTTTGACTGCTTGCAATTGCGGAACAGCCATCCCCGGCGTGGACGTCGTAGAATTTGTTACAACCGCTCACCATGCCGCTCTGGGTGGGCGTAGGGGTTGTTATGCCGGCAGCTGTTGTAGTTGTCGCTGTGCCAACACAGACAAATACGCTGGCCTGAAGACCAGAGCAATCCGTCTTGACAGCTGGATTCCATAGGTAGAATGAACTGAGGTTAACCTTTTGGCTGCTTGCAATCGCCGAACAGCCGTCTCCCGAGTGCACATCGTAAAATTTATTACAGTTCTTGACCATACCGTTTTGAGTGGGTGTAGGTGTTATAATGCCAGTGGGTGGTTTAGAGGTAGTAGATGGCTTAGATGTAGTGGTGGGTAGTTTGGATGTGGTGGTGGACATGGATGTCGTTAAAGTTCCGATACAGACAAATACGCTGGCCTGAAGGCCAGAGCAATCCGTCTTGACAGCTGGATTCCATAGGTAGAATGAACTAAGGTTGACCTTTTGGCTACTTGCAATCGCCGAACAGCCGTCTCCCGAGTGCACATCGTAAAATTTATTACAGTTCTTGACCATACCGCTTTGAGTGGGTGTAGGTGTCGTGATGCCAGTGGGCGGTTTGGAGGTGGTAGATGGCTTAGACGTAGTGGTGGGCAGTTTGGATGTGGTGGACATGGATGTCGTTAAAATTCCGATGCAGACGTAAACACTTGCTTGAAGACCAGAGCAGTCGGTCTTAATGGCCGGGTTCCATTTGTAAAGAGAACTTAGATCGACATGCTGGCTGCTTGCAATGGCTGAACAGCCATCGTTGGAGTGGACGTCGTAAAATTTGTTGCAATTACTAACCATGCCACTCTGAGTTGGTGTAGGCGTTATAATTCCAGTGGGCGAAATAGATGGGATGCTGTCGTCTCCATCCCAATCATCATTCGGATCCTCACCATTAGGATACGTTGATACACAATAGTTCGTTCCCACGGCAAGGCCAGAGCAATCTGGGCCAACCGAGGGGTTCATTTTGTAGAAGTTTGCAAACGACATCTCAAATATGTCCAAGATTGATTTGCACGTATCGTAGGCTTCGGGTGCAAACCATGCCGTACAATTAGATATCTCTCCAGAAGCGTGAGGCCCTGGGGGTGCCGTATTCGTAGGTAGAGCTATAGATATACATGTTAGCATGATGAATCGAGTATGTCTATATGTAGAAGAAAAAAATAAGAACAAATGCAGCCATCGCCCCATAGCCACAATTCCCACTATCAACCTCATTCTAACTTACCACCAGTCGAAGAAACCAAGGCGACGCAGTACGAAATATTAGCGGCAACTGTACACGGATAGGTATAAAGATTGGTGGTGATTGAGCTTGGAGCAGTAGTCGGAATTGCTATCGATGATGCAACTTGACTAGCTTCAGCGCCTGAGAGATTTGACCCTGAAGAGCCATCATTGCCAAGGGAAGGATTCCATAGTACCAGCTCCTAGTGGTAACTTTATCAGCTTTGCCTCAATCGCAATTTAGAATGCACCAGGCACTCGAGTCAGTTCTCAATGCATAGGTACTCACTTCACGTGTAATTTCATACATGCTCGCCATATTCCAACAATCTGCAAATAAGTTTTCCGTGAGGTTCTTTACATAGACGTACCTGTCGTAGCATCATCAACATGATTAGTGATTGCGCACGATAAACAAAAAGAAAATTGAGCTATATATCCTTACGAATAACAATCTACGCGTGTGCCATTTGCAATAGGTATCACTGAGGAGTTTGAAGAGAATCTGGCCCATGGATCCCCATCATATGGCAGAGACGTCGCACTAGTTTGGTTGAATGGTTTCGTTGTAGCCGTAGGTAAATACCCTGGGTAGGTAGAGATGTATCCGACCGGCTCAACGCAGTAGTAATAACCCAATTCCAGATTTGTGCAATTTTGCCAAACTTCAGAATTCAAAAAGATGCTAATCAAGGCAAAGGTAAAGTTAGCTCCTTGTAAATTTGGATAGAAACAGGATGAGCAATTGAGGGCCACGGGCTGGATGGTTTACAAATCCTTCAGTGTAATTGCAAATTGTGCAGTCAAGTGGGAGCAATCGTCGCCGTCAGAGACTTGATAATACTTTGCGCATCTAGATGTTGTCTGGTCCAAGGTTGGAGATGGAACTGGGCTATTAAATATGTCAGTCTTAATACAAGACGTGGTACAGCTATCCCGGAGGAATTCTTGAGATGACTTACGCAGTTGTAGTAGCAATATCGGTTGCCCCAACGGTATTACTTGAAATAGAAAATGTGCCTTTAGGATTACTGACACAGATGCTACTTGAGTTCAAGCTCGCAAGGTTACTGATTTCGTCGTATTAGTACAGCGGCAGGTATTCGAATAAAGTCAAACATACGAGCATGTAGAGCTGAGTGAAGGATTCCAAGAGAGCAGTTGGGCGTAGGTGATATTATTTTTGCTGCTGATATCAATGCAGTTATCGTTTGGCTGGACGGCATAGAGTTGGCAATTGACTTGATCTCTCTGCGCAGGCTGGGGTACGCCTAGCTTTGATGCCTGTATCCCCACGAAAAAGAGTTGACTGAAAGTTAACAGCTTCATTGCCACATTCGTGATCAGGAATTTTCACCAAGAGTAAGAGTGAAATAGCTATCTAGGAGGTGAATGAAGCACGTAGAAGCGAATATCAAGATTAGGTCACAGATTTCTGTTTTAGTAGGCTATATCATCTGATAAGCTGCGGTATTGCACATGTTGTTCGATGCCATCCATCGCCTAGGATGCCGGAGTCGTTAAATTGGGTCGACTAATGAGAATTTTTTTCTTCTCCCATCTCATTTCCTCATTACATGAAATATTTGAACCCCCCAACACAGGGTCGCATTCATTTCTGTTTTTAGGCAAGAATTTTTCAGCACTTTTCCACATTCGACGGGTGGCAGCGGGAAGACTCTCGTAGGCTCGGTGGTTTGCTCGGTGCTGTTGGTTGAACGCTCAATGTCGTTGCATACACTAGTTTTAGTTAGGTACCTACCTAGGTAGTGGACTATACCGATGGAGGATGCCGAATGCCCAAAAGCCCTGACTGTGTGGAGCTTGTAGACGGCAGAGCAGGTCCGTGAAGATATCGAATACCCACTAATATACAGCGCTGGAACTTTGGAAAAGCGGCAAAGACGTTGAAAGAAGACATGAGCAACCATATGCTGTACATGTCTAGTTCATGACGTGATTAAGCGACAAACGGATTCAAAATGAAGAAGTAGAACAAGCCTTTGAAGGTCACTGTTACAGTATGTATCCGCTGACGCTCCACTAGAGAATTAACGATATTATGAAACTTAATATGTTAATTGGACGCTTAAAAGGCGTATCCCGTACCATCCCTCCAGCATTATCAGCTTGAGCTGGGGCGACGCTACTAGTGCGATGTTCCCCTGCGTTGGTTCAACCGACATCAGATGCCACACGAGTGGGTAGGTATGAGCAAATGTACGCCCAATGAATGAGACGAGTTCGAGTCAGAGTCACAACGGCCCAGACGTGTGTCCTCCATGTGGTAATTTATCCGTCTGTTGGCCCTACACTTTTGCTGCTGATGCAGATGGAGGCTTCGTCACCTGTAATTTCCGACAACTCGCATGGATGGGCCGTTCTCCTAGCCCGAGATCAGTAATTCTTACACCTCTGTGCTTCTCGGCTCTCCGGACTTCCCAAGTGATTTACTAGGCAAGTCTTCTCGGAGTGGGTCGTGGATATACTTGATTGGGGATTTGTGTCAAAAAATAGCTTAGCCGAGGACTGTGACCTAATTTCGACCATGAGGATAGAATTTTCCAAAGGGTAAGAAGGAATGACACGGGAGACCTTGTAAACGGCTATTTATGGCACCAAGATCTTGATAAGTACATGATAATATGGCCCGGTTCTTACTGTGTGCTATGCCATGATACAGTCGTGTTTATCATAGTATAATAGGCTTTGACTTCCTCTATTTCTTACACGCTGAAGCTATATCCTTACTAGTCGTCGTATCTCACTTGAATATTGAGCATCAAGGATATTACTATGTTGTCGCCGAGGCCACGGCCACGGGTAAACATTTCCGCCATAACATTCACTGCCCTCTTCACTTGTGTTTTATTCCTGGCATCACCAGTCTTCGCCCTCGCTCAACATCTCCGTCATAGTAACCTTCACATAGAGCCAGTGCAACGCAGTGCAAATGATCAGGGTCTATCTCATCGACATCTATCATCTCGTTTTCATGCAGCAATTATTGAGCATGAAACTTCGGTAGATACACCGGCTGCGGGCCAGGGAGACTATACATGCGGACCAAACAAGCCATGCTATAACGGAGCTTGCTGTGGTGATAGCGGCTGGTGTGGTTTTGGCCCTACGTACTGTGGCAAGGGCTGCCAATCGAACTGCAATGCTACAGCTGATTGCGGCCAGTTTGCTCATACACCTGGATCCCCTTGCCCTCTGAACGTCTGTTGCTCTGAGTTTGGCTTTTGCGGAACTACTTCAGACTTTTGTGGCAAAGGCTGCCAGTCTAACTGCCAGCAGCCCAAGCCTTCCGGACCTTCCACAAATGTACAGCAAAGGATTATTGGTTATTGGGAAGCCTGGAATTCTCAACACCCGTGTGGTACAATGGCTGTTGGCGAGATTCCCGTTAATTATTTAACCCACCTTAATATTGCTTTTGGATACATTAGCCACGACTTTCGTATTACAAATATGGATGGAGTATCTTCAGATTTGTACCGCAATGTGGGTAACCTCAAAGCCAGAAATCCAAATCTCAAAATCGTCATCTCTTTGGGAGGATGGGCCTTCAGCGATCCTGGCCCTTGGCGCAGCGTTTTCCCTACAATGACGTCTTCGTCAGCAAATCGCGCGACATTCATTCAGAATCTGCTAGGTTTTCTCTCAGAGTATGGCTACGATGGTGTTGGTAAGTAACCCTAGATACTTTTTATTGGTTATTCAAGGTAGCAATTCAACTAATCTAGAGTAACAGATTTTGGTAAGCTCACACTCTAAGACAGATTATATTACGCTGGCTGACTGTAATCTACAGATTGGGAATATCCCGGGGCCGACGATCGAGGTGGCAGTGACGCAGACGCTGCTAATTATGTTGCGCTGTTGAAAGAGTTGCGAGCAGCTATAGCCAGCAGTGGCCATAGTTACATTGTCACATTTACAGCCCCAACATCGTATTGGTACTTGCGGCACTTTGACATTAAAAGCATGGCATCATATGTTGATTGGATCAATCTCATGTCATATGACCTTCATGGGGTCTGGGATAGTACAAATCCAATAGGTTCCCAAGTTCTTGCTCACACTAATCTAACTGAGATTGACTTGGCTTTGGATTTGGTATAGTTTTCCCCTCATTTTACCGCATCTACTACATCTGTCCTTTACTAAATATCGGATTACTAACCATTTGATACGAATAGTTCTGGAGAGCTGAAATAGATCCATCCAACATTGTACTGGGTCTTGCCTTTTATGGTCGAACCTTCAACTTGAAGTCGTCATCTTGCTGGAAGCCTGGCTGTCCATTTGGAGGCCCAGGAGATGCGGGTCCGTGTACTGATACGGCAGGCATTTTGTCATATCGAGGTACACGAGATTTCAGTGCTTGGTGGAAGATGAATCTTAAGCTAACAATAACTGGTAGAAATCCAGACGATACTTGATCAGACCGGTGCGGCTTCATATCTGGATAAAGAGGCCGCTGTGAGATACTTGGTATATGGTAACAACAGCTGGGTTTCGTAAGTTATTATCTCAAAAAGTCCAGTCCAGATAGGCCCTGCGAGCGTTTAGCTGATACAGAGAGTATGTAGCTTTGATGATGATATCACCTTCCAAGCAAAAATCGATTATGCCAGTAAGATAGGCCTTTCGGGACTTATGGTTTGGGCGGTTGATCTCGACGACAGCAAACTGAACGCCCTCAGAGCCATCTCAGGAGCCAGTGGAGAGACTGGAGCTGATAGCGCCTTTTCACTTGTTGATCTGAAGTATTTGTTCCCCTCAGAAGACCTTCCATCCTCTGACTCACAGCCTTCATACGGCCTCGTCACATTTGGCAGTGGTGGGGATTTGCATGATGTTAGTCCCGCATCTGGACCGTTCGGCTTTTTTCTGGTTGCGGGAGACTCTCACGTTGTCACAAATCTGAAGAAAAGGAAAGGTGAACCGGAACCATTTACCTTCCTTGACTGTCCTTCAAATGTTCGAGATCAGCCAGAACATAAAGTTCAAAGCGCAAGAGTAACCTGTCTGAGCGATGACTTGGAAGGCTGCTTCCGAATACTTGAACGTGGCGTTGAAGGAACCATTGTTGAAATGCCGGACAACGTAGGTTCATAACGTCTTACTGTTTCGTAAAACGGTGTTGGAGTTTACTGATTCAAAATGACTAAAGTGCGCCCCAAATTCGTTTGCTAGAGCTATTTCTCTGAATATCTCACCAGGTGAGTAACTAACTATGGAAAAATCTCAGAAATTTTGAGTTATGACTAATCGATAGAGATATGCCAGACCAATCAGTACCTTTGGGCATCAGAGACGGGATTCCCCCTTCTCCCGTATATGATTTTTCGTTTGACTTCAACCTTGGACTTATGCGCAGAGACTCAGACAACACGAGATTTCGATTGGATTACTCTAACGTCCCCGGCTATTGGAACCATCTTGTCAACGCACCAGGCATACAATCTAGAGATTTGAACAATTTGGAGAGTCGGTTCTTCGCTCCAACAACAGAAGATTGGAACACAGCATTTGAAACCATCGAATTCGATTGGTCTCCCACAGACGCTACGCAGATTCAAGAAGATGTGAGCGCGCCGGTTTTCTGGCAGTCCGCGGGCGACTGCTCTATAGGTAACTCTACCTATGCAGAAGGCTTTGGTGCATTTGTTCAAGGCAAGATTGATGCACAATTTTGGTTTGGTTTCTCTATGATTGTAAGCCCTTTGTCCCATTATTACAGATATTGCTTGATGAGCAATGTTTGTTGGTGCTACGATATTAGGAGAATAAATTTAATACTGACTCTTTGTTTTGATAGGCAACACTCAAGGACAACAAATTTGATGTTCATCAAGCGCATGGCTTTCTCAAAGCAAGGGGGCAAACAGATCTAACATATGGCATTGGTGGCATTGGGGACATTGATATCTCTAAAGCAGGAAAAGGCAACCCAGCCATTAGCGATGATAATCTCGTTAACCTAAAAGGGCATACAATCAATACTCCAAAATCTGGGGGGAGGATTTCGCTTAACCCATATTATCAACTCACTTATCAAATGGCCACTTTCAATGGGTCGACCGGTAACGATTTTGAGAACAGTGTGGCTTCATTCAACGGACGGCTGACTACTCGCATTATCACGGATCTTGGAGATTTTCAGGCAAACTTTCCGCCTCCTGAAAATCTACCCAATGAGGCGTACAATGACAAACGCCAGCAGAATAAAATATCTATTCCTGAAAACGACATCCTATACGGCACTTCTAATGACGGAGGCCACATTGCTATCGGTACTAATCTCATTTTTGGGTTGAAGTTGGAATTTTTTGTCTTCGGTGACTTATTCAGATGGGACTTTGATCTACCAAAGGTATACCGATCACTTAATTCCAGACAACTAAAGCCTATCCTAGACAAGGTGCTAATTGAATATAGATGAATCTGGTGTATAACACCATGGAAATCTTTACTTTCTCTCCAGGAAGTGCGGACCACCCTGAATTTGCATGTTCTGACTACGAGGTCATGTGAGTTATAATTCTTGCAACCCAATACTACAACGAAGTTGAAGCTTACAGTTTTTGGACTCAAGTACAAATGTTTATCAAACAGTGGAAAAAGGGTAAGTGATGTCATCTACGTATGATTACGAAGTATTGAAGCATTTAAACTGATATCTCTTCAGAGAATCTCTTGGTTGGAATGATTCCAACGCCTTGACAGCAAATCTCGCATATGATCGAGTGAGACTACCTGCATCTATATGAGCTTTTATTGGCTTTTGTACTAATGTAGCTAGCAAATACCCTCTCGAGGCCAAGTTTGCTACCCAGCAGCGGACAGTTCAAAAAAACGCCGCGATATACACACCGCTGATAGCGGAAACCTATCACATGAGAAAACGGATATACCACTCGATCATATGTATCCGGATGCCGATTGCCTTGAATGCAAGAAGCAGTCTCTTGGTCCTCGAGGATTCGGGCAGATTAACCCATGGCAATACAGCCCTTACTCCCCAGCGGAACCGAGCATTTATTTTGTAGATGCTCAGGACCTCATCACATTCGACAGCTCGAAACCTAAATTTGATTGTAGAGATTGTCAGACTTGTTATGAAGAAGAGGTAAGCGAATGTTGCGGATGCGTTTCTCTGGACGTTACGTGGCCCAATATGCTGGATATGTCTCCTTGCGACATTGACGTATGTGAACCGCTCACTGGCGCGTGGCTGGGCACCTCTTCCATTTCAAAAAGACAAGAAGACCTTTCTGAACTCAAATGCGAGATAATGAATGATACATTTGTCGATGATGGACAATCACTATCTCCACGGCAGCCTGCAAATCCGGTAATAAATATAACAAAGAAGCGAATTTCGGTTTGCAAAGTCCCCTTTGGACTAAACGCGCCATACAACTATCCATCATTTCCGGAAAACCCTAACACGCAGTGGGATGGAGGGAAATTTGATGCAGTATCGAGGTACTGGGGCAACACATCAGGAATTTGCCAAAGCTGGGCAGTAGGCAAGGTGCAGCCTGCGGACGTGACATATATACCCAATAGTCTCGGAGGGTACAATCGGCAAAGGTCGCTTTATCAAAGTACGTATATGCTTCGTTTGTAACGGTCAAGATTTGTTTCACTAATATGTTGCTACAGCCGAGCACCCTTTTGAGGCGCAGTTGATCAGCAACTTCTTTACCAATTGGCTGGACAAGGGCCGGTTAAATGACCTGGACCAATTTGTCTACTCAACACCCAAGATGCCATGTGCCGTGACCAAGGCCTGGGTAAACAAGGTTGTCCCAGATTTCCAGATATTGCGTAACGGAGTGCTAGGGAGCGCAGCATTTCCTCAGCTTCTCTTGACAGAGCTGGGCAGTCAACAGCACCAGGACCGCCTCACCATTATGCTCGCGAGGCTTAATGGGAGGAAAGGAAGAGTAAGGAAATTCTCGCCTAATTGCAAATATGACCGCTATTTTTTTTTTTTTTTTTTTTTTTTTTTTTTCTCCCATTCCTGAACTGCCATCTAATTTTCATTTTTACAGATGTTTCAAGGGCACAGAATTGTAATCGATGATAATTACAAATTGCAAACTCAGCAAGAACAGCTCTTAGTAGCAAAGGAAGTGGGTGAGTACAGATTTATTCAAAGGCCCTTTACCGTCTGATTAGCAAAAACTAAACAAAATAGGCATGATATTCAATTATTTCAACACAAAAGAAGTGTGGGATATGTTTTGCGCTTCATATGAGGCCATGTACGACCACATGGGTGCCTTCAATACTTTTTACGCGCGACAGGGCCAAGCTGTCACGATACCAGACTTACAAACCGAATGGGAAGAGTTTGTCCGGACTACTCTAGACAACATAGTGACTCGGAGTCTCACCGCTTTTGACATGATGTACGAGAACAGACGGTATGTGAAATCAGGGTTCAAATGTCTTTCACACTCTGCAGACCTGATTCTAGAGCTAACACACGGTAAACGGACAGTGCGGGTACCAGCTTTTTCAGTACTATATTTCCGATTGCATGGCTGTATAACAAATATTGGAACAGGGGTTCGATTAGGTTGACCGGAACGTGTCCGCATTTAGGCGCTACTAGAGTGTAGATTTATGTTAACTACTGCTACTACTGCTACTACTGCTACTACTGCTACTACTGCTACTACTGCTACTTTTGAATACAGCTTGTAATTCAATAGTTTTCAAGTTTAGACTGACATGTCCTTAGGAATCTTCAACTGGGGTGTTGAATAACAGACCTATAGTGTTGGAGGACCATTTCCACAGTGTATCATTACTATCCGACAACCTCCCCAATGCCAGCCAAGGTATAACCGCTCTTCAGTACAGACTTTTCAGATTTCTCAGGATCATAGCCAACAGATCTCATCCATTCCTCAACAGTTTTGATGCGGTCTGGCTTAATCTTATCCAAGCGCTGGTAGTCCCTCGTCCACAACCCCGTGTTACCAACACTATTCGTCCAGACCATGAACCAGTTATAAAACATGCTTTGCGGCGTCCAAAGCGTAGGGTCATCGTATCCTGGCGAATGGGCCACACCCATTTTGATAAGCGGAAAGTACTGGCGAAACTCCTCTTCAGTCATTGGAACGTATCTTGACGGCTTCCCCGTGACTGCTGTAAGTGCGGAAGCGAGCTCTGCTCCTGAAGTGTGCTTGATGCCCACGCTCAAGAGGTCTCCGCGGAATTCTTCTGGGTTCTCAAACATGTACCGCGCAAACCAGGCGAGATCTCTCAGAGATACGAGCGCCATGCAGCCGCTCTCTCCCAAGAATAACTTCCAGATCCACTCGCCAGTCTTTTCGTCAAGCTTCGGAGCACGGCGATAAACGGTGTCGTCAGCGTATGGGCCGCTTTCCAACAGGCTCCAATTCATGACATCTGTCGGCTGAGACTTGAGATATTCTAATATAGACTTAGTAGATGTTCTGTTGATTAACAGGCATGGCCTCATACCTCCAAATTTGGCTTTTCCATCTACAAATGGGACGCGGAATCTGGGATTGAAACCGCTCTTCTTGGACACATATGGCAGAGTGCTATAGATGAAGTGCTTTACACCAGCCCAGAGTGCAATTTCGTAGATGCGAATACTCCAATAGATTTCGCTCTTCTCTCCAATTGCGAAGCCATTCGTGTTCACAAAGACAGAATCAATGCCTTTGAAGGCAGATGTGAGCACCTCTTCGTCATAAGTGTCGCCCTTGACGACTTCAACGCCGGCCAAGGCTGCCAACTTTTTGGGCTCTTCTTTTTCTGTATCTCGACTGAGGATGCGCACTTTATGTCCTGCCTGGGCAAGTTCTTGGGCAACATAGGAGTTTTGTGCTCCTGCGCCACCAAGTACAAGAATGTTTAAGGGCCGAGCCATCTTAGAGACGCGAGTTAAGCAGATAAAAGAAGTCAGTGTCTCGTTTGTTGAGGTCAACATTTGGCCTCGGGGACATCGCCCTATACTTATAGTACATCATTCTTCTCCCTTCAAGTTCTTCTTTTGCGACCGACATTCTATCCCACCGAGTCTGAGCTAAACTCAGCCTTCATTAATAATGTGGAATGTGTAATTCTCTTTTTGTTGTTTTTTGGATGTCTTTTCAAAGTCTACTTCAGTAATTTTTTTCTGACACTGCTGAAACTGACCTTGGCTGACCATTACTTGATTAGTGATGCCGAGGATTCATGTGTATTAGTCTAGGTAGGTTTGGAATCACAGCACATATGATGTAGGCCAGCCTAGTAAATCGGCTAATTCTGACGCACGGCCAATCTTGCATTGTCCAGTACTGGTGTATAATAACTAAACATGACGTTCATGTCGACGATGAGAGGAAGACGCTCGCGGGGATTACGACTTGCCCGGTACATTTAAGAGACGTTGCTATAGTAAAGCTTCTATTCAACTCTTCCCTGTAGCATTTTACTCACCCAACTTTTCACCTTGAAGATATTTTACACACTTCCTTCGTGATATCAGATAACTGGAGCTGCTAATAGTAACTATGCTTGGAGGCCGCCTCAGCGACGTAGAAGCCCAGACCCATGGAGCCGCCGGAGACGGGGACGCGATGGCTTTAGAACCCGTTGAGGTGTTTAAGCAACATACCTAGTAGTGGAGGCTAGCCTTTGTATGTAAAATCTTGAAGAGTGAAGTTGTTGGTGTAGGCGGTAGATACTCAAGGCGCCTTATTCTGCCTCTATTATGTATCTACATACTCATTTGAATCAGGCGAAAACACCCTGACTCTCTTGTCGTTCGCGCCAGTAACATTCATCTTCTCCTCTTGTTTTCGCATTCTATTGCCTTCGGCTTCTTTCATCTGCGTCACAATAGGCTTCCACACTATGTGTAAGAGCCGTCCTTAAACTTGGACGATTTTGCGGATCCCAAGCCAGCATTCAGCGCAGCAGTTCTGCAGGTGGTTTGCTCATGTACTTTTCCTTGGCCCGCGTACTCAAAGAAGTTTGGAGAATGCGGTAAGTGTACCCGTTGGTGACAGCGGTGCCCCAGAAAGACCAGACAGCGTCTGGTATAAATAGGAATGGCGCTCTTGAGATGTTCCATATACCGGGGGCCTAGTATTAGTTGGTCGAAAGGTATACCCGTGAACCTGGCAGGGCTTGGGGCAGCTGGCAGCCTTCAACAGAATGGGCTGTTAGACATTACCAAGAAGCTGCTTTGTTTAGCAAGGCCTCAGATGACAAACGTAAAGGCTCCTTCCTAGCTATCCAGCACTCTTTGCGTACCGTCTGCTGTCCCGCCCATCACGTCCTGCATGGCCACAAGACATCCCTCCGAGGATGGATCCATGCCGTCCTTGCGGTTAGATTCTAGGGCGGTTTGTATGCCATTACCGCCGTTGGCGAGGCAGCGACCGCAGATTCACCCCAATATCCGTATATAAATACGCAAATACTAGAAGTATCTGAAGTGCGCTTATTACTAGAAATAGTAGGTAGTAGTGAGATGCATCAAGCAGGGAGTTTGCCGAGGCCTGAAAGCGTAAAACAAAGTACGGGTTGATTAGGGACTAAGCCCCGCTAGCTCCATAACGTACAGTACCTAGTTATTAGCAGAAGCTCTAGTATAAAGCCACGCTCCCCGCTTGCTTGTCATTTCCGAGCGACTTCCCTCCTTCGCACAGGAGTATAAATCTTCCGTTCCGAGCTAACCTAAATCTTGTCCACCGACTTCACATCCGCGCTTCACTTTATCAATCTACCATGGTGACGACTAGCGCGTCGAGCACTCAAGGCGACCCAAGTGACGATGATCCTTCTACCCAACCTGCTAGTCCTCCTTGGTTAGTGAAATGGTTTCTGTGTAACTCCGCCAGGCTGTCCGCCTGCGAGGATTACCGTTGCCACTCTACTGTATGATATATCCGGCAAGAGGGTCCTCTGAGCGCAAGATATCTACCTATTCTACTCGACATGGTTTGCGAACCTGTTGAAGAATTGGATTCTTGTTGGCCGTGGCGGAGAAGTTTATTGCAATTGCATCGTAAGCGACGAGAAATGAGATTCCGCCGCTTCTGCAGTGCATGCTCTGTCCACCTCCGTTGCCCAGTGCTTTTTTCGAGGATAATATCATTATGGTGCTGAGCGGCGAGACTTTCCACTACAGCCCAAGTGACTGCTTGTTTCCATGATATCCATACTAGAGCTATTCCCTCCTATTCATGCCTGAAGCTCAAGACTAACTAACCAATGATAGTTCTGAACACGAACATATAAGCGAGTGTGTTTTAGCCAAGTGTAAATCAAAACGCAAATCAGAACAAGAACAAGTCGAGAAATGCAAATTCGAACATTCTTTCCCAAATAGCAGTGCAACATGGACGAATGAGAATGGCCAAATGCAGAGCGTTGATTGTCTCTCTCTTGATATCAACATGGACACTTTAACCACCAACAAGGCCATGTTCAAGCTTTCTTGCTCAATTTTCCTTAAAAAGAAAGACAACAACAAACTATTCATCTATCTATTCATACTACCTCCCAACATCCGTACCATTGAGTTGGAAGTCAACGGGGGCAACGTGTCGCTGCATTTCTACATGGATCGAAACGCTGCACTTGTCGTCCCTAGAGATGATCCCGTTGAGCCTAAAGCAAGATCTGAACAGCTGCTGAATTTAATGAAAGCGCTATCCCTTGTCAAGGATTTCACCATTCAGCTGGGGAATACCGACATACCAGAGTCGATCAAGTCAAACCTGGACCATGCTGCATCTATATTCTCGCCTAATAGTCAATGCCGCCCAGGCACAAACGAAGAAATCTCTGATCTTAAATCGTTATACAACGGTAAAGGAGGCGAGGTTTTTAATGTAACCGCAGCTACTACAAGCATCTCCAAAGAAGCAAGTGTACCACCGCCATATCCGTCAAGTAAGCACGCCAAATCTAAAAGTTGCCCGCAGTGTATCTAACCCAGCTTTAGATAAGCATAAACGTAAACGCGAACAGTCTGCTTCTGGCGAAGTGATACACGATTTGAGAAAAGACTTGGAGACTCGTTTGGCCCGCATGGAGGCTTGCCTCGCCGAGACGCAATCTCGCCTTGCCAAAACGGAATCTCGCCTCGCCGAGCTAGAGGCTAGTCGTGAAGAATCGGGGGAAGAAGGGACTGACCGTGGAAAATACGGAGAAGAAGAGGTGGCGACTCAAGTTGGCGAACTCCTCGATGATTTCATCTACTCCCATGCGCTCGAGAATATGGTCGAAGACCTCGTGGGAAAATACATGAGCCATCTCAACGTCGATGTGGACGATATGTTTGCAGAGAAAGAGAACAGGTTCGATGAGACTATAGAGGAGATAAAACAAGATGTTATGAAAGACTGTCGTGAGATTGTACTTGAGCAAGTCAAACACCACTTGGCAGAGCTTATAGATACGCGACTTGAACTCAGCTTCAGTAAGAAGGAATCATGATAAATTTTATTTTGCTCTGTAAGATCTTGATTCATTGACGTAACCCTTTAAGAATTATACAAAGAGATGGCTATATCGAAAGTGTACTGTAGATTCCCTGTATAACACTCAAGGTAATTTCTTATTTAACTGTGTCAGCTTTCCTCAAACCTGCATCGTTTCGGGATGTCGCTATGAATCAGACACTAATGCGGGGCACCGGTAGGTACATGAAATTGCACCTAGCTATGCCGTAAAATCAAGTACCGGCGCCACGTTGCTGCTAAGGCCGCGCTATGCATCACGGACTGGACCCCTGAGCGCCAATCCACTAAAGCATCTGCAGTACGTACCACCATCTCTCGAGGCCATCACAACCTCCAGCCAGGTCCGCATCTTCTTCTTTACTTACTATTTATAATTCTCCTCTTCTTTCCCCCCTCTTCCCACCTTTCTTGTGTCTTTTGCATATGCGGCTGGCTACATGTTAGTCGCGGCGTTTCTCCGCAATGGCTTGGGCCTCCTGGTGCCTCTGGCAATAGCCTGCACCATCTATCTCTATCTCTATCCCTTTTTCGGCGGCTGCGCGTTTCCCCTGTCGTCGAGAGACTCCAACGAGGCCTTTGAAGCAACCAAACGACTGCATTGGCCGTACACCGAGCTCGAGTCCGAACCAGACCATGTGCCGACGCAGCTGGCTCCCTTCCGGCTTCTCGCTCTGGGCGATCCCCAGCTAGAGGGCGATACGTCGATCCCAACCGTCATCTTGGGCACGTTCCCCCATGTATTCAGCATCTTCGACCATGTCACGTTTCGCACCGAGCACTGGTGCTTTCGCGAGCGCGTGCGGCAGATTGTGCACGACATTGTCGACATCTTCTTCGAAGACATCCCGTGGTTCCTCGAGTCTCTGCGCAAGCGCTTCGACCTCTTCGGCAACGACTTCTACCTCGCCCACATCTACAGAACGCTGCACTGGTGGTCGCGCCCGACTCACGTTACGGTTCTCGGGGACTTGTTGGGCAGCCAATGGATAGAGGATGATGAATTTGACATACGGGGCCACAGGTTCTGGGAGCGAGCTTTCCGCGGCGGAGAACGAGTGCCCGACGATGTGGCCGTGTGGCCGAAACACGAGTATGAGCTCGCAGGCATGCTGGATGGATCCGAGACGGAGGATATTTGGACAAGAAGAATCATGAACGTTGCTGGCAACCACGATATTGGATACGCAGGCGACTTGACTCCCGAACGACTGGACCGCTTCGAGCGTGTCTTTGGCAAGGTCAACTATGAGCTTCGATTCGGAATTCCGATCAACGACACCGATGTGCTAGCCACCTTGCACGACGATGCGACAAACCCCGAGTCGACCCGACTTGAGCCCGAGATTCGCATTGTTATTCTCAACGACATGAACTTGGATACTCCTGCCAAAAACACAACTCTACAGGACGCAACGTATAGTTTTATCAACAAGGTTATCGGAACATCGGCTGCTGTCGAGTATTCTGGAATATTCACCCTCGTCCTAACCCATATTCCTCTTTACAAACCCGAAGGTGTCTGTGTCGACGCGCCCTTTTTCGACTTCCACACCCCGGAAGAAGGCGGCGGCGTCAAGGAGCAGTATCTGCTGAGCGCGGATGCCAGCAAGGGCTTCCTCGAAGGATTCTACGGCATGAACAAGGACCCCAGCGCCGCAGCCGGTGGAAGGGGCCGCAAGGGTCTGATTCTCAACGGCCACGACCACGAAGGCTGTGACACGTACCACTTCATCAACCAGACAAACGGCACAGATCCAGCTGAGCGCTTCTGGGAAGTGGCCAGATGGCGTGATGCCCAGGCTCAAGGGCTGCCCAACCTGACCTCTGAAGGTGTCCCAGGCCGCCGAGAGATTACCGTCCGCAGCATGATGGGCGACTTCAACGGCAACGCCGGCCTTCTCAGCATGTGGTTCAACCAGGAGACGTGGGAGTGGGAGTACGAGTTTGCAAACTGTCGCCTCGGCACGCCGCTTTTCTGGTGGTTTGTCCACTTTCTGGATCTGGGAGTGATAGTGGCCTTTTTGGTGTATATCGCGGTGACCATCATGGGCGCTGCAGGTGTCGATGTGGACGCGCGGTTCTTTGAAGCAGTTGAATGGAGCAGACGCAGATTTTCCCAATGGTGGAATAAGAACAGCAATAGAGCAGCGGCGACGACACAGAATGGACATGCGAAGATGAACGGGTGATTTGGACATGCGCAGCGAAATACCCAAAAGCTTTCTTTTTTGTACAATACAATAGAACACGTTTTAATGTAGCATAGGTACTTGGGATCAAGGGGAGGCAAAAGGCACTTGTTACGTTTGTTTGCTTGGGTTCTTTTGTAAAAGGCGACGGGCACATGTTGGCAAATGCATGAGTGGTGTTGTTGCTTTTCTTACATTTTGGAGATGACACAGGTTTACGAACACGAGGTTTTTCTTGGCTCCGGGTTTCATTGCATGGATTGAAAGACACTGGCGGAGATGTCTGTCTTGGTGGATGACGAGCTCTCTGTATACCGCTCGCTTGAATTCGTCGTTACTCTACAACATGGTTATAGCATATTTTCTAGAATGTTGAGCTCAGTATCAGCTTGCACATGATCACATCTCGTATCGGCTGTGTGACATAGATCATGCATAAGATGCCGCGTTTCTGCGCCCGGGTTACCGAGAGGCAATTTGAGCCATGTGTTGCGTAAACCGAGAGCTCTGTGGTTGTAGCACTTTGTTCATCGTGCTTTTGAAGATCCAACGGCGATTACATGGAACTATCAATCTGTAATCTACAATGACAAGGTACGACCAAGCACGATGACGCGTTACTGTCGTTGTGATGGCGATATGTGACTGGCGACACGAGAGATCTTGCATTGTGACCAACCATACGCCTATGTAGGGTGGCCTATGAGGATACGACACTAGGAATGTGATGAAAATCTCGAGACGCGGGTTGGACAAGCAAACAACTGAGTTATAGTTCCCGAGAAGCTTTGTGGCCACGATCTTGTGTAGCAAACTCAATTCGATTATCGTCTTACAGGCTTCATCACAGGCATAAATAGCAGAAATGGCCCGTCTTGTTCATGCCGTCGTCCGTCTCCTCTGTTGTTTGCAAAATGATTTACTATTGACAATGGATGCTTTAATACCAACAACCTACTCCTACCGAGCCTTTCTCTCCATCAAAATGCTAGTCCTGCGTCTTCTCGTGGCAGTTCTCTTCCATCTGCCCGTCGTCCTCTCATATCCCCACTATCCCACGCATCTTGCTCTCCGTAGTGGAGGTTTATCAACAAATCCTCCTCTCCCAACTACTACCGCCCCTTCAATCCCTACTTCACTGCCTCCACCGTCACCTACTCCGACTCCGAACCCAACCACGACTGGAGATCCTTGGAAAGACATGTGCAAACCGGGCGCTGAATGTGACTGCTCTCGCATCGCGGACAAAAACGGCGAAGAGTAACTAAATCTCCCCTCTTGATGCCTACAAAAAAAGGCCGCTTTTTTTGCTAAACAAGGGTATTATTTGTAGATACTTCCAATGCGTCACCAATCCTCGCTGCGACCACTGCTGGATCAACCTCACAACCACCTCAACGACAACAACTCGCCCCCTACCACACACAACCCTCACCCCTATCACAAACTTTCTCAAAACGGACTATCAAACTCTCTTGCCAGGCACTTACACCAGCTCTTCCGGCGGCACGGCTCATGTCGTGATTGTGCAGCAGCCGTCTCAGTCTGTTTCTGTCAGCGTTGTGACGGCTACTGTGACTGATTTGGTGACGGTTTCTGCGGCTCCTTTCTGTGGTGGTTCAACGGCGACGGCTTTTCCGTCTGTGGATGTTCGGCGTAGTGTGAGGTGGAAGAGATGAGTGACAAAAGTCTTAGATGGGAGACAGAGAATGGAAAATTGTGTGAAAAGTTGATGATTTGTAGGTTTGGTCGATGTGCATTTAATGATATTAATTTTTTACTGTCAAATATCTCTTAGTTAAAACATCACTAATACGTTTTATGAGAAGCGAGTTATCTTCTTATCAATTCTGCTACTGAAAGAGGAAGAAAGATGAGATAGGAGCAGACATAAACATAACACCCACATTACCACCTACAGCCATATTCCATCTTCACTTCACTACACTTCACTGAATCGGATCCCCAAACATCTCTTGTTCAATAAAATCCATCATCTCGTACATCCTCTAATATACAAGTCGATTTACAAAGAAGTACATTTTTCATCCTTCTTGTCGTAGCAAATACAAACCAACCAAGACTTGGCCCATCGAAAAAGAGCCGCCTCGCGCGTCGAGCCCTTCCCTTTTCCCTCTTCCCCAATTCGAGCATAAAGGCTTGACTTGCCCATGCCATGATGCCGAAAAAATATCTATATATGCAAATAAATCCTGTCCTCTCGATCGGCAAACGCGAGAACCATATCCTGCCCTTTTTGGGGTTTTCCTTCTTCTCTCACGTTTCCTTTTTTTCTCCTCCCTTCTGATGTTTTTACAATTATTACAGAGCTGAAACCATTATGTAGCGGAGAGATAGTGAAACGCCGTATCCATCACCTTTTTTTGTGTCCTCTTTTTCAGGATTGTTGAAAGGGGCTGCTTCATGCCTTGGGGGCCTCGCCACCCTCCTTCTTGGATCCAAACATGCCAGAGAAGTTGCCCATCATGCTGTTCATCATCTCTTGCTGGGCCTTCTCCATGGCCTGCTGCTCCTCCTTGAGCCACTTCTCGCCGTTCTCGCGGATCTCCTTCTCCAGGGCCTGGTAGTTTCGCTGACCGCGTTCGCGAGCAATGTCCTGGATCATCTTGCCCTGCGCATAAGCCTCGCTAGGATCCTGCTCTCCGTCAATGGGCACAGTCATGCTCATCTTGCTGGGCTTCAGACCCAGCAGGCCGCCGAGCGCACCCATGCCTGATGGCTTTCCATGGCCCTTCTTTTCAGCAAGCTTCTTGTTGAATTCTTTTCGAGCAATGGCTTCTCGGCGGGCAAATTCGGTGGGAATGTGCTTTCCTTCAAAGGACTTGAGAATCTTTCGCACGTCCGAGTACTGCATGGTGTGGATATATTCGAGGAAGGGAATCAAAGCCACAAGCTCCTTGTCGCCGGCCTCACCCTTCCAGGGGTTCAAAACAATGGCGTTCTCGGGCTGTTTGCGGACGTGGGAGGCGTTGGTGTCGAGGATGATAACTTTGGAAAGATCACGGTTGAGGTACGAGAGGTCCTATTGGAGTATAAGTCAGCTTGGATTCAAAGATGAAGAGTGACAAAGATGTTGCGTGGAATTTGTAGTGAGAAGCTTACCTTGACAATCTCTCCGTCCTCGTATTTGGTCGCCTCGCGATACAGAGGCCACATGATGAAGCGGAAAGGGTCCAGCTTTCGGACAACTGGTTCTGCCATGCCAAAAGGCTGTGTAGTAAAGAGAACCAGCTCGTAGTACTGACTCAAGTATCGGATGAAGTAGTCCATGCCGGGACGCTTGGCGACTCTCCAGCCATGCTCACGAGTCCATTCGCTGTGAATGAGCATGTCGTCCAGGCTGAGGCAGAGGGTGTAGGGTCGCTCGAAGCTGGGGTCGGGATCAGGTAGCAGCTTCTGAAACGCTGGGTCCTGGTAGTAAGAAACAGACTCGCCCCATCGCGCCTTGGTGCGCTGCCACCACAGAAGAGGGGTCCAGCCGTTGGGAATATCCGGGTGGCGGTCGGCTTCGATGGAGTCCTCCCAGTTGCGACCCATGTATGCAATGCTAAGAGCCGATCCCGAGCCAGCAACGGCCAGCATGAAGCGAGTCCACCACTTGCGGTTGCGCTCGCTGGTAGAGACATACTCTTCTCTTCCTCCACGGCCTCGGCCACCACCGGCGGCTTCCTCCTCGGCGCCAACCTCCAGTGCTGACTGCGACTGCGACTGCGACTTGCCCGCTCTCTGCTCAAGTTCGGCCTCTAATGTTGAAGGAATACCCTGCGTGAGATCGGGCAGCTTGTGAAAGGGGATGGGCTCAGGCTCGGCAGACTCGGCGGGCTTCTGCGAGGCAACATTGCCCTCTGGCGCTGATGAGCTTTCGGCGGCGGGGACTTTCGGTGTTGATGAGGCCTGCTTCTGGGTGTCTTTGGGCGGCTGCGCAGAGCTCGGCTTGTTGCTCGCATAGGCTCGGAGGAGCTGATACGCTGGGGCTGCTGTCGCTGGGCGAATCCGGAGAGGCTGCAGGGCCGCAGCTCGTGGTAGGCGGCCGACCGTCAGCCCCAGCCGAGAGGCCTGAGCTACTCTAGAGAGCATCGTGAGATGAGACGAGACGTCGTTCAAGGATGTGGCGGGACAGATAGAAGGCGAGATTGCTCAATTGCGCATGTCCAGGCCGCTGGACGATGACCTCGATGCCGCCGGATCCAATGCTCTGAGTGGCTGCTGCGGGTGTTGGCTGTCGCAGAGAATGGAAGCTTGTTAGTGACTCTCTCGCTCTTCTCCTCTTGCGTATTGGCCCGCCTCCGTCATCCAAGAGATTTTTTTTGTCGCGGCTGCATCTGCCGGGGTTTAAGCGATTCTGGCATGTTCTGTTCGAGGTGGGGGTTTCTGCATTTGCCCCGTTTAGGTCCCTCACTGCCGCGTCCGGCCTAGCGCGCTCGCATCCGGCTCACGTGCAAGGCGCGGCCAACAATTTGGAGAACTCTCGGCCTTTCCGCTTTCTGCCCCAAAACCTCCGATCGGTACCGGGTACTTTGTGATATTCCCGGTTTGTCATAGACAAAAATCGGCCTTCCCCAGCTTCCGTCTTTTGTCTTGTCTTCCCCTCACACGAGCAAACCCTTGTTTTGGTCCTGTCTCTCTCTCACCCTAATACGACGCTCACCGTGGCTATTGCGACTCATTAGCAGTGATATTACTGGCGGCTCTTGCTCCAGGTCCCCTGTCTCAGCGCCGCCCTGGAACACCCGCCATTCCTTAACCATCGCCTGATCATCGTCTCTCGTCTTCCGCCAATCACCCAGGACCCCTATCATGGCTTTTGCGTTTGGTGCAATCTAGAGGGTGGTTCATCTCGAGTCTTGTCATCTCGCCATGGAACCACCCTCGACGAGGCACCTCGTTCCTTGCAATTGATTGACTGACTTTATTCCGCCCTATTTAACCGCCGGTGTGGCAGGCCGGCTGGACCCCAGATTGCGAATACCATTTCTACAATACGGATTGCGTTTTCACCATAATTCGCCACATCTCAAAGTTGGAAACAAGCCATATCTCCTTTTCTGCTCGACCACTTCATCATGTCTGAACATCCCTCCAAGAGCAGCGGCCGTCGGCCATCGATGACCAAGCCCGTGCCGCCACCAGCCCCAAGAAAGGCGCAAGCCACGGGCAAGAAGTCGCAAGCTGGCGCGCATAAACCATACGCCTCAGGAAGCAAGGCGCACATAATTTCAATACAGAAGCCTCAAGCGGCTTCAAGCATGATTGAGGTCGAGGCTCCCGAGCAAGTACCTCAGACCGTGGCGGGTAGCAGCGACAATAAGCTAGAAACCACATCCACCGATTCTCTGGCTGTTGACATTGCTTCTTTGACTCTCGATACCCCCATCATCGAACTTCGAAAGAAGCCACCGCGCGTCCCGGCAACGCCATTTCACTTTCTTTCTCTGCCCTCGGAACTGCGCGTCAAGATTTACGAATACTACTTTGACGAAGACGAAGACGCCCTAGACCTCTCCCCAGAAAACTACAAGCGCTACCACAAGAGGCTCGGCCTCATGCGCGTCTGCAAGCTGCTCCGCGACGAAGCAACCTACTTCTTCTACGGCACCCGGACCTTTCGCATCTTCCCCACATATCCCGGCAAATACTTCAAGAGCAAGAAGCCCATACTCGCGCGTCTCAAGCCCCGCCAGCGCGAATGCATCACCTCTTTGGAATTGCGCCTCGGTCCGGGGTGGAATGCGCCACCCAAGGGGTGGGCTGTCAACGATGCGCTGGGGCTTCAGGACTGCATCAATGTGCATCAGCTCAAGGTCCTTGTGGAATGCGACCCCAGTGACAACATCTTCAAGGGCTTTCGTCGCTCCGAGGGCTTTTACGAGAAATTCAGCCGACAGCTTCTTGCCAGCGTTCTTGAGGCGCTGCCGGCGGTGAAAGTTGTTGAATTCGATGCCTGGTCTAGCGTCAAGAAATCGGGCGCTATGATGACTGGCCTTTTCAAGGTGGTGACCGAAAAGGAGGGCTTGTCGATTCAATGGGGACCAGACCGCGGCTGGACTGACGCAGAGGAAGAAGAACCCGTGGCGACGGTTGGGCCAGATCCCAATAGGCCAATCGAGACCGTTCCGATCCAGGGGTTCGGAAACGCACACAACATGGGTCTAATGGTTGTGGCGTAAATGGGCATGGAGCCATGGGTATTGAGATTCAGTTTGGATCTTGCTGGAATGATTGTTACGATGGATGTATCCTATTATATGAACAGGCGCCTTGTTTTAAACCTTTGATTACCCTTTTCTATTCACCTTTACTTTTCAAAGCGTCAGTCTTGTTTACGGCGTCAACGGCCCCAAATGAGGGTACGCGCTCTCTTTGCATAGGTAGCTCAAATATACCACCACCCCTTCTATAGGCTATTACTACTCCTAAACTGTCTCATAAAGTTGAAAACATGGTGCATTTCGCTTCATTTGGTATCCCATATAGATTCAATTTCCCAAAACTACTACTTTCTCCTTCTCCTTTCCTTAGAGCGCCCCAAGTGTAGACAGCGCATCCCGCAGCTCCTTGATCGCCGTCGGCACATCGTCGAAATTCAACGCAGATATCGCAAACTTGGCATGTTTCTGCGCCTGCGCCATGCTCTTCTGATCTACCACCGCTCGCGAGCCGCCTCCCAGCTTGGGAATCGGCGGCGGCGCTATCGGAGCCGGTGCGTGGATGGGAGATGCAATGGCCGGCGGGACAGAGGCCGTAGGAGCCGTCCAGGCAGGTGGCACGGATGGGTTGATTGGCTGAGGAGGCTGAGGAGGAGGCGCAAAGGATGTGAAGTGCGGAGGAAGCTGGGGCGTAATGGCAGGTGTAGGCTGGGGCGTGAAATGCGGAGGCTGCGTAGAGAAGAGAGGTTCTGCAGGCGGAGCAGGGCTGGTGCTCATTGGCGACGGAACGAATGGCTCGCCCTGCGGCTGTTCGGGGGCCTGTGGCGGGAAGTATCCGTCTTGGACGTGCTCTACCCGCGAGGGCTCTCCGCCATCAGGAGCGTCTTCCACGAATGCGGCCTGTGGTGGTGAAGCAGTAGCAGCTGTAAGTTCCTGGACATCGGGATCTAGTGGATCGAGCGCGAGTTCGTCCTCTTCTTCTCTGGGCTTGGGGTTTGACTCGTTGGGGTCCTTTCCTTCGCGGATGGCCTTGAGGATGCGGGCGGCGTTCCACTTTGCAAACTTGATCTTTTGGAGGACGTCTGGTTCGGGGGTGCCCCATTCGTGGGTGAGGTCGAAAAAGGTTGCGGCTGCATCAAAGGTATCGGCGGTTTGTCTGGCAAAGTTGTCAGAATCAGTTGTAGCGTTTGTCCGTGTGCCGTGCTCACCTCGTCACTTTATTCGCCTTCATTGTCCTCTCGGCACGATCAAACGTCTCCTGCGCAAACTGCTCGACGTAGGCCTGGCCTGCCGTATTGTCCATGATGGCATCGTCGTCTGGGCGCTCAGACTTTGTGGCCTCGAGGCGCTCGAGCAGCGTCTTTGTGAAGGCGAAGCAGTCATCGTCGGTGGTGTGGAGGCTCTTTCCTACAATCTGGTTGACGGCATGGTATTCGCCTGTTTCTTTGTGTGAGAATACATCATTTTTGGCGCAGAAATGTGCGGATGAATGGGCACATACACCAGTATGAAATGGCTGGCTTAAAGGCGCGCAGCTGGTTTGCTCGGTTGAGAAACCGACTGACCTCGGGGATCTTGAGCGGCGGGGGGATTGGCTCAGCCATTGCGGTTTGCACTCGGCTCGCTGCTGTGCTCGATATGCGGATGGTAAAGTAAAGAGGAAGCAAAGTACAAAGCTTGAGAGGGAGAAGAAAATATTTCGAGTGGCAGAGCAAAGATGCTGGGATCGTGTGAGAGTTGCCTTGCCAGCGACGTAATGAGGTGACGATGCGTCTCCCCCACATTCGCCCACATGGCAGCTTTAAAGCTGGCGCTTTGTACTCTGCCCAGGGACTCAGCACCAGCCACAGCGTTTGCCCCGCCTGAGGTCGCGCCACACTTACAGATGTGGAAGCTGCCGAAAGAGTAAACGGCTTGGCGAAATGACACTGTGTTTGAAATAACATGCACGTTTTCTGAAGTCTTGATGCCATGCTGTTTATTCTCGATAGTCCCATTTAGAAATTCCATTCTTAAATCAAAGTTAGCGCAAACATCAAAAAAGCCTTTTCGCAGAAAAACATGTCACCATGATGTTATAGCTCCAACCCTTCTATAAGTCAGGCCCCAGTGCTGCATTGCCCTGTCCCATTGGTAAGCCACACCTCGCACGGTGCACCCTCCAGCGTGGCCTTTTCTGAAATCTCATCCCCGATTTCACCCAAGGACCAGGCCACTATAAATTCAAGCCGCTGTGACATTGTCGTCGCATTTGAGTCACATCTCTATTTGCTCACTCCTCATCCCATTTTCTCGTAGGTGAAGGGGGACTTCTCATAGGAGAAAATCTCGCCAGCTTATAAAAAAGAGACATCTTTGCTATAAATCAACTTCTCACATCTCACTTACTGACAAGCTTACACGTTCCAACACCATGCATCAACAAACTCTCCTCGCCACTCTGGCGGCGAGTCTTGCCGCCCTGCCTTTTGCCCAGGCCGGCTTGTACTCCAAGAGTTCTCCCGTCATTCAACTAGACGGCAAGTCATACGACCGTCTCATTGCGCAGTCCAACCACACCTCTGTAAGTTCATCTCTCACTATACAACGTGTTAGATACACAAAAACACTAACAAACAACAAGATTGTCGAATTCTACGCCCCCTGGTGCGGCCACTGCAAAAACCTCCAGCCCGCCTACGAAAAAGCCGCCAAAAACCTCCAGGGCCTCGCCAAAGTCGCCGCCATCGACTGCGACGACGAGTCCAACAAGCCCTTTTGCGGCTCCATGGGCATCCAGGGCTTCCCCACGCTCAAGATTGTCCGCCCGGGCAAGAAAGCCGGCCGGCCCGTCGTGGAGGACTATCAGGGCCCGCGCACGGCGAGTGGCATCGTCGATGCGGTGGTGTCCAAGATTAACAACCATGTGGCCAAGTTGACGGACAAGGAGATTGATGCGTTTTTGGAAACGGATGGGGAGAAGCCAAAGGCGATTTTGTTTACGGAAAAGGGGACTACGAGCGCGCTGCTGAGGAGTATTGCTATTGATTATCTGGATGTCATTTCGGTGGGACAGGTCAGGAACAAGGAAAAGGCTGCCGTCGAAAAGTTTGGCATCTCTTCGTTCCCGTCTTTTGTCCTCATCCCGGGAGGCGGCAAGGAGCCTATTACCTATGATGGAGAGCTCAACAAGAAGGACTTGCTCGAGTTTCTCAAGCAAGTCGGCTCCCCCAATCCCGATCCAGCCCCGGCCAAGGCCAAGTCTGGCAAGAAGGCAGCAACTTCAAAGGCCAAGGAAGCCAAGGAAGCCAAGGAATCATCATCTACCACATCCTCCGAAGCCTCTTCAGCCGCCGCGCCCGAAGCCACCCTCATTGAAATCCCCGCTCTCAAATCCAAGGCCGAACTCGAGGAGCACTGCCTCCACTCCAAGGCCCAAACCTGTGTCATTGCCTTTGTCCCCGCATCCACCTCCGAGATGCGCAACAAGATCATTTCCTCCGTTTCCCAGCTCCACACAAAGTACGTTCACGGAAAGCGTCATTTCCCCTTCTTCTCTCTGGACAGCGACGTCGAGGGTTCTGCCACTCTAAAGGAAGCCCTCGGACTCGACGGCAAGATTGAGCTCATCGCCCTCAATGCCCGCCGCGGATGGTGGAGACGCTACGAGGACGGCGAGTTCAGCGTCCACAGCGTCGAGTCCTGGATCGATACCGTCCGAATGGGCGAGGGCGAGAAGAAGAAGCTCCCCAAGGGCGTTGTCGTTGAGAAGCCAGAGACTACCGAGGAGGCCAAGATCGAGACAGAGGCCCCAGCAGCCGAGTCTGAACATGATGAGCTCTGAAAAGAAGCTATATTCTGACAGCTACAAGATCTATGTTAGAAAATAGGAAGAAAAAAAATTGAACAAGATTGAATATAAAACATCGCCAAACAGCAATTTCCATAAAAACTCACCTGGTATCATCCAAAAAGCATAGCAGTCCAAAGAAACGCCCATTACTCATCCAAGCTCACAGCCATCATATCACTCCTCCGTACGGCTCCCTCTTTGATCATCTTTCTTCCCTTGTGCTTCACAATGCCATCCAGCAATCTCCTCACTTGCTTACACCCGTCCACTCCCACTACCAGCATACCCTCCAACCGGCTCACCTGAACGCGGCTCTCACACACCAATACCGCGACTTTATCGCTATCGCCAAGTAATCCAACCGTTAGATACGGCAATTCCTGCTCCTCCTGGGTATTCAGGTCGAGCAGAGGATCGGCTGCATCATCGCCCGCAGCGTAGGAGGAAGTTGAGCCTGCAGTACAGGCTGTGATGTAGTCTGTCATGGGGATACCGGCATCAATGACCGCAAGAGTAGTCGCATTGATCAGCGCAGCAAGAAGCGAGCCATCCTGTGACAAGACGTGCAGAGATACCGTAATCGTCGAGTGTGGGAAAAGGTGAGTATGCAAGTTGGCAGCCAGCGCCTTCTGAATCGTAATCTCCATCTCCTGGATGCGCCTAGTGAAGATATCTCAGTTAGTCATTCTCATCTCCTTTCCTCTTTTATCATTCTTTTGTCTTACCTATCATTTCTCCCCCTCCTCTTGCGATCCACGCTCGAAAACCCAGCCACCACCACATTCACCACAATGCTCGCTCCCTCCTTCTGGCCCGTCGCCTGCGCGCTGCCCACAGTCCCCTTCTTCTGTCCCGCCTGCGGCTCCGCCGGGCCAGTCACCACGCACATGACCTTTGTATGGCCCATTTCGAGATATGACGATCCGTCGGCGGCGTCCTGGGTGTGAATCTGGGCGTGCAGGCGGCGGAGGTCGTTCCATCGGCGGCCGTCGATGCGCAGCAGCGCTAGGGAGTACGTTGATGTGTCGAGAGGCATGGCGACTGCTCCAGGGTGTGAATTGAGCTGCTACTGTCGAATGTAATGGGTTTCGTGGAATATTTTGTCATGTGAGGAAACACAATTGCAGATGTCAGTTAAAAGATCTGAGAGGCCTAGAAATTTTGGAGCTTGAAGCGTAGTGGGGTCAATTGGAGCTGCTGTGTGGCTGATAACGGAATGCTGTGGCGCTGGCTACACAAGCAGTAATCGGAGCATGTCCACATAAAGAGGTTATAAGTAAAAATTAGCCACCATTGGAAGCAGATTTGTACAATAAATGTTATTAGAGGTTCATTATTACATTAATATAGCAGTGGCCACGCGCCCTATCAGCGTGGTCGGGTATAGCAACTACTCCAAGTAAAGCAACTTACACAGCTTTTGACACAATGCTGATACAGTAGTAGAAGAAACAAAGTCAACTCGCTCGCTATAGTAGCCGCCTATGCTCCTCAAATGGAGCCGCATCAATATCATCAATAACAATCCTCCCAGACTTGCTCAGTTCTGCGCCGCGGTCAAATATCGGCGTGGAAAGACGAGTATGTGCCACCTCCTGTCTGCTCACTCTCGCCTCGTCTCTTGGGATCCACAGAGTTGGCTTCGGTTCCCAGAGTTCCGGAGGCTCATAAGTAGCACGTTTGTCTCCTTGTCTATATGCAATTGGCGGTCGTTCTTCCTGAGGAAGCAGCTTGCGTAATGCCACAAAGTCTTCGTGCTCCTCTGGGTGCAGCCACCGGATGAGAAATCCTGGCGGCTCCTCTCCATCTCCATTCCTTAGAAAAGCAAATGTCCTTTTAAGATATTCGTTAATTCCATACTTGCCTGCCTCGGTGTTGAACTTCTTCATAACAGCAGCTTTAATCCATGCCGTTACAGCCATTCGGAGACTGCTGGCGCCTTCAAGGCCCCTGTTGGCGACCACATGGTGATCGTCTTCGTCAGTGTCCTCTGTATCGGGCTCTTCTTCTTCTTCGCCAAATCCTTGTTCCATATCAAAGTAGCTCGCAGCTGCACCGCCGGCATCATTCCCATCAGCTTCTCCAGTGTCATTCTCAGCGGCGAGCTTCATCTTTTCCTCTTCTTGGATCTGCTCCTCCAGTGCCAGTGTTTGTGGTAGATTCCACATCAGGCGCGATATGGCGTCTCTCAGCAGGAAATGAATGAGTCCCGTGAAGAGCAAAAGGGCAATGACCAGCCCCATAGGTCCATACGCCTTATTTAGAATCAATAGGCCAATCAGGCAAATTTGTGCCAGATAAAGGCCGATAATCAGCTGTTGTAGTGCACGCGGATAGAAGAGACCTTTACTATCCGTTGATGTATCGAAAACATAGATCAGGTTGTATTTCCAAACCATGCCCATGAATGCCATACCGCCAGCGCAAAATACAAGAATCAATGGCGCAATACAGGCATATGAAAGTGCTGCCGGAAATATTCATGGTCAGTCCGAAAACTTCTTTTGGATAAGGGCACGGAATAGATGATGGTTTAACATCGGTAGAGAGAAAAACCAAGAGTGTGCAACGTACCAATTACACCCATATTCGTAAAGACAGGAAATATGCCACCCCAGCGAGCAGGTCGAAGCTTGCGCCACGTTCTAAAGCGTGTCCTTGGTACATCAGATGTTTTTGCCACAATCTCATGGCGAATAACCGAAAAGGCCTGCAGGAGACCGGTTGCACCAGTAGCCAAACACTGGATCAGAATATATGACAGGTAGAAATTAGATGCCTTGGGCAGATTCTGTGCGAGAAGTGACTGGATGCCGAGGGGATTCTCGATGATGCTTTGAAGCGCTCCCGAGGCGGCGGAAGTGATGGTTGTGACCAAGAATACTTGCACGACTTGAAAAGCAAAATATGCGTTTTGCGTAAAGAGCTCTCCGATAACGAGAGAAGGAATTCCAGCTTGTGCAGCACAAACTACAAGTTGAGCAGCGATTAGTTCTGGTTCACATTTCACGTTATAGCCAAGAAAAGAAGGTGGGGGGGGGGTTCTTACTTCTCAAGAGGACTGGCACCAGCGCCATGAGCACAGACAATGCAAAAGGCGGGAGGAAACCACCAATAACACCTTTCACAAAACTAGGTAGGTTGCCGACCCAATGAAGAAATGGGACTTCTTTGGTCAGGAAATCAATGTTGGAAACGATGCCGACAAAGGCTGCGGGAATGGACCAAAAGATGATGGCGGCGGTGATGCCACACAGAATCAAGAGACGGCGAATAATGCGTTCCCACCACCTCATCCTAAGGGATTTCCATATGACCTCCTCTGGGCGAATTCCAAGCAGCCCCGGGGCCATTTGTAGCGGCAAATGATGCACCACAACCTGCTGCGCGGCATGAGCAGCCTCTTGGGTATCGAATTCTATAAAGGCAGCAGGGAGAGGGTCGGCTTCGCCTCTCCGGATTCGACGTCGTAATTGAAAGATTTCCTTGTTAAGCTCCTTGAGTCTATTGCGAGTCCACTTGATCGTATCGACTCGACGACCAAAGTTGCCAATGGGTCGATGGTGTGGTCTGTCTTGAGCCGATATCCACAGGGCTGCGACAGAGCCTCTCACGTCTGGCAAGTTGTCTCCTAGGCCGTAAGGATGAACATAATCCAGATCCTCGGCTTTGATCACCTCCTCTTCTTCATTACCAGTCACGATGTCTTTGCCTCCTTCGACGTTGTTGACGTAGTCTTGAAGTTCAATATCCGGCACAATGTGAATTTCAGATAATACCGCTTCCCTCGGCTCGTTGGACTGTCGAACAGTTTCACCACTGTCTACAGTGCTCATCTCGTTATGCGATGATGACACGTCTTTGCCATGTCCAATGTCTTGTCCATTCAAAGTTCGGGTATCACGCCCTGTTGTGAACCAACGCCGCACGCCGGCAGACTGCGGATGTTTGCGGTAATGCTTGTTGCGGGCCGCATTTGCCTTTTTTATCAAAGTGATCTCGGCCTTTTCTAGTCGCATAGCAGTCTCTTCCCGTTCTTTGACCAAATTTGCAAGCTCCTTCGTCGTGCGTGGAATAAAGATTCGCTTCGCCGAATCGCCGTAGAGCTTTCGAAGTCGGGCTTCATCGCGGTAAGGCTTGGGCACACAAAGCAATAGCATTGTCTTGGACGAGAGTCGATCAGCATAATAGGGCGACGAAAGATATGCTTGGCGCAGGTTAACAAAGTAGATGCACTCTCGCACAATTGTAAACAGCGTAAATCCTGCAAAGCGTATGTTAGTAGACATGATTTAGACCAATTGCCAACAACGCCTTACCAAAGAATAGCCAGGCAACAAAGGCATGAGCCCATAGCTTTGCCGATCCTGTGAGGACATTGCCAATCGTCAAGAGCTCGAGCTGGGTGAGGTCATTGCCGCCGGTGCCGTGTATCGGAAAGAGGATTGGCCACACGATGCAGCAGCCAACAAGGCTAATGTTCCGCAGCACCTTGAGGTAGCGAAGAAAAAAGTAGGCGTCGAGGGAGCCATAGTTGAGAAGGTAAGTGTCTGGGATCTGGTAAAAGGGCTTGATCCAATTGAACAGGCCAGAGGGCAGCTCAGGAGTAGGTTTTCTAAAGATGGCTTGCGTGAGATTCGAACAACCAATAAAGTGCATATATTTTGTGAATCAAGAATTAAAGAAGGAATTATACGACGAGGCAAGCGTCAAAGAGGTCGAAACGACAGGACAAGAAGGGGAGCCCTTACTCTGGGTATCGCAGACTGGGTATCGTCTTGGGTGCATAAACCCGCTTGAACCGAGGCCGCAACAAGATGAAACAGGTCAAGCATATGCTCATGTATATCGCCACGGGTGCAAAGGTAGCACCGAGCTTAGACAGAGACGCCGTCTTGTTGCCGTTTGCCGTGCTCAGAGTACCACCGCTGGAGCCGTCGCGACCAGACCCGACTCGAGTGTCGTTGGGCTGCAGGACAAAAGTTAGCTAAGAAACGGCGCACAGCGTCAAATCAATGGTGGCGTGAATCGGCCCCCAGCCCAGAGGCCCCGTCCCGCTTCAGCTCGCAAGATGCAGCGCCAGCTGGCGATGCTGTGGGCTGCGGGCTGCGGAGAGAAGCGAGATGGCGGCCGCATAACGGCTCCAGCAGGTCGATTTGCATTTGCATTTGCATCTGCACATCGGGGCGCAACGCCAGGGCGACGGGACGTACCAGCGTGAGGCCCCTCTCCAGGAGCCCGTGCCAGGACATGGCGATGTCGAGAAGCTGGCGATGAGGAAGAAGCTCAGGCTGCAATGGCTTCGCACATGCAAGACATCTTCACCGCCGACAGAGGGAGCGAACAGCCGGGATCCGTGTGTATTCCCCGTGTCCCGTCTACGGGGGAAAAGGAAATAAAAACCAGCTCGAGCAATGCACCGCAGCTAATCAGACGCAGAAGCTGATTTTTCAGCAAGTCAGGTCGAGCCGACGGCGCACAAAACCAGTCGCGGGCTCTACTTGTAGTATTCTGCACGCCGGCGCCGTGAGCCACATGGAAAAGACATTTAGCCCCAATTACCAATTGGGCGCTGGCACGGCTCCAGGATCCGAGGTGAGAACCGGGGATGCTGGTTGACGGGCAATCTATCAGCGAGAGGGGACAGCGGCGATTGATGTCAGGTCAGCTTTCTGTTCTCGTCCCCTGTAACCTCGCCGCGCCATCACTGACTGACAGGCTGGCCGCGCCTGTGGTAGGCCGGCACAGGAGCCCCGTCTCGTCTGGGCTGGTGGATGGCAATCAAAGGGGGCAATAATACCACCAACATTTAGTGCAGAGGCGGCTGTATGTGCGCCGCAAGGCTCGCGACCCGTTCACCATCCACGGCATCAAGGATGATCCCTGTCCGCCATCGCCAATCGGAAACGCAGATTGGGTTCACTGTCTTTCTGTGTTTTCTTCGGCAGTCCTCGTACTTTGTACGGCATCCTGGACGCATGTCGGGTGGGGAGAGGCGAAGCGAGACTCGAAGGTGGATGACGGTGATGATGCTGCTGGCCCGCCTCTCAAGATGCATGTCTCAAGGAGCCATCACCGAACTCATCTGTGCAGCGAATGGAAATCACCCGTACAGCGCCAAATCAAGGCCAGGCCCGGCAATGTCTCGGACAAGGACGCGGGCATGATGCGGTGTTGAGAGAAGAAGAAATACCTACAGGTAGCTGGAAGCGGTGCGCTACGGCTGATGCCACTACAAGTCGGTACACGCACTATTGCAGCTCTTCCAGGGCGTATACGCTGGCAAGGCACCACTTTGTTTAGTCTTATGTCCCATCTCAGTTACTGGAATCTTGCATCACCCGTCTGCTGTACTTTGCAAGACCGCAAGCCGTGTCTCTTCGATCTAGAACTCGCTGCCAGGATCATCTGCTGGCCTCTCGGAAAGTGACATGTCAGACTCGGGTCTCTTAGCCCTTTGCTCCCTGCATCTACTCCCCACTTTCTGCCTCTCGAAGAGCACCACGATTCGCAGCGTCTCAGCCTTTTTTTCCTTTCTATTTTTTTTCCCTCGCATGTAATTGACAAGTAGGCACTGTATTCAGACAGCAGGAGCCAAGACGGCTTCTTGTCCAACGGTTAGCGAGCCCGATGCGTCTAGCACAAGTAAAACGGCGTTCCTGAGCCACTCTTAGGGCCGACCCAAGCCCGGGCTCCATGCGGTTTAGCCGCTGAATAGTTGCGAGCTGAAGGCCCCCAAACGGCCCCAAAAGATGGACCCCAAAAGATGCCGGCGCTTTTTGCTAGCAGTCATGGGCGTAAGGCTCGGGGTAAACAATGCCGCCATTGATGCGGAAATGGGCGTAGATCTGAGGCGCTCATTTGTCTTTATTGTTTGTTTTCAGCCCCAAACACCACCCTGGACAATTTCTCTTGATGTCCTAGCCTGGGTACGTGTATATACGAGTACGGATTAGCCTTGTCAGCTCGTCGGATGAGAGCCTGGGATTCGGGGCTTCAGCTAGCTGAGCCCGAGGCTACAGCCTCAAATCCCACGACACTCCATCCAATGCAACAGAGCATAGACTATGAAATGTAATCGTAGTAATTCTCAGCCCATTATCTGAAATGACATGTCAAATACATGTACGAGGTGTAATCACAGGAAGGCCATCTGCATGTAGGCTAGACTTCTCTTTACCCGTGAGCCATCTTCATTTTTCACCATCATGCGTCGCTTTCGTCCATATCGCCAGAACGGCTGCTTTCGCCATCTACGTCAGCCCACAACTCAGTCATGTCCACCCATGGTGCTGTGACAGAGCCTGATGTGTCCCTTTACAAACGTATCTGTGCACATTAGAGCGTCCATCGCTGCGTTCGTCACCAAGGCGCTCTATAGATGGCCATTCGAGCAACTAATCCGACAATGGCGGCCAAGTTCAACAAAGTAAGAGCGATTTCCAGCCTAATCTCAGCCACAAGTGAGGCATCTCGCATACGCGATAACCGTCGTCGTCCGTGGATGCATCCACTTAGTCAAAGCCTGGTAATCAAACCCCTCTCTTAAGCTCACACACACACGTATATTCAAGATACAATAAGCCTCAATTCAGCTGGCCAAACTTTCTCATAACAAAATGAAGGGGTATCATTGCACTCCACCACATCTAAAAGCATCCAAAAGCCTCCATCGCTCCAATCTTCTCATATAAACGGCCCCCGCCCGCGCCGCCCAAGCCGCGATGTCAGCGATGCCATCATCGCAAACTTGCCAGCAGAGTAAAAGAGCTCGGCAGCGTCTTTAAGGTAGTTGCCGAGCTCCCTCTGTCATTCAGGCAGTACATGGCCAACCTCCTCCGAAAAGTCCCACACGTCCAGGTCCTCCCTGACCACCATCCAGCCGTCTTCCGCCTCGTGATAAGGACTAGGGCGTGCCCGTCTTCTCTTGGCCTGCTCCAGTTTCTGCTTCTGCTTCTGCTTCTGCTTCTTCTTCTGCTCCTTCTCCCGCTCTTCCTGGTACTCGTCACAGTCAAGCCTCAGCTTTGCCAAGGCGCCCGAAAGATCCGAAGCGTCGCCTTCGTCTTTCTCTGCCCATCTTGCATCAGCCTCAAAAGAATCTCAAAACAATTTTGGAAGCCACAAACTTACTCGGCTCGACTTCTCGTCGCTTCTTCTCTACCCTGACACCCTGGCTGTGCGCAACCCAGGGATCCCTGTAAACCGCTTTCCCCTTGTCGGCCTTCTTCTTCCCCTTGTCGTCAGACTTCTCCTTGTCTCCTATATGAAGAGTCAAAGGCTCCATCTCGAATGCAGCCTCTGACTCTGACTCCTCGTAAAAGGACTCCTGGTACAGCGAAAATAAACTTCGCCTCGTACCCCGTGCCTCTCCCCTCCCCTTTCCCAGCCGCAGCCAAGATGCTCCTTTGGAAGATTCCCCCTGGGAAGATTCTCCCTTGGGAGATTCTCCTTTAGAAGATTCTCCTTTGGAGGATTCTCCGTTGGAAGAATCTCTCCCGCTTTGCCGTCGACCATCTGTCGCAGCGACAGCTGCCTTCGACAACTCTTGTCCGGCAGCAGTCATGGCCTCGATCCCGAAACAGGGAGTGGTATCCAAGAAAGGACTTATTGAGGTACTAGGAGCAATGGCTACCGTGTCAGATTATGGCGGTTGATGGTTATGAATGAAACTAAAGGACGGATATATGAAATAGAAAGGATGTCAGTAAAGAAACCAGTAAAGATACCAGTAAAGATACCAGTAAAGATACCAGTAAAGATACCAGTAAAGATACCAGTAAAGATACCAGTAAAGATACCAGTAAAGATGCCAGTAAAGATACCAGTAAAGATACCGGTAAAGATATAGGTGAAGATATAGGTAAAGATATAGGTAAAGATATAGGTATAAGAGTGTAGGTAAGGATGTAGGTAAGGATGTAGGTAAGGATGTAGGTAAGGATATAAGTACCTAAGTTATCGAGTAAGGATACGAGTAGGTATATGAATACGGGTATCAGTAAGGATATAAATAAAAATACTAGAAATAATATAAACAAGAATGCTTGTAAGATTGTAAGTAACATGAGGGATAGAAATAATGAGATGAGTAGCAAAAAGGAAACAGAAAAATCTCAACCATGGCAGAGGGGCAACTGGCAATTATATAGTCACAGATCAGAAAGGCCAGATAGACCAGAAACCCGGAAACCCAGCCCTCGCGTTATAAAGTTTGCACTCAACCTTACTGTCCTCGCTGAGACGACCGCTTTCAACATTCGTCCCAAATCTAAAACAAGCTCTCTATCCACTTATTTGTTCTAGATTTACGATTCGAAAATTCAATGACACAACCGACGGACCGATAACCATCTCTCAAGGTTGCTAATGTCTATTCATAGCGCTCGTATTCAAGGTTCGCGATAAGCTCTTCGGATGCTCCCGCCTCAATTCTTTATGGCTGAGAATCTCATCCGTAGCGTGAGCGGATGCGTCCGCTAGCGAAAACTTTCCTTCTTTCGGAGAGATCAAGCGTAGGTATTCTGCAGGTATCGTTGTTGGGAAGAGAGAAAACTGACGATAAATGGAATAGATACTGCAAACACTTGTACTGAGCTGGCTTCGGCGTTTGAGGCTTTGCGCCAGAGACTAGAGGAATTGGATGCTGTACCAGATCAGTGCGCTGAATATCTCTAGTCTGCCGATAAAACGCCCTTGGTACGTATAACAATATGGCCGCATGAATGCCAATCAGTAGAGACCGTGTCCCCAATCAGTATTCTAGAATTTTCGCACCACGAAACAACTTGCCAGTCTAATGATGCTCCGACTACGCCACTTCTACGCAATAAAGTTCATCACATTCTCAAAGCAGCAGATAAATTATTCTCATCAGTCAGATCTGTTAGATTCACTATAGTCATCTAATACAAGTATCTAACCCGGCAGTAATCCTTTACCATCTGCCTAACCCTCCACATCCTCAAAACCTTTTTTTTCTTTGGCTAGCCCGGGGTTCATTTTACATAACCTGAACCCCGAAGCCACATCCATGACCTTGTCGTGAAAATGTTGTCCAGAGCTGGAAACCCACCCCCCTTTTTCCTCCGTAAGAGATAAAGGGGGGTGAATCATACTCCGGTCTTGGCTAAATACCAAGAGCTTGGGTGGGACAGGTACCGCCTATCCGAAGCTCTTGATAGGGAAAGTGCTCAAGAATCATTAAAACAAGCTACTCGTGGAGGTTACTCCGACGAGGGGCCGCAGCATCGACCCAATGGTCATCACACGCGCCATGGTGAGGGATCATAGCTCCATCACACCAAGACCAGCTTGGCGTGCTGTATGATCCGCCCCAGAGGGCACGGTGGGGAAAATCTATATAGAAGCAAAAGAGTGTGCTTGTATATGTATTACCACACAACAACATTAAATGTGTGTTACCGAGCTGAGGAGACGCTGCAGGATCATTATGCAGCAGTCATTCAGTCGTAAGGAATCAACATGTTGACCTTTTCTCTTTGGTCTGTTTTCTCTTATCCTCAAGTAAAGTTTGAGTTTCTCAACCAACAATGATGCCGTTGCGGCGGGCATCAGCGGGGTTGACCTCGTACTCGTACTCATCATCGCTGGCATCGCTGGCACAGGAAGAGCTGTCGTCATAGCCACATCGGGCACCGCCACAGTCGATCTTGACACGCTCACCCTTTCGGGTGATTCCATAGCGCTCGCATGTGCATGAGCTGCAGTCGGAGTTGGGAGTGCTGTAGCCAGAGAGCGAGGAGCTGGGCGAGGAGCTGTCGGAGCGGTATGAGAGGCTGGAGCCGTTGGATGAGACGGGAGAGGTGCTGAAGTCGGTGAGGACATCCTCGAGGCCGGCGCTGCCAAAGCGGGCAGTGAGCTCCTCAAGCTCCTCGTTGTCGTAGTAGTCGGACTCGAGGATGTGCTTGGTGGCATGAGGAGACATGGGCTTGGGGGCCTTGATCTGAGAGACGGAGAGAGGTCGGCCCTTGGGGATGTCGACAGTCAGGGAAGAGCGGTGGCGGGAAGAGCGGCTGTCCTTGTCCTTGGAAGAGCTCTTGCTGCTTGACTTGTGTGAGGACTTGGCGGAACCATCCTTGGTGACATCAAGGATGTTGAGCTCTCGGCCAGTGGTGGGCTCAGTGGTGGACTCAACGGAAGGGTTGTGGGCAACGTGGTAGCCGTCGATGATGTAGTAGTACCAGTATCGCTTGCCAGCCTCCAGGGTGGAGTTCTGGAACTTGAAGGTACCCTTCCATGTGCCGGACTTTGAGGACTTGTCCTTGGCAAGGGGGAGCTGGCCGACGTAGTTGTCCCAAGAGCCGAGAAGGTGGACGGTCTTGACGCCAGAGGAGACGCGGAGAGAGAAAGAAAGTTGGATGGAAGACATGTTGATTAGGGTTATTAAGTTGTTGTGATTAGAGAGATGCTCGTTGTAGATGGTTTAGTGATTCTTAGAGGTAAAATTGGTGTTGTTCGCCAGCGAGCAAGTGAAATCCACAATTCTGTTTATTAGGGGGGTATCAATTAAGGTGACGTGATGCGTAAAAATTCATGCAATGTAAAAAAAAAAAAAATCAGTGTGAAAAATTATCTCGTCTCAAGCTGACCGGCAACTGAGATGTTTTGGTGTAATTGGCAGTTGAAGGTTTTTTTGGTGTAAGTGAAAACGAGATAGTATTAGAAAGTAAAGAGGGAGACCAGCTCCAGAACAAAAAACAAAAACAAACAAGGGGGAAAAAACAGAAAGGTGGATTTGAGGTTGGCAGAACTTGCTGAAGAACAAGAAAAAAGAGGAATGAATGGGCGGGTGTTGGTCGCCTTGATATATGTTTTGAGAAGCGCGGGCCAGAGGGCGAGGCCGCGATGACAGCGGCCGCTCTGGAGTGGCCAAGTCCATCCTGCCTGTTGGTCTAGGACACAAGAAGCAAGGCAAATGCGTCGTGTCTGCAACCTCTTCGTCCTTGACCCAGGATGTGTCTATCACAGCGGGCCAATAGCGCGGCAAAGACCCGGTCCAAGCATGCATCGCGGACAGGGGTTGGGCGGTTAACCATCTTTTGTGGCGCCCATCCACAGCACCGCCCGGCGTCTAAACGCGGCGCTTGATTGGGCTGCCGCCGTCAAGTCTCGTCACCTGCAGATCGCCCGATCCAGGGCGCGGGGCTTCTTCTCGCTCCTACTGGCCCGTGGGATGGCTGCAGCCGGAATTGCGCACGCCAGCGCCCTTTTTCGTGTACGGCCGAGCTGTCCATGATTCGCTGAAGCGCTTGCGGGTGGATCGAGGTAGCATTGATCCAGCCGACGAGTGCATATAGGCGAACAAACAAACATAAACATGCTATCCTGGATGGGGATTAAAGCTGCAGACGCCGCTTTGAATCACATTTTGGCGGTGGAGCCAACAGCGTCAATATTCGAAGCTTCACTTGGTTCATATGCGTGGTCCAGGGTTAGAAATGGTCAGTATGTATATAACGGGGCCATGTGGTTTGCCTAGACATAGCTAGATGTTAGAGTCAGTGCAGATGGCCAGGAAAGCCGTTGAGAAAGTTGAAAGAATGCAGGGTAGTGTTGAGGCACGGCTTCATACACCCAGCTCAAAGGCCAGGACAAGATATTATCCACATCATTGCTTATTCCAGCATAAAACACTCGGATAGCCAGCAGATGTTGCGTTTTGTTGCCACGGCACGTGCCGCCAGTATTCCAACTTGTAACATGCATTCTTCCAGACAATAATAAAGCTGAAAGATCGGTCCGAGAAAAGATCGATGCTGATTGATGAATAGCTAAATATTTCGAGACGGCGCCTTCAGTAATGGTGGCTTCCCCTATCTTGTCTGCGTATGCTCTGGTATATCATTCTTTTGGTTGCAGGTATCGAAGTGAACCCGTCTTGTTTCGTTCCCATCGTGAAAATTGTCACGAGTAATGCCTTCTGATGGTGTGCACGCTTTCCCGCCCCCACCCAACAGCAAATCAGCCCTCAATGCCGTGTTTCCAAATGTTTCAAGGCGGAAGAGTCTGTTCTCTTGAATATTCTCTCCTCAGTCCTCCATTCTAGTATCTCCACCGCTCTCCTTCTGGTCGGCTCCACGGATGTAAAGGACGTTATTGCATCTATCTCAGCACGTTAGGACCTACGGACAAAGTAGGAAGAGGGATGGAGCGTAGCCATCCATGGCAGCAGCAGCACCCACCGAATGAGGACTTGGCCCAGCTCGCCGGTCAGCTTGTCGTTTAGGTATTCCTCGGTATTGGACAGCTGCAAGTTCATGTAGCTGTCAATAGACTAGGGGTAGTAACGCGCAGTTAGCATCATCCTGGGCAGGGGAGTGAGCCTCGACAACTCACCACCAATCTTCCCTTGTACTCCGTCTCTCCCCACTTCAGGCGGACCAGCACCGTCTTGTCGACGAGGTCTTGCAGCATAGGCCGCGGGTTGACAGGAACGAAGCTCATCTTGTCGGTCGTAGTCTGGCTCGCAGGGTTTGGACAAGGCACGCTATCACAAGGCTGAAAGTTTCGCGACTGAGGCCAGACGACTTGACCGCCCCACCAAGCTCAATCCGGTTAAATGTCGGCTATGGAAGCTATGCGTTTACAGAAGCTGCTCAGAAGCATGCAATACTTGCATAGCCTCTATAGCTACATACACCAGCAAAGGAAGACGATCCTTGTCCTCTAGCCTTTGATAGCTCAAAACTCCATAAAAGCAGCGATGTGACGACGATACCACCTCATGGCTCGGCCGCCCAACAGGTCTCTATGGCCGGCTAACCAGGCCAACCACGGCTTCATCCGCATCTCCCCCTCGCGGCCGCATGAGAAGCGACCTAAGCGTGATGAAATATTAATTACTGGGTACTGCCTGTACGGAACATGAGGCCATTATGGCATTGGCTGCTTGGTTGGATGCATGGATCATTCATGCATTCTCTTCATGGCCGCCGTCGCATTCTCTGCCTGCATGGCCCGCAGGCAGTAGCAAGAAACAAGAAACAAACAAGTAGCTGCGTTTAACGGCGTTTAGTTTCCCTTCTTCGTACGATACAGGCGAAATCTCCACTCCATCCTCACGGAGAGAAAGGAATCCCATTACCATCGCATCTTCCTGCGGCCCATCATGGCGGCCGTGCTACGAGGTATTACGTACTACCACTACCCATCGTACTCCGTAGTTGTAATCATGCTCTTGGTCTCTTCTTCTTGTGGTCCCATGCTGTGTCTCCCTTGCTTTTCCCCCTCCTCTACTGTGTTCTGCCTAGAATGGAGATACATCACCACAGCCTTCAACTCGTAATTAACTTGCCATAGGTGTTTTTATTCGTCAGCTGCCTAATAGTGTCAAATGTGATTCGACTCTAGCGCCGGCGGGTAAGCATGTCATCAAAGACGAACAAGTATGCTACTGTAGAATTACATTCACAAACGTCTCCATATCCCGGTCCAACAAACGTCTCCACTCCCATCTAATTTGTAGTATGCTTACAGTGACACCAAGAGCACCGAAGAATATACGTCGGCTCAGCAGGGTCCCCAGTTGCCTCAATGTAGCTTCCAAAGTCCTCTCCACAACTAATACTCCGACAACATTCCTGGTGGTTTGATAGACTGACGAGCTTGCCAACATTCTCAATAACGCGTGTAGCTCTTGCTTCTGCAGCCTGACGCTCAACTAGAAGGTCATTGTATTGCTGTTGCAAGGCGACGTGGGCCTGGGCTTGTTGCTGTTGGGCCTCTTGCTGTTGTTGCACAGCAGCTTGGCTCTGCTCTCGCTGGGATGCTTCGAGCAGATGAGCATGATATGCCAGGACTGAGGCAGCAAAGTCGCCAACTAAACTAGGCAACTGACCAGATCTGAGTAGTTCCTTCAGCTTTTGGGCTGTGAAAAGCGCCATCATATTGTGCAGCGACTTATCGCCACTGTCATTAATAGCGGCTTTCGCTGAGGCGACAAAGGCATTGAGATCCCAGCTGGCAAGATAAGTTTGTTGGATCTTTCGATTTGCTAGCTGAGCAAGGCCTGGGACTTCGTAGTAGTCGGCAATTGCATTCACCTGCACATGCTGTAGTGTGCCATTGGTAACTAATAGAGCAGGAGTTGTGCTGGACGTGATACTCGGTGCGATACTGGATGCGCCACTGGGTGTGGTGCTAGGCGTAGTACTGAATGCGGTACTGGGCGTGATGCTGGCTGCAGTACTGGGCGTAGTACTAGATGCGGTACTAGCTGCAGTGGTGGGCGTCGTAAGAGCGACAGAAGTAGCAGCTGTGTAACCATTGTTAGAGTTTTCCCAATGCTACAATTTGTGAGGAAATGGACGAACCGTTGCTCTTTGCTTTGATTTGATCGTAATCTCCCGTATACAAGTATTCTACCATACGCCGGACTGTCTCTGCGTCGAACTGCTCAATGGTGATGATTCCGGACTGTGCCTCCTACTCCAAGTTCAGGGCCTGTCTCACCAAAGCTCGCCGCGCCGTCATTGCTTACCTTGAAGTCTCCCTTGAGAGCTGTCGCAATGACTGACGACTGAGAGCAGGCAACCAGTTTGTGGATCTTGAACTCTTTGCCTTGGCACACCAATTTTAGATCCGAAAAGTTGCCAGAAGTCATCAGGCGAGTAAAATCAAGGCTAGCCATGGTCTGAGAAGCTCGACCCACGCTAGATCGCTGATGGCTAGAATGATTCGGAATGGAGTTGGTGCAACGGCAAAGTGATCCACCAGATTCTGAAGGAGCAATCTTTTTTGTGGGCGAGTTTTTGTGGGCTCGCTTTTGTAGTGCGGCTAGGGTGCCCTGGGCGGCGAAACGAATAGCCGAGGTTTTTCCGACTGCCTGCTTTTAGGCAGTATTGAAGATGGGCATTTCCCCCAGTGCTCTGTACAGCACATAAAGAGGCAGAAAAGTGGTTTTCATGGATATGAGTCTACTGATGGACCAATTTTCTCACCAAACAGCCTATATTGATGCATGATTTGACAGGGCATCGCTTTGATTCCTCTCCAAGTCTAGAGGTTCATTGTGCCGCGGGCGTGTTGCAAGAGACCAAATCACGTGAACCCTTACCGGCTGACTCACTCTTTCGGCCAGCCCAAAAGGGATGCAGACGAATCTCAGATGGTGTATTGAGCGCTAAGAAAATATATATATACCGACCAAAATCACCCGATGTCCACTGACGAAACTTCTATTGCGTTTTAGCACTGAGCTGGCAGGTTTCGGGAAATTGGTCAGACTGCAGGCGAAGCTGGGCAGGCAAACAGGAAATATTGGCCCCGCAACACACAATCTTGTCATATATTGAAGAACAGAAAGAAAGAAAACAAAAATTCCGTTCACTGCTTCACTAGCAAAGACATAAAAAAAGGCAAAAGCATATAGCTTTCACAATCTCCATCATTTCAAGTGTCATAATGAGCTCTTTCACCGTGGACTCAGCGCTCATTGCCAAAGTGACCGATTACATAGAGGTCTACATGTCCAACTATGATCCATCACACGATTACAGCCACATCAAGCGCGTCGTGCATCTTGCACAGACGATCCAGGCACATGTGCCCAACACGAACCGCGATATTGTCACTCTTGCTGCACTGCTGCACGATGTAGGCGATAGAAAATACCTCAAGCCCGGAGAAGACGCCACGCGCATGGTCTTTACCACTTTAACGTCTCTTGGGGCGTCCGAGGCCCTGGCAGAGAAAATACAAACAATTTGCCTTGGCGTTAGCTATTCGAGCGAAATCAAGGACCTTGCGCACGTGCAGACGCTTATTAAAGAACACCCGGAACTCGCTGTTGTGCAAGACGCCGATCGACTTGATGCAATTGGAGCGGTGGGCATTGGCCGAGCTTTTACCTTTGGGGGAGCCAAGGGAAGGGCCTTGGATGACTCCATTGGCCATTTCGAAGAGAAGCTGTTGAAGCTCGAGTCTATGATGAAGACGGACTATGGAAGGGAGATGGCGCGGGAGAGGACGGAAAGGATGAGGCTCATGAAGGAGTGGTTTGAGCAGGAGACTGAGGGAGTTGAGTAGAGGAAACTTTGGGCTGATGGCATTTGTTATAAGGATAAAATATATGTCGTTGTATTTAGTGGATGCTATATCTCGCGTTTACATAAAGATAGACTGAAATGATGATGACTGTTTCTGCCAAGCATTTGATGCACCTCAAGATCAACTACTCTACCCACAATATAGCCAGGTGTTTCTTTTGGAATTGAATAGTAATTATTATCCCAGGGTGAATCAAAATAAAAGTTTCCAATGCCAATTCATCAAATTAGACGATCCTACACAAAGTCGAACTGTCTCATGGGCAGCTAGCCTAGTTTTACCCGCGCGCTTACATGGACATAATGGCGGCCGATAGCAGTTGCAGATTTAATCATCATGCACATTGACTGTGGATAACAAACCTCAATGCTCGTTTACCAGGTAGGATTGGCGTGGGACAGAAGTCATTATCATTCGCTATAAGTGGCAATCACGTGCAGATGTATACAGCTCAGCCCAGCCTTGTCGGCGCTTAATTGTTTGGGCGTAGCATGATCTCGAATGCAATTGCGTCAACTGGAATTAAACAACATCGCATCAATCACAGGAAATCATGGAGTCTGCGAGCGTGACTGTCGCTGCCGATTTATCTGCCAAAATCATCACACTATGTTCCAAGTATTTTGTCAATGTTGCTCATGCTCGAGGCGAGATCGAACGCCTCAAAGAACAGCTCAAGAGTCTGGAGACGACTCTACGTCAAGCGAACCATCTCCTCGAGCATCCAAACAGTCAATCCTTATCTGCATCTCGAGAACTCAATGACCCGCTGCAGAAATGTCAGACTGAGCTTCAACGGCTACGGGATCAACTTGAGCCTAATACGAAGCAAAAGGCAATGCGAAGATTTGGCCTTCGCGCGGCGAAATGGCCGTTCAGTAGGGGCGACGTTGAAGCCGTTATTGCTTCTCTTGTCGAATACCGAGAGGCAATTACAGCCATCTTGCAGATCGACCAGACGTAAGTCACAGCTCGCTCCCCAGTTAATACATAACCTATAGTAGAAACAACAGCTAATGCCCGCATTAGAAGGCTTCTTCTTGATATCAACCAACGAATCGATGATCTATCTCTCCAATCGGCCGAAAATAGATCAACGGATCTTAAACCCCATTTCATCATACCTTTTCCCCGTGATCCAGATTTTGTAGATCGGCCAGCCCTTCGAGGGTGGCTCGATGAGCAGTATAATGCAAGTCCAGCTCGTCGATTAGCGCTGGTTGGCATGGGTGGATTTGGGTAAGCTATTCACTGCCGATTCAATACGACAAAGATCTTAAGCTAAGTGAGTGAAAGGAAATCTCAAATCGCCATCGAGTTTGCCTATAGAGTGCATATCGCTTCACCTGAGACCAACGTGTTTTGGGTACATGGCGGTACAGAGGCGAAATTTGAAGAGTCGTACCGATCGCTTGCAAACGCACTCAAACTTCCTGATCGTCACGACCCAGACACCAACGTTCTTGCCCTTGTACGCGATTGGCTACAAAGGGCAGAAGCGCCGCCCTGGTTGATCATATTGGACAATGCCGACGAAATGGAGACGTTCTTCCCTTCCAAGAGCCAGAGTGAAGAAGATGGGCGGGAACCTTTGGCATCTTACTTGCCCAAAACAGGCAATGGGAAAATCATCATCACCTCGCGCAATAGAAGCGTGGCAGAAAAATTGACTGGTAGTCATAAAGCTATCCAAGAGGTCCCTACAATGGATGGCTCCGAGGCTCTGAAGATTCTCGAGAACAAATTGAGCCAAGATATCGAACAAGACGCAGCTATAGATCTCGCTCGTGCCTTGAATTTCATTCCACTTGCCGTGAATCAAGCAGCTGCATACATCAACCGGCGTGCACCTCGCGTCTCAATCAGATCATATCTGGATGAATTTCGACAAAGCGAAAAAAAGAAAAAGAGTCTCTTGAATAGAGACGCTGGTGATCTTCGGCGGCGCGAAGATGTCTCCAATTCTGTGGTAGTTACGTGGCAGGTAACCTTTGAACAGATTCAGCTTGAGAGGCCAACAGCAGTCAACTTGCTGTTACTTATGAGCTTCTTTCAACCACAAAATATTCCTGAATTCATGCTGTCGGGCTACAATTTTGATACCTCGGATTTTGAAGATATGACTTTCGACAACGATGAAGAATTGGACGAAGAGTCGGATGAAGAGTCGGATGAAGAGTCGGATGAAGAGTCGGAATATGACTATCTGGATGAAGATTTAGAGGATGACTTGGACGTTCTCCGAGGCTATTCCCTCATCAGATTATCCACCACATCTGGACTCTGTGATATGCATGCTCTCGTGCAGTTTTGCACCAAAGTTTGGCTCCTAGAGTCCAATGGCAACAACTTTTCGCGCCTAAAATCCCTATTCTTGAGCCTTGGTGCCAAACACTTCCCAGAGGGAGTATTTGGGACACGGGAGACATGCCAGCTTTTATTTCCTCATATAAAGCCTCTAATGGATGAAGAACCTACGGATGAGCCTGGTATTCTTAATTGGTACGAGCTATCAAGAAAAGCCTCGTTCTATCTGAAAGCGATTGGGGCTTACGTCGCGGCCGAGAGCACCGCACAAAAAGCTCTTGACTCAAGCAAGAGACTGCTAGGAAACGAGCATCATAGAACGCTGGGTTTTATGTATCTCTTATCCTCAGCGTACCAGCAACAGTCTCGATTTGATGAAGCGGAGCTGCTACTTTCGCAGGTGGTAGAGACGTCAAAAAGGGTAAAGGGAGACGAGCATCCAAAAACATTGGAAAGAATGTCTCACTTTATACTTTTATATCAGATGCAATATAAATACGCGGAGGTGGAATCGTTGCTTGTGGAAATGATTGAGAAGTCAAAAAGGATATGGGGAGACGAGCATCCCAAGACATTGAAGTATATGATGAGGTTGGTATTTCCATATATAAGTCAAAACAGACACGCAGAAGCGGAACGTATATGCTTACAGGCGACGGGGATATCGAAAAGAATTCTAGGAGAGGAGCATCCTCAGACACTATACGGCTTAACTCTCCTGGCAGATACATACGAGGGACAAGGGCGACTAGCAGAGGCCGAGTTGTTAGTCACTCAAGTGTTGGAGACTAGAAAAAAGGTGCTAGGAGATGATCATCCTGATACACTCTACGACTTATCTCTCCTGGCAGATACGTACGAGGGACAAGGGCGACTAGCAGAGGCAGAGTTATTAGTAACTCAGGTGATGGAGGCAAAAAAAAGGACGCTAGGAGATGAGCATCCTAATGTGCTTATTGCTGTGAAACATCTAGCGGCTATCCTCCAAAAGCAAGGTCGATTGATAGAGGCAGAGTCACTATATGCACAGGTTGTCGAGACAAGTAAGAAGATGCTAGGAGATGAGCACCCTGATACACTTGGCGCCATGGTCTTTCTATTTTACGCATACCAAATGCAAGGCCGATTAACCGAGGCGGAGTCGTTATGCGTACAGGTATTACAAACAAGAAAACGGGTACTGGGAGATGAACATATTACCACACTTACTGCCATGGCCAATCTGGCGTACATATACCGAGAACAGGGCCGTTTCAACGATGCATTGGAGCTCTTACGCGATGCTGTTTCTCGTCTGGTGCAGATTGCAGGTCCAGGGAACGAAGAGACTGTATGTGAGGTTGAAACTCTAAGAAGATGGGAACAAGACCAGACTTGGGATATTAGCACACAAGAGGAATTGAAGACGTAATAGTATAGATTGTTAGATGTCCAATCAGCTTGAAACGTCATCTAATAGACTTTTGTCAGACTACGTTACCAAACAAGGGCTTCTCGTTCTAAAACTAGCATATCAGACAACCTATTAAAGACAGGTAATCACGGCAGTCTTTGGGAGTCCAGTCCTTTATATGCTTGGACTGGGTGATCCATACACAAAATGTCTGATTCCTTGTTGCTCTTTTGATGGTATATAGCACCTATTTGGGTAAATAGTTGCGTAGACAAACAGCGTAGAGCCCCCAATTACTCAGCTTCTAAAACAGAAAGTCTGTTCTGGCGGTGGCAAGCAGCAAGCGAGATACGCGAGATGCCATGTAATCTTGTGAGCATGTGCTTTTTTCAAGGCTCTCAATAAAAAGTTGAAGTAGGTCAAGCTAGAATGCAGATCTGAGGTAATACACATGTGTACAGAAAAGAGAGATGGTTGTACATACAGAGAGCCATTAATGCGTTCAAAGGCGTTGCTTGTAAAACATGATTACAACTACTAGTACTACTACCATAAAGACTCTTTCCCCAGATTTGCTTCCCTTGTGCCCATCGCTTAAATGGATACCCCATTTCCCATTGCTTCCGTTCTACTCCGCGGACGAGAGTGGATCCTCGGTAATCCGGGGTGGCTTTCGCCGCCATATACAAACACAAATAACCAACTTCACACGACACGCATTCCAGTTCTCAATAAAGTAAGGCCAGTCCAGCCATGCCGATGAATCCAGGTGGCTGCGTAAACTAAGCCCTACCATCCGTTCCATCCTCCTCGATTGCTTCTGCGCGGCCACTGCGGCGTGATGTTTAAAGTTGCCGAGGAGGAATAGTAAGTAGCTTGGTTTGTGGCGCCGTTAGACACGTAATAGCGAAGTGGCTACAAGAAAAGCCAAAGAATGGATAGAAGAGAGTAACTTGTTTCCGATTCCGGGCAAGTATCCTTTTTGATCCTGTAATTTCCCTCGTCACAATTGCCGTTTGCTTCTTCACGTGCTTTCCAAGTCACCAGGTGAATTCACGAGTCATTGTCTCCGTTGGAACGCGGGGTTATCACTCAAGGCCATGCAAGCCGTCGTTGATTGCGAAAGAATCATCATTGATGGCGACTTGTGTGAAAGTTGCTTGTGCGCAACTTGGAATTATATCGACATCACGGCGATGTACTTTTACTATTTGTCTATTCCTCCGTAACCGTATACTGCCATGTGCCTGCAGTCCGAGAACCGGCAAAGCCAAGGAGGGACGCATTCCCTGAAAACTAGTGCCCGCTCTTGGTCAATTGATGGAGGGGAGGGCTTCCAAATAGGCAACTTTGATCGAAGGAAGCGTGGGTCCCTGATGGCGGCTGTGCTAGTCAATGTTGACTCGTGGGAAATAGACACATGGCCGATATGCCTGATTCTCTCTTCATGTTCCCTTGCGCCGAGATCAAAACATTGGTGATCAATTGACAAGAGGGATGAACACTCCTCTTTTTTTCTCCGGTTATTAATTGTAAAAAAATGATTACAAAATATTGCAAAGCCGCTCAGCTCGGCTTTTTTGCTAAACGGCAAACGACGGGCCACCGTCAGCGACAAAGACCTCGGAAGATCGAAATAGTCGGCTCCAAGCCGTCAGCCCTAAGCAGTCACCAACGCCCTGACTCATCAAAACTCATCAGAACATCCCCATCTTTTTCCGCGCGTGAGAGTGAATTTTAGTTTTGTATCCGGCCATTCACCTACCATTGTTCCGTGGATATTGCGGGTGTCCCCTTACGAGGCTTGAACTAGTTTGAATGAAAACATCTCGTTGGTACCTAGGCTATATAGAAGTAGAGAATAAGCCCAAGCACTAGCGAGTGCGAAGTCTCACGTCAGGTCCAAAAGATGCATGCCTCCGAGGAGCCTCCATCCACAGGAGAGGGGGCGATAAAGCAGAAAGAAAAGGGGCCCATGTGCCAAAACTGGCAAAAATGAGACGATGCCCCCCCCTCCCTCCTCTCCGCAAAGATTGGATCTGCGCCGGTATCGATACCCGGCTTTGCTGGGGGTGGTCCGGCCACCTTGATGGGCGACCTTGAGGGTGACACTCACGAGAAAGCCGTGGAGCTCATGGAGTTGATTATCTGACCACATTATTCCTGTTTAGTTTGGATGGCGTGGTCTGCCCAGCGGTCCCCCATATTTTTTTAACTTTTTCTATTTATGATGCTTTTGCTGGTGATAAATACCTGGGGGGCAGCCGTCTTTCAAGGGTTGGTTTTCCTGCTGAGCCTTGACACTTTCTGCAGCTCCGTGTTACATGCATGCCATGCATTGACTTGTTCTCCTTTGCTCTTCACAATCCATGACTACATGCTATAAATCTTCAAGCCTTGATGCTTTTATGAATCTCCTTTGATGCCCAGCATCGAATTACAACACTCAATTGAGCCAGAAGCTAAAAGAAGGCCATCAACCAACACACTTACACAGACGACTACATACACTCAAAACTCAAAACTCACTCACACACTCAACACCATCACCATGGACTCCCTCCCCCTAGAGCTCGTCTCCCAAATCCTCACCCACCTCCCCCCCACCGACTACAAATCCGCCCGCCTCACCTGCCACGCCTTCAACGACGTCCTCGCAAAATCAACCTTTTCCGTCCTCGCCACCTTCATCGACCCAACCACCGCAAAGTCCACCATTGAGCGCATCGCCTCCGACCTCACCCGCCGCCCAAAGGCAATCTGGTCCCCCGGCTGCTCCGTCCCAAAGGACCTCCCCGTCGCCGAGAGCTTCCTCTTCGCCATGCACAGGGCGCTGCGCGGAACGGCCTGTCCGTCCACGTCGCCCTGCTCCTCGAGAGCGTCGTCTGTGGATGGCGCGTGGAGCGACAGCGAAGACTCGGAGGATAGCGATGCAGGGCCTGCCGAGGAGGAGCTGGCGGCGTGGAATTTCGGACGGACTGTGGGCATGCATGACTTGACCGAGGAGATGCTGCGGCAGGCCATGTTCCGGTGGGCGCTGTATCTGAGCTACGTTTACACGGGCAAAGGTGAGGCGCCGCAGCTGTGGGTGATGAATTCGAAGAAATGGGCACTGCATCAATGATACTTTCTTCTCCTCTCTCTCTTTTGTTCCAACAGCATGTCTCTTTTCACACTTTTGATATCCAATTTTTATCTTTTAGCTTTAGCCTGACAGCACATCTTAGTTATAGCACAGACGGCGTCAATATTATAATAATCATCACTTTAATTCAAGCACAAAATACTAAAAACAACTGAGCCAATTTAAAAGTAAAGATAAGTTTCCATTAAAGGCATGATTTCGCACATGCAAAGGAGGGGTATATGGTACTTTAGCATCTAAGTGTAAAAAGAAATCTCAAACTCCCAAAATTATTCGTCCCAAGGTATATAAATCCTCTCTCATCATTCTTTTCCCCCCGGCTCAGTACTTTTCTTTCTTGCTACCGCGTTATATATACAACATTTCGCAGAGAAAAGAAGAAAGCATGGCAAATAAAACAAAAACACGTTGCTGACGTTTCCAAATGTCGCCCCAGATTAATTGTAATGATCGTTATCCCTTCGTGCGTCCCAGGCGTTTCATGAAAAATGCTCCGAAAAATCCCCTCATTGTTAAAGCGTTACACTGCGCGACTCCAGAACGGAAGCTTTATATAAACATGTATAAAGCTGGCCCTTGACTCGCTTACAGCAGGTAAGCAGCGACGAGACCCATGGCGACCAGAGCACCGGTGGCGCGGTTGGCAACAGCGCCGCCAGTAGGGACGGGGGGAGTGCTGCCAGTGGTGGTAGGTCCGACGGGAGTGTTGGAGCCGGCGGGAGCAGTCTGGTTGCCGCCAGCAGGAGGAGGAGGAGGAGCACCAGTGCCGGAAGGAGGAGTGACAACGGTAACGGGGGGGATCACAACAGTAGAGTTGGAGGCAGCAGAGGTGGGAGAAGTCGGGGGAGGGATCACGATTCCGGTGACGGAAGTGGCCTCGGCGGTGGTGCAAGGAACGGTCAGGGTGACGGTTCCGTTGACGACGGTGGTGGTGTAGACAACGGTGTCAGTGCCGGCAGGGGCTGAGGTCTGAGGAGCAGAGGTGACGGCAGTCTCCAGCGTGGTGGGAGTGCCGGTGCCGGTGGCGGTGATGACGGCGCTGGGCTGGCACTGAGAGGCGGGCAGAGTAAAGGCCGAAGGCTGAGCATAGACGACGCACTATGGACGTGTTAGTTTCTTGTTGATATTCACGGTCATAAGAGGTCAACGTACGTTCTTCTGGCAAGCGGCGTCACCAGAGGTTGTGCTGCTCTGCCAGCACTCGGCAACACCGCCCAGGGGAGGGTATCCGGCAACGTTGTCGGAGCAGCGGCCCGCAGTGCCCATGCCGTTGGCGTCGCAGCGGATGATGATATCGCCAGACAGGCAGTAGTTGGCGTTGGGCTTGGCGCAGTTGACCTTGTTGGTGCCCTCGGGAGGGGCCTGGGCGCTGGCCAGGGCGGCGGCGGCGAGGAAGATGGCGGCGGTCTTCATTTTGGGTGTTTGAGTGTGTTGTATATGAATATTAATAAAAGGTGGTGAGGGTGATATTAAGATATTAGGCGGATGAGGCTGAGGTTGTTGGTGTAAGTGGCTGTTGAACGAGAGTACAGCGCAAGCTGAGCGTAACTAGCGAGTGTAGTTTCTGATATTACTTGGGGATGGATCAGGAACAAAAGGCCCAGCTGGTGTGCGGCGGACACGACGTGATGTTATATACCTGAAAGGCCCGTCCAGCACACCGTCTGGCCATGATACGAGCGTGTGGATGATTCCGGCTCCCAGCAACCCAAGCAAGGCGCATGCAGGGAGGCGGCAACTTTTGCCAGGGTTGGGATGCCAGGGACTGACGCTGTGGTACCTGTACATTGGGCGCTCCTCTGTGGACTCCATACAGAGACAAGGTCTCCCCTTTTAGCCCCGTCGACAGTCCGGCCTGGTACCAGTACTGGAAGACACTCACTCGTATGCTTTTAGCTTAGACAGACAGATTCGTCTCTGCTCCATACAATGGACAGCACGGCCGCAGTCTCTTGGCGTCTCTCCATATGACGCCGAGATCAGCAATAGCAGACGACGCCTCTTCAGCTCTTCCCAGCTCTTGTCAGAACATGTACCCTTTTGCTCTGCCTGTACAAGCTGGCATGAGCGCACAGAGGGACCTTGCAAAGCGCTGTAGCCCAACTCTGACGGTGCTAGCCAGGGATCTTGTTTTCGCGTCGTTCCACCAGGCCCCAGCACCCGGGCAGCTGAGTAGCGCTACCTCGTCCATACCCGGCTGGTCGCTCTGAGTCTGCGTTCAGTCCATCGCTGGCAGGGCCCGTGCAAGTCCCGCGCAGGTACCAGTACCCAGCCAGCCACCCTCGTGGCCTCGTGTGGCTCGACCTCTGCCACGGATAAGAAAAAAAGAGCGCCAATGAACAAACGGGCTCGTACAAGCTGTGGCTCTACAGGAGCAGCAACGCATGGGCAGCACCAGCGCCACACGAAAATCGGAAAAAGATGCAGCGAAAAAAAAGATGGCGAGACAAGGCAATACGAGCTTTGCCGGCCTTCGATTCGCTGAAAGCATCGCATCAGGTGTGGCTAGTGGGCAGCAGCTTGCGCTTTCCCCGAATTTGTCTGCTGGTTTGCTTCAATCTTTCTTTCCCTCCATGGCGGACGGGGCTGGAGTTGCAGCGGCCTAAGCCCCTTTTGGCAGGCTGACAGCTGCTCCAGGCTGTCATTGGCGGATATCAACGTCATAGCTCACAATGCGCCCCGGTTATGGCTCGAGTATGTGGCACCTGCCCAGCTTACACTGCAACGTTTCGCCGCGACCACAGTGCGCATTCACATTTATTTTTACCCGTCGAAATTCCCGCGCCAAGCGTAGATCATCGCTTAAGCCCACAGTGCTGTGGCACCGTGTCCCACGCGCGATGGCAAAAAATCAAGATCCAAGAAAGAAAATATATTGAAAAGCAGAAAAAAAGCTCATCTGCCCATCAAAATCTAGGTAGCCTTGTTGACGAACCGTGACGACATCCAAGACAATAGCCAGGCCCTATTTGTTTCCAAAAAAAGATTGTTCGCCTCTTTTTGCCGCGCCCATTATTACGGAAGCCAAGCCACAAGCTGTGTTGGTGGCGACACAGAATGAACGAATGCAGGTCCCGACCCAAAAAGGTGCCCCTCGTATTGTAATCAATAGCGTGCTGTGTTCAACGAGGCCTCATACCTTGTATACAAGAAAAAGAGGAAGGAAATTTTTTTACTCAGTCACATGGTCTTCCTTGCTGTGATCGGATGCTAATGCTTGTCAAGTCAGATCCCAGATACCTACTACAGGCAAAAATACAGAATTGGACAGGCCATCATGCGCAAAAAGAGCAAATGCCAAATGTACACTTACATGTCACACGTTGATTGCTCCATGGGGTGAAAAGAGGGCCTTGACCCCAGGCGCCAAAGAAGAAAAAAATGGCAAACTCGTCATAACCACGTTCCTTCGTCGTGAGATTTCACGGTTTAACCGCCTTCCCAACTTTGCAAAGTCTTGACTGGCAGCTCGTCTTTCTGAGGCGGCCAGCGTATGGCTTTGATGGAGGGGCCGCATGGATCCCGCTTATTTTCTCCGACATGGCGCCGTCTGTGGACTTGCATTGGATGAATGGTTTGCGAATTGCTGGCAGCGAGCTTTGCTGCAAAGGCATGAGTAGTACCTACAGACTTGTACTGTGGGCTACAGTAGGTGGAATTTTCTTTCGTTTCTTCCTTCTGGCTGAAGAAGCATACACGGCATCTCTCTTGGGACGGGCCGCCAAGAGGCGGTGATGCGGTGTGATATCACAAAGTCAGGGTCCACTCCCGTTGCGGGAAGTCAAAAGAGGGTTCTAGTCTCTGTCAAAGACATTAATCATACACAGGAACAAAGACCCAAGGCAAGACATTCAGAGGGCACGTTAACCAAGACAAGAGAGAAACATTGCCTATCGCTTAACAAGAACCAAAATACGATGATCACAGCTAGAATAGTCAGGTGAAAGCTTTTGACACGCACAGGGAAAGCGGCCAGGGCCTCACGTCAATCTAAATGCCTGCCTAGCCTATCAATCATGCCCCCTATTATTTTTGGAATACGAGGGGGTCGAGAGCCTCTAGAGCTTTTGGGCTTCTTGGGCTCGACTTGGTCCTGTAGCAGTACCAGCGAAAAGGCGGGGTGTAGATGGCTGTTGCCATGTAGCGGTACATTGCTGGTGCCCGAGTCACCCTCGTATGGTACTGTAGCATCAAGGGGAGAAAAAAATAGATGTGCTTGACAAAATGCTACATCGTAACAATTTCTCACGGCATGTAATGCACACTTGATGCGATGCTACTCTATGTGGCTTTTTATAGATTTTTTTCTTTCTTCTTTTCTTTTTGGTCTTATACGCGACTGCCGAGAGGATTGTCGGCACTAGAATTGGCAAAGGCGCCAGATCTGGCAATCCTTCTGCGACGGCTTGGAGAAGGTCGGTCTTCTGTATAATGGGCCGACAAGACGTGAGGCATCACCAGACAAGTCATCCCAGATCACGCACATTTGGCTTGATCCAAGTACAGCGCATTAATGGCGCCATATCAGAGCTGGGCAGAATCTACAAAGTAGCAGTACTTTTCAACATGCTGGTATTTAGGAGTAAAGAATCCATACGCAAGGGGCGCCATGCACACCGATATCCTATTCCGACCGCAAAGCAGCACCTCGGAATATCGCCGTCGCCGCAAGCTGCTTGTCCATGTACAGTACATACTCCTTACTATCACTAGTATTGCAGCTTGGCCTCTTGCTCTTCTACGCCATATTAGTGTCTTTTCCTAATCCTCTTTCCCAAGTGAGGTTGAGTCGTGGTGCTAGTTCGATATGCTCAGAAAAGGGGGCATTACCATTACCCCGTATGCATGTCTTACTGCCCCCTTGTCAAGGAGATTCTTCTCCGCAGCAAATCTTTATCGATCTGCTTCACTGCGATCTACGCATGGTGATGGGAAAGACAAAACAAATAAACAAATAAACCTCGTAATAGCACGTTGTCGTCTGGGGGGAGTTGTCAGATATCCTTTTTTTTTATTGCTTTTATTTGCAGCCTTACGCCGTTATGCATTAAACGCTTTTTTTTTGTGTGCGTCTGTGTGCGCTTCGCTTCCGAATGCTCCACGCTCAGCTCCCAAACCGTCACCCTATCCTCTTAAAAAGCTAACCGCTCATGCTTCCATGGCCTCTTTCCTTCGCCTTCACCATACTGCGCCGTCGGCTGATAGTCTCCCCTTATCTTGTACTTGTAAATCGTCAGACCGTCCAGGCCCACCGGTCCCCGAGAGTGGATCTTGTTGGTGCTGATGCCGACTTCTGTTCCGAAGCCGTAGCGCATGCCGTCCGCCAGACGGGTTGAGGCGTTCCAGTACACGCCAGCCGAGTCTACCTGGTTCATAAAGTGTTCGGCCTCGGCTCCGTCCGAGGTGAAGATGGAGTCTGTGTGGTGAGAGCCGTGGGTGTTGATGTGGAGAATGGCTTCCTCGACGGAAGATACTGTCTTGACGGCCAGTGTTAGGGAAAGGTGTTCTGTATCATAGTCTTCCGGAGTGGCATCTAGAACAGTGCCGTCTGGGAAGGCAGTGGATGCGGATGCGAGGGCGGCTTTGCTGGCGGCGTCAAGGCGGAGAGTCACGCCTTTCAAAGCCAGTGCAGAAGCCACGCCGGGGAAGATTGTGTCGAGGGCTTTGTCCTGGACAAGGAGAGTCTCTACGCTGTTGCACGCAGCTGGGTAGCTGGTCTTGGAGTCGACAATGGCGACAGCAGCCTTATCCTTGTCAACGGAGGCGGTGAGATAGATGCTGCAGAGGCCGTCTGCGTGGCCCAAGACGGGGATCTTTGTGTTTTCCTTGATGTACCGGACAAGCTCGTTTGAGCCGCGGGGGATGACAAGATCAATGCTGCGATCCTGGCTGAGAAGCTGGAGGATGACGTCGCGAGTGGTGACCAGCTGGATGGCTGAGTTGGGGACCTGAGTTGTGGAGAGAGCAGAGGAGATGACTTGTGAGATGGCGATGAAGGATTCTGTAGATTCCTTGCCTCCTGTGGAAATGCTCAGTATATGAGGCCAGGCAGATGGTGAGATGGAAAAGCTTACCCTTGAGAATGGCAGCATTGCCAGACTTGATTGCCAGACTGGCAATGTTGGCAATGACTTCTGGGCGTGCCTCGAAGATGATGAGAAGGACGCCAATGGGGCATGAGACTCGCTCAAGATTGAGGTTGTCGTCGAGCTTGGTTCGCAGTGAGACCTTGCCCACTAGTGGCGATGATGACTGTTAGCAAGCTGATCTGATTTCTGAGTTTATGTCTGTGGTGAAAATTTCGCTCATGATGATGCAGTCCATCAAATAGCCAATGCGAAGCAAATAAAATCAGAAAATCAGAAAATGTGAAGCATTGCACCATGATGGCAAACAACAAGCCACGTACCAGGATCTTCCAAGTCCCTCACATCCAATATCCCCTGCAGCATATCCTCAAACTTGCCCGTCTTGCCCAGATCCAGCCTCGACACGAGCGCCTGCGACAGCATCCCATCCGCCGCCGCCTTTCGCGCAAGCTCCAGATCGCGCGCATTCGCCGCCAGGATCTCGTCCTTGGACGCTGTGAGAGCCGCGTGGATGGCCTCGAGGGCCTCGTTGCGAGCCGATGCCGGCAGCGAGGCCAGGGTGAACGAGGCCGTCTTGGCGGCGGCGGCGGCGACCTCTGGCGAGTCGTTTGTGAGAGACATGGTTCCCTTTTATGCTCTATAGATTGTATTTAATCTAGGGATATGCTGTCGAGAGAGGAATTCGTGGGCGATGAGTGAGATGAGATGTGAGGTTTGCATATGCGATGAGTAAGTCAGATCTGATTTTGTCAGACGCCGATGCGGGGCCCACGTATTGCCTGATGTGGTAATCGCTGTGGCGACCTGCCACCGGAAGCGGCGCAATGCTGGACTGGTCCTAAAATCATCCTCTTCTATAGCAGCAGAATACACATAACAATTGCAGTAATATGATTGTAAAATGAATAAATTTTTTACTAGTGACTAGATTTTATAATTTTTTGCTTTGGGCTCTGTTCGTATGCTGTGGAGCAATAGTAGTAAGTAAGGATTACTAGTACATAAGGATCAGATCGAGATAAGATGCGTAATCCATATGGAACCATTGCGGCTTGCGAGAAAAAGAAGAAGAAAATTTGCTCAAGGTGATATTCAAAGATGAGGCATGATGTCTGGGTTGGAGCACTCTACGTTTATATAATGGCTGCATTATCCCCAGGTTGACATGGCCAAAGAGTTGCAAATGGAAGTTGACCAAAGTATGTGTTTGTTGAAGATGCAGGTGAGGGGCCTGAAAAAGAGACAAAAATGTAAAGAAATTGAGAGTAAAACAGAATTGAGCATGTCAATGAATGAGACCAAGGCTTTGATGGTGCCTTTTGCGCCTGGAAACTCCAGCATCCAATGCGGGCCGCTTCAAGATCTGAATAGGGAGCTACAACGTCATTTCAAGATTCCTTGTGTGCTGGTAACTCACTCGTATTTCTCTCTCTTCTTTTCTACTTAACCTTTTTCTTATTCTAATTTTCAGCGATATTGAGTCATAGTCTTGATTAATTGAGACCCATTACAAACATCTGATGGAAAGTTCCGGCAAAGCAGTTACAATATGCCAGCCAAAAGCCTTTGTTAAGCGAGATACGCGACTGTTCATCCGAGTATGTAGCCATCTTGGGCAATTAAATTAGAAAGCTTCAAGTATCAGAATACATGACTATATAAATGCAGATTCATAATCGGCATTTAGGCAAATATTTTTGCCATGTTCTCATGCAACCAACCCTTCGCCACAGCTTGAAAATGTGCGATTTCTCATGATGAACTGACTCCCTTCTAATTATCGAATCAGGCTTAGCTTTATACATTTGTCTAAGAAGATTATATGGTTAAGATGCTACTAGGATTGAATGAATTATACACTAACTGGGGGTAACGAACATTTCGGACCATGTTGTTTGTAGACGTTTCATGGAGCGTCCATAGAGAAACAGAAAGGGAAAAAGTGAGTAAAAAGGAAACTTTTGGAGATCCTTTGGACTCATATTTCTCTACATGCGCTTTACTTGTATATCTCTATATGAGTCATCCATGGCAGCCAGGCGTTGAGTTGGCGCATCGCATAATAGGGAAGATTCTACGAACAGACTTGGCCTTGTAAGCAGCAAGAGTAAACAATCATTCTATTTAAACATATAAATAGATATAATAATGTGGCAAAAGGAATGGTATTATCAAGAAATATTAGACTGCTGAGTTTGGAGGATTCAACTTTGCATATATCTCGCCATGTCACCTCGGCCTCCGACGAGATTCGGCGATGGAACCTTGATGGGTTGTCGGCGCACAGGAGCCGTGCAACTTGCGCAAAGTATGGCCACATGACAAGGCACTTGCTAAAGGACTCGGATAATCGGATGTCAAGTTTTATAGATTGTTGCTGCGATAAGTCTGGCAGCAGCTGATCTCGTTAGGCCATACCTGAGGCCATGTTGGGGAAAGGCATATACTACATGTATCCTGATTACTGATTGCAATCTTATAAAGTAGAGAAACAAAATGTAACGGTAAAGGCTATTTGCATTGGCTACATGAATCAAATGCCAACATCACACACGCTGTTACATCATTCTCGTCGTCAAATAGCCTACATGAACCGTCTACATTGATAGCGCCGTCCAAGATACACTAAATCATAAATCCGATAATACGAGCATGTCATGCCGAAGCATTCAACGCCCGATCCATCGCCGTCCATTCCCTCTCATTGGCCCAATTACCCACTCAAGATCAATAAACCGCAATGAACCTCCAATATGCCCCAACTTCTCAGCCATACTTACCCCGATTTCCGGAATCTACCCCAAATGCTACCATGACTAACTACGCCGCTCTTCTCGATTTAGTGGTATCCCGTCAGCCTCTCCCATGCCCGAGCTCCACTCCTCCCAGGCGCCCTCTTTTTACTTGCATTTTCTTCTTCTCAAAATTCTGCGCGATACTCTGTCCGGCTAATTCCCACCCGGCAAGGCTAAGGCCGTGCCCCTGCGTGGCTGCGATGGAGGCGGGGATGTGCTTCTTGTACGAGGAGCTGCAGATGCTTTCTCGTTTACTTTGCTGTAGAAAAGAAGAGAGAAACAAAAGGGGTCAATATTGTAATATGGATATGTTACTCCAAGTATTTCCTCTAATGATGGAAAAAAACAACTTATGAAAAAAGATGACAAATGTAACAGTAATTCATACCTTGCAAGAATAACAAGGCTTCACCTCCCGGTGGGTTGCCGAGTCGCGGACCTCGGCCGTGGAATCTGAGCCGGCGCGCGTATCCGGCCTTGGCCCACTTTCTACGGAGAATGGCAAAATTTCCTACAGCAAAAACAAGTGGGAATCGACATGGTAGTGGGTGGGATCGAAGAAAAAGGATTTTTTAAAGAGGGCGACATGGTGTGTGTGTTGTTGGCCTTCAAGTAGGAGCCCCCCTGTGTTTATTTATTCTGCTCATCATCCCGCCTTTTTGCTTCTCATCCTTCTTCTTTTTCAAGTGTGTTTTCATGAGGCATGGCTACGAGGCTACTTGAGCGGGTTTCTTTATTTTGTTTACTTCTTTCTCGTGCTACATATTAATGATTTTATTTTATGATGCCATTGGGAGATATACTCATATGACTGTGCCCACTCTCGCATATCGCCCCAACTAAGACTCGTTTTATAAGCCGTCACCTCATACCATCTCAATTACACCACAACTCATAAGAATAACTCTTTTATTATCAAAAAAGTCTTGATCAAAATGCCTTCAATCCCTGATCCAGAAAAGGCCAATGGTCCATCAACATCCCCCACTCCATCCATCCACTCCTCCAACGACACCATCACCACCGCACATTCAGACCACGGCAGCAACGACGAAAAGAAGACTGCGCGTCATCACATCACTGAAAACGACGTGGAACTTCACCACGACGCTCTCGTACCAACAGTCAGCCTTGCCACAGCAGCGCAGGCCCCGGCAACGGAACAGGAAGCTGCCCGGTCACGATCCCGTGCTTCAACCACCCGGTCCAAGACTCCCAAGACTGTTCCTCGCTCTCAACGACGAGGTCTGCTAGGTCGCTTTGCTGTTGTTCCTGAAGTCGAGAGTCCGTATGAGTACAAGAACTCGACTAAATGGGGCATCACCTTGACTATTGCTCTGGCTACTGCCGCTGCTCCGCTGGGCTCTTCCATCTTTTATCGTATGCATGACAAGTCACTTTACTCCAAATTCATGCCTACCTGCTAACAGCTAATAGCCGCTCTTCCTGAAATGACACGAAAGCTCAACACCACTGAAGACATCGCCAACCTTTCCGTCGCCCTCTACATGATCTCCATGTCCATCTTCCCCCTCTGGTGGTCCTCCTTCTCGGAGCAATTCGGCCGCCGCTCCATCTACATCATCTCCTTCACCCTGTTCCTCATCTTCGCCATCGTCTCCGCCGTCTCCACCAACATCGCCATGCTCATCGTCTTCCGCATCTTCACCGGCGGCGCCTCCGCCTCCGTGCAAGCCGTCGGCGCCGGCACCATTGCCGACATCTGGGAATCGCACGAGCGCGGCCGGGCCATGGGCATCTTCTATCTCGGACCGCTGCTCGCGCCCCTGATTGCGCCCATTGTGGGAGGAGCTTTAGCCCAGGGGTTTGGCTGGAAGGCTACCATGTGGTTCCTCGCCATTTACGGACTTGTCATCCTGGCCATGCTAATCTTCCTCCTGCCCGAGACGCTGGCACGGAAGAAGCAGGAAGAGGCCATTGCCGATAATGAGCCAACTGCTGAATCCATCCGCCGCATGACGACCAGAGAATCCGCCAAAGTCCAGACCAAGAAACTGGCTGCAAGCGCCAAGCGCATCTTCCTCGACCCCCTCAGCGTGCTGCTCTTCCTCCGCTTCCCCCCCGTCTTCATCACCGTCTTCACCGCCGCCATCGCCTTTGGAGCGCTATTCATCTCCAACATTTCCATCCAGCAAAAGTTCTCTCAGCCCCCTTACAACTACAGCCAGATCATTGTCGGTCTGCTCTACCTCCCCGCTGGCCTGGGCTACTTCATCGCCTCCATCTTTGGCGGCAGATGGATCGACAGAATCATGACCAAGCAAGCCATCAAGGCAAATCGCTATGACGAAAATGGCAAACTCATTTACCTACCCGAGGACCGCTTCAGAGAGAACATGTGGCTGGCCAACACCATGTATCCCATCGGGCTGCTGATATACGGATGGACACTCAACTATGGAGTCATCTTCATCGTCCCTGCTATTGGCAGCTTCATTTTTGGAGCTGCCTCTATGCTTGTTTTTGTAAGTCCCTTTATCCCTATCCTTTTCCGACATCTTGCTCATGACTAATGGTCAAACAGTCTGCCGCCACCACCATGCTCACTGAATTCGTCCGCAAGAAGAGTTCCGCTGGCGTTGCCGTCAACAACTTCGTCCGCAACATCCTCAGCTGCGTCGGCGTCATCGTCGCGGCTCCTTGGATCAACGCCATTGGTGTAGGCTGGGTGTTTACGGCCGTGTCCTTGTTTTGTATGGTTGCTGGCTATATTGGCATTTGGACATTGAGGAGAAATGCCGCTCGGTGGAGGAAAGACATGGACGAGGCGATGAAGGATATGTAATGATTTGATGATACCCTAACATGTTGTGTGACTTTTTATAGACGTTGTTGTTTTCTCTTTATATCTAGGTCTGGTCAAAAGTACAAGTATTCTTGATCTTAACACATACATGATTCTCTACATGTGAATAGTCGTCTCTGATGATCTATACTCTTCTCTCACCATTCACTTTTCTCCTGCTATCAGCTTGCCGAGCGCATCAACAGCGACATTTCCGCCGCTGAAAACAAGGCCCAAGTCCCATCCCTCTTCGCCGGCCTCCTTCTCCACAAGACTTCTAAAATCTTCATCAAACAGCGCAACTGCCAGCGGAACGCATGCGCTCGGCTCAACCACCATCTTCATCCGCTCATACACGAGCTTCATCGTCTTCAAAATCTCCTCATCCGTCACGCTGAACATGCCACTTACCAGACGTCGCTCGAAGATGACGCTCCAGGGATGCACACCCACTGGGGTTCTCAGTCCATCCGCCACAGTGAGAGACGACACGGTAGGGATGCGTTCGCCTGACTCGTATCCTCGCTTAGCATCGTCAGCTCCCTGATATGACGGCTCGGCCCCAAAGACCTTGATACCGGTGCCTTCGCAGCTGAGTGCCACGCCAGAGAGCATTCCGCCGCCGCCACATGGAGTGATGATGGCATCCAGTCCTTCTTTATTTCCCTTGGTCTTGTTTGCCGCAGCGGCATACACGCCCCTCAGGGCCTGTCCGGCTGGGTTAACGTGAGATGCAATGCTGCTCTCTACTTGGTCTTGGAGCTCGAGTCCGAGGGTCCCCTGGCCAAGCATGATGTCGGGATGATCATAAGGAGGGACCAGTCGCGCACCAGTCTCGGCAACAACCTTTTCGGTGACGGCCTCACGCTCGACGCTCGTGCTGCCGCTGAAGATGACGTTGGCGCCATAGCCCCTGGTGGCGTTGATCTTCGCAGGGATGGAGATTTCAGGCATGACGATGTGAGCCTTGATGCCGTTCTCTCTGGCTGCGAGAGCCAGGGCCTGAGCATGGTTGCCTGCAGATTCACGTTAGCAGCCGTTCTGAGTCATCAACTAGACAGGATCGTGAACGAGATACAAGAGCACCTCGATCTTGAGCCTCTCATTCCCTTCCCACAAGCATAAATCAAGCCAAGTAGAGCACCATCTTACCAGAGCTATGCGTCACCACGCCCTTTTCCTTTCCTCCCCCCTCCAGCCATCCCGGCTCCTCTGACAGCTTGTGCAGCGCATAAAAGGCCCCGCGCACCTTGAAGGCCCCGATGCGCTGCAAGTTCTCGCACTTGAACCACAGTCGCAGCACAGGCTTCGCGGGCGTCCTGCCGGCGAATCTCGTCTTCTCGAGGTTCTCGACGGTCGTGGGCGTCGAAGCCAGCTCGGAAAGCGTCTGATTGGTCACCACGGGCGTGCGATGGACATGATTCTTGACAACCTTGTGCGCCGCACAGACTGAGTCGCGGCTCAAGGGGAGAGTTGTCGACAATGCGGCCATTTCTGCTGCTTGTTCTTTGCCGCTTCTTTGCTTGGAGCCTGGCTCTTTTTGCCCCTTACGTCTCTTTTCCACAAACAAACAAAAAGAGACGCCTTCACTCTTTTAAGGATACTTTCGACAAGCTGCTGCCTTGAGAAGCGGATTATCTCATCAGCACTTCTCCTCGATGGCGTCAAAAACGTGCCGCCTTTCCAGTGATCAAAAGGCGTGGGGATCCCCGCCCGCTAAAATTAGTGGACGGGTTCCAGGGTAAGAGCGGCGGCGCAACGATTCTAGAAGCCTCTCCCCAGATTTTGCTTCTACAATTCTATACTGTAGAATTCTTCTCAGCAGAAATCAACCATTTCGATTTCATGATTATATGATCACTGTCTTGGCTTTGTTAATTTCCTATTCTGGTGCTCATTTCAGTGTTGGGATTCTGCACCAGTGACAAGTCAACTCTCACGTTAACGCGGCTTCAAGTCTACCTGTCAAATACAGGCGCCAAGGTGAGACAAGGACACTGTCAATCATTGTTTCAATCTCTTCTTGCTTCTACTACTTGTAGGTAGCTTGTGTGTGTATTCTAGGACTAACGCATGTATTCCACCACAGGATACCGAATGCACCAAAAGACCGGGAATTGGGCCAACGAAATTTGCGTGAGAGCTCTACAACTTCTCCCAGATTCCACGTCGATCTGCGACTAGGGCAATGGCTCCATTGCCATACCGACTTCTTCACGAGCTCTTTAAGCATCTCTTATTCATCCCCAAATGCCCAACTTCGTGAGCGCCCCGTGGCTGTGTTAGATTCAAGTGAGCCCTGCCATGATAGCACTCCCCGAGCCACAGCCGCCACCAACTCCTGCGCACAGCTTCGCCATTACTGCATCTCATCCAAGGCGGATTTCATCGTTCGCTTGAGAAAGGGAGAAAACTGATCTACAACATGACTGACCGGGTCTCAAAGGCGGCCGCAGACACGAGGTCACCTGAAACTGGTAGGTGTGGTCCCCCCCACGAGCCGAATGGCGGTATTGGGTTCTGCGATTGCAGTCGCCGGCGTTGGAGAATTGTGGCTGATACAGGTGTGCTGGCAGCTGGAAACGCAGTTTCATCGGAATGCTAAAGCCAGCCATGGAGCCCTGAATCGAAAAGTTGCATATAAGCTGCAGCTTGAAATTACGACTTGATCGCAGTTTGACGGATTTGCGACTTGGCTGCAGCTTGTCCAAGTCACAGCCTGGTCGCGTTGGCAAAAAAGTTGTGGTTAGGTAAATCCCGGCTATTCGGTGTTGAGAGGCATCCCTCCTTTTCTCTTCTTTTCTTTTTTTTAAGATTACGAAACCTGGGATCTGCCTTATATGAGCCGATATTTCGGGTCTACTCGGAGCAAGGGTTCGAGATGGGCTCTACTGTATCTTTCCTTACGGTGTCGCTTGTTTAATTCAGCGTATCATTTACGGTAGAGCTGGGTCGTCCAGGGGGAGTTTTCTCTACCTTCTTCCCGACGCCCAACACTCAGTACCGCCAGCTTGGAGCCGATGGGGAAACAAGGGCATGGGTCATGGGTGCTGGCAGTATTGAAAGCCCCGACAGCCATGCAGTCCGTTTTCTGGGTCTTTGGCCTGTTCGTCGAATCAGCGATCTAGAAGCTGTTGTTGGTCGCTAGCGCTCCATTTGCTATGCAAGGGAGTATTCCCAGCGTCGGCCCTAGTTCTCGTCGCTTTTGTTGTTGAGAGAACACGCCCAGGGACGGAAAGGAGACCGGGGAAACAAGCAAGTAAAAAGGTCTTGGCGAAAAGACGAAAACGAATGACTGGTTACTGGCTTGTTGATCTCTAGGCAGTGCCCCCTAGCTGCATGGAGATGAATCTTGCTATGCACGCCGCGAATGATGGGCAGTAATACTATTTGCTGATGGGCACTCTTCGGTTTGCGGCACTGCCTAATCATCGCATCAAGCTGTCATTCAGATCCGCGGAAATCCTTATCTGGCATTCATCCTGTCCTCTCGGTCGGGGTCGAGATCGGATCCTGCGTCGAACCTTACAGGTGCATCTTGCGTATACTCAAACGATGACAGCCACCCAAGACCTTGTTATGATCGGATGAATTTCACCCACTTGACCGGGTTACCGGGCCTTGCTGCGTCTCTTACTCAATCCTATATTAGCGCCACAGATCGATCTTTTGCGGTGTGAAGAATGCGAAGAAAAGGCAGCCATTTCACACGCCGATAGCTGTGACCGCCACAGAAGCACCCCGGCTCTTGCCCCAATTTCTCGAGCTGTCGCATGTCAGGTGGCCCTTGGGATGGGTCTCTGGGACGCCAGCCAGTGTTGCAGCGGCATGATGGACGGCTTGTTCTGCAGCTCAGAGGGGGGATATGCAATTTGCCCATGCATTCAATCTAAAACAGGGCTTTGGTCGCACAAGGCAGCCTATGATTCTCACCAAGCTAGCCCTCCTATGGAGGAGAGTACTCGCCCCGTCCTGTGGACTCATCGCGCAGAGGATGTCGACACCGGGGAGTCGATGTGGAGTTACGAAGTCTTGCGGCTACAGGTGTTCTTTTTGGCATCGTATAGGGGTATGCCTCATATAGAAATACTGACCAGATCAGATGCACGATCCGCTGTACTGGCTTTCCCCTGGTCTTCGGGTCGCCGCAGTGCCTCTTCTCTCGATCGCATGGCGGAGCAGCTTCCGGTAGCGTCGCATCCACCTGCCGCCTCCCCGAATCCCATGCTTAATACTCCTCTTACTGGCCATGTTCCACCTTGCTGTGAGCCCAAGCTACCTACGCGTACGCCGCTCGTCGAGAAAGCCTGAGCAGAAGTAGAAAAGGCTTGAGTGCGGCGGGGAAGCAACCTAACACCCTTCAAGCTGGATAGCATCACCACAACAGCACTGCGGCATCATTGCATTCCTCACGCCCACTAATACCCCCTGCGGCGCTCTGATGGGCAGCTGTGAGCCAGGGGGTATGAACTGTAGTATTGGCACCTCCATGTTTATACTTATTAGCCCTTAATCCTACGACCCATCTAAGCTGCCAGGGATCGTGGCCGACAAGGGAGCATGTCGAAGGCGTCGGGTCCCAAGTTCCTGGGTCTGCCGGTTCGCGGCCCAGCCATATGATCTGCGTGTCCATTATGCCATACCTTTTTCTCATCACTCACGCACTCTTGCTCGGCCCGGCCCAGTGATTTAAAAGGGGAATGGTGATTCTATGGGGCCTCTGCTGAGAAGTTCCCCCTTCGTTGTGTCGTCTCAAACCCACTTCTCATTTTGTCTCCAATGCTCTGTCCGCGGTTTGATTACCATGGATGATCAAACATCGCCAGACGGTCGGCTCAGCCGTGATAGCAGTATCAGTTTGGAGGACCATGAAGGACCAGCTCCAAGGCGCGTTTGCATCTCTGATCCCTTCATTATTTGTTCATGTGTCTTCTAACTGGAATCTCACATCCAGGTTAAGCAGATCCCCTCTTTACACTGCGCATCAGATACAGCGAGAGGCAAACGATCGAGCAAGCATGGATTCTCTTCTTATGATTTCCCTAGACTTTCCTGCAACGTACAATACAGACGAAATACCTACAGGCGTAGGGCCTTTGGATCCTGCTGATGAACCATTGCTTTCATCCCGCCGCCTGGGACAGTATTTGTCAGAAGAACACAGGAACGAACGGATCGCTCTAGGGGTGCAACCTCTGGGAGTAAACAGGGCTACTGTCCAAAGTTATCTGCCCGAAATTATACAAAGTGTTGACAACAACGCATCGCAAGCAGAGGCAACTGTTGGCACGATAGAGCCCGAGGAGGGAGTATGCTGGGGATCCTTCACCACATTGGCATCTACAAGCTCTGACGGGTCGTCGGGGCCCATTACAGCATGTAGTAACAATAACGATGACGAGAATATAGCCGAGGCAGCCAACCCAAGACCACTCCCCACAACGCCCTCTTCAGATCAACACACTGCTTCGAGCCCAGCGAGACTAGCCAAGCAAGATGTGGCTCTAGTAAAGTTGCAACATGCCTTGGCTGGCAACGAGTCCCATCTCATAGCCCAAGACACTGCTGAATGCGACCTTGAGCTGGAAGGCATTGTAAGGTACGTACACAATAGGGTTGAATGACACACGCCAGTCACTGGACTAACATACATGGAATAGCAACCTTTATAAAACAAGCCGTCATAGGCGACGTGTAGGCTACCCAGTCGAGAACCAAGCCCGCGTCAAAAAGACTATTCGTTTCAAAAGGAGGTCGGAGAAGCAGCAAAAAGAGATGAAGAAATGATTTCGGGCTCGGTCTCTTTGATGGCAGATTTCTTTCAACAAGTTGTCGGTGCGGTGGACTTGGTATATGGGCCTTGTGGCATTATCACATATTAGAGGCTGTACAGGCAGCATGACGGAAAAAAAAGGACGGGATTTCCTTGAGACTAGATTGTATTATATGTTATATAACCGTTCCAAATTAGATACAACAATACACTTGCAATTGCTTTCTGTATCTCCAGCTATCAAAACTCATAGCTGTGCGAGCTATATAGGTATCCAATTTGATTACAACTAACTAATCATATCATCGTACGTCGTAATATCTTATGCCACAACCAAATCTTTGACCCTCCGAATCTCATCTCCACTCGCACTCACAATCTTGATCCCCTTCTTCTCGACATCCTTCTTACCCTCCGCCTCCCAAGCCTCCTTCGTCACAGCCCTCGTGCCCTCTTCAACAATATACGTCCTATAGCCCTCCTCCACCGCCGACTCCGCCGTCGCCTTTACACAATAATCCGCCGCCAGCCCAACAACAAAAACATCCGTCACCCTCGCCTCCTTCAGCTTCTCCCCCAGCTCACTCACGCTCACGCGGAACGGATCCCAAAACGCAGAATACATCTCCACATCCGGATTCATGCCCTTGTCCACGACGGCATCGATTTTAGAAACGTCCAGCTCGGGCACGAGTTCGACGCCGGGCGTGCCCTGGACGCAGTGCGTGGGCCATAGCAGCGTGGTGTCGCTCTTGGAAGGGTCTGATGGGTGGATGATTGTGTGGTAGGATTGGTAGGCTGTGGCGCCGGGGTGGTTTGAGGCAAAGGAGACGTGGTTTGGGGGGTGGAAGTCGCGGGTGGCGATTTTGATGGCGAAGGGGAGGCTGAGGAGGGAGTTTACAGTTGGGGCGATGTCGCGGCCTTGGGGGACGGCGAGGGAGCCGCTCTGTGAGTTGATGTTAGTGTTAAGAAGTTGAGGATATCAAGATTGTGGTGAGTCCATATCGAGTGGGAAAAGATGAAGTGAGTTTGTGGAGTTGGAGAGTAAAAGGTGAGGCGAAACTAGGTGTGAGGCTTACCGGAGGGCAGAAATCCTCCTGGAAATCAACCACGATGATCGCAGGTCTAAACTCTGATTCAACACCCATGATGAAGATCTTCGTTTTGTGATTGAAATAAATAGGAAACAAAATCAGAAGAGTGAAATGAGCGAAACAGAAATGAAGGCTCACTAATGGAAGTTTAAAACAGATGCTTTACAGAATTGGCTGATGCGAATCCCCCACTTTTGCGGCAGCGGATGTGGCTTATCGCGCTAAATGGCCGATAAAGAGCTGTTTTTTGGCCTGGGGAGAGGATGTGGAGTAGATGGTACTTGGGATGAATGCTTGCTCACATGGTTCACAGAGTAGCTGATACAAGTACTGCTTGGATACGTTCGATGTATGCTGTTAGTTCAAGTACGGCCGGACTTATCGAAAGGGATCATGGCAACTGTTTCCATTATTAAAATTTATAGACTAAAAGATAGAATACAGAGTGATATTAAACCAGCCAGCTACCCATGGATATCGAAGCAATGCTATGCTATTCGCCGCTTTCTTGCAACTATATACTTGTATATATCGTCTATAGAGCATATGTCATCTTCTGCACTGCCCTGATCTCATAACATCCAAAAACAAATACGAAACTCCATTAATTACCAACCACCCCTCGCTTGCGCAAACCGTTTTCTTCGTTACTGCGCTTTGAGTGTTTTTTTTCTCTTTCTTTCTGACATTACTAACATTAAAACCAATCATCATTAATTTTTCTACCTTCGGATCGCTGATCCGTTGGTGATAGTCAACGAGGCCGACGAAGGAGCCGGAGTCATGGCTCGTGAGGGAGCCGCTGAGGGAGCCGCTGAGGGCACAGTGCTTCGGTTGTGCGCCATGTGAGCCTTGACCAGGTGGCCAGCAGCGAGGGCACTGCAAAGAGACAGTTCACCGGCCAAGACAGCCGCGGCGATGATTCGGGCAAGTCGTCGGGCATTGTCGCCAGGGTTTGTGGGATGAGAGCCCCTGACGCCGAGAAGTTCCAGCATAGAGCCCTGAGGATCCAGGATGGTGCCGCCGCCGAGAGTGCCGACTTCCAAAGAAGGCATGGAGACGGAGATTTGGAGAGAGCCACGAAGACTGGTAAATGGTTAGCATGCTAGTTCAAAGGGAGAAGAGGAGCCATCATATATAGACACTTACTTCTTCATAATGGTGATACAGTTGGCGCTCTCCACAACCTGTGCGGGATCCTGACCAGTGGCCAGGAACATGGCGGCGACAATGTTGGCAGCGTGGGCGTTGAAGCCACCCATTGAGCCAGCCATGGCGGAGCCGATCATGTTTTTGGCGTTATTCAGCTCAACCAGAGAATCAACATCCGTCTTCAGGACGCTCTTAACGACATCACCAGGGATAATGGCTTCAGCAACAACGCTCTTACCACGGCCCTCGATCCAGTTGATCGCAGCCGGCTTCTTATCCATGCAGTAGTTACCGGAGAGGGAGATGATGGTCATGTCTTCGAAGCCAGCCTCGGTCTGCATCACGTTCAAAGCGTGCTCGCAGCCCTTGGAAATCATGTTCATGCCCATAGCGTCACCAGTAGTCGTCTTGAAGCGGATGTACAGATTGGTGCCGGCGATGGCTGTCTTCATGGACTGTAGTCTGGCAAATCGGCTAGTAGAGTTGAATGCGTTCTTCATCGTAGTCTGACCTTCATCGGAGTCAAGCCACAGCTTAGCAGCACCGGCGCGTTCCAGGGTATCGAAAGTAACAACGGGTCCACGGGTCATACCATCGGCAGTCAACACGGTAATGGCACCACCTCCAGAGTTGATGGCCTTGCAGCCTCTGCTAGTACTGGCGACAAGGACACCCTCAGTAGTGGCCATGGGGATGAAGAAGCTCTGTCCATCAATGACAAGAGGACCAGCAACTCCGACGGGAATGGGCATATAACCAATGACGTTTTCACAGCAAGCTCCAAACACACGCTCCCAGTCGTAATGCCTGTATGGCAGCTTAGAGTTCTCCAAAACGCTAGTGATTTCAGAAGTGGCCCGGGTGCGAGAAATGATGGTTCTGCGAACCTTGACGGCACGAGTAAAGTTCTTGAGCGTCTTTTCGAGAGCGTAGCCAGGAATCTTGCCACGCATCGACAGCTCGACAACCTCTTCATCAGTCATCTCAGTGATACGTTTCTCGACAAGCATCTTTTCCAGCACCGCCAAGCTACGGTTCTCAACCTCCTGGGGCTTAACCTTGGACTCAGCATCACTCTCATCATCCGTAATGACAGGAGTAGCCGGTTGGGTCTGCTGAGGAGTTGGCGGGACATATTCTCCGAGAGGCAAGGTGGCGGAACCAGTGTCGTTGAAGCGCTGGGCACGAGCAAGCTCGTTGCGGTCGATTTGGTGGTCTGGAGCGTTGGGGTCCTTGATACTCCATCGGGCGACGTTGAAGAGATAGCCGTTGAGGCCGACACTGAGGGCGAGAGCAGCGATAATCCACTTGGAGAGCACAGGGTCCTCCAAGCTGCTAAGGAGGCCGCCGACAACACGGCCGCCAACTCCAAAGAGCTGGTCGTCCACAGGGGGTGCAGTGGCCGAAGGCAGCGCGTAGTGAATGGAAGGGAATTCGAGCTCATACTTGATGGGTGTGAGGATGCTCACGAGGACGGCGACGCCCTTGGCCCTGGCAGCTGCCAAGATGGCATCCAGACCGTTGGATGCGACCTTGAACGGATCAACAGGAGGGGTAGAGACAACTCCGCTGAGTCCACCAACCAATGAACGCAGGCTTGGGAAGGAAGCGCCGTTGCGGAAGGGGATGGTGACGATGTTGATGAGATTGACCAAAATGAAGCCGGAAACCATCAGGCCCTTGAACTTGGGAACGCTGCTGCTCTTGATCTTTTTGCCAAATACCGAAGCCTCATCCTTGTCGGCGCTTCTGGCGGCACTCTCTGCGGCACGGCGGTTGACGCCATCGGCTTCCAAAACCCTGCGCATCTCAACGTGTCGCTTGATGCGGTTGATTTCAAGCTTGATGCTCAGGATGGCGGTGTAGAAGGTGAAGAGCAGGATGCAGTCGAAGAAGAGGATCCAGGCAGCCAAGAAACAGAACTGCTGAAGACCGCCTTGAACGCCAGAGGCAGCTCCGAGACTGAGAATCACAATCTCAATGGCGTAGTCGCGAATGATTTCGTAACCCTTCTCTTTGATGGCAGCTTGAAGAGCATAGGAGATGGCGCCTTCTTGCTTGGGCTCATTCTTTCCCTTCTTCATCGGCTGTGCACGATGCTCGATGGCGTGGCTCAGCACAGCCTTGGTGAGGGCAATGTTCTTCTCAAAACCAATGGTGACAACCAAGAAAGGAAGACCTTCAGAAAGGAGCAAAACACTGATGGGAATGCCTAGGCCAGTAGTGACGGCCAAACCGAAGAGGAAAGCAAACGTGGAGGAGAAGAGAGTGGTCGTAGCCAGCCAAAAGTTGGATCCCAGGCGGCGCATGGACAAGAAGAGAGACACAAAAGTGATGTGCATGGCCAGATATCCAAGGAACATGATGGTGACATCGAGCGTCTCGGCATTCTTCAGCAGGTCGATGAACGTAGACCAAGCGTTGCGAATCCACAAGATCAAGTTGGGGCCGGCGTCAACCTTGGCAGCCTTCATAATCCACATCTTCTTCTCACGGCCATGCTGCGTCTCAGCCTCCTGGGCGTTTTCAAGAGGAATCTCTTGCGCAGCAGCAATGAACTCTGGCGCCTGTTCATAAGGCACAGAGTAAGCCAAGACGCTGTCACCAGCATAAGCAGCAAAGGAGTTGAGGGTGGCCGGCAGAGTGGTGATGGTAAGGTTCTGGGGAGAGGGCACCGCATGAGAGCCCGGAGCAGAAGTAGAAGCACCTTCGGAGACAATCTCGGGGAAAACGAGCGTCAAGAGGGCAAGGTGGTCGGCCTCGTCAGACGTCTCCAGGCCTTGCTCTACGTTTTGCCATTTCCAGCCGGTCTCGGGACCAGCAATCAAGTCTCGGCTGCCATCAGCCAGCGATGACCACTCCGCCTTGCCCACGCTGTTTCCTCCAAAGAGAGTCTCTTGGAGCAGGCCAATGTAAGACGTGCTGGCCAAGAGAGCAACAACGACAATTGTATGTATAGGGTGGGAACAGGCCAGCTTGGCCAGGAACTGGATCAGCGGCGTGAGCTTCTTGTTGAGGCGTGAGGGCGCCGGAGCTTGGCTAGGAGCAGGCTCCCCGCGAAAGCGGCGGGGGAGCAGCGTAGAGGGATTCATGTTGAAGAATATGAAGAGATTCGTTGTCGGCTTGCACTTATTCCATTGGCAAGTCTTGTCGTACGATGTCGGCTCTCCTAACGTTGTCTAGGGCCCACAGAATCGTGTAAGAATCTCGCAGCAAAAACGGCTTCATGATCTCGCGGCGGGGGAGGGGGAAACGCTCGATATAACCCGCGATCCTTAGGGAACAAGGGTTGGAGCAAGGCCCGGGGTTCAGCTCACCTCGTGATGGACGTTGGCTCAGCGCCAGCCTTAAGCGATTGACTTGTCAGTATCCGGGGGTGGTGGCGGCGAGAATCACACCAATGGCGGCGCCCAGCCGTCGGAGAACAATAGGCTGCTGATGCAATTGAGGGCGAACAAGGCTCGGCGAACAACCGCGAATACGTCAGAAGAGCTCAGCCACGGCTCCTAGTGTGCTCTGGCAAGCAGATGATGCGAAGATGCGAAGATGAAGAAGACGAAGCGTCCCCCCTTTCTCAACGTCCAGAGGAAAAAGTAGCGGCGTAGGGAAAATATCGGCGGCCACTGAAGCTCCCCTGGATGGAGCAAAAAGACTGACTGACGCTGGTGCAACTGCGGCAGCGCCCAATCGAGTAATAGTCTTGGGGTCACGGCAGTGAGGCGCTTGGCCCAAAACAACGTAGCTGGTTGATCGTGGGTCGTCTAGAGATTGCCGTGGCCGAATCAGAGCAGGGCGGCCGCTGAATCGCCGGTCTGATTCGCTCGACGGTCCTATTTGCGGTTGGCTTGAATTGGCGGTGGATGATGAAATGAAATTAAGTCTTGATAGTGCCGCTGCTCGATTTTTCGAATTTTTTTCGCCTTGCAGCCAACGCCAATCAGGATAAGAGGAGTGGCCCCTCTTTTTTTTTTGCGATAACGAGTACGAAAGGAAGGCGCGCACACACACGAACTTCAGTGGCACGTGGCGTTTTGGACCTGCTTTGCTGATCGTCCAAGCAGGAGCTCGTGGTGACAGCCAGTAGATTCACCTATCAAGACACGCTCTGCATCTACATCAGACCGGCAGAAAGAGACGGGAGAGGAACTGAACAGCAGCACCGTTGCCCTCGATCCGGAGCTTTGGGTTTATATCGACAGTTGAACCTGGTCGCTGCTGGCCCTCCATTCAGGCCTAAGCGGACCCCAGACCCGCAGTGCCAATGTGGCAGTATTCCTCCGTGCGTGCTGCAGATTCCACCTGGATTCCACCTGGGATCAGATAATGATGCTAATGCTACTCCAGTAGGAGCAGTGCTACGGCGGAACTGCAAAGCATGGACAGCAGATGACACTCTTGATTCCTGTCAGACTACAAACAAGAATACTGCCGCAATACCTAATCCTCATCCAGCCAAGCCTACGGGATCCCTGACTAGGCTACGCTCTATCAACTCGGGGCGTATTCGAATCTGATTCTGACTTCTCGCAACCGCACTGCCGCTTACAACCCTGGCCATGCTCTCCACTCCCGGCTTTGCTTCAGATGTGGATGCTGTGGTGCTTTGATGAAGTGTCTTGCATGCATAGAGGTCCAAGCACTTCCACTGTATTCTGGAGCGGACCTGGTACGACAATTGCATGTTATCCCAACTCCTACGCCGCATTTGCCACCTTGCAGAAAATGATGGCCGGCTAAATGTTATAAGCGTACTGTATGTTGATGGCGGTAGTGCCAGTTGGAGTATCGATCTACTTGCTGTGATACACCCAAGTCAATATGCGGTGAGCGGTCATCTTTGGCATCTTCAAGTGAGACAAAGTTTAAGTGAGACAAAAGCCTCGTTGATTGCGACAGGTCTAGGGTTTCTTGAACGGCTAGCCGTTGTCCTAACACAATCTGTCCATATCTGGCTTTCATTACATATAGACAAACCGCTAGCGTGGTGACGAGACTAGGTATTTCGTTTGCCGGGCACACATCTCGGAATAGACGGGAAATGGTGCTAAGAGCACTGCTAAGGAATATTCGGTAAGCACTCGGGTATTGAACAAGGTATTGCTCCTCCTCACAGTTCTTATGACTTGGGACACACGCAAGCCTGGCGCCCGTTCATTTAGTGCAACTCGACACCATGAGGCGAGATACAAGCTTGCAAGCGAAGAACTACTGGGTTTCTAAGCTCAGAGGGGAAGAACGCAGAGGTATTAATTGTCAACAACATCTAACGACAAAGAAAAATTGAGACAACAAGAGAAACCGCATAAAGACATGCGCAAACCATCTCACTAAGCACACTATTCTACAGCACACCATCCTCATCCCGAAGCTGCTCCGACGCGAGTAAATGGTATCGGCCCTCCTCTCGGAGCCGAGCGGTGGTAACTCTGTCGGGATAATTCCTCAGAAACATGTTTGTGAAATGAGTTCCATAGTGTATCCCGCCAATCGGCGACTGTCCGGCATTGTAACCAGGCAAGGGCTTGATTACAGATCGAAAGTTGGGTTCGTGAAAGTACGCAAAGGCAAATCGTTCACGAACATTGAGCCCGACTTTATGCGGCGTTGACTTGAGAAAGTTGTTGGTCATATACTGCATCATGTCGCCTGGGACAGAAATGCGTGAGCCAGTGTCTTTCGAAGAGAAGCCTTCAGTTGCTTACCTGGAAACACTGTGAATGTCCCAGCGGCGGGAGGGACATACATCCATCCAGCGTCATTCTCCCTTAGTCCAGCTGAGGTCTTCTCCCAGTTTGCAAACTGCTCATCTTGACGCGGTGGTCGGACAAAGAGTCCTAGAAGGCATCGTCTCGTCAGAGTCAGGACTGAGAAAAGTTTCTACGACAAGAATTGCATACCTCCAACTTCGTCTTGAGCGGCAATGACAAGCAGACCATAGTCTGTATGAGAGCCAATACCACGGCCCTTTTTCCCCTTTCCGTTGGTCCTGTCCCTGTGAGGAAACCTGTGCAAGTAGGCTCGTTAGCGACTTGGCCTTGATGAGAGTGAGATTATGTGCTAACAACTCACCTCAAGACACGCATGTGATGCCACCCATCATCCGTGTATCTCGTGAGAGACCCCGTGGGAACATCCAACCCCATTTCGATGAGCTGCAACAGCTTCTCTCCCGACACAGCCAAATCGCTCATGTAGCTTTTCATGGCATTCTTCATACTCTGGTCAGGCCACGGACACGGCCCATGGCACGGCCAGCCTTGGGCAACTCGCTGATCGGTGTGGGGGAGATCTTTCGTCACGGTGAAGATCTCTGAGTAGTCGGCTACGCCATCAGTGATCTCCTCACCAGACGCGATGTAGCCCGAGTAGCTCATGTGGTCTACGCAGGCCCGCTTTTGTGCGGGTGGTCGAGAGAAGAAGCGCCTGCTTGCTGCATTGGCGGCTTGGTAAAGACGTTGTTGTGTCTTTGACATGTCAATCTGCAAAATGCCATCCCGGCGCCAGGCACCGATCATGGCATCTGCTATGGCCTTGTCGGACACAGATCCCGAAACCCTCTCAGGCAGGGTACAAGCCTCTAGTTGTCCAATCTGGGCTGTGAACCCAGGGGGCAAGCTATGTGTAGGAGCCATTTGCGCAGTTACTGCTGATGTTGAGGCAGCACGCGCCTTGGTTATGAGATATCGGGCTGCGCCCACACCCTTGTTGGCGCCCTTGACAATGGCCATCTTCTCTGAAGAGGTCTTGTGGGATGACTATGAATGAATTCTTTTTGGGCCTTCTTGCTCAAAGTGGATATGAGAATATGAGATTCTGAATTGTTCTATGTTTGCTATGTCTTGACCATGGGAACAAGAAAAGGGGGGGCATGAGAACGAGCGACCGAAAGCGCAATATATACTTGAAGCTCTAACGGCAGAGGTTTTAGAACCTCCAACTTGAGCTCAGCAGCCGACCGCTTCCTACTGACCGCCATCCACTTTCTCAACAAGATGTTACTCAGAGTCGCACATTGCAGACTATATATCCTCGAATTTTCCATCATGACCACAATTCCGCCTAAGAAGATGCAATTCTCAATCATGCATGTTCGCCCAGAATTCTGTGCGACGTTGGTCGTGTCTTTTAGATGATGAGGGGGCCTCATGGACAGGCTTGTATCACTTCCGTTTGGCAACTACAAAGAGGCGGTCCGAGGTGCTCACTCTGAAAAGGAGGTGTAGGAATAAAAAAAAAAAAGGTTTCAAGTCTAACAAAGAAATTGGAAGCTATAAAAAGAGACTAAAGAGAAGCAGAGCGGTGATACGCACACGCGACCAAGCAAATTACTCGAAAGTAAAGCTTAAACTATTCAGGCCATGCAAAGGCATGATCAGCGTTACAGCATATGCTGTCAATGATGCTTGTACCCCCCCTCTCTCTAGGCGCAGTCTTTGTCTTTTTAAATGCGCAGTTGCACAATCTTTATGGATCGACTGGACGTTTCATTATCATACATGTCCCATGTTAGACTGCTTTGGACTAAACAGGTCAGTCAGCTCGCTCTTGGTACCACGCAATCGGGAGTGGCAGTGAAAAGGAGAGGGGAGAGTAGGGCGAGTATAAAGTTCTGGCTCGTTGTTGTGAATAGGGAGGAGTATGAGATTGACTCATAGTAGTATCTCATCACCTAAGCTGGACTCCTCATGTGGGTTGTCGTGTAGGCATCTTTGGCATGGGGAGGAAAGGAGATGTCGTCAGGTTGGGAATTGGAAGCGATAGGTTGTGCGCGATGAGCCCCGGAGCCCGTGGTCCCAAGTCGGTTCGTCGTTTACTGTTGCGTGCTTGGGGTATTCGTCACTAGCTCTAGCAGGACGTCATCTCCAGATCTGAAAGGCAAACTTTGGAGGCGAAGAAAAGGTTTAGGCTCGCGCCTGTTTCAGCATCTCGATGAAAATTGAACCTAAAACCCAAGAGATTATCTATATATATAACCTTGCTTGGGAGATTTCTCCTTCGGCATCGGGAGTTGAGGTGGGGATCGGCGTCTGGGAATCTTATTTCAGCACAGTGGCAGTGGCCTCATATTCGCAGCTGGCTGCTTCAACGTTGTTCAACCTTGGTCCAAGTCGCACGCGCCCAGTTTAGTTGGGTTCAGCTTGTCCCCCCTTTCATCTCGAATCAGAGGTGAGCAGGTTTAAGACGATGGAGACGCCATGCCCTTCGGTACGGGCTACCAATTGGAGTTCACCACATTCGCATTCTCCGTTGCCTTTTATGCTCTGCATTCGCTTGACTGCATAATCTTTTGCCGTGCCGCTTGAGGCTACTGGCCCGACCACGTTGGCGTTGTGTAAACTGACTTGAAAAAAGGCAACTGTAAGTGACGTAAACGATGTTGTTTACGAGCAAGGAAACAGCGAGAGATTGATAATGTGAAGGCTTCTTTGAATAGCTGGCTTTGCATATGACGTTGACCATCTCAGAGAAAAATGGTCTTTCTCCCAGTTCGCCGGAAACGAGTTGTAGATGGCCGCATATCCGCTTCGATCCAGGTCTTCGTGTCTAGGTGTCACAAACAGCAGCAAGCAGATGTCCAGAAGAAATTCCATGATGAAAGTGGATTAAGCATATATTTTCCTTGCCATCGACGCAGCTGACCCAGATGTAACCGGCATACTAGTTTCGCTCAACGGTTATTGATCATCGTAGCGGTCAAAAGATGGGGGCGAAAGCTCCTTTCATTACATGGTTACAAGGCCGTCCAAAGGGCAAAGGGAGGAAACCCATCCCCGACAGGACGGCCAAAGCAAAAAAAGACACTCTCAACTCCACCGCACATTTCAATCACCATGCCCCTTGGAGAGAAACACGAAACACGCTCTCTCTTCATTCACTCCGCCAATAAACTCACTTCACAAGCTTCGTCATCTCATGCTTCAACCCCGCCTCCTTAGCCTTCTCATCCGCAATCTCATTCAGCGCCTTCCACTCCTCTGCACTGACCCTGCTCACACTCAACCGCCCTTGCTTCAGCATCATCATATTCTCCAGCGGGCCGCCGGGCTTGCCCAGCTCGCGCAGCTCCTTGAGGCCAATGGGCACGGCGAACTTTTTCCTAAACTCGACGTGGACCAGGCTCCAGCGGATATTGTCCTTTGAGGACTGCGGGTCGTAGTAGGGTGTGCCTGGGCGGCGGGCGGATTCTGGTGATTTATGCGTCAGTTGTTGATGAACCAAATATATATATATATATATATATATATATATATATATATATATTTTGATTTGTTCATAAAGGAGAATTGTATAAAGGTGGGTGAGACCTACTGTCTTCGGAAAACTCCTTTACAATCTCCATGACGCCCGCAATGCCAGGCTCCTTGCAATTAGAGTGGTAAAAGAAGGCCTTGTCACCGGCATTCATATTCCTCATGTGATTACGCGCCGCATACGCTCTAATACCTAAGAAAGAAGTGTCAGTAACAAATCATCCATGAAGAAGTGTCAAAAGGAGCTCACCATCCCACCCCTCAGGCTTCTCCCTCGCCCGCAAATCGTCAATCGAGAACCTCACATCAATGCCATTCTCAAAGCGCGACTCTGGCTCTGCCTTCATCAGCCAGTACCATTCGCCGTCGTGACGCGGTGCATCTGGGTTGGTTGTGGGAATGGAGTCGACGTCGGGATCTTCAGAGACGGCTCGCAAGCTTTTGGTGTCGTCTTTGGCGGGTTTTCCACCCTTTGGCGGTGGTTTTGCTTCTTCTTCATCTTCCTTCTTAGCTTTGGCCTGTCTGCCCTTCTTGGCAGGTGTCTTCTTCTCATCTGTTGCAGCCGTAACCTTCTTCGTCTTCTTCACGTCACCCTTGCTCTCATCCTTTTCACTAGCGGCAGTCCTCTCCTTAGTCCTAGAGGGCACGGCTTTCCTAGCCTTGTCTACTGATCCCTGGTCCTTCTCATCGGCCTTCTTCATTGAAGCCGCTGCTTGACGTGAAGATCGTCGTTTGGCAACCGGTTCATCGCCATCATCTGTAGTTCGCTTCCGGGGAGGCATGTCTGTCTGCCTTGTTAACAGTAAGAACTAAATGAAAAAAAAAATGAAGGATTTCCTTCTATCTTCCAATATTCTATAGCCTTGCACCTGAACAGCCTCAAAAAGTTCAGGGTTAATTCCTTGTTGCAAAACTGCTATAACTTGCTGTAACTATATGCAGCTCCGGCGCGTCAGCCACGCGCTCAGTCCTCAGGCCTAATTAATTCCTTGCATAGCCGCAGTGTGGCGCCCCCAATTTTTTCCGTTTCCTTGCTTTTAGTTTAGCACGGGGCTCCCTTTCAGTGGAAATTAGCCGCGGGCGCTGCCGTCATTTTTTTTTTCTGCGGAGCACGCAGTCCGCTCCGGTTTATTTTCAGCTCCAAAAGCGGCCTCCCTCCGCTGTAAGACGAAACAGGAAATCAGAGCCTCAAGTGCAAGTTTTCTAAGCGCCTTGGTCTCATTTCATCGACTGCACGAAAGCCTCGATATTGGGAAAAGATGAAAATTTTTCTCTGCAAGAGGGTGGGAAAATCCTTGTCTTTTGATTTAGCGGCTGCAGTTGGATTAAAATAGACTGCGATTGCGTGGAAGCGTCGTAACTCGCGGCCTGGGCTCTCGGTCGGCTGACTAAGTCGCAGATCAGATAAGGAAGCTCAGGCTGATGAGTCATCAATTTGATGAGTCAGCCGCTGTGGGACTTCAGTTGGAACGACGCCGGCGACGACATCTCATGTTCTCGACGACATGCTGGAATGGCTTTGGATGGATTTTGATTGGTTGAGTTTTTACTCTTCATTATAATACGATTCAAGGCATAAGTAATCAGAATTGACAATTTATATCTAAATGCTACGAGTCTACGATGCCTGTTGATGGCGCAGGTGTATGGGTGTTATGGGTTGTCATCGTAGTATATAAGTGCCATACGACAACAGCGACGAGATATGCGCCCGTATATGGCAGCTCAATATCGACGGCAGATGCGGTGTAGGCAAACAGGAAGCGTGCTGCGGAGAAGAGCAGCAGGAGGAAAAAGCCGCATATGCACCGTGATCGGCCAGCGCTTCAGATCCCAGTCCTGAGATGATCTAAAAAAAAAACACTCCAAGTGTTCAATAAGAGCAGCGACAAACAGTTCTGGGATCGAGTTGGCCTCAACTGGCCAGCGAAGAAGGGAGATTACATGACAGTACCGCAATGCCCGTGATGTAGCACGGAGAATGCGTAGGACTTTTGGTGTGGGCAACGGCAGGTCATGACACTGGCAAAATACCAGGACAACGACAAACCACCTCCGATAAAATCCTCCAAGAGGGGCGAAATGCACTTGCACAAGTCAAAGAGACAAAGAAATTCATGTTTGATATGAGTTGAATCTGTGTTCAGTGTGTTCATACTCAATGAGTGTTGAGTGCTTGTGCCCCCAGTTGTGTGCTCAATGTGTGTTCAACGTGGGTGCATTCAATGGGAAGATGATGGTCGGCAATGCGGGGGACCCAGACAAAGGAAACTCTGCATATATAAAGAGTTGATGCAGCCGGTGATGGTGATGACGGAGGGTACCATGTGCAGAGATGTCAGGAGGATGAGGTAGGTTGGGGAGGTAGTGTCAGGTAGGGGGCTCTCATTGGCTGAGAGCGAGGGGCTCCCTCCCCGGGTATAAAAGGCACCTCTCCCCCAGCTACCCTCCTCCTCACCACTCTCTCCTCTATAAACCCAACCACTCAACTTTTATCAAACACCAACCGCAAGACACCTCAAAGAGTCTCAAAGAGTTTGCTTTGATAGCGTCTTGCCGTTGAGCTTCCTTCATACCTCTATACAGTTAGCAACTGGCTTTATACCTGCCGTCGCCTCCCCTTACCTACCACCATCAACCTATGCAACCAAGGATAGGTTCCAAGCGTTCCAACTTCAACATACCATCTTATTCTGTTGATTGAACAATGAATTCCATCAACATGGAGAGGATGTCGCCTCGCTCGCCTGAATTTCTCACAACCTTTGTCACTGACAAGGGTAGTGGCAGAAGAGTCGTCCTTGAGAGCCAGTCGAGGTATCGAGTCCAAAGTGCAGCCATTGATGATACAAGATCATATAGGCACCACCGAGACTCTTACTCGGGCTCATCGGCGAAACGCCTTCGCTATTCTGGAGCGGATGAAGCTGTTGATCAGCCTTCGTCGCATCGCTCGTCACGTGAGCTCGACTCCCTTTTCATTGAAGCATCAGTATCATCAAGAGGAGCACGAAGTCATGGTTCCACTATAGAACCAAGAAGGAATCATCTCCCATCCCCTCCCCCAGATGAATCTCGACGTTACCGTCGTGGTCAAGTTGAGGTCTTCCCAGGTGCTGCCAGAGCACGAAGAAGTCGTGACCTCCAAGGCTTTGGCGCCTGGAGTGATCACGTCGCATTACCTCATCAGCAGCAACTCCTCACTGAGAGTGCTTACAACGACGAAGAAATCTTCCAGAGCAGGAGAGTCAGCAGATCCAGTATACCCGACACACCACGGGACTGGCTGCTGCCGACTCCTGAACTCTCTCCCATGCCCACGCACTACACGTTTTGCCCGTGCTGCGTGGACGAGGACAGCCGTATAAACGACACATGGCATATGGCCGGCAAAGAGAAGATGCATACTCAAAGTAAGCCTCCCAATCATGAGCCCAACCACTTGAGTCGTCAATGCTGACCATCGCTAGTGGAAAATGCAATGGCATACATTGAGCAGATGAAATTTCACAAGTAAACATGTTAGCAATAGAGCGGAAAATTGTGGGCAAAGGGCCATCTGTGACAATAAGGGCAACGGCGCATGGCGTTTTCCGTTGAATGAAGTGATTGGATTGGGATCATTGGCAAGGGTTTTTGCATTTCGCAATCAGCGCGCTGTAACCACTTTCAGTGATAGTAATGAACAAACGCAGCTCACTGCTCAAGTGCCGCCGTGATTAGAAGAGTGGCGAAGAAAATGGAAGGACGCAAAGCGATTTCCGGCTCGCCAACGCAACAGGTCAGCTGTCGTAGCAAGACATGGTTCCTGGAGCGCTAGGCGTCATGATCCAACCAGAGGCTGCTGAGTCTGCCTAGCGACACGCATTGAGCAGGCCGCCAAGCCGTGCTCACGCCCTTTGGCAGCCCGTGTGTCAAGGGGACAGACGGAACGGATTGCGAGAGAAGAGCAGAGAAGATGCCAGAGGATTCGGTCTCGACGATGAGGAGAAGCGCCCAGTTGCCGTTGTGCAGGAGTTGGAACACGGAGGGTGCGCGGTGATGGGGGAATTGAGTGAACGAGTGTGAAAGTCCTAGATTGCGATAATGAGGGGGTGGAGACGGGAGCTAGGCTGCGACGCCGCTTCGGGGACCGATTCAGGACTAAGCTGTTGCCTCAGGCCGAGAGATAAAAAGCGGGAGCTTCAGGACTAAACTTTGTCCGAGGCGGATTGTTAAAGCGTGTGCATGGCGGGGTTTCTCTTTTTCCATGCCGCTCCACCAGCCCTGCACTTTGGCGCCTATAGCCCACCACCTGGCAGCCTATAAAGCCCACCTGGCAGCACCTGTCCTCAACGCCAAACTCCAAGTCAATATTCGTCGTCCCTTCTTTTCTCCCTCCAAAAACTGCCAGCTGGCCTGCACTCTATGCCTTATATATTAAAGTCTTCATCACATACTACCGCGGGGTGGTACAGTGGTTAATCCCAATATGCGAATCAGCGCCCGAGTGTTTGTAGTTCTGCAGGCTCAAGCATTCCCGCAGCGGAAAGCTGGGGTTCGAACTCGTGCTGCCCCGCCCTATTTTTTTCTTTTTTCTCCTTCTTTTTTTAATTTCTTGTTTTATCGTGACAGTCGTAGTTTGCTTTCTTTTCTTTTCTCCTATAGACTGAGTTGTTCGCTACTAGGAGGGAGCTTCTATCATGTTGATTTCGTGTGCTACATCCACCATTTTAGCGGGTGGATTCTCGAGCTCCTTGCCGCGCCTCTACCGCGCGGCCGCGCTTAATGTTGCCCGGCAACCCCTGGCAGCAACATGAATTAGATAAACAGGGGCCATTAGCAGGATATAAATCTTGCCTGGGGATCAATTTAGTCACCATATCCACCAAAGCGTAGAATATATCATTGTGTTTTTTGTTTCACTTGCATTCGTTTTCTTCATTCAATACCCGCCGATCAGTCTACATTTATTCACATTATTATGGATCCCATCCCGCGATCCCAACACCTCTTTGAGGTCTTCCTGCGCCTAAGACCGTCCCATCCAGGAGGCGCACAATCCGAACGCATTCTCGACGTTGAACAGCCCGAACACAGCCCGCATCCGACGCACATCACGCTGAACCCGCCGCCGGATCGACGAAAGGCCGTTGAAAAGTTTGGCTTCACGCAGATATTCGAGGAGGATGAGGACCAGCTCGACGTGTTCCACTGCACGGACACCTCATCGCTGATTGAAGGCATCCTGGCACCGGAAGGTGGTGACGGCACAGATGCTGTGATTGCGACGCTCGGCGTCACTGGCTCGGGCAAGGTATGCCAATGGCAGCGGCAGCAGCAGACGATGTAAAGCCATCTTCCCTTGACCGTCTAACTTTGGGCGCAGACACACACGATTCTCGGCAACCGACACCAGCGAGGCATCGCCCAGCTCGCAACCGATGTCATCTTCCGATCGATCAGCGAGAACATGGTCGAATCAGCCCAGTCGCCGACCCTCGATTCACTACAAGCCTGCGATGCGTCCGAATCCACGCTCGTCACGGCAACGCACTTTCTCGATACCATGAGCGCAGACTCGACGCAGAGATCGACGACGCCGATGATGGTACGAACACAACCAGCCTTTTCATTTGTGAAACCGACCACCCCCAGCAAAGCTGCTGCCAGCGCACAGCAAATGCCCGGCTCCTTTCCCGACTCAGCCACAGCCAGCCCAAAAAGCGTCGAGCCTGTTAGTGAGACGGAAGAGACGCTCCAGCGCAAGGCGCAACAGAATGATTCCACCAAGCAGTCTCGGGGAATACCAAAGTCGAATACGACCGCCAACGTTTCTCCATCCAAGCGGGTGTTGGACAGGCCTTTTATGTCATTAACTGCAACAAGCCGACTGAAGACAACTGCTAAACAAGATATCAAGAACGAAAGCTTTGGCAGCCTCGGCTCCAGCTCCGGCCAAAGACGAACTCTACGACGCCATTCAAACTTTTTAATGTCGCTGCCCAGTGGTCCGGATGTTAGCGATTTCGTGGTGCCATGCGATCCCGCCGCCGAATATGTCGTTGTCGTATCCATGTACGAAGTTCACAACGATCGAATCTACGACCTCCTCACCCCCGCCAGCAAATCACCGTCCACTAAGGAGCTCCGTCGCCGGCCCCTTTTATTCAAGCCCACCGAGCATTCCCCTGACCGTAAAGTGGTTGCCGGACTTCGGAAAGTAGTCTGTACCGACGTCAGAGAAGCCATTTTGGTCCTGGAGACTGGCCTGCAGGAAAGGCGAGTGGCCAGCACAGGAAGCAATAATGTCTCCAGCAGGAGCCACGGCTTCTTTTGCTTTGAGGTCAAGAAGAGATCCTACGGTTGGAGAAACAACTCTTGGAGCGGAAGCAAACTTACAATTGTCGATCTTGCCGGGAGTGAGAGAGCAAGGGACGCAAAGACCCAGGGCGCGACTCTGGCAGAGGCGGGCAAGATTAACGAGAGCCTCATGTATCTTGGGCAATGTCTCCAGGCTCAAAGCGAGGCCAGCGGGTCTAGTAAAGTGAGTTGTCCTCATCCGCTCTCTCTAATCACCAATTGTCTAACCATTCCAGCAGCCCAACGTCATTCCCTACAGACAGTGTAAACTTACAGAGATCCTCTTCTCCAACTCGTTTGCTTCGGCGCCAACGAATTACAACCATCTTCCCAGTCGAAACCCTCAGCGAGGTGTCATGATTGTTACAGCAGATCCACTGGGCGATTTCAACGCAACTTCGCAGATCCTTCGGTACAGCGCTCTCGCTCGGGAGGTGACTGTTGCCCGTGCTCCGTCATTTAGCGCCGGTATGCTGTCACCAGGAGGTAATGGGCATGGCACGCCGAGGTCGTTTGGCAATAACGGCTTTGGTTCGGTGAGAAGCCATTTTTCACCCGTCAGTGCTACCGAGGAGAGAGTTACAATGGAAATCGCCGCGCTGGAGATTGCTAGGATGAGCGACGAGATTGAGCAGCTGCGCGGCGAGATTGATATACAGAGCGAGGCTCGGATTGCGGCCGAGGCTCACCTCCTTAGTGCGGAGGATCGAATGATTGACATTGAAGCCGCCATCCGAGAAGAGTGCGCTCTTGAATTTGAGCAGCGCCTTATGATTGAGCTCGCTCGGTTCAAAGCGTCGATGCAAATCGAAAAGGAGCGACATGAAGAGCACTGGGACCGCAAAGTCGACATCTTGGAGCGCAGTCTGGATAGTGGCACTTTTGACGCGGACTTTGACAAGGAGAATGTTCTGGTGGAGAATCTGACACAAGAAGTCGAGCGTCTGCGGCGCGAAAACACGATCCTCAAGAGGGAGATGGGGAGCCGCAGCCCAAGCAAGCGGAAGCCTTTGGAAGAGCGCGAAGACTTTTCCATGGCCAGTGGAAGCGGAGATTCTACGTTGAAGCCCAAGTCTGATAGCGTATTAAGCCTCAATCGCAAGCTGGAGCGCCTCAAAGTCGGCGACGGCCCTCGGCTTCATGCCAACCCTGGCAGCCCCAAAAAGGTGCGCAGGCTGGTCGCCAGGCGCTGGGAAGATTCAGATGGCCTTTGAAGTCATTGAGAGTCTCTTTGCTTAACACTTTTTTTCCTGGATATTTGAGATTGCCACTTGGTAATAGTATAAATGATGGTATCACGGCCTCGACATGAGAGAAAAGGAAAGGCAGTGTGGTGTTTGGAGAAAGGGATGGATACCCATGGTTTGACAGCTTGAAAATGTAGGATTTGCTGGGTTTTAGGTGTTTGTTTGCCTTGTTTTTCTGTCTTGATTTTAGTGTATATTGGGTAAATAGCATGGTCATATGATATTTGTTGACATACGGCAGACGGGATATAATGGTATTATAATTGGTGTCTATTAAATTCGTCTACATGTATAATTGAGAGACTTGGGTATGTGACTATACGGGTATCTTCAACACAACGAGGCCGACCAATGCCCATTCTCAATGTGCACTCTTTATTCCTCCTCATATTACTTTCCAACATTTCCTCGTATCCAACATGACCAACATGATGACCTTTTCATCTTTCTATTCTTGACAATCTCATGCTTGTGAGCCGCTGGGAGCATCATGCTCTACAACGTCGCCTCGCATCGGCTCCTTGCCCTTTCCTTTGCTCTGAGTGACAGCCTCGGTTTCAGCCTCAGCCTCTGTCTCAGTAGGGGCCACATCCCTAGCCTCGGTCTCAGCCGGAGCTTGCTGGATTGGCTGCCAGCCCTGCATCATAGCCTGCAGGCCCTGCGGCTGCGCAATGACATAGATGGGTCTTGAAGCAGCAGCGTTGACCTTTGACGTATCGATGCAAGCGCCGACAAAGAGCACAAAGTGAATCACGGCAACAATGTACGTGATGATGGCGGCGGCATAGGCAACGCTGTTCTCGTGGCGGAACTGGTGCCTCGATGCAATCACCTCGGGGTCGCTGGAGTTGTCGGTGCAAGAATACACATAGTCGTCCAGGGTAGAGCTGTAGTGGTACGAGCACTCCTGGCCGTCGTCATCGTAGCTGTCGTTCCAGGAGCTCTGGAACCAGGGGCCAAAGAGCGAGGTGAGGATGACGGCGACGAGGAAGATGATGAGCGAGAGGGCGACGTGGGCGCCGGGGTGGATGCCGGCCTTGAAGCGGCGGATTGCGCGCGTGATGAGTTCGGCGCCGCTCCAGAGGATGGCGATGATGCACTGAAAGATGTTAGTCGTTTGGTGTTGTTCACATTGCAGAGTCGAAAAAGACTTACAGGAGGAGCGGCTGCAATGACGACGGTGTCGACGAAGAAGACAAAATTCAGCGTGCTGAAGCCCAGGCCGACGCCCACCACGGCGAGCACAAAGGACAGCGACTGCAGGCCCAGCTTGATGAATTCCCAGATCTTGTTCTGCGGCGGCCGCGGCGGCTCAAAGGCCTGCTGGACGGGATAAGGAGCGTAGGCCACGGGGGCGGGATAGGGCTGGTATCCTGCGGGGAGAGACAGTTGCGCTGGTGGAGGAGCGGCGATGGTTGGCGCTGGGGCGGTTTGCGGTGGGATTTGGGACATTTCGGGCTGCTGGGAGGAGGAAGCCATGGTTGATGATATTAAGCGAGTAGTTATTTTGAGCGAGAGACTGGCGATTAAAACGAGTGAAATGGGCGTCGAAAATGGGAATATTCCAGGCGCTCGGAAAGAACGAGACTTGCAACGGGGTATATCGCGACGACCGGCTTAAATACTCATGCTCCAAACGCGAGAACCCAACAAGAAAAAAAAATAGAGAGAGACAATTGGCCAGAGAGCAAAAAGCAAGTGCCAAGGTAGGAAATAAAATAAATTACAAAAAAGAAGCACAAGCCAGGCAGCACGGCGGAGCTCGACTTTTGGCCACGGAAAAGCGCTAGCAGGAGAGGAACAAAGAGAAAAAAAAGAGAGACTCAGCCTTCCAGGCTAGAACCACCTCGCTAATATAAGTTCGATACGCAGTGGCTCTGCTGTCTTTCGAAAACTAGACAAGACGACCTGATGCGAACCAGGAACCCCCCTGTTTGCTTACACGAATGCCGTGATTGGTGCGTTCTGCGCATCCATGTACGCCTATTGGCCAAGAGTGCGATTTCCAGTATATAGCCAGAATTTGAACTGCAGTCAGAAGGGGACAACCTTGTAAGCCTATATTCGGCTATTTCCCGATTTGGCAAGGGGCCAGGGGGTAGCTTAAATTTGCGAGATGCCCTTTTTGGGAACAGGGATTAATGAGCGTATAAGTGGAGAAGTTTTTTGCAAGTTTCGTTGGAGGGGCGAATAGGCAGCAGAGGCCCGTGCGAGCCAGAAAGAGTTGATTGAGTTGAGTCGGATGATGGTTGTGTTGAAAGCAATTTATTTTGCATGCTGGGGTTATGGGTCAAAGGATGAAATTCGCCGAGGCTTGTTGTTGTTGATGGAAGAGACTGGAGCTCTATTAGACGATGCCGAAAGGAAGCTCTTTGTGGAGAAACTGTAAATTGCTTTGGGGGGATCAGCGTGTGGAAGAAGGTTATTAAAAGGTTAAAGTTTAGAAGCAGAGACCATCACAGGCTTTGGTTGTCAGTTGAAGCTGTCATGTTTTCAGTAGATTGTATATATCAGAAGAGGAAAAGGAGTCTTTGTCTCATACATTGTCAAACATTTGGGGACGAGCTAGTTAGGGTACAGCTGCTGCGGGAAAATTTTGCAGTTTCAGGTTTCGCCATTGCCGGCCCAAGAGTATTATCATTACAGAGGTATACGTTATCTAAACACGGCCAGCCAACGCCGAAATCTTCATAGAATCATATTTTCGTTGTATAAAAAAAAATCCACAAAAGGTATAAACGTATAATCAGTCCAATCTTGCTATTCCCTTGACCCTCTTCTCGCTTCATCATAAAACAGACAAATCTCGGCCATTTCCTTTTCAAGCCGGAGCGTAGTATTCCCTAATCGCAGGCTCCTTCGCCGCGGCCGCAGGGGCCTGCATCTGGACAGGTGCGGCAGGCCAGCCCTGCGGCTGCGCAATCACCATGATGGGACGCTTGGCGGCGGCGTTGCGCCTGTGCGTCTGGATGCAGGCGTCGATGAAGAGGCCAAAGTTGAGTGCAAAGAGCATGCAGGTGATGACGGCGGAGCCGACAATCTTGCCCTTGGGGGCGGGATCTCGGGGCGCACAGTCGTACGAGGATACGCGGCCCTCGCCGTCGGTGGTGCTGAAGCTGCATTCTTCGTCGTCCTCGTAGCCGTTGTACAAGGCGACATATGTGCAGAGCATGCCGCCGGTGACGCTGGCAATCATCCAGATGATGAGACAGACGCCGACGTGGGCGCCAGGGTGGATGCCCCTCTTGAATTTGCGGACTGCTCTGGTGATGACCTCGGCCAGACTCCATATCGTGGCAATGGCAGACTGTATGCGTAGTGTAAGTCAGTTGTGTCTATAATGACTTCTCATGAGGGAAACAGGGCCAACACATACAGCAGGCAACGCAGCAATAGCCACGCTAATGTCATCGCCTCCAAGAGACGACAAGGAAAGACCCAAGCCAATGATACCCAAAAGAAGGGCAGCCCCAAAGAATCCCAGTCTGGTGAACTCGGCACGTTTGCTCGTCTCAAGCGGAGGGGGTGCGATGGTCTGCTGCTGGCCTGGATATGGCTGGTAATACGGCTGGAAGCCCGCCGCAATCATATCTTCGGGAAGGTTATTCTGGGCCGCCCTCTCGACCTTTGGAGGAGTCTGCTGAGAAGCCATGGTGAAGATGGTCTTGATTTGTTTGGAGACGAGTAAAATAAACTGGCGAAATGTGTTGTCTCTTTGCGATTTCTTTGAAAAAGTTGCTGGCTGATAATTAAGCGCGCAAAACGAATGTCTTCATAAACGACTGGCTGTGACCAAAAACGGCACACAAACAAAGAACGAGTGTATATATCACAGCCTGGGGCTGCAGGATTTGCGCTGCTTCAAACGAACGACGTAGCGAGTGACTCAAGAGTAAAGAAAAATCCCTCCAGACTCAGGTGAGGGCTGGCAGCCGGGCTAATAAATAGCACAGACGCTGTTGGTTTGCCGCATATACGCATCGCGGCAGGGGAAATTAGCCAAGGCCCCATGTGTATCATTCTGCTGGTGCTAGCGACGAGCCCACGACAATAGTGGCGAGGAGGATCCACATCCATGATCCAAACGGTTCCCTACGGTCTGGCTCTACCGCAGCCTACCGATATGCGGCTAGGGAAATGGAGTCGTCGCCTAGGAGAAGAAGAAAAAAATGGATGGGCGGCATCATCAGGCTGTCAGCTGAAAGACGAAGCAAATCTCTTCTTTGCCGCCACTGTGATCCTCGGCGCGGCTATGGCCGAACCGCGAAAATCGCGAGTCCCAAGCGGGTGGGTTCGCCGAGACTCGAGGCACGGCACAGCCTCGCAGTCTAGACTTTAATTCCCATGCCGTTGCCGTTTTTATCCCCGGATGGCCCCTAAAACTGTAAGTCTTTTGCAGTCACAAGGCAGATACGTGTATCTCGAACATCGTGATCCGAACTAGCTTATCGGCTCTAAAGTCTTTCTTTCATATTCGCATATATGCTGCACTGTACTGTATCGTGTCTTATTCCCGCTGTAACACCACCATCAGACCCATTATACCCAACATGGCCGTTTTCAGCCATGGATATTCTGAGAGAAGAATTGTCACATAGCCCACAAACGGCACGTAGGCCACTACGCTGCCGATGATATCGCTGCGCTCCAAGTAGTCTTGCCCTCTGGCGTACCTGTGGCGGGGGAGATGACAGTCAGTAACCACAAATCGAAGAGATTACCATCTAGTAGGGCAAGATGAAGGTGGAAACTCACAATTCGGTGTCATCGGCAACATTGTTGTCTCCTTTTGTCAACAGCCGTGCCTTGTCCCTGCGGAAAGCGTAAGCAGAATGTATCAATATCTCGAAGCAGCATTTCCCCTACCCATGGCCAAATTTCCGTACGACTCGATGGACAATGGGAATATCCTTATCCTTGACATTGTAGACGACAATATCGCCAACTGAGGTTTCGGTAAACAGCTCGCGATTCCATAGCAAGAGCAAGTCGCCTCGCTGGAAAGCTGGCTCCATGGAACCACTGAGAACAACGACGATCGGAGAGGGAGAGTCGGCGACGATGGAGAGACCTTTCCACATCTATAAAAACAAAATCAAATTCAGCTTCATATTCTTCAGTCTCCGTCACAATGCACCGCCTGAATTGGTTATGGCAGGGCAGAGTCGCAACGCACCATGAATGCCGTGGACAGCACCAGACCAAAGTTCATGATCTGCGCGGCGATATTCCGCGGGTTCTGGAGGCCTGAAAACATGGTGGATGTGTCTTTTTCGCAATCGCAATCGTGTATATGCTGGGTGTCCTGTGGCGCTGAATTGGCAACGGATGTGGTGTTGAACAGGCCAAATCGCTGCACATGGAAATTGAAGCCACGCGAGCTCCAACACGATCTGGACATGGTGGCTCTCAGAAAGCGCCCGGGCCAATCAGCGCCTGCGACTCGGCGATCAGCCCCGCCCAAGCTGTCAGGTCGCATCGGTACGTACCGCGGCCAGCTTCTGAAGGTTTTGGAGATGGCAGAAGCTCGATCTGCGGGGGTTGATGTCATTGCCTGGACGCCATTGAGGGAAGATGTCATCGCTGGTAATGGAGAGTCTGGGCTGAAGTGGTATTAATACTCCATGCCCTGCTCTCTGCCTTGCCACTATCATTATCTGAAAGCAAATCGCTGGATCGTTGTCATTCAAAGTCAATTCATACGCATCCAGATTACCCTACAACCGTGTAGACCATTCAAAATGGAGAACCCCGGCGGCAACAGCAGCAACAACAATCCCGAGCAGCAGACCAGCCTGATGGGCGGCCATGCTCAGTATCTCAAGGGCGTTGGAGAGGTGGGTGTTGACAGCCTCCGAAATATCTAATGCTTGCCACATCAGCTAACATGGCTCTTACAGGCGGCTGTTGGAAGCATCAGCGGCTCCAAAGCCTGGGCCGACTCGGGAGTCCACGACAAGGAAGCCGGCCTTGCCGCAATGAAGAAGGCGGGCGAACAGCGAGATCCCAACCAGGGCTATGGCCGAGCCGAAGAGTGGGCGGGCAAGTTGACCGGCTGCGAGGGAATGCAGAAGGAGGGCTTCGAGAGTGCTCATCAGAGGAAAGACTGAGACGAGACGATTCTCTGCTACCAGTTGTCTGGAGCGACCGGTTGCGGCGCTATTGATTCATGTATAACAATGTAAAATAAACACAAATATTCACAATAACAAAATAACAAAGATTGAGCACTCTTGGCGGACTCTCTCCTTCCTCATATTGGTCGACATGGCGTGTCGCAGGAGAGGCTGGACCTTCTGCACGCTGGATTCTGCCCCAGCTCTCTTTCCCAATGGGCAGATGCTTTACATCCTTCAAATGGCGTTGCCTTGTTTACTTCAACTTCAACAATACACATCACCATCTTCCTCTTTTTGCTGCCCAGACTCAGTCCTATCGCATACATCACTTCCGTATCCATCTCGCCAGTCCCACGATTCAGGGACGGAAAGCTATTCGCTGAAGCATTGCTACGAATTTATCACTCGTCTTCTTTTCTTGTCACGTCACTTGCTCTGGCTGTCAAACAAGGCAATCAACAATGGACTCAACGCCTCTACTCGTCGAAACGGACCGCTTTCCCGGCCCGGGCGTTCTACAGGACCATGTGAGTGCATCCTTTTAGCCAGACACTGCTGAAGAGAATATTGACTCGATGCGTGTAGCCTATATTCCTCCGCGCCAGCCATTCTCCGTGGTACTGCATCCCGCAAAACGCGCTCGTCTTCTTCCGCGGTCTCATTCTTGCGTACCTGATTGCCACCGGCATCATGATCCTGAACTTTGAGCTGACGGATACAACTCTAACCAATGCTCGACTTTGGTTTGACTTTGCAATCATCAGCTATGTCTTTGTTCTTATTTACCACTTCATGACGTTTGTAGGTTGACACGCAGAGTAGTCTTGTGTCGAATAGGGCAGATGGATGGCTAACATGTTTCGGGGCACATAGTGCTGGACTTTTACTCATTTGTACTTTCCTGATCCGGATGAAGTAGAGGGCAGTTTTGAATGGCTCATCATCAACTTCATGTCTTTGCCCCGGAACCTGGCCAGCCTGCGCAAGCAATTTTACTTTTCTCTGTATTACACGACTACGGTCGTCTTTGCATTTATGAATACGATAATCTACTTCTTCATTACACGACCGCACAAGTTTTCGACGGCACCAGGCAGCGATCCCAACCCTGACGATGGGTCAAGCGACGAAGAGCTTTGGTCTGGAGGAAAGGTTCGAATTTCGGCTGGACCATGTAAGTAACCTCGTATGACCACTGACAAAAGCGAGCTGCTTGCTGACATCTAACCAGTCAGTGACATCTTTGGCAAGGGGTGGTTCGCGACCTTTTGCATTCTCAATTTGTTTTTGTTCGCATCAGTCATCATGGTCCTTGAGATATTCTTCCTCAACAGCATCAAACGGCCATTTGTGAGTTGACCCACGCGAGAAATGACATGCTGCCCAGCTGACAATTCCATAGTCGGTCGGCGCTCACATCTTCTGCCTCCTCGTATTCGCCGGTCTCTTCCTCGGCTGGGCCGCCATCGGACATGCAGCCACCGGCGTGTACTCGTTCTTCTGGCTCGATGAGGCCCAGGTTGGCTCCCAAGAAGCGGTGGTGGCATACTCCATCGGCTTTGTGCTTCTGGCTCCCATCTGTAAGCGTCCCTGGCATTTGCCGCTTTGGGTGCGTGCTTGTCGACGGCTAACATGGCTACAGGTTTCGTCTTCCAGCAGGGCTTCATTGGCATCCGAGAGTCCTTCACTCGACCCCGCGTCCTTCTACAAGAAGCCCCGCTGGAGGCCTAGACGCGATACGCAATGGAGGGGTAGTGATGGTGACTCGCTGAGTCGACCTGGATCGGAGGGTGCTTGTAGGCGAGTGACGCATCAAGGGACGCAACAAGGGACCAAACCGCAACCGGCATCCTATGAAAAAGGCGCAACTGATGAGCTGTCAAGGTGGGGAGAGCAGTTTTGGAACATTGTTTAAACCTAGAACCATTTTTAGAACCGATCGCGTTCCTGACTAGAACCAATCCGCAACCTCTTATTTGCCTATAGCAGTTCTGTTCCTTGAGTGCCATTGTGAAACGGCCCAGTGGAGACTGCTGGGTGTGCCTGTACACGTTGACACGCCCAGAACGCCTGATCATATGATTCCCCTGTAGACTCGACATTCTCCGCCAACATGTACGTCAAGATTGATGCTGCTTGGATGCGTGGCGCACAGCGTTTGGATCGCTGGCATCGCAGGGGACGAAACGTTTCTTGGGCGAGTAGAAAGCTGAGGCGCAAAGTCGAGGCGATTCAACCCCTCCATGGAACACGTCACAGGTACATGTTCTCCCCGTTTCTGAATGAGGGGTTGGCTGCCACCACGTAGTAGAGGAACCTGCCAGGAGAGGCCTCGTCTGGAGCTCCATCCAATAGAGTGCACGCCATTACAGGCATGAAAGAAGAGAGTATTGTTCTGTATGACCCATATGCAACACAGCACGATATAGCACGATATAGCCAAAAGAAAAGGCAAAAATTTTCGAAGCTGGCGGTATCTTCTCTCCCGCCGGGAATTGAACCCGGGTCTCAAGCGTGACAAGCTTGCATACTGACCACTATACTACGGAAGATGTAACAGTCTGTTAGGCTGTTGTAGTGGGTCGCTTCGATGGAGGGAGGCGTTGCTGTTGTGTTATAACAAGGCTTGCTGTAGTTGTAAAGCAACAGGCACGGTATGATACGAGTTGGTAATACTGTATGCGTCACTGATGAGATGAAAAGTAAACAACCATAGAGTGCCGAGAGTAGGAGAGACGAATGAGGTTGGCCCGGGCTGATTGATGACCGAATCTCCTCTTCTCAAGTTGAGTATGCCCTGAGATGTGCCCGAGGTCGATGTACTTGTATTCATTTGCAAGTCCAGAATGCAGGGCGTCTATCCTTGACCGAGACACGGCCTCTGATTCGGCGTGCTCTTGTTCACGACACTTGGTGCGCGGTGATTTGTCTCATTGTCTTATTCAGCTTCCTCTCTGTTATCTCGCTCCTTTCCCTCTCCCTCTTCTATTTTTGACTGCTGCGTGACGAGAGGGGCAAATCCACGGCCTGGCCCTCCAATTGGCTGCGTGGCCTGCATGTCCCCCAAATCAAAGGCTCGCAGCCAGTCATCTGGCCAGCCCTGCCACTCGGTGATGTCGTCCTGCATGGGCCAGCGCAAAGTGTCGGCAACCCTCGCGCCGGTATCCTTTGCATGGCGTCCCAAGTACTGGGTACCTGCCGTGCCGCGGGCTGCCGCCGTGGCTGAGACACCAATTCTCGCCGTCAGATTCACGGTCAATCGGTACCTGTCTGGAGGAGGTACATATAGTGGAGTCTTGGGCTTGTTCGTTCGTTTCTCCTCTTTCTTCCTTTCTTTCTTTTTCCTCTTTTTCCCCACACGCAAGCCAGATAGGGTCGCAAAGCTCCTCGCGAAGAGAGCATCTTCTTCTACTTGAGTGTATAAGAAGGTGGTCTTTTCGCGCCCCGGACCCCGACATTTTATTTTCTTCTCATTGCGCGTCATTCACTCATTTTTCATTAAACTCATTTTTTTCTTGTAAAAGAAGGTAGATTTTTCTCATCCATCCTTCGCTCGCTCCTTTATTCGTCGCTCTCTTATTAGTCAAGATATACATGTGAGAGCGCTTCTGTCTTATGCATCAACATCGCCACCACCTCCACCAAGACGCCTCGTTCTTTAGCCACTTCAAGTTCATACCCGCCAAAATGTTCAAGCGCGCGTTCAGGTCGCAGGACCAGGCCCAGAGCCAGAACCGCGTCGACAAGGCGGCTCGGCTGAAGAAGTCGGGAGGCTCCTCCGCCAAGGAGCACGTCAAGGCGAAGGTGTCCAAGCTGCAGATCTCTCACATAGAGCACGAAGCGGCACGCGCCCAGCCCGTCAACATTACTCCCTCACCGATTGTCACCCTCACTATTGGCCGCGAGGGACGGCTCTTTGCCGCGCACGAGGATGTCCTCAGCCAGTCGCCCTTTTTCGAGGCGGCGTGCAAGCGGGAATCCTTGGACGTCATGAACAAGAGAATCTCCCTCCCTGACGAGGAGCCCGAGATCTTTTCTGCCGTCCTCGAGTATCTCTACAAGGGCGATTACTATCCCCGCCTGGTGCACAACCGGCACCGCAACTCGTGGGAGCTCGAGGACCGCATGAGGACTCCTCAGAAGCCATCGCCAAACCCTGATATCGGGGGCGGCCACGCAGGCACGGCGTCCGAGGCCGCCGTTTATCTTTCCAGCATTGGGGCCGAGATCCTCCGCGACACCGTCATCTACTGTGCCGCGGACAAGTACGGCCTCGAGGAGCTGAAGCGTCTGGCCCTCCGCAAGCAGGGGCTGCAGGCCGGCATCGATGTCGGCACGATCCTGCGGTCTGCCCAGTATGCCTACGCCAACACGCCGGACTCGGACAGCCGCCTGCGCGCCCATTACCTGGCCCTGATCATTCGCTGCCGCAAGACGTTTAAGCGCAGCGGCACGATGCAGGCCGAGATGGAGGCGGGTGGCAGCAAGCTGTTCTTTGACCTGTTCGTCGCCATGTGCAATCATCTGGACGACGTCATTGATGTTACCAATGGCCGCACTCCAAAGACTGTATGATGAAGCGACGATGATGAGAATGGCGGAAGCCTTCGGTGGCCCGGCTGAGCGCAGTGCCGTTGGGGCAGCGAAGGATGGAATTTTTTTTAAAGAAAAAAAAAAATGAAAAAAAAAAGCTTCAAAACGGAGACGTCGGATCAATAGAATTCCTAGCAAGCATTGTCACCATTTTTCTTGCAAGGGGTTGGCAGCTTTGGTTTATGCGCCATGTTGCATTTGATCGCTGTCTTTTTGCTCTTTTAGCCCGTCTGGACTTTCTGATGAGTGCAAATTATGGGAGGCGTCAATCTACATGGGATCGCTGTTCCTTTTTTTTCTTTCTTGTATACGGACTGCTACTGCATGGAGTGTGTGCTTTTTTTCACATTGCTTTTGCTTTACTTCAAGTCTCAACTCAAAGAACTGTTTTCTCATTCTACGGCGCTGCATTGCGTCCTTTATGGTGTCTTGTCTTCAGATCAGGGGCTTCTTTTACAGAACCATCCTGCACCATTAAGAGAACAGAAAAAAAAAGATAAAAAAAGAGGTGGAAAGCGACAGACAGCCCGGAAGGCTTTTTTCGGAATGGGATCCTTCTTGAGTTTCTTCTTTCTATGGTTCAGCATTGCTGTTTCTTTCGGATGCAAATATTGGGAAATGGGATAAATTGGAAGAAATACATTCACCTGGGATAAAGCATTTTCTCTCTCATGCTTTTTCACTTTTTTACAGGTCAAGTTTTAGAAGGGATTTTTTGTTCGGGAACAAGATTGGAAACCAGAGCGTATGGTTCTGAAACTTTTTTGTGTTTTTTCCCTTTCTTTTCTTCTTCTTCTAACTTTTTTCTTCATCTTTTCTTTTTGACGAAGAACATGAGAAACACTGCATAGCCCTGGGGGCGTTGAAGCAGGCCAAATGGAACAAAAAAAAAAAAGAGAAAACTTAATTCTATAGGGTCGCTAGCGGTCCTCCCTGACTTTGGATTCCGTGTCAGGGTTGAGGTTAATGAGACAATTTTGCACCTCATGTGCTTTTGTGCCAGTTGCTTTTGTTGTGAATGTGAATGTGAATGTTAATGCGAATGTCTTTATAAGTATTGGCTACTGATCTATAAATATCTTATGAAGCTTAGGCTGTATCCCACTTGACCTGAAAGTCCTGAAACTTCACCTCCAGCTCATCCTCAGTATCCTTCGTCGGTCTCGCCACAAGAGCCCCAATCTCCAACTCCCAGCCCTTCCCGCCATCTTCCCCATACGGCCAGCAAATCTCCCTCATCGGCACCTTTGTCTCGCCATCCACGCGATACACCCAGAGGCACGAGCCGTCATGGGCATCCAGCCTCTCGACCAGGATGGTGACGGCCTTGCGCCCTGCCTTGATGTCCTCGGCGGAGGAGGCGTTGGCGACGCTCCAGTCGGCCCAGTTGTCGCAGCAGACGGTGGAGAGGCGGGATTGGTTGTCGAAGAGCTCGACGCCGGTTTTGATCCATTTGCGTGCGACGGAGGGGGAAGAAGGTTTTGTGAGGACGAGGATGAGGCCGGCTTGGTCGAATTGGTGGGTGTAGGTTGTGGTGAAGGTGAGGGAGGCGGACTGGAATTGGGAAAAGGGGTTTTTGGAGAGGGAGTGGTAGGGAGCTGTGCTGGAGTTAGTTGCTGGTATTTACTTGTACAGGTCATTGTTGTGAGGTGGGAGATGCGAGATATTTGTATAGGATGTGGAGGGGCTTACCTGTGAAGACGTCGTGAGAAGGAGGCTTCTTCCAGACATCGGTGTTTGCGGGGGAAGAAAAGGTGAAGCTGGACCCAGTAGTAGCCATTGTGACGATTTCTTTAGATGGGGCAATTATAAATGGATGATTGTTACGAATAATGGATGAAGATTGATACTAAGAGTGAGATGAACTACTTGTTCTTATACTAGAGCTGGTGGAGACGCATCGAATCAACTGCCCTTCCAGAAAACGAAGGAAACGGAGAATTTACTAATGAGATGCCTGGACCAAACCATATCAAACAACTTATTTCACCGATCTATGCTGCTGCCTTTTCTACCCCGTAAAACCTAACCGGTATTGCTCTTAAAGTGTCCAGATCGGCTGGTCCCGTTGGTATAAGTTCGGGGAAATGGGGATTGCAAAGCGGGGGAATTGAAGCTACTTGGAGGTAAGGAATCACAAGCCGGCGGGGAGTGTCGGGATGGATTTTGCGATGCTTATGCCAAGGTAATTCTTGGGTCACTTCTATTTTGAGATTTTCATTTTCGTCTCGAGCTGCACAGCCTCAGACTATACAGTTTGGGTAAATATTTACGCTGAGAGCTGATGAAAACAAACAAAATTAGAGTGTGACGCATACGGCGATGGAAAAAGCCATATTGGCGCAGCGTCCTAGCAACACGCATTAGTGTGGAGTTTAGCCGAAGTTTAAGCCGGCGGACCGCCCAAACTCTCAAACAAAGCAAATCAGACTTTTGCCTCCAGAGGAACGATGCGGTTCTTTTTTTCTCGTCTTCGTCTGCAAAGAAGCACCGCAGATTTCTCCCGACAAAACCAACTTGGGGCCGTCTCTCGTGCAAATCGCAGGCATCCAGCAGCACGTCTCACGACCTCGCAGCACCTCGAAAAAAATTCCTGAAGCAGCCAGATTCGAACCCGACGCCTGTCCTGCCCACTGCCGCGACAAACTTTTCTGCTGTGAAGCTGCTTTTTTTCGTGCGACTCCCCACTCGGCCATTCGGTGGTCCACCAGGACTGGCAGCCTGCGAGTTTGTTTCTGCCCCGCCCGTTTTCCTCTTCCTCGTCATTTTTTCCTCTGCCCACCAGAGCGTGCTGTAAAGTGCGTGCGTCGCTGTCGCGCTTATCGAAATTTTTCTTTGTGATTAGAGAAGCGCTTTTGGCTCTTCTTTGTTGCTTTCAAGACAAAAGAGATCCGCAAGTCTTTGAAAGAGATACAGTCAAGGCTCGGAGCGATAACCAGATTTCCCGCAAAGAAGCTTTTCACAGCAGAGAAGAGAGCGACAAACTGCGGCTACAGACTGAGCTTGGATTTTCTTCTTCTCTTATCGGTTCTCACTGCTCACTTACATCCTCATCGCATCTGCTCTATCCATCACACATGCAACTTTCAACGCCATAGCACAATCTCAGCATGTCGTTTCTCACACCACCGCCGACAAAACGGCCAAGTCAAGGCCCCGGCCCTGCAAAACCTCGCTTTGCCAGACCAAATCCCGTCCGGGCGCTCCGCGAACGTGAGGAACGCCGCCATGCCGCCGCCGCAGCAGCCCGGCTTTCATCAACCCAAAGACCAGGCGTCGTCACTCCAGCCCATCAGCAGTGCGCCAACAAGGCCTGTCCGAAGCCCAATGTCGTCGACGGCACCTGTCAGACGTGTGGTCGTGTCGCTGATGACAGCAACATTGTGTCCGAGGTGCAGTTCGGCGAGACGTCGTCTGGTGCTGCCATGGTGCAGGGAACCTTTGTAGGCGCTGACCAGGCCGGTGTCAGGGGCATGGGCCCTGCTTTCCGGAGGGTTGGTGGAAGCGAGGACAGAGAAAAGAGCATCCGGGAAGCACGAGGTCTGATGCAGGGCTACGCTCAACAGCTCAACATCAGCGACAGCCTCGTTACGGCGGGCACCCAAGTCTTCAAGCTCGCATCCGGCGCCAACTTTATCCAGGGACGCACGCTGGCGAGTGTCGCGGCCGTTTGCCTTTATGCTGCTTGCCGTGCTGAGCCGCCTTGCAAGGTCATGCTCATCGATCTGGCTGATTTGGTGCAGCTCAATGTGTTCAAGCTGGGGCGAATCTTCAAAAAGCTGAATGAAGTGGTACCAATTGGAGCTGATGGACTCATTCCGGTATATCCTGAGGATCTCATCTGGCGATTCGCCACCAAGATGGAGTTTCGTCAAGACACGGCCAAGGTCGCTGAGGATGCGGTCCGGCTGGTCAAGCGGATGAGCAGAGATTGGATGGTCATGGGCCGACGGCCTTCGGGCATTTGCGGTGCCTGTTTGCTGATGGCTGCACGTATGCACAACTTCCGACGGACCGTTCGCGAAGTCGTCTACATCGTCAAGGTCACAAATCACACCATCCAGAACCGATTGCAAGAATTCAACAACACGGAATCAAGTCGCATGTCGGTAGAGGATTTCTTAAAACAAGACTTTTTGGAGAGTTCGCATGATCCTCCCTCATTCTACCGGAAATCAGATGAATATAGAAAGAGGGCGGAAGAGACTTTGCGGAAGCGGAAACGTGGCATCACTGTCGAAGATGCCGAGCAGCCCATCACAGAGCCGGCGCCGGTTAGACGACATATCGAAGGAGGAGCGGATCTTTCCAAGGCACCCGAAGTCAACTATCGCCGCGATGCTGATGGGTTCATCATCCCTCCTTTACCTTCGCAGATTGCACAAGGGAACATTAGTCTCAATCCACAGAAGAAGGAGTCTGAAGACGAAGTGGAGGGCCTTGAAGACCTCGCTGAAGAATTTGGAGATGCTCTGGAAGAGGAGGAGGCGGCGGATCAAGATGCCTCAAAAGGAGGCAAGGGTAAACGTGCCAAGCCCCAGCTTCCCATCAACGAAGAATGGGAACAGGATGAACAGGACCTTGAAGGTGTAATTGAGGAGATTTTCAACGACCCGCTTACCTACGAACATGCTCTCGCATACTCGAATGCTGAACAACGAGCTCGAATCCATTCCGTCTGGGCTCGCCAACAACAACCTCAAAAAGAGGTGTCCATGGCGGCCGACGTTACCGAAGATGAATTTGCTGACGACCTCGAGGTTATCAATTGCTTATTATCTCCTGAAGAGGCACGTATCAAGGAGATTATCTGGGTTAACCAGAACAAGGACTGGCTGAGGAAGCACCAAGAAAAGGTCTTTCGACGAAAGATGGAAGCAGAGCGCCCCAAGCAGACACGGAAGAGGAGAAAGCGTGCCAGGATGGGAGAGGGCCAGACAAGCCCTGCCAGTTCCGCTGCAGAAGCAGCCATTGGCGTGGCCAAGGACAGAGCTTGGTCCAAGAGGATCAACTACGATGCTATCCGCAGCATTTTCGACATGCCAAATGCGGGCCTTGGGTCTACAGCCACCAGCCGAAAGACCAGTTTGGCGGGCAGTGCTTTCGGTGCAGATGAAGAGGGAAGCGAGGCTCCAGATGAGAGCGTTGCTGGCGATGAGCAGCATGAGGAGCATGAGGAGCATGAAGAAGAATATGAGGAGCCGGAGGAGTTTGGCGAGGGCGAGGAATTTGGAGGAGGCGGCGGCGAATTTGAAGGTGGATATGATGAAGATGATCCTGACATGGACAATCAGTATGGTCTGGAAGAGGACTAAATATGCATCTTGCTTGAAGGGATTAATATACCCTCGAAGCATATGGCGTTTGGGATCTGCTATGCACGTTTGGCAGTGAATTTTTGGTCGGCATATATCAAGTGCTGGAATGAAATAGGTAATAGGGCTTGAGTATATAGGCTTTTAATAATTTGGCTTCATAAACCTTTTGTCATAATACATGTATTATCATTATATCATTATCGTACAGGTGCGTCGTCATTATATCCATTTCAACCATGGCGATACTCACACAATGATCTGAATCCCCAGCTCAGCTTCACATTTCCTAATGCTCTCATTCTCCATGGTCTTGTACAGTTCATCCGAGCTACTCAGTTTCGCCCCCAGCGCTTCCTCCATCCCAGCTTCATTAGACAGCGCATCAACAGATGCAGACGAGGTCTGAGTCCCGAGATTGGATCGGAAAATGCCTGCGGCCGACAGGGGCAGGAAATCTTCATATGTTATGGGAGTAATGTCGATGATGCCCTGCTGGATGAGATGTTCTAGTGAAGATGAGTCGTCATGGATCTCTGGGGAACGTCTCTTTGCAACGCTGTATGTGAAGTAGACGAGTTTCTGCGCTCGTAGTGTTTTCCAGTCGTCGGGGTATTTCCGAAATGCAACTTCAACTTGTCTATCCAGCTCTTCGGGGGTGGATTTCTGAGACGTTGACTCTGCAATTGCCATGGCTTCATTCAATAACTCGTCGTATAATTGTCTCCCTGCGAGAGTCACCGCTGCGCCGCGCTCTTCAATTTCGCCAAATCGCGCTTTATGCGAGCCAGACACGAATCTCGATTGCGATTCCTGCGCGGTGAAGAACTGGACGGGCTCTTCAATAGCGAGGAAACTCGTCTGCCGGAGAAGAATGGGGCAGTTTCTCTCGGGAGGGCCTTCGATCCGGTCTTTTACTTGAAGACGTTGCGACTTCATCTTTTGCTGCGCGGCGGAAATGTCCAGTGTGCGGGGCGTGAGGTGGTTAATGTGCGCGCTGCGGAAACATGCAATGTCTGCGAGGATCTGGTGTTCCTTTTTAAGAAGCTGGTAGTCTTCGTGGGAAGAGGCGGCGGTGCCGTGCCAGCGGAATGTTTCCATGGCTTGGAGGACGAAGCGGGTGCCTTGGTCGATGGTGAGTCTGCCGTTTTGCTTGTCGGCGAGATCGAGGAGGGTGATGAGCTCTGCGGTGAAGATGTTGCGCTTGGAGAGCAGTTTCAAGGCCAGCGAGCGGGCTTTTTCGTCACGGATGAGTTCTGGGCGGAGTAACGAGGTGAAGACCCGAAAGGGGTTCTTCTTTAGAGACGCGGTGGTGCGTGGGCGGAAGCACGTTGCGTGCATGGGCAGTCCCGCCGCAGCAAGATTGTAATATCCAACGGGGTACAAGCCTATCACAGCGAAGATGCGGCTCACGGTGCGTAGCTCGTACGGAGTGCCCAGTCTGATTGCGCCGTGGCGCTCAATGTCTAGTCTTGAGGAGGCGACGTTGCCGTGGCGCATGGCGAGGACGCGCGGGTCGAGGTCGGCGGTGCGGGTTGATGCGTTGACGGCGTTGACGATGTGGATGAGGGCGCCGTAGAGGGGGACTTCGGATTTGTACATGGAGGACATGGCGAGGGTGAAGGCGGTGCGGAGGGCGTCGGGGTCTGCATATTCGGTGAGGGCATGGTGTGAAGATGTGATTGGGGATGTGAGGGTTGTTGTGAGGGTGGCGCTAGGAGCCATTGTGATAGACGGCATAAAGGAATGATTAGTAGATGATGGTAATTCGAGAAGCAGATGATGGTGGTTATTATGTACAAGTATCTTAAGATTGAAGTGGTATTACAGAAGAACGAGCAGGTCTGACAGCCGCAGCAGCAGCAGCTGTATTATACACCGGACATGGCATAGAGTTCAGACCGCCGGTGTAAGACATCTTACATGCTGTCCCCATCTGCATCAAACAGGGGATTCTATCGGCTGGTCTCGGTCCAGCACGTTGTTATCGCGTAAAAGATTACCGGCTGGCCATTCGTAGGTATTCGAATCGTGACAAGTCCCGGAGGGTCCACCGATATGGAGGGCAGCGGATGCGATCCGGGGACCATGGCTTCCTAAAAGGGTAGTTGGTTGGAGAAAATGGGGCGATATGATTGGATGCTTTGGGGAGCTTTATCAACGTGCGTCGCAGATATCGGATTAGCCCGGGCAATGGAGTAAGATTCCGGATATCAAGCGATAGGCAATTGAGAGATCCAGAACTTGGAGTGTAAACTGTATTCAGATGCAGTCTATAAGACATTGGATTTCGAAATTCCCAGCTACGTGATAAACGTGGGCTAAATGGCAAGATTAGCACTGTATGTATAGCTAGCCGGACGAATCATAACTTACGACGAAAGATGACAACATACCGTATATCGAATTGGTTGGCCCTTATGCATCACAAACTTTTATTTCAGTGTCTTTTTCACCGAATAGATAGTGCAAAATTCCCTTCAACGGACAAATCTTCCATTTTGCAGTATCCTGCTCCACAAACAGGCCAGCGTCAGAGTCAAAGGCTGCATGGACATGTTTACGCGGAAGGCAGAGCGGCTCTGCCCCAGGGTATGTGATGGGCATGTAGCAAAACTTGGTTGGATGCTTGTAGCACTGGACATCATCAAAGCCAATGCGGCACTGCCCCAGCGCTCGCTTGATGCCGTCTTCATATTCCAGCAAGATGCCGCTACACCTCCCAGTATCACGGTCCGAAAAGACTTGTGCGTAAACCACTCGTTCTAAAGACGCGCAAAAATGGAATGCGGGAGAAGCACCTGGAGGACGGGGTTCGAGGCCAGAAACAGCCTTTCCTACCATGTCAGTTCCAATGAACGTGACATGAGCGGGGTTCGAAATAGAGTAAGTAAGTGTCAAGTGGCGGTCCTCGGACTCTGGCATTCCATACAAGGTTTCGACGAATTCTGCCAGGTACGAGTAAATCAGAGTGTAAGGCAGTCCGATGACATATTTCCCAGATTTCATGGTCAACTAATCATTGTTAGATTGACGGAGAATAAAGGCCGTTATGGTAGGGATCTGAGGGATCTTACGATGATTGAATAAGCGATTATTATGGGCAGCATTTTATGACGAGGATGCATAGTGAGATCTCTTTTGACTCTTACCGTACCAATCGAAATCACCTTGTCATTGGCTGCTATTGGAATATAGAACCAAATGGCGGGCTTCCAGGACCTACGCATATACTGGAAGGCTTCAAGTGCCTGCGAGCCTCGTTTGGTATGCCCATGAATAGCGGATACTTTGTCCCCTTTCAATAAAAAGGATATTCCAGTAGTTTTACTTGGATCCAGATCAAGAGCTGCGAATCGTCTAGGTACGAGTCGGCCAGGTAAAGATTTGTCGGAGGATGTATATGTATAGTGTGCAGGCGGCGGAAGGACATGTGGTGACGGGATGTTCCAGATCGAGATGTTTGCAGATGCCGGAACATGCAGACGGCTCATTCCGAGCTGGATGAGAGAGCTTGGTTAGCAGGTATGCGGAACTCGTAGAAGAAAAGACTGACCTGGAATTCTATACCAACGCCCGATAGGCTTTCCACTGATCCTACAATATATGCATGAGAAGACCGTGATGAGCCAATAACAGCACTTTCTTCTGACTTTTCAGAGACCATGTCAATGCTCTTGATCCCACGAGAATCAATGGTAAGCCGCATCCTGCGATTGATGGCTTGGCCTTCAGCCAAGATGGGCAAAGTGCCGCGAGACCACGACAGAACTTCACAAAGCGGGTAGGTAACGGAATCTCCAGGCTCAGCTAAGCTTACATATCGCGCAAGCTGCATGACTTTGCAGAATCGCAGCAGAGGGTGATTTGGCTGCAGATGGCCACCAATCAAACCAGCCACCTCTGGGAGTAAAGTCTCATGAGAGCCAGCAACGCTGCTGATGATATCTGCCGGGGCGTAGAGCACAGGGTCGAGCATCAAGGACCCAGAGTCCCGCCACGGGTGCATTCTAGTCCCTGCGATCCAGAGCCTTCTAAATTTATCCTTGGCACTGCATGTTTTGCTGAATAAACGAATGCAATCGACGTGGACAGTTACGCTTTCACCGGTAGCGTTGCAAGTTTTATGTCTGAATCCTTCATGGGAAAAACATACTCCCTTAGGCATTGGCAGCTCCCTCACGCAGTAGAACCCCCCGGCATACGCATTATACCCTCGAACGGATTTTTCATTGCAAATCACTTGGTGTTGATGTTAGAATTTCTACTTGGTGAGGACAGATGGAAGGTCATACGTGCAATGACATGATCATCATCCCGGGAAAAAACAGCGTTGCAAGCGCTACATTGAGGGTGAAGGTGTATGCAATCTCGATCGTCGATTCTGGAAGATTTAGATGAAGCCATTTGCAACTGATTGATGTATTTTAGAAAAATAAGAATGAAAAAAATGCTGAATGTTTAGGCCATTGAGGGGAAATGCAGGCAACCACATGCATTCATGACCATCACGTGCTTTATCTCAACCAATCGGCCCTTGGGCTGCATCCAACATGAATCCTTCTGGCGCGTCAATCTTCACGATCAATTACATGTAGGTACCAATTGCTCATACAACTGTACCACGAAGCTGACTATCATCAACAGAAATCCACCAGCAACCGTGGAGTTTCGCTTCGATGTACCTATCAGCGTCTGCTTCATCAGCACACAGCCTTGTCACTGGATGAATCCCAAAGGTGCATGATGCAGCTTTACCGACCCACCTTCGAGCATCCTTCTAGCCAATTGCACGGCCCCAAAGTTATTACTCGGCGCGTAACATTGCATTATGATAGGTTCCCAAGTCAGAGGCGAATTCGCTGTGCCAGGAGGCTGCTGTGGCTATACTGCGACCCAGCATCTTGGGCATCAGGAGAGCCTCGCTTCCCCGCCTCTTTCTATGAACAATACTCTCGTCATTTGGAACCTCTTGAGTTTCAGAATGAGTAGTTAGAAGACAGATGATAGAGATCCGAATCCAACGAGCAACTCTTGTCCGACGCAATGGACGGAATTTCTAATCCACGAAACGTTGTTGATGCCATAAAACTCTCCATCAGCACAGCCTCTGTTTTGCATCATTATGTCAGCGATGTCAAGAACGCCAAGTCGGATATGAAAGACCTCAGCGGGGAAATCAAAGTCCACCTTTCTATTTTGGAAAAAGCCAGGGATCTTCTGGAAAGCCAAAGCGGCCGTCTACAAGTATCCCAAGAACTACGACCCGCTCTCGACGCAAACTATTCTGAGCTCGAGAGTATTAAATTTCAGCTAGACAAGGAACTAGGAGACAGTTCCAGCGTCCGGAAGCGAATATCGAACAGGTTACGATGGTCATCTCAGAAGCACAAGATTGCATATGACATTGAAAAGCTGCGGAAAACCCGAGAGGATATCGGGAGCGCTCTCAGTATTGATAACGTGTAGGTCTTCATCTATCTGCCCTGAAATTACTATGCACCCTCTTACAATATTAAGCAATGCAATCATGGATATCCACTCTATCCAATCCGACGAGATTCTCTCCAAGCTCCCAGTGGTCCAAGGTGCATCTTTCGATTCCCATGCCAATGAACACGAGACCCGATGTCATCCTCTCACTCGCGTCAAGATTCTGGGGGAGATTGAAAAATGGGCCCAGGAACCGGAAGGACGACGAATATATTGGCTTTGCGGTATGGCAGGCACCGGCAAATCTACAATTTGCAGAACCGTTGCCCATCATCTGACAAGTTTGAACATTGTAACCGCCAGTTTCTTCTTCAAGAAGGGTGACAACGATCGAGACAAGTCAAGCGCTCTTTTCACCACCATTGTGAAACAGCTTGTCGAGCATTTGCCAAAAGAAATGGCGTCGCATGTCAAGAAAGCCTTACAGGATAATCCAAGCATAGGCGATAAAATGCTAAGCAAACAATTCGAAAAGCTCATATTGGAGCCATTGCAAAGCTGCAGAACTCTGCCACCAGTCATAGTTGTCGTACTGGACGCCCTCGACGAGTGCGAAGATCAGGCTAGTGCTGCAAAAATCATTGAACTTCTACCGAGCATCGAAAATCTATCTTCTACTTGCTTCAAAGTCTTGGTTGCCAGCAGGCCAGAGTGTCATCTCAGAACATCGTTTGCCAAGCTGGAATGCAAATATCATGAATTTCTTCATTATGAGGCACTTCATGAAGTTGCGGATGAGGAGATCCGAAAGGACATTGCTGTCTTCTTGGAGTCCCAACTAGGGCAGATCAGAGACAATCACAACCTTACCAACTTACCACTATCCGCAGATTGGCCGTCAGAATCCCTTGTTAAAGCTCTTGTCAACATCTCGGTGCCTCTATTCATTTTGGCGGCAACTGCGTGCCGATTTATTGGTGATAAAGATCTCGGCGCCCCTAAGAAGTTGGCCCAGGAATTTCTGCAACATCATCGGCGGCTTGGTAAAATGAATCATCTTGCTAGGACATACCTTCCCATTCTAGAGCAATTGCTTGTTAATCGCAATGGAGCCGTGCCAGAAAGTCGCTCAAAAGGAGAGAAAGAACAAATTATTGAAGAATTTCGCCGAGTTGTTGGTACAATTGTGCTTCTTGAAGCGCCTTTATCAATCACATCACTCTCAGAATTACTTCAAATGGACCCAGGGGATGTCAATTTCCGGCTCTCGGGTTTGAACTCTGTTCTGAATATCCCCAAAGACTCTGACAGCCCGGTCAAGCTATTTTATCTGTCGTTTCGCGATTTCCTGGTTGGGTCCGGTGATCAAGATCAGATTCATGATTTCTTGGTAGATGAGCGAGAAACACATGCCAACCTAGCTCGCCAGTGTATTGCATTGCTTTCGAGGGATGACAATCTCAAACAAGACATCTGTGAACTTAATCACCCGGGGAAACTAAGGTCCAACATTGACCAGGGCGCAATCGACAATCACTTACCTCCACATGTTCGGTACGCATGTCTGCACTGGGTCTTCCACTTAAAAGAGAGCCGGGGCCACATACGCGTTGGTGATGAAACCCATCGCTTTCTGGCCAAGCACCTGATTCACTGGCTTGAGGCACTCAGTCTACTGGGCTGCATTGCTGAGAGCAGAGCTATGGTGGATAGTCTCGCAGCCATGGTTGATGTATGTGGCCTCTACCAGCATTACATGAAAGCCGCTAACTTATGTCCTAACCTGAAGGAAAACAATGAAGCATTCGGTCTCCTGCGCGATACCAAACGATTCATAGGTGCTTATCAATATATTATGGACGTAGCGCCACTGCAGATATACTCTTCCGCCCTGATTTTTGCGCCGAAAAGGTGCGAGTTTCGACGATGCTTCGAAGAGGAGGCAGTTCCCAAGCGGATAAAACATCAACCTACTGTCCCGATGGACTGGGATTTGTGCATCCAGACCTTAGAAGGCCACAGAGAAAACATAAATCAAGCCGTCTTATCACCAGACTCGTCGCTCATCGCGTCGCGCGGTTGGGATAAAGTTTTAATCTGGCGAAGCCACACTGGAACTTGTATTCATGAAATTGACACCTATGCTATTGAAATTGCGTTCTCACGCGACTCCAAACTATTTTATTTGGTCTTGTCAGACTTCACAGTTGAAACGTGGGAGACGGATACGTGGACCCGCAAGACAGTCATGAAAGTGGACAGCACGGCAGATGGTGAATATGACAATGAACTTGGATTTGTGGCAGCCATTTCTCACGACTGCAAACTCGTCGCAGTAGCCTTTAGCACGAGAATCGAAATCCGGTCAATTCTACCCCCTGACGACTTCGTAAAGAGCATCGAGACCGATTTATACAACTTGGAACATATTTACTTTTCCCCAGATTCCGCTTACATTGCTGCATCTTCTCATACACTCTGGAACCCGTTTACAAGTATTTGGCCGGTCCGTGGCGGAAAAGCGACCGAAATGCAGGACTGTTCGACTGCAGCATTTTCACCCGACTCCTCCCTGATAGCTTTAGCGTTAAATAACGACATAGAAATCCGTCGCGTTGGCAAGGGGTCTTTGGGATTTCATCGAAAATTTTCCTTGGGTATTAATTGGCTCTGGGTGAAGAATCTCGCCTTCTCCCACGATGCAGCACTCCTGGCAATTTCGTTTAGAGCGAAATTCGGAATCTGGTCGACAGACACTGGCAAGTGCATATAGATGGCCAATGATCATACAGACAGCATTTCGTCGCTTTCATTTTCACATGACTCTACGTTCCTCGTCTCATCATCAGGTGACGGGACACTGCGTGTCTACAGCGTTAGCAGATACACATCGCCGGAAATTGATGAAGGGACATACGAGTATATTAGCGCTGTTGCAGTCTCACCCGATTCGTCACTCATAATGCTGGGAGCAGGCGGATACAACGACGTCTGGGAGATTTTGCGTGTTGATTCAGGCGTTTGTGTTGAAAAAGTCAACGGGCGCAACCTGCAAAACAAGCCTACCTTCACACATGACTCAGCCTTGGTAGTGATCAAAGACGGCGCGGCTGAGATTTGGCATCCTGATGGACGCCAATCCGTACAGGACCTGAGTGGGCTAGGTTCACAACCATATCAAGTTTGTGCAGCCTGTTTCTCAGCAGACTTTACGCTGGCTGCAGGCATCCTTGATGACGGATCTCTGCGGATTTGGAAAATGAATACAGGTGAATGTATGCGAGAAGTCAAATCCGCTGTGCCCTATAACTCCTACGATCCAACGACCCTATGCTTTTCCTCAGACGCATCTCGAATAGCATATGCCTCGGACAAGGAAACAGAGCTTTTTGTTTGGCAAGTTGGATTGAACTTACCGGCCCAAAAGTTTGGGTCACGGGGAAATGTTTGCTGTTTTGCCTTGTCTAACACGAAAGTTGCTGCGGTTATAAGTTCTAAAGACGTGGAAATTAGGATATGGAGTCTTGAAACAGGTCGCGAGTCGAAGCGATTGCATGGCGTTAGAGCTCAGATACTTGTTTTTTCATTCGACTCGACGCTCCTAGCAACTTTTTCAACCGAATCGGTGATCCTAGAATCAAGATATTCACAAGAGCCAAATACAATCCTGATCTGGAATGCCGACACTGGTGCTTGTCTGCAGAGCATTAATGTTGGGCTGCAGGTTACACACCTATTCTTTGAACTTAATAACAATTCGGGATTGCGAACCAATCTTGGTCGAATCAAGTTCGGAGACTCTACAGCATTAGGTGAAGATGCAACTGGTGTTAACCAGTCCCAGCTATGGTCCTATGATAAGCTTGGTTATCGCAACGATGATCAAGGTGTTGATGCTTCTTGGATCACATTCAATGGAGAGAATTTACTATGGCTACCGGCAAAATATCGAGGGAGGAGGCAGATAGTGCGCGCTGTCTCAGAATCTGTGGTTGCAATTGCACATGTATCTTCTGGACAGCTTGTCATCATTGGATTTGACACTGAAAAGATCCCTAGATGGTACCACAATACGCATAAATACTTCATTTCACAGCGGACATTGATAGAAACCCTGTAGTTTTGGAAAAGAAAAGAAAAGTGGCAGGGACTACTTATTAATTACTAGTAGCTATACCAGCGAAATTGTATTCGGTCTTACGGAAGACAATGCCACCGCGTACCGCAATATATGCGGACCCTCAGCTACTTCTTCAGAAACGTGTATTCTACATATAATCAAAATTTATATGAGTCGAAATGGGCGAGCTCTCTTTGGAGAGACTATTTATTATACTAAATTGCCCAAATGTTCTGAATAAAAATACCAAGTTCTTCTACTTATTAATACACGTAGCTTATTTGTCTCCCCTCATAGTAACTTCTCAGCTCGCCAAAAGCATCGCGAGAGAGGCGAGAGACGAGTTCACACACGCGCGTATATTTTCCAAAGAAGGCAGGTCATTGGAGAAATTGACAAGACATATAAATGAGCAATGTGGGCAAAATTGCCAATATACAAGGCTAAAACAGGGCCAACACTTCCATCAGAGCTCCTTTCGCTATTAGCACTAAGAATCGTATACCGCAACCTGTTGCTGTGTTGGTTGCGTTCCAATCCCCAAAAGTGCGGTCTGTATTGCCTAAATTTGGGCAAATCATAGGTATATTGAACATGAATAGTCTTAAATGGCATTCCAGTGGCAAATGTGACACTCGGAGATGCGTATTGGTCAATAATATTTAGGATGTTGTCCTGTGCGTCCGAGGTGGACAGCCCAAGGAGAAAGTCGGGTCACATAACATGTAATATTGACAGCATAAGCTGTCATTGATGCATATTCACGTATGCTTTTGATGCCCAATGAGCAATTATGAGCTGAATACCTAGAAGAAAGAAAAAACCTGGATGGGGGAACAAAGCCAAGGTAGTTTTGGATTGTTGGGGGTAGTTGGGGCTACGTGGGAGTGTTCATCCACAACAAGGCAGAATCAAAAGTGCCATCCAAACATAGAAGCAAGGGTTCTATCATTTTTACAATTCGGCAACGTCATAAGTTCTCTGCTAAATACGAACTCTGGATAACTCGGCAAGAAAGCTGTGAATCACATCACGTTGCGTTGGTTTTATAGTCCAGGCAGTAAACCTCGTATAAGAGCTAAAGATGTCTATTTTTATCTACAGAAATGATAGTGTCTTGCACAAAGCAACGTAGAATTAATATTGAATACCGCTTTTGACGTGAGGATAGGAAGTATTATCTGATCATCTGAATCGAGGTCAAAGTCACCATAATTATAGGGTAGACGCTCGTTACCATCATCGCCATTCATATATACACACCATACACAGAATAGTCGATTATCTAATAATAAAGATGCTATATTTGGTCCCAGTGCAAAGTGTGCGCGGGCCGAGAAGACCGCCATGGATCTCAAATGCAACACACGGAGTTGCCTCGAAGCAGCAGCCAATGCAACCTACCCAGGAACCAGAAGCACGTCATTCTGCAGCTCCATTATTGGCTACTTGCAGATTTTCAGATTTTCACGTGGGTATAACATATAAAAAAGAAATACGAGGCCTGTGAGTCTGGTGCAATATACGATACGGTACCCCGGAAGGGATCGCCGTATGCTGCTGGAAAGGCACACCTCTCCCCATGTACAGGGCAAGTATGGGCAACCAGGCAAATGCGTATTTGCTTTGGATAGATTGTGAAAAGACACTCAAAGTGCATTGACACGAAACTATGACAGGATGTAGCATCAATGCGCTCAATGGCAGACGTAGTCATTGACCCGTCCCGATCCATGCGCATATCATACTACGCTCCATACGAGGAGGGCGTGCTCTTTCGCCTTTAGATCCACCGAAGCTTTATAAACTATCCCTTATGGGTATACCGGTCTGTGTTATGTATTCTGGGGAGGGCGTCGAGACATTCTCACATGCCATTTCAGTATATTGGGCCGTTGCGCGCTCTTTTGATCAAAAGAATCTTTGTAGCTCGTCCTGTAGTCAGTTCTTTCGATATTCAGCTCGCAAAAGGTCAGTGAGCATATCAGTAATATTGATATCACAATGAATCCTGTTTATGGACGGGACTTCTGCTCATGCCATGTAGGACAAACGGAGGCTACCTATATTGGGTGTTAGCCTGGCAGTAGTTGGATGATAAAGGTTGCCTCATTATCCCTTGACATGCACCGATTATCAAGCCCTTTGTCCAATCTGGTAGTAGCAGCACACCATGGTCGACCGTTGAGATCGGGCCTAAATCGGCTATGCGGACGATGGTGGTTGAGTTGCATTGCTGATTATCCATGCTTCTAAACGCTTCGTACTACCGTACCCGGGCCGCCAATTCCACGGACATTGTCTTTTCCGTACCCAATCCGATACAACGTCGTCAAAGCGTCTTCTTCTTATCATTTTCTCGTGTTGTCATCTTGCAACATGTTGAAAAGGCGCCCACTGGTAAGCCGGATGTCTTGCTTCATCTTGCTCGGTAGACCCTTGAACCACAATAACGCCGCAGAGCAGCCCACTTTTCTAGTCCTCCGCTGAGCATCTCGGTCATCTTCCACTGAGCAATAGCCAGGGTGCTTGGCGTATTCACTATTGCATCATTAGGCGTGAAAAGCGCGGCAGTACCAATAAGGTCTGGCTATCACATGCGATCTAACTCGGAAGCGATCTTCGAGGTTGGGATCCCTTGTCCCTGGCCAGGCTCTCAGGGTGCATGGGGCTGGAAAAGGGCACCGGAGCTTGTTGTACTGCAAAGACTGCAAAGCCGGCGGCCGCAAGAGAGGGCTGCAGCCACCAGCTCTTTTACAATTTTGCTTCCCTTTTTGGGAGGTCGGTAAGGGTGTCTATTGGCTCGTGAGGCTTGTGCATGTGTGGCGTGTCGAACAGCGTCCAGACTCAAGACTTCAGGCTGTATGTCGACAGCATTCCAGAACTTGCCCGTCTCAAGGGCTTTTTGACGCTGCCACCCACACCATCGAGCGCTTCTTGCCTCGCCTCCATGCGCTGTCTCTGCAAGTGAAATTGCAGTGCCAGCTGAGCTTGCCGCCAGCGCCTCCGTGCCTCATGTGGCAGCTGGGCAGCCACCTTCCAGAGCCGTCTCTGCCTCCGAGTGGCGGCGTCGGGTCGGACCTAGTCTAGCCCGTTCCTGGACCGGGATCAGGATCAAGGCTGCGGGACAAGGCGTGGAGCGTGGGGTGTGCGATGGGCGGTGGGCGTTGGCGTTGGCGCGATACTGTATCTTTAAGCTTGCGAGCGGACGTAAACAACCGGTGCCGCTATCGCGAGCCTGCCTCTGTCCGCGTCGAGGCAGCCAAGCTTGCCAAGCTCTGCCAAGCATTGCGGCTGTCGGCGCTGATAAGGTGAAGCCAGGCACAGAGAGTTTGGCACATTTGCTTGGCGATGCGAGATGGCTGCGGTCTGGGAGGTGATGGATCGGCTGTCGGCTTGGCACGCTTGGCAGCTGAGAATAATTCCCGAGTTCAACGACACTCGATCATGATCGCATTGTGTGTGGTGAAGAAGAAGGAAAAGAAAACGAAACATCACAGAGAGAAGAAAAGAAAAAGACAGCAGTAGACAGTGGCTGAGCCGCGCTGTTGGCGCCAGACGATCGTCAACAAGACGGGCAGGTCTCGTAGGATCAGGATCTGCTCGCATTGCGATCACGTGCTTCGCATCTGGCAGCAGCCTCAGGTTCTTTTCTCGTAATACTGTAGCCACCTGGCATGCCTCGCTTCTCTCCATATCTGCTCTCCATCGTACAGACGCTCCTCGCGACACGCCCATGGCGCTGCATGAAAACACAATCAGCGCTGCCTTCACGCTTCGGCCGGTTCCGCCTCTGCTCGCCCAGGCCAGCTTCGCGATGCAGCCAATCAAGGCCATCAATCCGGCATCCAGGCCATCACGCTCCGGATTCTACGGCTAGTCAGCCCCATGCCGAATATCCGGTCCAGACAGGGGTCCCCAAGGCTTCCGGACAGGCCTTTGGACATGCCGCTCTGGGCCTGAGCCCGCTGTAACGAACCTTTGCATGCAGTGCCCAAGATGGCAGATGGCGATTCTGGCACAAGTTCCACGCCCAAGTGCCGGCTGCCAAGCTGATGCGGCGCCAGCCAAGAGTCCCGAGGCACCCAAGGGACCCCCCCGCATCGGAACCTGCACAGGTCATTAGGCGCCTCTGATTGATGGGATGGGAGATTAACATTAACCAAAGGTTTAGACTTGATTCGTGGTCTTGGCGGTTGATCTCACTAGTGTTGTGCTTATTCAGAGCACGGCATCAGTCCAGCAAAGCGTCTTGTGCCCCGACGCCTGAGTGTGCGAGCAAGACAGTTGATGGCTGGTCTTGGGAGGGAACAGAACAATGCCATTGTTTCTTCATAAACGGCGGCTAACGGTGAATATCACTGCAACATCACTTGTGGAAGTTGGGCTAGGCGCATCGTCTCTCTCCGGATCAGCATCGTCGCGCTGAGGCTAGACATTTGGCGGAGCGTTGCGGGTCCAAGGCTTTCTCTGTAGGGACTTTTACGGACACGGACCGCCTACTTGTACTACTAGGAACCTGATAGAGCAGGATCGGCGCCAAAGTGCTCTGCGCATTCTGTTTCGAGAGCCACTCAGCCGCTCTATCGAACGAATCGTCGCCGTCAAGGCCGCACGGACTGCAACGACCCCGGATTGGAGGGGGGCCTGACCAAAGTGGCGAGAGCCATTGTTCAAAAGAGAGTCTGTGCTATGCCTCTCTGGACCCCGCCACGTTGCGCCGGCTCGAAACGAGCAGCTCTGGCCATTGAAACTAAGCGGTGGACTTCTATCTTGGGACGGGTGCAAGATACGTGATCGACAAAGGTTCCAGCGTCCGCAGAAAAAAAAGGCAGAATAGGTGATGCGGACTCGGCTGGCTTCACTCTCTGGGCTAGGACACATTCCTACCCCTGGACTCGAATGTTTCATTCGCCAGCAGCCCCGCGGCAACTTCACCAGCCTCAGTTGGCTATCGACAATGTTGGATACTGCGGCTATTCCATCATTCCGGCTCCTCTTCCCATCACCGAGCCCCAGCGCGTGTGTGAAGCCCCAGGATGATGGCGTGAATTCACCTTCCTAAACCATGCTTTTGAAGCCGTCCACCATCTCCAGCCATTGCATGCATCAATGGCATCTTCAACTCCAAGGATGGGTTGATATGTGAGTCTCGATGGATATAAAGACTCCTCGTCTTCCCCTCGATCTGTTGTTGAAGCTTCTTTCCTCATCAGCCTTCAAGACATCAAGTCCAGTCGAATCCTGAGCAACCATCATCTCAACAAGCTTCAAAATGCAGACCTTTGGTGCTTTCCTCGTTTCTTTCCTCGCCGCTAGCGGCCTGGCTGCTGCTCTCCCCGCCGAGGGACAGCAGAAGACCATCTCCGTCCCGGTCAAGTACAACGCCAACCACGCTCCTCACGGACCTACCGAGCTCTTCAAGGCCAAGAGAAAGTTCGGTGCTCCCATCAGCGAGAACCTCAAGAACAGGGTTGCCGAGCACAAGGCCGCCAAGCTCGCCAGACGCCAGACCGGCTCTGCTCCCAACCACCCCAGCGACTCTGAGGATGATGAGTACATCACCAACGTCTCCATTGGAACTCCTGCTCAGGTCCTCCCCCTGGACTTTGACACTGGCTCTTCCGATCTCTGGGTCTTCAGCTCCGAGACTCCCTCGTCTTCTGCCCGCGGCCACACCATCTACACCCCCTCCAAGTCTTCCACTTCCAAGAAGGTCTCTGGAGCCTCTTGGTCCATCACCTATGGCGACAACAGCAGCTCCAGCGGTGACGTTTACACCGACACCGTCACCATCGGAGGCTTCTCCGTCACTGGCCAGGCTGTCGAGTCTGCCACCAAGGTCTCAACCCAGTTTGTCCAGGATACCTCCAACTCTGGCCTCGTTGGTCTTGCCCTTGACAGCGGCAACACCGTCAAGCCCACCAAGCAGAAGACCTGGTTCTCCAACGCCTCTTCTCACCTGGCTCAGCCCGTCTTCACTGCTGACCTGAACCACCAAGCCGGTACGTACTGTCCCTTTTCCACTTTACACTCTATTCGATACGAGTAAACTAACGCGAGTGAAACAAATAGACGGCAGCTACAACTTTGGTTTCATTGACACCACCCTCGCCTCTGGCCCCATTACCTACGTTCCCATCAGCACCGGCAACGGCTTCTGGGAGTTCACCTCTGCAAGCTACGCCATCGGCGGTGGCTCATCCAAGAAGCACTCCACTGACGGTATTGCTGACACCGGCACCACCCTGCTCCTCCTCGACGACACTATCGTCGATGCCTACTACAACCAGGTCGAGTCTGCTCAGTACGACGACTCACAGGAAGGTTACACCTTTGACTGCTCTGAGGACCTTCCCTCATTCTCCTTCGCTGTTGGAAGCTCCACCATCACCGTCCCCGGTAGCTTGATCAACTTTGCTCCCGTCGATGGCAACACTTGCTTCGGTGGTCTCCAGAGCGATGACGGCATTGGCATCAGCATCTTCGGTGATGTTGCCATCAAGGCTGCCCTGGTTGTCTTTGACCTTGGCAACAAGCGCCTGGGCTGGGCTCAGAAATAAGCTGGGGAAGAGATGAAAGGGAACAAAAAAAAAAAAGGAGGGTTGAAACGTATATGAAAGTCATGATTTGAAGAGATGGAGTTTGCATCCGGCTACACATGGCTTGTAAATACTATATCATGCTACCTATATAGTCACTAGGAGCTTTAGCACATAGCGCAGCGAAGGAATATTTCTTACCTTGCACCAAATCTCCACCTGTGAATATTTACTTGTAACATTGGAAGTATCTTGGATATTTCATTCGCTGTCGTCTAAATATGCTTGTCTGTTTTATATGCGCCACAATGTGGCTTTTCACATGTAATTAGCATGTGGTTGAAAGGGCGCATGTATGTCAAAAGGGATGCTGATCAAAGAGTACGTAAGCGCGCAACGCCCTGATTCGCTGTTTGTATGTCTTGACACGGACGTTGGATTGCGCTATGCATGTTTATGTATTTATGGTGGGATGCGCCCTCTTTGGAACGACGCCCTTTGGCCCCTCAATCGGAGAATTATTGGAGTGTTTGTGGCTGAGAATTAGTTTTACCGTGGGGTATTAAATGGCTCTTGTTATACATGGTTATTCTCTGCCACATTGAGTGGCTTTGTTTCATCAAGAAAGAGTTTATTGCTTGCAACTGAAGCCCTTGAAAACAATAAACATTTACTTTTTTTTTCTCGTTCTTCTTCTCATAAAATACTGCGCGGGGTGTAACAATTGCCATGGCAAATGAGGAGAAGCAGAAGCCCCGTGTGGCGGTTCTGGGAAAAGTGCATTATCTCAGCGATGAGTACATTGAGAATGTAAAAGCCGAGTTAAATCTTTATGTATGTGTCCAATTTCATTACTTGACGCATCTATCAAAGTACGCAAATCACTCACATGCAACGCCTTTCAGTTCCTTGAATCTTCCAATCGGCAGCAACTCATCGAGGAGCTCCCCCGCGTCATCTCCCAATCCGGCCCCTTTGAAGGGCTCATCTGCCTCTCTGAGTCGCACAACTTCATCCCCGTGGACGAAGAGCTGCTGTCGGCCATGGTGCCTCACTGTCGCGTGATTGCTTCCCTATGGGCGGGATACAATGAGTTTGACGTGTCGTGGATGACGAGCCAGGGGATATGGTTTTGTAATACCGTTGATGCGGTGGCGGAGGCTACGGCCGATATGACGATTTGGTTCATTCTGTCTGTGGTGAGGAATACTTCTGTGGCGGAGAGGCATGTGAGGGCGGGGGGTTGGTATGGAGGCAGTATGTCGACGAGAGATCCTACGGGCATGACGCTGGGTATTGTGGGCATGGGGAGCATTGGCAAGTATCTGGCGAAGAAGGCAAAAGTGTTCAACATGAAGATTAAGTATTACAACCGCAAGAGGCTCAGCAAGGAAGTCGAAGAGGCATATCAGGTGGAATACTGTTCCTCGCTGGAGGACCTGCTGTCACAGGCAGACGTCGTGTCTATACACTGCCCCCTCTCAGAAGCAACCCGAAACCTCATCTCCCACGAGCAATTCAAACTCATGAAGGACGGCGCATTCCTCATTAACACGGCGCGCGGGCCCATCGTCGACGAAGAAGCGCTGATTGCAGCGCTGGAGAGCGGCAAAGTGGCGAGGGCGGGACTGGACGTGTTTAGCGACGAGCCGAATGTGCGTGAATACTTCAGGACGAGCGATAAAGTGGTGTTGCAGCCGCATATGGGGGGCGCGACGGAGGAGGCGCTGTGGAGGGCGGAGAGGGAGAGCTTTGAGAATGTGCTGAGGTGGAGGAGGGAGGGGAAGCCGGTGTCGCCGGTGAATGAGGTTTAGAGGAGTTGTGCATGCGTGATGTGCTTCTTTTCATGATATGGATGTGTTCATTTGGAAATTGAAAAGGAGTGTTTGGTTGTCTCAAGCTGTTGCCTTGAAGGAAATGAGTGAAACAGGAAACTAGGGTGAAGCATACAAGACGATCGATATACCTTGTATACAGCACATATCAGTAGTTTATCTAGGCTTACGTCGTTGCTTGGCATCATGTCAGTTTCATCATGAGAAGAGATTCAATACTATCGGCATCATTTATGAATAAGTTCTGCGGCCAATCACGCAATTGCGTCTCCTACTTTACTTAATCCTGCCAACCATCCGTCAATTTAAGGTAATCAGCCTCGAACTTAGTATCAAACATTCGGCGATATCGCATCATCTATTCTCTTATCCCCACAACAAAAATGCAAGTAGTGTTGGGTTTGAAAAAGTTTATGACATTTTGGCTGACGGTCTTTTTGGAACCTGTATACAGGGTATCAAGGTGATGCAAGAAATGGGCCGCATTTCTATCGCATCGTATCATCTCGGATATCGCACGTGGTTGGTCCGTTTTGAGGCACACATACACAAGGTACTTATTCCTCATTGGCCACTTTTGAGGATTTGTCCGTATCAAGCCCCACGCAAGATGTGTTGTTGAGCTGCAAGGAATTGTCTCACACGCACTGGGCGCTTTCATCTCCCATTGGCCAGGTTTGAGGCTGATGTTGCATCGAGCTCCTCCACACCTCGGACGATCGTTCAGCGATTGGCCAAAGTGACATTAAGCGTAGGAGCTGGTACAAGTAAATGCAGTGAGGACCAGGCTGCGGATGAGAAGCTGTAAAGCGGGAAATTGGGTATAAAGTCGATGGTGTCGTCTTTCTAAATCATTCACTTTGCATCTTCAGACCTCGCTTTGCGTCAATTTCAACCTCTGCGGCGCACAGTCAGTCTATTCGTCTCGTTTCCAGTCCTGGGTCAGGCGAGTAGCCACCCGGGACTGCAGTTTTTTGACTGCAGTTTTCTTTCTTTTTTTTTTATACAAGAGTCGGGTCTCCCGGGCTCTCAGCAGGGAGACTCACACCCGTCTCCTCTTTGTCGAGCAACGAGCCGTGTGTTAGCAGAGTATCCAGTCAACATCTCGCCTTTTATCACTCGGACGTCTACGATCCTTCGACAGTTTCGTTGCAAACCCACGAATATTGCTGTTACAGCGAATGCGTGGATAACGATGCAATCGTCGATAGCGCCCGTCCGGTATCTGAAGATTCAACTCGAACTCAGCAAGACCGCGCCCCAGGCTACGGCCCTTTCAACGCCGACAACCTCCCCCAGTCTCCCATACCGGATTCTGACCACCATGCTTGGGAAGAAGACCGGCAGCCTCACAGCACGCTGCCGGTTGAAGACCCACCAACAATCTCGGTAGAAACTTTATTGAAACACTCTCCAGATAATGGAGAAGGCTCCCCAGACAATGGAAATCGCTCTCCAGACAATGGAAATCGCCGTCTCCATTGTGGCACTTGCCCCGAGACTTTTGCCAGCAAGAGCAACTTGACGCGGCATGTCAAAGAAAAACACGACATCCCATTCATTTGGGTCTGCACTGTCCTGACTTGTGGCAGTCGCAACAGACCATTTCGGAGGAAGGAAAATTTTATGCGGCACTGCAGGACGCGGCACCGTGATATGGAATTGAAACAGTTTGGTCCTCTCTGAGCATGTCTTGAGTCTCGCTGCAGGCCATTGCATGCCCTACTTGGGATCGATGGGGTTTTGACGGCCTTGAGCGCGACTCAAGACATATTCACCGCTACAGATAACCGCGCTTTCACATCTGGACATGATCGAGCCTGAGATACAGCCGATCGAGTTTAGATATGTGAAGCGCGGTGCTGTACATTATTAAGACCTCACTGTACAAACAGAAATTGGGCTTCGCAAAATTAGACAGATCATTGGGCTTCGCAAATTACAACAGATCATTGGGCTTCGCAAATTACAACAGATCATTGGGCTTCGCAAATTACAACAGATCATTGGGCTTCGCAAAAAAGCAACAGATACTGGGCCTCGCAAATCTAAACATCATCGACTCTATCTCGGCGTAGAGTCGAAGATGTTTAGGTTTTGCGATGCCCAATATCTGTTGTTTTATTGCAGAGCGTAGGACATACACAATATATATTTATGCTGCACCATGTTCCTCCAGCCTTATGCGAATACATGTCGTTCGACATAGCCGAAAATATATGTGCATGTTGGCTACAAAGCTGGCCTGAGTAATTGCGTCTTACCTCAATATAGCTACCACCAAAGGTGAGTCCGAATCCGGACCTTGTGAGTCTATATAGCCTTCCTAATCGCTGTAAACAAACCTCTATTTTTGTGAGAAGAAAACACGAGGGTTCGTCGTCTAAATGCAGCTCAAGTCAGTTTGCGCTGAAATACCTCGGCTTAGTTGAGAGCTATTCGTGTGACTGGTGGGAAGACGTTCAAGCAGTTGAACATGGGCCGTGACAGCACTTGCGTGCAGAGAAAGCCTAGAATAGGCTCCAATTCATATTCATCCATCGACTTTTGAATATAAAATAGATAGCAATCTCTCGTATAATTGACTTACACCACGTCTTACAAACTCGAGGCAAATGCACAGACCGTCGACAACGAGCCTAATTTAGCAACTCAAGGTGCTGTGCCGTCTCCCCAGAAAGCTGCAGGGGCTTTGCCGACCGCTAGTTCGGGCCAGAACGCGCTCACCTTCAGATATCCATCCTCGCACTTTTTTTTCCAGGGGTCCGACAATTCGCTTCTGCACACGAATACAGCTTCGCACAAGCATTGCGACTGTAGACATACGGTGCCTTTAGCTTACGAAGAGCACATCGCATCTACACTTCCAGCGACTGCGATTCGCTTGCTAACCCTCGAGCTCTGTCGCATCTCATGACGCGCCTCCTCGACTGACCCGATTCACCGACCGCAAAAGAGCTACCTGCTGTAGCAACCATGCGCCGTTCCGCCATTGCATTGAATTCCATCGATTTGCACGCATCACAATAGCTAGCATCAAGCTGCAATGCAAAGCGGCCACGCAATTGGCGCCCGGCCCAACGGACGTCCCACGCCGTTCAAAGTGAATCACGCAGACCGCAAGCCGTTATTCTCCAGCAGCACCGCGCAGCCCGACGAAAACGACGAGAATGGCTTGCACGTCTACACGGCAAAGACGCCGGCCTTTGGACGGGTAGGGGCTGCAGACAGTAAGAAGGCGAGGCCATCGTCAGACTTTGCCAATGCCAGCGTCGTCTCGACCGGCGGCACGCGCATCCCGCGAACCAGCAGCCTGCCGCAGACGCGCCGAAAGCCGATATCGCTGCGTGAGGCCATGGAGATGGCAGAGGGCGAGGAGGAGGCGGCAAAATTAATGTCAGAGGCTGGCCTGGACAATCCTGTGCCCGTCGACGGGTCGCCCAGCCCTGCGCCGCGGCCCTGGAGAACGAGGACGGCGTCCGAAGTATCAGAGCTGCGGCGGATACAGGGCGAGGACCCTCTGGACGCAAAGGCGCGAAGCAAGATCCCGTCGGTGCGCAATCCCAGCTTCAGCGCGACTCTGGTGAGCGGCAAGGAAGCTGCGGTGGGAGCATCGCCAGCAAGGGCCACCCTGCTCAACGGCGGCAGCGGCCTCGCACGGCAACGATCAAACGAGTTTGCCAACCCAGCTCTCCGTAACGCACTGCGACTTGGTCCTGGAACAGTCTCGACCACTGGCGGCTCCAGCAATGGCCTTCCCGATCTAGTCCCCGGCATCGAGGATCCGCCGTCTTCCATCGATCCTGCACTCTCTGCAGCAACGCTGGTCCAGCAGTCTTCTCCAGACAAGAGCTTTGCGTGGCAGATGGATGAAGATTTTACAGCTGGCGAAGTGCAAATATCCAGCAGCCCTCGAGTTAGGACCGGGGTTCGGCCATTTGCCAGCCGCCTGGGATACCGCGACGGTGAAAAGCAAGACTTTGATAGCTTACCTCGCATCTCCAACCCAGGGTCACGCAACACAAAACTAGACGAAATACGATCACTCGAGCTCAAGGAAAACGGCAGCCACATTCCATTTGCAAGCTCATCACGCCCTAGGCCGGCGAATACAAAGCTGGACGATATACGCACAAGAGAAGGACAGGTGGAGCGCCAGATTCCGGTACCGAGCCGACACCTGGATACATTAAAGAACACGAGACTAGAGGAGATTCGGCAGCGTGAAGCCGACGGGGTATCAAAGCGGGCATACGCCGCTGCTCGCCTTCAGGAAATCAAAGAACAAAACTCCATGGCACGTCCCCGGTCACCCGATGACGGTTTCAAATCTCGTGCGGCCTTTGGGCTTGCACGCCGGCGCCAGACCAAAACCGATGCGGTTGATGAGGCGAAAAAAGAGGAATTGCCGCCGTCACGGATTGGAGGGTTTGGCTTTGGAGGAATCACCGGTGGTTTTGGTAAGACGGCATCAGATACGCCCGCGACAGCCATTAAGAGAGGCCCAATGCGCTTAGAAGCAGATACAGCAGCAAAGCTCGACAGTGAAGAGCAGAAAAAGGACACCGCAATAAAACCCAAGCTCTTTGATCGGACATACGATGACAGGGACCTCCTGCGACGGCTGGCAAGGGCCGCCAGCTCGCCGACAGCTGACAATGAATCGCGTGCAAAGCAGCTGCCCACCACTGCGCCAGCTGAAGAAGATAAACAGGCCGCTCCCAAATCAATCGCCGATAGAATCGCCTCTCGCCTGTTTGCTCCAAAGCGCGCTTCCTCTCTTCCCACCTCCGGCGCCAAAGCAGCGACTGACGCCAGCGCCAAGGAATTCGAAAAGCCAAAACCCACGGTGGGATTCACTGGTCTGCAGCGCACGCGATCAATTGAATCAATTAAGAGCAAGCGGTCCAGTATGCAGTCAGAACCAGACCCGACCGACAGGATAGAGGCGGAGATGAAGCTGTTTGCGCCATCGGACAATCACTCCGAACGCGGTTCTCTTCGCGCGCCTTCTCCTCCTCTGAACGACGATTCAGACGAAGGCAACGTTAGGGTCAAGGAAGAGTCAGCCGAAGATGCGACACCGAGGCCCTCCAAACCAGATCCTTTGTCCATGCCCACGCCAAAAATAACCGGCGCCTACGTCGAAACACCAGTTACGGTCAAGTCAGAGAAACTAGCTCTCAAATCCGAAGACATACCAAAGCTGCGAGCAGACATCAAATCGTCTGCAGATCTTCTCTTCCCTGACAGGAAACCAACCTTTTCTTCCTGGAGAAATAGAGACCAAGACGTAGCTTCGGACCCCGGGACGACCGATGACGGCGATTCTGTAATCTCGAAATCGGCTGTCGTGAGGAAGCGAAGGGCAAAGTCGCTGCCTCAACGCAGGCTGCCCGTCAAGAACTCGGCCAAGCTTCCCTCTGTCAAGGATGACATGATGGAGCTGCGCCGCGCATACAACATTGACGACTCGACATTTGACGATTTGGACGAGATTTTATCTGGCAGGAGTTTAGTCAAGACTGCCAAAGACTGGAAGAGTGGCAGCTTCGGCCGGTCCTCGGCCGTGGATCTTGATCTGGACCTTGATTCAGAGTTTGACTATGGCGATGTGATGAAGAGCGAAAGCAAAAAGGAGAGCAAACAGTCAAATTCCGACGGCGAAATGGCTGCCTATGAGAGAATGAATAAGACGCTGCAAACCGGCCTCTTGCGGATTCGCTCGGCAAAGCAAGGCATCGAACGCATCGAAGATCGCTTCTCACGCGCCCAGCCACTCTCACAAGGAAAGAAGACCATGGCCAAAGCCCCCGAAGGCCACGAACACCATGGCCACGTCAACCCCCAAGCAGGATGCCCGTACTGCAAGTCGCCGGCATCTACCGCAGTGACCTATCTTCATCTCGCGCTGCCACGACTATATCACCAAGATCCTACTTTCCGCCTCACCTGGCTTGGTCTGCTTGTCTTTATCCTCTCCACATGGTACGCCGCCGAGTCAGCCATGTGCGCCATGTACTGTCGACCAACCACCTGTCCTGCTTCCAAGTCACCATGTGTCTGGTCCTTTGACGACCCGACGGATTTTGGAACGGCCATTCCCATCAAGGTAGACCAGTGGATCACTGGCGGTACAGGGCGCCAAGTGGCATCGGTCGTGTATGAAGAGGCTTACGACTGGATTGCCGATATACAAGACCTGGCTTTGGGACGCGACATTGAAGACGTGGATATGGAAACGCTGTCGTCTGAACAGAAGCGTCGGCATAGACGGCGTCTGAGGAAAAAGGGCCTTTTGACCGCAAGAGAACCGCGACCGGAAGAGCAGGCGAAATGGGTCGAGTGGCGAGCGGCAAGACTGGCAAAGGAGAGGGGCGAAGAGGTGAGAGATCAGGGACATGGCAAGAGTAAGAGCACGGCAGACGCTACGGAGGATGAAGAGAGTGGATGGGTTAAAGTCAAGAAAAGCTGGGGGAGATAGCATTTTGGAGTGGCTTTTGCGTGCTGGGCTTGTCATATTCTGTAGTTTTATATACGCTTCTTTTTTCTCTATAGCAAGGTTATTAACGAGTAATGATGAGGGCTGGGGATTGAAGAATCGAAAGGAGTTATGGAAGCATGATGGAATGAAATGACGACGACGATACCATATGATAATTTGGTGCCTGGATCAAAGATGCTTCTTAGCTTTAATAACGTTCGATGCTCATACGTGGTAGTAAAATGTTGTATTTTTTTAGGCTTCTAATAGCAGCTCTCGTGACGCCAAAAACACCTTTTATCCAGCAATGGTATACAAAAAAAGAGAATGAAAAGAAAACAAGACGTTAGTTGTCCAAGCCACCCCATTCATCACCCTCACCACCCTCTGCTCCATCCATGTCTTCATCCTCCTCATCCTCCTCGTTCTTCTCCGCCCACGGCAATCTCTCGTCATCGTGGCTATCCGCCGCGCGCTGTCGCAAGGACTTGACGGGACACCTCTTGAGCGTCTCAACCAGCGCGCCAACCTTTTCCACAAACGCCTTTGCGTCCTCGTTTCCCTCTTTCGCGGCAGCAATGGCGCCTTCGCGCTCGAGTTCATCCACCCACACATCGAGCACGTGCAGCCTCAGTCCTAGCGCAACCTTCTCCTCGTCCTCTGCGTCAAAGCACCATTTCGCAAATACACCCACGACCTGCTCTGCCAAATCGCCCTTGTAGCCCTGCTCTTTAACAATTCTCACATGCGCGCTAAAGACTCTCCTCACGAGAAGCAGAAACTTGTCCAAGCGCAACGCCTCAATATGCGGCCACTGCGTGCCGAGGACGGACCAAAAGGCCGCGAGCCAGGGCTCGACGCAGGCGGATTGCAGGCCAGACACGAGATTGGCAAGGTCGGACGCGAGGGCCTGCTGGGGTCGTGGGCGGTCGGTCATCCAGAGGGCGTAGTAGAGGCCTGTCCAGAGCTTGCGGGCGTCGAGGGGCGAGAGGGATTGGCGGGACGAGAGGAAGGACTGCAGCGAGGCGAGGGATTCGGTGCGCAGTTTGCGGTCTGGGCGATGGAGTTAGTTGACATTATATATGAAGAGAGAGGAGCAAAGACGGACCGCTGGAGGCGAGGTTTCTGATAAAGGGCATCTGCTGCGCTTCTTGCGCAGAGACGGCGGCGGAGGCAGCCATTGTGAGAAGACAGAGTGAGAAGGCGCTGATATGAATTAAAGAATGAATGTGAGTTTTGCAAATCCAGTGGCAATTCCTTGTTTAGACTCGATTGGGTTGCGTTGTAGAACCTGGTGAAGAAAGACGAAGCAATAAAGACGTCTTGGCATAAATTTTGCCTGGCTAAGAAAAAATCAAGGTGAAGCTCCGGTGAGCGGTCCGGTGAACGATATGCCCCACTGCCACTGACCGAGTTTTTGGGTACTCAGGTACGAGGCAGTGCACTTGAATAAAAGCCACCGCTTTCCAGAATAGGTAGCGACTGATTATTCATCTCCCGGTAATCATTTCTGCTGCCCTATGCCATCAGCCATTCCAAATCACTGACTGATACGCGCATTCAGATCTGGGTTTTTGAAATTGCAAGATTAACCGCCCTCCCAGGTACCAGGTACTTGCATATTGTTCTCTCCTCCCCCCCCTTCCAGGCTGCCTCTTTACCGCCCTGCCTTGTGCCCCGCGCCCGGCCATAGCGGTGCCTCGACTCTTTAAAAAGGCCCTTGAAACCCCCACCATCCCGTCATAGAGTCACAGGTACATGCCCTCCCCCCGACAAGCGGAACGTTTTCGATTTTCTGCCAACCAAACTCTTCTTCGCTGCTTCTTTTGCTTCTTCACTCTCTTTTTTTTCTTCTTAAATCCATCTTCTCCCGAGTTTAAGCAGTTTGAATTCAATCCACGTCTTTGATACGACACGATACGACACGACGTTGTTTCGACGGAGCTGCAGACGAGCATTCGAGCGATCACGATACAAAGAAGCCATCTTGGCATACAAACAGACAGCAACCTCTCCGTCCCGCCAAAAGCAAACGTACCTAGAACCTCTCTCGAGCATCTGAAGACTCCAAACTCCATCTGCTCAGCTCTCCCCAGAGCCAAACAAACCATTCTCCAAAATGTCCACCAAACGCATCACAAAGGTCAGTCCTCCCACCTCCCCCGCATCCCATCACATACCAAACACCCAACAAACAAACAGACAAACAAGCAATACTAACACTCCGCCAGGAATTCGCCGAAGTCTCCCAAACGCCCCCCGAAGGCTTCACCGTCTCCCTCCCCCCCAACGCCTCCGTCCATACCTGGCACATCACCCTCCAGCCGCCGCCCCAATCGGCCTTTTACCCAGGCCGCTTCGGCATCCTCCTCACTTTACCCACCGACTACCCCTTCAAGCCGCCCGTCGTCAAGTTCGTCACCCGCCTCTACCACCCAAACGTCACAAACGACTCCCTCGGCAACGTCTGCCTCGGCATCCTCAAGGCCGAGAACTGGAAGCCCAGCACAAAGATCGTCTCCGTGCTCGAGGCCGTGCGCAACCTGCTCGTCGAGCCCCAGCCCGACGACCCGCTCGAGGAGCGCATCGCCGACGAGTATCGCAACGATAGGGCCACGTGGGAGCAAAAGGCCAAGGCTCAGGTCACTAAGTATGCGCTTGAGGACCCGGTCTTTCCGGCGACGGCGGCTTAGAATCTCTCTGGAGATGTGGAGGGGCTCTCTTTACAATAATGAAAAGGCAAGGGGGTAGGAGTTGGACGCGAACTAGAATTTAACAACAGTCAAGAGAGAGACAGAAAGGCTGAGAGAAGCTTTGGCTTTCGATACTTACATGGTGGAGATCGTAACGGACGTCTACAAAGGATGAAATAGCATTGGTAAAGGCCAGCAGGAGCATAGTATTTAGTGTTTGCTTTATTTTGTTTCTTAAACAATAGAAAAGAGATCCGGCTCCCGCTAGCTGGGAATCTCATGACCCAACAATTGCCCTCTTCTATGCTCTGCTATATATATATACCTCTACAAGAGTGATCAAATGAGCAAGAAGTCCACGAAAGCCATCACACATATACAGGCACAAAAGTCTACAAGATTTAGAAGGAATAAAAAGTCTTCGTTTCAAGAATTCATTCATTGGCCGTGCACAAACCCGTGTCTGTCTATAAGGTGGTATAAACACGCCAGTGTCTCTTTTGCCAAATTACTCCTCCCCCCAAAAAGCTCTTTTTTTTACTCTGGCCCTTATTCTATCCAAGTCAAACACAAAAAAATGAGAAAGAGAAAAGGGAAAAGGAAACAATAAGATTTTTGTACATGCCCATCCTTCTATGCTGCGCACCACAGATGTAAAAAATAAGAAAAAGAGAAACAAACAAAGAGAGAAAGGGTAGAAAACAGGGCAGACAAGATGTATAAAGTACCACAAAAAAGGTGCACATCTCTTTCGTGTATCTCGCTCAAGCACTCTATTCTCCCACCTCTTTTGCTTCTTCTGATTGTTTTCTTTGCAACAAGCATCCGTCCAAGATCCTCTAACAAGGAGGCCCTGCCACAAGTTGCAGCCGTAACCGTCGTCATGGTATGTTGATGAAATCGAAAAGTAGCGCTACCTCTCTCAATTCCACCAACACGCCCGTATGATGAAAATGGAATAAAAAAAGTGATGGGAAGTTTAAATAGAAGAAAAATTAAGGATAGTGGTAGTAAGAAACAAAGGAGAAAAAAAACACGCTGTGTTCGGAAATACCTGGCGAAACAGGTAGAAAAAAAAAAGAGGTGGATGAAAATGCTTATGCTTCATATGCAGATGCATCGTAGCCGCTGTCTGGGCCATTGGATGGCATCTCCCTCAAACGCCTGCCGTGCTATGGGTGAAATGAAGAAACGGAAAAAAAGAAGAGAAGAGAAGATTAAAAGGTATGAGAATCGAAGTAAAACCGAAAGAAGAGGAAATAAGACGCCGGTGGTATCAATGCAAAAATCTAGCCTCCCCCAAGCTCAATAGCTTTTTGTTTCTTTTATTTCTTCAGCCCAAAAAGGCCGCCCTTCCGCTCCCCTTCAGCGTCTCTGCCATGGGCTCCGTGGTGCGTTGCAGCTTTACTGCGAGACCGCAAGAGAAGATCCTGCTGGGCCTTGTCACGTCGTTCTTGCCGGCGCTCCTCAATCACTTCTTGGCTGAGGTGGTTGAAGCCGTTGCGCCTCTTGAAGCAAGTCTCCAAGACTTTGTTTGCGTCTAGCATCTTCCTGGGCATGGACTGGACCACGCCAAACATTTCCATCGGATCTCCAATCGCCTTGATTTCGGCTTCTCCTAGCTTAAAGATGGCCAGGGCAACCCGGAAGAGCGTCTTGGATCCCTCGTAGAAGAAGACGTCCCAGACACGAAGCGTGGTCTCGATGGGCAGTGTCCCAATGTAGCAGCTCATGAACCAAGCAGTCATGCAGAGAGTGATGGGAGGAAGTCGCTCAGATGACAGCGCCAGATGAGGTTCCTTCCTTTTCAGTCGAAGCGTCAGCGGCGAGGGTGTCAGCGGTGACTTTCGCATGGACATTGACTTGCTAGTCATTGGCCTGGTCAGCGGCTCGCCACCATCGAGCTCTCCTCCAATCTTATCCCACACTGCAGGCATCGTGTCGCGGAGCTCAGTCATCAACACTCCAAGATCCACTTTGGAGCCCTCGAGACTCATCTCATGTGTGCCAGGGAGGTAGATGTGGGTGATGACGTTGAGCAGCCAAAATGCCTGTTCCTCTGTATCCACAAAGAGAAGCAAAAGGCCGGCGATGAAGTTGAGACTTTGGCAGTATCCAATGCGGGGGTTGTAGACGGCAAAGGCGAGCAGAACACGACGAAGCGAAGCAATGAGCGGCGGCTCGCCCTGTAGTCCAACAGGGCCAGGTCCGCTGCCGTCCAAGGCCGCGCCCCTGACTGTGGATTGGCTTGCCCTCTCGCTGCTAGTCGTGGTGTCAAGCATCTCGGCGGTGGCTTGCGAAGGTTTGAACTGGATGTTGTCGGGAAACGTCCGGTGAAGGTCACGCTCGATGGCCTCAACGTCGACATGCTTGGCTTGTCTCAACAACAGCTTGTCGTAGAGGCCGCCGTGCTTGGCCAGAATAGCAGGGCCGCCTGCGTAATAAAACCACGCAGCTCCTCTCCAATCCGGCGGGATGCCTTTGCGAACAAAACGCTTCGTCTTGGCATTCGGAGATGGGAAACGCTGGGGGCGGTCGGTCATCAGGGCGCTGTCCTTGAGGTAGGAAACCCACTTCTTGCGCCGGCGAGCGAGGTACTGAGAGTATCCCTTGTCCCAAGCATCATACTGAGCTATGGTGACAAATTGGTTTTCCTTTTTGAATCCATACCGATCACGCGCTCCCGGTAGCTCTGGCTTGGGGACTGGGATACGCGCCGATGAGGGCGATACCGATCGAGATTCAGGGGCAGAGGGAGGTGAAATGCGAGAAGGGTCTGGGCTGGGCGTGGCGCCTCTGGTGTGAATGCCGTCAGAGTCCACACCCGACTCGGCCGTTCTGGAAGAGTTGCGGTTTTCTGGAAATTCTAGGTCTTGGTCTAGGTCGTGATCCGGGTCGTGGTCGAGATCATGGTCGTGGGTGAGAGCAGGCACCGTTGATGTGAATGCGGTGCTGGAAAACAGCATCTTTGATTGCCTAATTTCCATATCTAGGGCAGAGTGCTGAGCAGGCACCGGAGGCACCGGGTCGGAATCAAACTCGTCATCGTGAATGCGCTCAGGTACCGGTTCGGACCTGGCGGTGGCAGGACGGTGCATGACGCTAATCATGTTGTCGGGGACAGTGTCCTGGAGTTCGGCCGATTCTTCCTCTATTGCCGCCTCTGTTGGTTCCTCTGTTGTTTCTTCGTCTATTACCTCTTCCTCATGTGTATGTAAAGCCGAGTGTCCGTGCTCGAGCCCGTGCTCAGGTTCGTGCTCAAGCTCGAGGTCGAGGTCGTGCGTTGGCTCTAGCTCTGATTCTAGCACCGTCTCTAGTTCGGGCTGTTGCTCCTGTTCTTCCTCTAGTAGCTTTGGTAGAGAGTCCGGCTCTGGCTCGTGCGGGTACGAATCGTACGCAGAACTATAGCCAATGTTGTATTGATCGTCGTAGGGGTGGTGGTGGTGATTGTTGTTTAGTTGATGGTGGGTGTTGTTGGTGTGGGTGTTGGAATCAAAATCTTCGTTTGCAAAGTCGTTGCCGTCGTCGTCGTCGTCACAGAATCCTCTCTCGTACATGCCCATAACATCTTCCAAGCTGGGCTCGTCAGCGTCAGTGTCTGCGTATGCGTCTGCGTCTGCGTCTGCGTCTGCTGATTCTCCGTAGAGCGACAGAACAGAGCTGTCTTTGGTCAAGACGCTGCTCCGTTCGGTCAAGGTAGTGGCGGGAATGGACGATGATGTAAGCTGTGACCTGAAGCTGGATCGCAGTTCGTCGTCGCTCATCCACGGAGCTGGCCCACTGGGCGTGGGAGCGCTGATGGAGCTGTCAATGCGGTTGTTGTAGGCCAGATACTGGGGGCGATGGCCGGCAATTGAGGGATGAGGATGTGCGCTCGCGTTCCTAGAGGAGCGGCCGGAGCTCGATTCGAGGTATTGGTATTCGGCAGTAGGGGGAAAAGATGGAGAGGCGGCATATGAGAGTGAAGGTTTTGAAGAGTCGAAAGGCTGTTGGGGGCGTTGCCAGGAGGGCGTGGAAGAAGGTGAAACGCTGGTCATCTCCGGCATGCGATCCGAGGGAGGGAGGTAAGCCAGCCGCAGGCTACCTGGGCCGACAGGGGGCGACTTAATACTGGCGCTCTGCTTCCGGGGTCTAGAAAAGTTCTCGACGGCAGGGGTCTCTGGCGTGCGCACTTCGGGGCGCATGGCCTTTGTCATCACAGCGTTTGTGGAATCCAGGCGCAAAGGCTCTGGCGGCCCTCTCCTGCCGGTCGTCATGTCGCGCACGGGATATGTCGCTGATGCCGGCACTGCCTGATGATGCTGATGCGCGGGCTGCTGTGGCTGGAACTGGGGCTGGAGCGCCTCCTGCTCGAACTGGCCGTACCGCTCATACCAGCTATTCTGCGAGGGCGATCGCGGAGGGATGGGAGACACTGGACTGCGCAGCATCATGTGAGGGCCGTTGGCGATGGAGTCATAGCGCGGGGAGAGAGGCATAGGGGACAGCTGCAGCGGTCGTTGGCGGTCGTCGAGGTTGCTGGGCTGCGGAAGCGATGTCAGAGGCGCTGGAGGAGATTTCATGCGAGATGCGTAGCGCGAGGCCTGGAGGTTGGAGAGGCTCTGCTGGCGGCCGTGGCCACCGCCAGGCTGGGAGACGGTCATTGAATTCATCAGATGGCCTGCCGTCAATCCGTAGGAGCCCAGCAGCGACGACTGGAGGCGTTTGCCGGGCTCTATGTAGCCACCGCGGGAGCACGTGAGGCTGTCTGGCGTACAGGTGATCTGCTGTGAGTGAGGCTGCACGAGATTGTCAGGCCAGGCCGCTGCCTCGACGGCGATGCTCGCCGACTGGATTCGTAGATGTTGCGGTTGAGAAGGGCGCTGCCCCGTGCCATTGCCGCCTGTGCACGCAAACTGTGATGCTTTTACGGAAGATGAAGCGGCGAAGGGACCTGTCGTCGAAAAGACTGGTGCGGTTTCGGCTCACGGTCTAGGCCTCGAGCAGCTGAGCGCGGCTGGCGGGCTATTTTCGTCGAGCAGCTGAGGCTGAAGCCGAGGATAAAAAAAGGAAGGATGATGTGCAGACCTGTCACACACGAAATCCCCACTGCAGTCAGGAATAGAAAGAGAGGGAGAGGAGATGCGGTGGCCAACGAGGCAGTCGTGCCATACAGGACGAAGCTTCCCAGGCAAAAGAGCGGTAATAGCGTGCGACAGCAGCTACAGTGCAGCGCAGAGTGACCAACAGCAAGGATTCGAGCGATGGAAACGCCTGGCTTCCTGCGCGACAGCAGACCGACTCGGGCCCGTCAATACCTTTGCAGCACGCTTGGTGCAAGAAGAGCAGCTCGCCGCTCTCTGTCAGTGCGAATCACGCCCGCCGCTGGTGTTGTGGCGGGTTTATCGTCGTCGAAGTCGTCGAGCCGGTGTCGTCGAGCTTCCAGCGCAGTGCAGGGGTGACGAATAGTCACCGTCATCAAAATTCGATACCCCGGCCGCGCAGTGGGAAAAAAACTGGAACAGGTTGTTTAGGAAGCCCGCTGTCAAAAGGAAAATAGAGCGTCTGGGTCAGCTGCAGGCTCCAGTGGCATTTGCCCGACAGCAGCGCCTCCGACGGCGATGGGCAGTCGTGTGAGGGTTTGGAGAAGCGGGAGAGGGAAGGGGAAAGACGCGAGCCACTGCTTTTGAGGGGTCGTGGTGGTGCTCAGGGCAGAATGCAGGCTGAATTCGAAGGCCTCAATCCAATATCGCGGCCGCCACCCATTCGCTTGCTCGCTCGCTGATGGCTGGCTGCAGCCCAACGGCAATGCGCCGACAAAAAGGATTCAATGCCGCCTGTAGCCTGCACGTACTTTAGTGGGTGGGTGGCGGCTCCCTACAGCAGCTCCCTAGGAGAGCACAGCGGCATGGCCTCGACGCACTGCAGGCTGCTGGCTGCACGCTGCACGCTGCTATGGAGCACATGCAATAGCCTACAGTAGTGCTGGACCGGGCGCCAGACGAGATGGAACAGGGGACGGGCAGCCCCTGGAGAGCAAGACCTGGCCCCTGGGCAGTAACGGTCAGGTACAGCCAGTTTAGCCCCTCTAGTCCCAGCTGCTAAAAGAAAAACTAGAAAAAGGAAAGAACATTTGATCCAGTTATTAGACACTAGCAGGGCCAGGAAAAAATGGAAAAGAAAAAATTGCACACAGCGCAGCGCCCAAGCAAGCAATCGAGCAACCAAGCTCAGTCCCCGCTGGACGAAGTGATCAAATCAAAGCGTGCATAAAGTGGCCGCTGCCCCGGGGCGCTGGTAATAAGCTCTTAGCGCACCGGACCCCTCCCATCCGGCCATCCGTACCGCTGCGGCCCTTGCATCTGGCCTGACGTTTTACTGGACCTGCATTGGCCTGCCCGCCACTATAACCGTACTTGGAGCGCCTAAATTGCTCGAATCCCACATCTGGTTGACGCCGGCAAGCTTTGTGGTCGCATTAGCGTGGATGTCGTCCGGGGGGATGCAAATTTTAAAGGAACATGGAAGAAGAAAAAAGAGAGCAGATGGAGCCTTTGGGCTTTCCTTCTTCTTGGATTCTATGGATCGTGCTACGGAATACGAAGTTGGAGCATGCGGGATAGAAGTAGGAAGATAGATTACCGCATGTATGGGGCAAATCAGGCAAGAGCAATCAATCGTCCTGCTGCATAGGGGAATACACGTAATAGGTTGTGGCCGAGCGGGAAAAAAAGCTGCATTGTGGCCTCTACTTCAGTTTCCCCCTTATACACTTACAAATACGCCTCGGCACTTGGTAGCTGCTCAGCACATCATAACAACGACGCAGTCATGCCATGCTTCAGGAACAAAAAAAAAATCTCCGCTTCCCTCATGATCTTCAAAGCTTATGCATCAAGCCGGTGATTGGTGCAAACTGCGCGTCAGCTGCGTCATCGTTACTGACATCGCGCCCTTTGTCACTTTGTCGTCGTCGATTCTGGGAAGCTCGCTTTTCAGCTCTCCCAATGCTAGTTTTTCTCAGCTTCATGTGCCTAAACTAGTAGCGTCTCATGCCGTACGCACCACGCAAATGGAAGCTCGACAAGGGGCTGCGTGGCCCTCGGCACAGCCCTACGGGTGTCGTTGGCTGTCTTTACGTGTGTCTACTCGTCATCTTGTCTAGGTATGTGTCTTGTCTACTGCATCACATCTGTCGCTCTCAAATTTCCTCAGCCCGAGACACGTTTGAGAAGGAGAAAAGGAATGCGAAACACACTCTCCAAACATCAAGGCCTCCCATAGCCATTATGATGTCGCTGATCGCGGCCTGGAGACAAGGGAAGGAGAGAGAAAAAGTTCCACCGGCCAATATCGACTCCCGGTTCATCTCATTTGGTGAGCATGCAGCTGTAAGGGCGCCCCTGTCCAGACCCAATTTGCTGAAGAGGAGCTCCGGGCACCCGCCATCTCCAGTCATGCTTTTTGCTCCATACAACAAGTAAGCTTCGGATGAATCTCGTCATGAGCTTATGTATGTATCAACGCTTGCATGCAAGGCACAGACTCCCTCTTTGCATGCACTTTGGACACCGTCGTGTCAGAGCTTGAGGCCGTTGCTGTAAAAGCATGCACCAATCCATTCTATTGTTTTCAGCAATGGCACCAACCCAATTACTGTTAGCAGGAAGCAGCATTCGCATATCGGCGTTTTCCTTTTCGAGGGAATATATCACATGTTGCAGAGGGCCAAGCTGGTCTAGATGCATCTCCAGCTGCAGCGCTGTATTTCTTTGTCATTCATACCCGAAGGAGTGCATTTCTGCCTATTCGGGCTCAGCTGCTTCACTCCGCCCAAGTGTTGAAATGCCAATCAAGAGGACGTAAACCCCGGCATCTTATTACTAGTACTGCACATTGACGGGTTGTACAATCCATCTCGGGCCAGCCGTTGTCGCTCCGGAGTTGACTCGAGCACGCGGAAAATTGCCGACTTGGCGGATTTAGTCCATGCACCTACCATGCGCCTACCATGTACCCAGCAGCCGCTCTCACCCAATCTCAATTTTAGCCTCCAATCCCTTTTCTCTCCCTTCTCTGCAGATAGCCTCCTTTCATTCTTGCTGTTGATCTCATATACATGCATGCACCCTGGTACAACACGCGGAGAACATACCCTAAACGCTAATATCACAGCCTGTCATGGTGCTGATCTCTTAGAACTCGCCGGGTATCGCTGCTGTCGGCCCGGCTAAAGCACCACGGAATAATGTACGCAGCGCGTCCATGTCCTGTACCAGCTGCGTCCTCCTTTTGGTGACACCACAGCACCGGTTCTCGAGTTCCTGACTCATGGCTAGAAGCTAGAATGTGCAATGCATAGATGATGCTGATGAAAGGCCTCCTGCTTCTCCCTTGCATCGTTTGCATCATTAGGGGCTGTTCTGCTGTTAGAGGTTCAGGTAAACCAGCCACTGGCGGCTCCAGCTCTCTGCAAGCTTGGCGCGGCGCACTTTTCAGTACGCGTATTGCGACCAGACTCTGACAGCTGCGCTACGTGAATATTGACGTGCAATCGTATTTATTTGCTCTTTTTTTATGCGACGGGTGCATTACAATGATGAATCTATACTGGATATTACTTAATTGGTCATTTCCTAATCCATCACCTCCCTTCGCTCAAGACGCCACCAGCCGTAAGAAGTAGGGAAAAGAAGAAGCAAAGAGTAGAGATGGAAACCCAACATTGAGAATTTTAGAAATGAAAAAATGAAAACAATTTGATGTGAAGATAACGTTCGGGCAGCAATTTATTACTGGCTGCTTAATTTTGACAGTAAACGGGTGTCGCCTACGATTTCCCCTGCCGCTCTTTCAATCTTAGATCCCCGCGCGCTTCATCTCGTTTCGAGATGTTATCAATCTCGCTCGATTTCACGCAAAAAAAAAAAAATGCGATATAAGTAAACAATCATCCCCTAGGTTGCTCTATCGGCGCATCTCCTTTTTTCTCGCCATCCGTCTTTCGCATCTTCACTCATAGTCCTAAGCGATCGCTGCATGTCTTTCACTTCCGCCCTTGCATGCCAAGTACATGTAGTATCAGCCAATCACCACGCCAGAGCCTCCCCCCCAAAACTCAGCCTCAGCTGACTTGTGAGTTTTAGAGACCGAAACAAGGAAAACTATGTATATATAGCCGGTGAGGCTGTTTGCTCTGATGCAGATGATCCTTCATGGCTTGAGCTAGTTCCATGGCGAAGCAAACAACTTGCCACTGGGGTAGGTGCCGCAGCATTTGAGTCCTCCAATTGCGACAGCGGAATGGATATGGTATTTTCAGCTGAACAGACGAGGGGACAATGGGGAATTGGGGAGGAAAAGTCCAATCTTTCATCCTGTGGCGCTACACCAGTCGTAGTACTATACGCCATCACGTTGCCATATACTATTGACGATGTTACGAGTAGCTTCTACTACCCTAAAAAGCGACACAACAAGTTCTTGAAAGAAAGAAAATTTCCTTGAAGTAGCTGCTGGGGTTACTCCATTTCTGATAAATTGGGGATAGTATGGCACCGGAACCAATGACGGGGCTACATGTAGATATAAGCCCTGTACTAATTCCATCTGCTGCCTCTAGTCAGCAGCTTGTTACAATCTTTATCGAGTTATAAATCCCATTAAACAATACCGGTAACTAAGATCAGTATTAGCTCTGGATTGGGTTTCACGACAGAAAAAGCACAGCAGTTATGACAATCAAATATCACACATCTACTTGCGATTTCTGGGTAAAAGTTAGGCTGGCCACTTAATCTATCTCTAGAGATTTATATTAGGTACCTTAGGAGAGCTGAATGTCACACCACTAGGGAAATCATGTTTCCCATCTTTCTTCTACGGTTCCCTTGCTGCGAATCACGTAGCTACACTGTCCATTGAAGTACTGCCGCTCGCTGCTGAATTTCCAGCAAGACGAAATGTTCTACTACCATAGCCAGCTTTCATACCCAGATAAGCAAATTGGATGCGATGTCAACTGCAAAAGGTTTGTTCAGATTGGCGCTCAGCATCTTGGTACACGTATATAACTCGTTGATATACCTACGCCAACTTAATTCACAATGCAAAGTCGTCATCTGTCGTAGACGGCGAATCCCGCCCTTTCGCCCCATCTCTAGAAAGATTTGTCAATCGTTCTCGATATTATTATGCCCCTTTGTTAAAATTTAACACATTAATACTGCGTTATATTAGCCACCCCTCACCAAGCATTTTACAGCTCATTAAAATCGGTACCCCAGTCCTGTTAACATTGAGTTCTTTTAGCGGGTGCAGCGTTATTTCAACATGTCTATACATACTGGGACACATTTGGGCACATGATTCATATCTTGGCTCTTAAGAGAAGTAGTATCTTATTGAAAAACATCAGCCGTCAATTTATGCCGACCTCTATTCACGTTGATTAGCACTCTGTGTTATTCTATCCCTCTGTCCATAGTAGTAATTAATGAAAATTCTGTAAAAGATGTGGGAAAATCTACAAATAAGCTGGTCTTTTACATATCATCAGGAAGCTCCATGTAAAAACTTTTGCGAATGATGTTACCTCTTAGTACCATGAGGTGAGATATGAGATATGCAGGCCCAAGGAAATTGTCCACAGTCACAGCATACCTTGGCTGCGTACATTGCAATCACATCAATATTCCGTAGGTAGTTAAGGCGTTCTAAAGTGATCATGTTTCTACTTGTATCTTATGTGTACTTCCTGAATGCTAGAATAGATGTCAAATCTCTACATGCCAGCATTATAAAACGCCGCATAGAAGAAAAAGGCAGCAGTAGTGGTAGTATTTACAATTGACCTAGTCTCCAGAGTTGCCCCAACAGTGTTGAGAGAAACTACTAGCATAAGGGCGACATGATTAAGAATTGCTGTCCTACATTGCACGTCCAGTCCAAGTTAGCCTTGGCCATACTAAGATGGACTTGGTCTCTTACAAAGAATGAGCTCATCTGAGTTTTCTAGGAAGGATTGCGTTAGAATTGAACCTATGTTGCAATTAATACAGAAGCATTCAACAGACAATGCGACTGATATCCCAGGCGTCGATTCGGTGTTAGTGTTAAGCCGTAGCAACGGCAAAAGGAAGCTGCACGTATTGTCATACCAAATCGGTACGAGTAACACCATTTCAGTGTAAGCCTACGAAGTGAGTCCAACTACTACTTACTACTCGCAATGATTGTAATGAGTGTGACGAGCAGGTAGCAACGCCATGATGCTGTGTATTACCCCAGGATGCGCTTGTACGGCAAAAACCGCGGACCAAGTGGATCTTTGTTATAGTGCCGTTGACGGCCGAATAGCAGAGAATGTGGTGTCTAGAAGGGGAAATCAGCCAGGACAACGTGCATTGGTGCGGCCCGACGATAGGCGACCCATTTTGCGCTTTTGCATCAGGGGTGGGCAGCCCTGGAAAAAAAGAGACAGAAGACAGAAGACAGTCAGACAGACAGACAGAAAAAGAGAAGCGAGGGAGGAAGAGGGACAACGAGAGAAGCCCACCCCGCAGATGGAATGCGATCGCGCGGCTTTGCTTTGTTGTTCGTTTTGCCCCCTTTTTCCTGCCCACCGATTTCCCCTTATTTTTTGCACTCTCTTCTTTCTTCCACATCTCACATTTTGTCGCGCCAATGGGGTTCGATGGCGGTTAGCACGTATTTACAGCGAAGCGCGCACTGAGACTGCGGCTGAGGCTGGGCGCTGCAGCTTGGAAATTAGCACCCTGGGCCGTTTTTGGGGCAGCAGATGCTGATCTGATCTGGGCTGGATCTACCGCGTTATTTGGTGTGACGGGCGGAAGGCGAGAGGAGAGCAACATCAGTGCAAGTATCCGCACAGTACCGCTGAGCAGCACAGCCATGGGAGTCACGTGGCATGATACAATTGTTGCTGATCGATGACGCTCGACGGTTCCGTCCAGCGTAACACGCGGCTGCAGGTACGTACACGATTAGTTCCGGTACCCGTCGCTCTTACGCAGTGCTGTTTTGTAATCCTCCCAGACGCCTGTTGCATGTACTGCACACTGCCATTGCTTCTGCTGTTTTCTGGGGCAGTGAGTCTGCGTGGTGCCTCTTCTTTACGGCACGGCAGAGTACGAGATAAAAAGCAGCAAGTACACGAGAGTCTGCAGTCAAATAAAAGACACAACACAGACTGCGTCTACTCCCAGCGAAGCCGGAGCCTCCCAACATCGGAACGGGGGCGTAAGACTTGCCTTGTCGTGCTGAATCGCATGTACCTTGGAGGAGCCTCGAGCGTGGAGCCAAAGCACGGCGCGACGGAGCCCAGGCTCGAGGCACCAGAAGCGTCCACCCGGCTTTCAAGCTTGTGGTGAGGTTCAGCCAAGGGCAGCGTCTTGCCCATCAGCCCCGTTTGCGGAATAAGGTAAGAAAAGCTGGAGCACCCTACAAGACCCCGTGGGCGTGATCCTAGGCCGCATGCAAGTCTTAGCCAGCGCGGAGCTCACCCTGGCGCGCCTCCTGCGGCCGTGAGTGGCCGGCAGAGCTATCGCGCTGCTCCAGTCGCCAGAGACCACAGCTCCAGCCCCGCTACGCTCACGCCCCCGACCGGAGGATTCTGCTCGCTGCGGTTCAGGTTTGCTGCTGGAGAGGAGAGGCTCGCTCGTTGGCGATGGCCAGGCTGGGCTGGGCGTGGCTGGGCGACTCGTCTGGCTCTGGCTCCGGCTCTGGCTCTGGCCGTGGCTCCCCTCCTCTGTGCCTACATCAAAGGCGCTTTTCGTCCTTTGTCTCGCCGGCCTACTTGGACTAATGTCCATCCCTACTCCACCCCAAGCAGCGGGCATGTCACTCCGCCGGTGACGACGCCAGCAGACACGCTGAGATCCAGCGATGCCACCCCAAGGCCGAGCGCTCGCCGGTACCTCGCCTGCGTTATCCGAGTACATGCGCCCTCATAGAGCCCTCGCAGACCGCAGAGCCTCGCCAGCTGTACCGCCGCCTTGGCATTTAGCACTACCACTGTAGCAGCTCCCCTACCTAACCTTACCTCACTTTTCCTGACCTTGCCTAGCAGCCAGCCCAGTTGCAGTAAGACTGACACGGAGAAGGCTCCCCCTCCCTCCAGCTCTCAGTCGCGCGCTCTGCTCTCGCTCTTTGTCTGGCTCCCCTACCTGGTCTTCCTTTTTCCCCTTCCTCCTCCTCTCTCTCTTTGATCCGTCTCACGTATAAAAGGCGTCCACTCCCCCCAAGGATTTTGCCCTGCGTTCCTCGATCACGTCTCCATATACCCAATTGCACCCTTCAGTCTACTCTGCACCCTTGTTCCGTGCCCATCCGTCTTATACACGTCTTGACACACCATGTCTACCCGAAAGCGCACCCGTGACGAAGAGGACGAGGAGGAGCTCGTGTCCCTCCCCGAAGAGGATGATGGAGAAGAGGAAGAAGAGTAAGTGATTGACACGCCCTGTTCTGCCCTTTGGTGATGGTTTTGCCCATGTGCGAGATGCGCTCGCCGCCAATTGACGTTGCTGCCGGCAGCCTTTCGCACACCCCACCTTGCATTCTGGCACCCTGCTGGAGGTAGCTATAGCAGCTTTCCCAGCCTCCTCTGCGCCCTTGCTCTCTATCACAAGAATGCCGTCTGCGTTTCGCTCATCGCTGGAAATCGTATGGATACAGTTGTGCTAATCCTTCTGGCAGATACATCTCTACTGGAGATGAAGAGGAAGGCGACGATGACGACGCCGACGAGGAAGAAGAGGGAGTTGATGAGGAAGAGGAAGAAGAGGAGGGCGACGGCGAAGCTGGAGAACAAGAGGCCCCAGTGAATGGTGAGTTGGAGTTGTCCCAATCTCTGCTGGATTAGCTGGCGACGGCAGTACAGTAGCTCTTGAAGCTTGCGGCATTGCGACTAGGCGCACGCCGCTGCGGATAGCGCTTCTGCTGCCGCCACTCCTTTCGAGTCACGGCTATTGAAGACGCTGGAACTAAGACGCAACCAGGCGCCCAACCACCACACAAGAAGCGCAAGACCGCTGAGGAGGAAGACGTCGACAACGGCGAAGCCGCCGACGAGGAAGACGCGCAAGAAGTGGAAGAAGAGAAGGCCGCAGAGGACGATGCCGAAGAGGCCGAGGAAGATGAGGCAGAGGAAGACGCTACCGAGGACGCAGCTGATGCTGCCGCCAAGGACGTCAAGGTGCCTGAGGTCCCTGCGGCGACAGACACACCGGAGCCCAAGGCTGTCACTGCTGGAGGCGACGAGTAAAGGAAACTGAAAAAAAGAGACGAACATCTGGTTAGGTAGTCTTTGGAGTTGCGTGCACTGGGCTGCTGAAAAGGGCGGGAGCAGTTCCGTGTACTACTAGTATGCTTGGCGATTTGATGACGGGCATCTAGATACCCAGGATAAGGCATGGATTTGGATGGGTATAGCAGGCCCTCTCGGTCATTTAGGTAATGACTCGTATCTGACGTTGCGTACCTCGCAATTCTGGAAATAAAGAAACGTAATGCCCGCCGACGTGGACTCTTTTGTTTATTTTTTAGTGTTTGAATGCGAGCTTTGAATACCTTTTGGGTACCCGGGAATTGCGCACGCACGTTTCGCGGTGCTCTCGCTGGAGGATGCCACTGATTTCGGCCCGTGCCGGACCATGTTCGATGCGAGCTGAGTCGGCTTTATAGATTGGCCTTGGCAAAGAAACAGCTGTACGGTTATATGTGTTTGATAGGCGACTGCGCTGCTATACTTGTATGGAATACCGCGTGGGAAGTTTTTTTTTTTTTTTTTTTTCTGCTAAATTGATTGAGTTTGTTATTTCCGCAGGGTGAGGTGAGATGATAGGACTGATGCTATATTTTCGGAGAATGAGCTGGGACAGCCAGACGAATTCCATAAACCAATGCAACACAGATGGATCATAATCGTTTAGATCGAAGCCATCTGTGTAAGAATTCGAGTTGACTTGATTGATTCCACCAAAGCCACTTATATAAGTTATCTACATACATGCATATATGTACCTAGGTAAACTGAAGAAAATAGTCATCTACCACTCATCACCCAAATCTTGAACCTTGGCTGCTGCTCTGGCTGCTGTTATTCAACCACAAAATGAATGTTACTGAAATGCCGTGTAAACGATGACGTGAAAGCGAAAAAAAGAGCCGAGAGAAGATCTATGAGCGTGCGTGGGGCAGCACGAAATAGAGTGTGTGCTACCTTCTTTCTCCTTATACCCGGATTGACTGCTTCATCTTGGTAAAACATCCCGCTTGCGTGAGATCCAACGCAGTGTATCAATTCATTTTCAGCATTCAAATCATCTCTCCTATCATCATGTCTCGCGCCCTCGCAGCCGTCAAGTCCCTCGACCACCTCGTCCTAACCTGCGCCTCCATCCCGCGAACCGTCTCCTGGTACACAAAGTACCTCGGCATGAAGCAAGACGTCTTCACGCCGCCCGCCACTCCAGACACGCAGCGCGTGGCTTTGAAATTCGGCACGCAAAAGATTAACCTGCACGAAAGGGGCAAGGAATTCGAGCCCAAGGCGTCGACTGCGCTGCCTGGCACGGCGGATCTGTGCTTCTTGGTGGAGGAGGGCGTGGATTTGGATGAGGTGAGGGAGGGCTTTGAGAGGGATGGCGTGGAGGTTTTGGAGGGGGGGAAGGTTGTTGCGAGGACGGGGGCGGTGGGGACGATTAGGAGTGTTTATGTGAGGGATCCGGATGGGAATTTGATTGAGTGAGTGGTCTTTTTGTTGAAATGTGTGTGTTTTGTGAGGTGCTGATTTTGGTGTTAGGCTTTCACAGTATGAGACGGCATGAGATGGCGAGATATCCACGACGATGAATGCATTTGATGGATATGGAAGAGATGTCTATTCTTTATGCAGTTCTAATTCCGCCCACAGGTTATCCAGCATTGACGTTGTCACGATAAGCAATCAATGGAAGCACAGTGCTTCAATGGGTTATTTGATGTATATCCATTCGATTTCACTAAATATAATATACCACCGCTTCAACGCTCGTAGCAACAGCTATTCTATCCCGATCTAGGCAGGGTCAAAAAAACATTCTAATCGCTCTCCGGCCATCATATGTATGCCGCTGGAAGAAAATAAGAAACAAGAACAAAACAACAAGTTTCCAAAAAAAAAAAAAAAAGTGCGCCCATCACAGCTTCTGCGGATGCTTCTTCCTCCTCTCCCGCTCATCCTCCTCCTCCCTCAGTATATCCGCAATCTGCTGCCGCAGCTCCTCCGCCAGATGCTCCGCCTCGTCCTCGTCCAGCTCCTCCCGCTGGCCCCTGCCAAACATGGTGAAGCTCTCGCGATACCGGCCGCTGGCGCGAATCTCGGGCCGCGGGATCAGGTGGTAGTGCATGTGCGGCACGACCTGCGCGGCGGCGGCGCCGTTGTTCTGCACCACGTTCCAGTCGGCGATGCCCGTGGCGCGCACCAGGGCCGCCGACAGCAGGCGGATGTAGCTGCCCAGCTCGCGCGCCTCCGGGTTGGTCACGTCGGTGAGCTTGGGGCGGTGCGCGCGCGTGCACAGCAGCAGGTGGCCGTGGCTGAGGGGCAGGATGTCGAGGAAGGCAATGGCCGTGGGCGTGGACAGCACCACAAAGGACGCCGGCTCGGTGAGGTTGGACGGGAACGGGTGCGGCGGGTTGATGGCGCTGAAGGGCGGGTGCGCGGCGGCGATGGCGCAGAAGGGGCAGTCTTCTTCGCGGACCGTGGGCGGCGGCAGCGACGGGTCGAAGGAGGAGTGCATCTCGGCGGATTGGTCGTGGTGATGGTGTTGTGATCGTGCTGCCCGTCTGTCCATTGCCGCGGTGACGTGGCCGGACTTGGGTATGTGTAGTGGTGGATGTATTCCGATGAATCAATGCTGGAGCTGGATTGATGATGACGAAGAGAGAAGCACACGCCCGAATTGAGTCGTCGCAGATTGTGTTCGTCGCTCTGCACGTCCTTAGCTCGGCCAGAATCGCATGATACGGCCTCGAAACCACCGCAGGGCTAACAAGTCACCAGAGTGATGAACCTTGCAAACGCTCGGACTCTCAACAAAGCACTGCCCGTTTTTTTGCGCTCCTTGTCTCTCCTGCTCGGCCAATTCGCGACAGCAGGCAATTCACGGTTGTCGCACGAACTGCTGCAGATAATTCATCTCCAGGCATATGTATGACAGAGCCTGGGGTGCAGCGTGCACTTTGCCGAGGTATAGCACGGGCCTGCTGCAGCATCAGCTGTGATTGGGCGCACATTACTAAGTGAAGCAGGGCAGCTTGTTAGCAGTAATATCTAGCCTAGATGCAACAATGCGCGTTGTTAAATGTACAATTACAGATGATCAATTTCTTCTGTACAATAAATGAAATTCATACGCCAAAAAGAAAGCATTTAAATCAATTCATCATCTGATTTTCCACCTGCGCTCATCACTCACGGCTGCTTCACCACATCTATGTAAGCTCCCCCTCACCGCCTAATTCTGCCGGACAAAATTCTCCTCCACCGCCACTATTTTCTCTCTCCCCCGAACTCCCGCCATCTCGCCAACGCCATCAGAACCAGCCACCATCCATCCTTCCGTCAACCCCCATCGCCATCTCCCCAATACAAACCCGTTCACCGCACAAAATGCCTCGCGAAGAGTACCAGGTCCCAACCACCTCTGGCGCCTCCTCCGCCGGCGCCATGACCCGCGGCGCAACCGGCGGCGAGCGTCACGACAGCCGCGCCGTCATGACCTACATCTGCGGCGACTGCGGCGGCAACGTCACCCTTAGCAAGGATGCGCTCGTTGCCTGCCCGCACTGCGCTGGCAGAGTGCTCTACAAGGAGCGTACCAAGCGGTGAGTTGACGATTTTCTACTTACTCTTGGAAGAGATGGATTTGAAGCTGACTTTAGGGGGTTGATGGTAGAATGGTGCAATTCGAGGCTCGATAGATTGGTTGAGCGGGACGAGAAGAGATGTTGTGACATGGCATCAAGGAGACCAAAGTTACCAGATCTATACGTATAAAAAAAAGCGACAAAATCATAGATTACATATTCGAGGAGTTTTTGGGATACAATTGCGGATAATCAAGGAGTCGGAGAAGCTTTTAGTACTTGGGAAATTTAAATTTGCATTTGACTTTGATATTACTTCCTATTTCATGCAAATATGCACCTTTTTCGTCTCTCAAATCCCCGAAACCTTGGCCTCTTGGCCTTTGGGCCTGCAGCCTTGTATCACCTTTAGAAATTACGATACCCAAGTCCTCTTTTATATCTTGTGTTTTTTCGCCAGACTTTTCCAAACAAAACGCCTAAACTACCAGTGTGTGCATGTGTGGCTTCCGACAAAGCCTGTTGCGTTACCGCTGTGTGTGCAGATACTTGGCGAAACTCGCGTCGCCCAAGATGCCTTCGTCCTTGCCGTCCATAGCAGCGGCATACCTCGCCTGCAGGCCCTCCTTGGTCGTTTCATCGTCCTCGTCCTCGTCGCCAGAGTCGGCATCGCTGGGGACATCCACGTCGTCGTCATTGACCTGGATAGGCCTCTTCTCTGCTGCATCGTTGGCAACAACAGACATGCCCTGCATCATCTTGTCCAGCTCCTCCTGGCGACTCTTCTTCTTTCGCTCTTCTCTCTCGTCTCGTCGTCGTTCCAGCTCGGGCAGGTAATCCTCCAAGAACTCTTTCCTCTTCTCTTCCACGGCCTCAAAGAACTCGTCGATACCTGTCCCCATCCTTGAACTGACTCCCACCATGCTGAGATGTGAATAAAACTCCTCCAGCACCAGGCTCATCGAGTTGAGCAGGCTGCCCATGTAGCCGCTGCCACCGCTTCCGAACCCTTCTTGTCCGCCAAAGGTGTCAGAGTTTTCGTCGCGGCGCAGAGCTTCCTGGAACGCTTCGAAATCCGTCATCCACTCTTTGGCGAATGAAGCATCCTTGACGTCGGTCTTGTTGAATACCAAGATCATGGGCAGTTTTGTCTTGTACAGGATGGAGCAGGCGTAGAGCATGTTGGACATGAATGTTGACGTTGAAGCAGTTCGCGGGGTATCAATGATGTAGGCAATGACAGTAGGAAAAGCTGATGCGAGAGATTCGAGGAGAATGGTTCCCGAGGCAGACCATACGAAAGCTTCAATCTGTCCAGGGGTGTCGACGAGGATCCGGTCGATGGGCTTGCGCTCCGGGTGTTCGGGGTCGGGCTTGGCGCGCTTCTCCAGCAAGTTGACAATCTGGTCGACCTTTGTGGCGAAGAGGTTTAGCGACGTTAGAATGCCTCCGTTGGGTCCCAGATTGTACTGCTTCATGACTTCTTCGTAGTTGACCGAGTCTCGAATATCGATGTTGCTGTCAAAGGGGACGTTGAGGACCGCGGGGTCCAGGTTGATGACATAGGGCGGTGTGTTCTTTGAGTGAAGATGCGCGTTGATTCTCTGCATAAAAGTCGTCTTGCCCGAGCCTATATTTCGCAAGGGAGTGTTAGATGTTTGCGATTTGGACCGTTTTATGAAGTGGAAGCTTGCCTGCCATGCCCACGCAGACAATGGCGGGGGGCGACGTTGCCGAAATCGACGGTGCGTCGCCAGTCGATGATGAGGCCATTCTGGAGACTGATTTGGTAGGCTTTTCTGTGTCGTAAAGTGATGCGCCGAGAGAAGATAAAGCCAAGGTGCTTAGAAATGAGGTTGACAAGAGCTTGGCGGGTCAAATTTTTAGTATAGTAAAGAAGAAAGCTGCCCCGCGGTGACGTCCTTGGCTGAGATTAAGGATAAAGTATTGTATTATATAAGCCGCTTCAAATGCACCTCATCCCGTCCCAGCATTTGCACAATTACTGATATTGATATTATCGATACTCCACTACAAACCTCCGGCTGCCTACTAATCGCTAGAAAAGTATCAACTTTAAAACATGCTTTTTGAATCACACATAACCCCCAAATCGATAACCCTAGCCAGCACTGCCTTGCAACCAATTCTGTAGCCCCTTAACTATCTGTTCCATTGCTATGGAAATTGGTGAATAGAGCCGTCCAGCCGTGTGTCAAATCAATCACAGGTTGCGGCAGGCCTCTTGTCTGAACAATGCTCCTCACCTTCATGGCTCCCTCGTCCTCGATCAATATGCGGATGGTGCGCAGCAGCTCCGGGCTGAACTGGCTGTACCGCCTATACTGCCAGGTGACAAGTCTCATCAAGGCGGCCACCGTGTCTCTCGTGCTCTTGGCCTTCTCAAAGCCGCGCAATACGCCGGCCAAGGCTATGGGGCTGAAGCGTAGGGAAAGACAAGCTCGGTATGCCTCGGCCGCTTCGTCAAAGTGCTGCAGTCGCTCCGCGAGCGAGCCAAGAATCTCCCACTCTTCCGCCGATTTCTTGTATTGCATTTGCTGGGCGCGATACTGAGCCATTTGCGTGCGCCAGATTGTGTACACACGCAAATCTTCGTACAGGACCATGAACAAGCTATCGAGCCAACGCTCACACAGCCGTTTCGTATTAAGTTTGGAGAGGTGGTCATCAGCGTGGGTGCCCTAAGCAGTTGTTGTGTTAGTAGACTATGACCATTTGTGAATTTGTCACGCTTGGCTTACGTTTTCAGTTGTATCGGCCTTGACCTCTTCTGGGTCAGCTGTGCTGGAAGGTCTCTCAACTCCACTGCCCTCTCCATTGGGAGCCAGTGTAGTTGCGGCCTCGGCAGATTTCTCGCCTTCATCATCTGAACCTTCGTCTCCATTGGTGGTAGGGTCTGGCGTGCCCCTGAGGCCGTCCATACTCGGCGTGCGTTTTGGCTGAGCAGCTTGGGTAGCTTCTTGCTTCTCGGTGCGGTATTCATCTTCCATGACGAAAACGTTGCTGCGTATCTTGAGAAGCTGGTCCCAGCCGATCTTGGCCGTCATTTCTGTCAAGATGCCGTACGCTTTCTTAAACGTGCCGCGGTAAGACGCCGCCCTCAGGCCCAACAGGCTCGGATCGACTTGCTCCGAGTATCTTGACTCGAGCTCGCTGTCAATCTCGTCAAGGCGAGTCTCGGCCATAATAGGGAGGTGAAAATCCCGCGGCTCGGGCATCATGGGAGAATCCTTGTCTTGGTAGGTAAACATGGGGCAAGAGTTGAGTGTAGTCAAGGCGTTTTCCCAGTCTTCCATCGCAACGTATACCTGGGCCAATCGGGCCCAAGTACTAAACTCGCTCGGAGCAGCTATCGTGCTGCGGTCAGCACATCCAAGAGCCATTTTCAGTCTCTCCTCTTTCACCTCTGGTGTGTCGGCTTTTTGGGCTTTCTTTAGCAGGTATTCTGCCTGAGTGTCAAGCATAACGTAATCCATCGGAGTCTGCTGAAGAGATTCGTACAGAATTTTTACTCCCAAAACTTCCTCGCTACCCATGAAAAGCACCTTTGCCAGCAAAGAGGCGACTTCGACACTCTGAGTACGAAGCTTCTCAAAAAGATTGATCCCAGATGCATAACGACCCGTTGTGTCGAGGTACTTGAGCAGCCCAGTAGTGAGATGATTTGATACATTCGTGGGAACTTGGACGATGGAGTCAGATCCCAATTGCCAACCTGTATGGAAATATTAGTCCTGTGTTGTCTGAAGTCAACAATCCGCCAAGTGCCATACCCCTGAAGAAGAGCTGTTCGGCCGCATTAAGGAAGCGATGCTCGGTTTCGGTCTTTGTAACAGGGTTGAATCTTCGGACGCCAACGATTTTGCGAATACTGCTCCCGCTGCCATCATCGGCATATGAATAAGCCCTTAAAACACTGCAAAGATATGTCTCCAGCCACAACTCATCCGAAGCCTTTCGCTTGTCGCCTCGCTCGTCAACGCAATAGCTCTCGACCGTTCCGGGGTAAGACACGTGCACGCGCATGTCCAATCTTGAAAAGGCATTGTAGCAGCTTTGTTGTTGTTAGCACTCGCATGGCCATCGACTCGTTTAGGCAGCGGCCCGCATCGTCTTGTCACCTACCAAAACACACCCGCAACGGTCCTGCTGACTGCGTTCGGGCCATGGTCCCCGTACGCCAGAGTATTGATATAGGGTGCCAGACTGGCTGAAGACGACGCATCTACACCGGTGACATGATGGTAGACGCCGGTCTGTGTTTACTCTCTTAGCTGGTTGTCTCGTGCTCCTGTGATTGTCTCGTTGCTAACCTGCTTCCGCGAATCGCGCGTGGACTGCTTCAAGAGATGCACCAGGTCCGGCGGGCCCAGCTCTCGTAGTGTTGCTAGCGACTCCGTTCGGGCATCAATCGACTCGTGGAGGATTTCCTCTGTTAACCTGGCCCAGAGTTAGACAGACGCTCTGGCTGCGGCGCGCCTCGTTATCGGGAGGGGCTCACTCAGGCACTACTGGCTCATAAAGCTTCGCAACATCACCCATGGCGGCAAACAGGCGCTCGCAGTTGCGAGGTCAATGGGCTGGAGCTTGCGTCTAGAAATTGAGCGTCACTCAGTCATGCAAGCGGCAGAAAGGAGTTGTGAGGCCAAAGAGCGCCGGCGTCGTTGCGCAAACCGAGGATTGGAGCAGCTGTTATTGAGAGCTTCGAACAGGGATTCCGCCACACTTGACCACGTATGACCAGCCTCACCTGCGCCTGCACGTGGAGCCATCAAACAAGGCACGGAGATTGGGGGAGCCCGATAGCGCTTGCGGTGCCTATAATTGGCGCTGGGGACGCTGCACCTTAGTCAGCTGCCTTGTGCCGTGGCTCTCAATTACAGTTGACCTTTAGCGCTGGGCTAGCTTGAGGCAGTGGTCTCAGTGCCGTACTAGCGCTGGTCCTTGAGTCGACAGCTCGCCTGAGTGAAGTACGTACATACTGTAGCTCTGGCCGCAATCTTATCGCTTCAGTTGCATCGACTCAACGCGACGCGGTTCGCATCAAACGTCATTGCTGAGGGCCCGATGAAGCCTCACCATCCACCCGCCTGTATCTGACAACACTGCGAATGCTGCTTCTGCCAGTGCCCGTATATCGCTTGCGATCATGGTGCGTCCTCAATTGCCGCCTCGTAGGCATCCAAGCCAAGCTGACCCTTTGCTGCAGCCCGCCTTCCAGGCCATCAACCTCGAGCCCGAGGAAAACATTGACGAGCAGATCGATACCACCAAGGAGCTCCATGTAAGTTAGACATGTCAAGTATGCCATGGCCTAGTGTCATCTTACCCGTGCTCATGCCTCATGTAGGTCGACGAAGCCCTCAAGCGATTTCAGAATGCGCTGAAGCTCCACGCCCAAGGCCTGCGGTCCCGCGAAGCCGCCAGTGCAGCCTACGACGAACTTTTCGAGTCGGAGATATTCAAGTACCGAGAAGCAAAGACCGACTATGAGAGGACAGAACTACAGGCGAATGGACAGGCCTCAACTTCGGCACTCGAAGCCTTTGCTGATGGACTCGATGTGGCCGCAGGTGGTGCTGACGGAGTGGCTGCTAACCTGGCTCTTGCGCTTTACCTCTCCTACAAGAATCATGGGCAATTCTACTTGGACAAACTAAAAGACGAACATGCGACAAGCCCCGAGTGGAGTAAGAGGCTCCAAATATACTATCGCGGCGACGAGGGAATCAAAGTTCTCGATAGCTGGACTGCGGCACTGGATCAAGACCCTTCAGACCCAGAGCTATGGAGAAAGGTGGCGAGGTTTGCCGGCGCAATGAACAGCGGAAGAATCAAGCGATATTGCCTAGAGGCTGCAATAGAGCTGGATGATGACCCGGCTGTCATGGAAGTTGAACCCCCTTCTCTTGCCGAGAGCTTGGCGGGGGAGCAGCTCAAGATGTACTTGAATCTTCTTGGAGATGACATGGCACTGTCGCATCCTGCAATGGCACCTTGGCTGAAGAAAAAACTGCCACCTCTTTTGAAACAACATGTTGATCCGATACCGTTTTTACCTGATCCGACTTCGACACTCGTGGTACCGCCAGAGCTGCAAAATTACGGCAAACCTTTTCTCTCCGATAACGACGATGAGATCATTTCTGTGTCAAGCGACTTACAGACCTCTGACAAGCCCGTTGAGTCATGGGCTGACCTTGGTTTTGAACTCATGAAGTGTGCTGAAAATACAAAGGGCGCTTTGGAGATCTGCAGGTTGATCTTGGAAACAGCTAAGCAGGATACAGACATGGAAGAATCGCGAGAAGAGGCTTTCAACGAACCTGAAAATGATGTCTCTCACAATGGCAAAAAAGCTACTGATGAGAATGATGACAAAGAGAAGACGTCTGCAACACCGCCGCTAGATTCAAAAGAGAGTCAGCTATCCGAGGTCGCCGATGATACTGCAAAAAGCGATGCGACGCAAAAAGAGTCGAGTGCAACGCAGGCGGCCAGAAAACGATCGCAGTCAACTGCAGGGCTACCAGATGGCGCTGACGAAGAAAATGTGACTGAAAAGAGAAGCAAGAGAGTCCGCCGAAGAGTAGAAACAGCCCAGGCTGCTGAAGAAGCCCCTGATCCAAATAAGCTGATAGCGAATCAGCTTCGCCCCTTTCAAGAGGCTGACCAACACCTTTTCACCATGACCAAAAACATGCTCGAGACGATTGGCGTGGAAGACAAGGAAACTTACGAATATGTGGATGAGATTCTGAATCTATGTGCCGCAGAAGATCGTCTGTCTTCCAAATCTACCCGTGTTGGAGCTAATGACTTGCGCGCTCTAATAACCGACTTCAAGGAGGATGTTGCAATGGTATTTCTTAATAAAAAGGAGCAAGCAACTTTGGGGCTTTCTTCCTTTTTAGAGCATGCCAAAACTGGATCTCAAGATCAGGCCGTAAATGTTCCCTTCAACGAAGCCAAGGGCTTAAGGGATTTTGCCCAAAAAGTGGAGGAGAGATACGAGCAGATGACGAGCCACGACATTGTTTTCGAGTGGATGAAAACAATAAGCCTCAGTTATGTTTCTTTCAAGTGGCCGGACGGTATGAAAACCGCAGTGGTTCAGATGTTGAATACAGCCGACTCCTCTTTATACAGGCGCATTTCGGAGGAACTGAATGAAAACCCTTCCCCTGAAGCTCTTGCAAGTTTGGAATCTCTAATCCCCATGATATTTGAGCTTTACATCGATATTTACGAGCGAATTACCAACCCTAGCAGCGCTGTTGATTATGCAACCCGTATGGAGACCAAATACCGGCTTCAGCGATGGTTGGATATAGCATCGGCTTATGTGGGCTTAATGAATCGGCCTGCGACGGACCCTCTATGTGTCAGGTTTTTATGGGCGTCTGTCATGGTATCATCGCTCTCCGACAAACCGGTTCGAGAGCATATTCTCCTGTTATGGACATCGCTTCGAGATTTCTTAGCGGAAGAGGAAATTGACGCGCTGACCTTACCAAACAATGTAGTTATGCCTATGATTTCTCCAGCTGCTGCAGATCGAGAGATATCGAAGCTTACTACTATGGACTTTTTCCTCAGTCTTTTCCAGGAAGGGATGGAAAGCCCCGTTCACGTTATTGAAACCTTGGAGCCTGTTCTTAACCCTTCATCTGTCTGTGTATCCTCAGAGGACCATGATGCGACAGATGCTGATGCTTCTCCATCGTCTGACTCAGAGGAACAAAAAAGCACGCAACGCATATCAGACTGTGCCACTCAAGGCATGCGTGACCTATGGAAATTCTTGCGTAGCAGCAGCACGGAGCTAAGATTATTTCTCTGGTCGCGACTTGGCGACGCCTACGAAGCCATAAAATACACCACCAAGAGGTTTTCATGCCTCCTTCGGAGCATAGAGCTTATTGTGGCAGATTTGGAGAGCGAAAAGTATGCTAAGCTACCGGATGAATCTCGCCTGCTTCTTTACATGCGGACTCTAAAGTCTCTTGACGAGTTGCTGATTCAAGCATTAACACTGGCCTTGAACGACAGTTCGGTATTTGACATTATTGACGACGATCATCTCAAGTCAAGCTGCAGTGCTATTGCGAAAGTGAATTCCATCCTCCACGTTGCATTCTTATGTGAGGATGAGATAAAGATAGGACTCAAGACAGCGCCGTCTTCAAATTCCACCTTCCAGTCTCTCGTCACCAAATTACGAGAAATGCAAGTACGTACTTGGTGTCTTCAATTCACCATGTTCAGGGCGGGCCTACCTCTACAAAACCCCATTGCTCCGGAAAAGGATCTGGCAGATTTCCTAGCCGCCATCCATCAAGTTATTGGTCTCCGAAAATGCTGCAAAGCGTCCAACAAGATCTTCCTCAAAGTCATGCGCATGGAGCTCCTCCAGAATAAAAACACTGAGAATTGGGAAGACTATCTAGGGCAAGTGGTTTACGATCTTTACGGACTTAAGCTTGGAGTGGGAGTGTGGGAAGTTCAGGACCACGGCTGTCCGCATGAGAAGCTCGAGAAGCGACAGACGATGCAGCTCGTGGAAAAGGTAATGATTCTGGCAAACCGCATGCCGATGAAGGATCTTTTGAAGTCGGACCTCAAGGCCGCGATTGAACATATGCAACAGACCATCGGCCAGCCGAAGTCTACACCACAGATGATTCACAACCTACGCAACTTTACCGAACTTGTGAAGAAACCCATACATCCCCTCCGACTCTATCAAGCGTTGGTTGGAGAGGTGTCGGTAGATGCAGTATCGACAAACACACCAGAAGCTGCCTTGGCCAAGCACGGCTGGTTTTTCTTACTTGGGATGATAGCATTGACCAAGTTCAAAGCTGTTGACTTGAATCGACGACAGACACCAGGCGCTACGGATGATCTTCGAATTGGAGCGACTTTCCTAAGGCTACAGCTGCAGTTTAGCTCTGACAGCTGGGAATCGTGGTTCCGGCTGGCTGAATGCTTCGACTATGATTTGGACGAAGCTGTGCTGTGGACGGCCGATAAAATGAACAAAGATCGGGCGGAACTGGTTAAATTCCAGAGAAATGCTATCCACTGCTATACGCTTGCCTTGTCACATTCTAGGTACCAAGAGATTGAGGGCAAAGATGAAGACCCGTTGCATGACCTCTATCATAAGTTCGGAATGCGCCTGTATGCTTCTAGCCGAGAACCATTTGCCATGGAGCCCTTTCAGCATTCCGATCAGGAACGATTCTTTATCCAAAACATGGGAGCTGGGACATTTAAAAGGATTTTACATGAACAAATGACTGAGTACAAGGTGTGGAAGTTTGCTGCCAAGATGTTCAGAATGGCCATGGAACGCAAGCCCGGCAACTGGAAGTAAGGATCGAATGAATGAGGCGGACTAATTGTTTCAAAAGGTGCTAACAACGGATTAGGAACCCCTATATGCTGGCCAAGTGCTATTGGAAAATGTACCAGACGCCAGAAGAAGAACTCGATAGCAAAGACATGCACAGCAGAATCGAGATGACAACGCTGCTCAAGGCGCTAAAGGATGCGGTTAACGTGGCTTACAACGCGAGGAAATCTCGAAGCAGCGATCCGATTCTCGAGCCGCATTACAAGATTGTGTCGATTGCTCACAAACTGGTCATGCGAGGCGATCTTCCTGCCAAGGAAGCTGCTGAATTGCTATCGGAGCAGCCATTCGGCGTGCAGTTCAAGCCCGATGACATCTTTGCTTCTTTTACAGAGCCCGAAGATTGGGAGGAATACATCATCCCAAGCCTTGTGAAGCTCAAGGAGAAGGATAAGTCTAATTGGCAACACCGGATTGTGGCGCGCCACGCGAAGATCCTGTTTGACGAGGCCACCCTGGAGCAAGTTAGTGACATCAAAGTGGCGGCTCGGGCAGCCTTTGCAATCTTGAAGGAAAATATGTTCACAAAGACAATGGTCATGAATGTGTGGAAATGCGATGCTGAGCGTCCAGGCCGTCACCATGTCTTTACTGAACAATACGTCCGATTTATGACAAAACTACTTGTCATAATGTCAGATAAGTCAAACTTGGAGCAGTTGCTTCGCCGTCTACGGAAAAAGGGGGCCGATTTCTACCACTTTGTCGACTTGTGGCAATCTTGCTGCAACGCGTACCTCAAGCTTCTGAGAGAGGCCCACAATATTCCACATCTTACAGACGATGCGTTCAAGTCTCTGTCTACCGAAGAATTCGAAATTATAAGCGAGAGAATCACAGAGTGGGCTGCTCGCGATGAGGCAAACGTGCCAGCGTTCAACTGCATGAAAGAAGCCATTGAGCTAAAGAAGCTGAACGCCAATTTGATGAAGGCCGCTGGAATTGACGATTTGATCAATGATTGTTATTCCAAGATTTACGTGGATGTGGCTGGCACATTACCGGGCCAAGAGCCGAGCAAAATCATCGAAGAACGCAACCAGGCCAAGGAGATTGCGGCCAAGCTTGAAGCTGAGGCTGCGGCCCAAGCTGATGCCAACAAGCCAACCAGTTCTCTCAGCAACATACTCAACCCCCCAAGCACGCACGAGAGCCTTGCCGGCACTGCAACACCGCTGGAAGGAGAAAAGTCGGAAGCGGCGCCACGGACTCGTAGAGTTGGAGTTCGAAGGCCGGATGTCCTTCGCAAGGCGGAGCAAGCTGTTGCTCGCTCCATGGAAGCTCCAAAATCAGCTCACCCTAGGAGTCGAGTTGGCAGCATGTCGAGCGGCAAGCGTGGAAGCCAGACGCCGAATGTGGGCGCTAGTGACGCCGACACTGATGAAGAAGGGCCAGAAACGCAAATCAGGAGAGAAGAGGCAGGGGAAGATACGGACATGCCTGACACTCATTACGAGGAGGATGGCCATGTTGCTGAGCGTCACGATGACTCCAAGATTGAGGACAAGGAAGAGCTTGAGAGCGAAGAAGGCGAAGAGGGCGAGGAGGGCGAAGAGGGTGAGGAGGGCGAGGAAGGCGAGGAAGGCGAGGAGGGTGAGGAGGGTGATGAGGCAGACGAGGCGGAAGAGGTAGAAGAGGCAGATGAGGCGCCAAGTCTTGTCGATTCCGCCGACGAAAGCGACCTCAGCGACGTTCCAGATGATTACGAAGAAGACGTCCCGCCAGGTCTCATGTTCCCACACCTAGGCCGAACCATCCAAAGTGGCGAAACTAGCGGCGAAGACGCTGATAGCGAAAGCGAAGGTGATGAGGAAGAGGACGAGGACGAGGACGACGAAGAGCATGGCGAAGATGAAGCCGAAGAAGTTGAAGATGGTGAGGAAGAGCACGAGGGCGACGAGAGCAAAGATATCCATGGCGACGGCGAAGAGGAAGGGGAAGGGGAAGAAGGCGATGAAGAGGAAGAGGGACATGACGATGATACTGAGATGGCGGAGCCAAATACTCCGGGGGAGAATGAGGATGAATCTGTAGATATGGGGACATAGGCAGGACTGACTACGAGATTTATTGCCTATTGTAAGGGCTTCTGTTAAATAATGGAGCTTTTTGAAGAAGGAAAAGGGCTTCTAGGTATTTGCTATGGATTGGATTGGGTTGGTTGGAGGTGGGCGTGGCTCAGGAAGCATCTTTTTGACTTTTTGTATTTTGTTTTATTGGGAGTAGGGTTTGGAAATGATACATTGAGTTTCATCGGCGCAGCTGGGTGTCGTATGTGAATACACAAGGAGTGAATGAGCGTTGGCTGCACTTGAGACATTGGTGTTGGTTAGATTGTGCCCCACTCCTTAGCCATTTCAAGTCGTGAAGTATACAAGTATATTTGGCTAGAATCTCACTGCAACGATCCGTTTGCTCCTGGCCAGAGTATTAAATGTGCCTTTTCTCTTTTCGATAGCCTCCTTGAATTGTTGCAATACAACCACCTCCGCATCTTGGCAATATCAACAGCGCAAGGCGGCCCTGATACATGCAGCCACATTAGCGAAAATCAACTCATCCTGTCTGGGACTTGAGCTTTCTGAGGTAGGCCCCGTAGAAGATGCATGCTGCGGCACCTTAGTCGTCTGACCTCTCAATCACTTGCAGCACTGAATCATTAGACATCGCATCCTCTTCAACGCTCGGCAGTATGGTGTACACCATGGAAATCTATACCGACGGGGGCTGTAGAGGCAACGGACGGTCGTGGGCAATCGGCGCCGCTGCCGCCGCTTTCAAAAACCGAAATGGCAATTACGTTGAGGCGTGGACACGATCCTTGCCCTCGTATCCTGCACCTACAAACCAGCGGGCCGAACTCACTGGCATCATCATCGCGCTGGAGCAGGCCCTGGAAAGGTACCACGAGCTGGACTCGGATCCGTATCTAGATATCACGATCTATTCGGATTCCAAATATGCGGTTAATTGTATGACCACTTGGATAAAGAAGTGGCTCCGAAACGGATGGACCAATGCCGCGGGCTATGAGGTTGCTAACCGAGATCTTATTGAGGAGGCTTTCGATCTTGGTGACCGACTGAAACGCGAGGGAGACGTGAACTATGTCTGGATTCCGAGGGAAAAGAATGAGTATGCTGATGAATTATGCAATGAGGATATGGACCAGCAATGAGACAGTTGATGGAGGGCTGGTCTAGTCTAGAGAGTGTGCCGGCATACTCGATTGTAACTGTAGCTCTAAAGACACATGACATCTTTGGTCGGTACTCTAGAGACAGCCAAATTAGAGATAAAGTTTCTGTTGTGACACATGCCTTGTATAGTTTCAACACAGCATAATGATACTGTGCTGTATTCAACGGGATCACGGTTTCATCCTAGACTTTTGACATGAAAGCAAATTTATCAGGTATCAAGAGAATAAATAGCAAGATATCTGTTCCCAAAATTCGACAGAAACGAGGTACATAACACCCAAACACCTCTTTTTATTCCCTCTTTTTATTACGCCAATTCTGTTTCTTCTTTTTTTTTCCATCAAAACTTTTCAATTAGCCCTCCTCCTGATCCATGTTATCTCTTCTCCTCTTGGGGCCGGCAGTTTTGCCCCTGTCCTTGCCCTTACCCTTACCCTTGTTCTCCAGGAAGGCCTTCATCTCTCCTCGAACTGTTCTCAGAGCCTCGTCAACTCTGCTCTGGAAAGCCATGACTTCCTCCCTCTCGGTTGGGTATTGGTCCAGTTCCTTGCCCAGCGCCGCCTCAATGCGCTGGTAAATCTCAAGGTCGTACTGCGTGGCAATGCTGATGGCGATACCGGATTTACCGGCACGAGCTGTTCGGCCGACACGATGGATATAGGTCTTTGAGTCTTGGGGTAGGTCATGGTTGAGCACGACATCGACGGCGGGGATATCCAAACCACGGGCAGCGACATCGGTGGCTACGAGGATCTCGCGAGATCCGCCCTTGAATTTGTTCAGAGCACCAAGACGAGCGGATTGCGAGAGTTGTCCGTGGAGCGGGATGGCGCCAAAGCCAAGTGTTCGTAGTAGGATAGCTACTCGCTGCGCCTCGAAGACTGTGCGAGTGAAGATGATGATAGATTTTCCGGCAAACTCGTTGACAAGGTAAATGAGATAGGTGTCTTTCCGCTTGTGAGGTATAAAAACGTAGTGCTGGAGCAGAGTCGAGACAGTTTGGTACTTGTTTGAGCTGACGCTGACGCGGGCGGGATCTCGCAAACTAGCTCTCTGGAGACTCTCGACCTTGGAGCTCATGGTGGCTGAGAAGAGGTAGGTGCGGCGCTCACGGGGGATAAACTTGAGAATCTTGTCGATACTGGGTCCAAAGTCCATGTCCAACAGTCGATCGGCCTCGTCCATAACCAGGTACTTGAGGGATCGCAGAGAGAAACCCTTTGTCTTTTCCAGGTGGTCTACCAGTCTTCCGGGCGTCGCAACAATGATATGAGGCTTCTTTCCAAGTGCAATAGCCTGGGGAACCATGTCCAGACCTCCGACAATGACGGCACATCGCAGCGAGATGAGGGCTCCCAGAGCTTCGAAGGATTGTCCGATCTGAGCTGCAAGTTCTCGGGTCGGCGCAAGGACGAGGCCAAAAAAGGGCTGAGGCTTCTCAAGAAGCGCCTGTAATATTGGCAGAGCGAAAGCAGCGGTCTTTCCGCTACCAGTTTCGGCGAGGCCAATGACGTCGCGGCCTTGGAGGGCGACGGGGATGGATCTCGCTTGGATGGACGTGGGGGTTTTGTAGTTGAGAGACTCGCAGGCTTCGCATAACGAATCTACAATGCCCTACGAAATTTGTGAGCCTAGTTATGATGCTAATCGTGGTTGACGCAATTGGTGCATCCATCTCGCCTTATACATACCAATTCTTTAAACGTCTTGGGCTCTTCTGCCTCTGCAGCATCCGCCGTAGACGCAACATCGAGAGTCACGGATTCTTCTTCGGTGTGAGGATCGGGAGATGTCTGAGAAGCAGTGGCCTCTGCTGGTTCACGCCGAGCAGGCGCACCGTTGGCCACTTTCTGTCTTTTTGAGCCGTTCATCGTGTGCTGCGAAGTCTTGCTTTGAGAACAGGAACAGGAACAAAAAAGATGAAGCGCCTCCAGCAACTTTTTTCTGGGCTCGACTTCTGCAGCAGCAAATCAGGACGCAGCAAGATCAATCCCTGTCGAAAATGTTCGATATGCACAAGAAGTGGAGGCCTTGCAGGGGTGCGAGAAGAAAATATGTAGATATCGAGTTGGGCCGACAGGTGAAAGCTCGTAATGGCGCTATCACGAACGGATTTTATTGCTACAATTTTTTGGTGCGAGAGCTAAGAAATTGTGTTAGTGCCCGTCAAATTCGGAACAATCTTTGATGCGCTTAAGCGAGTGTCTAAAAAGTTTTGGTGGGGCAACTTCAGCAGCGATAAGCTCTTATCGCCAAGCATACTGAACTTTTTTTTCTTCCTCTGCTGGAAGAGGCGTATAACTCCATTGGACATCACATCTCAACTGCTGATTTTTTGGATCAGCTACAGAATCAATTAAGCCATGGCGAAACGAAGAGTCAAGAAGCGAACCCACATGGGGGCCAGCAACCCCCAGCCTAACTCGGCCGGACATGCCTCTGCCCGCGATCCCAAGAGCATGGTCATCAGAATAGGCGCTGGAGAGGTCGGTTCAAGCATCAGCCAGCTTGCGTCGGATGTTCGAAAAGTCATGGAGCCCGGAACTGCCAGTCGACTAAAGGAGCGGAGGAACAACCGATTGAAGGACTATGTGGTCATGTGCGGTCCATTGGGAGTGACGCATCTGATGCTCTTTTCGCGATCAGAAGGAGGAAATACAAACATGAGAGTTGCTCTGGCGCCTCGAGGGCCGACATTGAACTTTCGAGTTGAGAAGTATTCTCTCTGCAAAGATATCCAGAAGATTCAGCGACATCCCAAGGGCATGGGGAAGGAATTTCTCTCTGCTCCTCTGGTAAGAATGCTGCGTGCACAACGAAGACGAGTCTAAACTAACGAATATCAGCTGGTCATGAACGGATTCTCTCGACCTGACGCCACTTCTAAATCAAAGGTCCCCAAGCATCTCGAATCATTAGCCACCACCGTTTTCTCATCCATGTTTCCCCCGATCAACCCCCAAGCTACACCAATCAAGTCGATTCGCAGAGTGCTGCTCCTGAACCGAGAGCAGTCCAAGGAGGACGACGGCACCTTCATCATTAACTTTAGACACTATGCCATCACTACTAAACGATCGGGCGTTTCAAAACAGCTGCGCCGCATCAATGCCGCTGAACAGTTCCTCGGTACCAAGACCAGCCGACGAAGCCAAATGCCCAACCTGGGAAAGCTAGAAGATATCGCAGACTACATGATTGGCGGCGAAGGCGGCGATGGATATGTCTCTGACGCGACGAGTGGCAGCGAAGCCGATACTGATGCCGAAGTCGAAGTTCAAGAGACCGCTTCACGAAAAGTTTTGTCTGCCAAGGCCCGTGCCGCTGCCGCGGAGAACGGCCAGGATGAAGAACTCGAAGAAGGAAACGTGGAACGACACGTGGTGAAGCTTGTCGAGCTGGGACCTCGCATGAGACTGCGCCTGACCAAGGTCGAGGAGGGCATGTGCTCGGGCAAGGTCATGTGGCACGAGTATATCAACAAGTCGGCTACGGAAATTAAGGAGCTCGAGAAGCGATGGGAGAAGCGCACACAGGAGAAGGAAGCACGAAGACGCGAGCAAAAAGCCAACGTGGACAAGAAGAAGGCAGCAAAGGCAGCCCAGAAGGCGGCAAACAAGGGAGGAAAGGCAGACGACGATGAGGATGATGACGAGGACGATTATGAATATTACAGCGATATGGACGTGGATGAGCTTGATAGCGAGGGCTTGGCTGGCGATGCCGAGTTCAAGGTCAATGAGCAGAAGGAAGAGGATGGCGAGTGGGAGGACCAGGAAGAGGAGATTGGTAATAACTAAAGGGCGATATTATGGGGCAGTCCAAGGATATCCTTGTTTTTCAATGTCTGGGGAGGAGGCATTTTGCACAACGTGTTATGGCGCTTGGGTGTTGGATTTTAGTCAAAATAGCTGCAAGTTTATTACGTATATATCTATTGCTGCCAACAGATGCCTCCGTATTGATACCATGAGGATCTTGTTCCATAAGACTCGTAGATTTACTTGGTTCCTGGATTGGATCACGACCAGTCTCTGTGCTGCATAGAGTCTCGACAAACCGATTCGCATACAACAGACAAATACCAATGAAATATTTCACAACGATCTCGGACCATGGCTGCCCTCCATCACATATCGAAGGTTAGTGAGACTTGGAACACTGCGTTGGAATATGACAACTCAACAGAACTAGCCTAATGAAAAAAATGGGCTTACGGACAGATCCATCGACAGAAAACGGCACGGTGTTCAGCAAAGACGTTCTCAAGATGGAGATGATCGGGCCTCAAGAAGACCACCTCACCATCCTTGAGGTCACAGGCATCTTCCGCACCGCGATACAAGGGACGACCACTAACACCGACATGGAATTGCCACACAGTTGTCTTGGCAGTGCTACCGAGCAACGTCAACATTGCTACGCAGGGGATATTGACACTTGCAGAAGACTATGACAAGATCGGCGAGCGTACCCTCTGTGTACTCACAAAGGCTGATTTAGTACTTGAACCCACTGCTCAGGCTACTGTCCGTAACCTTGTCCTAGGCAACAAACGCCCGCTTTCTCTTGGCTACTTACATGTTCGAAACCGTGAAGCAGATGGCAGCTTTCAACAGCAGTCTGAGCTTGACCGGGAATTGCAAAAACAGGAATGGATTGATCTTCCTAAGGACCAGGCATATTGCGGCTCTCAAAGATCAGCTTAAGTCGCTGTCGATCCATATCACGCAACGAATTTCCCAAGTTGATCAAGGATATCAACGATTAAAGCAAAGAGTGCAAGAGAGAATTGGACAGTTTTGGACCACCTCGTCAGCACGAGTGGGAGCAACGCATTTTACTCAATCAAGTTGCTGGGAATCTTCAGAAGCGCTATAGGGTGGCAATGGCCCAGGCTTGTCTAATGATTGAAGTTGAGACGCGGAAGAAGCCTGACGCATCGCTCGGCACTCGTGAAGAAGCTTAATGAGCTATCCAATGCCTTGAAGATTCTCAAGTCGTGACAATAACAATAGAGAAAAGCATAGGCAGCATTATGCCCGGAGGTGGAATATATCATCGAGTCTTGAATGTGGATATATCATGTTGGTTGGTGCATAGTGCTGCTATCTATCTGTGTGAAATTTCATGCTACTACGATATTAGCATTGAGTTATTCATTTGGAGACTGAAGAAGCCGAATTTATAGGGTTACTGGTGACTTGCCAACGTGTGAAGGAAATAATGCTTTCTCGTTGAACGTAGGTTTCCATAGTGCTTATATCACTTCCCAGCGACGTTGATGCGGAAAAAAAAATCTATAGAGTACTACTAATAGTATGTTCGAGCACTATATAGAGCTTTCATTGCTGAATGCTACGGCGAAAATCAAAACAAGTATCTGGTTATTCTCAGTACTCTCTTCGAATCTTTTTCTACAATAGCATTATTGGGCGGGTTGTGTCATCACATGGTAAAGAAATCTGCTTACATTACAGGTTACCAATTCTCCTCTGTTTTAGCTGAATTTCTATTTTATAGCATCATTGCTATGGGAGTTTAAAAGGATGTAAATCGAAAGCTCCCCTTCGACTTATGATTAATAATAATAAATATAACTTAAGATAAAATGTGATCGTACTTGGTACACATCGCACAACCGAGCAATAGACACAGCCCTAGGTCCATATAGTAGGAAATGGCTTAACGAGCTGCTCATGTGCAATCATTGCAGCACTCTTGTTAGGGGATAGCGCTGGCATTTTCTCCACCCGCTGCGTTTAATGCCAATTGGCCCGTGCGACGTCGCCGCTGGTCATTCACTATAAAGAGCCTTGGCTCCCTTTCTGTCCCAAACTTGTATGAACTATTGACTTGACACACACTCAATCCCACTCACGAGTGCCTATTTTCCATCCACACTAGGAGAGGAATATTTCTTGAACTTTCTCGCCGGCAGCCCAATCTCAAACATCTCATCAATCTCGGCCGGCGTGCGATCCTTCATATCCGGTATAATCCACCAGGATACCGCAATGCCAATAGTAATGAAGCCGACATAGATGAAACCGATCTTGCCGCCGAGATTGGCGGCGGTCGAGTTGTACAGATAGGGCAAAACGGAAGAAAAGATGACGGTGACGGCAGAATGTGCAAAGACGCTGATGCCCTGGGTCTGGGCACGGAGGCTTAAGCTGGAGACTTCGGCAGCGACAATGTTGGAGACGGGCCACGCGCCTAGGGAAGCAGCGGCATTGACGAGCATTGCTGCGGCAGCCAGAACCCTGTTGCCATGTTAGCGTATCAGACCAAACTTGTTAAGAACTCAGAAGAAGAGGAACGTTGTTTTGGGGTTCATACCAACTAGACGCGACGCCGTGGAAGACACCGGCAATGCCCGCCATCAACCACATGAGCCATATGAACCCCAGCGTCGACAGCAGCATCAATCGCCTTTCCACCTTGGTCAGCAGCCACAGGGCAACCAGATTTGTCACCAGGCTCAGCACAGCTCCTCCAGTAAACCACGATGACGCTGTAGAGGCCGGCATGCCCGTCACCTCCAGCACATACGTCAAGTGGCCAAGGAACGCCAGCCCAAACAGCTGCGGGATGAAGTTTGTGAAGATGACGATGGCTGTGCGACGGAGATTGCCGTGCGCGGGACGAAAGCAGTCCAGATACGAATGCTCGAGACGGCTTGCGCTCTCGGCGGTCTCGAGAGCAAGGGCCTCGCGAAGGTAGCCCATCACTTGGTCCCCGGAGCTGGCTTGCGCGCGGGAGCCCTGAAGCTTGCGAGAGGCCTTGACGGCAGCGTCTTCCTTGCCCTTGCGGAGAAGCCAGGCAGGGCTCTCGGGTAGGAATATCACCAATAGTACGGGGATGGCGGAAAAGGCCCACTGTCCGGCGATGGGTACCCGGTACGACTCGGGACCGGCGACATCCACGCGCGACCGGATGATGACGGCGCCGATAATCTCCCCGAGGACCGTAAAGATGGACGGCCAAGCCAGCGTCGGCCCACGCAGTAGAGGCGGAAGAACCTCGGACACATACGTTTGGGCGACGCAGAGGATGGATCCCACAGCGATGCCTTGCGTAAACTTGCCAACAAAGTAGAGGCTGCGGCGACCGTAGTCGCTAGGAGCCTGATCAGCGAGGTAGCATATGGCAACGGTAGCAGCTTGGATGATGCCAGAGAGGCCGAGGATGGGACGACGGCCGATTTTCTCCTGCGACCAACCGCTAAAGAAGGCACCGATCATGTTACCCAGGGGGCCGGAGACCGACCAAATGGAGAGCCAAGAGGTGGGAATGATGAAGCCGGTTGCGGAGGTCTTCTGGGGGACACCAAAGACGGCTCTATGGACATCAAGTCAGCAATGACTTCAGTATGATCAAGTTGAGAATAGACTCACTGAAACCCCGGCAGACTAGCAATAGACCCCAGGAACACGAGCTCATACCCATAGAGCAGGAAGATGAGCATCAGCCAAAGGCTCAGCAACGACAAACGCGGGTTCTGTCGTACAGCAGTGAACAGGGATATTTTCGGGCCATTGGCTGCCGAGACAGGCAATGTGTGAGCCGTGGTGGTCATCTCGAGGTAATCCACATGTTGAGACTTGCCGTCGTGGATTCTGACGACAGTGACAGAACCTGCTGGAGATGGCAGACTGCTGGTACTGCAGGGCTGCATCACGAGATTGGATGATTGGACAACGAAAGATGTATAAATATCCTATGATTGACAAGAAAATTTCTAGTCTATTGTAGATAATATGTGTACTGGATCGTTGAATCTGGTGGGAGCCATGGTTCTTATCTTGTTCACATTGTCGTGGCCAAGACCGTAGCTGTGGACTTGCTCGTCGAGGTAGATGTTGATTGTTTGATTGTTCGTTGTACATTATACGACCGTGGCTTAGTCTAAATCCCCGCATTGGACTAAACAAGGGGCGATACGCTCGATCAGAGCTAACTACCATCTTACCTCTGCGCGCCGGGGGGGTTTTTAGTAAGTGGTTAACATGGTAATTGTTGTTCGCCACACGTTGATGACAACTACCAGAGTTCCAGCTGCTTGGCATTCGATGCCAAGTTCGTTAGGTGCAGAAGTGTACTGGCTTGGACAACTTAAGCGCTTTTCGGAGACTGCCAGCTGTCGAGGTTCCTGGAAATTCCCTAGGTGAGCCGACTTTCGCACATCTTAAGCGCTTTTCGGAGACTAGCTGACGAGGTTTCCCAGGTGAGCCGACTTTCGCATGTCTTTTGCGCCTGGGCTGAGCGAGGCAGAGAGTCAACACCGACAAGGGAACCAGGCTGAAGTTTTATGCGATGGCCCAGCAATCTTACGCTACTACCTACAACAAAGAGATGGATTGAGCTGCGTACTTTGCACAGCAAGGTGAGCCAAGGCTACTGTGCTGCTTCACAAAAGCGCTTTTGCGGCTCCGGTGTTTGCCAATATCGCCCGCGTCTACCATTAGGACAACGCGAGACGGCAATTTATAGTCGCTGATCGAATCGAACACGGCGTCGAAAGAAGTGTAAGTGGTCGTAGGAATCCGTTTTGAAGCTGCCACTTGCCTCGAGACCATCTCGTAGTCTTCAGTCTTTGCATAAACACCTTGGCACATTAGCCTCCATTACTCACCATGGCCGCCTCTGAGCTCCAAGACGATGGATTTACTCACGCCTCACCCGAGAGCCTGGGCTACTCCTCGTCTGCCATACTCGGCTTCGTCGACGACGCTGCTGCCTCTGGCGTTGAGCTGCACAGCTTCATGCTGTACGCCAGCAACGCCGTCATTGCTGAGGGCTGGTGGTGGCCCTACCAGCGCAATCTGCCGCACGTGATGCACTCGGCAACAAAGAGCTTCCTGGCTGTGGCGGTAGGCCTTGCGATTGAAGAAGGGTATTTTGGCCTTGATACCACGGTGGTCTCGGTGTTTCCGGAGAGGATGCCCCCGGCCACTGGCGATGGCGATGCTGTTGATGGGGACTCGCCATCCCTGCCGTCCTTCCTCGACCAGATGACAGTCGAGGACCTTCTCACCCAGACATCCGGCCACGATCACGGCGAGAGTGGCGGGTCGTGGCGTAGCATCGAATCCAGCTGGATCGACAAGTTCATCTCCACGCCCGTCGTCCACCGCCCGGGAACCTTCTTCGCCTACTCGAGCGCCACTTCCTTCATGCTCTCCGCCATTGTCACCCGCACCACCGGTCTCTCGGTTGCAGACTACCTCGAGCCGCGCTTTTTCCGTCAGCTGGGCATCCGTCTTGCGCACTGGGACATGGGTCCCGAGGGTATCAATCCGGGTGGGAATGGCCTTTCGTGCCTGACGGTGGATTTGCTCAAGTTGGGGGTGCTGCATCTGCAAAAGGGGATGTGGAAGGGGAAACGAATCTTGCCGGAGAAGTGGGTGCAGGAGGCAACAAAGGCGCAGAGGGGAAACCTGTATGGATATCAGTGGTGGATTTGTGAGGATGGCAGCTACAAAGCCAGGGGCATGTTTGGCCAGCTCTGCATTGTGTGGCCGGACTTGGATGCTGTGCTGGCGGTGACGGCTGCAGTCAGCAGGAGGGCTGCCGCGCTGGAAGAGTTGATTGACAAACATTGCCCTGGGCTGCTAGCAAGCAGGAACAAGGATGCTGTTGGTTCCCAGCCGTTGGATCATCTCTCCTCGCGTCTGGCCGGCTTGCGGGTTGTTGCAGAGCTGCCTTTGGCTGCAAAGACCCCCTCTCAGGAGATGATCCAGGCCGTTTCAAGGGAACGATACGTTGCGGCACCCAACGAGGACGGCGTGCTTGCCTTTGCGCTGGACCTGTCCTCTGCTCCTCAACAATGTGTCCTCCGCATTGATAACCGCGCCGGTGCCCACCACGTCAGCTTCTCAATGGACACTTGGCTCGAGTCGTACACCACTTCCCAAGTTGCCAGCCTACACCATGGATACACCTGGCCACAGCTACGGTCAGTGGCTCGGGGACGCTGGATGGGCGCCACGATGGAATGTCTCGAAGTGGTGCTGCAGCTCCCCGAGACGGCTTTCCGCGACACCATCCTCATTACCTTTCCCCAGCCTGACCGGAGCATAGCCAAGCTCCAACGTTCTGTCAATGTAAACTCATTCACCTCACGGCGGCCCCCGATATATGCTACAATCCTCCGCAAAGGAGACGAGCTCTCGTCGCCGGAATTCCTAGCTCTAGCTGAAAGGGACCGGGCAACGACCAAGTTTTCCACCAGCGAGACCTCAGTCGGCGAGCTACTCGATTATCAGCCGGCAAGGGATGTGCTGGAGGCGGTAGTCCCGGAGTTGCTGAGCCATCCACGGCTGCAGGAAGCCAGAGACTATTCGCTCGACATGGTGCTAAGTCAAGCGTCGAAGCGGCGTATAGATTCGAACATGATGGCCGAGTTGAATCGGAGGCTGGCTGCTCTTACAGTCCCAGCTGTTCTGTAGTAGGTATAATGAATTCAATGAACAAGTTGCTCTTGAGAGCAGTTTAATCTGCTGGGTTTCTCTCAGCGCCTGTGGCCCTGAGGTGTGTGATTTGATTCAGAGAATTATACTAGTACCTACTATATTGAACTCAGAGTCCATTTCCAAGATAGATTGAAGTCTCGTAGCTATTCAGATTTGTGATGCAACAGCTTGGCAATGTGTTCATATCCTCTTCCAGCAGCGACTGACAGCGGCGTCTGGCCATATTTATCCCTTGCCTCAATATCAGCTCCTTTCTCAACCAGCAGCTTAACAACGCCCCCATGCCCCATCTCAGCCGCCCGGAATACCGGCGTGCGGCCGTATTCATCCTTTACCTCAATATCAGCTCCTTTCTCAACCAGCAGCTTAACAACATTCTTATGCCCACCTCCAGCCGCCCGGAATAGCAGCGTCTGGCCATATTTATTCCTTGCCTTAATATCAGCTCCTTTCTCAACCAGCAGCTTAACAACACCCTCATGCCCTCTTTCAGCTGCCCAGTACAGCGGCGTTTGACCATCTTCATCCCTTGCCTTAATATTAGCTCCTTTCTCAACCAGTAGCTTAACAACATTCTTATGCCCACCTCCAGCCGCCCGGAATAGCAGCGTTTGACCATCTTCATCCCTTGCCTCAATATCAGCTCCTTTCTCAACCAGTAGCTTAACAACATTCTCATGCCCACCTCCAGCCGCCCGGAATAGCAGCATCTGGCCATCTTTACCCCTTGCCTTAATATCAGCTCCTTTCTTAATCAGCAGCTTAACAACATCATCATGCCCCCTTCCAGCTGCCCAGTACAGCGGCGTTTGACCATCTTTATTCCTTGCCTTAATATCAGCTCCTTTCTCAACCAGCAGCTTAACAACACCCTCATGCCCTCTTCCAGCTGCCCAGTACAGCGGCGTTTGACCATATTTATCCCTTGCCTCAATATCAGCTTCCTTTTCAATTAGTAGCTTAACAATGTCGGCATGCCCTTTTTCGGATGCAACAGATAGCAGCGTCTGTCCATCATCAACCTTCATGTCAACTTGAGTTTTATCATCGTCAAGAAGTGCTCGAATCAAGCTCTCGTCACAACCTTGCGCGATCCAGGCACGTAGCAGCTTCCGCTTCATCGTGTCGTTGTCTGCATTAATAGCTAGATGCAGCGCAGTTTTTTCATCTTTAGATATTTTTTTAATATCAGCACCGTTTTCGATGAGGACTTCCAGTATCGTATTATAACCTCCCAGAGCCGCCCAGTGCAGAGCTGTTCGGTTTGGATTATCTTCTTTGTCAATGTTTTTGCGGTCGAGGAAAATGTCGTACGTGAAGAACTTTTTCACAATATTTATATGGCCCTTCATGACCGCCTCATGAAGGGGTGTCCGCCCGTCTTTGTTGGACACAAGAGCGGTGATCCCCAGATGCTTCATGATTATGTCTACACAATCTTCATGGCCTTGGCTTGCTAGCCAATGCAACGCAGTTCTTCCCATCGCATCCTGAACATGTATATCTATAGGGACCCTTTTGGCCGAAATGCTGAGTAAAGTCGACCGACGTCGTAAAGGGCGATCCATCGATAAAAGGCGTTCAATTTCTTGAATGTCGCCTCTCATCGCCGCTCGGATCAGCCCAGCCTCCTCTAACCGTCCACTAGTCATCATCGATCCTGTAAAAGTGGATGGTATGCGCGGCTTGCTCTGCTTGCTTGGCGTAACGGTTGGAGCCGACTCAGTCATTGGGGTTGATTTTCCGTCTTTTGTGCTGCTTGGTTGAAATAAGTGATCGAGTTGCAGTAAATAAGTATAATAAAGATGTTGAAAGTGGCGGGATCTAAGTTGCATGTGGCATTTCCAAGAGGAGCTGCACCAAAAACACATCTTTCTGCCGAACAATTTCGACCTATCAATTAACGCCACAAAGCAGCATCAGGAATTTCTGCCCAATAGCCTCAGCCTATCAACTAATGCCACGGAGCAATTGCAGAGCTATCAGGGTAACACAACCAGTGAGACTGCAGTATTAAGCGCCAGCCTTGCAACTGTATTTTCTTCTCAATAAAAAGCAAGTCGCCAGTTAAGCAATAAAACACATACTTCTATACCCTCTACAACCAACAATCATTATCCTAAGATTCTACAGAAAAATATTGGAGCCTCTAGTCCAATGGCCAAGCGTGTATTATGGCTAATAGCTTCTCTGCCTATGCTTGCAGCCGCCCGCAATTGCACCGTACACCCGATTTCAGGTGATGAGGAGGTTGGTTGGCAGCCTGGAGGCTGCTACCGGGGCACCTGGAACATCGTGAGCACCTGCTTGTCTACTATAATCGCCTGCACATGGAGCATTCAACATCTCAATATTCCAGCTATAGACGATAGTGGGTGGGTGAAAAACAAGAGGAAGATGAAGTGGATGATAATCACTGTTTTATTCCCCGAGTTGGTCTTGATTCACGCAATGTTCGAGTTTCACATGGCGTGGACAGCCCTCCGAAGCATGGGCGAGGGGCAAAAGTCTGCATGTATCGAGTGGCCCTGGTGGTCTCAATTGCCATCATTTTCATGGTTACCGTCTCGCCGAGGCAACTTGGACTCAAAAGACAAAGATCCAGAAAGCCAAAATGTCACAAATACGCAGAATCAAGATGGCTCAGACGAATCAGAAAAGAGAAAATGGACTTTGGCTCACTGCTATTTTGCCAACATGGGCGGTCTTACGTATACCGCAGAAGGGAAACGACATCTGATTACTGCTCAACAGCTGGCCAAGATGGAGGACCTCTCACACACAAACCCGGAGGTCGCAGAGGAAGATATCAAGGACAAAAGCAAGCAGGATTGGTTGGCCAAGGTCTTTGCTGCTCTTCAGATCTCGCAACTCATCCTTTCCATCGTTACGCGACATATCCAAGGGTTAGACTTTTCGCAGCTTGAAACAGTCACACTCTCATTTGCCATCTGCGGCGTGCTGATCTACTGCACATATTTTTACAAGCCCCAAAACATTGGACGGCCCATTGAGTTCAAACATGATACGCGTGAAAACGCGGCTCGGTTCTCAACGCTACAGTCTGACAAGACTTTTGATAGTTTTTGGGCAATCATGCTGAATAAGAAAATTGACGACAAGAAAACCGATAGCTCAAAGTATCAAAGGGCACCCAGAGTCCCGAATGATAATATACCCATCAATAAGGGCAACAATGACGTCCATCCAGTAGTATATCTACTGGCGCTGGCTTCTGGGCTTTTCGGTGCTATCCATGCCATCGCTTGGACATTTGAGTTTCCTACTGAGGAAGAGAAGTTGCTTTGGCAAATAGCTACTTGCGTCTCCGCCGGGAGCCCTGTCATTGGCCTACGTGCGATTCCCTTCGCTCAGTTTACGAAGGCCGCAGGGGATCCTGAGCTATTTGCAAGAAATTGCCTAAGGCTAATGCAGGAATATTCTTGGCACACTCTCAACATGCCCTGGGTCCGCGTTGTAATCAAAGATTTAGAAGACGCCATTGTTAAGGACGCCGCTGCTAAGGATAACTTTGCTAAAGATGAACCAAGAAGATATTTGGACATCTTCCGTGAAACCGGAGATAATACGCTTAAAGATGCTGAATATTTCCTAACATTGGAAGGCCGCTTTCGAGATTTAGATCCGAGACTATTTGAACTGCACGGCGACAAAGTGTTTGTTCGAGACTTCCAAAGACTTATCAATTGTTGGAATGGTAGGGAGACGAAGAAAATCGAAGATGCAGCTCGAGTTGGCGTGTGGCCAAGACAGTCACTGCTTCCTCGCGGAGTCAACCAATGTATTTTGTACTTTACCGGATTTCTTTACTGCGCTTCTCGCCTCATACTACTTGGGGTTTCGATCTCTAGCATTCGAAAGATGCCTGGGTCTGTTTATCTTGTTACAGATTGGACAGAATACTTGCCGACATTTAGTGCGATGGGTGGATGATTGTTTAATGGTAACAGATTCTGTTAATATAAAGCTGCCTATTTGTGGAGAATATTCGTTACTGGAGAGAATCCATTTCTGGAGAATGCCAGTTTCGATATTGAGATACACGATCTTATTCGAATGGTGGCAGAGTTTGGCATTGCATGAGTACCAGATTAGAATAAAGACGTATGCAATGAGCGCTTCATATCTACCAGATAGTCTGCCAAATAATGAATATTTATCAGCATGCGGCATGCAAAGGCGAAACCGACCATTTATGTACGCAAAAGCAGGCATAGTAGGCCTGGTATACCATGACATATAAGAGCATGTAGTCTAGTAGCGTCAACAGCTAAGGTGTTGAATCGATAATAATTCACGCCCACTAAAAACGACTGTGGGACGCCGGAATTCCTTTTTATTTTTTTAATTTTTTTTTTGCCCATGCTTTAGCTTTACGGCTCATACCGGGGCCAGTTTTGTAAGAAGCCCCCCATGATTTTGTCTAGAACGTTGGCCTGACATGCTGCAGATTTGAATGGAGCAAATTGAGGGAGCTTCGTACAGCGTGGACGGCGTCGCTGGTGATGTGTCTGCCTGTGTCCAACGCAACAGTGGCTTTGTAAGTCACCTTGAGACCAGAGTGCTCTAGAACGGTTTAATAACAAATCTTCTATGTAGTCCTGCCAGAATTGTCTTGCAGTGCAATTTCGGACGCTGAATGCAATAACCGAACTGCAGCAGCTGATACTTATAATTTGCAATTGTTGGAAAGTGCTAGTATAGTGAAAAACATAGTAGAGTTGGATTCTTAAAATCCATCAACTTACTCTCAATTCCACTTGGAAACAGTTTTTTTTATACTGAGCTCGCAATTGGCTAATATGATACATTTGTAGGTTTTACCATCACAAAGCCAGGACAAACTGTTGCAGATACTTTATGTTCGCATAATTTGTTTTTACTCTAATTATGCGTCGTTAAGTACCTATTGTGCCTCACACTCTGTGCTTTTTGTTTCTAAAGTCGGTTGTGAGACTAATTGCGTAGAAAGTTGTCCCACATGCGAACTGTTATTTACTATCATTTAAACAGAGCCAGGAACCCTCGAGAGGGCGGAAGAAGGCCAAAAGATTACAGGCCTAGGCTATAAGCTTACAAAGTTGGTTGCTCTTGAGCTGATGGCACTAAGTTGCTACCCGCTTAGCCAAGGTAAGTACATACGCACATATACTTGGTGAGTTCGATTGTGTAAAAGTTCTTGCTGGTTTCGGTCCGACGGCAATTAACTTTTTGTTTCACTCAAGATCCAGTTTACAAGCCTCAACTGGCAGCCAATAAGACGAGCGCTAGCAGATGACAATCGTCCGTTTTTAGTATTGTAGTGTTGGGCCTAATGGTAGATGGTGTGCATACTTGTGAGTGGGTGTAAGAGCTCAATGTTATGACTGAACTTTGACTAAAGTATTGACCTCTTCATACAACAGTGAAGAAAAATTAATCAGAATTTATATTAAATCTTTTTCTAGCATATACTCTTTGATTCCACCTCACGTTTCCCCATCAGTACCGGGGAAAACTTACACAAGTGATGGATCTTGTCTTACGCGTATTCGCTACAACTAGCCGCACTCCACGAAAAGAAAACCAAGACGTGAAGAACTAATCAACAAGAGTTCACTGTCATCACCCACCCCTACGATTATTTGTATTGTTCATTGCCCGGATCTATACTTGATTATAATAAGCAGCCATACAACAACTGTGGCTGGTTTAGTGCGGCTATGGGCATTGTATTGCAAAAGTACCGCAAGTACCTAGAACATCAATCAACAGAGCCAACACCGGATGTGCCAGCTCTACTGTCTATGTCATTTGGCTGCTTTCCACTCTCTCTTTCCACTTACTTTTTCCCTGAGATCCTTTTCCAGCCACCTTGAAATACTGTCAGCTTGTTGTTGAGACTGTTTAGGTCCTAGTTAGACAGCAAGCTTATCAACCAATAGCTGGAGGTGTCGACGCTTGTTCGCTACATTTCATCTATACGAAGGAAAAACACAACATTTATATATTAGCAAGCTAATATAAAGGGGAAAAACTCCCCAAGAAGGGAAAAACGCCTTGTCGTTTTATATGCAAGAAATGTAAATCAGTACCACGGACGACTATTGCTCGGCATCTCAACTAATACGATTACACAATGCGACTCTATAAACCTAATGAAGTGAAGGCATATAAATGAAAGTTCTGCCATCTTATGAGTTTTATAATTCTTATTGTGTTGTGTCCTCAAAAAGGATTTTAGAGAACGGGGTCGCTGAAGCATATTCCGGATGATTACATTATTACAAACAGACCCTGCTAGCTATTGTGAGGCTTAGCAACGACTATCGTACTCCCTTTTCCGTATACGATACTAATCGGTTGTTGTGAGGCTTGGCAACAACTACCGTACTCCCTTTTCGGTATACGATACCAACTCACATGCATTTGGTGTACTGCCGTAAGTTTTCCAAACTCGAGAAACCAAGTTATATGTCCGGTGATAGCTTCTTTAAACCGTAAACTCCGTCTGTAATGTTCGGTGTGCCCGCAAGTCGACTCTCTACTCTGGAAACTCAAGGAGTAAAAGAAAAGCATACAAGAACCGGCGACGGAGTCCCCAAAGCAAAGGGCACAAGGACCTCTAGCTTTACACACGTCTTTCTTTCCTCATCTTTTTTCAACTCTTCAAGCATCGTCTGATATTTTAAACATCTAGCTATGGCTGATACACTCCTTGTTACTGGCGCGAACGGCTATGTCGCTCTTCATGTTATCAAGGAAGCCATTGCCCTGGGGTACAAAGTTGTAGGAACAGTCCGCTCTGTTGCTGCAGCGGAAAAAGTCATGGCAATTTTTCCCGATTCATCTTCGCAGCTACAAATCGTCCAATTGCATGATATTACAAAGCCGAGCGACTTCGAAAAGGCCTTTGACAAGTTCAAAATCGGAGCCGTCATCAACACAGCGTCACCGCTGATTAATAACCCAAGAGACGTCAAGGCTGACGTCCTTGATCCTGCAATCAAAAGTGGCGTGGCAATTCTTGAGGCCTCGGCCAGATATGCCGGGCCACAGCTGAGACGTGTCATCCATGTCGGATCCTTTGCGTCAACTCTTGACCTGTCACTGGGCCTCGCTCCAGGAAAGACATATTCGCCCAGTGATTGGAATCAACTTACATACGACGAGTCTGCAAATGGTGGGCACCGTACTGCGTATATTGGATCAAAGGCTTTGGCGGAAAAGCGCATGTGGCATTGGATGAAAGAAAACACACCCGCTTTCGACCTGGTATCGGTAGATCCAGCGGCCATCTTCGGACCACATGTTGGGCTGATTGATCTTGACCATTTGAATATTTCAACTCAAATGATATGGGAGCTTGTCGTCCCATCGCCGAATCCACCGCCTTATAATTCTGGCCACCTTGGAGTGTGGGTTGACGTCCGTGACGTCTCTGCAGCTTTGCTTGCAGCTGTGAACGTTCCGGAAGCAGGCGGTGAACGTTTCTTGGTTGCACAAAGATGCCACTGGCAACTTGTGAGGGATGAAGCAAGAAGAGTGTTGCCGGAGTTACAGAATCGGATTGATGCAGGCGAGCCAAGTGCTTGGTTGGCTGCACAAGCTACTACATATGATGTTGATGGGAGTAAAGTGAGCAAAATCTTGGGAGTGCAATACCGGTCGCTGGGAGACTGTTTGAAGGATTCTTATAAACAGCTTCTAGAGGCTGAAAAAAAAAAGATGATACATTTATCAATCTTTTATAAGATGGATTCATAAAATGCAGTTGCTGATATAACCACAATCACTTTATTCATTGCTCCAGTGTAAATTGCAAATCGGCAGCGATTCTTCTCAAGTCATGTGTATTATCGATGCACGACGATCAAGGATACACGACTAGATATATAAGCTTCCTTCACTACACTAATTAGATAGCTTAGAAAGCGAGTTATTAACGCAGCATTTACAATACAATCAGTTTACAGGCGTCACGACAGGTTCATTCTTCTAGAGGAGAATGTATGTAACACCCAACGTACAGGTGATTTTTCTCTTGTCATGTCAATTTTCGCAACTTGTATCGGTACTTCTAAAGTAGTACATACTAACCAGGGTCAAGCCACAATCCGTCCAACAATAGATCCAATGCCACATAAAGTACGCCACTTACAATCTACTCACTACATAATGCATAGTCCAGCCCAGAACACTTGAATCTCTTCATGCTCCCTGCAGGCCCAACCAACTCCATTCCGCAGTGGGTAACGGCTTCTCTTTAGCGCATCCGCAGCACCGAAGAAAAACCCCCATTCAAGCTACGGCATCTGCTTGTCCGAAGCTTGACCACAAACAGCATAAATGTTCCTATCTAGCCTTATCGCGTGGTGCCTGTTTGCTGGCTGTAGAACAAGAAGCCGCCCTTGTGAGCCAATTGTGACTTTTTGTCTCGGGTGTCTCCAATATCCATGTTGCATGCAGTGAAATTATTTATTCTTCTTCTTCGCCGACCCTTCCCTTCTCTTGCTTTCTTTCTCCTCTCCAAACACATGAAAACTTCAAAAAAGGCGTCCTCTATTTATCCCCCATCTTCTGTATCCAATTGATTGACTATCATTACTTTTTATTTAAACCTTAATACTTTACTTTTACTATAACTCACCATCTTGTACCAAGACAGGCCCACCTCAATCCAGGCACCAGATCTCACCTGCAGCTTATCCCCAGTTTTCAAAGCCAATTCCTATAAGTGAGCAGATTCAAACCATCGCAATGGCTGCCGACAACACCACCACCACCACCAGCCTCATGACTATCCGCAAACTCGGCCATACGTGAGTAACTCATACCATTCTATAAACACCACTTCTCACCCAACACATAATCCACCATATCTACACATAATCTCCAAACATATGTACACATCTCCAACTCTACAAGTACTAACCAATCCAGTGAACACTTCTCCTCCTCCCGCCACCATCTCGGCATCTACCGCTGCGTCACCATCTCCGTCCGCCACCTCCACCCCTCCCTCCCCCAAAACACCCAAATCAGCCCCTCCTTCTTCGCCGCCCTCGCCTCCATCGTCAAAGACCAGCCCATCCTCCGCGTAGGCATCACCGGCGAAGACTCCAGCAACGCTCATTGGACGCACATTCCGCAAATCGACCTGCGTGACCACGTCTCTGTCGAACTAGTGCCCTGTGAGACGGTGCAAGAGTATGAAGACAAGATTGCTGAGCACCAGGGCTGGGAACATGACCAGAAGTGGCAGAACATTGAGACGCGCTCCCCATGGAGAATCATAATCTTGAGGCCCAGCAGCAATAATGAATCCGTCTTGAAAGAATTCAGCGGACAGGAAGACGTCTTCTTTTCCTTCCACCACTCCCTCATGGACGGCACCGGCGGCCGCGAATTCCACGAGATGCTGCTCTCAGCCCTCGCCACTCACCAAAACCAAGACAAGGACTTGTCAACTGTCCTCTCCTTTCCAGAACCTCCCTCACTCCCCGAACCCCTCGAAGCCGCCGTCAACTTCTCCCTCTCGTGGCGCTTCATGCTCGGCATCCTGTGGGACCACTTTGGCCCCCGGTTTCTCAAACCCAAGCCACAGCCTGTTTGGAACGCAAAGCCCATCAATTTCGCCTTGCCGTACAAGACGCACATCAAGCCCATCGACATCTCCCCCGAGACTCTCTCCGTCCTCTTAGACGCCTGCAGGAAACATTCCGTCACGCTCACGGCGCTTCTTCACTCTCTCGTCCTGACTTCACTCGCCAAACGCCTCTCCTCATCTCCCACAGAATCACCCGCCTTTCTCTCCGGCACGCCCATCAGCCTCAGGCCATACCTCACCCAAAAGCCCGCCGAACAGGACAAACCATCTGCATCTCCCCCCCTGCGCTGCCTCGTCAGCACCTGCATCCACCAATTCTCCCCCAAAACCGTCTCCGCCCTGCGCGCCCCCAACGCAGACATCAACGCCCTCATATGGGAAAACGCCGGCCAAGCGAAAAAAGATCTCGCCACCAAACTCGCCCTCACGCCCAAAGACGACATCACAGCCATGCTCAAGTTCATCAGCGACTGGATCGACTTCTGGCGCAGGAGGGACGGCACGCCGCGTAGGGAATCATGGGAGATTAGCAACATTGGCGTGCTGAAGAGTGTGGACACGACGAATAGCCCCAGGGCGACGAGGATGCTGTTTTCGAATGGGGCAATGGTTGCTGGGCCGCCTATTGGCGTTGATGTGGCGAGTGTCAAGGGATCCAAGTTGACTGTTAGCTTGTCGTGGCAGGATAAGGCTGTGGATGAAGAGTTGATTGAGCAGCTGAGGAGTGATTTAAGAGGATATGCTGAGAAGTTGGCTGAGACTGGCAGCTCTTTTGTCTGAATGAGAGCTGTTTTCTTCTTCTTTTATTCTCGTTTTCAGTTTCAAGCAATACGATACTTGTAATGATTCGGAGAGGGGGGTTCACTCCAAGTAATATTCATAGTTGGATTAATGACAATGGCATATATACATTTACAAACATCTTAATCTTCGATTGAATTCTCACATCAATAGTTAAAAGGTGAATGGGTAATCATGCACTCGACTAATCAATACAAGCAAGATATGCATTAACATTGAAGAAGAATGAGCCCAAAGTGTTAAAAAGTAAAATAATGTCGTAAGTATATTTCTTCATGTCCTATCCAAACGAAAGGTAGAAAAGATGATGGATTTTCCCACCCATATATCGCAAAACCTCCCTGAATCGAAAGTATTATGCCTCTCTCTCATTCATCCAATAGTCTGTCAATCGTCTAGTCTAAAACCCGTAAAACGCCATGCAAAATCTCTTCAATATCAAAAACACAAGATTTCTTCTCCCTCCTCTTCCTTTTTTTGGTCTTCGCCTAGAGCCTTTACCAGCCTTGTCCAGGAGGCTTTGACGATTTAGATCCCCCTCTGAAGTAGTTATACTGCATAGGATCCGCTTCCGGGGTTTCTGCGTCCTCGTACTGGGGAACGCCAGCGTATCCTCGAGGTCCGCCGATTCCTACACCAGGAGTCTGGGCTGGCGAGCCTACCGCTGGACTCCGAGCTCGATCTAGGGGTACTTCTTGATAGCCTCCAAAGGGCTTTTCCAAAGCAGGGCTCTGTGACCGCTCATGGGATACATTCCTATATGACATTGGTGGCGCCATGGCAGGGCCGACAGCGTTGTGCACCAACCCAGACGAGCTGGAGTTCTCTTGAGAATAGAGCGGACTGCGATGCCTGTTGATTGAGTCCTCGCCATAGGGGCTGGGTCGGTAGGCTGTTTCGTGGGGCGGCGGCAGTCTCACGTTTGCAGGCGAAAACGGCGTGGCATGGCGGTTGGATGGCGTCCCTGGCCTGGAGCCGCTGTCCAATGAGCCGGGCGTTCCGGGCCGGTACCCGTCAAGCTCCTTGCCGTAAATCTCGCCACCACCGTGCTCTTCAGTAAACTCTGCTCGGTTCTTGTAGTACTCAAAGTCCATCTGAGACTCTGAGACGTACTCGAATCCGGGCACTCCATCGGCTGCCTTGCCTGGCTTGCCGCCCTGCATGGAATTGAGGGCATACATGTCTGAATAGCCACTGACGCTCATCAAGTCGCCGGCAGGGCCCACGTCCCTGCCATCCGTCAGTCGTCCCGAGTAAACGGACGGAAGCAGATTTTGCGCCTTCTGGTGAACCATGGGGGTGATGAGTGGCTTGTACAGAGCTGGGTGACCGAATCGGCTGGCAAGCTTCTCGTTTCGGAGATTGTTCTCCTTTTGCGCAGCATTCTGGCCATCCTGTCTGATTGCCCCTCTTGTCTTGTAGTATCGCATCCGGTCGTCATAGGCATTTCCACAGTAAATCTTGAAGAAGATCAAGAGGACTGGCAGGGGGCACACGCAGAAAAATTGAAGGTGCGTTCCGTCTCCGCGAACCCAGCACGTCAACAAAAAGACGCCGTTGGACAAGATGGTGCCAAAGATGAAGCGGTTAAAAATGACTCGCCAGAACAAACCACCCGACTCCGTTTTGGTGACGAAGCGGTACAAGATCAGATACTTCTTGAGGAAAGAGTCAATGGTAAAATACAGCGCCGTTGCGATGAGGACGAGTGGTTGGATGCCCGCGAAGCACAGCGTGACTGTCGAGTAGTACAGGAAATAGCAGTAATAGCTGGCATAGTCAAACGCCGGCGGCGCCGTCAATTCAATGAGCTCTCGGGGCGTAGGGCTAGAAAAGGTCTTTGTGAAGAATGCATTGATCAACGGCCACATTTGAGCGAGATCAATGGCGGCACCAAGTTGTCGCTGCAGGAGATAGGTGATCCAGAATGGGCTGTTTCTGCAAAAGGCAATGAAAATACTGGCGGCAAGATCCTCCTTGATAATCGCATCCCACGCATTCTCGCCCTTGTCTGCGTCGTTGATGACGGAAACCACAAAAGACCAGATGACGCTGAAGAAGGAGAAGACGATGAGGTTGTTGAAGACGAAGAAGGAATAGAGCTTGGCCATGACGTGTCTCTCACGTCCCGTCTTGGTCTTGTCTCCTGCCCTGATGGACAGTCGTCGGAAGATGACGGGGAGAGCCAGATAGACACCAGATGTGATGGCAGGTGAGGCGATTCCCTGGACAATGCCCCAGAATTTGGTGTCTGACTCGAGAGAATTCTGAAAACCCTTCCAGACCTTGCCGAGGTTGCTCAAGTTGACAAGGAAGATGGCGATCATGGCGTTGGGAGCAATCCAGAAAAAGGTGAGAAGGATGATCCAGAGACTGTTGAACCATCTCCGGCGACTTCGAGTGGAGCTAGACAGTGGCATATTCGGCCAGATGATGTCGATGGGCTTGGGCGCCAGCTTAATTGTCGTGCCATGGGGCTTCTTCCGGCGGGTGATGTAGGCAATCTCATGCGCCTCGGCGACCTCTGAGTAACTGGCAAAGCCAAAAGGCATGGAGCTTCGCTTATCAACACTGGCACGAACCTCTTTGACTTCCACCTCGAGTTCTCGAATTCGCTGAGTGTAGTACTCAATGGCGTCTAGTCGTTGGCCCTTGGGGTAGGTTCCATACGAACGATCCTTCTTGGAGGGCTTGCAAGTCGGCCGCGGCGGCAGGTTATTGGGATTTTTGAGATAGATGGCCAGTACTTTTTCCAGTTTGCGAACAGCTCGGTCGTGCGCCGCAATGAGGTCAGGAAGATCCTTGACGTTTCGGGCAATGGCAGTTCGCGCGAAAGACGAGTTGGGAGCGACGCCATCAATGATACGCGCAATGCCCTCATCAGAACATCCTTGCTTGGGAATATCATACAGCTGTTTGGGCGAGGCAAACGGTTAGCCACTTGCAGTAACCTTGGGAAGGAAGGGTAGTATGGAACCGCAATGTTGAATATTGGCAGGGCTTACCATGAGCGTTCGCGAGTGCAGACTGTTTTGGTAGTCTTCACTCTCAAAATACTTGCGACGAAGCTGCGTGATTCTGCGGTAGTTCCACCAAAGAAAGAAGCAGACGACAATATCAAAGACCCAAGCAATGACGACCTGGACCCACAAAGGGCGACCCCAGACATTCAAGGGCGTGATTTGCAAGATCCAACTGGTCGAGTCTTGGACAGTGTTTGAATCTGGTGTGGACATTTTGTAATGAACGGGAATAAGAACACTGACGCCGACGACAGCGAGGATCACGAAGATGTTGCGACACATGCGCATAACGCGCAAGAAAATGGTGGCATCCATGCCAATCTGCTGCATCAGCTTTTCCTCATGCGTGCTCATCAAGGGGAGGACCCATGACCATGGCTTCTTGCCCAGAGGCGGCGGAGCGTGCTTCTCGTCGGCATGCTTTAGCTTTGGGGCGTAGACGGCCTGGTTGTAGGGTCTTAGGAAAGAGAACAACAGGGCGACGATGGCCGTGAAGCCGAGAGAAGTACCCAGCGCAGAGTAAACGGAAGCTGATGCGAGCTGCAAGAAGGAAATGTTAGACAGCGTAAAAGACAACAAAGAGAGGCTTGGGCCTGCAGGCGCCATGCCCGCGAAGCGATTTTAACTGACTGTGCCTGAGAAGGGATCTTTGAGCAGGTTCAGAAGCTCTTCGGCGGGAGTTTCGTTGTCGTCGCGCGCTCGAAGCCATTGCCAGATGGGCTCCTGGAAGGTCATGTTGCAGGCGTGTGCCCGTCTAGGGCAGAGAGATTTGTAAATTGATCAAAATCAGACGACAGTAGTAGTGGGCGAGCACAAGGCGCAATTCGATGCCTGTCGGGTGCTTCTCCCACGCAGTGGAAGCGCTCGAAACAATTCTGCAGGAGACTTTTTGCGCCGAGCAGTAGAATCCGCGGCCAGTCGTTGCTCAATCAAGAGCTCGAGGGCTGGTGGAGGAACGCGTCGAGGGCGCCGACCAGCAGTTGCGCAATCCGAGAGAGTTGCGTCACCAGCGTGATGTCAGGGGAAATTTCGCTTCGGATGATGCCTGTCCGTCCCAAGTCGCTAAATCGAGTAGCGAGCAGCGAGAGAAAACGAGAGTAAAAGGAAAAACGAAGGAGGAGGATGAAAGAATACAGAGGCCAAGGCACCGGCGCCGTTATACAAGACAACAAAACGAGGGACGCTCTCCGCTAGTGAATCGCAGATGAGCCGGGCATTTGGATGAAGAAGAAAAAAACGAAGGACGCCGAAACAAAGAGGAAAAGCTCGGCTGGACCAGGGGTCATCGGATGGGGTTTCGAGTGGACAGGTGAGCAGGAAAAGAGGGAACCTGACTGGGATGGGCTCGATTCCTGGATGGGGATGGTCTGCCCGCGGCTTTGGCAGCGTTGAGGATCACAGATGGCATCGGGGCCCAAGCTCGGGGATGGAGAAGCGAGACAGTTGTGCAGGGAGGGTCCGCCGGTGGCTGCTGGAGTCGAAAAAGATGGAGATTCGGGTCCAAGTGAAGCAGTCGTCGAGGAATCTTGGAGTCTACGGGAGAAGAGAGAAAAAAGAAGGTGGTCACGCATGTGTCAGTCCCTGGATGTCAATCGATAGCGACGCAGTACCCCGAGATACGTGGGCGTCGGGTGATGAGCGCTGCAGCACACCGTATCCTTGGGGTACTACGCTAGCTGTAGGGACCAACAAACACCAACATTACAGGCGCAACAAGACACTCAATGCGCTACAACATCGGTGGCCTCTTTACACGTTCCACGCACCTCAAGCAAGAAACACTCGGCCCAGCTTTGCTGACTTGATTGGAAAACTGGAGCCCTTTGTTTCAGCAGACATTTGCCTTCCCTTTGCTTTGTTTTGCGCTTGGCCCAAGTGGACGAGTTGCGCACAACGGCCAAGACGACGCCATTGGCCTCGACCCCTGTCGGCGTTGCCCCTTGTGGGCTCGTCTCCAGCGCCCCTCTGGCCGCGGTGGCCACTAGAACGGACCCTACTCGCAAAAAAGGCGTGCAGAGGTTGCAGCGTTGCTATTTTTGCGACCCCTTAAAGCCACTGCAGCGTTAGCGCCCTGGCTGCTGTTTTAGCATCGAGTGGTTCCCTGCCGGCGGTGGCTGTTTGATGCCAGGCACCGGCGGGGTGGGGCGGGAGGGATAAACGGGCAGCTGGCACGAGTGAGTGAATACGAGCCGTGGCATTCTCACTAAGATGCTTGTAGCGCTGCTAGGAAAATCAGCAGGACACGAGGCGTGGCAGCTGCAAAAATCCCGTGCGGTGCAGTTGCTCCTAGAAGCGCTTGGGCACCTGCACTGCAGATGGACCAACAGACGCTTGAGGCGCTTGGAATTGTCAAGGCGCTGAACTTGCTCGAAGATAAACTCTGCACTACTGCCACGTTAGGGTCCCGCACAACCACGACTAGCTCTCTCATCTGCATTGGCTTGGTGACATTCTCAGTGACCAGTCGGATTCTGGCATTCAACCTCAAAAGTGTAGGTTATTTTTATCTGCATCATCTCATGCTTTGTGTATGCTGCTTCCATCATTCTGTACCAACAATCTATTTCAGCTCCTGCTTACTGCTGTCAGGCAAATGCAGGTCAGTCGACTCGGAATGCCTTCGTGCCGGCTCTACAGATCACCGCTGCGGCGGGGTGGCCTCTGAGTGATCCTCGCTGGGATGAGTGAGCAAAATGCCTGGCAAGTTGCTGTTTTCGCCACCATGTCCGCGATCGACGCTCGTAACCGCCGTCGGTGCAACCAGCATCTCGATCGGAAGACTCGAGCCAAGCCGTGGGAATCGCCCTTGCTTTTCGTGGCCATTTTTTGCCTTTTCACGATGAATCAAACAAGACGCTGCAGCAATACCTACAGTACAGCATCTATAATTATTCCTTGGCTCTCACCTCAGCGCAAAGATGGCCTATAAGCACGCAGAATTCTCGGGTCTAACGGCGGCAGGGCCACGAGCTGGGCGGCTGTAGCCGATCTGTGCTTCGCCACAGGGTGACGATCGCCCATACCCCGGCCTTGTGTCTTGGTTGACTGCTCGGTTGGTGAATGGATGGTGGCATCTGCTGCTGATACTACGTGTTCATCGGTTCACATACCCTTCCAAAGGCAATGATGGCATCAACATCTGCACGTTGTTAAATATACACTCGTGTGCCTCGTATGTAATAAAACATGCAGACGGTCGTTTATGCATAGCTCCTTGTCGATACGGTTATCGCGGTCGTCGAGTCCAAATTGGGGCTTACAATCCCTGCATGGCCCTCAACGGCTCTAGTCCATTACTAGCATCTACAAAGTTGACCCTGGCACTGAAGATATCATCTTCAGTACCTACAGTATCTGTCCGTCATTTCCTTGCAGGTTGCTTCTTGTCTGCGTGTAAGCAATCACTGCTTTCAATTACTTTCAATACAGTTAACCCGCCTAGAATAATTTCATCAGTGCGTCGTATTCTCATCAGTTGCATATACGCTCGGCATAGAGGCCTCCGTTTTGTTGCGAGCTGAAATGGAGTCGATACGAGCAAAGTTTGAATCTTGTGACTAGAATCGGCAGTGATGGGATTGCGCGCATCAAGTCCCAGCAGCGTGCAGTGCAGGCATGCCATACAGCTGTCAATACCACATGTCTCCAGTTCAATTCTTCCCCTGAGTCTGATCCCAGCGACAGCGTGCAAGCCCCTGCATTGAGTCCCGCGGCGAGCCATTTATGTGTGGAGGCATCACTCCACCGAGGACTGTTTTTATTGTCCGTCTGTCCGGGGAGAACAGGGGGAGAGCGGTGTTGGGTTGATGTTTTGGACCGCAGAATAGAACAATATATATACACACGAGTAGGAACCATAGTAATAGATTATATATACAATAACTATATAAAAGACCCCCAGTGTATTACATACGTGTATCCTGTAGAAGTAATACATGTGATAACAGTACATGTAGTGGAAACAGCAAAAAGAAATAACCAACCGTAACAGACAACTCCAGTATAAGCAGATATAACAACGAGATTTTTGTAGTGATATAACCATATATCCAACAATTAATAGGAGCCATGTGCTCAAAGCGTAAGATTCCATCTGCATTTTTTAAACCTTAACCCACCCTGCCATTCTCTTGACCAGTATATTCCCAACCCTTGACATCACATACTCTCTTCGCTGCCATCATCGACGCTGCTGAACATCTTCCGGCCACGGCTGCTGCCGCACAAGATTCACACACATGAGCGACCTGAACCGCCCTCGATTGCTATACCGCTCCACCATGTCGCGGCACTGGAAATTCTCCTCAAACACCAGCGGCGCAGATGAAATGCCCTTGCAGCCGCCGTGCCAGTAGGCCCTGCACTCGACGTACTGCGTCACGCCCAGCCTCGTGTCCCAGACGCGCAGCGACACCGACGCCGCCCTCGTGGTGTAGCAGCGCCCGAGCTGGATGTGCGAGATCTTCTCCAGGGGCGGGCAGCGCTCGATGTCGTCGTTGGCGTACTGGTTGTTGCAGCGGCAGTCGTAGGGGAAGACGTTTGTGATGTTTGTGAGGGCGCGCTCGATCTCGTCCATGCCGCGGAGGGTCCAGGGCTTTTTGGCCATGCTGCCGGTGTTGAAGAACCATGGCGGCTTGACTTGGCGGGGGAGGATGCCGGCGAGGGAGGGGATGATGAGGAGGGCGGTGAGGAGGAGGGAGATGCCGAGACGCATTTTGCTTGTTGATGTTGTTCTGCTGGAGATTTTATTTGTTCGGCTTCTTTTCGTCTGTGAGAGAAGTGCCTGATGAGCGTAGTTTTCGAAACTGGATTGCGGTGTTGGAGTTGGAAGATGAGAACTGGTGAATAGGGGAGTTCATGCGTTATATACGTAGGTAGGTAGTATCCATCAGGGATCGTTTTGAGTTTGAGGCTGTCGAAGCCCTTTGAGCTTCGGTTCCATCTTGTAAATTACAAGTATAGTTGCAGTGGCTGGTTATACATTAGGTACTCGTGTACGACATCAATACACTTGTGCGTAGCGGAGTTTATACGGTTCAAGATGGTATATATGCGCCACGCTGGTTCAGATATACTTCAAATGGGCGGTGGATAAGGAACTCGATACGAATCATAAAGCCAAGAGGACGTGGTTTTATCGCGTACATGCTACATACCTACTACATACTATCGTCTTTGGTGGGAATATCCGCACAAAGTGTGGACAATCTCATAGAAAGTTTAAACGCATAATGAGTCAGTGCACGTAAAAGATAGATACGCGTCACGCATCTGAGATATGCATCTATACCTATCTTCTCGTGAAGTACATGTATCAATTTATTACAGCATGGGTAAGTAATTCTTATGATTCAAGGCTATCGTTTCGTGATCCTAATAGGGCTCTTCTCGTTAAGGGCGAGAGATACTGCTTCGCCCATCCACGAGGGGGTGCTAGGAACAGAAGTAAGAAGGGCAAAACGAAAATACACGCATATATGGGAATCGGATAGTCATTCGTATGCTGATATGCGCGAAATGGTAAATATAGTTGCATGCTAATGGCCGTGAAACTCGCCACTGTTGCTCCCAACATGTATTTGGTGGCTACTCCTGTCAGCGAATTCCTTTCTTCAAGATGGACAGAGTTTTCCATATAGGTATATAGATGGTTTACTTTGTCCCTTATCATTCATAGACTGACTTTAAATAATGCAGCCAGGCGAATCAAAGATCGAAAATTCACATCAAAGTATTGGCCATGCAGAATCTTAAGTAGACCAGAATCGCTAACTATAACTGCTAAAGCCTCGTATGTTATCAAGCTCCACTACTTACAACGCGAATGCATTCAACTAACATTTGGAAAGCCAAACAGTTACAAAAGACATACAACATTGGACATAAGCCGCATCATGCCACACAAGGGGCAAACCATTTTAGTTAGCTTGGGCAAATATACAGCGACCACCCATGACACAAGAAAAAAATTCAACACCCATCAATCAAGCGAACCATTTTTCGCCGTATCACCGTGGGCCTGTATCCATTTTGGCACTAAAAACAAGTGGCGTTAAGCATCGATCAAGGAAAGAGAGCCAAAGAGAAAACATAGAAGACAGGGAAAAAAAAGGAACGTGAAGTCGTTGTTTCAGCCGTCGCCTTTCAGACCTCCACTGGCCCCTGACTCCGAGTCTTGCGCGCCGTCCTCCCCACTGCCGGAGGGGGAGCGGTCTTCTTTTCCTTGTTGCCGTTCTTCTTAGGACGGCCCGGCTTCCTCGGAGCTCCGCCGTTGGAGCTCGCCTCGCCATCGTCAATCTTGGCCTTTTTATCCGCCGGCTCGCTCTCGTCGGAGTCTTCCTTGTCGGAAGCAGCAGCAGGAACATCAGCTGGGCCCTCGGCTAGTTTGCGCTTCTCTCCGATGACAATCTCTGACACATCAGACTTGTCATCGTCATTGCCGGTTTGGAGAGCGCCTGCCATCTCGGCCGTCTTTGAGTCGCCATTTGGAGTCACAGGCTTGTCGACAATGGAATCAGGGCCATTGTCGCTGTTGGGAACAGATGCTGCAGGAGTTGGCAGCGGCTCTTCAACGCCGGTGATTACCACGGGCTCTTCTTGTGGCTTTGGAGACTCTCCCGTCTCCATGGGGATATTTAACTCTGGTTTTGGTGATCCATTCACCGATTGATTGGCGGGAGTCTCGGGAACAGATTGGACCTCGACGGGTCGTGGAATCTGGTGGGCGCGTTTGAAAGCATCAACGACGTTGAAGGGCTCCGTCGACGGCTTCGCCTCTTCAGGTCCTTTTGTTTCACCAACGATCGGAAGCTCTTTGGCGGGTTCAGCTTGAGCTGGGGGGTTCTCAGAGACTTCTGGCTTGGCTGTGTCCAAAGTCGGAGCCCCAGCGAGGGCCTCGGGGGCTGTAGGCTCAGGCGCGCCAACTGTTGATGAAGCTGTCAGCAAGAAGGCTTCCCGTCGCTGTACATGACAAAGCAGTGGCCGCGTTTGAAGCGCATGGCGGAAGGGAAGGGCATTTTCCCAACAAAGAGGATCAATTGGGTTAAACTATGATGAATCAAGGATGCGCAAAACCACACGCGACGCAGGTCACACCCAATCGCATATACAGCGACACAACACACGTACCTTTGTCAACCGCTGGAGCGATGCCGTCAGCCATGATGGATAATGTTTATGACGTAAGTCTATCAGATAGGCGTCGCGCGCCAATGATGGCGGGCTAGATGGAGATGGAGATGCTGGGACACGGCGTCGATGGAGATGCAGGTCGGGGAGTTGCGCACTGCTTGCGAGATGCAAATTGATGGCAGCAGAGGCGCGGGTGCACTGGGAGCATGGAGCAGGAGGATTCAAGGAAGAAGAGGCAGCTTCACCGCAGGAAGTCGGTGCCGGTTCCACAGGCAGTCGATACTACTACCGAACTCTCGTACCATAATTCCGAGGTGAAGTCGCTCGCCCGCAAGCCTGCCGTAGCGAGGAACCTTGCCGCGAGGGCCATGGGCAGCAAGGAGACATGCCGGCGGCGCCGCCTGTGGGTATGAGAGCAGCGCTGCTGATTTGCCTTTCAGTCAGACAGAGCAGAGATTCGTCATGACCAAGCTCCACAGTGTTTGCGCTCGCAGCGGCCAGGGACTGTGAGACGGCGAGGGCCCTGCGCCAGGACGGTGTGAATTGTCGCGATCGGGACGGTGGTTTGAAGCAGCAACTCTTGCGGGGAAACCTGCAACCTTGCTGGAGGCGACGCCACCGCCAGCCTTCAGCTCCGTATCCGTCCAGTCGCCAGTGCATCCGCCAGGCCAAGCGGGGCGCTACCGATGCAATGCACGTCTGTTCGGCTTTTAACAGGCACATGTGCTGTCTGGACAGTGCCTGGAATGGAGCATTGACAGCCGGCACTGCAAGGCAGCATGGATATCCCAGCACCGCCTGTCATGTGGTGTGGCTGGCCTGTCTGCAGCAGCTGTTCACCGAAATTTGCAAGTTTCGAGTTCTCTTGAGTGATGGATGGAGCGATTCATCCTGTCTAGAGCGCCCAATGGATGAAGCAGGTCTTGATTCAAGCCCGTGCTGTGCTGCAGCGCTCAACATGGCACTGTCGCAACTTTATATCCCAACCCTGTCCATCGTCAGCCCGTAGAAAAAGTCAAAAAAGGCTGCAATGGTCTTGGTCAGTCCGTGCAGATCAACTGTGTAAAAGATGAAGCCCGTGCATCAATTTTCGATCCATAATATCGCAATGATCAGCTTTTGGAGCATCATAGAAAGATGACGACGTTGAAGAGCTCGAGCTTGCTGCAGTCGACATCCTTCAATTGCTCTGCTTAGTCATCACAGCCAGTGGCCCCCTGAACTGCCACATTTCGGCCACCCGCCAGCCTCCAGAAGGACAGCTATCACAGCTGCCGCAGACGCGCAAAACCCAACTTCAGCACACTCCTTTTATCGCCAATTCACGCGTCTCTCTTTTCTTTCTTCTGGTTGTTTTAATTCTAGCGCAAAGTCAAAATCATGGCACCTGCAAAGAGTACCAAGGACAAGTACTCGGTCATTCTGCCGACGTACAATGAGAGGAAAAACCTCCCCATCGTGGCATGGCTGCTGAACCGCACCTTTACAGAGAAGTAGGTGGCTACCGGATCCTCAAGCTCTCAGGCCAAGGAAAGCATTGGATGTAGCATTTGAGCTGACAATTCTGTTCCGTTTACAGCGACCTGGACTGGGAACTCATCATCGTCGACGACGGCTCTCCCGACGGCACCCAAGATGTCGCCAACCAGCTCGTCAAGGCCTACGCCCCCCACGTCGTCCTCAAGCCTCGCTCCGGCAAGCTGGGCCTTGGAACGGCCTACGTCCACGGCCTGCAGTTTGTCACCGGCAACTTCGTCATCATCATGGACGCCGACTTCAGCCACCACCCAAAGTTCATCCCCCAGATGATTGCCGTGCAGCAACAGGGCCGCTACGACATCGTCACCGGCACCCGCTACGCTGGCAACGGCGGCGTCTTTGGCTGGGACCTGAAGCGCAAGTTTGTCAGCCGCGGCGCCAACCTGTTTGCCGATACCGTGCTGCGACCGGGCGTCAGCGACCTGACGGGCAGCTTCCGCCTGTACAAGAAGAGCGTTCTGGAAAAGGTCATTTCGAGCACGGAGAGCAAGGGATATACGTTCCAGATGGAGATGATGGTTCGCGCCAAGGCTATGGGATGCACCGTTGCCGAGGTGCCCATTTCTTTCGTGGACCGAGTGTACGGCGAGAGCAAGCTGGGCGGTGATGAAATTGTTGAGTACGCCAAGGGAGTGTTTTCTCTATGGCTAAAGGTCTAAGGATGAGGAGTGGGAAAAAGACAGAACGAAAGCATGTATCATATGGATTGCTACGAGTTGGATGGGCCGGCGTTTATGTCACTGAGAAGGGTAGTCTCGTTTCTAATTAATCACATATACCATTGCCATTTTTGCAGAAATCAACGCTATACACAACAACTATGCCATCAAGATCAGTCATCTTACATGTTCCTGCCTCCCGTCACCATGATTACTTGGCCCGTTACATATGAAAAGAGCGGACTCGCCACAGCCAGAATCGAGCTCGCAGCCTCCGTTGCAGTCCCCGGCCGTCCCAAGGGGATATCTGAAGGCGGAGCCGAGCCAGGCTTGCCTCTGCCCGGCACACCAAGCGCAATCTTCTCGCCGCCCGGCCCAACAACAAACCCGCCGTCCTCCTTGGCCGCCGTCAAGCGAGTCTGGATATAGCCAAAGGCAACCGAGTTGGCCCGCACGCCAAACGCCGGGCCCCATTCCTTGGCAATGGTCTTGGTGAAGCCAATGAGCCCCGACTTGGCCAGCGCGTAGTTGATCTGGCCCGCGTTGCCGTGCACGCCCGACGTCGACGACACGGTGACGATGCTGCGCGGCTCGCCGTCCTTGACGCGGAAGAAGGGCGCCGCCTCGCGCACCATGTTGAAGGGCGCGGTGCAGTGCAGCGCAATCATGGTTTCCCACTGCTTGTCCGTCATTTTGTGCACGACGCCGTCCCACGTGTAGCCGGCGCCCATGACGAGGATGTGGATCTTGCCGTTGCCGAAGGAGGCGGCCTTGGCGATGAGGGCCTTTATGTAGGACGAGTCGAGGATGTCGCCGCTGAAGGAGATGGCCTGGCCGCCGGTTTTGCGGATGGATTCTGCGACGTCTTCGCTTTTTTCTGGAGGATTATGAGTAAATATGAAAAAGAAGGAAGGACGATTGTTGCTACGTACCGGCGTCAATGTCTGCGATTACGACTTTTGCGCCTTCATTGGCAAAGAGGCGGGCGGTTTCGGCGCCGATGCCTTGGCCTGCGCCGGTGATGATGGCGGTTTGGTTGGCGAGAAGGCCCTTTGGGTAATTGAGGTGGCCGACGACTTGTGAGATTCTGTCCGTCATTTTATCAAATTTGAGATGATGTATGTGTGAAGAAAGGGAAAGGTTAAAGAAGTTGTCAAGTAGAATAACTGAGGCGGGATGAAGTATTAAGTGCTTGACGTACCGAGGCTCGCGGCTGGCGGCGTATGATGGAGCCCCGGTGTGGGGTATTGAGATCCGGGGTATGTATTCTCCTCTCTGGGTTGGAGGCTGGTCTTTAAGATGCGCTCTGGCTATTTATTAGATGTACTTTGTTAGATTCGCTGTAAATGTTACAACAGAAAATGTATTGTCTCTTTTGAGAGTCGTTGGCGCTGCCGTCTTGTACGTTGACCAAAATCTGTCTCTCATTATGTAGAAGAGACGCTTGGTTAAATACCTATGTAGTCACAATGTCTATTCATCCCCCTAGACGCAAACGCTGTTTATTCTAATGATATTCTATCAAAAAAAAAAAAAAGTACATATTGATCATGTTACTAGACTGATGTGTAACGCGTTCATCGTTCAGAGCTTGAATTCAGCATTCGTCTTCTCCCATCCAAATGGCGATTCTTCCATGTTAGCAACCTTTTCCGAAAGTCTGCCCTTTAATATCCGGTTCCTTTCTGAGCATAGCTCGTACGTTGTCGATAGATTAAACAGTAAAGTATGCGACGATAAGCCTGAATCGACCAGTTTCTCCAGTATTGTACGGCCCTGCGGCACCACATCAGTATGGGTCTTGTCCAAGCTAGTATTCATGAAACTCACCTCTTGAATTCGTCCAAGGTAGATTAGACACACGGCCTGGTTCACTCCAACCATCTCATCTACCGTCATAATATCAAACTCCTGCCATTTCTGCAATGCCTGTTCATAATTCGAGTCTGCCATGTCGCACAAGGCCAGGATTATCTTCTCAACGCTCTCGGTATCCTCAGAGCACTGGCTTGCACATAACTGCGCATTCCGTGTATCGCCGAGATGTAGCCAAAGCAGTGCTTTTGATAGAGCCAGCTTGCCGTCGCCTCGATCTTTAAGACCGCTGAGGTGATGCGCCGCGCCAGACAGATCGTCCATTTCAATCAGAGCCCCTGCAACTTTGATGCCCAGTTCATGGAGCCGCGACTTCCAAAGCTCTCTGGCAGAGTTGTCATGTACCAAAGACGCCTTTCTAATATTTTCTCTAGCCTCTCTGGCAAGATCATGATAGCTCATGACAGCACGACGGGGGTCTCCAAAACCGAGCGCCTGCAGCCGCACGTGTAGTACGCGTAGCTCCCATGGCACAAGATGCTCGTTTGTGGTATCATCTATATATCTCCGAGGGTCGTTTAGGTCTTCTAGTGCCTTGGCCTCCTGGGCTGCAAGCGACGTGGCGTCAATCAAGGTTAGACAGGCAAGTCGGGTGTACAGAAGCCTGAATATCCTGTTGGCATCATGCGGATCGATGCTGCTCCCATTTATGACTGAGCCAGTCAGCTCCTGGGCTGCTGCAATGGCTGCTGCCCGAAAGTGGCCTTTGGCTAACAGCTGGTCTATCGGCACTTCTGGGCCGGGCTGCTTCTGTGAGTTTCTGAATGCGGGGGGGATGTTTTGTGAGTTCAGGGGATGGTAGATTTCAGGCTGTAAGAGAAACGCAAAGTCCTTTGGCCTCGCTTCTCCCAGTTGGGGAGTCGGAGATGGCGGGGCCTGTCGAGGATGCGCTGCGTTGGAGGGAGATCGTGCTGGTGACATGAGAGTTGGGCTGAGCTGAGAGGCAGAGGCCGTTGGAGATGTCAAGAGCCCACTAGCACTCAGTTAGACAGAGATGTCAATCAAGATTTAGTGATGTATGTGTCCGATAGACTGACTTGTCGGCATCTAAAGGGCCTTTGGTTGAAGATCGTGGTCTTGTTGCTGTGTATAAATGTCAGTATGTGATGTGTGTAGCGTCTCATTCAGGCAGTGCGTGATGGAGGGGCAATTGTCTAAACATGCACCAGTATTCGTCATCCAAGTTGCAGACACCTGAGCACATACCACGAGTAATAGACGCCTTATTCCTTCTATGGCCCTGCTCCTGGGGCGGAGTACTCAGATGATCGCTCATTATGTCCCACTTGAGCGTCGAATTACACACGATTGGAGGTGTCAGGTTTACGGGCCAGTGGCATGAATACGAGGTGATATGACTGTCGGGTAAATATCGGTTATTCATCTCTCAAAAGCTCAAGGGTAGCATCATGCATATTCCGTCGTTCAACATGTTTCAATAACGAAGAGTCTGAATAAAAGGCGCTCAAGCATCTCTTTGCGCCTCTTTGAATTTCTATATTTATGTCGCGCGCCTATTTGATTGCAAATCTTATGCTCCATTTTAATGACTTTTGCCCTGAATTCAGAAGTGAGTTATAGAACCTACTAGCAGTTCTAGTGATTAGTACTGCTACCAACTCAAGAAGATGGAGGTATAAAACAGCATGAACTGGCTCAGCTCGGACTCTAAATTATGAGCCAGAAATTTTTCTTTGGTTCAAGACTTTTCGTTCAAATATCGTAAAACATCTTTGGTGTGAGGCTGGCACCCCCCATACCAGCTGCTGCTAAAAGTATATTTTTTCGCACCTGAAGCCCCACCAAGTCGCGGTTCTCAGACCTCACTTCTAAACTCAACTTTTTCTCACACGCGACGCACTATGAGAACCAGAAGGTCAAATCGCACAAAAAAATACACGCTCGACAAGTACGATTTCCTCAGCTCTGGAGACGAGAGAGAACAGACTCCAAAGCGTCGCAAAACTGCAGATGATGACGACGTTTTTGAGGCGCCCGCGGAGGAGCGGAGCGCTGCAGAGGACGAGGACGAAGATGAGGATGAGGACGAAGAGGATGTGCAGATGAATGATGATAGCGCCAGCGAAGTCAATGCGAGAGAGAGGCCCTCTCGCCAACGCCCCAAATCAACAAAACCCTCCAGGCCCTCGGATCCTGGTGAAATGGAAGTGACGGGGTACTTGGATATCGAGCTCATCCCCCCAGAAGGTCAGCATAAGGGATATGTTGGGCCGTACGAGAGAGGAATGCGCGGCAAGGCTCTGGCGAGGACCCTGTATGGGCCGCATCCTGAGCGCATAGAGATGGCTCATACGCTGTTGGACCGATGGAGCGGATGGACGCTGTATCCGCCAAAGGTGCCGCAGGACGAGGAAGAACCGACAGACAAGGGGTTTTGGGTCCCTGGTGGCCTTGAGAAGGAGGCTCGTCTTGCCAAGCAATGGTATGAGCAAGTGAGCAAGGGCCTGTCATCCGACGATGTGTGGTCAGAATTATCTCCCGACGAATCTGAACTGTACCGATTTCCGCAGCTGAGCATGCCTGTTTTGACGGGACCGCATGAAGAGCAGCAGGAGGTGCTGATGGAGCCAGGGGTCAGCTACCCTCTGTCGCAAAGCAATATACCGTTTGATCAAGACGAGGACGAGGACAAGGTTGAGTGCGGATGGATGCTGGATGTTGGCGGCCTTGTCTTGGGCATGGACTGGGCGCCTCGACGAGACAAGAACCCGAAACAGCTGCTTGCCCTGGCCATCATACCCCAATCCGACCAGGACTTTTACAATTACGAGGAAGAATCTGTGAAGCCTGGTTTTCAACAGCAAGGTATTGTCCAGATTTGGGAGTTCAAGAGCACCAAGACAGATGAGGGATTCACTCGCACGTCAAAAGAAGCCGCAACGCTGCGCAAGACGTTGTGCTTGGACTACGGAAGGGCTAGGAGGGTCAAATGGAGCCCGTCGTGTAATCACATTGCGGTTCTCTCGAGCGACGGAAATGTCTATGTTGCGGATGCTGGAGATGTTGATGGCGAAGAAGAGGGAGCCTACTGTAAGCTGAGAATCATCCATCTCTACTCTCTATTTTCCATGTTCTTGGTACTGACGAAATCATAGACAAGTTACAGAAGCCGTTTGCGGTGCTCAACTTGATTGACGAGTACAGCATAAAGGCTACTGCAATAGCGTGGGTCAATTGCAATCGAATGGCTGTCGGCTACTCTGATGGGTCGATTGCTCTATGGTCGATATATCCGCAGCGTCTCCTGTCTCGACATCCGGTCCATCACAGCGACATCATCGACATGGTGTCTGGATACCCAACATTACCAAGTATTATCGCTTCGATTCCAGTGGGCGGCACTGCAAGAGTCATTGATCTCCAAGCTCCAAGCTATGAAACTACCGAAGCACAAAGACCATTGGTACATACACAGCCGGGTCTCTTGGCTTACAGCGACCACCTTCTCGGTTTCTTATCCATATATCCATCTGCTAGTGCGCTGAATACGATTATCGGATTTTTACATCATGCGCATTTCCCCGTGTGCCGGAGGGTGTTCACCGGAGATAGCTTTCTGACATGCCTGGCTGTTGGGCGACTCCACCCGTTTCTGCTCATCGGTGCAACAGACGGCTCTCTATGGTGTCTCAACGCACAAACCGAGGTCTTTAGTAACCGTCACGAGTCAACAGACAAGATACGAGTCGTTCAGCATGAGCACCGTCCAGGACATCTATTCCCTCCAGACTCTCCAGTGGCAGCTCGTGGCGTCTGTCGCGTCCTGCACGGCTTTACAGTCGACAGGAATAGAAACTCGAAACCAGAGGCCAAGCTGAGCGCCAAAAAGGGCAAGAAATTACGGGCCAAAGAGCCTGCTGAGGTTGCGGTAGAGGAGGGAGAGGGCGAGGGCGAGGAGGACGATGACGAAGCTGGCGACTTGACTGACCCATTTCGCGCCACTCTGCATGAGGCACTGACGAGAATCACTGCCATTGAGTGGAATCCCAATCTGGATCATGGAACTTGGGCGGCGGTGGCCATGGGTTCGGGACTTGTACGAGTAATTGATTTAGGGCTGGAGAAATACCCCGAGGCGTAATATCAGGTGAAATCTCGGCGCAAATGCCGTGTCTATATATATATATGTATGTATGTATGTATGTATGTGCCAGTTCTATGTTCTACTTGTCTTTTCTATACCTACAAACACTGGGAACCCATGCCCGCATGATGGTGATCAAACGCTTTTGTCATGCCGTAAAAGTGCGTGGCCGCCGCAAAGAGGACAAACATGTGGAATATCTGATGGGAGCTGCCCCAGATGTCAAAAGCTCCAGGATAGACTCTCTCTGGCCAGCGAGCCTATCAGGTGAAAATGAGAAAATAAAGTTAGAGAGTGCAGCTGGAGATGTGAATGAATGGAAGGGGTGACAAACCGCATAGAGGACTGCGCCAAATATGTACATGAGGCCTTGCATGACGACCCAGCTGAGGCTCATTCTATCTTCGAGAGACTGGTAGCCGAATTTGAGGAAGCCGTGGCAGATTGGGATGATGCCTGAGAGGCCTAGGCTGATGAACATCATGGCACGGTAGGGTCTCCAGGCGGGGGTTCTGAATTTGTCGACCCAGGAGACGGCTACGCATCCAATACCGAGGATACATATCTGTAGTTGTTTCTTCGGTTAGAGATGCAAAGTCTTTCCGTGTATAATGAAACAACGCAGCACATTTCTTTGGGTTGAATGTTGTATCAAACTACTCACCAGATACAGATATCCCGTCATCAGGATAGGATGGCAAAAGAAGCCATAGTACAGCGTCGGCACGTAGCTTCCCACAATCAAGGCCACGATGCCCGTGTAGTCTAATTTATTTCCCCATCTGGCAATCTCCTGGCTATGATCCGTCAAAGCATGATACGTGGCGCTCATGCCGAGACACACCACGGCACTGCCAAAGAAGCACGCAAAGACCAGCACATCCGACGAATTGGCCGTCTCATAGCGCGGATGAATCACGAGATACAGCCACGTCGCCGTGATGATGGCAACGATGGCCCCGGCGAGATGCGACCAGATGTTGACGAATTCGTTGTGCAGGTAGAAGAGCGAGCGGGCGGACTCGGCGTAGGACGGGCGGATGGGCCGGTAGCCGGAGAGGATGAAGGCGTTGTCGCGGCGCCAGGCGGGGAGGTCGTCCCAGAGGAGGAGGAGCTTTTGCTCGACTTTTTGCTCAGCGTGCTTGACGGCTGAGAGGAGCGAGTTGGAGGGGCGGCGTTTGCGGAGGGAGTCTGTGGATGAGGGTGAGGCCATGATGATTATAGTTGGTCTTTTGGCAAAAGTAATAGGGCCTTTTATTTTTATTTATAAATAAAAACTCAAAATTGACTGAAACTGAGAGAATAATTGTTTTACTTTAGTCGAACCATTTTTATCAAATTTTCATCTCGTTGAATAGAGACTTTCAGTGAGTTGTTGGGAAGTCCTTGATGCGGGATTGTCGCTCTGAGATATTCGGGCCTGAGTGGACCTTTCGGCGGAATGGTTGGGGGCCTCGGCGCTGGCCGGAGACTTGCAGTGCGTTTTATCGGAGGCGATTGCACATGATAGGTGCTTGTAGAGGCCTGTGGCAGATGACGCTAGATTGGCGCATTCATGTTTGGTCTGCACCTCTCTTTTGATGGGAGAATATCGATCAACGAGCATGAAGCATCCAGACTGTATGTATATGGAATAATTCCCAAGGAAGCACACATATAAATTATGGCATAATGTTTCCGCCAAGAAACGAGGCTTGCTTGGGAGGCCTCTGCAAATAGTCTACATTCTTCCAAGCTGAGGTGCATGTATACACCGAGTGCATGGAGTTCAATATTGCGCGGACAAAAATTGAACAGCTCATAGCTTCAAGTCTTTACGTCTACTAATTCTCACATAGCATCACTCCTCTTTCATAGAACCGCTCCTTTGAGCGAAGCACGGCGCATCGCCAGCGTAGACACGGACGGCGCAAACCTCCATAGATGTCAAATCAGTATATAAAAGTATATTCCAAACGCCGGATAACATTCCCTGCGGAAACTACAGATCTTAACCCTCAGTGCGGACGTGGCCTTTCCACTTGATCCAACAGTCGCTGCCGTGTGAAGAGTCATCTACCACAGGACATCCTCTTGTAGCTCCCCATATTATCGCAAACTTCGCAGCAGGCTCGTGTAAACGGTTCCCAATAGCATATTGCTTCGTCGTCTGTCATCTATTTCTTACCGCTCTTCTTGATGCCCTGGGTGCCAGTGTTCAGAGGGCCTCTGCCGCCGGCCTTGGCAACGAGGTCCTTGCGCGCCTTCTCGTCTGCAGAGGGTCAGTCTACGCTACGGCACTTCCACGGGGTCATGGTTGAGTTGCTAAGCCATACCAGCCTTCTTCTTCTCGAGATATGCCAGGTCGTCATCGTCGAGGTCCTTGTTCTGCTTCTTCGGGGCCTTTAAGGGCTTCGCCTTGCCGCCTAGAAATCTCGAGCGTTAGCAGCCATGGAGGGGCAGTTTGGCGGGGCTGCAAACAGCAAAGCGATGAGGACAAGAATAGAATCACCTTCTCGGTTAGCACCACCCATTTTGAATGTGTAGAGAGATTAACTGCGGAAAATGAAAAGACGGTTTCGTAGAGAATCTCGAGCTGAAAGGTTGCTTCTTTGATGCGAGAGGCAGGTGGCAGATTGTCAGCCCCAGAAAAAAAAGGCCTCCAAAAGCCAGCCCGAAAAGTCGGGCGGTGAGACGGCTGCAGGGATCATTTGCTTACTTAATCACGCTAGGCTGAATGATCCTTGCCGCCGCTTCCTGCTATCTGAAACCCAACCGCCGTTATCTCGAGACCGTCTCGCCATCGCTTCGCAGCTCCAATCGCCTGCTGACCCGCTGCGTTTTCCTCTATTCGTATCTTTCAGCTACTGCTCAACTTGCTCGAATCTTGAAAATCATTCAATTGACGGCAAAGCTGCCTGAAGCCATCCTTCACCGGCACTATCTTGTGTCGACGCTTTGGCGAGTCAAGACGCTGACCTGGTTGGACTCTTCGCCTGCCACGCGCTTGCCATCTTGCTCTGTTACTGACACATTCTCCGTTGATATTGAAAGGGAGCCCACAAGAGGCCCAGAGGAACAAGAAGAATCAGATAAGAAGGCATCAGAATGACGTCCAGTTCCGACGAGGGTGAAATTGTTGAGAGAGCTGGAGATTTGAAGGCAACTTCACTGTCACACGCGGAGAGAAACGGTGTTGACCGGAAAGACAGACAGCGGAATAGAAATTCCTCGCCCGATATCGATACGACTTCAAAAAACAACAACAATTCGTCTCGACGAAGCCGCTCGCCGCGAGGTTTCAAGCGATTGCGCGATGACAGAGATCGCCTTCCTCCCTCCAGGGCCGACGCTCGCCATGATCGCGGTGCTTCCGACGACCACCGAAGGGATGATTACAAAAGATCCCGCGTAGCCTATGACGATCTCGACCGGCCTGCCTCACGTACTGCGAACCAAGGCTACGACTGGCGCAGTCGTAGGGACCGAGAGCGCGATCGAAGCCGCGAGCGGGATCGATACCATCGCGACCGAGATCGATATTCTGAACGTTCGCCCCGCCCTCGGAGCCCGTCGCCTCACCAGTACCGCCGCGGAGACAAAAGAGGTGGCGATCGATTTGTCCGAGAAGGCTACTCTGACCGACACGATTCACGGACATTGCGGTATGATGATGTTGATGTGAGCACTCGGGGCAACAGTTCTGCAGCTAGGAAAGCCTCCGCAGGGGATAGAAACCAGGCACTGGAAATTGATGCTAAAACTCGCAAAGGAATCACTCAAAACGACGGTTCTGTGCCTGCCGCTATCTCAAGGTAAGCTGAATACCCCCTTTGTGGACCCCTCACTGTTGCGAAAATAGACAAGATAAGCTGATCAACAACAGAGAGGTTTCGATGCCGGATGAGCCCGACGTAGACTATGATGAAGCCGAAGAATTTGATGAAGAAGCAGAAATCGAACGCCGCCGCAAAAGACGCGGTGAGCTTTTAGCAAAATCCAGTTCTGCAACCCCTCTGCTCCTTCATGCCGTTGGAGCCGCCACTTCCAAAGCTCAAGCATTGTCGCCCGCATCTTTACAGTCGGATACGCCGCTGCAGTCTCAGCATTCAGACAGCAAAGCGTCCCAGTCGCCAGGTTCAAGTATGTCTCATCCTAAGCTTGATTTATCGGCAGTGACTAACTTGTCAGATTTTCCATCACCTCGATCGCCCATGTCGCATGACGCGCCCTCTCCTGGAGGCATTGATCCCTTTGACGATGTGGATCTCATGAATTCTCATGGGGCAGTTAAAGCTAACGACGAGGATGGCCCTTCTGCTGCTGATTACGACCCTACTGTCGACATGGTGGAAGACGAGCGTCGACATGAACTGCGTCATGGACAAGTCGTCATCCATGGCGAACCCGAGCCTGTGGCTGTGCTTGAGCAGAACCCCGCGATCGAAGCGCCCAGTGCGCCTCCACAAAAGCCATCCGCAGGCGAGGGAGACGATGATGACGATTTTGACATGTTTGCGGATGATTTTGACGAAGAAAAGTATGCTAGCAAGGCTCAAGCGAACGACACGGCAGCACCTGCTGAAGCCAACGATGCCGTAGAGGCCGCTGATAAGGGAGGCATTCTCGAAGGTGATGACAAGGATGGCTATTACAAGATCCGTATTGGTGAAATTCTCAAAGGCCGTTATCAAATCCAGGCTACACTCGGCAGGGGTATGTTTTCTGGAGTTGCTCGTGCGGTTGACATCACCACCAAGCAGCTTGTTGCTATCAAGATGATGCGAAACAACGACGCCCTTCGAAAGGGAGGCTATACTGAGATTGCTATTCTTCAAAAACTCAACGAAGCGGATCCCGAAAACCGGCGGCACATTGTCAAGTTTGAGCATTCTTTCGACCACCGAGGCCATCTGTGTTTGGCTTTTGAGAATCTTAGCATGAACTTGCGTGAAGTTTTGCGCAAATTTGGCAATAACGTAGGCATCAACCTAAAGGCAACAAGAGCATACGCATACCAGATCTTTGTCGCCCTGGCCCACATGCGCAAATGCAGCATCATCCACGCCGATTTGAAGCCCGACAATATCCTGGTCAACGAGAATCGAAACATTCTCAAGATATGCGATCTTGGAACAGCTATTGATCGCTCTGATGCTGCGACGGCGCATACCGAGATTACGCCGTATCTCGTGAGCCGCTTCTACAGAGCCCCTGAAATTATCCTGGGAATGCCTTACGACTATGGAGTGGATATGTGGTCCATAGGCTGCACTCTGTACGAGCTGTACACGGGCAAGATTTTGTTCACGGGAGACAGCAATAATCAGATGCTCAAGACTATCATGGAGATTCGCGGCCGAATAACACCAAAGCTATATAAACGTGGTCAGTTATCAAGTGTCCATTTTGATGACCAGGGACAGTTTATCAGCGTTGAGCGCGACAAGGTACTTGGCAAGGTATGTACAGTAACCTAACCCGCATAAATTCCTGTCTTGTGGAAGACTGGCTAACGATTACATGTATAGACGGCACTGCGACCATTGAACATTGTCAAGCCGACACGGGACCTGCGTACACGGCTCTTGGCCGCCTCGAGCGGCATGAACGATGCTGAAAGCAGGGAGCTCAATCACTTCATCGACTTGTTGGATCACTCCCTAGCTCTGAATCCTGACAAGCGATTGAAGCCAGCTGATGCGCTCAAACATCCATTCTTTGTCGCTCGATCCGGCGTACCCCGGCGATAGGTCTACCAGTTGTAGAAGTGGTATCAGAATATAGGAGGAATGCGACTCTGCTACATACAGATACACTGTTGGGGAGTTTCTTGACTTGCTTGTTTTTTCTATTGGTTAAGATGATGGCCAGTATATGTTACAATTTCTGCTGCTTAACGACAAAGATACCTTTGCTCACGCTACAAAAGGCTTGGAGCTCCTACAGATGTAGGAGAGTTTTGAGATGCTTCATCAATATGAGACCTGCTGTATCAGCCGAGACGCCCCTAACCTTGTGGATATGCAGGCAGATTGCTTATATCTTGGTAGACATGCGGCATATATATGAAACACATCTTCTGGCGTACGCATGGTTACTGTATACACATTTCGCTTATGATTGCTCTCTAAATAGTTATATGTAATACCTGATATATCATACTATAATTAAAACTATGAAAAGATATCACATGCGAATACTGTCTGAAGTGTAACTGGCATACAAGCTAAGCCTTTGGCACTACGAGGATTGGACACGACCACAGGAAAAGCAAGGCCAGCAAAAGCACTATGAGACTGATGCAGTGCCATGCTATTAGACGTGTACAGGCTATGATTGTGCAATGCGCCTCAAAGAATTGGCTTCCTACGTGGCATGTTGGCTAGCTTTTGCCACATCTTGGGGGGGGGACTTTGAGAGATTTTCGTTATTATGCCGTTGGCAAGAATCTTGTGATGTGTGAGTAGTCAAGTCGTATTTGGGGTAGGTTAGACAGCTATGCGATGTTTGGCAAATAGCTAGTCTAGTCTAGTCGTCGTTGTATGACGGCGGATGCGACTCGACGCTGTGTCGCTTGGAAACACTAGTTGTAGGGGGCTACGAATGCTTGGGACTTGGGGATACACTACACTACGCTGGTGTGGCAATTTTCCGAGGAGGACGGTCTTGTTGTCTTATAGGTGTGATGGACGTTGTGTTAGGTTGAGGGGTTGATGAGAGGTATTTGATGAGAGAGACTATAGGCAGGGTTTGCAGGGCTTGTGTGAGATGTCGCGTGTGATGGAGCAATGGGATGGAAGATGTGGCGAATGTAGATGATGCGCAGGATGGTATGTAAGAGGGCGAAATCCGGTGATACGAGGATGATTGGACTAAAGAGCCTTTTCTCTGAGTGTACAGGGAGAATTGAGAGCGTGTGACATGAGATGTGATGGTCACTAACAGGATGAAGGGACTAGAGGTGATTTGCGGGATTGGTCTTCTGGTGTTGAGGGAGTAAACCTAGAGAATTTTACCGAGGACTAGACAAGAGACACTTTTGAGTCGATCTGAGGTTCCATCGTCTGAAGAAGAAGAGAAAATCTCGGAAATACTTGTTCATGATACAACTCTTCGTCATCGATTCGGTGAAAGGATCTTTGTGCTTACTCCGGTTGATGTCATGAAGCGGCGCTGATCTTTCTCGTTTAGCGGCAGAATTTGGGGAGTGGGATGCGAAAGGAGGAGCTAGACTAAATAGCTGGAGCTTTTTTTGCTTATGAACTTGAATTTTCCTTGGCATGCCTTGCTTTAGGCCCGGTGGGTATCAATAAAGCAAATCGGGCAGGAGGCTATTGAGTCTTTTTTGTTGGTGGTGTCGTTTTGCTCGGATGTGATGTTGGTGATCTGGTGCTTAGTGGTGGGGTGCCCTTTTCTGTGATTCTCGTGACGGACTTGTGATTGAATAAATTAGTTGGGCTGGGAGAAATATGGCTGGTTGGGCCTGATGTTGGGTCGGCTTTGGAATCTGGGAAAAGGGGCGTGGAGAGGTTCCAAGAATCGCGTACAGGCATGGAGCTGATGGGTCAAGATGGTTCTTAGTCCTGTGTTTGGCAGACTTGGAAAGCAAGCCCAAAGAAGCCCCAGTCTCTAAACTAAAGCATTCTTGGCATCTTTTCGGCAGTTCAGTGAATTTCAGCAAAGTACTTGGTAGTTGCTGGTCTGTCGCGAGACGCTTTAGGTCTTTTGAAGCCGGGGCGTTTCTTCCGGCATATATCTAAACGGCTTCAAGAGAGCCACAAGGTGCGGACCAATTGGAAGAAGGTGCATGGAAGGAGTTTCCTCCGTTCATTGTCGTAGGTTTCAACACAGCGTACAAAGTCTGAGATTAATTGATCCCGTTATCGCCAAGGACGCCACAGGGATAGTGGCCTGCAATATAGAAGACACATCGTAGTGGCCGAGCAAGATGCAATCATTATGAGAAATGGCAATACTATGAGCAGATATTATCAATACTACCGCACATGAGCTTAGAAATTCTTCGTGTCTGTATCAATTTATTCTTCTTCCATTCTAGGCCTCGACATATCATTGGCCTCGGCCTGGCCCGGCTCGGGTCCGGAGCGTGGGGTTGGACGGGCCGAAGCGCCGAGTGTTGGACGACAGCATGCAGGCCCCAGGGGAAAGTGCAACTATAAGACTCGTAGACTCGTTTCAGTAGACATGGCTTGGTATGAGGACCAGTATTAAACTGGGAAACTGGAGTTTGTGGTCACGTATAAAGAGCGCTGCAGCGGGAACTGCTCCACTAGTAGAAGAAACGAAACAAAGCAAAGTTAAAAGCGTTGAATTTATTGCAAACTATCTCTTGGTTTAAACCAATCTCGTTATCTGGATTCAAGCGTATCTTTTTTTTGTTTCATTTTGTTTCATTTTCTCCACCGAATAAAGAAATCCAGTTCCTTTCAAAAAGAGTCCGAGATCAACACTGCGAGCGGCCATACTAGGCTGACTCAAATCCACTCCCAGGTGGCAGTGGCGCGGCCAATGCTGAGTGGTCCAATAACTTGTTGGAAGGCCGTAGGAGAGAGGTCAAGGTCATCTTCAGCACAGCCGGTGCAGCGGTCGACAACCTTGACGTCCACAGACCTGCCCTCGTAGTGGATGCGGATGTTGCGGCCGCAGGGGTGCTCGCGGTCATAAAGGGAGTGAGACACGGCGACGACGAGCTCGGAGTCGCTGTTGGTTTGTCCACAGGCGCCGAGGCCAACTTCGTAGTAGGTCATGGAGCCGGTGAAGAGGGCAGCTGCTCGAGTCTCTGGTTCGGTGGGAGCAGCGGAAGTGGTGATGGCGAGGCAAAGCGCAGAAATGACGGTAGTAATAGAAACCATCTTGAAGAATTTGAGATTGAAAGTGCGTTTTTAGAAGTAGAATAAAATATTTTGGAAAAATTGGAGTGGCAGAGTGGTGGGTGCTTCGGATTGTGCTGTGGTGTGAAAGCTTGATGAGCAGAAAGGAGAAGTTATCGTGGGATTTCATGGGAACTTTATAGTCGATAGCTCCGACACTATCATCTCTCTTCTTTGATTCCATGGCTGCTCGTGACCAGTGAACAGAGTATCAATCTCATGTTTGCGTTCTTTGACAGCAGTGTATCAGAAAGGCTTTCTGCCGTTGGTCGTCACGAACAATAGAAGTTTGGCGGAGGTCCCCCGCTCTCGCATATCATGAGCTCGATGATGAAGGCGAGGCATCTGTTCACATTGAGTGATTATTTGCATGTGCCTGAGGTAATTGAATGTTGGGGCAGGCCACTAATATTGCGATATCATGATCTAGGCCGGGGATTTTGGAGTCTGTTGGGCTTGTGATGCCTGTATATGTGATTGTATTGTCACAAAGAAACTTCCTACTGGGCGTTTTTTGACCGAATCAAAAGTATAATACCGTCGCTGTCCTTGATTAAATGCAAAGTCGGAATGGTGGTACTTGAGACGTGGTCAATCATGAGCATACGAGACTCAAACCCAAACTCGATAGTCACTTGATGCCTCTTTTATTGACATGAAGAGGCATTTGGAATAGCACTGTTGTTTATTCACTCTACATGAGGGCTGCAAAGTTGAAAATTCTCAACCGAAGATGTCACATGCAGATGATTATCACCATCCACTAGGCTCGAGATTGGCAGGTTCAGATCTTTCGAACAATTGATTCAGCCAACAATGCGTCGAGCATGAGCCATTAAACTGCTGGATTAGGCAAACAGGCTCTCTATAGGCCAGTGCTGGGCAGCCAAGGGCCAGTGCGCCACTGCAATATATGCATCGGAGAAAGCAGTCCTTTGCAATATACCGTTTGAGCTGCAGCTTGTAAGCCAACGATGCGGGCCCTGTGATTGCCCTCGCCTCACAATAGCTCACTCAAAAGCGACTTGAAAAGCATTCTTCATAGGCAAACAAGTAATCCACTAGATCAAAGTTTAGTGATTCCATTTGGCGGTGAACAGATGAAGGCCGGGCTGCATTTGCTTCAGTATTCACTATAGAAGCATCCACGCTCATATTCTCCTCGCGCAACGACCTCACGACTAATGTTGGAACCTACAACAACAAGTTTTGACCTCGTCTCTTCTTCCCGAATTTTGAGTAAATTGCGATGTTGTTTTCGATACTTTTCACATACATCGCGCCCTTTAAGCACAATCGACAACCCAGAGGTCGATCCATCCCCGCATAAATGCGGCTTTTGATGCCGATTAGGGACCAGCCGCCTCCACTTGGCCCGAGTCACATCCCTCCGGTCGGTAACCAACACCGAAAAGTGGGAAGAAGACCGGGCCTCTTATCGTCGACGATGACTCTTTCCCCCTTTTTTCCCTTCAGCTGTGATGACTTCGATTTGATAATAGAATCTTTAAATAATTCCTTATCAGAAAGAGAGGTATCGTGAGGAGAACGCACTTGATAACAAATGGTCTGATTAGACTCATCGCAAACTGTAATGAGTCAAGGGCGTCGTCCAACGCTTTATAACAAGCTTGTTCAGAAACAAAGAGAGCATCGCACGGTGTTCCTCGCTCACCAACTCGCCAGTCTACTCCCAAGAGCATCAAAGGCATCACGTTCTTCATCGTTCGACTCCTATTGTTCAAGGCCAGGGGCTCCAGCATGGGTAGCAAAAACGAGCCTGCGTTTGTCTTGTCCTCCGTGGCAGATATTTCGACTGTGGAGAAGCATCTCCCCTCGCTCCGGGCCCTTCTTCAGCACTGCATCAATGATGAGCCCGACATCTCGTCCCTTGGGTTCCTGGCGCCGCTCGCCGACCATACGGCAGACAGTTACTGGCTCGAGCTCATGTCCACGGTGACGGGACCACACGCTACGACCACGCTGCTCATAGCGACACCAACTGGAAGCGACAAGATCGTTGCTACGGTGCAGTTGGCGAGGATGCCAAAGGAAACACACACTTTCAAGGGTGAGGTTCGGAAGCTGATGGTGCATCCTGACTATCGGCGGCATGGGCTGGGGAAGTGCATGATGGACGAGGTGGAAAGGGTTGCGCGAGAAGAGTTTGCACTGGAGATGCTGTTGTTGGATACGTCCAAGGAGACGCCGGCGAGGGAGTTTTACTTGAAGACTGGATGGACAGAATGGGGGATTTGCCCCAACTATGCAAAGTCGTCGAGTGGAGTCAAGCACGACTGCTGTTTTTTTGTGAAAGACCTGGTGTAGTGTGAACAAAGTCTTTGTTGGGCGGACCATGAGTTTGAACAGCAACGCGTTTAGTATTGTTTGTCAAGGTAATACAACTCGTCTATTAGGCGTAATGATCTATCCCCCTTTGTAGTAGTATATCAGTATATATGAATAGAGTGTAAGATGCTTCTACGAGTTTTGCACGAAGCTTACCGAGGACAGCCACCTATACGCACGTTATGAACAATCCTACTGGATATCAACGCTCTCCAAAGTCCTACAAGGGCGTGATCTTTGTACCCATTCTGTACAGGCATTAATCGAGTGAGGCGCTCGTCCCTTGTTATAGCATCGTATTGGATGATGATCCAACGTTGACTCTCAGTTCACCGTTGGCAGAGATTTCAGGACTCATCAAAGCTACAAAGATGCATTACAACAGCAGTCACCCACAAGAGTCCTAGAATATCAGTCTTCTAAATGCTAGATAGCCAAAGATGTCAGTTTACTGTCTTACTGCAGGATCCGGCCCCACACCGGCCTCGCCCCGAGTAGTCTCACCGGAGCCGAACTATCACAGCCTCCGGTGGTTCAAAGGTCCGGAAGGCTTCACGTTGGTGTACTGCTTATTAAAAAAAAAGAGACTTCTTAGAACTAGACCTTCTCGAGCTTCCAAATACCAGAGGTTCACATGACCAGAAATTTTGCTCAGCAAGGCTTTTTTCTCGCGCAACATCCAAAGCTTCTGGATGATGTCCCATTTGTAAGTCAGAGCTATTTCTGATTCTACTCAAGACACTCCCTCGCCCCTCCAGACAGCTGAGTCGCTGAATGTCACCTTCTTACACGCGGCAAAGAATCACGGCCTCGTCATCAATCACCATCGTTAATACAGGATACAACACTCCCCTCTCAAGCCTAGTAAGAACTCGTGGCGATAGTAATAGCATCGTGCTGAACCCTATCAGCATTACGCGGACTTAGACTTTGTACTTTCAAATTCACCACGTACATACCCAGTTATTATCTGGATAGGTGATAGTCTTCTGGTGCAACACAAGTCAGTTGTTCCGGCCTGGTTAAGCATATCACCGCTTATCGTCATCCGGAGAGTGTGGAATCCTGGGGCAAACCTCTGCATGTCCCGTGGCAGCCGTGATAAGAAGCGGCTCAACCCCGATTGAGTACCACAGTGACATATCTTTCTTCTCAACCGCTTTCAAATCGGAATATCGTGGAGTGTCATTTCAGTATTACACGTGCAATGATAGAGGCAGGCCCATTTTCAGTAATTGCATCTGATATACGGTGTAAGCCTGGATCCGTATTCTCCGATTACACATGAGAAAGGGAGAACGGTGTCTGAATTGGCTTTATCAGCATCCATTTGTTGCATAATGGTGCATCTTATTAATGTCAGAAATGTAGTTATCTGTGTCCGTGTGTGAATTTGTAAGGCGGAACTGGAATTGGATCTTAAAGCTTCGACGTATGCTTCCAATCGCCACCAACTAGAGGCACCATCTTGTAGCTTTCAATCGACGAAATAATCCCAACATTCTCACTGTAGTAGTAAGAGTGTATCTTTCTCTGCCAGAGTCTCGGAGGAATACCTCAACAGTCTCACAGTTACGGATTAAGTGACCAAGGCTCGGCTCTTAACAGCATGGGTACTTGGCTCAACTAAAGAAGCAAAACCTCTCAAAATTGCTCCTCTCTAAACACCGATCCAGTTCCGAATTGACCAAGGCCTTGGCTTCCCGCTCACTCTTGCGCCCAAAGATCTCAACTCCGCGGCCTCGCAAATCCCAAAGCTCCGTGGATCTGATACTGGTACTGTGGGTTTCTGTTCTTCCTCTTAATCCCTCCAAAGAGAGTGTTACGTATGCACTTCCCGGCAGTACCGGTCGGCCGCATCTCAACCGCATCCCGGAGCGGTGCCCCCACAGTCCGCCATTCCATCAAGAAGACCCCGAGACCGACACTACAAACTCTGTTGATATAGACTCCAAGCCTTGTGGAGAATAGGGAATAGCAGCTTAGCAATACTGATGGAGTCCCTTTGTTTCAATATGTTAAACGCCATCCCGTGGTTTACTAGACGCTTTTGACTTTAACGACAGCCGTGCTGCAATGTGTATAACACTGCCACCACATTGTAGATGATTCTCCCGATCCATCACATAATCTCACGGTGGCTTCCGTCTAGGCTGATATCAGCTAGGCAGGGCCAGTTTGTTAGCAATCAAATAGTCCACCAGGCGGACGGGGCGTCTTGGTTGGTCTGGTCTGTGCTATTACTACAACTGCAATTACCATACGCCTCCAATGGCTCCATTCCAATGCAATGGATCGGGTCAGGCTCGGGAGTCCGTTGGTGGCCACGGCACAGTAGAGGGAAACGCACACCTTTGGCGGTCGCCTCTGCTGATCCACCGTGCCCGACGGACTGGGCTGCTGAAAACTATTGAAACAAGGTGATGGAACGTATCAGAGAGACCCGATACACTGTGGCTGGGCCTTGGCGGTGATCCGCCCTTTGGTTGTATAAGGCGCTATTGGTGTACCGTCAGTTGCAGCCCAACGCCGTAGCTGAGCCCAAGTCTCGGCCAAATGCAGAATACCTTGCGGAGTAATAGAGAAACACAATAGGCGAACTTATCACCGGGTCTAGATGCCACAGCGGACCGGCACTCGCTTGAAGCCATCGCCGAGCGAGCAAGATGCAATGCAACTGATGCTTCCAGCGACTGCCGGCGAATGGTGTTGCCAACATGAAGACCTATGTCATTGCGCAACAACGGACACTACTGCTAGCTGCTTCAGACGGGCCTAAATCATATGGCTGCTTCCCTTGCATCTCACAGAGTCTCGGCTCATCTACGATATCAATCCAGACACGATACCAACAAGGGAAGCCATACGACGACAACTGCCGGTGGACCCCTCCCTCGAGCCTGGCCTTCCGGAGACTGTCAGCATTCAAAATCACGGCTCACTAGTCGACATCTCGTTTGCTTTCACTGGGGGCGTTAGTCATATGTAATTCTGGATCATTCAGACCGATAAGTTGCCTTTCAATCGACTTGTGGAGAAGGCCCGGCATTGGGCATACCGCTTCACATCCCGTGCCTTGCTAGAAAGATGAGAGGCGAATAGTAAGGATCTCCTCTTGACCACATGGGCAGCCGCGCTTTGATGCAAGGGTCAATTTCCTGCCAAGCACCCGATAAGAACGTTGTTGCCCGAGCCCATCTCGGGATGGATACTTGCTGCTTGATGCCACGCTGCTGCTGCACGGAGGTGTTTCCGTACAAAAGATATGGCAAATCATGTATAACAGATATGACACTCATGCTCCTCGCTGCAAGGGAGAGTCATCCTCTCTTGGCCCTGACATGCTTGTACAGATGGATGACTATCAATCTCATTCACGAAATATGTGTCAATAAAAAACAAACTTGGGCCAAAATCATGCACAGCGACCCAAGCAGCAACATGTCTCCAAGCGAGCTGCTCAGGCTGTCAAGTCTCACGTTCTTGTTTGCATTCTCTCACCTGAAAGGCTCCTCTCTCACCACAGCAACAAGGCAGCTCCCGTCACAAAGAGCAAGCCCTACAGCGTTCTGTTTCTTGCATTCGTCCACTATTTCCCGCAAAGAGTAAGCACCGCATGTGACTGCGTGCTCTTTCGTGTCACAGCAGTAGCGCGGGCCAAATGCCGCCTGACCCTCTTTTTGCCTCCTCGTCTAGACATCTGGATTCGTACATTGGGAGGAGGTTCTCTGCATGATGCATTGTAGGCCTGGACGCTGCTGAACCAGTGGCCCAGAAGGGTAGATACAGCGTGCTCCTCGCACATGGCCTCACAGCTGCGCCTTGACTTGTGTTAGTCGCTGGCAGATGCTACTGTATACCTTGGCTCTCTTCCCCATCCTGGAGAGACATGCATAGTGGCGCTATCCATGTGGTGCACATACGTGGCGACGGGAGAGAAGCTGATGCTTCCCCCCCCCCCCCCCCCCCCCCTTCTGGAGCAGAGCGTCGTAGCGAGTGGTGGGAGATTCTCGGCCCCGTTATCGAGGTGCTTGTCTTGTGTTGTTTGTTTCTTGTCTGATGGTCATTCCCTCTGCTTCAAGCAAAGGTGGAGAGTCGACTGCATTGTAAGTCATGCAAGGACGGGAGGGATGGGATGTCATGGCATGGCCTTGTGCTTGAGCCTGAGCCGAGTGAGTGAGAGCGTTACCGCTGCTTTGCTTCTCTCTTGAGCAACGACTCATACTGTACAGCAACACCAACTACACGCTTCCAAGACCGACTTTCTATGTACAGTACAGCATGCACAAGTAATATCGCTCGGCAACTCGCAGCAGCTTGGTCCTCCCCTGTAGGATGCGGCACGGCATGATTGTGCTCCGTGAAGAGGAAAAAGAGGATTTGCTGCAAAATGATTCAGGAATCCTGCAGACAGCCACAAATCAGCCAGATGCAATCACAAGCACCTGCAATTTCCACCAACCCGCAAGGCTTTCGGTGTGTCTCTCTCTCGGCTGTTGGCTCTAAGCATTGAAATTGTTGATTGTCACTCTGTCAGCCCGTCGGTCGTACTAGCCAGTTAGTCATATTCATGGGCTTTTTCTCTTTTTTTTCAGCTGCCCAAGAATACTATCCAACGGCTGCTCGCAGCTACAGCACAGTATCATCCCGGCCACTGGATTTCCAGCCGTTTCCCCTCAGAAGCGGTGTGATGGACGCTTTGACTCTACTGTAGTCCCGTCACTCATCACTTCGATTACGGGGTAAATCCAGGATGACATTTTTTTTGCCATGGGACAGGAATAGCTTGAACCCCTTCCCATGTTAGCCGGCTGGGATTTAGTTTACAGTAGCATCTTGGTCTTATTCTGCTAGCCAGGCTGCCATGAGGCTTGACCAGGGTGATGCCCAACAGCAGAAAGAAGGAGAAGAAAAGAAAAGAAAGCCAGCCGTTTCTCCGAGTTCCAAACCACGATCCCCGGTCAGAAGTTGGAGGAGCCCGTCACCCATGCCGCTGTGTCTTTGGGTCCCGTGAGGTTGCCGTCATACAACGGGGGGGGTGGTGTGTGGTTTGTCTCTCTTCTCCTTCCTTTGGCCTCTATTTTTGTTTTCCCTTTTTTCGACTGTTTGATAGTCGGTGCACTGGCCTTGCGGATGTCTTACGGATGAGCAAAAGCCTGGCCTGGGAGAGACAGATGGCGCTATCGGGACACGGAGCCCGGCTTACTTACATGCAATCTTGCATGTTCGTACGGGCGTAGGCTTGGACATGACGTCCAACCAAGATTCGTTTCCTTGCAGTGACTTTTGTACGGACGGGCCGTTGCAGTAGCAATGCTTGCTATCCTACAGTAAATCCTGAATAATGTCAGAGCTTTGCAGCATGCTCTATGATGATACCTCGAGGACCATCTCCTTTCTCGATATCATTACGAGAATATAGCCTGTTCTCACTTCCCCATCCAAGCAATACACGTAAATCTCTACCAAACGTGCATAAGCACCAGTGACACCAGTGACACTGGCTCAAACTCCAGCCAAGGCAGGCCTTGCTAGTTCTCCAAAGCTCAGCTCCCAGCTCCCAGCTCCCAAAAGCCACTAAAATCCTGCCCGGCGCCCAAGTCGAACAACGCTCCTTGGTAGATCCTGATATAGCACTAAATAAGCTCGACTTTCTGAGCAAGTCCTATTATTGTACAAGTAGGGTGAACGCCTTACTAGGGCGGATTTGCTACTATCGACGGAATCTCCAGCCTCAATATTCGAACGCGTTGGAGCCAAAGCCGAGCAAGGTCCGGGATGCTGTCATGACTTTTTGACCACGGGAAGATGAGTACTTGCTTGCATGCCAATCTAGACTCTTCCTTGCATCTCTGTGGCTTGCGTCAAGAATCCCCCTTGCGTCTTTCCCGTCGCCCTGCTTGCTTTGGAAGTAATGACACCATGCTGCAGTAGAAGAAAGTAGACAGGAACACAAAAGTGGTGTACAGTATCAAAGCACTGCTTCGTCATGCTGGCTGTCCGTCTTGGATATGCCTTGCATCTCGATTGCCTCAAGCCCGGGGACCATCATCAAGCCAACCGTATCACGAAAACAACCTCCAAAACAGCCTCACTGATAGTGGCTGCTGTAATAGGTAGGCAGAAAAAAGACCATGACTGCATCCGCCCCGGCCTCATGGCATCATCGCAGCCGTCATAGCCAGTTTTCTCTCTACACTTATCAAATCCCCCCTCATCACTAACACGCAGTTCAACCTCATCCAGACCCAGGCCTCCCCTCCAGATTCTGCCCGCGAACCACCCTTGGAAAGCTGCAAAATTGATTGATAGTCCATATGTACTGAATCGACCCAATCATCGCCTCCCGCCTCACACCCAGTCCATCATCTCTGCCCAGCGGGCTTTCTAGCCAGGCTTCTTCCGTGCAAGTCCCCTTGTATCGAACCAACCAGGCACGATCCCTCGCCCTTCGCCACTTATTTTTTACAAAGCAGCTTTCCTTCTCTATCAATCTCCCCATGGGCTCTGCCTCGTTTCCCGTCCATCCATCCAATCTCATTGGAAGCTCCCTCTTGCAACGCTACTGCTTGCCGCTACGACTCATCCAAGTAAGCCTGCCTTTTTGGCCAACTTACGAGATGCAGTCATTGGCACGTCCCCTAGCTTTGCATGTTGCAGAAAATACCACCTCACCACACCACCTCACCAAGCATCAAGCATGCATCAAGCACCAAGCATCAAAGCAGCTTCTCGCCCATGCCCGAAACAATCATCCGTCGACCTCCCGTCTCTCCAATGAGAAGCACAGCTTGCAGTCCCGCTCCTCCTCCACCCAACACAGCCCAGCCAGATATCACTTGCTCAGCTTTTTTTTCCCTTTCCCTGCCTTTCCTTTCTTGCAACTTGCTCCACACACATCTGCCTATTCCCAAGCCATTGGCTCCTTTTCTCATACCCTCGTCATCTCCAATCTCTGCTCTCAGCGAATAGAATAGCAAGCCCCCCCCAGCTTCCCTTATCCCCCCTTCAACAAGGGTGGTCTGGGTCCTTGCCGTCCCCTCTTCTTTTCCAGAGCCCAGCCCAATCTAGTCCTATCCAAGCGCAGTTTTGTCATGGGGCTTCTCCAATCCAGATTGTGATATCGGTTCCTTACCACCCCACAGCGTCACATCGAGCCAGCCCAGAGCCGAAAAGCCAATTTCTGCCTCTTTTTCCTACCCAACGCCAGACCAAACTAGCCCCCCTTCCGGAGTAGTTGATTCAATGCTTCCCTCGTTGCCGTGCTAAAATGCAACGAGGGTTGCAATCCATGCCGCGCTAATTTCGCCTTCTCCAACAAAAAAAGCACAGCTCATCTGGCCTTCATCCAGGAATCCCATAAGCCTCCACATCATTGAAGACGCTAGCATTCGTCTATCGTAGCTTCAGAGCTTAGCGTCATCCACATGCCCTTCTACTGCCTCTTCTAAAGAAAACACTTGAAGGGAAAAGTAGGCTGGCGCCACGCCAGTCCCATGATTAGAACCAAGGGCCCCTCCCTTCTTCTGCTTCTCCGCTGATTCACCTTGTCAAGACCAGTATTCAAGTATTCATTCTGTCCACCTGCGACTGGGTGAGAGAAACAAAGTACACAATGGCACACAGTAATGCAGAGCTCGTTTACTAATGCGCTGGCTCCTCACGCCCCCTGTCCACTCCGAAAATGGCGCGTTCTTTCTATACTGTATCTTGTCAATCTTTGACTGGGTCCCGGAACCTGCGGCCACTAGCTCAGGGGATGAACTGGCTCGCTGGCGTTGGGACCACATGTTACCCATAGAATCGCAGCGTGTTCCATCGGTGTTGGAGAAACAGTAGCAGTTGGTTAGGTAGTAGACCTGGGTGGTAAAATTGGCTGCCCATCCTGTCGCCGGCCTGAAGTATGGCCCAGCCTGAGCAGTGTTCGTGATCAATACTTCACGTCACTAAAGATAGTAGTTAGCACACCATTGTCAGATTCAGTCTGGGGGGAGTCAGCATTTTCGCAGTTACCCCCATCTCATTCAGAGCTGCTGCTCTGTAGCTCTTCCGGTCGTTTTGTCTCCATCGCAGCAGAATCTCCCAGGACAGTCTAACGGCACATTGTGGAAGACATTTTATAGTATCTGATAAACGTATATTTGTGTTGATAGGCTTGGACTTCTGCCCGTCTATCTCTCTCTTTAAAAACGTGTGCGGTAGCAATTTAAGCATCTCCGCGTGGGCTAGAGCCCAAAATCTTCTATCTTTGTGTAATCTCTCACAAACAAGACACCAAATCAACATTGTGTCTTGGGCATCTATGCCCAAATTCCTTGCCCATCGTAAACAAAAGAAAGAACAAAGAATTGACTGGAAATCGGCCATATTGTCGTTTCCAGTATTGAAGGAGTGTTGTGAAATCCAGCTCAAGAGTAGAGCTTTCCCATTATCGGGTTTGTGTTTTTCTCAAAATCGTCAGTGTCGTTTCCATCTCATGTCCATCAAAAAAGTTGACAAATAACTCCCCGTCTCTCATTCTCCAGAAAAAAGAAATGTCCTGTATGCCCCTTTCTCTCAGATATATATTCTTTGCGCCGGTACTGAATGCCTCGAAATCAAGGACACGCTTTCCCAAACTCCTCTTTTAGAAAAATAAAAATAAAAACTCCTCGCTAGAAAAAGAAAAACCAGTGCGGTCAAGGCGAATTGTTAAAAATTGGTCGATAGATACAACACAGAAAGAATCGAATATTAGGCTTTTGATATCTCAAATTGAGACATCCAATTTTGTCGCGGAAATTTTGTCGAAACGCCTTTTCTTTTCCTTTTTGATCCGAATTTGCGCAGCATTAAAAAGATAAGGTGTTCTCGACAAGTTTGGCTTCGAGCCTTTGGGTCTTGATGCCCGTGTAAAATCAAGGGAAGCATTATGTTCAATAAAGCCAACAGTTTTTGGAAGACGGTGTCGAAAAGATATTATAATAGTCGTCATGTTGGTGCTTAGTAGCAGCTATGCAGCGACGACAAGAAAGACACCTGCTGGTGGAAAGGTGCAGGATGCTGCATCATTGGCACCTGCTGAACGTATTTTACCACCTCCCACAGGTGGAAGAAGGATTTCGGTGTGCAAGCAGGCTGCACAGGAATGGGCGCCTGGATAGGCACCGGGACCTGCTGGCAGGGCATGTGCGGTATAGGTGCTTCCACCACAGGAATTGGGACAATAGGAGCGTGTAGAGGAACGGGAACAGGGCCAGTGTACTGTTGTGGGATGAATTCCTGGCCATGGAAGATGGGCTGCTGTTCACACAGTTCCTCAGGCTCGTATGTTTGAATGTATTCCTGAGGCAAGTCTTGCTGGTCGGACATGAAGTCGTCATCCTCTTCATCGGTATCAAGGTCATCAAGAGTTGATACGCTGGAGACGAGCGAGCCTTCATCCGATGTCGCAGAAGCAGAAGAGAGGGACTCGCAAAAGTCGGCGACGATTGCGTCCTCGTTGGAAACGTATTGGTCTTGGGTAGTGGGTGTGGGCACGTTCATGGGAGCCACTGCTGGGACGGTGAACTGGGAGCATGCAATGATCCTGTTCCGCAGCTCAGACAGAGTGACCCGGTGCTCGGGGTTGGGGTTAAAGATGCGTCCCAAAATGTCATTGAGCTCATCAGTCAAGGGCAGGATAGTCTTGAGAAAATCCTGAGAGCGAGCATAAGCTCGGTAGGTAGAGTCTTGGAAGGAAGCCTGCTTCCATGGGTTGCGTCCACAAGTGAGGTTAACCAGGATTACTCCCAGACTCCAGACATCATTGGGGGCACACATGTAGTAGGGTTTCCTTGCGGAAGGGTCCAAGCACTCTTTACAATTGTCGTTAGCCAACTTCTTCTTTTCGATTTGATCTGTTCCAAAGTTGAGATGCTGCTTACCTGGGCTCATGTAAAAGGTCGAGCCACATCCGTAGTCCTCGGAGCGGTCTTCACTGGTGGCCAATCCAAAGTCGGCGAGCTTGACGGTCTCTCCATTGTCGGTGACAAGGATGTTCTCAGGCTTGAGATCCCGGTGGTAGATACCCAAGTTATGGCAGTGCTCGACGGCATCCAAGATCTGGAGGAACACTTTCTTGGAGAGTTCATCCTTACCCACGTACTGACCACGCTCTGTGATATTCAAGAAGAGATCACCCTCGGGGCAGTACTCGAGAATAACATAGATGCAGTCAGGATCGTCCACAATCTTTAGCATGGACACCACATTCGGGTGCGCCGATGCGTGGTAGTGCAGGCGAATCTCTCGCTGCTGGTAGGCAATCTGGCGACGTTCCAGTGGTGTTCCATCGGCATTGTACTTGCTCAGGCACTTTACAGCATACCGAACTCCAGTGTTGATATCCAAGGCAGTGTAGACGACACCATATGCGCCGGTACCAAGAATATCAGTGAGCTGGAGCTTACCCTCAAGAAGACGTCCTATACGCTGTTCTGGGGCAAGGGGCACACATCGGGGCTGGAAAGTGCGTGTCGCAAAGGGCTGTTGGACGTTGCACTTGGGGTCGTCGTACGTGGGAGAGGCCGGGGGAGTGGGATATCCATACGGGGCATGGTGCTGCATGTTAAGCGACTTGTAGGGGGCTCTCCAAAAAAAAAAGTTCAATGGTCCAAGGATTCAAGTCAAGTACCAGACCAGAGGATGGAGAGATTTGATATTAGATAAGGCGAGTAGGATGATTAAAGAAAAAAGAAAAGAAAAAAAAGTCCTCGAGATAAGAGTGTGATGATGCGTTAATCCTGTTGAGAAGTTGTCGAGGTCGTTAAGGGAGGTTCCCTAGAATCACAGATCGAACTTCCAATCAGGTCCAGGAGCAGTCGTATAAAAGGCCAGAAGAAAGAAAAGGGTTCTCGAACAGCCGAACAAACGGGTCAAGAACGGCGTTGAATTGGCAACTGCTTCCGGGTGGCGAGGGTTGTCAGACTGGTAGAAGAGATATGTTATAGGAGGATGAAATGGCCTGGAGTCCTGAAGTCCAGAAGAGAAAGTTGAATTGACGGAAGATGAGGGCGTTGAAGGAAAGTCGTGAACGTGGTGATGCGTGTAATTGATTCCTCGGCCGAGAGTGGGCAACATGAGGTAGATATCAAGCTGCACCTTTAGGACACGGCGTGGATCTTTGGGTAGAGCGAGGCGGCGTTCAGACCCCAGCAGACGCACCCCAGGCGTATTCTTCGTCTCGGGGCTTGAGAATTGCGTGGAGCATCCACACCAAAGGCTCCACCTGTAAAAGCTCATCAGACCCTGGTCTGTTGGAAGAGATGAATGGCATGGGTGGTGTCTTAGTCGGCAGGGGGGAAACTAATGCGCCAGCTATTCTTAAACCAGCGCTACCAGGTTCATCGCCAGCCTTGGTGGGCGCGGGACTAGCGAGGCAGGGATCGTGGCGCGACGCTGAGCAATATACGAGAGGCGAGGATGCTCTGACACACCAAATGAAGTGGTTCGCTGTGACTTTGTGTCATCCGCTTGCTCGCTCGCCCTCACACACACACCCCCTTGTGCTCGGCTTGCGCTAGCGAACCCTTGGTCCCACTCACAACGTCAATGATGGTGGCCAAAGGAAACACTTGGGCGATTCCAGCCCCCCGATCCAGTCGGCTTCAACGGTGTCACAGTGAAAGATTGAGCCGTAATGGGGCGAGTGTCGGATCTGCGGCGGCCCACCGTACTGTAGGTCAACGCCCTTTTGCTTTCATCAGTCAAACCGTGCACTCGCACTGCTTTAGACCTGACTGGACTGGACTGACTGGCCTCTTCCCACCACCCACACACAGCTCACTCTCCAGGCAAAGCGTCATGGGCTGCCGCGTGACTAGCATGATCTTTCCCGTCTCTGGCAGAGAGCCAGAGAGACCAAGCCTGACTCAATGCGTTTCTATGCCGTTCGAATGTGTGGCTGCTGGAATGGAAACGGAAGTTCTGGTCAACCTTTGTCAGGCCACAAGCAAAGTTTCCGTGGCGGAGGCGAATTGTGAAAGAAACGGGTGATGTTCTGGGTCCAGTATGCTGTACTCCGCAGCAGCAGCTAGTCTTTTGTGTATACTTGTCGTCAGGTCGTCTGTATTCGGTATGCGCTGGGTCCTTTGCTCCTCTCTCGCTGCCGCCTGAGCAATCACAGCGCCAAAGGAGACACGGCAAAAGCACGGCACGGCACAAACACGCTGACCCTCACCAGGACTTCTGGTGGGTATAGGCAGCAAAGCCAGACTGAAATGCATGAAGCAATGCTGCCTGCCTGCCTGCTGGCTGCCAACCTGCCTACCTGATGCTTACAAGTACTACAAGTAGGTATTAGTTCTAGTATAAGTCTCTCTGTCCAACCATGAGAGATTCCTGTGTCAAGTCATCATGACACGGAAGGGAAGCTACATGGTGTAGCTCCTTTCATTGTGCCGTGGCAGCACTTGACATGAGCGGGTATAATACTGTACTGTAGATACCTAGCTGATTGATGATTGCAAGCGGCCATTTCATCCTGTACTGCAAAGACTAGACCAGCATCAATACAGTGGAGGAGTGGGTAGGAAAACCTGCAACACGAACGGTTATGAGGGACAGCGAAACAGAAAAAGCAAGAAAACAAGACGGCGTAGCTTACACTGTGCTGCTCCGCTGAGCAATGCAGCTGCGCATGCATTTCCCCCATCAATAGTGATAGCGTCGATGGTCACGGCCAGCCAATGAGACGCCGACTTTGTATGTACTTTGGAGTTGCTGCAGGAGCCAGATAGCGATCGCTACCGTATTGTGACTGGCCCGAGTGGCTGAGTGCTCTGCCAGCCCACGTCCTGTATACTGGTAGTGCTGCAGAATTCATACCAGCACCGTATGAGTTGAGTCTCCCCGTTGGAGTGCTGGAGCACTGTACGAGCACTGCGGGTGTCAGACAAGATTCAGGAGTGCCAGTTTTCGGATTAACGTGTGAGGCGTTTGCTGGCCAAATCAGAGGAAGAAAGACAAAAGGGGCCAGCCAATGGCAAATGTGAGGAATGCAGTGCAGGTTCTAATAATATGATTAGGCGCCATGTGGTCGACAACGCGGCCGGCGTTGTTGGCATCAAGTTGTTCCTCTGCGCTGGCCGTCGCTGGCGGCCCCCGTAGCGAACGTGGACACAGCTGGAGAGAAGCATCGACGCCGGCTGCTGTGCTGCTTTGCTGCCAACAAGTCCCAAGGGAGCGTGTATGTACTGTGCTCCATCTTTGTCTGGAGAATCCAGTGACCCAGGCTCGGTTCCCGTGTCGCCACAGACCAGTCCTTTGTCGTTTACTTGCTCAACCAGTCGTCCACCACCTCGCTGCCTGCCCCCGGCTGCATGCCGCATATCAGAACCACGCATTGTGCGTGCTGGTACGGAGCAAACGTGGCCAATATTGCCCGCAGCAGCGATGAGCCAACTGCTCAGCCGATGGCACAGGCGTTGTTAGCCAGAAGCGGACGCTTGCATCCGGTAGTGGCGACGGCGTCGTCGTCTGATTGGGACGCGATGCCAGGAACCTGCAAAGAGAGCAATGCAGAGGCCACGAGCCAATCAGCCATCACCGGGTCCCCGCCCAGCCCTCATGCAATGCTTCACCAGCCTTGTTTCTGGTTGAGCAATCTCGTCGACAAGGGAGCAGTGGTCCCACCCGTGCCGAGCAGAGCAGTGAGGCTGTCCGTACTACAACATACTCGCACAAGCACTGCTCCCGTAGACGATGGTACGAGGACGGTTTATGGGGATGGGTTGGAGGCGTCCAATCGAACGGCCGTCGGTGCCCGCCGCTGCCATGCCGCTGCGTCAACCTGATGCACCTGGCAGCAGATGTGCGACGCCTCGGACGCTCTAGACGCTGCTGGAGCAGGATTAGTGATTAGTGCAGCACTGGCTGCGGCCGCCGCGATGGAGGGCCATGCCTGATTCCAACATGCTGTACTGACTGGTGGCTTGAGTCGATGATCCAAAGCAGACTGAGAGGCGCTGTGCACGCCAAAGCAAGGGTCTCGTCCCTTCTGGGCCGTGCTGTCTCTCTGCTGTCTCGGAGATGAAGATGAAGGGAAGGGAGGGCCCCGTGATGCCGTTGGTGACTCCAGCGCTCCAGCGCTCCAGTCAATATTTGCACACGTCGTGACTCGATAGAGTTTGTCTAGATCTTACTAGAACCCGGAGCGAAAGACGGGCCATCTGGGCGCTGTGATTGGCCGCCCGCCGCAGGGGCCAGCAGGTACTTGTACACGTGCACGGCCACGTACACAGTTTGCGGCCGTGGCTGGCCTGCCGCAGCTCCAGCGCGATCCGTGCGACCAGCCCTGATTCCGCACGTGGCCCGCGTACCGCTACTGCGCCGCGCCAATTAGCGGTCTGCCAGGCCGGGTCTCCTATTCTTGCTCGTCCCCTGCCTCAGCAGCTTTGCTCTCCTCTCCTCCCTGTCATGGCGGGTGGCCCGCATCTAGCCGGCCCTGGGATAGCCTCACGCTGGATTCTGTGCCAAGCGAGACCTGGATCTGGCCTGGCCTCCTGGAGCTTTTGGGCTCAAGCAAGGGTCCTTGCCCGGTGGCCTGTGCTCCTTGGACTCGGCGTGAATCCTTTGCTGCTCTGGCTGGGATGCGGCGATCGCTCTTTGACGGTGCTTGTCCGGCCTGTGTCGACTTGCATGGACGAGCGAGCACGGGCTCTCGGCTTTGCTGCTTGCATTGCGATCCGCGCGGCGATCAGTCGAGGTTTGATGATGACGCCTGGCTGTCTGATAGCCGATGGTTTCATCATTCTTCGATCGGGACGGCAGCTTGGATGTGCAGGGCTATGTGGCCTCTTCTCTGCTGTTTTCATGGCTGAAACTGACAGGGCGCCTATTCACTTTACTGGCTACAGTATGTACGAGATGTGATGTTAGTTGTTGCTCCTTTCTACAGGATGGCAGCGGTAATACGGAACCCTACCGAAGAAGGGCTCCTATTCTCAGTGTGTGTACCAATTTGGAGCCATGTTTCGTCTGCAGCCGCTGCCAGACAAGGCTTTGCTTCTACAGTGCAGTATTTTGTTGTTGCTCGCAATGACACAAACGCTTCTGCTCTACCCAATGAGCTCACATGCCCTTCAACCCTGGTCTAGGCTTGGCTGATTTTTCTGTTCGCAAAAGACAGAATGCTAGCCGGTTACGGGCCTTTGTGTGCACTTGAACAGCAGAATAGATTGCCTCCCAGCCCTCTTTGCTTGGATCCGCGGGTATCCTGCTTGGGACGCGCCTCGGAAATGGCATGGTCCTGGCTCTGAATCCATCAATGTGACATGGAGATGGCCTCTTGGCCTGCCTGGTCCGAACATCACTTGAGAAAAGGGGGGTTGACACAACAATCTTTTCATCCCAGAAGCTTCGATGCTCCTCCAACAACCGCACGCACTAGAGCCAAACCAGCATCGAATGATTGGATCTTGGAGACCTGGGAGCAACACAAGGCGAGCAGATGGCGTCGAGGGCGGCTTCGGGACCCAATGATGTTGCCAACCACTATCTTTGCTAATTGCGGCTTTGCAACGCCGTGGCAATTATCGAGGCCCTCAGCTGAGCAACGCCATCTGTGTATGCTTGTACTATGTACAATCCGAGCGGCAGACCACGGGGGAGATGACGGCGGTTGGAGCTCTGCGGCCAAGTTGCCGACTGCCTTACAACAAGCTATACAAGGGCTCTCCGCATGGGCAGTCTGTACAGTAGTTTACATGAGGCAAAACAGCGAGCATGGATCGTCAAACAGGCTTGATGGGCGTTCCAGCAAACATCAACATCAAAACACTAAACTTCCATGGCGTCAATGATCAGCAAACAATGATGCAAATTTTTTGTTCCTCCTCCTTCTGTCTTTCGATCTTCCTTTTTCCTCTTCGATTCACAGATCTGATAGAAACCAAGCAACGGATCAGCCGATGCGGAGCAAGGAGTCCGCCTTGGCTAACCGGGCAGACTTTTCTGAAATGTCTACACCATTGTGCACTCACACACTCGCTCACACTCACACTCACACTCACACGCTCATGCAGTTCTCCAGCCGCCAGCTCATTAAACCGTTTAATCTGTCCTCTGCCTGCAGCAACCCTGCATGATGCCAGTTTCATCACACTACTGTACCATACGTGTGTACCGGGTCATGCTCTCCAACAAATTTGCTCTACCATGTTCCTCGCCTCCATCTTAGTGAGACAGTTCGCATGGCGGCACGGCTGAAACAGGACTAGGCACTCACATCCACGGTAATTAGTCCTCACAAGAACGCCTGATGGCCAATAAATCCAATGGAGCAATATTGTGTCTCCAACAATAGCAACAGTGCTAGAGGTAAAAAGAAGTCACCCAGCGCCTGGAGAAACAAAGGGAGGCAAAAAAGCAATATGGGACGAGGCGGCTCTTGCGTGGCTAGTCGGCGGCTGCCTGCAAGTCATCGACGGCACGCCACTCCCATCGGAATATGGGATCTCGCGGTGCCACAGTAGACGCTGGGCCTATTCCAAGATTTAGATTGATTGCTTACGTTTCCCTATCTTCAGCTTTGGGCGGTAAACCGGCCATGCCGTTTTGCTACGACTGCATCGTGGCCACTAGTTGTTGTTGTTGGATAAGAATCACAGTAGCCTGCTCTAGTAGCATCCGCCCTGTCGATAGCTCAGCTGCCCACTGTTTCGAGCGTGCATGACCCCTAGCGATTTTTTTCTTCCATCTTTTTTGCTGTGGGTTTTTCCCTCTACTGTCTAGACCCCGTAACTGGCTTCATCACTTGATGTGGCTTTGCCGCGCTCTGCGCTCATCCCGAGCCCCAACTATTGCCTGTCTTGGGAACACGAACACGGACGGCGGAGCCCGGGAATGTGGGGCCGGGGAATCCGATGGTCGTATCTAGAACTCGAGCTTTGGAATGTTCTTGGTCTTTTCTATCGGCCCGGAATGAGACCCGAGCCTGTAAATAATGGGAGCAAATGTAAGGGACAGAAAGTAAATTTTGGCATTGGGGCTGAGGTAGAAGCATGTGGTGTTTTCGTGTCGTGGTGGTAAAACGATATTGCCTTGTTTGCTTTTGGGAACATGTTGCCTTGAATCTCGTTGTTAGTCGGGGCAGTACAATGGCTAAAGCTTAAAGGACGCGCCGTTAACAGTCAAATCGATAAGAAGGTCAATTATTTGTTCTTTTTCAGGCGCCATCTGGCTTTGAGTTTCGGATAGTATAAGATGCTGACGTAGAAGCTGGGGGGCCAAGTTCTGGACTCTTCACCTGACGTCTTTTTGGACAGCCCATTACCCTAGAGTAAACGGCAGGTCGTAAATCTCCTTGGCCACGGAGATACTTTCAAAAGAGGCACTCAGTGTGGACAAACTAGCTATTGGGCGCCTTGTTTTTAACACGTAGCTTCGGTTCTCCAAAATCTCTCCGCCTAAGCAAGAGCTTCAATGTGGCGGCGTAGTTCTCCAATTCCATCCAAGCCACCGCCTGATGAGTGATCAGCCTTCCAAGGCTGTGGGCGAAGCTCCAACAAAGGAAGTAGGCCTGAGCTCCTGTGACTAAACCATTTCTCTCACTGATCAACCTGGAGATGACTAGGTAATCCATGGCGGTGGCAGTCTACTTCCCAGACAGCCACGGCCGCGTCGAACCATGGCGCCACTGAAGTCAAAGCTCCAGGCCCCGTGGCAGCGGGGGGGAGGAAGCAGATCGAGATGTTGCCATGGGAAAATGGCCCATGGTTTGATTTCCAAGAAACTAGTTCCTGATTCAGAGGCGTTAGACGTTTGGAGCTATGATCTTGTGAAAAGTAGTTTTATTGTCTTGTGGCGACTGGCGGCTCGGCAGTCGTTGTTAATGCTTACGCTGCTGTGGTGGACTTTGAGCTAATTGTTGCTGGGCCAGATCTAGAGAAGCGTGTGAATGACCTGGACTTGGCAATCAAGGATACTATCAGTTAATGGTACTTCAAACTATGGGATCTGGTGATTAGAGGTTCGCTTATGCTATCACACTGGCGCGACGAAGATGCGCATATCACTATGATATCTGTATGGTGATACATAGTCAAAACACTTATAACAATCCAAGATGATACCCTGTTTGTACAATAGAGTGGGACATGGCATTTTGCTTCAACGCATTGACCGATCTACAATGATGAAACAGTCATATATCTGCTACACTCACATCTAAAACAGCATACTACTAGCTGGATCTGATAACATCAGTATCAACAAACTCCATTTTCAGCAAAAAGGCACCCTCCATTTCTCTAAATGGAAGGTTTAATTAGTGTAATAAGCACACAGTCGCTTTACCTACTTTGGTGGGAAGAAGCCCAAAGCGGCACATACATTTTGGCTGTATTAATTGTGCCTTGCTCGACATGAATCATAAGCCAACTCCTCTTACGCAAAATGAAACTCCCCTCAGGTGATCCAATTTTTAACCTGCCGAGGAGAAGAATCAAAAACTGATTACTGATTGCGGGAGCTGCGAACAAGTGGCTGTTGATGGCGACTTTAGCATCCGTCAATAGCTTGGGGTGTAAGTGGTGGCAGGGCAATCTGGGCGCCCACGCCATTGTCTCTGTAGTAATCGATACTAAATCGCTGTATACACGGAGAAATACAGCGCCATCTTAAGGCTGCCATGGAGATGGTATGATTCTAGACCAACGGAGATGCCAGACAAGCACCTGAGATATGCCAGAGGCTTGTTTGTGGCCATCTCAGCTGTAATCGATGTCACTATCATATGTTGACTTGTTACTCTTGAGCCACCGGGAAATCCCAGTAGCCAAATGAAATGTGCAATCTCAGCGGAGTAGCGAGATATTGCCATCATCGCTAGCCAAAGGGGGAAGGGTGAAGTGATACTCACGTTGTCAGAACAAGTTTTCATGAGAATGCTTTCCCACGGGGAATCCCGCATTGATTAACATGACTTTTTACCCCGTATGGAGTATACGGTTAGAAACTAGCTGAACGGGATAGTACGGAGTAAGGACGGGGGGCTCCGGGATACAACTGCTACGTTGTGTGGCCTGTCATAGAAACAGGATCGCGTGATGATGAGGTGATCTAGCATTGCCGTTGCAAGCCTGGTATATATCGGTCACTCTGCTCCACCAAGTACCATGGGCATCGTCGTATGATTGGAATCATTGTAAAAAAAAATTATCAGATCGTCGGAACGAGGCTCGTCCCGAGGAAGAAACCCTCCGACGGAAAGTCGCCCGAAGAGGTCATACGACGTGGAGGCTAAGGCTGGTTCACGTGTAAGCAAAATTTCTTCAACACATCACGATCGTGCATCAAAGCCGGTGATTGCCGAAGATTACTGTAAAAAACAAGAAATGAATCGATTGCAGATGTTAGGAATATTGATCATATGCTATTTGAATTGAAATGGTTAGACAATTGGGTCATTCGCTAGCTTAATTGGCCTTGAAAATAGGGATTCTGACTTGTGACAAGCAAAGTTATGGTTGACTGCATTAAGATGTGGCTAATACAAGACACTGCTGATTCATTCCTTATCATATATCGTATCATGCAGATATCAAGGGATGCTGAATGACTACGTTGCGTGATACGGGATATTCAGCGTACTTTCCCGCCTCCCACCTTGTAAGAGAGATATTACTTGATGCCCAAGACTTGATAGAGACTATGACTATTAGTTTTATCAATTGCCTAAACAAAATATATAGATGCAGTATTCAACTCAAACCGACTAAGCTTGCCACCATTGATGGGTTTATTGTTTACCAGGATGCAGCCGTAGACCCGGAGAGAAGAAAAGAGAATATCTGTAGCCACACGACCTTACAACTAGGACTGATGCAAAGTGTTCAAGCCTATCTGACACCTTTTCCTTATAAGTATAGCAGTTGATGAATACATGGCGCCTTGTCGGGATGACTCTGTCTCGGGGAGTCAAGCTCTAGCATGAGAAGACGAGCGGGAAGGAAGAAACGTAGATGCACCGTATTGGCCACTGCTTTATCTGAATGAGACAGGTGGTTATTACTGCATCTAGAGATGATGATGAGATCAATTGCAATATATTGTACGTCGATATGATTATGGAAAGACATGTGTCCGTAGAATGCAGCTGTGGCCTTTGATAGGTATGCTGGCGATGCTGTGTATGCTGTGTATGCACTCAATCATTTTTGTAATTTATTAAGCTGTGAATCTTACTTTTCTTGGCAATTGATACACACAAAGATCCTTTCATATGCATCTCCGTGCGACAGATCATGTAAGGAGCGAGAGTGAAGACAGATCATGATGGCAAAATGTTTAACAACATCACGAGAAAGAACGGAATTAGACAAAACATAGGGCTTTAGTCTCCTGCACGTAGAGACTTTTGTGTAAATTAAAACGGTATTCTATAAAAAAGGAAAAAAAAAACAGTAGAGTCCTTAAACACCGTCGGTATAGCTTGAAATCGCCAGCTTATACTTCTATAATAACCCTCTAGAGCCTCCCGGGCTCATTCAGCAAACCCAAACTCCGTTCCTAAATGAGAGAAAGATGTATCCAATTGCAAAATAACAAATGACCTTTTCGAAGCTTCAGCGAAGCCACTCTCTGCCAGACGCGGATAAGTGCTTATTATTCTGCAATCATAACGAAGACTTGACAACGTCGAACCCAAATATAGGCAAACACGTTGTATTCCCCTGAATCAAATCCCAATGACATTGTTGATATAAATCATCAAATGTCCGCCTGCAGTGGAGCGCCCTCTGAAGAAATCTCCCCAAGGCTCCAAGACTGCCAATCCATAAGCACTTCAAGGCAGAGCAATATTGCTTGATTCAAATCAATCCAAGTGCCACTCCCAGCTGATACAACGCGGCCAAAGTAATAATGGCAACAACGAGGTTGACAAAGTATCGGAAAGCGACATTCTTCATCTGATTGCGGTTGCGGCGTCGCGATCGGGTCACAAAGTCCGAGTTATCATTGACATTGGGAAACCCGCACTCCTTGGGAACCGGCTCGCCAAGGAAATCACAAAGAGGCCCCCATCCATCCGTGACCTTGTATTCCAGCAGGCGATCCTTGGGCACCAGGCTTCGCACCTCTTGATAGTGCTTTCGGAACACGTCCTTGCCGCGGCCGGGAAAGTCGCCCTCGAAAAAGGAGTCGAAGAACTTCTTCAGCATCGGGTAGTACATGCTTGCCGCCCAGTCAAAGTGGGAGAGCCAGCGCAGCTCGCCGTCGGTGACGCGCCAGTAGACCGTCTTCATGGTGGAGGCGTGCCAGGAGTCGACGTCGCGGTTGGTCAGGACGACTTTGGCCTCTGGGTAGGCCTCGATGAGCTCCTTGGCAAAGGCAATGGCTGGCCAGTCGCACACGGCTTGGGAGTTTCCGAGGAGCTGGTCCCAGTCCTCGCGGGTAAAGGGCTTGCCTTTGTTGTCGTATTTGGCGCAGAGGGCGTCCATCCACATGAGAGCGTCGGGGGGGTTTTCGATGGAGGTGTTCATCATGTGGTATGTGTCGACGTAGCCGAGCTGTTTCATGGCTGCTCGCATAGCTAGTTGGAGTTAGAAGCGGGTTCATAGCTTTTGTTACAGTGTATTGGATAAAGATTGGCATGTTCATATGAGAATCGACATACAGGCAGTACCGGTGCGTCCCAGGCCCAGGATGAGGACCTTCATGGGGACCACACGGCCGAGCTTACGGCGGTTGATGTCAGTGTCGCTGGTGAAGATGTCGGTACGTGGCCGAGGGGTGTAGTTGGAAGAATACGCCATCGTAGCGGTTGTGTAGGGTATATTGTGTTCTTGGTCTATTACGGTGTAAATGAAGGCGTCGAGTAATCAAGTTGGTATATTACAACACGCTTGGCCAGAATAACTAAAGAGTGACAAGAAATGGGCGAACAATGAGCGAGTGAGTGACAAGAACCTCTGGCTGATGTTAAAAAAAGAGGAAAAAGGAATGAATCGAACAGAATTCTATCTCGGCATTGGGTGGGAGGAGAGGCAATTATAGTCTACATGGCCGTTACAAAGGGTCTACGACAAATGAGGAAAGCCATATGCTGTTCGAAGGAGATATTTTTGTCTGCGGATCCCAGCACTGGGGAATCTTGTCGCAATTTTGCAGCCGGGTCGGGAATATCAGATTATTCAGCCTGAAGGTGGACACCAATGGTGGTGTTTCTGGCGCTCATGGTTGCGATCTTCCTCTTTAGGCACTGGAAGCCGTATTACCGTCACTGTGTATGACTGCAGGGATCTCCTTTTACCTCGAACTCGAGTCGTCTCGCTCGCCAAGTTTAGTACGAAGAATATCGAGTCAGTTAGTGAGGACACAATTGAGCCTCTCCCATGTGTTGTGTTCGTCTGCATCGCACAGTCCGAATCGTATTATCCAGCGCTGGTGGTATGCTCCCGGGTTAGGGATTCTGGTGCCCGCCTTGCGGAGACGGTGTTACAGGGAGGGCGGGATCCATAGAAAGATTCGGAGCATCCCTGTTTACAAATGCCGCTGGATTTGCTTGATATCGGCAAATACTAATCAGGCTGAAGGCCATAGTATACATATCGCAAGCAGATGTTGTTATTGCGTCTTGTTTCGGTCGAAAACCAGTGCAATCATTCTGGAGTTTCAAGAAAACTGCATCACTTCAACAGATGCAGTGTTTTGGAACAAATTTACATGTTGTTTTCTGTATATGAGAAGAAATTGCGTTAATAGCGAAGACAAGCATGACGACCCCTTCCAGAACAGAGGACCTGATATTGATCGTCAATTTCTTTAGACGATCATCAGGGACCGCATAAAAAAGCTGCAATGACTGTGAATATAGTTTCGGCAGTGTCCACTCCATGGAAATGATCCACAGCCAAGAAGCGCCATCGGCTCGTCGGCCACCGAGTTCCACACTGTATAGGCCATCCGCAGAGATCGGCAGCTTCAACAACAATGGCTTACGTGGCAGAATGGAGATTCATCTTGCTCTTTGTTTCATAAAATAGGAGAAATATTTAGATCGGCCTGTAGACGCTGCGCGTGAGCTGTGGGCGTTGATTGTTCGTCTATGGCGGAGCCAATTGAGGCGTTGTTGTTGCGTGGACATGGAACATGCTTGCGTCACTGTCTGCGTGGCAATGGCTGTTTCAAACCGGGAATAGATGATGATTGTATCTGTAACTCATAGACGAGATAAAAGGATCAAAAGTTGAATGCGAATGCCAACTATGACGAATGTAAGTGAGGATATTCTTCTGTCAACGACGCGGCTGAAAGTTTAGCACACATGCAATCCTGCACAGCCAAGCCGTGATTCCTATTGTGGTAGCCGTTGAATGACATGCTAGAAACTGATTGGTCGCCGAGGTCCCGTCTCATCGTTTATGACGATAATCGGCTCTCCTGACTAGAGGCTTGCGTTCCTGCTCTTATCCACATGTGGCGCCCCTGACTATCGTTACCGAACTGTGCAGTGATAAATGGCAACGCCTTGTTTTGACGTCAATCACGCCCCGTTGGGTCTCGGATCCTCGCTTGTTCGAAGTCTAGAAGGAAAAGCAGTTGACAACAGCAAGCGAGGAGGCACGGATAGCGATGCTGGGGAATTGACGAGGGCTTTGGATCTATAGTTTGTTTGAAAGCGAACAAGGCAAAAGGTGTAATAGACACGCATTCAAGACTTTTTTTTTTAATCTGGTTGTTATATTTTGCAAAGCAGCACTGAAAACCGCCCTGTGAAACTGTTGTTGCTTAACACTCAATAGCAGCAGCTGAAGCATCGCCGATGACCCGAAGCCCACAAATGATCAGCACCCAATTGCTGTGTCCACACCGTCCATGGCCAACTTCCCACGCCGTTCTCCTGATGGATATTGGACAATACGCGCAATGTCGAGCCTCACTTCTCCTAAGCTTAAATGCCAAGACTTTCCCCCAGCTGTGCTGTTCCCTTTGATTGGCAAAGCCTCTGCCGGAATCTCGCGTGTATCCATCTGAGCCATTGCCGTCGTTGAATGATCGACTTGTTGGTTCCCAGACACAGCAGGTTTGCGCGTCTCTCAGCCGCCGTGTCCGAGCATAGCATTCAGACCTACTTTTTTTTTTCCCATGGCAAAGAGAAGGGAGAAGAGAACAATTAAAGAAAATAGCCGAAGCAGAAAACAATGGCCGGTGGACGGGGCGTTTCGGGTCCGATGCAAAGTCGAGGCAACGTAGCGGGCGGCATGCAGGTGGCGGGGTGAATTTCTTTCTTTCCTGTTTCATTGCAGCTTCTTTTGGCATCGCCAACTGACCCGCAGCACTTCTTTTTTCCTTCTTTTTCTTGTCACCTCGTATATAGCCATTTTTTTTTGTCATTCTTTTCTCTTATTCTCTGCGGCAATACAATATTCCCTTGAATTTATCCGTCTGATGATTCGCCACCCTCTTTTTCTTCATCTTGTTCCCCAACACTTTTGATCCGTCTGCTATGGCGTCTTCGCACGCCAGATCTGCCAGCAACGACTTTGCCTCCGGCGCACTGCTGGATCCTCTGCGGCCTCGGAAAATCCTAGATTTGCCCGACGGCACGTGGTCTCCCAATGAACAGCTGGGCCAGGCCGTGATTCCCACCGTCGACGAGGAAAGCAACTCCAATGGCTCCAGCTTCGACTTTGAGTCTCTGCGGCCGCTGACGCCCGTGACGCCCATGGAAAAGGCCCAGGCCAAGAGCTCCTCAGGCCCGGTGACGTGGATGTCCCTCCCGCGCAAAGACCAGCTGCTCATCCTGTTTCTCTCGCGCTTCGTCGACTTCCTGCAGGTCGCCTCCCTGCAAGCCTACGTCTTCTACCAGCTCAAGACATTCGACGACTCTCTGACAGACGCCCATATCTCGCAGCAGGCGGGGATACTGCAGGGATGTTTTACCGGCGCGCAGGTGATGACGGCCATTTTATGGGGTAAAGCTGCCGATGCGACTTGGTGTGGCCGCAAATGGGTGTTGGTGATTGGCCTTGCTGGCACGGCTATATCGTGCCTGGGCTACGGCTTTGCAACGACTTTTGCCTGGGCTGCCTTCTGGAGGGTCTTTGGTGGTGCGATTAACGGGACTGTGGGCATTATGTGAGTTTTGGCCTCTTGTTTCGGAGAAATTGGGCAAATGTCAACATGTCACTGACGGAGAATAATGCAACGACAGCCGCACCATGATTGCCGAAATCACCAAGGAGAAGAAGTATCAATCGCGAGCATTTTTGATTCTGCCCATGAGCTTCAACGTTGCGGGGATTCTGGGCCCAAGTAAGCCAGAGCCTTGACCCATCTTGTGCGAGGAACTGCAATTCTGACGTATACTCACTCAGTCATGGGAGGCATGCTGGCCGATTCAAACAAGACTCTTCCCGGGCTTTTTGGAGAAAATGCAGTCTTTGGGTTCCAATGGATTCGAGACTACCCATATGCCTTGCCGAGTCTTGTCAACGCCGTCAGCTTATCCATTGTAACCGTGATAGTGTTTCTCTTTCTGGAGGAAGTGAGTCGCCACAGTCATGCAAGCAGCATCTCTCTCCGAGTTGCGATGACGTTTTTGAGAACATAAGAGCAGTTTAGCTGACAGCCAAGCAGACATCCAGAGTACGGCAGAACAAGTTCGACGCCGGTCTCCATCTCGGAAATAGAATCAAGGCCGCCCTATTGGGTGAAAAGCAATCTGACGACTATGCTCGTGTTCCGGCCTGGGAAGATCACACCATGGAGAGTTTCGAAGACAAGAATATACCGGTGCCGAAGCCCGCGCCCTCGCTGAAGCAACTGCCCTTTCGCCTGCTCTGGACGCGCAACGTCTTGTTCACGCTGCTTACTGGCGCCTTTTACGACTTCCATCTCGGCGCCTTTGGCAACATGTGGGCGCTATTCCTGTCAACGCCTCGCTATCTCACTCCGGCCGCAAGGGGCCCAGAAATAGACACCCCCACGGCCAAGCCCATGCGTCGAGATCTGCCTCTCCTGTTCACGGGAGGGCTGGGAATGCCGGCGTCGACGGTTGGAGTTGCGACGTCCTTTCTCGGCATAATAGGCATGCTGCTGCAGGTGACCTTGTATCCGCCCATCCAGGCCCGTCTCGGCACAATGAGATCCTTCCAGTGGTTTCTGTTTCTCTTCCCGCTCGCATATTTCGTCGCCCCGTATCTCTCGATCCTGCCCTCGTGGTCGCCGGCACCCGAGCCCGCGTCGGGGGGCTTCATCTGGCTGGGCATCGTTGGCATCTTGTTCCTCCAGGTCATGGCCCGGACGTTTACGCTGCCGGCGAGCATCATCCTGCTCAACAACTGCAGCCCGCATCCCAGCGTCCTGGGCACGATCCACGGCCTGGGCCAGAGCGTCTCTGCGCTCTTCCGCACCGTCGGCCCGGTGGTGGGCGGCTGGTGGTACGGCTATGGGCTTGATATCGGCATGGTGGCCTGGGGCTGGTGGGGAGTTGCGGCAATGTCAGCGTTGGCGTGTGGGACAGCATTGGGCATGCATGATGGCAGCGGGCATGAGATAGTTCTCGAGGGCGAGGAGGAGATGGAGTAGAGGACAAGGTGTTGCTTGTCTCATATTCTTCTTTGTTTACACTCTAGAGCTTTTAATGTGTTGTGCATTTAGATAGATACCATCTGCGGAGTTGTTTCTTCGTCTCCTTTGTTTCCTTTGTACTTACTATCCTTGTTCAGCAACTGCCGTGGACACAAACAATAATACCTGTAAATAAATACAAAGACTCGCAAACGTGCTCTTTGATGTCACTCAGCCCCCCCTGGCTGCCTGGTTCCTGATTCTGAGGCGGGAGGTGGGCCGTGTTAGAGCCCTTTGGAGAGGCATCCCAGCCTAAACCCAGGCACCAGGTGCAAGGATTCAGGCAAACGGCACTTGGTCGTCACAAGCCGCGGCTAGGCCTAGTAAAGGCCCATGGATGCATCTCAGCTGCGCCGTTAGTCAGTCAGCCTAGTATTTTAACCTTCTTCAGAGTTAGAAGAATCGCTGGCAGACGGCCCTTTTCCTCTGCACATTATAGCGCGCGGTCTGGGCTCATGCTCAGCTGCTTGGGCTGAAAGAGGCTGTGCCCAGTAGCTGCCGTTGCCGTCATGGAACTGATGTGACTGGTGTAGCATTTTGCGGCTTGTGACGGTGGGCGGCAACGCAGTTTCATGCCTCTTCTGGATATCTGGGGGTTTCCTCTACTTTAAGACGTGCTGTTCTGCCACCTGAAGAGCCAGAAAGTTGCAACTCTGCCATCCACCAGCAACTTCTCAATCAGTCCATTCAACACTTGCTACATATCATGACAGCCCTGTCTTTACCACGGCATGCCGTTGAAGAGATGGCCAGGGAGACAATCCACGATCGCATCGTTGGCTGTCTCTTTGGATCAGCTCTGGGCGACGCCATAGGCCTCTACACCGAGTTTCTCTCTGCAGACACGGCCCGTCTCGCATATCCATCACAAAACTTCACTCTCTGTCCTCCATCCGAAGCCACGCCCTTTCGTCGAGACGCGCATCGGAACCCCAACGTCCCTGGAGAATGGACAGACGACACCGACCATGCCATGTGCATCTTGCTCTCCTTCCTGCACAGGGACGCAAGGGAAATGGACCCGCTAGACTTTGCTTCTCGCCTGCACGTCTGGGTCAGGATGGGCCTTCGCGCGTTGGACACTCTGCCGCTGGGCTTGGGGCACACTGTGGGCGCGATTGTGAGAAACCAGGCGTATCTCAATGATCCAGAAGGCACTGCGAGGAGACACTGGCAGCATACGAAATACAAGGCTGCGCCCAATGGAAGCGTCATGAGAACACACCCGCTGGGGCTCATGTGCATCAACAAGACGCTCGACGAAACGTTTCAGATTGCTGCCGACTACTCTGTCGTTACGCATGTCGACCCAAGATGCATCATTTCATGTGCCATCGGCACAGCGCTCATCAGAGGCCTTGTGCGGCAAGAGATATACAAGGAGGAGCAGATTGACGACATGGTTGACAAGGGAATCGCATGGTATACCGCATACCGCCTGCGCCGAGTTGAAAAGGACGCGAGTTGCAAAGACGAGCCAGAGCTGGACGTGGAGGAGCTGAACAAGCACGCCAAAGCCAACGACCTGGCCGAGCTCGAGCTCGACGACATGTACAAGATTGGATATACATACAAGACGTTTGGTTCGGGCGTGCATCTGCTGCGTCTCGCCATGAGAAAGGTTGCTGCCTCGGACAGCAGTCTCTCTACACAAACGTCCATTTTCGAGATGCTCATCACCGATCTCATCATGCGAGGTGGCGATGCCGATACGAATGCCTGCTTTTCCGGCGCTCTCCTCGGGGCATATCTTGGCTACAAAGCGCTTCCGTCACACTGGAGAGATGGTCTGAAGCACGGCGACTGGCTCATGAGGAAAGCAGAGGGGCTGAGCATCTTGCTGGGAGTCGGACTAGGCACATACAGCGGTTCGGAGGACAAGGATACGGCGCCCGATGGCGGCAGAGGATGGCTGACGGAGAGCCAGATTGAGAGGAAGGTGATGATGCTGCAGGCCGACATGGTTAAGAGAGGGCAGGAAAGGGATAGGCAGGAAGAAGCAGAGAAGAAGCGAGCGGAGAAGAGGCGGACGGAGAGAAGGAGGGAAAAGAGAGGATCGTGGCTGGGTGGACGAGGCTGATGAGGTTGACGAGAAGGCTTTTTTTTTCTTTTCTTTTTCTTCACGTATCAAGATAGATTTCATAACCTGAGCATTGCATTCTGACTAACTAACTGTGTCTACCGAAATCAAACTATCAAGCAATCTGAAGGGACATTTTGCATTCCTAACGTGTTCGTTCTTCCGAACTGCTTTTTCCCGAATCTCTGTCGAGCAAGATGTATGCACCAAACGCCAAATCAGTAAGCCACCAAATGCCGGCGAACGCGCGAAGGTCTATCCTGAGTAGGGCAAGTTTTCTTGCCTCGAGACACTTTTTCCATCACATTCCAAATTGTCCTAATTCCAAGTTTCCTGATTCCAAATTCCGAGTTGCAAAGTACCAACGTTCCAAATCTCAAGTTCCAAATACCGTACAAACAAATTGTGTCTTTGCACAAAAAGGAAAAAAAAAAAAAAGGAAAAAAAACGAGAGCCAGATGCTCATCGTCGTTTAAAAGCCACGGCCTTGGATGCGGTCAGCGGCGATTCCGTACGACGACATGGTGTCGCCGACCTCGCAAGGGTCGTCGCCAAACTCGACCTTTTCGAGGCCACGGGGACGGTCCTTCTCCAGGGACATCTTGCCCATCTGGGACTGGCAGCGGTAGCTACCAAACTTGAACTCCATGACGGCGCGTCCGCCGGCTCTGATGAGCTCAGTGACCTCGTCGAGCTGGAAGATGAATCTGTCTTTGAAGAACTTGGTGAGAGCGGCTTCGTTGACAAAGTCGGCGTGACCGGTGATGATTAGGACGCGAGACATGCGTCCAGCAACGGGGTGGCTGCCGTACTTGATTCGGTTGTAGGAAACCTTGACGCGCTGGCCCTCGACGAAGAGGCCGCGGGTCCAAGAGATGCTGAGGAGCTGCTGGGCAGCCTCGGGGGTGAAGAAGACAACCTTGGCGGCGGCTGTCGAATGGGCGTGGAAGTCGGGGTAGTTGACGTAGGTGCACCAGACACGGCCGACGTTGCGGATGGCCTTGAGGAGCTGGTGAGTGCTCGTTCCAGCAGGGAGGTTGGTGAGCCAAAGAGCGCAGTTCTGCTCAGGGGCGAGGTGCTCAGCGCTGGCGTTGGTCTCCGTGTGCATGCCGTGGTAGCGAGACGAGAACTTGGCCGTGCTGGGAGCGCAGGGGGAGAAGTCAGCCGTAAAGGCTTGCGAGGGAGTCTGCTGCATCACAGCCTGCATGGGCAAGAAGCCTCCGGTCGGGGCGTTGACGGGCACCTGGGCAGGACGAGCAGCAGGGCGAGCAGCGGAGGAAAGCTGGCGGATGGGGGCAACTCCAGGGGTAGAGAGGCGGAGGATGTCAATTCCAAGAGGCTGGTTGACAGCAGCCTCGACACCAGCAGAACTGAAGAGAGAGCTTTGAAGCTCGGAAAGATCGAACAGGGAGTCGTTCATGGAGGAGGCGGCAGACATCTGGCGGTTCATGGCAGTGACTCCAGCCTCGTGGTTGTAGCGAGCAGCCGAGTGCTGCTGCGCAAACATGGGATAGCCAGACGACGGACGGGCGAAGCCCTGAGGGTTGGCTGGGCGGTACACGTTGGGGGGCGTGTTGACCGCGGCAGGGAAGCGAGTCTGGTAGGCCGCAAAGGGCGACGGGCGAGCAATGGGGTTCTCGCGGCGGACGAAGCCATCTCTCTGGTTCATGTGGGCATCCAAAGAGCCCCAGCGAGCGTGAGCAGCAGAAGCCGCTTGGTTGTCGGCAGCAGCAGCAGCAGCAGCAGAAGCGGTGCCCTGGTCGAGACGGGTAGGCGCCCAGATCTGCGAGGAAAAGCCTCCGACGAAGCGAGGAATCTCGCGGCCACGAACTTGCGAGCTGCCCGAGGCAGCGGTACCCATCTCGTTGACGGGCGAGAGAGGGCCGGCAGGGAGGTGGGTAAAGGTGCTGAGCACCGCAGTGGCTCCAGCAGCAGAGGCAGAGGAGACGTGAGCCCCCGAGGTGGCAACAGGCTCCCCGAAGAAGCCTCCAGCGTCGTCTGGAGTGCGAGGAGTCTCGGGATCGCCCCTGAGGCTGTCAGGGGGAGAGCGGGAGAGGGAGACTCTCGGGACGTCGTAGACGAAGTTGCCCATCTTGGGCTTCTCGTTGTGGCCTTGGGCGTCCATGGCAACGAGGGCAGAGGTGGAAGAAGAGTTGTTCAAAAAAACAAGAGAGGCTGAGAGCGAGAGAGAGTTGGTTCCTGATGCCACAGAAAAGTCAGCCTCGTTTGCTTGGCAGAGAGTGATGGAAGAAGAAAGCCCAGTGTCCTACGAGGTTGAAGCCAGCCTGGTAGAAACTTGGCGGATTTCCACGAGTTTTTTCAGAAATGTGACGTACAGGAAAATGTGTGTGTATGAGGTTGAAAAAGTCAAAGTGTTGTGCGAGTAGGGTTGAGAAATATGTAGTAGCGAGGGCAGAAAGAAAAACAAAAGCGTGCAGCTGTAAACAGTAGTCAAGCGTTTGGAAAGAAGAGGAAAGGGGGGGGGAGCTGAAAAATTGGGGGGGGCTTGTTGTAACTAAATAGGGGAGCAGTTTTTGAAGAAAGTTCACTTGGAATTCACTTTCGAGTGACTGGGGAAATTGTCAGGCTGTCCGAGCTTTGGAAGGGCGAGTGAATTGAAAGTTTCGTCCCAAGTTCGAGGATCGTGGGATTGTGTTTGCAAGGAGCCGCGTATAGGGGGGGTGAAAGAGGTGGCGATGCGTATACGGCCTGTGGTGAAGGAAAAGTGAAGAGGGAGAGATTCAATAGAAAGCAATGGGCTGCTGAATAGCTTTTATATAAACGAAATGGAATGCTGATTCGGTTTGCTGTTTGGGAGTAGCACTTTTATGCATGCATCCTGCTTGCGTTATCACTGCCTTTTGTAGTTATTTGGAGTAGTAGTTCGGCAGCCGCCTCAGTAGCGCCAGCTCAGTGCCTGCAGACTGGCCGTTCTGATACGTGTTTCTACTATTTGACGGCAAGGCGAGCATTCTGATAGGATATGGCAGTAAATAGTGGATGCTATTTGGCGATATTGGAAATACATGGCCATTCATTCGGTCGCCGTAAACCTGGTTGCTGATAGACCAGCCGGCATTCTGCCTACTCCATGCATCGTGTCACCATATGAGTAAGCTGGCTGCGTGTAGATGGCAAAAAAACTAGGCCTCGAGCTAGCAGCAAGACTGCAGGGCGGAGGGCTGCCTCGTTTTTCTCTGGCGGTTGCAGCAGCAGTTGATTTTTGCACAGTCACCGAGCACATCATGGGAGTGGGCTTGGGGGGCTGTTCGGGACCTGACCCGGTTGGCCTCCCTGCAGGGAGCAAGTTTCATGGACTACAGAGGACTGATGCTAGTTGGAAAATGTTGGGCTGGAGCTGAGCGTTGATGGGCAGCAGAGCGAGAGGAGAAAAGCCACACCGACATGGCCCCATGGTGGGATGTAAGGGGGAGGCATAATTGAAACCGGGATTTGTCGTAATTGGCTGCAAAAACGAGCTGCGTAGAAGCAGACGGATGTTTGCTCTGAAAGTGCATGATTCTGGCCTTTTATTCTCTCGTTGATTTTTTTTGTATCCGGGCCTATGGCAAAGAGACAGGTGTCGAACGCGTCGAGAACCTGGCAAGGCACAGTTACAGTTCATTATGCATGAAATTAGATTCGTCCCGATTGGACCTCCAGCTGACTGGGGATGCAGTCGAAACGGGGAAAAGAAGAGAATCAAACGTTGAAGCTTCGAATCGGCGGATATCCGATCTACGAGGAATCTGCTACCCGATCGAACCAACACAGATTGATTATGAGCTGTCGTGCCGAGACTCTTGCTCAACGTACAAATACAGAGTCGCGTGTGTCTGGCTGCCATCAACTGCGTGCTGGACTGTACGAATACGCCCTCGGAGGATTTCTGCCAAGGGACAGGGGGCGGGTGTTCCCCACTGAGCCGTTGCTGACTACATCAAATGCACGTTCCCTTGCCTTGCGTCGAGGACGACAGCCGAAGGGCTTTGTGATGGACAGTGCTGTGTGTAGGTGCTTGTAAGTAAGCGGCAGTGGGATGGCATGGGATGGGCGAGTTCCGGTGATGGAGAGCCGTTATTGGATGGAATTTTGTTTGCTTTCCCCTCCATGGCTGCATAAAACTAGAGAAGGGAAGTAAAACGAGGCTGGGAAAGAGGGGAGAGAGAGAGAGCTGGCAGGAGTATGCAGCTGCATGGAACTTTTTGATTCAAAAAGCAAAGAGGACGCAGAGACAGTAGGAGAAGAAGTCAAGGATGGAGGAGAGTAGCAGAGAAATCCAGAAAATGAGAAGATGCTTCGCGGGGAGGTCCCTGCAACCGCGTCTAGGATCAGTCCGGGGACGCACCCAGGCGGCAGTTCAGCCTTGTGCGCTTCCAATCAGCTGTTTACAACGCATAGCAGCAATTTCGTGCACGCCGTCTAGTGCGGTGGCTGGTCTCTCCTTTCTGCCCGTCTCTCATTTCAACTGACAATTGCGGTCAAGAGGTGCATATTGGCCGCCTGGCCGGCCTGGTATTTATTCAAGTGGCTGATGTTTGCTGCTTCCACGTCGAGCACAGTGCCCACTCATGATATCATCCTGCTGGCACGGGGGATAGAAACATGTCCGAGCACCAGAGTCAGCTTCCAGCCACTTGGTGATGGTGGCACCAGGTCTGTGCTTTGGACACTGGGGTATGGGATTATGCGCTGGGCTGGATCGGAGTCATCAGTGAAGCAAAGGATAGTATCCGTAGGGCATCTGAATTCTATGAGACGCCGTGTATCGTATCTCTCTGGCTGTTCTTCGTTGTCAGATTTCAAAAAATATTCGCGGCTTCCAAGCGCAATTTGGCCACCAGCCTGGTTGCCTTGCTCCCCCAGCGGAGAATAAAACCAGGCTGCTGCAAGATGCATGATTTCACCCTTTGCCAGACATAGAGTACGCAGCCAGGGCATCGAGTCAGGCAGTGCAGCTTCTTGCACTCTTCTCCACGTGCAGAACAGTGCTGGAGTTTCTCCAAACGCACATGTACCATAATAAACAAGACTGACTACTGCACAATGACACAAATCGATGATAAAAACTATATGAAACTACCATCTGTCTATATTTCTCGCAAGCATGCACATGTATCCGTCGGAAACAACTGGTGTAGCAGGGGTATCGGCCACACCGCATGCTGCTGCACATTCTTCGTTTCTGAGCTCTAGACTCATCCCGCAATTCGAATGACTAAAGGCAAACAATCAAGCCTCGGCGGCTCTACATTAGGCTCTAGAGGGAGAGACTGCTACAGCCTCTGATATGCCACTTTCAACACGCGCGGCTCGATTGCGGCTGAGCATCCTCTGCCATCCAAATGAAACACAAAGTCGTCCGTGGCAATTCCACCGTACATTAGCTGGTCCGGCGTTCCCCAGAGACTAGCTTGCGGGTCAAAGACGTAATCAACCGATGGGCTGTATTGGTATGGACTGATGTTGACTATCGCGCGGTACGATGCCCGGTTTCCGCTTCGTAGGCCCGTGGGCAACAGTCTCAAGGATTTGATTTCGCCACCGCGCGTAGCGTTTGAATAAGCTTGTCCGGCAGCGATCAGATCATGGCCCTGGTGAGTCCACTCTTTAAGCAACAGGCCAGGTCCGTCGTCGGTGCAGATGACAAGCGACGAATCCCTTGAGGCACCTGCCGGGGCGTACTCTCCGCAGAACTTGCTACAAGACTCTTCTTTGGCAGCGCTGGCTAGCGCAGGGAGAAGTGTCTGAATAGCAGTCTCGGTGGCAATATGCAATGCTGCGGCGGCGTCGGGGCCAGCAGCCAGGACGGCCATTGTAACCTGGTAATCGGGTATGAGAACCAGCAGAGACTGGTAGGCTCCAACGCTGCCAGACTTGGTGTAGAGATCGACGAGGCTGCCGGTCTTGATGCTGCTGCGGGTTCGTACAATCTCCCACGGCGCGCCTACAAAAAGGGTTGTCGAAGACGTGAGTGAGCCTGGCTTCATCCAGCGCAAAGTCTCCATCGAAGAAAGCTGCTTATTGCCAAAGATGGCTCGTCCGAACTCGACTAAATCTTTTGTCGAAGAAAGCAAACCGCCCGTACTAGAATGCCCACAGTAAAATCAGAGTTGATGTTGGAATGTCGATAATGTTGAATGAATTGGGACTTTTTGACTTACGCAACCTCATCGCCATACAGGCGACTCCATCCTGAATCTCCATTGGGGATTACCCCAGCACCGCTGCTAACCGGTGGCACTGAGCTCGAGTGCTTCAGGCCCAAAGGTTCAAAAATATCTTTCTGGAGTACTTGTTCGTATGACTTTCCTGTGATGGCTTCGATCACGTACGCGAGAATCCTATATGCTGCGTTGGAGTACAGAGCTGTGCCATGAGGCGGGAAAACGGGGTGCCTGGGGATGAAACCTGAGAAATATTCTGGCGCCGCAATGTTAAATGATGATGGAAGAAGCAGAATTGTAAAAGAAAAAAAAAGGAAGAAAAGTGACCACGCTCCAGAAAGTACTCACCATTTCTATCACAAGGCTGCTGATCATCATTGATGCCACAGAAAGGAATGTCTTGAGGAGGGAGAACAGGCAGCCCGAGCTCTGTCCAGGGGAAATTTTGAACAGCCAAATCGCCTGAGGCGTCTGCCATTCACTCATGAGGATTAGTATTTGTTTAGAGGATGACAAAGGCGCAAGCTGAACAACAGAGAAAATTAGAACAAAGGGGGAACCAAGGGGCAAACAAACAATCTCTTCCTATCCCAGAAAGTTGCGACGCAAGAGCGCCAACCGTGACTTGATCCCATTGAATCCAGTCGATAATCGTTGAATCGTTTGGAGCATGTTGAGCGGCATGTTTCAGCTCTGGAATAAAATCCGTAACAGGACGATTCCAGTGACGAGTTCCATTGTTCAGAAGGAGGGCGTAAACTGTAAAGAGCTTTGACACGCTGCCAATTCGATAGACTGTTTCGCCTGTGATTTGTAATGTGCTCCCAGCAGAAATGTTTAATGAGCCGGAAGTGTGATGAAAGTCGAGGATTGGCGATGAGTCGAGCTGTGAAATGGCTGTCAAGGAAAAGGACGTTGTGCTGCTGTTGAAGCTGCCAAAGATGCTTTCTCCGGTGCGGGTGGCGTTGTTCAGCGCGTTTATAACGTCCAGCACTGCTTCTTGAATCACTGAAAGAATGTTGGACGGAGGTGCGAAAGATGGTCCAAGCAGTTTCTGGTCAGTTTTTGCGAGTGCAGTGGACCCCAGCGCTGCCAGGGAGATGAGCAGCTGTAGAATGACTGGCATCATGTTGAGTTTCACGCATTCAAGATGTTTTTAAACAAAACCGATAAATTGATGATTTGTTTAGGCACAAGATAGCATTTGACTCATGGTATTTATATGGCAGTTGTCTCGGCTCTGAGCTCATGACGGCGACTACACGGGATATTGTTTCAATGTTTCATGTTTTCGCCGTTTACTGTCCGCTTCAGATATCTTGGACGGAAATTATCTCTGAGAGAATCGGTCATTTAAACGGTGATTCTGATGCACTAGCTGTATTCTGCAATTGATTCTGTATATCACATGTGGCTCTGAAAAAGAGTCGCTTGCGAATGCTTGGCACTGACCACCGTCGTTGGAAATGTGGCGATGGACATCCTCCAAACGGCCTGTGGCTTAGTGGCGTAGACGGAATACGCCAATGTGCGTATATTGAGGCCTCACAACGGAGAAAGTTACGAGAAAAGAAATTGTCAGACTAATAATGGACTACAGCATAGGCTTCGGTGGGAGATGAAAGACTTGACAAATATTTCTTACTTCTTTCGAGAGGCCCCGTGAGCTTGATGCCGTGAACCAAAGCCCCCCACTACTCTCCAAATTGCTTTACGCTTTCAATGCACTACGAGTTCTTAACCATCAGTCGTATATGTAGCTAAAAGATGTGCTTAGTTGGATCAGGTCGAAATGAGCTAGAGTGTTGATATAAAGTTTGGGACACGGCTCAGTCAATACATGTATTACATCAGATACGAAAACCTAGCAAGTTTCGGGAACCTCGTCACTGGCTACAGTAGATCCAATTACCGTGATGGATAATGCATTGAATGCGTGGCGTGATGTTGACTTGATAATGGACATTTGCCTGTCTTGATCAGAGACAGATGGCCGTCTGTTTAAACGGGGTCCGCGGAATCCACCAACGGCAAACGTGCGTGTGGCATCGCCGCGGTGTAAGCTCTAATCCTAAGCTTTAACCAGTTGCTTGGGAGCAGTAACAGAAGGATGCATGTGGCTGAAATAAGTGCTGATTGGGATGTTGTCTTACATGCGTAGGGTAGCGTAGAACATGAAGCTACTTCGATTGGAACAACCTGGCCTGGCTGATTCTCAACCTGCAACTTCTTTCGCCAACAAAAATGCTGCGGGCTGGACGGAAACATCAAACGGCTTCTCTTCTTGGATAAAGGATTCTTTCATAGAAAATGGGATATACTCAAAGACTCAAGACAAAACTGAGAGGTCAAAATGGACATGACGTACCAGAACCTGGCACTAACAAAGCAGCAAACGAACCCCCGCAGAGACGCGAGGGTCAACGCGAAACAAACGCTGTGAATGGACTGAACCTCGTCGAAATCCCAAAGCCCAAAGGTGATTAAATCCGTCAACATTATATATCCAACATAGGTTTTGCTAATGTGCATCTGCTTCAAGGCCTCCCAGTCATTGGAATTTTGCACAAAATCGACTTTGAATATCCGCTGGCCTCTCTGATTGACATTATCGAGCCGTTGGGACCGATATGTCAATTCTCAATCGGAGGCGAACTGTTCATATTCGTGGTAAGCGCAGAGCTTGTGACGGAACTTTGCGATGAGTCAAGATTCCACAAAGTGGTGGCAGCCGAACTGGACAAGCTGCGCTACCTTGTTCACGATGGGTTGTTTACTGCGAGGAACGATGAGCGCAATTGGGCAATCGCCCATCGGATCTTGATGCCCGTTTTCGGGACCATCAAGATTCGGGACATGTTTCCAGAGATGAAGGATCTTGCGCAGCAGATGTGTCTTAAATGGTTAGCTTTGGGACTTGATGACTGGTGCTTGACAGTACTGACGACTGAGAACCAGGGCTCGCTACGGCGAAGAGTATGTCATTGACGTGACTTCAGACTTTACTCGTCTCGCCCTCGATACCATCGCCCTCTGTTCCATGGGGTACAGGTTCAACAGCTTTCACAATGGAGTGGTGCTGCACCCGTTTGTCCACAGCATGGTGAGGATATTGAAAGAGTCCAGCACCCAGGCGTCTTTACCGCATTTCATCAATTCCCTCCGAAAGAGATCGCAGCACCGATTCGAGAAAGACACAGCCTACATGAGAGGACTATGTCGAAAGATCATACAGGAAAGAAAGCAGCAGAAGGGGTCGGATTTCCACGATCTTCTGGGAGCGCTGCTAGAGGGCCGCGATCCCAACACTGGCGAGGGATTGGATGACGACTCCATCATTGACAATATGATTACATTTCTCATCGCCGGCCATGAAACCACAGCGGGGCTTCTGTCATTCACCTTCTACTACTTATTGAAAAATCCTCGGGCGATGGAAAAGGCACGTCGGGAAGTCGACGAGACAACTGGAGGCGAGCCAATTACCGTACAGCATCTTTCCAAACTGCCATATCTCAACGCGGCTCTTAAAGAGACTCTGCGTCTTCAGCCTACAGCTCCTGGATTCATGTTGGGCTCGGCCAAAGACGAGGTGATTGGCGGCAAGTATTTGATCCCGGCGAATGTCTCCGTCACGGTCATACTGTCCCTGCTGCATCAAGAGAAGGGCGTCTACGGCGAAGATGCCGCCGAGTTTAAGCCGGAAAGAATGCTAGATGAAAGCTTCAACAAGCTGCCGCCCAATTCATGGAAGCCATTTGGCAACGGGATGAGAGGATGCATTGGGAGGGCATTTGCAACTCAGGAAGCGCTTCTAATCATTGCCATGCTTCTCCAGAATTTCGTATGGGAGATGGCAGACCCGGCGTACGAGCTCCAGATCAGAGAGACATTGACGATTAAGCCAGAAAATTTCAAAATCAAGGCGAAACTCCGGCGTGGTGGAAACGCAACAGATTTTCAGTCTGAGCTGCAGTCATTGGGCACACAAGCAAAAGGCGTCAGGTCGGACTCTGCCGTGTCAATGTCTTCGGCACACACTGACAAGGGAGATAAAAAGCCATTGACGATTCTCTACGGATCAAACAGTGGAACTTGTGAGGCCTTGGCGTACAGACTGGCATCAGACGCTGCGCTTCATGGATTCTACGCAAGAAAGATTGCGCCAATGAACGCAGCCTGCAATGACCTCCCGAAATCTGAGCCTGTCATCATTCTTGCCGCTTCTTATGATGGCTCGCCGTCAGATAACGCTGTCGAGTTTTTCGAATGGCTAGACAAGGCTGAGCCAGAATCCTTGAAGGGGGTTTCGTACACAGTTTTTGGCTGTGGACATCGCGACTGGGTGGCAACTTTCCAGCGGATTCCCATCCTGATTGATGATCTCCTCGAAAAGGCCGGAGCGGAACGATTCGCTGATAGGGGCCTCGCGGACGCAGCAGTGATGGATCTCTTTGTAGAGCTGGAGAAATGGACCACTGATGTCGTTTGGCCGGCAATTTCGCAGACTGAGGGGGGGAGAGACGATGATGGGGAAACGCGACTGATCAATTCGCTACTCAAGCTTGAAGTCTCTCAGCCGCGACAACTGAGGCAGTATTCCCAGTTAGTGCAGGCAACGGTGACAGAGTCGCGGAGCTTGACGACGGAAGCTGCCATTGGGCAGAAGATGCACTTGGGTATGAAGCTGCCTCCAGGAGTATCATATCATCCCGGCGACCACCTTCTTGTTCTGCCTGTAAACCCTCCGAGAGACATCAAGAGGGTTTTGTCGCGTTTTCACTTGGCTTGGGATACTGTTGTGCGAGCTTCGGGTGATCAATACGCTCATATACCGGTTGAAACGTCGATGACGGCGCATGAGCTGCTGAGCTCATACTTTGAGCTGTCCCAACCAGCAACACCAAGAGTATGTTTTACATCTTTCTTTCCCCCTTGTATGATTTTTAACTCACAATGGATAGGATATTCGAGTCCTTGCAGCAGCTGCTACTGAACAGAAGACGAAGCACCTCTTGAGCAATTTAGCTACGGCGTCCTACGCAGAGGGCATTCACGAGAACAGAGTTTCGCTGCTTGACTTGCTGGAGGAATTCACAGATATCCCTCTCGCATTTGGAACCTTTATCGCCCTTTTGCCATCTCTGCGCCTACGTACCTACTCCATCTCATCCTCGCCGTCTTGGGAGCCGAATCACGCCAGCTTGACGTTTTCGATACTAGACGAGCCGCCTACTCCGCCGAGATCGAAGAGTTTTCTCGGTGTGGCTTCCAATTATCTTGCCAATTTAACTCCGGGGGATTTGATCCATGTGGCAACTCGTCCAGTCAAAAACATCTTCCAAATGCCTACCGATGCTTCCAAAGTGCCAATCATCATGATCGCCGCAGGGGCAGGCATTGCACCATTCGTGGGATTCATCCAAGACCGAGCTTCTCAGCAACGGAATGGAACCGAGCTCGCGCCCGCCGCGCTCTTTTTCGGATGCCGATCATCGCATGACGATTTGCACCACCATGAGCTCGACTATTTTGAGGATTCCGGCGTCGTTCAAGTGTTCCGCGCCTACAGCAGAGAAGAAGACGCCGGCTCCAGGCCCAACACTAGGAAGGGATACGTCCAGGACAGTTTGCTGGCGGAAAAGCAGGCGTTTCTGCGGCTTTGGAATGCCGGCGCAAAGATTTACGTGTGTGGAGGAGTGAGGATGGCGTCGGGAGTGAAGGAGGCGGTGATGAAATTGGTGTACATGGCGGAGCAGGATGCGGCGTCGAAGAGTTTTACGCCGCAGGAGTGGTTTAAGCGGTTTGAGAAGACGCGCTATGCTGCAGAGATTTTTGCTTGATCACTCTGTGCATGATTTGATATTGTGTTGGGAGCTATGATGAGTTGATCTATAAGTTTTTTTTTGCGCAATGTTATGTCTCCATGTTTGTCGCTACGACTAATAGCTCGGCTCCAGCAAGGCTGTCTTTTCCAAAAAAGAAATTCCACACCGGTTTAGAGAATAAATAATTAAAAATGCCCAGACGTGTACTGCAATCAAAATAATTCATAGCAAAAACTGTTCTCTATCAATAGTTCCTGGAGTCAACGATTCATGTTAGGGCCTTGATGGCCTGATAGCGGCGACGTCACTGAGGATCACGTGACGATAGCATCAGTCCCAAGGGGCGCGTCCTCTCGGCCCCGTATCATCTAAACACGCGTTCACATTAATTTACGCGGCTCGAGGCTCCGGCAAAAATCCATGTTTCAGCGAGGCGCATGCGTATCTATGCCTTTGTCATCCGTCGCAACCTCTTGTGCATCTGCCGGCTGAAGTCTCTGCAGTCTCGGCCTTTATGACGGCGTCTGCGTCTTTCTAATGACGAGGGGCGACAGCATCCCCCGCTACACTCACACGATGGACTTCAACCCCCTGGATGAGCAGTCACCTCTCGCGGACTTTTGGCAGATGAATGACGGGCTGGACAGCGAGGATGCGGCCGTCATTGCGAGTCTGGCCACGCAGGCACTGCAATCGAAAATGGGCTATGAATACGAGGATAGCCTGGGAGTGAATGAGCCAGCCGAGGTGGCAAATTACACTGAGAGCCGCTCTTCGCCTCAGTCTCAATACTCAGCCATCGTCCAAGAAGAGCCGGCCGAGTCGTTTCGAGGGCTCATGGAAGATCACGACCGCGGCGCACAGTTTTCGGGAGCAGACGTCACAAACGACTATGACCTGGAACCATCAGCTAGAGGCCGCATCTCAGACACCGTGGCTGGATTCGAGGAGCAAGCGTTTATGAGGGATTCCAACTTGCATGATCCCATCTACTCTTTACTGAATGTGTCCGCAGCGCTGGATGAACCGAGAGGCACCATGACGGCAAGCCAGGTTGTGAATGAAGTACTGCGCAACAATGAGCTGGCGGAGGCGCAACGCCAAATGGATTTGAATATGCAGACGCTTCACTCGCAGGCACAACTGACGCCACCCGACTCGGAATCTCCTTCCATCAGCGCAGAAGAACGCGATCACAGAGAGCTGGAGGAAGATTCCTTGACCAATGTCCATGAACAGCTTGACGACCGCGAACCCGAGGATGTTGTTATTGAAGAGCCTTCACCGGATACTGAGGCACAGCAACAGCTCATGGCGGAATCTGGAGAGCGACCTACGATGGATGAGGATGAGATGGATGAGGATGAGATGGATGAGGACGAGGATGAGGATGAAAGCAGACAGCCGTCCCCATCTCCTGCTCCGAGAAAAGCTGGGCGTCCACGGAAAAGCGATACAGCAGTAGAGCTGCCAGATCTGGTACCGGAGGAATCTAGTATTGCTGAGATGGCTCTGCGCGAAAAGATTGTCGTTGAAGAAGATGCGGTGGTGGAGGAAGTAGTGGAGGCGGTGATGGAAGAGGCGGTGGCTGATGATGCTGAGATGAACGGAGCTGAAGAGGCTCCCGCTGCTAGAAGGCGTGGCCGGCCGCGCAAGAGCGAGATCCCAGAGCTGACGCCAGCATCATCAACGAAGCGAGGACCAGGTCGACCGCCAAAGTTGGCAGCTCCCGAGGCGACTGGTGAGTCGACGCCTGCTACAGGCAAACGAGGCCGGCCCCGGAAGAGTGGAGTGGAAGATCAGTCACAAGTACACCATGAACAAGCACCAGTTACGACACCTGCTGCAGGCAAGAGAGGACGACCTCGGAGGAGCGAAGTGGAACATCAGCCTCAAATGATGACCAACAAATCCAATATACCCCCAGAAGAAGCACCAGTTGCAACACCTACTGTTGGCAAACGAGGCCGGCCTCGCAAGAGCGAGATGGAAGGCGAAACACAAGTGCACACCGAGAAACCCGATGTACCCCTAGAAGAAGCAACAGCTACAGCAACAGCTCCAGGCAAAAGAGGACGGCCTCGGAAGAGTGATGTGGAAGACATACCACAAGTGCACGCCAAAGAATCCAATATACCCCAAGAAGAAGCAATAGCAACGCCTGCTGCAGGCAAACGAGGACGGCCTCGGAAGAGTGAAGTGGAAGACAAACCACAAGCGCACATGGAAGAATTTGATAATCCAGCAGAAGCGACTCCAGCTACAACACCAGCTGCAGGCAAACGAGGCCGGCCCCGGAAAAGTGAAGCAGAAGATCATTCACAAGTGCACACCAAAGTCATCGATATGCCCGCAGAAGAAGCACCAGCTACGAGACCTGCCACAGGCAAACGAGGCCGGCCTCGCAAGAGCGAAGTGGAAGACAGATTACAAGTACACGCCGAGGAATCCGAGAAACCCGCAGAAGAGACTCCAACTGCAACAGTAGCTGCTGGCAAGAGAGGACGGCCTCGACGGAACACTCTGGTAGACGTAATCCAGGCGCCAGCTGACGCATCTCAGCCACCTGTAGTTGAAACATCAGCTTCAACCCCATCTTTGAGCAAAAGAGGACGACCCCGGAAGAGCGACGCAGTCGATACAGCATTCAATTCCACTGGTGAGCAGCCATTGATCGCCACCGAGGCAACAAACTCAACGCCAGCCCCGGGCAGAAGAGGGCGGCCGCGAAAGAGCGAAGTGCAAAATCTTGGCGACGAATATGTACCATCGGCTACCGAAACAGCAGTGTCAACACCAGCTCAGGGTAAAAGAGGACGTCCGCCAAAAAGTGACACGACCCAGGTGCTCACGAGAGAAGCTCAGCCATCCATTGTCAAAACACCAACCGTAACGCCGGCTACGGGCAAAAGAGGACGGCCACGAAAAAGCGACGTAGTATCGGCGATTGCTCCCGAAACGCGTGCTGTGCCAGAATTGCAAGCAGAATCTGGAATATTAACCACTGCAGATATCACACCATCTACCACGGAAACTATGGGGCGAAATAAACCTATTGGACAAGATGAAGCATTGGAAGAACAACATACCCCTCTATTCGCAGCACCTGCCCAGAAACGAGGCAGAGGTAGACCACCTAAGAGCGGAGTTTTGGTTAAGACAGCTACGGACCTAGACACAACTGCGATTGTCGAGGAGGCTGAGCCACAGGGCTCGAATTCTGAGCATATGGAAGACCCAGTAGAGGGCATGGCTCTGGATGAGAACGTGGCGACTAAACCAGTCCCAGATATCTGGGATGTAGAACTGACACCTGCAAAGAAACGGGGCAGGCCAAAATCTTTAGCCATGGATAAGCCTTTGCCTATGATTTCTGCGCCTATTATAGCTTCAGCGAAGAAACGTGGTAGACCACCAAAAGCACCAACCGCCGAGGAGCAGGTTGAGACGCTTGAAGAGCCTTTTCAGCCGGAAGCTGAGGAGACGGAAGAGCGCATGGCTAAACGAAGGCGTACAGATGCTGACGTTGTCATGGAAGGCTCTATAGAAGATCTCATACAAGACCTCTTGGAAGACCCTATGGAAGACCCCATGGAAGAAGCAATGGAAGACCCCCTGGAAGAATCCCAACCAGAGGCTCGAGAAGAACGGCCGGCAAGCGTGAGAAGGCGGAGAGTATCGTTTGCAGCGGATACCAAAGTACCAAAGTCGCTCATTCCAATCAAGTTCATGCGACGCAACTCTGATTCCACAGGACTAAAGGCGGGTTTTTTCTCCAATACCCAACGGATCCCCCGACTTGGCGGACGAACGGACAGCTCAAAGGAGAATGCAGGTGCTGAAGTGCCTTTTAAAAGCACGGCGACGCAGCAGACCGAGCTATTTCTGTCTAGGCTGCCAAGACCCACGGTCGAAGGCGTTTTTGACGGAAAGAAATTTGGAAAGAGGCCCAAGACGTACGGTAAACGGCTTAAGAAGTGATACGCGTACGATGTATATTAGACATGTTGGATGAGGGAAAATGCGATTTGTGTATTATGATTATGAGGACGGGCGGTTAATGTTTCCTCTCGACAGGAATGGGCGCAGGCGGTTTAACAGGGTAAAAGAGGCGTGGCTCGTTTGGACTTTATATCCAGTCTGGTGTCGCATCGCATCACAGCGAGCAGACTAATGATGGAAACAGTTGTATAGACGTGAGGAAAAGATGACGAGTTACTTTGCTCACCTGTTCTATTCCATATGAACTGCTCGGTTTGTCGCTCTTTATTGTGATATCTTGTGTCTTTCACCATGTGATGAACTGACATGTGGTTGATAGCTGTGCCTTGATATCGGCATATCACGTCTCATTACTGCTTATATGTTTTATAGTATTACACCGCTTCAAACCCGTTACCCATTATGCCTACTTGCGGCAGATAATCTCGCCATGAGGCACTGAAAACCACGCCTCCTCCTCACGGCCCCAGCTCCTCCACGCCGCCGCCGCCTTGTCCAGCCTCTCCTGCGTGCCCGTGCCGTTCTCAATCGCCGTCTTGGCAAACGACGACGCCACGGTCCTCTCGGCCCAGAGGCCGCTCCACCACGCAACCTCGTCCTTTGTGCTGTAGCACCACGTGCTGGAGCCGCTCGTCACGGCGCTCGGCGCAAAGCCCGCCTCCCTGGCCCAGGCGTGGATCATGCGGCCGGCGTTGGGCTCGCCGCCGTTGGACCGCGCGTTGGCCGAGTAAAAGGCCAGCCAGTCGTCCATTCCGTCGACGGCGGGGTGCCAGATGAAGCCGCCAAAGTCGGACTCGCGCGCGGCGACGATGCCGCCCGTCTTGGCCACGCGGCGCATTTCCCGCAGGATGTTGACGGGGTCCTTGACGTGCTGGAGGACCTGGTGGCAGACGACGACGTCAAAGGTTTCATCCGGGAACTGGAGAGCGTTGGCATCGCCCTCGACAAAGTCGGCGTTGGCGACGCCCTTTTCCTTGGCGAGCTCGCGGGCCTGGACGAGGACGGCGGCGGCGTTTTCCAGGCCCGTGATGTGGCCCTGGGACAAGTAGTTTGCGGCCAGGTCGACGGTGATTGTGCCGGGGCCGCAGCCGACGTCGAGGACTTTGAAGGATGGCTTGAGATGGGGGAGAAGATAGGCGGCGGAGTTTGCGGCGGTGCGCCAGGTGTGGGAGCGCAGGACGGAGGCGTGGTGGCCGTGGGTGTAAGTGGCGCCCTCGGTTTTGGACATTTTGAAGTGGATGTTGTTGGTGTTTTTGAGTTGGAGTAAACGGGAAGCAAAGGATGATGATGAGCGGATGAAAGTGCGGCCCAAGGGCATGCGATGAGATGTCAAGTGAATGGTTTCTTTAGGTTTTGTCTCGAGAGCAGTGCTGACCAATGACATATAAGATGGTTCCCGTTGAGATTTGGAGATGCTCTTATACTCCAAACACCAATTCGGCAGGGCCCGATATCGGAGATGCGGCGCGCTCTTGGGATGAGGATTGTCTCCGACTTGTGATCAACATTCTATCAATCATTTTTCACATTGGATACAAACGTCATGAAGGAATGGGTCCTTTGAGATTAAACGGGGTTTGCTACTGGATCTGGGATGGTTACACTTTCTAGGAGGGGAATGGTTGGAGGGGGAGGAGGTTGATAGGATGTGATGGGCAACTAAATAATTTATGAGAATTGAGAAGGAGAATAGTTTCATATATGCATTGATACGTGTAGATAAAACTAGTTTACTTTATTTTCCCCAAATCCAAGCTCGTATGACCCCTCCTAATAAGTCAAGGTGATACCGTGCCAAGCCGTGTAAGTCATTGTGCCGTCTAATCGTACAAGTCCTTGTCGACATCTTGCTCCTTGGACGCATGCGGATTTGTCACTTTGATTCCACTCTCCAGTCTATCCAGCGTCATTGCATAGCCCTTGTGGCCGCACCAGCTCTGCACCATGCGCACCGCATTCTTAATCTCGCGGCCGTTGAGCTGCCACAGGGACAGTTGGTAAATGTCCGCTTCTCCAAGTGGCGTATCCAACGCCACGTCTTTGGCAGGGACGTCTTCATCTGTCTCTTCATCCTGCGTCACAAGGCTTTTCAGTTCCGGTATTCGCGCCAGGAATTTGCGCCAGACAGTCTCGCGCGCGTCCCTGCTTAGCGACTGGAAGAGAAGATGCAGGCTGACTCTGCTGCGGAACGCTGCATCAATGGTGTGATAGAGATTGGTCGTGAGGAAGATGATGCCGCGAAAGTACTCGAGCTCTCGCAGAAAGATGCTGACCAGCTCGTTGCGGCGAATGTCGTTGGGATTGCGCTCGGCCATGAAGACGTCGGCCTCGTCCAGCAGGATCACGGCGTTCCAGTCCGTGGCCATTTCAAACACGCGCTTGATGTTGGCGCCGAGATCCGAGGCGCTGATGCCGAGGTCCTCTGCCTGGAGGTAGAAGAGAGGCCGGTGCGTGCGGTCGGCGACGGCCTCTGCCGTGAGCGTCTTGCCGGTACCGGGCGGGCCGGAGAGGAGGATGATGAGGCCCTGGCCTTTGCCGACGATGACGTCTTCAAGGGGCGCGGGACGGGAGTTTGAGACGGTCGTGGCGGATGAAGATGCTTTGGAGGCTGAGGCGTGGTGCGGGTTGTGGTTCTGGACAAAGGAGAGGACGAGGTCTTTTTGCTGGTCGTCGTAGACGAGGTGTGAATAAGCCGTGTCGTTCCAGATCATGGGCTCGACGTCTTCAATGTAGAATTCCACTTTGAGTCCATTGTTAGCTTTCACTTGCACAGTTGCTTAAGAATCGACAACATGACTTACTCCACATCTTGTTCTTCAGGGCGTATCCGCCAAGCATTGCCGAAATAAAGCAAATGTCCTCTGGCCGCGACTCCATGTACTGCTTATTCTTCTGAAAATCCGTTTCTCCTAGTCGTCGGACAGCAGCCCGTTTCTCCGACTCGTTATCCAACGAGTCTATATCAGAATCCGAACTCGAGCTCGAGTCCGTGTCGTATGAGCCCCATCTCTGTTGGTCGTTATTCACATGCGCCCGCTTATCATTCTCTCTCTTGCCTTGGGTCAGATGATATTTGTTATAGCCAACAGCATCGAGCAGAATCCGGCCCTCGACATTGTGCTTCTCGATGCAGCTGCCGCCATCATACAGAGCGATGCCATTGTACAGGCGGTACTCGAGGCCTTGGAGATCAAGCACCTTGCGGCCGCGGACGGTCAGGCGCTGCTTGATGTCTTGCGCATCTTGGTGGAAATCTAGCGGATAGTGGCCGAGCTCGAGGACCGGCTTGTTGCCTTCGAACTCATCCACCGGGAGGACTCGCTCTTGCCAGACAAACTTTTCGCCGTTGAATTTGAGAATCTTGACCTTGATTTGCAGTGCGTTGCCTGAGGATGAGCTGACGTAGGCTGTGCCTTCGACTTTGGCGAGAAAGTCCGCATTGATGCCGAAGCTGTACACGGTCGAGCCTCGTGGAAACAGTGTCCAGGCTGTTCTAAAGTCCACCAGGCGGCTTGTCTGGATGTTTCGCCTCTTGATTGTCATTTCGCGGAAAAGGTCGTCTAGAACTTGGATGAAGAGCTTTAGATAGGACTTGAGCGGCTCAGAGGCGTCCGTCTTCTTGTACAGCTCCTTGATGTCATCTTGGCAGAACCAGAGGCTGCGAAAGGGCTCTTCAAAGCTGGCAGCCTCATTGACATCAAGATGGCAGTTTTCCTTCTTCACAATCGGCGCCAGTGCAGCCACGAGCGTGGGATTCTGGACCTCAATCTTGAAGTACTTGAGGGGGACGCGTCCCGAGATGCAGGGCTTGCGATGGTCTCTGACCTTGTACACCTTGATGGCGACGCGGTCTTGAGCCCGAGCCGCCGATTTGGACATTTGCTTGGGCGGGTAATCGACCCATTCATGGCGCGAGTGCAGGTCTGACGTGTTTTTGTCGTAGAGCGTCTTGACGATGGGGCTGGCACCAAAGTTGGGGTCTTTGTCGTTGCCCTCAGCTCCATCGGCCGCTGCTCCATCCTTGGTCTTGTTGGCGGCTCTCTTGGAAAAGGCGGCGTCCTTGACGGGAAAGATTTTGCAGCGCCACTTCCACGCAAAGTCGGAGATTGCCTCGCGGTCCATGTCTGTGATGTCGCTGAAGCGCATGTTGTGGATGAATGAGAGAGTCGAAACGCGTTCAGATTTCGCCCTTTGCGACTAAGATGAACAGCAATTGTGCGGCTCAACTAGCTAGTCCAGACATGCTTTTGTAGGGCACATCGTCCTGTGGCTTATATACATGTTGGCCTCGCATTGGCTGGGTCGCGCAGCTTGCATATGGTTGCCTTGGAAGGATGCCTTGCGTGCCGCCTGCGAGGCTTCATTGTCCAACCACGGCGCCGGATTGGCTGCGGCTCGATGCGACCTGAGTTTGTGGCTGGGGGGAGTTGTGCCAGGTATCCTGATGGGCTCTGAGAGTCATTCAAGTAACTTGATGTAGGTCAAGACTATTGCAATTTAGTTGAAAGCTGTCTTGGTTCTCCGTTACGACTCCCGGATCGCGGGGCCGATCTGAGGTCCAAATGTTGCAAACTCCACTTGTCTAGATAGCAGCCGAGTAGACGAAACAGGCAAGTCGGGCCGCGAATATCAAGCTTAGCAGATGGTGATTGCAGGGATTATTATCTTGTTATTGTTTTTTTATTGACCATGTAAACATTGAATTGACAATTGTCTTGCTTTATTGAGGCGGTGTATTTACACCGTTTATGAGAGGAGCAACACTTGGAAACGAAGCTCCAGAGCAGTGCAGTAGTCGACTTTTCTATCCCATCTTCAACCTCATGGAGCTCTAGATTGAAGGTATAGAATCAGGCAAACCTCTGAATTAATTTAGACCGGAGTTGTCACTGAATCACATAAAGATAGCCATGGAAACTTTATGGAATTCTTGCTCAACTCATCTCTGCAGTGGCATGGCCTTTTCATCTACAGTGTCAACAATTATTCCATACGGACAACACCCCACCATACTCAACCCCACCATCGCCATTTTGCTACAACAGACAGAATCTTGCATCAGCTCTTCAGAACCTCAGCCATTCAGCCCCTTTTCACTCACAATGTCTCTCGAAACAGTCGCACTCGAGCACGTGCCGTCGTCCTACAGAATCTACCTCGCGCTTTTCCGCAACGTCCGCAACTCGGGCTTCCTGCACCAGCAGCTGCTCGCGCGCAATACCGACTTCGAATATGCCTTTATCGACGCTTCGACGGTACGTTGATTCGATGCTCGGCGAGCGTATGTTGATGCTGTGCCTTGATACACATCTCTACCAGAGCACAACACAAGAAGCGGCAAAGGCAGATCAAAGTGTAGAGTCGGGATTGCTGACTTGACTCGGCAGATTGTCTCGCGCCTTCACCTACTCTCGGCGATATTCAAGGCAGTAAACAGTTCAGCCAATGGCGCGCTCAAGACGCCCAATGTGCATTCAGAGACAGTCGTGTCATTGAGTGCTTCCAACAACGTGAGTGCTCGTTTCAACCGACAAGGCCTCAGAGCTAATCGATATGCACCTTAGATTTCCGACGCATATCGACGCTTTGGAGTCTCCCCGTCCACCACCGACCTCTTCGTCGTCAAGATTACCTTTCCGAGCGACAGCACTCCCGTCCCAGCATCGGCAGACGCTATTTACAAACACTTGAAGGATAACGTTGAAGGAGACATTGTGCCTCCGACCGATGAGAGCATCTCAAGCATTGCAGACGTCAAGACTGTTCGCAAAAACTACAAGCTGAATGGTTTAGCCTGGCTAGACGCTGTCAAGGACGAGGTGGTTAAGCGCGAGGAGATTGAGAAGCTGGTCCTCAGTGGCATGGCTCTGCGGGGTCTATGAGGCCTCGCCAAGTGTGACGTGAAAGGAATAGTAAGCAGGAGCATCGGTGCGGTTTCGTTGCTGCAGGCTTCTTTACAGTGACGACGCTGCTTATAACGGTTACCGGCCACGTTTGTATGCTACGCTTCTTGAGCTCAGCGGGCTGGGCAAAGCGGGAGTAAAAGCCGGAGCCAATCAAGGAAGAGAAAGACTGAAAGACAGAAAGAAAGAAAGAAACATCTAAACAAGGAGATTTGGAAAACAAACACAATGAGACAAGGAAATGGACAAAAGTTGAATCAAATGCGCAAAACAGGTAAGTTTATACTATTCTGCACTCCCTATAATCTCCCGTAAACTGTACTCATCGTACCACTAGATACTCTAATAGTATATCACTCTACCACCGATTCTCGTTTAGTGTTGCTAAATCACAAAACCCCAAACTGTGCAATAACGCTGGCATCCAAAAACAGACCAGAAAACCAAAAGCCCATGTTGCCAAAACTCCTTTCCAAAACCCATATGCTCTAGTTCTCTATTCAACCTCACGCCATACCAACAACGCTCTTGCATCGCCTGACCAACTCTCCCCACATGGCATCTCTTCCGTTCTTGGTGCGCTGAACGGCGTCCTTGTTCTCCTGAGCGCGGCGTAGCAGATACTTCATGCACTCGCCGGTAGTGCCCCAGACGAGATACTTGTACACGGGCAGCGGCCGGGCGTTTGCGTTTTCCTTTTGGGCCGACTGGCTGGCCTCGACCAGTTCGCAGCTCACCTCGTCGGCCATGCCCTGGAGCTGGGCAAAGGCAATGTCCGACTTTGCGCCGCCGGCATCGCAGATGGCCCTGGCGCGTCGCACGGATTCGACGTTGTGAGTGGCCAGGACGATGTGCGCGTTGGGGAACTCGCCTTGTCCCTGGACGGTGACGGACCACTGCCTGGCGAGAATGCTCGCCGCGATGCTGTTGTAGCAGTCATCCGTATCCTCCTTGGTGTCGTGGAAGCACTGTCGCGGATCCGAGCCCAGGTATGCGCCACGCACCAGCTTCACGCCGAGAGTAAAGCCTTCCCTCTGCGCATCGGCCAGATGCCGTGATACCACGGCGGGGCAGTTCTTCTTGTACGCCTGGTACGTGCCGTAGATGGTGGCGGTTTCTGGCGAGTCGTTGTACTTGCGGGCAAACTTCATGGTCCAGTCGTCGATTCCATCCTGCAGCATGTCTTGCTCGGCGTCGAAAAGGAGGCGCACGCCACGGTCACGGGCGAGCTCGCAGATGGCGTCAATGGACTCGCCCAGATGCTGAGAAGGCGCGAGTCGGTTCTTGAGCTGATGGAGAGCCAGGCTGCCAGCGCCAGTAAATCTGGAGGCGGTTCTGTTAGGAGCTGTTCATAAACGTCCAAATAACAAAAGAGATTCTTACTTGAGGGCAACAAAGTCACCGGGCTCTGCTAGACGAACCGTCTCCAGAGTTCCATCTCTCCAGGGGTTAATCTCCTTTTCGATGTCCCTTGCCGTCTCCTCGCCCAAGTTTGCCTTGGCCATGTCCTTGGCGTCGCCGCTTTCCAAGACGACCTCCTTGGCGTAGCCCAGAATGACACCCGTGAAGCCAATGTCCTTGAGCCGGCTGACGGTAGCCCGCACCTCGGCAGCATTCTCGCCAGCGCAGAATTGGGCGTAAAAGGACTTTTTCAAAAAGAATCGCAGGAGGGGGTTCTTGTCCGGATTCAGCACGGGGTTCTTGGCGTGGGCGAGCGCCACCATGATGCGCAGCGACGGAGGCAGCAGGATGGGCGAAGACGAGACGACGGTCGTTGCCAGCGAGCGGAGGATCATGCTGAGCGGTAGGACGGAGAGCGGCGCGCGGTTGGAGGCGGCCACGTCCTGCGGCGGGATGGGAGGCAGCGTCCCTGGGAGATCTGCGACGGTCGAGGTGCGTCGCTCAGACGAGTGGATGCTGCGCCGTGAGTGGTGCTTTCTTGTGGTGTTTGCCATGGCGAAGAGGCACGATGGTGATGTCGGTGATGCCAGCGATGAGGTTCTGAGCAGGGAGATGGACGAGGTGGAGGAGAGGGAGGCGGTCCGGTGGCCGGGCAGGCGAATCGCCCGTCGACCTGGCACGGAGATCATGATGGGCCGACCGACAGAAGCTGCACTGTATCCGGTGTGGTTTGTGCTGCGGTTTGGAGAGCAAAGCAGATCTGAGTGTGAGATGTGATGGTCCGAGTAAGTGGCTTGACGCGGTGGGTGTAAGACGAGGCTTGCTCTAGTGGCGCAACAATACGCAATGCAAGTATATATGTAGTTTGATGTACTTGGAATCAGTATTGCAAAGGTTCAGTGCAAGTACGAGTTGATGAGGAAGATGTCAGTTAGGAAGGCTTCGTGAGGAAGAGGGGAAGAGATAAGACAGTTGGTGTAGGCAAGGTATATATATAAGTAGAGAGAGAAGAGCTTCGACACGAGGCCATGGAAAACAACGGAAAGTTCCCTTTTTATTAATCTCTATTCCCCGGCCTTGGCTCAGGCACAAAGCACGCTATCTATGGCCCTGATTCGAAAAAAGCCACCCGGCAGCTACGGAGGGCCGAAGAGAGGCGAGATCTCGTTTCGTTTTTGGCTGTTGCAGGGCTAGAAGCTCTGCTTTGGAGGTCACGCTTCCTCCGATTGCCGGCAAGACTTTCGAGTATCCAATCCAGACAACATGTACCGCTACATACAAAACACAGCGGAGATGTACTAAATTCCTTAATTCCTAATTTGAACTGCCTAGGAAAAAAAGGAAGGGTCGCCTCCTCCACAAAACTCCGTGGCAGGCCGCTGCAGAGAGGAGGAGCTGGAACGCCAGTATCAAGATATGGGGATTGGGGGCTCCGTGCAGCTGGGAGATAAGGCCTGTAAGTTTTTGGAGAGGGGCCAAGATAGGCATCACGTGGGAGTGTTTTTGGGGGAGCGTTTGACTGGGATGCAGCCGAGAGTAGCCGCGGGCTAGGCTGGGAGGCGTCGAGCGTGGAGCTGGGCGCGATGCTAAAATGCGCTGCAACTTGCAAGTGGCACTGGCGATGCCAAAATTGCGGGTTTTGCGGGAAGCAACAGACCCTTGGAGAACCGGTGCCGCTAATTCTAATTGCTTTCGCGTTGTTGCGGTGCCCCCACGCTCTTCCCCAGCGTGTCGGCTTGCTTCGTCTGTATTACAGGCACGGAGTTGGATATATGCTGCTAGTGGTATTACCTACAGCAGGGCTACATGGCTATGGAGTAATGTATGTACAAGCGAGATAATGGCGAGGAGAGATGCTCGAAAGGGATGCACGGCATTGTCAGGTGAACGTGTGATCTGATTCATGCAGTGGTGGTACAGAGCGGTAGGACATGACATCAGGAAGCATCAATTGGCTTCTTGTTATGCGTCATCTCAGCGCATGGCATCGCTAGTATGTATTTCCATGCAGGCGAGAATAGCGCGCCTGAGCCCGCGATCCATGATATGCCTAGTATAGCTCCAACATCCCTCTTGTCGATTGGTTGGTTGGTCAGATGTATATACGTCGTAGCTGTATGAGAGCTGCATGGCTGGAATGGGAGCTTGCTTCCCGGTTCAAGCACCATCAAAGCTGCTGAGCTCAGCGACTCGCAGCACACGATCTGCGGCGTTGGTCCGAGACAATTGACGTGCCGGGCATGTCTTGATTCGTCTGCACGGAATACATGACGTCGCACTCATCGGCCTCTTCTCTTGGCTTCATCTTGCTAACAACGTTGCCCATGAAACCTTGCCTTCGTAGACAAGATAAACAGAAACTCCAAGGCGGCTGCTTACGGCGCTGGCGGTTGGATCTAGACATAGCCATCGTCGTCGCTCCTTTTGCCTTCGCGTGACCCAGAGCCAAAGCGACGTCGGATCAGCTCCACATACCCAATCGGTCTGCCACGGGCTAAGCCCACGAGATCCTGGACCCCTCCGTACGCCAGGCCAAAGACCAGCCCGTACTTTGCAGTGCGCGCAGCGGTGGAAAGCGAGAATCGATCTGTAAGCCCAGTGCCGGCCGATGGTCGGCTTTCTGTTAGCTAATGGTCCCCACGGTCTTGATTTCCTCTTGTGGCCTGTTTTCAGCTTTTTTGTATCCTTCTTCTTCTTTGGCGCCGCGCCATCTCAGTTCCGATGATTGCCAGCCAATGTAATAGCGTGGGGAACTAACTCTGACAGCCGGTGAAAGCCAGACCCGACTAGTCTGGTTCCATTCACCTTTCGGCTGTTGGGAAGAAAAGCAAGTCGTAAAGCAAAGCAGGGATTCCGGAATAGTAAAGGAACAGAAAGAAATTAAAACAACTCACGCCAGAGTGAAAATGCCCCCGCCACGGTCAGCGTCGCCACGACCGTCGAAAACATGTCGCTGCTGCCCCGATAGCGGTCCACCGTGCTCTCCAGCGACAGGGCCATCAGACTCCAAAAGCCCGTCTTGAGCCCCATGCGGAACCCCTCGCGGATGCCGCCTTGCATGGCGTGATAGTTCTTCGACTTGTGGTACAGGTACCAGCCCGCCGTCGTGTCGGGCATCTTGTGCGCGTGCTCTGCCCGGAACCGCAGCTGCGCCATCTGCCCACCCTGGAGGGCCCCGAGACTGAAGCCGACGAAGCTGGAGGCGACGGAGCCGAGCAGGAGGCGGCTGGGCGTCATGATGGCCAGTCGTGGATGAGGCTCGGCAGGGAACGCGGGCTGGGCCTGAGGGGCATTGGCGGCCCTGGATCGAGGCGCGCTGAGGAGGATGCCGTCGCTGCTGGAGGATCTCGCCATGGCCGTGGCTGTGGCTTCTGTAACGGTTGGTTGACGAGCTGCGATGAGCTGGATAGATATCCGTAAAGCCTCGACGGCAGACGAGAGCCCGGCGTCCCCAGGCGCAAAAGGGACCTTGACGTTTGCTTCTGATTAGTTGAGCGTGTGCCGCTGCGCTGTTCCGATTGCTTCAGCAATTGCAGCTCCAAGCTGTCGAATCGCATGTCCTGAAGCTATGTACAAAGTAGTAGTGGCATATCAAATGCCGATAAGGATAAGAAGCTGCTCCCCGTATCGCAGGTTTTTCCGTGTGCCATGTCGCTACTTCTTCTAGCTGCAAGGCAAGCACTTTACGCGCTTTCACGTGACTCCGCGCCCAACACTTCGTCACTCATCTCAGTTGACTCTTGATGAACCACATGCATCACGCCTTTGCTCTATTTCGCCATCAGGAGACAATTTCCAAGGACGCAGAGGATAATTCGTTGTAAAGAGTGAGAACTCATCCAAGTCAAGATGGTACATTCCCCCCTCACGCGGGAATTGCCACAATGCTAAATCTGGTAGCCCGCTGATGCTGATGATGCGAAACTCTCCTTGCGATTCAAATACGGCATACACACAATCTTCCTCTTTGTCGATGCCCTGGACACGTTCTCAGCCGTTACCGAAGAACTACTGGGAGCTCTAAGAGAGAGATACCCTGCCGGTCTAACAAAGTCAAGCTCAGCGCCAGAGAAGAAGACGCCGATACCAAACTCGAACTCAAGTGTCCTGTACGGCGTTCTCCGGGTGCCTACCGATCCCTCCAGAGGATGGAAGGCGTTGAATGTTGGAGAGGATGCTTTCGGCACTGTGACAGAAGCCGGACTAAAGGACAATAGCATCGTTGCGTTCATGTTTGATGACGAGGATCCCCATAGAAAGAATTTGGCGTTTCCGGTGGAGTGGCCACAGGAGGACGAGGAGCTTTACGATTAGAGGGCTTGATACGCATGAGAGTCTATTCGGCGCTGCTTCTCATTAACTGCATACCCGTTTGTTTATCGCGTCACGTCTGTTCGCTTTTGTAGACTAGTGAGTCATACATAATACCACTTTGTATTTGACTTGTCACAAGCTAGCTGTGTTCTTGTAGATTTTTGAGGCACTTGGGACGGGCTACTACTACTAACTGCAGAGGAAAGTCGAGTCTGGTTAAGAAGGGGCAATTATCTATGTCACAAAGTGCCAGGAGATTAATTGGAAATGAGCATATCTTCAGCTCTGAGTTCATATTCAACAAGTATAGTAAAAAAAAAAAAAAAAAAAAAGGCCTCCAGCTGCGGCCAGAAGCTACAACCAAGGAAAGAAGCGATCCAAATCAAGAAATCATCCGACCCTCATATCGCAGAGTCATTACCATTATATCCATCCCAAGATGTACTAGTTATACGACAAATGGATCATGATCGAACCGTGGCGCCGTAAACCCATCGCAGGAGAACCGAACCAGATAAGGCGATCCAGTCCTGTTGGACGACAAGAACGTGGTGCCATCCGGCGCCTTCACGTTGATATCGAACTCGGCGATTCGCGGCCCTTGGCCGTAAAAGATACGGAATGGATAGTAGCGACCCTCTTGCAGATTCACGGTGTAAGTGCCCTGCGCAGGTCCGTTGTTGTATACAACCTTCAAATTGGCATTGGCAGCAGCCCATCCGGAGAATGCCACTCCACCAACCCAGAGAAAGGCAGCGTCATCGACCTTGTCAAGAGTAAAGGTGTAGGCGCCGGTCTGGCGGGCGTAGATGTATCCGCGGTGGTTGAGGACAAAGTTTGACTCTGGCAGTGGAGGGGAGCCGTAGATGCTCTTGTCGGCGCTGTCTTGGAAGCTGATGCCGCCAATGCAATTGGTGGTTGCCTGATATCGTGGCTGAAGAAGCTATTTGTTGAGCGTGGTATTAGCACTCATATTACAGTTTTTGATATTGCAACTTACCTTGTACGCTTCGGGGTGAAAGTCGGAGAATTCGCCGCCGACAGTCTTTGCGTAGTACGCAAATTCGATTCCCTGGTTACCGCAGAGAGTTGGTGCAGGGCAAGCTCTCACTGTCTGGGTCCTGGTGATTGTGCTCGTCGTGACGACCGGGTCCAGGACGCCAGTGGGACCGACGGTTTTGGTTTCAGCGATGACGGGGTTGATGGTGACGGTTCTGGTGACTGTAGTGGTTGGGATCGGGAGACTCAGGCACGAGCAGGCCTTTGTGACGTCTGGCGTAGGGAACTGAGCAACGCGGTTGGGAATGGGAGGGAGATGGTGGCGCTTGAAAGGCGTTGGGAAGGGCTTGGGTGTGCAAAGGCTGCTAGTAGTTGTCCTGCGATTCAGGGTCAGATAAATACGTTTGAGATAGTCAAGGCAAATTTACACTATAGTGCGGCTGGTGATTGTGGGACGGATGCGGTTATTGTTGGAGATTGTCGCAGTCACCGTAGTTGGCGTCACAACGGTGGTAAAGCTGGTCTTGATAACACTCTTGGTAGGAGGCACAACGGCCTCGCAAAAGGCAATTGCCAACGGATCCCCAATGATGAGCTCGGCAATGACATTCACGGCAATACATTCAACTGTGTCGATGATTCCCGGCACCAATAATTGGGGTTCTGGGGAAGCAACTGCTGAAGTAGATAGTGTCAGGGCCAGGGCGGCCAGTGAAGAGAATGTGTGCTTCATGATGCCAGCACTGGAACTCTGTTGTTCTTGAGTGAGGTGGAGGTTGGTGATGAGAAGGGATGGCGAACGGATGTGGTCAAAAGCGTGGTGTTTTATACTTTCTACTCTTCATCCTAGATTTGGCATACATCAGTTACCACACATGCATATTCATGTCGTGATTGGCCATGAAGCGAAAGGGTCAGCTATCTGATGTTGATACCTCGTTTCTCTATGCCGTTTCCATCCTGTTTGTTAGTGTTTTGATACACCGCTCCTATATTCGCATGTAAGGGATACTTTAAGCCGATATGAACAAAACACCGCTCGACGTGTTCGAGTCCCCTATCCTCCTCTTCTTAGATGCACTAGGCACGGCTGAAAGATGAGACTTGTCGGATGGGGGTCGATGAACGATTGCATTGCTGCCTTTCCGGCCTCGTACTTTGGCCAGCACACAATTACCAAGAAAATTTAAGACACTTCAAGGATCCTCCCGATAACCTTTTCCGAGACATTGATATCTCACCTGAATAATAACAAATACACGTTGGAAGCCCCGTAAAAGGATCTACGACAAGATTTGGCGAGTCTTGACATTTTTGTGTTTGCCTAATACTGCTGCACCGTATATGCAAGGAGGGCCATCGCCTGCATGTGTCATTTCCCAATGTTTCATTCGGTGAATGCGAGTCTCAGGTCAGGACGCTGTCTAGACCAGCAGTTATTTCGGCTCAGCCCGGATCAAGGAGGCAAAAAAGCACGACGGTTTTAACAAGGATACTGTACGAGTGTCTCTGAGTTTTTTGGGTGAAGCTGAGAGGCAGTTTTATTGGGAAGCAACTGTTGTGATTTGACTACGCCGGAAGAGGAATATCCCTTGCATGAGAGGCTTGTTTTTTCAGCTCCTTCGCTTCGGCGTGCTACTGCATGAATTGAGAGTCAAATCCTTAGAATATAGTTAGTCTAGACAATATTTGGGCTGGAACCAACTATAAATAATTCTTAATTTGACTGCCAGGTATAATTATCCATTCCAAAGAGAAATGGACTCTGATCTAGATTCGAGATGTCGTGGGGGCCCTTTGGTTGGTCTTTCAAACCATGTATTTCACACTTGGGTGCCGTTACTATACACATATCAGGCAAATGTAATCGACTTGATCAGCAGCATCAATTGTCTGAGCTCATTGGTATGCGCCTAGAGAGCTATTGGGCTTTTCGTGGTTGTTCGATTTGACAGCCCAATCCATTAGACTCTAAGCGGCCATGAAGCTTAACAGCGGAGCATTGTATTTGAAATGGCGAATGGAAATATATGAGATGCTAAATATAAATTGCGTGGAAAAGCATTTGCAGATGCTGTGTGTCCTTAGTATTCGGGAAGATGATTAACATACCCAGTAATCACAAATTTGCAAGGCAGCTCATGAATCATCTTACGCTCCGCATTTGGTAGGCTTCAGCAGTAATATGTATAGCAGCATTTTGAATTGGACATGCTAAATTTTACTCGTGAGCATGTCATGAAGTGCGCGTTAAAGAGAGATTGCCTTTTTGAGCTCTACAAGCAGCGGCTACACACTTTTGCAGTTCATTTGACTACCTCTGTTGTTTCGCTTGTTGGATCAAAATACATTCTTATTAATCGTTTTTACCATGTTGCATAAACACTTTGCTATTGTTCGTGCAAATGGCTTGCAAGTGTATATCTTTGTCTACTAAAGAACTTGAAGAGAAATGGCTGATCATTCATAGAGGTGCCATTGTAAGACATGTAGCAAAAACATACCCTAAAGCAACCATTCGTTCCACTACCAGGTCTCCGGAAAAGCCCAATGCATTAGAATTGGCAAAGCTGGGACCCCGGGTAGAAGTAGTTTGAGCAGACCTTGACGACAAGCCCTCTTTGGTCTCAACATTTCGAGGCGCTGATGTGGTCTACCTCGTGGCTGACTAGTACTGGAATATATGTATTCAATCCATCCCAAAATGCTTGACTAAAACACAGAGATGATGAACGGCACTATACCAATTGATGTCGCTGCTGAAAGTAAGAGAATAACCATTATATCATCGGCACCTTGCCAAATATATCGACTCATTCTGCATGTGCAGTGGAAGAAGTGATTCTCATACTTGCTCTCACAGCGTGTAAGTGCTTATACAAGTACCTCCATGTACCTAGGTTCTCTTGGGTGTAGTGAGGTTCTCCAACATGCCGGGCTTGTGAATAATGCTTCCGATCGGTTCGTACAAACCAAGTATCGTAGCGTTTTGTAATGTATCTGTATTTCTGCTCAGCTCTGTGCTTCATTGCAGTTTCATTTGTTTCGGTGGTAGGTGAGCCTGGCAATGTATGGTCGCTGAGGAATTGGGCGTTTGCCTAGCATTTGGCCTGAAAGAAGTTTCACAACGAATGCTACGAGAGCTTCACTGTTCTTGTTCGACTTGCAGACTGTTTCATCCACCTCATAGAGATACAGCTACAAGAGCACATGCATCATTTTTATTTTAAAAGGGTTACAGGGCTGTAATCCTCGGAAAGCTTCTGTGCAGCCTTTCAGCGGTAGCGTCTGCAAGCTTCAGTGCGTAAATCAGCCGACATTCAGCCGGGCAGCCGCAAACGCCTCCAGATCCAATCCGCTGTTGGCCCATTGCAAGCAGCTACACGTTACGACCCCATTCCATACCAGTTCATCTTCGAATTGCAGCTTCGCCATCGCCTCTACTCTTATCCAGTACTGATCCGCGGCATTTTCAATAGTCATCGCAAGGGCTCATTCACTATTTTGGTAGCAGCGACAACAGCAATACGCCAAGATGGGCAAAAGGAAGCGCGGCCATCCCGACGTCGAGGAAATCCTCTCCCGACCGTGGTGCTACTACTGTATGTGCACAATTCGAGCTGCTTCGTCATTTCACTGTAGCTAACCTTTCAATCCTGCAGGCGAACGTGATTTTGAAGATTTGAAGCTCCTCATCTCTCACCAAAAGGCCAAACACTTCAAATGCGACCGATGTGGCAGGCGATTGAATACCGCGGGAGGTACGTTTCCGGACGCGCAAAGTTTCCAAATGGAGCTGCGATCATCTTGCGAGATGGAATACTGAAAGAAAATGCTTGCTAACTACTGACTCACAGGTCTCTCCGTCCATTTGAACCAGGTGCACAAAGAGACGCTCAGTCAAGTCGAGAATGCACTTCCCAACAGGCAGGGGCTCGAGGTCGAGATTTTTGGTATGGAGGGTATTCCACAGGAGATTCTCGAGCAGCACCGAAACCGAATCATTCAGAACTTCTACCAGGCGCAAGAAGACCGCAGAATCGCGACTGGAAATCCGCCGCCCGGCCAGTCCAAGAACCCAAGAAAGAAGATCAAGATTGAGACGGCGGAAGAACTGCTCAAGCGATTTGCCGAGTACCGAGCTCAACGAAAAGCGGCGGCGGCAAATGGTGGCGTTATGGAGGGTGTCGTACAGACTGGCACTTCGTTTCCTCAACAGGGATTCAATCAGCCTGGTTTCCCTGGACAACAACCACAGACTCCCTACAACTTTTCCTCAGACTCTCTCCCTGCGCGGCCTTCAGCAAATCCGGTCGGCGCACAGGGCTTGCCCCAGCGACCCACACAGCCTGGCTTCTGGAACAGCTCAGCTCAAGGTGCTGCTGCTGCTTCTGGCGACGAAATCGATCAGCTGATTCGCATGGCCGAAGCTGGCGTGAAGCCGCAGAGAAAGCCGGAAGACGGCGAGGAGGCAGGCGAGGGCAAGAGCAAGAAGGAAAAGAAGGGCCGGATGATTTACGACGATGCCGAGTTCAGTCCCGAGGAGAAGATGGCGGCTTTACCACGCTACGCCTACACACCGCCAGTGGGAGCATAGTCCTTGCTCCGACAGCTCCAAAGCATCTTGGTGGGGAATAGGCTCGCGATTGCAGCGCTCGTTTATATATGATGGTTGATATCACTTTCACAAGGATAGGCGTCAGGGACTGTGTATAATACAGAGGGTTTTACAAGCTACTACTACGGACATGATGCACCGGTAGGCAGATTTGGCGTGGGAAACTGAAATGTATCCCGTGCCACAATGATAATATCATAAATTTGGATGAACTCGCATTTGGATAACTCATTCGAATTGACATGGGGCTCTCACGAAGTTATACAATGTAGCGTCTAGTCAATCCGCGTTCAAACAGGGACATGTACACATAGAGAGAAGCAAAGAATTGTGCGTACTAGGCACCTCTCTGGTTATACCTCTTTGCATCCGCGTACTATAAAGATGCAATAACCACGATACTCGTATCTCAAGTGTGCAGGCCTCGGAGCAATTGATAGGCCACAAGGTGAAAAGGCGGAATATACATCACAGCCATGATGTTACTCGTCATTTCTTGGCAGGGACTTGCTGTATACTGTACTTGTCCGTCGAGCATGCTTCCTCCCCTCCTGCTGATCAAACTCAATAGATGTGCTGCGAGAACCTGACCGCTCTTCTCAATGCCCAACCGTTGGCCTGTCTGGTGCGCTGTGATGCTACTCTGTAGGAGGTTAAATCTGCCACGAATCTCATCGAGTTGTAGGGTAGCAAGGCACTAAATCACACTTTTGCATGCTCTGAAGTGGAAACTCTGCGCCCAAAGGTGGCTACAGTGTGGCTACTTGGCGGGCCTAGCGCGGCGCTAGATGTTGTCACGGCAACTCGACGCCGCTCCAGCGCCTTCACTCCCTACCGGGGTCAACAAAGCGTCGCTTGCCAGCTAGGCCTGCATATCGGACTCCATAGCGGTGCGAGACAGCAGAGACGACATGAAGTTGCCCGTTCGCTCTCTTCGTTTTGCTTTGCTTTCAATATACGTCTGCAGCATTACGTTTGCCTGAACCTGTACTGTGCATCTCCTACTATCTGCATACTAACCGTTGGGCTGATCTCGAAGCGTGGCCGTCCGGGGCTGGTTTTTGTCTTTTCTCTGTATTTTTTCGAGTCTCAGCGCTGCCGGCCCCTCACCCTCCCTGGTCACCGATTATCTGCATCTCTCCAAGCGAACCTGACCGGCTCGTGCGCACTGACGGTCAATTGAGATCGAGTCGAATTCTTTACATGCAGCGAGATACTTCCATCGACGCTACGCTCGCTGGAATAGAGGCCAGCGTTGGACACAGCAGATGGACATCATGGCCGACGACGCAGACGCTGGACAGTCGTCCATCACCGTGGCCGGTATGTGCTTGAATGCATGAACGCATGAAGCGGCCGTGTCCAGCCGGTGCTAAGCTAACGTGTCTCAGTCCGAGTGCGGCCCTTTACCATCCGAGAGGCAGCTCAACTGTATGCCGACTCCATCTCCATCAAGAGCCCTCGCTTTGTGCTTTGCGTACGACCGAATGGATGCTGACGGGCGTGAATTCAAGGCAGCGGAATGACGATGGCACCATATTCCTGGGCGACGGCTCTTTTGCCTCGGCACCGACCCCAAAGCTTCACCAGCGAGGCATCAGAAACGTGATCAAGGTCATCGACGACCGTTGCCTGTATGTATACTTTTCTACTTTTCTATACTTTGACCTGTATGTATCCATCACTCGGCTGACTCTCCTTTCTGCAGAATATTCGATCCACCAGAAGACAGCCCCGTCCAGAAATTCTCCCGAACCGTCATCCCGACCTCGAAAAAAGTGAAGGATCAAGTGTTTGCCTTTGATCGAGTCTTTGATGACATGACAACGCAGGCCGAGGTCTACGAGGGAACCACAAGAGCCTTGCTCGACAGCGTGCTGGATGGATACAATGCAACCGTCTTTGCCTACGGTGCCACGGGCTGCGGCAAGACGCATACAATCACCGGCACGGCGCAGCATCCTGGCATAATCTTCTTGACAATGCAGGAATTGTTTGAGAAGATTGACGAACGCAGCCAGGAGAAGCAGACCGAGCTGACTCTGAGCTACCTGGAGATTTACAACGAGACGATTCGCGACCTGCTCGTGCCGGGCGGAAGCAAGGTTGGCTTGGCTCTTCGCGAGGACAGCAACCAGGCGGTCGTCGTGCCCGGATTGACCAGCCACCGCCCTCGAGATGTCCAGGAGGTCATGGACATGATTATCCAAGGAAACGAGTACCGAACTGTATCGCCAACCGCAGCAAACGCAACGTCCTCGCGATCGCACGCCGTGCTGCAGATCAACATTGCGCAAAAGGACAGGAATGCTGATGTCAACGAGCCTCACACAATGGCGACTCTGAGCATCATCGATTTGGCCGGCTCTGAACGTGCCTCCGTCACCAAAAACCGCGGTGAGCGCCTGACGGAGGGCGCCAATATCAACAAGTCGCTTCTTGCCCTTGGAGGCTGCATCAACGCGCTCTGTGACAAGCAAGGAAAGGCGCACGTCCCATACCGCAACAGCAAGCTCACCCGGCTGCTCAAATTCTCCTTGGGTGGTAACTGCAAGACTGTCATGATTGTCTGTGTCTCGCCATCAAGCGCCCACTACGATGAAACCCAAAATACCCTGCGGTATGCGAACCGGGCCAAGAATATCCAGACAAAGGTCACTCGCAATGTTTTCAATGTCAACCGCCACGTCAAGGACTTTTTGATCAAAATTGACGAGCAAATGGCCCTGATTAATGAGCTGAGAGCACAGCAGAGGGATTCTGAGCGAGTGTATTACGCCAAATTCCGAAAACAGTACGAAAAAAGAGATGCCATTACAAAAGAGGCCACTCTGAGGCTTCGAGCTGCATATGACAATGCAGGTGCAGAGCGTCAGGAGCGCATCATCACCATGAGGAAAATGAAACACTTTGAGAGGCGCATTAGCCTGCTGTCTGCGTGGATTGCGGCCTTTGACAATGTTGCTAATCAGAAAGAGGGCGAAGAGGCGATGCCGCAAGGACTTCAAGCTATACGAAGGACTGCCGAGGGAGTTTTACTCGAGCTGGAAAACAGCAGATATCATAGCCATCAAAGGCTGGAAAAGTTGACATGGGAACGCCACCTCGACACAGCCTTGGCTCATGGCGTCGGACAGCTGGAGCAGGCTGAAGGCGCCGACACGGGCGAAATCGATGCCTTGACGCACGAAGCTGAACTTCTAAAAGCCAACTTTAGTCGCGAAGCCTACCAGGAGGTTTTGGAACAAGAAAAGGTGGGAGATGCCGCGATGATGCAAGTTCTTCTCACAGCCCAGTTCGAAATGATGTCCTCCCTTTCTTCCGTCCTGTCAATGGATGAAGAGAGTGCTGTGGAACATGCCAAAGACGCCATTTCTCGCCTACTCCAAGATGGACTCACGGCTGCATCCCAGGTGGTCAAGCCCGACGGCACCTTGCCTGTTGTACCCGATGCCCTTCCACCGAGAAGAACGCTGAGGAAGAGGAAGTCTTTGTCTGCCTACAGGCCTGTTGCACCCCCGGCTATTGTGGCCGTACAAAACGAACACGTGTTTGCGACTCCCATGAAGTCAACGCCGAGGCGGCGTAAGGCCCTCGGCATGCCGAAGAAGGGGGTTAGCTTCACGCCCGTCAAACGAGCTACCAAGAGTCGAGGGGTCAGGTGGAGGGATGATGAGACGGAAGATGGAACGCTGGAAGACTTTGAGAAGACGCCGCAGAAGCTATTCAGCTCCTCCCCCCCCCCTCCCGCGCAGCCGTCGCCGCCAGTTGTTAAGAGCAAGATTCCCTCCCCGCCGTCACAGTCCAACAGCATGACTAAGGATGATGCTTCGAATAACGACACGATGAGCCCCGACTCCGATACGCCGAGTCTATCGATTGCTAAACCCGGTAGATTTCAAGCTGGATTCCTTTCCAGAGGCAAGCGACTGTCGGCTGAGGGTAGCGCGCTGCCCGTATCATCATCTCCTCCGGCTTTAAGCATGCATTTGCGCTCTTCGAGCTCTCCCGCAAGCTCTCCCGACGTAGAAAGAACATCCCCTCTGAGATCTCTCGAAATCCCCAAGCCGGAGAACGGGTCGCCGCTATCCTATAGTAAGGTGCCACGGCTCAGTCCTCAATACCACGCCTTGCAGACGGTCATGGACGAGAATAACCCCCCGAACGCTTCTGGCTCCGACTCGGAATCGGGCACGATTGACATGCGCAAACTTCGCAGCGCCATTGCTTCAAAGAAGCCTCGGAGGATCGCCCTCATGGCCCCAACTTCGGCCCCTGCTGCCAGGCGGGTATCGATTGGCTCTGCTTCCGGCGACAAACCAGCGCCGCGACCTGTCATACCAGTCTTGGCCAGTGCTACAAACGGCATCTCGCGCCATCGAAGGGGGAGTCTGGAGCTCCGAAAGAGCCCGCCGCTGATGTACGCACCATCGGAGGTCATATCAGAGAACCTCACTGCGGGCCAAGCAAGACGGATGAACATGGGGGGCAACATGCGACTTGAAAACCTGGGCGCGGCCCAGCGTGATAAGCCCGGCCTGGAAGCGCCTCGCCGCGTCACTTATAGTGTTGGAGCGAACGCTGGTGCTGGCGCTGGCGCTGGAGGTGTATCTTCGCACCGAAGGCTCGATAGCCGAGGAGGTATGCCGGTTAGGTAAAGGCCTTGCACTCACATCGGCTATCCGCCTTGTTTTTTGTTTTACTTAATCATTGCATCTGCCATTATACTGCTCCGACTTGTTCATTGATTCCGTCGGAGTGGACTTGTTACTTGCCGTCTTTTCACATCATAGAGCAATAGATGGGCGCTAGGGTTTGTGCTTCCGAGTGCCAGCTGAGATTTCAGGGTATAGGCGTCTCGGATACAATACGACCATGGATCGGCGTATAGGCTTGATTATTATGTATGATTGCTGTATGCATATTTTAGAAGCAGGAATGACTTGAAAATCTGATTTTGGTTTGTTTCTCGTTTGGTAGTCTCTTTGCTGATGATGCCCCGATTCATGCGTGAAAGAGACGATGTGATTGGTACTTTTTGTCTCGACGATGGGCTCCATTGTATTCGGCAATCGTCGCCTTGAGGAAGGCTCGGCGCTGACTAGAGCATCTTTGCATTAATCATAATTCATACTGGTGCAACAAGAGATTTAGAGTATATAAGCCCTCGCTCCCCTTTTTTATGACACATGGGATGGGAAACTGTCGCATTTTTCCTGGCTCAGTAGCGTTCTAGGGAAGATCAGTACGGCTAGCATCGTGCTAATACTGTATAGATCCACATGATTTGGCATCTAGACACAGTGCTTCCGCCTTTCTTCCATTGCTACATTTTCATCTACAGATTTACGAGATCCGCACATCCGCCATCCGGCTTTCCGCCACTTTCTGCATCGAGCCTTGTAAGACTCTGGGGAAATTAACCAGGCAGTTCAATTGGCCGCCTATCCGCAGCGTCGTATTTCCTATTCTGAAACCAACCATTGAATTTTCCGTTTGTCTTTTTTTGGCGTGCTGCGAGGGGGAGGAGGAGCATCAGATGGACGTCGACCATGAGTCCGGATCAGAGCCAGTTCGCTACATCCGCAGCCGCATCGCCAATGCGTGCGATGGATGCAAGACGCGCAAGGTCAAGTGCGATGGGAAGCTGCCGTGCGGATTCTGCGTTGCGAGACAGAGAGCGCATACATGTCGCTATTCGCCGCAGAAGAGACGCAGACAGTCGCAGCTTCAGAAGCTGCCAAAGTCGCCGCCTTTGTCGGTCCGAGAATCGCGGGATCGGGCGGCCAGGGGCGGCTCATTGCGGTCGCCGTCGCCGATGGAGACGCCGGGATCGATGGCTTCGAGGCGCGTGTCGTCGGTGAATGCTTCGTCTCCGGCAATGCGAAGTGAGAGGCAGGCATCTGCGCTGCATCAGAGCCAGGAGCTGTCGGTGGCGGAGGACGAGACTGAAGTCCAGCGGGAGGCGAGGCTGCTGTGCGATGCCCATGGGAAGCTGACGTTTATTGGAGACTGCGCGCCGCTGTCGTTTTTCCAGTCGGTGCGGCGGCTTGTGACGAACAGAATTGGCCAGAATGCCTTTGCGCCGCAGACGAGTCGGTTTTCGGTTCTGGAGAATGCACCCGCGAGACAGACGAAGCGGTCGTTGAGAGATTCGAGAGTACCGCATGTTCGGCCTGCTGATGTTACGCCTGCTGTGGCGACGTATTTGTCGACGACGGCGAGTTTGGTGGATTTGTTTGACAACTCAAAGCTGTTGGATGACTTGGTTATATGGGCAAATCTGGCGCAGAAGCCGGATAATGTCACGACCATTATTCACTTTCTCGTGCTTGCTATTGGGTTGCAGGCGGACAGCGATGCGCTGTCGCAGCAGTATTTTGAGTATGCGCGTGATTTGGCATATACGGATCTGAGCGACAGTCTTGGCGTCGAGACGGTCCAGGCATTCATCTTGGTTACGGTGTACATGCTGTGCTCGTGTCAGATCAATGGGGCCTTTCTCTTCTTTGGCATTGCTGCGAGGGCGGCGTACTCGATTGGTTTGCATCGGACCGAGGTGAATGCCCGGTTTGGACAGGAGATTCATCGTCAGCGAGATCGTCTCTGGAAGAGCCTGCGTGTGCTCGATCTCTTTCTTAGCAGCTCTCTGGGGAGGCCGCCTTCGACGTCGGATGTGGATTGCACTGTTCCGTACCGTGCGGTGGATGCGGATGGGAACGAAGTGTTTGACTTGCTCAATGCGTCTGTGCAGATTCTGGTTATACTGGAGTGTATCATTTTGGAGATTTACTCGCGCAAGAAGATTTCCATGCGGTTGACTGAGGGCATCTCCTTGCAGCTGCGCGAATGGTCGGGGCGATGGCTCGGCTCATTGAAGGACATGATTGCGCAGCCGGCGGGCCGCAACGAGGCCCAGGTCACTGGCGCGTGTCAGGTGCTGTCGTCGTATTACTACGCGGTGATGCTTGTGTCGCGGCCGTTTCTGATGTATGAGCTGTTCCAGCGGCTTACGGACGGGTCGTCGGCGGCGAACAGCAGGCCGGCGGCGTTGCCTTCGGGACGGTCGAGGCTGGCGGATGCTTGTATTGATGCTGCGAGCCTGATGGTGGATCCGGTCTTGGACTTGATAGAGAGGGGCATCCTGAGGGGGAAGGCTCCTTTGCTGGTGTGAGTTACTTTACTTGTATTGCCGCTCTTGGACTGTGATGGATGGCTAATGGCTGTAGATCGTGGCTGTTTGCTGCGTCGCTTGTTCTCGGTGTCGGTCTGCTCGGCGGGTTCAGCCGCATCTTGGAAAAGTACACGCGCATGTCTATCCAAGCCATGGACCACCTTGCGCAAAACGACGCCCATGCGCGGCAGTACTCGCTCATTGCGCAGTCGCTGCTGACAACGGCGTTGGAGCACCTGGAGAGACAGGACCTTCAGGATCGCCTGCGCCGCACGGAAAACTCGAGTCACTTGTTCGGCTTGGTGGCGCCGGATGCGCGATCGCCGCTGAATAAATCTCCGGCGCCGATGAGGGATGGCATCGGCCTGCATGCCAAGACTCCAGATACAGCGCCTGATGTCAATGATGGTGACGGCCGCGCCTCGGTGCTGCAGAGCCAGAGTCTAGCGGGGATGGGAGAGATGGATTCCATCTTCTTGGGGCTGTCGGAGCCGATGCTGCATACGCCGGATACTACGTATTGGGATGGGATTGTGGGGAATGACAGTGACCCGAATTCGGCGTTGAATTTGTTTCCGTTGCTGGAGACGGGGGGAGGGATAGATTTGGCGCATTGGCTGTAGGTGTTGGGTTTGTTTGTTTAGAAGGGTGTGATGTTCTTTAGCCGGCCACTGGTTCACGGCAGTTGGATGAGTTTAGCTTCGTCTAACCTCTGAAAGTAAAACGAAATAATGGGTATAGATGAGATGATTTTCGAAATGGACATTTCTAAAATGCAAGCTAGAGCTGTTTGCTATTTCAGGACACGATGATGATCTGGCGTGATGGTGAGATAATCCAGCCGAGCTGTCGTAAGATGTCAATCTTTCATCTTGAATCAACAACTAGTCTAGACCACGGAATATCCCCAAAAGGCAAACAATCAGGAAGCTGGGAACTCTTTGCTTGGATCAAAGCAGCAGACTTTGGCAAACGTTGCATGTATTGTTGCGTTTATACTGAATGCCCGGAATAGCATAGCAGCACTAGTCGGCCCGGAATAGCTTCTAGCACTATGCACCCCGTAATTCTGGAAACAACCGGCTCCCCAATCATGTCCGTCTCGAATGCGGGGTGATGTATCTGAGAAATCTTCATGGCTGGGCCAAGCATGGCAACACAAAATGACACGAAAAGGCTATTTTTGGAAGACAAATGGGAGCATATGGGCGATCAAAATATCTGACTGTCGATCTGCTGCCCATGCCCTCCCACGGACGATCCAATCCAAGGCAGAATCTCCTATTCGTATGGAGAGAACAAGTGCTAGTATTACCAGTATTACTGTAGTACGCACTCACGTAATGATTCCATCTGGTTCATTCTCCAATGCATTGCCGGCAGAATCTGCTTGTCGACATCAGCGCTATTCGGCTTTGCGCCTCATTGTGGGGGACCAGCAAGGGTAGGACCGATAATCCCTGCGCACAGCACAAGGCCGCCAGCGAGTTGCCTCCTGCTGAAACGGGCAAAGCCGTGCAGCGGCGGACAGCAAGAATTGTTCCTATAGATGGAGAAACTGATCTTAGTCCGGCAGGCTCCTCGCCCTGTCATCAGATGGACGTTGCGCATGGAGATCCAGGGACTCAGGAGTCGAGGTGCCTGGACAGCGTCGCATCGCTGACGGCATATATATGGGACTGGGGACGCTTTGTTTGCTGAAGCTCAAGGTTTGAATCGACATTTTGGTTCTTTGTGTGATTTGGTAAAAGGAAAAAGTACAGAGAGCAATATTCACAATGGTCAAGTACTCAGTTCCCGCGTCCATACTGCTGTCGCAGTCGTTGGTGGCGGCCAGTCTCTACGACTCGTATGTGAGCTTGTCGTTTGAGCTGATTGGTTTCCCTACATTTGCCGGTGAGTTTCCATCTGTATGATATTCTCTTTGAAGCGTACATGGACTGACCCGGGTGCTTTGTCTTGTTCAGGAACCAAGAGCCAGCCCAATGCCTTCTCCCACAACCTGATGCAGAACTTGGCCGACCTTCAAGGCAGCGGAGTTGTCGTTCGCGTTGGTGGAAACTCTGGCGACCGTGCCATCTACGACTCGACCTTGACCACGGCCACAGCCAGCGCTTGCCCCAATGCCGACCCTGGCGCATGGCAATGCATCGGAAAGAGCTTCTTCGAGTCGTATGGCGGATTCCCGGCCGGCACCCGCTACTCTCACCAGTTCAACGTCGGCGCGTACAACTCCTCCGGATGGGCCACTCTGAAGTCGACGGTGCCCCTGGCCTGCAAGGCGCTTGAGGGCCAGCTCGAGTTTTGGGAGGTTGGCAACGAGCCGGATCTGTACATTGGAAGCAGACGTCCCAGCACCTACAACGCCGCCGACTATGCGGCCGAGTGGGTGAATACCACACAGCACTTTGAGAGCTATCTCAAGACTGCGTGCCCTTCCCTGGGAGGCAGCATCAAGTACATTGCTCCCTCGTTGAGCTCCCCCGGCGCCAAGCTCAAGATCAACGCCATCTTCCCCGACGAAGGCAGCGCTGCCACCTCAAAGATCTCGCAGGTCTCTGTGCACAACTACATGAACGGCGCCACCAGCCCGGGCGTTACTCTGCAAAACACGCTCATGAGCCACACGGCCGTTGTCAACTCGATCACGAACCACGTCAACTACGCCAAGACGTCCACCATCAGCGCCGAATACATCATTGGCGAGCACAACAGCTTGTACGGTGGCGGCGCCTCTGGCCTCTCCGACGTCTTTGGAGCCGCTCTCTGGGCCATGGAGTTTTCCCTCTATGCTGCCTCCACTGGCGTCATCAAGCGCATTCACTTCCACCAGTCCGTGGGCTCTCCTTATGCCGCCTGGGTTCCTTCAGGCACTCTCAACACCAATGCCCCGTACTACGGCAAGCTGGCTGCCAGCACTTTCCTGGCCCACTCCAGCACCATTGAAGTCAAGACTCTTGCCTTGAACAAGGATGCCGACAAGGACTCTGGATATGCCGCTTACGTCAACGGCGAGCTGAGACGCGTCGCTGTTCTCAACTTGAGACAGTACAACTCTGGCAGTGGCACCCGCCCTAGCCAGAACTACACCGTCCAGGTCGGCGCTGGAACTTCTTGGACATCTCAGCGTCTTACTGCAGCTGGCGCCACGGACAAGTCTGGCGTTACTTTCAACGGCTTCTCTTACGATGCAAACTCCAACGGTCTGGCCCAGCGCGTTGCCAGCCAGGAGTCGGGCAAGGTTTACCGGGCTGACAGCAACGGCAACATTAACTTTTCTGTTCAGAACACTGAGGCTATTGTCTTGGTTAAGAACTAAGGATTGTGTCCTTTTCTTGTATAAAATCAATGGTGTGGGTTTGTTAGAGACGAAGATGATGGACCCGACGCAATCTGTATATATTGAATCAATGAGAAATTAATTTGATACCGTTTACGATAATCTGTACACCATTTGAATTTCATGTGTCTCATTTAGGATTCTTTGTAGTTTTGTAAATTTACAGATTCTGACTTCTACTGAATCAACACCTGCTTCTCCTTCTTCAACTTCTCCACAAACTCCAACGGCACCTTGAGCGTCTGCGCAACAATGTCCGGCGGCGTCAGCGCGAGCCACTGGGTAAGTGAAATATCGGCCACGCGGTCCGACTTGTAAATCTCGATCCAGACCAGGTCCTCCGTGTCTGACGTGTTTTCAATGTAGTGCCCCGAGTTGTCCGGGAACGCGGCCGTGTCGCCGGCGCGGAAGTTGAATGTGCGGGCGGCGGCGTTGCCGATGAAGACGGTGGCTTGGGCGGTGCCTTTGTGGAAGTAGAGCCATTCTGCGGCCTGTACATGGATATATTAGTTATGCCTTTCTTCTTCTTTTATTCTAGAGTTTTGTTTATCAAGAGACGGCGGGTAAATGTTGTGATATACAAGACACTCACGTTTGGATGCCAGTGCAGCTCTCGTAAGGCACCGGGCTTCAACGTTATCAATGCTGCGGCTATCGTTTTGCTGATTGGAAAGTTGGTAGAGTCAATCTTGTGGAGCTCGCCGCCGCTTCCGCCAATCTTCTCGGGAGCGTGCTGCAGCGTTCGATAGACGAAAGAGCTGTCGCCAGAAAGCGGAGGGGAAGCACCCGTGACGTTGTGAGTGCTAACAGTCCCGTTGATAATGTAAGGATCGGCGGCAGGGATGGAATCGAAGACGGATTCGTCAACGCCAAAGTTCTTTGCGAGGACTGAGCGAGGGGTATGAGCGATCCAGTCGTCGACGTGGAAAGTGGTGCTTGTCATGTTAGCCTTTGCTACGCTCGTCAAGGTTCGCACAAGTCTAGCCTCACCCAATCTTATCAAAATCGCCGTCATCGAAAACCAGGAGAAACTCATTCTCGGTGTCAAGGCCTTGCACCGAGTGTGCGACCCCCTTGGGGAAATACCAGATATCGCCGTAGCCGAGTTCTGCAACTTCGTATCCGCCGTTCTCATTGACGGCCGACACCGTTACGTGGCCAGCATAGACGAAGCCCCATTCGGCCTATTTCTCATGTTAGTACTATGAGCTTGAGCCTAGGTAATAAAAGCATCATCTGCTTACCACTCGATGCCAGTGCAGCTCTCGAATAGCCCCCTTCTCCAGATGGAATTGAGCGCCTGCAACATCTGGACTTGAGGGGAGATCGGTGACAACTTGCTCTCGAACCCAACCGCCTTTTAAGATGCGCGTTCTAGAGTCGGAGAAGCTCCATTTGAGGTTTGGGACGACGCCATTGTCGGTGGACTGTTCGCCCAGGTTATTCGGATTCTGCAAGTCCAGCTGATGGTTGGTACCGCCTTGCATCTCTTGTTAGGATACCGTTTGTTATTTTAGAGTAGAAAATTACCTGAAAAAGGGCCGCCTTTTCCATCTGGACTGATGGGCTCCCCATCATCAAATCCACCACTCCGTCCCTGGAGTCCAGGTGCCGCAGATGCGCGAGTGAGGCACAGAGCCAAGGCAGACAGCAAAGCGGCTTTCATTTTGAAGCAGGAAAAGTGAGAGATAAAGCGAGACGTAAAGACCGCTGGCTACGAGTGACTTTAGAGCATTTGTACTTCAACATGAGCGGGCTTATAGAATGCCAAGCATGTAGTTAACCTTGCGAGTAAGCGTCCTTTGAATGTAACCCTACGCTTTCAGCTCCCGTAATTGCGCCATGGCCTCCATTGCGAAACATGAGCCGTCAATGGCCATCTCAGCTCTCTAGAAATAACGCTAAAATGGCGGAATTATTGCGCAGATTCAGCTGCTGGCTACACAGAACTGGAGATTATTGTTGATTATTATTAGTCACGAGTATTGTTACAAATGTAGGGTCGCAATATTGAAAGCTGCGCAACACCTTGCATATCAAAGTCGCAGATAATATGACGCCATTGCGCAGGATCATGGTATAAGTAGCAGAGTATGCCGTTATTTGAGACACTGAATACAGAGGGATAAATAAAAGTCTTGATTCTAGCCCCTAGGGATGGATATATAACAAACAGATGTAAGGTAGTCTAGGATAAGCCCTTTGCGCTATGTAAACAAAAGGAGATCTGCAATGCGGCTTATATCGATCGCATTTGCTTCATATACCAATCCTATCATCCGAGTCAGCTAATCGTTCCTTCTAGGCACAATCTTCATAAGCATTACTTACCGTCTCAGCTCCTCCGGCCATAATCTTGATGCCTAGCAGCTTAGGAAGCAGCAAATCCGGCGCTTTTCTGGCATATGCCTTTGCATCTTCACTCTTGACCTCCTTGTTGAAGATCAAATTTTTGGGTAGGGATGGGTTAAGCACGGCGGGCCGACCAATGCCAACGATATCGCAGGCGTCTTCTCGAAGTGCACTCTCCATGGCCTCACGGCTGCGGAAGCCGCCTGTTACCATTAATGGAACGTTTCTAAATCGACCACGGATCTCTTTTGCAAAGTCGAGGAAGAAAGCTTCGCGGGACAGGGTGCTGGCTGACTTTGGCCCTTGGATCATCTAGAGGCTATTATTAGACTTTTTTTTTGTTTCCGACGAGATAAAGGCGCAAAACAAAGAGAACTTGTCAAGTAATGAAGCTTACCTCTGGGTCTTCATATGAACCACCGCTAATCTCAAGAAAGTCGACGCCAGCGCCAGTAATTTCCTCCAGCTGCTCAATGCAAGCCGCGAGCTGCTCCTTGTTCCTAAAGTCTGCGCTGTTCAACTTGATGCCGACGCAGAAGCTCTTGGGGACAGCCTCTCTCACAGCCTTGATGATATCGACAATGATTTTGGCTCGTGCTTTGGGTGATCCGCCAAACTCATCCTGGCGGTGGTTCGACGAAGGATTTAAAAACTGAGACAGCAAATAGCCGTGAGCCGCATGGAGCTCAACGCCTGCGAAGCCTGCCTCGGCCGCCAGCTTGGAAGTCTCAACAAATTGAGCAATAACCTGCTGAATATCCTCAACCGTCATCTCTTTTGGTGTGCCGAACTTGAGTGCAGAGGCAATCTTGGCGACAATGCCATCTCCCAAATGCAGCGGGATCGGGCTGGGAGCAATCGCCTTCTCAAAGTATCCCCTCTTGCCGGCGCCGCCAGGGCTTTGTCGTCCGGGATGGTTGATTTGCATAATGACCGGAGTGCCATTCTTGGAGCTCGACTTTGCCCATTTCTTCCACGAAGCGAGAGTCTTTTCTCTGTCGATAGTCTCATCGGGGCTCACATCCCAGGTACTGCCGAGATATCTGACATCAACTTGGACGTTGCCCGTAAGGACTGACCCCCATCCACCCTCTGCCCACGTCTCATATACCTTGAGCATACTTTCGGTGGGAAGATACTCGTTGTCTGCCCAGTTTTCAGCCATGGCGGCTTTGGAGAGCCGGTTGGGGAGCGTGAGGCCGCATGGGAGCGTGATTGGCTCCTGGATCTTGAGATTGGAGACTGTCATGGTGGCCGTTTGCTGACGGCGGTAGTTGGCGCAATGCTTAGCGAGCTAGCAGATGCATAGAGATCCTACAGGATTTCGATTCTAGTTATCAAGATTGAAATCCTTTATATATGAACAATTTTTTTACAATTTTTTCTTCCCCTATTAAGCACACAATGCGTCTGAATCGTGCCTCGGCCCAGCCGGTAGCGTCGGCCTAGCCAGGGGATCCATCGCCATAGCGGGAGATCTTTAGCGGAGATCTTCTAGCGGAGTTTGACTTACAAATCTGCTTTAGAAGATTGAACTGGAGCGCGGAATGAGAAGATTGGTTAGCTTATAATGTATGAAGTTTGGACAGTCGAATCCGCAGTGGGCAGTTGATTTAGCAGCTCTAGTTGCTGAGTATTTGCCTGATGGGACTGCTGCGGTCTGACAATGCGTTTGTCGTACAAGGTAGCCGTAGAGTTATCGCCGCAGAGCTGTGCCTAATAGTCCGATCGCGAAGTTGTACGTGTATCGGCTTAATCTATGAGCGGATAAGCAAAATCCTAGCCAGAAGCAGTCATTGCGGATATGGAGACTTTGCCGCGCTTGATAGACGGCGTAAGAGGAAATGAGCTCAGCATCAGGCCGTGTAGAAGAAGCGGTATGGTTCAGTGAGGTCACGTATCACAAGCTGTTTTGAGGCTGGAGGCTGTTATACAAATGCTATACTTCCATCTCACACTTCGTTCCAGTATATACACCGAGAAGAGGGCTTGAATATGCATGTACGAACTTGCGTACGAACCTGAACAATTCACGAAGCAATCGCCGACTACAAAACATTCGACAGTCGTTCCATGTACTGCCCTCTCTGATTGGATAGAATGAAACTAACTAGACGCCGTTTTGGCTCCTGCATATGAGCCCGCATTGACCTATTCAGTTTGTGGGGATAGTTTGCGACAGGTCGTACTGGGTAAAGACATCCATAACACAACTTGTCAAGTCTTGAAACGAGAATAAGAAAAGACGGTTAATAATGCTAGAGTGATTTACGTTGTAGTTGATCGGGATTTAATACGATACGTGAACCAAAAGCCAAGTGGAGTTGCGGGACTTGATCATACGACGCAACAATTGAACAGCCACTGCCACGGAAAATTTCATGTAATGCTCGGCCTTTGCCTGGTAGAACGACGATTTTACCGTATCTGTAGAATGGGTTATAAAGCTCAGTATTTTCGGTTGTCTCGCTTTGTAAGACGGCTCAACAGCACTTGGTGGGCTACACAGAACCCTCAACATTCGGCCCATCTCTGCCCCGATCTTGGTAATCGAGAAGCCAGTGCGTCTTTGAGCCACTCGTTTCTAGGGCTGTTCAGTGCTAGTAATAGACAGACATCTCCTGCTTTCGAGAATTGTAATTTAGCCTCGGCTGCTGATAGAATTAAGAACATGGCATAGTTCTCGCTGAGCGCTTCCAAACATGTCACCAGTTCTAGGTGGGGTGAAGTCCATCACAAAAATCCCTTCTAGCTTCGGCCTGAGTCATTATAAGTCCGCGCGAAAGTCCAGCGCCAGTCCAGCGCTATTCCATCGCTTGTTCGGCCGGATCCTATTCTTAGGCCTGAGGCGACATGTTGGTACTGGAGCAACACATAACGCATTAATGCAGATTGCTGCGAAGCTTAGCCAAACACGAACGATGCCGAATGCCGACTAGTTGTAGATGCACAGAGATCATGAAGCTGACAATAGTGCCTCGCAATTCGATAGTGGGGTTCGGATTTATAATCTCTAGAATGGCGCGATTAATACTATTGACTTCTTGAGGCTTCCAGGAGAATACCGATAAGAAGGCGGAACCTCCCATCTTCCAAAACTCCCTATTCTTCTATTGCAGTGCCAAGTGAATTCAGCAAAACTACCGTCAACATGTCAAAACTCTTCTCTCCCCTCAAGGTGGGCCGCGTTGAGCTCGCCCACCGAATTGCCATGGCGCCCATGACCCGGTACAGAGCCGACGATAACCACGTTCCTCTGCCTACAGTGAAGGAGTACTATGCGCAGAGAGGAGCTGTTCCTGGCTCCTTGTCCATCACCGAGGCTACCTTTATTTCTCAGCAATCGGGTGGCTATGCAAATGTTCCCGGAATCTACACACAAGAGCAGATTGATGCCTGGAAGGAGATTGTGGATGCTGTTCACAAGCAAGGATCATACATCTACCTCCAACTATGGGCTCTGGGACGTTCTGCCAATGCGGAGGTGTTGAAGAAAGAGAGCAACTCAGATCTTGTTTCTGCCAGCGACGTACCAGAGTCTCCTGATGCTGCCGTTAAGCCACGTCCCCTAAGAGAGGACGAGATTCTTCAGTATATTGAGGACTACACACAGGCAGCCAAGAACGCTGTTGCTGCCGGATTCGACGGCGTAGAGATCCACGCCGCCAACGGCTACTTGCTGGAACAGTTCATCCAGGAGCTTACCAACAAGCGAACCGATCAGTGGGGTGGAAGCATTGAGAACCGAGCACGTTTCGCGCTGGAGGTAACCAAGGCTGTTGTTGGAGCTATTGGCGCAGACCGGACCGGAATCCGATTCAGCCCGTTTGCCGACTTCATGGGAGACATTACCTATGACCCGATTCCCCAATATGAGTACATTGCCGAGCAGTTGAAGCCCTACAAGCTGGCCTATGTACACTTGGTTGAGTCTCGCGAAAAGGGCAACGACATCACGCCGGTCATCAAGGCCTATGCCAATACCAGCCCTGTTCTGGTAGCCGGAGGATTCCAGCTCGAGTCCAGCAAAAAGGCCGTTGACGAGGAGTACAAGGACTACGACATCGTTATTGCCATTGGCCGACCATACACCTCCAACCCCGATCTGCCTTTCCGGTTTCAAAAAGGAATCGCTCTCACGCCGTACCAGAGAGAGACGTTTTTCACTGCCAAGCAGGATAAAGGCTTCCACGACTTTCCCTTTAGCGAACAGTTTACCGCACTCAAGGCACAAGCATAGATACCTAGCGTTGCATCATTGTTTAGCCCATTAAATAAAAATAAAAGCACATGTTAGACAAACTTATTAACCCTATCAACGTGAAGACTGCTATGGGAGCAGTATGCATTAAGCCTCTTGTTCCTGTGGGTCGTCGCTGAAGATTGTATCATAGGATGTGGCTTAGTGACGATCGCAAGACCTGGCGCCTGTCAGAATCCAAAATAGGCGAGCTGAAGGGTCCATAGCCCCACTGAGCTGGGGTAAAGCGAGATATTAATGCGGAGATGCCGTTGTGTCATCGCAGAGGCTTGGAGGTTGGTCATGGCAGTTATATGTCACTTGGCAGTCGAGATGTTGGGGTATATAATGTCCCAGGTCGGCACGTAGCGTGAATACTTCAAGAACTCAAATCACTTTACTACGTGATCAATATGCCTCTGCCAAACAATGAAGCCTTGCATAAACCACCTGGAAAGACAAACGAACAAGATGACCGTCAATTAGCTGCTCAAGCCGGACTCAAATGGGGTAAAACTCCCAAGATGGATGAGCAGCCTTCAGAGCTACCAGACGACCATCCCGTCCATAAAATCTCACCCAAAGAGCAAGAGAAGATGAGGCAAAAGGGAGTCAACCCTGTATTGAAAGCAGAGATGGATGAAGCAATGGGAAAAGGGCAGCCAGGAGGAAAGTTTTGGAAGAAATATGGCACTACAAGTATGGGCCCGTGGATGGTATAAGATTATTAACTAAGTGAACAAATAAAGAGCTGCTTGGCATCCGGATTTCTCAATTTCAACAGCCAGAGTATAGGATCCAGGCAGGTCACATAAGCAGGTCACATATAATAGCACACAATCTGTAGAGAAAGCAAAGAAGAAAAACCGACAATAAAATGTTCGTCATAATAATTCACGTTATTTATTTTTCAGCGTTATTCATTATACAGCGCTAGTCTTTTGACTTTTAATTCCAGAAATGCGTAGAGGCACTCGGCGGAAGATCTGCCTGGGCAGTTCCAAACTTTGTATTCTCTTGCGGCCCGAGAGTCAACTCAAGCACGCCGCCGTCAAGGAAGAAGTTGTGAGTCACCCATGCCTTGTTATACGGCTTGCCGTTCAACTTGGCGCTCTGGATGTAAATGTTGCTGTATCCGGCATCAAAGTTGATGTTGCGAATGGTCGCCGTCTTGCCGGATCGCGGGTCGGTGAAGCTGACCTCTGGGAAGAATGGCGGGATGACGAGGTAGACGTTCTGTCCGCTCATGGGGTACAAGCCCATCATGGAAAGCGCCGTGAAGCTGCCCATGGCACCCGAGTCATCGTTTCCTGGAAGACCGGCGGTGGTGTCGTTGAAGGCGCTGGGGATGTATCTGTGCAAGTATTCTGCGGAGAGACCTGGTCTTCCGGCGTAGTGGAATTCATAGACAAGGAGATAGGCTTGTTCGTCACCGATGTAAAACAGGCCTGGAGTGTTGTGCATAAACTCGAGACGACGCACGAAAGCGTCTGGACCACCGAGAGTTGTGATCAGTGTGGCCTGGTCGTGGGGCACGTAAAAGGTGTAGAGCCAAGAGCCAGCTTCATATGTTTCGTGGCCGCCAGGATTCAAATAACAGCCATTGAAGTTGTACAAGTCAGTGCATATGGCAGGCTCTTGGAAGCCAAATGTACCATTTAGATATCGCGGTTGCAAAAAGCCTTCGAATCCACTGTCGGTGAACAGGCTGTAGTCTTGAGTTCCGGTCAAGTTCAGCTTTGAGCGCGACGTTGGGTCGTACATGTTCTTCCAGTTACCGGAGCGCTTCAGATACTTTTCTGCGTCGGCATGGTGTCCAAGACCGCGGGCCATCTCGGCGATGCAGAAATCGTTGTAAGAGTATTCAATCGTTCGTGAAATAGAACGAGTGAAGAGACCATAGCCACTAAAGTCCCAGTCATCGGTTGGGATGTAGCCAAGAGTCTTCCAGCTCTGCAAGCCTCCACGGCCTTCGACTGTCCAAATTTGGCCCTCGACTATTTATTGAGATGCGTTAGCATATGATTTTCTGCGAGCAAGTTATTCATGGAAAGTATTACCCTCGGCGTCAGATACGACAGCCTCATAACCAGTGGCCCAGTCGATGCCATCCGTCAAACCCTTCAAATATGAATCCGCCAATAGATTGTCAGCATTGCTGCCGCCTTGGGTGAACCCCTTGCAGAGGGACATGCGGCAATCAGGGAGTTTGCCCTCATGACGGTAAACATCAATGAGACTGCGAATCATCATTGCCTGAGCATGAGGGTCGACCAGTGTAAGCAAGGGATGTGTGCTTCGGAAGCTGTCCCAGATGCAGTAATACGAGTCAAAGTATGGCTCATTGCTCTTCCAGAGGGGGTTTTCGCCTAGAACCAGCGTTAGAGAGAGTACTGCCCTCACATGTCGGAAAGAGATATTGTCTTACCAGTATAATCTTGTGGAGAAATCAGCGTGCGATAGATGCCACTCCAGAACGTCCTTTGGAGAGAGTCGCTGACGCCTGTGTTGTCCACCTTGATAGTGCTAAGCTTCTTGCGCCATGCATCCTCAGCATCGGATCTCACAGACTCAAAGTCAAAGTTGGGAATCTCTTTCTGCGCGTTGCTGCAGGCTTGAGCGGTGCTGATGAATGAGAGCCCGACTCGAGCCAGAATCTGGTTGTTGGCTGGAGGGTGGAACTGAGCCCAGGCGCCAGCGGGCAGGATTGGGCTCTGGCCATCATCATAAGTGCGGAAGCTCTTGCGGTCGGTACCTGCGCGGTTGTTTACAAAGATGCCCGTGTTTCGAAGCTTCGCGCCTTGGAAGTCTGTACAGAAGTAGAGATTATAGTTGCCAATGCCAAAAGAAGGCCTAAAGGTGCCGTTGCCGGATATGCGACCTGTGTGGGCGTCAACAGAGATGATTGAATCGGTTCTGGATCCGGAGAGATCGGCCAGATCGGCCAGAATCAGAGGGCTATAAGGCGTTGTCCCATTGGCAGGGAGCTTGGTTGGAGTGCCGTCCGTCGGGAATGTGAATCTGTACAGCGCTGTGTGGTTTGTGACTGTCATTTCAGCCTTGACCGACGTATTGAGCTGTATAGCAAAGTACCCCGGCTTGGCCACTACCGTTTCGTTTATTTTTGCTGACGCTCTCAAGGTTGAAGGGTAGTAGCAGTTGTTGAGGTCGTCGTTTAGACAACCAGTCTGGGCAAAAAGAGGGAAATTTCCCAGTGATGCGCCCTGTGGAAGACGAAGATTAGCATTATGCACAGCTCCGTAGATGGGCGGTCATGAACTTACACCACCTGTTCCACTGTCGTGCATGTGAGAAAAGCCAGTGACTATAGATATTGGTTAGCCGTGGGCAGACTCTTTTGCGGGCAGTGATATTCTAGAACGCGTACTTAGGCCATCGTTTGAGGCATAACCTCCCTGGATTTCCTCATTGCCATCTGCTACACTCTTTGCCATGCCATCTTGAGTCGCAATTGTTCAATCAGTCTCTGCATCTGCCATCAATGGAAGATAATGTTCAATGCGGTATACTCACAAGGGAGAGTTGCGCCTGGGAAGACATGTCCTGTGATACGAGTTAATACCGTGAACAATTGCGTATCCTTGGAAGCGAAAGTTCATACCTCCGTTCGCAGTGCCAATCAACGGGTCAATATAGTCAAGTACATCGAAAGAAGGCTGCTGATCTGCTGCTTGGCTCAACCCAACCAGCAATGGCCAGTAGGCCACAAGTTGCTGGATGTGCATGTCGTTGTTGATGTATCAAAGTACCTCGAGAAAGCTTATTGATATGGAGTTGTTTGTAGATAGAACTAGAGTTTATAATACTAAAACAAGCCGTAAACAAGGGACATGAAAACAGGGAGGGAGCCCTCGTGCCACCGGGGAGGTGCTATTCACTTCGTCCCGAGACAAAAGGCAAAGTCGACAGCTCGCCCTGCGAACAGCATCAGAGATTCATGCTGCGGAGATTGCCGTTTATGTAGTATTGTCTTGCCTCCCCTGGTCGGAAATCTCACAGCCATCTCCGCCCAACGGAACAATTTCAAGACATTTGCATCTCGTAGGGAAGTATTCGGCCAAGATTACTCTTCTTCCCCGCAGTTAGATGAGGCCATCAAACATGAACATGGGCGGGGAGCCCAGGGTAATACAACATTGCCAGTAGTAATGATATCTTGAAGCGGCAACGCTCGCTGCAGGTTCAAGACACCATGTCACGCTGATCATCCGAGGCCCTGATCCATGGCTGTTGGTTCCCGGGGAAAGTCGTCTTTTTCATGGTTGTGTGGGTAGATTGAAGCATTTGGAAATAGCCGTCGGCATTCCTTTTAAAATCGCACGTTGTTGGTCCAGGCAAAAGATGTCTTGGTTGAAATGGTGAGGCTGGCGGAGATATTTTCGGCCAGGATGAGGCTACTGAGCATGGAGGTTGGAGCTTCATGATATCATCTTCCAAAGACTTTCCCTAGCAACCTCTGAGATCCACAGAGATGAACCCCTGTCTAAATCCGCTCCTTGTGTACCATGGCTCGAATATGGTTACATGGACCTACGATTCCCCCTCATTTGTGGATCGCGATACTTCTCATATGCAACATAGGCAAACCACCAAATCTTGCCAACTGAAGGCCAAGAGCTTTCGGCCAATAGCCACGCCAGGCAACGGCTTCTCAACGGGCATCGGCCGAAACTAGGGACCAAGAGCAGTATCTACCCACAGGTAATGTTACCCGATAGTCATGTTATCGTGTGCAGGGTATTACAAGTAGGTAATGCCTCGATCGTTTAGGGAGGTGGTCAATGGCCAGACGCGGTAATCTGCAAGCTCATCCGATCTCGCCGCGAGTGTGCAAGGGCCAAGTTATTGTTCCCTGTGCAAGGAAAGTACAGAGTGAGGGCCATGAGGAGATACCTAGGTAAGCACGAGGGATGCGAATGCCGCTGGCAAGATCTGCATTTGAGCAGCCTTTCGAGCCGTCGGGCTCCGGGATATGAGCGGGCGAGCTGCTCACAGAAAGGGACAAGAACAAAGATGGACGTTGGTAGGGCAAGCTGCAAGAACAACGCAGTATGCATAAATTTAACCGACACGGTTACTCAGGCAGGTTTGGCCAATATGACTGGACGCTTCGCTTCATGTTAAGAGCTTCGACATGTCTTCAAATTGTCCATTTTCTCACACATGAACGAACTCTGCGCCTTCTTCTTGGCAATTGCTCTGTATATTCACTCCTCGCCCAAGTGTTATTTTCAGCGGCTTTCCTTGGACATCAAGTATCGGACGGCACTTGCACTAAATCCCGGCAGCCACTACTGTCGGGTACTTCTGTTGCAGTAAATTGCCCATGCCGGGATTATGGCCCCGTCGGTGTCGGTGGGGGAACGACACGCCAGATCGCGGGGAAGAAGTGGACGATGAAATACATGGAAGCGCAAGGGGTTCGTTGAAGGGAAGACGAGGATGGAACGGCGTTCTCGACCTCTATCGAAGCCCATGTTTGATAATTTGGTTTAATGTCCTTAAGACATTCGTACAAACCAGGGACATTAGCGCACACTGCCCTCTTGTAGCTTTGGCATAAATCATCTTGATGCCTGTCTGCCTCAAGTCCATATTGTCGTGGTGCTGGTGGTGCCCCGTACTCCTTCGCTCCCTTGTACTTCCGATCCCTGTACTGCAGCGCCGCAATTTGCCAACGGCAGTTCAACGACGGCTAAATACCAAACCCTGGCATCAGGTCATCAACACATGCACTTTTGGCTTGCCCGTAGCTGCATAGCTTCCCTAGAAGCTCCCCGCGTCGGAATGAGACCAAGCCTCAAAGGATAGACAGGTACTACTATCTAGTGAGAGTAATTATTTGGATGGGTCGCTGTTAATGATGCTCGCTGTATATATTAAAATTGGTGAGCGTCCTGTGAAAATGGGTTATGTTAACAAAGTTGGACGTTGTCCTTTTATTGAGTCATGAAATTATGGTACAGCTAAGCTCATTAAAAATCGTTTTATACTATTGAAACAAATAGCTCCTTTATCGAGTGGTATAACCGCCATCAATCACAATATCTGCTCCCGTCGTATACGAGCTAGCATCGCTGACGAGATAGACATATGCGCCCTTGAGCTCCTTGGCATCGCCGTTGCGTCCCATGGGGATCATGCTTCTCCACAGCTCTTGTGTTTTCTCATCGATAAAGTCGGACAGGCCTGTGTCGATATATCCAGGAGAGATGCTGTTGACACGAGCAAAGTCGCGCCATTCGTTGGCCAGCGAGCGTGCCAAATGGATGCAGCCCGCCTTTGCGACGTTGTATGAAGTTTGTTCTTGAGGGTAGTTTGCGACGTGGCCAGACATTGAGGCGGTGATGACAAGGGAGCCATGGCCTTGCTTCTTGAAGTGTGCGCCAACGGCCTTTGCGCAGTACGCTGTGCCGCTCAGATCGACCTGGATGACATGGTCCCAGTCGCTAGAGCTGCCGTCGACAACGCCGCTGTTGGCTGTGGCACCGGCACTGGAGAGAAGTTTGTTAGTATCCAATTGTGCAGCAGGCGCAGAAGATCCAGGGAGGGCTCACTTGGCAATGAAGGCATCAATCTTGCCGAAATCAGAAACCACCTGGTTCACAAACTTCTCGACGTCCTTGTAGTCGCTCTGGTTGACCTGATACACCTTGACCTTGACGCCGTATGCCTTGGTCAGCTCAGCCGCGTTCTTCTCGGCGCCCTCTTTACGCGACGAATAGGTAATGGCAAGATCAGCGCCCATCTCGGCGCAGCCTCGTGCGGCTTCAATTCCCATGCCCCGAGGCCCGGAAGCCCCGGTAACGACGACGACCTTGCCCTTCAGGCTGAAGAGGTCAAGAAGATTGTTGGCTTTAGGGATAGACTGAGGCATGGCGGGCAAGATGATATATCTATTATATGGTATTAATCGATCTGGATGAACTGCGGGAGGTGAGACGTGAGACGGACAGGAAAGGACGTGGCTGCTGACGCGACATGTCTATATATATAGGCGACTGAGCCGGATGCGGGCTTTTATGGCAACCTCAAGCCTCTTTCTGTCCCGCTCTTCCATCTCCTCATCTCCCCATCTTGCTCTTCTCCTCCAAGCAAGGCACGCGAAGGAAAGTTCCGGGGCGTCGCCCGAGTGGATACGCGGGAAACGGCCAAGAATCTTGTTTCTAGAAAACGACTGGATGATGGCGAAAAGGTGGGCTTCACAGCAGCGACAAGAGGCACCGAGAGAGACCGAAACAGCTGGTGGTGAAGAGAGAATGATGTCATGTCGTGGCTCGCGGATTAGGCATTTAGCAGCAGCCTTTAGTTTGTGTCTAGCAAGTAGTTGAGCAACTGTTGCATAACGTTGGCTGGTTTATCACATGTAACAACTAAGCTCTGTGTATAAGACAAGTCCAGCTCAACTCACGAGTATCCCTCAACGATGCCAATCTCGCCATTCACCGTCCCTTTTGCTCTGATTATCCGTGATTCTACTCATGATTAAACTCGTCACAATCTCCCCACCCGCTACTCGCAATCCGATGCATGTCACCACCGGCTCCACGGCCAAAACGTCATTGTTTGTCGCTGAGCGGCTTCGATCCGCTATTGTCTCCATTACCCCACCTGCCCGATCCGTACTCCCGCAGCTATCGGGCTTGGCTACAAATTGCCGAAGTGGTTGAACAGTGAAGTTTGTTGCCGTGAAACTGCTGCTTTGTTGCTGTGTAAGTTGACGAAGTCTCCGTATTGGAATTGACACAAACAAACGGAAAGCGATGAAGGCTCGTTTGTTGAAATGACCAGAAGCGTGCAAATTAGGCCGCAGAAGCAAGAGTGGCCCTGAAGAAGCTGCATGATAATTTGCTCTCTAGTTCTATAAGAAAATGACCAACTTTTCCTTTGTCTACCTATGTGAAGCCTTGGGATAATCTCAGATACATGTCTATTACCTTTCCGCCTTTATTATAAACTTCGCCATATCGCGATCCATTATCAATAGGTATGTTACAGCAATGAGATGAATGTCGCATCCCCGCAGTAGCCGGTTTTGGAAGAGCTGCCTGCCGATTTTCTTTTGGAGTGTACTTGCTGATTCTGCAAATTTGAGCGCCCTTGACGTGCAATACAAATGGCACAAGCGCAAGCAATGAAGTGACGCATCCCAATAGCGTAAGAGACCACTGGATGCCAATGCCTTTGAACACGTAGGATGCAAAGAGAGGAAATACGGCGCCGAGTATCGAGCGTAGAGAAACATTTGCTGCAAGCGCTGATGCTGCGAGCTGTTCAAATTGTTAGCGACGGTAGCTTGGGTTTGGAAGATGGAAGTCGGTGATGTTGATGCTCACTATGGTATAAACATCGATTAGATAATTGAATTGCCGTAGAAAGACGAGAGAAATGCCAAATCCAGTGACTGCGCCCCCGATGATTGGCACGATCCAGTGGACTTCCTCACGATAGCCTGACCAACCAAGCCAAAACAAGCCACCTGCAAACAAGATTCCGCCAACCATGGCTTCCGGTTGTCGCCATTCCGGTATCGCAACGCCGTTGTTTGCCTCCAGCTTGCGACGATATCTCGGCGCTCAAAGTATCATGACGAAAAGAGTGACCGCGCAGCCTCCCACGGCGCTCAACTCAGGGGGTCGGCTTACCCCAAGTCTCATCTTATAAATGTCTTGAAAAAATGAAAGAAAAGACCCTCAAGAAAAGATGGACAAGTCCGTAAATGAATGATGCGTAAAGACTGAGACCCAATGTCTCACAGGCTCCGATGCATGTATTTTCGCAGATACTGACCCTGGATGACGAGTATCATTGTTGTTGATGGAGCGCAACTTTGATGTCAACGTGGATGTTCGGGAGACTACAGCATCCCCCTAATGATCCAAAAGCTCACTATCGCAAATACTATCTCGAGAAGCGGTCCTTTCCCAGTGCATGGCGGCTATGCAACATTTACGTTCTCCATATGCGTACGATGATTGGGAGGAAGCGGTCAAGGGTCGATTCAAATGCTGGCTAATGCGGAATAGATTCAACTAGTATACTTCTAATTTGGCCAGGTTCTAGCTTGAATGAAGTCGACAAAGTCAAACAAGCTCTTCTTGTAATGCCTTTCCTGCGTTGTTCGATTCACAGTCTGCATTCCGTACTGTGGCGTAAAGTCCCCAAATTCCCAGTTGTCGACAAAGCTCCACGCAATCACACCGAGTACTTGCACGCCATCCTCCCAGATGCTCTTCAGTATCTCACTCATAAAGCTCAAATAGTACTGGCTGCGAGGTGAGTCGAAGAGTTGCTGTGCCAATGGCAGTGCGGCTTCATTCGCGACAGGGAAGCCAAATTCGGTAACGATGATCGGAGAGCGATACTTGTTCCACAAGTATGATAAGTAATGGCGTAAATAGGTCGGAGTAATATAGACAAATGTTTGGCTGGCGTATCCGACATTCCAGCCAAATTTCCCACCCCAGCTCTGCTGTTCGCATTCCGGATAGAATACGTTGGATGGGGTGTTTAAGCAAGGTGACTCGCTTGCAGATAGAGGTGAGATAACAGCTGATTAAAAGTACCAGCATTAGCCCGCTGCTATGTAATTGCCTTGAAGTTCATGACGAGCATCACGGCAAAGGAAGTAAATTCGGGAAAACTTACTAATAGTATATGCGTCGGTTCCCCAAAAGTCCGCGGTGCCTTTCATGTAATCTAGATCTTTTTTGGTAAGAGGAACGTAGTCTGGGACTCGTTCTTTGTATACAGCAGGATAGTCTTTGCCGAGATATATCGGATTGCCAAAGATTGCCAGTTGGAAATTATTGAAATCATTGGCTGCCTCAACGTGGGAGGCATTCAATGGATCAAGCGGTACACCGAATAGATTGCTGTTTTTCATTCCAACTTTGCCTGTACCGTTAATCTGATCGTGATAAAAGTGGTATAATTGAGCGTGTGCTTTGATTACTGTATCCACGGAATGTCCATTCTGGCAGTAAACAAATGGTTCGTTAAACCTGGTGTTGATAATTAGTTATTAACTCTAGACTAAGAATTGAATTCTTACGTCACCCAAAGAGGAACCTTTAAAACGGTAACATTAGTACAAGTTGTCACTTTTAGAATGGGATTGGCTTAAACGTACTCGATCGGCAAAATGTGTCATGACAATCTTTCCATAGTGCTAGAGAATAAAAAGTAAGTACGGTAGATATGAATGAATGGCCTTGAAGTTGACTTACAACAAAAGAATCCAAAAACGTCTCATTTTGGTAGGCTCCGTTATTATAACCCACTGAGGGTTTTTCATATAAAGTTGAGACATTTGCGGCATAGAACTGCAATGGTGTATCAAAGTGAATCAACGTAACGACGGGGAGCATCCCTTTTGCTATAACAAAATCGATAAGATCACTGAGAGAAGAAATGTTAGTCACCGGCCTTTGAAGACATATGGGAATGGAACAGAATATGTCAGATCAGCTTACCTATAGTGGTCAATAGCCTGCCGGTTAACAGGTGAGCCCGGAACTGCAAATGGTAGAATTCTAGTCCATGGGATTGAGAATGAATAATATTTTACTCCTATCGCTGCCAGTCGCTCAATATCCTGCTTATATAGATAGTAATTCTCATTTGTCACGTAATCTTGGCTGGGGTCATCTTTGGCGATGATATCCGCTGCAGATGGCGCTTTTCCTTCGTGGCTAATAGCACCTTCAATCTGGGAAGCTGAGCCAGCTACGCCATATATGAAGCCATCGGGAAAGTAGTAACAGTCCGTTGGACCAAAATAATCCCTTGGCGGCAATACAAGTTCGGCACTTGGCACTGGTGTCGGCGAAACAGTCGTACTGTAGATGCCAGTGGATGTAAAGTTGGTAAGAAATGGTCGCGCGTTCTCCCAAAGCGCACTCCAAGAGGCACTGCCATATTTATCATGAAAGTCAGTCGCAGTCACAGTAGCGTTGGGATTCCAGCTACCCCAGGTGGTTGTGACAATATGAGGGATCAGAGAGCTGAGAGCGGAGAAAGGAGCGGCAAATGTTTCCGTGGAAGTAGGCGACGGAACAGGAATTGCATAGCGATAGGTCTCTGACTGAGTAAATGCAAAGGTCGAGAAGGAAAATGTAGGAGATGCGGCGGTAGTGGCAGAGCACTGCGATCTCGCTGTCGGACCCGTCGTGAGAACATATTTCTGCTGAGCGTCCACAAGTGTACTAAAGAAAGCAAACACTGACAAGAGTGTTTTGCCTCCCATGATGATAGTGAGCGTAAAAGTAGAAGTGTAAAGGAGATGGTGCAATGGTAGAATGTGAAACAATGTTTCTGGAGAGATGGCATTGGCCCTTTATATACATCATGGGACAACACTAAGCTTCAGAGACAGTTGTTGACCAGCCATGAAGCATTAACGGTAGTTCCACCAGATATCCCCTGGCTCAACCTTGTACAACTAATACAACAAGGGGCTAAGCTGAAAAGGACCATTGTGACAAGGGACCTATAGAGACACAAGTACCAGACAATCGGTGTAGTCTTCTGCCACTCTGTCACGGCAAGCCAGGATTTGGCAGTTACCGATATGGCAAAAATAATCATCTATACGAGATCGATCATGTCGAGCAGTCAAAATAGGAGATCAAGTTCATCCAATCACAGCCCAGAATGTGCGTATTGATCATATATGAGATTCATCCAATCACAACGTCGGAATACTCGGCATTGATCGGGGATGAGCTGCGTCCAATCACAATGCCCGGAATACGCGCATTGATCCAAATCGTATCCGGAGCTTCGGAGTATAAAGAAGCGTATTGACTTGCATATATCCCTGCATATTCATTCCCTGCAAGCCTCATTGTTACCACTGAGTTATAAACATGGGGGATAAAGATCAACAAAAGTCTGCTAAGTCTTGTACTTACTCCCGTGGTGGTATATTGCAGCCCGGCGTACATCGCCGCCACAGTCTTGAATGGGTGGTCTTCGAGGACTTTGATGCCCTCTGGGATCTTCTTTGCCTTGAAGACCAGTGACGTGGGATGCAAGACTGCCCCGAGCTCCCCATCCGGAATGTCGGGCTCAAAAGGTAGCCGATCTGGTCCCCGCCCCGTGCCATAGCCAAGCTTGCTCTCTTCCACTTTATGCAGTATCAGCCCTACCAAGTGGAGATTTTTGGGGAGAGCTGACGAGGCGACGATGAGTATGTCGTTGTGGAAACATGCGGGAATGATTGCTGTATTGGCGTCACAGAGTCCGAAGACTGTAATTGTTGACGCACCGCGGTTTATGATCATATTCGTTCGTTAAATCCACCAGAGGCCGGCTCTCCCCATTTCTCTGGTAACCTGAGCTTTTTGATCAAGGCCAGACTACCGGTGATGCTGACGGGTTTCATAATATTGACCTTAATAACAGAGCTGAGCTTGCCAAACTTGCGCCTAATCATCCGGCGGCGAAAAGCTGCATTGAGGTGATTATCCGGAGGGAGTTGCGGCACACTTGGAGTCAGCGATACCCCAAATAGTACCGTAGTTCTTATGGCTTATCACGACAAGAAATATACGAACCCTCTTCCGATATTCGCACCAACTTCTCCTCGAGAGGTACAAGGCGATGACTCGAGGTTTCCTAAAAGGCGCGCACCCCCGAGGTAGCATAGTTCCCCAAGATGATAAACCGCCCGCTGTGTAGGGACTAGTTTTTGAACTTATTGAGATGCGATAGAAGCTTCTCAGGGCCCCGAGAAATTGAGACGCGTCTCCCGCAGGATACATATGTGCTTGTCGAGGCCGACCTCCTACACTTTGGCGTCGCTAATAACTAGCATGGATGAGAATTGACGATTCGAAACGGCTACCTACATTCCTACAACTGGAATGCAATCTCCGTCAACTGTGACTTTACCTTCGTTGAGATTCCGAAAGTCCAAAACCCAGCGCGTATTATCTGCATTACGCGAAGATAGAGTCATAACGACGCACACATCTAGCCCGGTGGTCTAGGTAGCACCCGCTCTATGTAGTATATATCATAAGAGGTTGTTCATCTTGTTGGATATACGGAAAACCTAGACACGTACAGAGCGGCTATCGAGCTCTACGGTGACGGGCGTCTCGACATATTCGTGAGATATCCGCCTGCGTCGCTGAGAAAGATGCAAACGTCGTAGTTGGATCTACTGTTAACCTCGAGCTCCCGGATGATGTCGAGATCGTAATTGTGCCGCAGTGTAGTAAAAAGAAGACTCATATCCTTATAGCTGATGTACAATTTGGGCGTTACCTACAGCATGATACATCAGTGTTCAGCGGTGCTTGTGAGCATAACTGTACTGTCCGCTGAGGCCTTGATGCCCCGGCGTATGTTGATGGCCTGAGACTTGTCTTGGATCATCTCTGGCATGTCCGCAATCTAGGAGAAATCGTTGATATCTACTGAACACTGGTATATAAGTATAAGAGGGCTCCAGTGCTCGCAGCTGGAAATAATAATAGAGCGAGAGGAACGCCGAATGTAAAAGAGAAAGAAGAAGAGCTATAAAGGCCGTAGACACATAGTATACAAAGTGATCGACTATTGTATCAATGTAAAAGTTAATATAGGTATAAACAGGTACTGAGTACCCAGTAAGACTAATATAACGAATAATATGCTTTGATCGGGCTATAACGCCATAAGATCAGTTCAACCAGCGCAACAAAATGGCGACATAGATAACCAAGGATTACTGCTTTCATTTTTTAACATAACATGAATCGGCCTTCACCATATGTTAGTTTTACAAAGAGCTATTAATAGCTGTCATTCAAATTCAGGAGAGATGAGGCCTCTATGGCCGCATATTACTCCGCGATCAAATCAAGACAGCTCATGAAGCCTCTGTAGCATATGAGCTATCAATAGCAGTCAGTGGCGCGCTTAGCAATACATATCGAGTTGCAAAGCCGAAGCAGTCACTGTGGTAAAAGATTGTTGCTGTCAGATGAACTCAAATCTCTCTCCATCTTTGCAAAGCCTCATGGCCCTTATTATGCGCATTGCATTGCAAACTAACACGATATCATTCCCATCGACGCTTCAGTGGTGCAACAACAGCTTAATAGAGTTTCCTCTTAGCAATTCAATTGACTAACCGGACGAAGATCAAATGTCTCATGTTGTTTGCACACAATTACAAGTGTCGCTTGTCTAACATATTAGTAATCGTTTACTTGGTTAGTTTGCAGCGCATCCCGCTGTCGCGTCATCTTGGTGAAAATCACGACTCTGAAATCAGATTTAGCCGACATTCATCATGCTTGCGACAACGCCAATCGTTCAATAATATCGCAAGACTTTATCTAGGCTCTGATAAGAGTTGATACATTTCATTTCTTTCAATAGTATTCTCAAAGTAGAAGCCATTATGAACCGTACCGGATTTAATACTGAAGCCGCAACACCCCCGCGATTACCATATTTGGTCGTTGCAAGGCGTGCTCATGTAAGTACGCCATATATCTATCTCAACCTTTGGCATACTCTCCGCAATCGCAAAACCCCGCAGTTCATCATATAGCTGATCGATCACGATTAAAGCTAGGATGCCGCCATCGGCAGGAATGCTGGCGCAAGGTGCCGATGTTCCGAATGTAAAACTGTACAACCTGTCAATGCCGTATACTGGCTAGAGATATTTAATATAAAGTGTAGGCCGAATAAAATTGCCAAAGTTGTAATATTAGTATACATTTCAGCTTATTGCAAAATCCATTGTACCGGAAAGAGTGCTTGTTGAATCACCATAAAAATGTCGACTACAAAGACAGTAACGCAGTCAGGCGATGAAGTCGGCAGGCTCACGCTGGCATATGACGATGCCATCCATCAGCAGGTAAACCATCAGAAACAAATACAGTAAAAAGTAAGGTGTTGTCTAATTCGTTTAACCAAAGTATCAATACCATCAATATCTCCCCGTCTACGACGAAGAGACTCGCTTTGAACCGATCCAGCCATTCGAGTTTAAGGATCGCGGACTGGGAGCAGACAAAGCCAAGTCTGCTCTTCTTTCCAGCAGCAACTCAGAGCTCAAAATTTCTAAACTCACTCCAGTTATCGGTACTGAAATTCGGGGCCTTCAGCTTTCTCAACTGAACGACACTCAGAAGAACGAACTTGCCCTGCTCATTGCTGAGAGGGGCGTGGTCATTTTCCGCGGTCAAGACTTCAAAGATATAGGCCCAGACAAGCAGAAGGATTTTGCCAAATATTTCGGGCCATTGCATGTTCACGTGAGTAAATCCGCTTTTACACGCGTATATCTATGTACAATTTGGCGGATATAGTAGTACTAACCTATCGCCAAGCCCGTTGGAGCTCACGTCAAGGACCACCTCGAGTTCCACAATATATATCTAGGCCCCGACAACGAATACCGAGCACGGCAGCGAAGAGAAAGATTAACCACTACAGGTTACCACTCGGATGTTTCCTATGAGCACCAACCGCCGGGTATTACCATTCTCACCCTGCTGTCTGTCCCACCAACCGGAGGTGATACCGCCTGGGCGTCTCAGACTGCAGCATACGCCCGCTTGTCTCAACCAATCAAGACGCTGCTAGAAGGCCTTCGGGCTGAACATAGTGGCTTCAACCAAGCCGACAATGCGCGCCGGGACGGGAAGCACGTCAGACGAGAGCCAGTGAAGAGCGACCATCCCATCGTGAGGGTCCATCCGGTGAGTATACTCGCACTATTGTTTCCATCATCACAGCATATATGGATCATATGCAGCAGAAAGGAGCACCATGCTGACCATGGCTTTATTTAAAGGTCACCGGAGAAAAAGCCTTGTTTGTCAATAAGGGATTCACGAAACGCATAATTGGCCTTCAACACGAAGAGTCAGACGCCCTCTTGCAGCTGCTGTTTAATGTAAGCGTCGGCCCCCAACCTTGTCAATGCATGCCATGTCTTCATCCCACTAACCGTTTAACCTTCAATTTATAGCACATCGCGCTGGGGCAAGACTTCCAAGTTCGGGTCAAGTGGGAGGAGGGCACGGTGGCACTATGGGATAACCGCGTAACGGCGCACACAGCCATCTCAGACTTTGACCACCATAATCCCCAGGAGGGCCTCCGCCATGGGGTCCGACTGACAAGTCAGGCGGACAAGCCGTCGGGCGTCAGTGGCCTGGAGTCAGTTTGGTAGACGAACGGCCCAGTGGCTGCTATGACTTAAGGAGGCACGCCGGAGACTTTACAACCACAGCGATAGGACCACATTAACAAGTATGTCGGAGCAGTTGTAGGAAACGGGGTAGCAGATCCGGAGCGCCATGGAGAAAGCAAATTTGTCTCGTAGTCGACGAGTCGGCGTCAGAAGTTAGCACGCAGCACTAAGAGGATAGCCCTACGATTTCAAATCTAGCATGGGCTGATTAATGCCCGTCGTTTCTCACCCTAGCCATTCCACTGGAGTAGATGAAGCCGACCTATTCGGGCATCGCGCATTTGTCATCTGAATTGCCCTGATGAGGTGCACAGTGCGTCTCATTTAGCCCTGCAAAGGTGGCCCTGCATCCTGATGCCATCCCTGACTCGATTGCTCAACTGAGTTATATGATCCACACATCCTGTCTTTATGTAGCACTCAAGGATGACTTTGAAGGTAATCTCTGACGATACCTTCTGCTATACATCTTTTACCGAGAATAGCAATAAATAAAAAAGGACAACTGCCGAAGCATAGCTACTTATACTCTCAGTAGCGGCTGACGATTTAAAACAGCCTCCGCGCCTAAATCACCTGACCAGCTCAGAGGGTCAATAAGCCGATTGTCCGATGTTCATCTACGAAGGCAAACCCAACGGCGACATCAGACCAGAACAAACCTTGGTCAAGATGGAAAACGCAAATTCGTATAATTCTATTAAAAGTCGCCAGAGAAATATTCTCGGCACATTCTCATTCCTGCCACCATTAGTGCCTGATGATGGAATTGTCGCCGCTGCCACGCCCGAGAAGGGCCAGCCTCCCAAGAGGAGAAAGCAGCAGATCTTACGAGCACAGAGGCATGTTGGAAGTTGATTTGAGATGGAATATTTGGGATAAAGCTGACCATATTATAGAAGCCATAGGCAAAGGACAAAAGATTATATGAATGCCCTGGAACAAGAGGTCCTACGTCTCCGAGCAGAGGGCGAGCGGATGAATGGGATAGCCACCAATTGGAAGAAATGTGTATTGGCTTTGGTTGCCACAGCAGACGCACCAGTATTAAACATCCATCAGCTCTCACAGTTTGGCCCGGGCATATTCCTGTGGTCAGTGTCAAATCCGAACCAAGCGGCGAGCATGGCCCCCAGTGATGCTTCTCTACTCTTGGGCAGCCTATATCAGTGGCAAGTATACCAACAACAGCCAATGATATATCCCAGCCTGGACATGCTGCCACACATCAACATCGAAGATGCCTCTGAAGAGTTCCTCTTGAGGAATTGTAAGTGACTATGAGGCATTCTCTGGCTTCAATTTGGTCGCTAACCATCTGTTTTCTCTTCCTCTAGTCTATGAGAATATTATCCCGACATTGGATGTCACTGAGTCAACTACCCAAGGGTATGTCAAACACATTCTGCCATTAGTCTTCAACAACCCAATGGTTAGAAGTGCATTTTTGGCAGCATCTGCCAGCCACATCCAGATTGCCCAAGGAGCAAAGACAATGGTCGACAGACTCAGCTACAGGTCAGCCGCAATTGCCGAGCTGAGACACGTCTCAGCGCGACCAGAGACGGACTCTTGCGCGCCTCTCGCTACCATCTTAGGCTTGATGATTGATGACATGATATGTGGCCACAGGGAATGCCCTGCTCTTCTAAAGCTTGCCGAGTTCTGGGTTCACAAGGATAGCCAATTCAGCACTGATCCAGGCGAAAAGGCAACACGCAGATTCTTACTTGACCAAGTCCAACTGTACGTCTCATATTATCATCTCAATCTTATTAGGTTCTTTACTAACACATGTTATTTTCAATGAACAGGCTAAAAACAATTGTCTGTCCCTTGTACCAATTCAACAAGATTATTAGCAAAGAGAACCATGCCGCAGATGGAAAGCAGATGCTGTCGCTCAACCAAAAGGACCTATTCGAAATCTTCTCCGCAATTGAAAGCGCAGTGTCACAAGCATGCCATATTTATACAATCCCAACCTCCAGTACTCCCATCGAAATTAGCAGTCCAGACTCGGATTCATCTTATGATGACCTCAACAAACTGCTGGACCGGCTCCAGGCTACTGTGGTCAAGATACCCCCGTACGCATTGGGAGAAAATTCTTTGACCTGGGTCTACTTTATCGCGGCATCAAGAAGTAAGCGAATCGACCATAGCGCTTTCTTTGTTGCAAGATTTGCAGAATTGTTACAACGGATCGGACATGACAAAGTAAATGAGCTATTAGCTGGATTAATATGATGACGAGAACAATAAGAATGTGTATATATATAATTTAATGTGAACATAAAGAGTTGACAAAATCTACCCGAAGCAAAGATGAATCCAATATCAATTTGTGGTGAAATCAGGTGATGTAGATGGAGGCTCAGGGAGCAAAACCATCATTCATCTTGATCAAACCCAACTGTTGCAGCGCCACCAGGCCAGATTCTTCACCAGTCTCTTCTATGATTTTCCCATTCTGCAACCTATAGATTGTAGTTCCAGAAAATCGCATTTCTTTGCCGGTATTAGGCGTAGGCAGACTCCCAACAGGCAACTCGTAGAATGCCGGTCCAGTATGCTTCCCCCCGCCGAACCACCGCGCAACGACATAGTCGCTTTCGGCAATGAGAGGAAACGGGGACAGTAATCGAAATGAAACGTCCGGAAACGCCTGGGGAGAGTTTCTGCTATTAGCATATCAAATAACCCAGTCCATGTTCAAACTAACCTGCTTGAACCTAGCTATGACTTCCTTGGCGGCAGTTTTGCCAACCATTCGGCCATGCATGGGATAGAAGATAGTTACATTGTCGTCGCACAGTTCATCAACAATGTCGGCGTTCCCATTGGTCCAGAACTCCTGGAAGTATCGGGTAACCACTTGGCGATTCAACTCTGGTACTGATAGGGCCTCCATCTCAACGCCCAATTGGTATAGCTGGCGGTCCAAGTTACGGTGAAAAGATAGGCAGTAGGTAGTAGTTGAGTAGCAGCTGGCTGCTTTGGACGGGCGATTAGTCGGACCTGTTTGACGTTATGAGAAAGTCTAATTGGAAGGCGTTCGCTTAGGTCCATATGCCGACAAACGCAAGGGTTAGCCCGACACTGGTAGCATCATTAGGCCGACACGTACGTTATGAGTGTGTAAGCCCGACGTTTAAACTGGGCTGTGGCAGGTCACCGACTGACTAACATGTAACGATATGCCATAAAACGGCTAGGGTTGACAGCTGAACTTGGCGAAACTTTACAGGAAATATCGGGAATAGTTGCCCATGGGACTTGTGAACCAACCCTGACGCTATACAAGCGACTCGGCTACGGTGGAGCGCAACGCAGCAAGATAGGGCGGCAATATGCGGGGATTTACGGGTTTCCTCAACTGCAATGTTTAGAGCACTGTTGTGCTAATGAGAAACTCTTCTTCTTAATGACATGCTTCACGTGAATATGGCGCAAATAGATGCCTATTGTTGCGTTGCTTCGTAATTCTAGAGAAGAGATACACACATAGTATCCTGATCAGTTGTATTCGACTAATTCAACAGCCGACAACAAGAAACACAAACTAATAGAAAATCTCACTGCTGCTTACATTATGCATGTGGAATTATTGCTGACAACTATAGATATAATACGCACCTAATATCCCAACAATGACGCCAGAGCGTTTTGCCCACATATTCGGCTCCTAGCGATAGCTCGGGGACCATCGAAATAGACCACCAGTCTGGCAATGGATTTTAGCGTGGCAATCATTTCTCCCTTCTTGGTTAGCTCTTTCAGAGCTATTTCTCCTTTGCAGCTTAGCTCGTTAAGCTTAGCTCGCTTGCGTAGTTCGCTTGATACGCGCAATGTCTTATATCTTATACGACTTGGACCAACAGGTTTTGATGCGTCTTCAGGGCTAAGCGTCCGTTAGAATACTAAGGTAATTATGTCTAAATCTTTCCCTGTAGATCTAGACATGGAAACACTATCGGGCAGTAGATGTAGCATTGATAAGAGCTAGTATCGAGGAATACAACTTATACGGATACTGGCGCTGTACTGTTGCGTCAAACTTGCCTACTGGCTTATTCCATAATAAGAGCACGAATCAATTTCACTGGAGACTGTGCTAGATACTTGAGCGAACGGCTTTGCAGCAAAATTTTCTTTCGTATTTACTCCACCCTTCTGCGGCGATATACCTATATCTGTTCGACAAATTGCCTGCCTAGGTTAATTATCCCCTTTTGCTTTTTGTCGCTTAAGCGACACAGCGAAAACGAAGTCGGAATCCACCCAGCTCTTCTTCTCCACCCCTGGAACGGAGATCTGGCCTAATATGCAATCGCTTTCGGTATAACTGAACAGAGCGGCCATGTCTACAACGGGCTTCAAATGCGAAGACAAAATGTATTCCGAAAACTATTTACGGAACACGACTCCTTACAGAGGGTGTGGTCAGCACTCCTGGCCACTGGGCTGTAGCGGAACGTTGCTTCGGAATCCCGCAAGCGAAGATCTCGCCAGGCTCTTATCATGATCTTGAGGCTTTACCCCTTTCTGGTAGCTTGTTTACTATACTAGAGGTGTCATACTTCAAGTTTTTATTCACGGCCATTAATAGGAGATTTGAAGCTATACAGTAGCCCTCTCTCATCTGAGTTCATTATTGACGATTGTACTGGGTATCTAAATAGGTAGTACGAAATATTAGTCTCCCGTGATGTTATCAACCACTTGATGGAAGAAAATCGAAATCATCTTCTCATCAACACTCCTTCGGATTAATATAAACCGTAACTTCTCGGAGAATTGGGAAAAGGGTCATGTTCGGAAACCGCAGCAGCATGTCAATTTAGTGAATATGCATCCCAGAACGCTCTCCCGGGCCCGTAGAAGACTCTTTTAGACCACAGAAACTGTTCCAAAAAGCTTTCCGTCTCTTTCCATGCTGAGGGGAGAGTACCATATCCGGATTGGTGAAGTAGAAGTATGTACTCGGATCGTGTCACGCCTTGCTGGGCGAATGTGCCACCCACTATCGTACACCATAGCATTGCATCTCTGTTGGTGTCCCATAGAATACTCTTCTTTGCATCCCGTAAGACACGTAGTAGATTTGAAGACATGTGTGATGGAATAAAGTGACCTGCCCATACCTCTGAGAACAGCATGTAAGTGCAGAGATATAGTGCAAGTATGCAGCCTGCCAATATTCCATTACTCTCGCCTGTCGTTAAAAAATGAGAGTAAAGTCGAGACTCTATCGAGGCCTGATAATTATCCAAGTGGAGAAGAGACGGTGAGTCACCTAGGTCTACAATAGATGATTCGCGATAATGCTGCAAGGCATAGATATCTTCGACAACCTTGACCAAGTCGCTTCCAAACACATGCCTTAGTGGCTCGAATCCCGTTGGCAGCATGTACATAGATGAGAGAAAGGGATTGCGGCCCCAGTGAAGCTCTGGGAAGATGTCATGAGAGAACCTGCGCTCGGAACCTATAATCCAAGCCGCGTTTAGATCTTGCCAGAATATTGCACTGCATGGGTTAGAATGCTGATCCAGTAACACACAAAGGGGGCTTGGCTCAAATATTTACCGCTTGATGCCATCATGAAGGTCGATGAGCTTGGAATCGCAGAAACTTAGCAGTTGCAAGACACCAGCCAAATGCATCTCCACTCGAGGTTTGTTCCCAAGTCGCCACTAGATACTGTCTCAGCGATGAAAGAGTAGCAGTTTGAGAAAAATACTAACCTCTACTCCTATTAAGAGTAATATGGCTCCTATCATTTGTGAAACAGCGGGAGGATCAAGGGAGGATCCGATTTTCTGGTTGATATGCCGAATTGTTGTGTTCTTGAAGGTGACACATTCTTGTGAGAAATGATATTCATTTGCGGCGAATGTCAGAGATAGCATAATAGCATTTGAGAGCGCCTCATCGTTGAAGCCGTCATGAAATATCTTGTGAAATTTTTGGTGGGCGGTGGCTTCTGAGAAATTGCACACAGGCTCTAAAGCTTGTGATGCGGTTTCTAAGTGTTGTTAGCCTTTTGAGATTTCCTAAACGAGGCGCATACCATACTATTTCCTATGAGAGACTGTAGCCGTGTAGAATTGCTAATAGCAAGGGATTGTGTCGAGCCGAATGATTGGATGTCGACTGATGATTTGGTGTCATTGCTTTGCTTGTTCGCCGAGGTATGCTGAAACCTATCAGTTTTAAAATGGCGAAAATTCCCAGTCGCTGCTGTGAGCTTCTTCTTCCGCCCTTCCAAGGACTTCTTAGCGCCATGGCTCCGAATGACCCGCTGGACTGATTTAAGTTTTACGGTGTTGGGATCTTGGAAAGTGATAAAGCGGAATTTGCCTTTGCCCTCTTCCGTATCGGCATTTTCCTCAAGGGGGAAATCCTGTGTGCTCTGTTTAGTATTGGGCCAGCCTTCATTAACCATCTTCCAGATCACACCAGCACCCGCCCAGCTATATCGGTTGCGTGTTTTCAAATTCCAGGCAAATTTGAGAGAAAGTGGACAGTCGAAGGTTCCTGAGATGGCAAATACTGGTTGATAAGATGGATATCTTGCTATCGGGTCAACTTTAAAGTTGCATTTACAAGGACAGAAGTACGAGTAGAATGCAGGCACAAAAGACACGCCATACTAAGACGATTATAACCAGTACGTACGGGTCAATAATTGGGAAATAAAATAAGGAAAATAAAGCAAGTCCAGCGCCGTGCTAAGCCCAAGCGACAGCCGGTGTTTGGTGACTCCGTGGCCACGCCAGCCGTGCTAAACCTCTATAGGCAATTTGACAGCAGCCTCTATTTACGTCTTCAGAGTAGTTCATTTTGCTGACGAGACATGGCTTGGGCCGAACTTATTCCAGGCTCCATTGAGTTATTTGTCGCTTTCTCGTCATCCTATCGGTTTCCAGGCCTAAATAATTGCCCATCAAATCTCCTGACGCTACTTGCTACAAATAGCTGCTCATCAGCTTACGGTGTCGCTTCAGCAAGGGCTCCGGGGGCGGATGAAACACCAAAAGTGATAGTCAAGACTATTTCACCAACGTTACTCGGATAGATAGGTTCTTTCCTTGGGCAATGACTGGGATGTGGAATTACTTTCGGATTCGGAATCAGACTATAACACTCACAACTAATATGGGAATAAGTGATACTCTAGGATGCCTGGCGAGGCATTGCATTCGAGTTTAGAGTTTAATGAACTCAAATTATATGGAACGAACGTTAGTTGATGACTTACGTGGAGTTTCATTGCAACCCACAGTTTATGCAAAATATAATATACACGGCATCGCTGTCCGCTCATCTTAGATATAAGCCGGTCAGGCGGTTCTCTACATTCCGTATAAACCACATTAGTTTACATCAAGCCGAGCAGTGCATGTTCTTCGCAGCAAACTACGCATAGATCCAACTAAAATTCCCACCCAAGCTGAAGTCACATCCGGTAAATTATTTATTAGAAATGATTGCAGCGTGGGTTACAAATTTTGGAATGATTGACGGCCTGCCCGTGCATGAGAGTGCAAAACGGTTATGGGACTAACATCGAGTCATCTAAAACCGCTAATGAAATAGATGCAGAGTAGTAGTAGCCCTAAAGCAAGAAAAGCAGAAAATAGAATTATCGGGTTTGGGCGTTTGTAAGTAGTTAGCATTTTTGGCTTCATGGCTTTTTCGATCATGGATTTGTCACCCGGGCCTTTTTGGCTAGAGTAATCGTAACACTACCATGAGTCGAGTATATTTATTGATATCTCGGTTGAACATAGTGAAATAATAAGTCCTTGTTTACACAAAATACTAATACAAAAGATGGAGTTGGTTTTTTGAAGTGAAAATGGCCGTTGTCGTTAGTGTAGACAAAGATTGGGAGCAATAGATTGCATGTGCCCCATACAGCAGACATAAAAGGTAACAAAGTGTGAGACTTGATCAGACCCGAACTATATAGACTGAATAATTAAGAATAAAACTCTTCTTACGAAATCGAGCTTATATAACACGACTTACGAAAAGGGTGCTTGTAGCTCTCAATCCGAGCCTTTCAGTACAATGGAGATGCCGCTTCCTTGCCCTGAGTGGTATGTATGTTTGGCGTATAGAGAGCCAAGCTAGTATGTACAATGCATCAAAAGGCAAATATAAGATTACTTGTTGTTATACCCCTGATTGGGCGCCAGGATCCTCGTCGATAATGGTAGTGGTAGTTATGATTACCGCAGGTAATTCGGATGTAGACTCTGCAAGTGCTAGCTTGCGGTGCCAATATCAGCAATGCTTTGCATCGTTCTCGCAACGTAACATAGGCAGGACTATGAAGAATATGATACCAAAAAGGAATTATTAAGAACACAAGCAGCATAGGATACGAGCGGCTAGGATGTGAAACAATGGTGGTCAAAACAACCCTCGCTCAGGGCTTATTATGGACACTATTGCCTGTTTTCGGGTCTTCTTTTCGGCCAAGATATAGGGCAGAAAACGGAATACTACCTGCTTCAAAGGGGCTGCCTAACCTAATGATCGCCGGTGCAGTAGATCTCACAGCATAGTCAATGCCATGGACTAGGCCTTCACTAGCAGCCGGGCGTTGGCGGGACGCTACCGAGATTCCGCTGTCGAGATTCCGGAATCATCCTCTGTACCATGTATGCACTAGGATGTGGAATTCCAATAACCCAGGCTGTTGGGAAGTGATGTGCATTGGCTTTGGATGGATCTTACCGCGCGCTTAGATATCTAACCTTGAAAGGCATTTTCCGATCTAGAGAGCTGTACAAGTTTAAAGAATCTCTGCAAGATTAGAATAGTCCGTGATCTCTAGCAGAAGTATATAACAGAGACGGATAATACAATAAAGCGGATAAACTACTGTATCATTATGTAGAATAAGGTAACTCTCTGGAAGTCTACAATCTGTATACAAACTTCCAGTAAGACCATCTTCAACTTTTAGATTCCAAGGTTGTATTTCTCGCCAAAGTCTCTACTACTCTAGCGGCCAAACTATTGAATAGTGTCGTATAGGCTGCTTCAGTACCCGCATAAAAGGGTTGAGCACATGTTCGAGTTCAACTCAAGAACGTCAGCACCTGTTTCCGATATGCGGGCGATAGACCACTGCTTCTCGTGTAGTGCAATCCGCGGCACAGTGTGAATCTCGGCATAACTACTGGCTCTTCTTTTTGAGTGCTGACAACCCTCTCGCCATAAATACATGGCGCCTTCTCGGCCCCGCTACAGCGGAGATTAATACCATTATTGAACCCCTACAAGTACTAACACCAACTATGTTTCCGTGGCTATGGCTACGGAGCTGCTCATTGCCCATAATTAGCCCAGATTTCATGCTCTCACAAGAGCATAGGAGCTGTTGTAGCCCTGGCAAACAAAAGCATCTCGTTGGTACAAGCTTCAAGTATCACTGAGTATACGCTTGCAATTTTGGATCCTTTAGTAGGCCTGTGATTGGGATACTTACGGTGATTGGGGTTTAGGGTGAGAGGGATTCTTGAACCAGTTGAGCAATTCATTTCAAAGTGTGTTGCGAGTCTACCTACTGCCAATGCAGTTCCAAGGATTGTATAACGAGGCCGATAATATTCAGTAGTGTATCAACGTTGAAAAAGGTGCTAGGCAAGCTTTAGTCTTGGGTGTCGGAACATCTTGCACTTTTTGTCATCTCTGTAACATGATTACTAAAATTTATAATGAGTCCAACAATTACTAGTATCATTAAATATAAAACAAAATCTCTTATAGAAAATACCAAACTTCGATGACATAATACCTATATTGTTTTGATGTTTCATTGCTTCCTGAGCTTTCCATGGTCTCCTAACCGCTGCTTTTCTAGAGATGCTATTGAACTCTTTTCCCTTACACAGCTAAGTGCTCTTAGTTCAATATTTCCATGTCGTTTGCAAAACGTTCTCAATTCAGCCTCGTACCGCGAATTTCGATCGGGCACGCAACTTGCCTCCATATTTGTATAAGACGAAGGTCCCCGGAATGCCCCCAGCACTCAAGCCAGCTAGCACGCTAACGCCTTTATGAACGTCCAAGCTGATGAATAGAGGCCTTGCGTACATGATGGCGCCGGCAGCCATAGCAGCTCTGCTTATATCGTTCCCTGCAAAGAGAGAATTTGCGTATGTGGGGTAGGAGAATGGGATGTATACAAAGAGCGCCTGCAGAATCCAGAACATCCCGATGACAAAGATGACAACGCCTATAAGTGGTACAATCCAATGTATTTTCGCATTAGCGGTCCATGCAAACATGAACAGCCCGATCGGGAGGAGGACTGAGCCGAAAATAGCTGGAACGAGGCGATGTTCTTGCTCTCGAAGGCCGTTTTTTATGTTGTCAGGGACCATATACCAGTAAAGATAACAGATATAGGTAAGAAGGCCAATTGTAGCTCCGACTTCGCAGGATAAGAATGCCAAACCAGTTTGTCCTAGATTAAAGCCATAAAAGGGGGGGAATACTAGGGGGAAGACTTCGAAGAAAGTGTAGTAAACTCCATAGAAGAAGGCTGTATAGATGTTGACGAATAGTATCGCAGGATCCTTAATCATAATCTCAATCGGCCTGACGAGCGCGCCAACTAAAATCTCAGAGGCAGTTAGATGTCTCTGATCAATCTCGCTCTGAGATTGAAGCCTGGGATCACCGACTCGTTTTCGCAGTCGTTTTGCTCGTCGCATCAATAGGTTCGCAGCTGAGGTTTCGGGCAAAAAGCATAGTATCACCACAAGCATGAATGAATTCATCCATACAATCTCCCAGAGGGGCCACCGCCATCCCTTGAACATTGTAGCAAAGCCGCCAATCAACGGCCCAATCGCTGGACCACCCCACGCACAATAGACCCAGAAAGAGAGCTGATAAGGCACGTAAATCAGATCGTACATGTCGGCAAATGTCCCCCCTCCGTTGGTTAAAGCAGGACTACCAAAAAACCCCTGGAGAGATCGTAACACTAGCAGGCCGCCAAAGTTACCCACAACTGCTGTCGGAAAACTAATGCCGAAGTAGATGATGAATGTCACGTAGTAGACCGGATTTCTTCCAACTATAGGAATCTCGCTGAGGGGCCCAAATACGACTCCTCCCACTCCATACCAAAGAACAAAGAGCGCGAGTCCAAGTTCTGCTGCGATGATGCTAACGCCAAAATGTTCTGATACCCCTTCGACTGAGGGAGCATATATAGATGAGGCAGAGTAAACAATAAATGTGTATACGCAGATGATTGTAGTAATCAAGATCTTCTTGAACGACGACCAATTATGTGGATTTTCTGGATCATCGGTGGTATACCAATCAACAAGAACGATACCGTCCGATGTTTTCTGAGGGGCAATTGGGAGGGATTTGGTGCGCTCAATTTCTAGCTCTTTCTCTGCCTTCACACGCTCAGAACTATATGGGATAGTATGAACGCTTCTAGCTGTTGTTACGGTTCTAAGGCTCTCGAAATTGGTCGCATAACGCTGAAGAGACTCGGATTGAGACTCGGATTGCGATTCAGACTGAGACTCAGATCGAACTCGAGAGACGTTGTTGTTTCTTGCCATGCTAGCCTCTCCTGGAGCAGAAGAAAAAGATGCGTGGCCATTGTTGCTTTGTTTCTCATGTATTTCAAGCTGCGCAACATATGCTTCGGGTAGCTTGAAATCAGGCTTCTCTTCGGGATATTGAAGAAGCCTGTTTTGAGTGAGGAATCGAATTGCCTGGCCGAGAGGCGCCTCTCGAATAATGTCAAGCATGTTTCAGAGCAGTTTCATAAGCACTGGAAGCTGAATTTCACTAACAATTAGGTGTACAATAAGAGCTACGTGTTATTTATGATTGGGGAATCATTGAGAAGTCATTTGTGAAGATTGCAACACTTCGCCGACCTCGACAAGTACGCAATATTAGCATCTGGTGTAGATGAAGAGATGGCGTTCCAGAATTTACCCAAATGGGAAATTTCACAAGAAATACAATATCCTAAAATGAATTGGCGACAACGTTATTTTATTCGGCTTATAGCTAACCTCATAGAAAGCTCCCGAACAAGCCGATCTAATCGTCTTGTTCGACATTTTCTTTTAAACTTTCGAGCTTCTCTACTTATCGACGCATAAGATCACCCAATTGAAGTACCAAGAAAAATTATGAACTAGAGCGATAGTAGAAACTCTATCCACGATATATGAAAGACTATTGGAGGACAAGGGCCATAGGCAATTGAGTTCATAAGCATGGCAATGTATGCAGTCTTCAGATTGATGGTTCAGCTGTCGGCGCCCTGGCCCACTGCGAGAACCTCGAATAATATGGGCCCATGTTGGGAGCTCTCAGTTACGCGCATTCAACTTTGCTCAACTTAGCATCCTTACTGCTCCGCGCGTGCAATCTCTTCTAGCATAATACTAGACTCATAAGTAACTGGCTTTCTACTAAACACACGTACAGTATACATTGAAGAGAAGGGAACACTACAGTGACACGTGCCGTCATCAAGGTTGAATGCAGCATAGCACAGACAAAAAAGAAAGGGATCGGATTGCTTACACTCTATCCGGGCGTTTGTCGGGTGGGGTTGGTGACAGCGATTCTACTCTACCTACTGATCGCTACGTCACTCGCGCAGGGTCCAGTCGACATTGGTAGATTAAATAATTACATTGCTAGGAGAGGGTATTGGTATATGGGATACACTCAGCTGGGCAACTGAATAACACATGCAGGCACTAGTTGGTCAGCGCTGTGAGGAATACCCTACGATAGGAATATCCCTATTTGGGATGTGCTCAGAGGGCAGCGATATCATATCGTTGAACCTCGAGTATATAACCATACTGCGATGTTAGGATTAATTGGGGAAGAAACTAATATCAAGACATAAAGTTACTTTAAGATTTCTATAAGAAGATAAATTGGACAGATATCTTCATTATAATCTTCCTGTATAAACAGCCTCCTATACACACCGTATCTGCTTACACACAACTATGCCTTCATTCAAAGTCTACAAGGGCTCTGCCGAGGGTATCCAGGAAGGGCTGACCACAAAGCCAAGCTTAACAGGCGACCAAACTTTTGTAAAAGTCTCGGCATCTGGCCTGTGTGGCACAGATCTGCATTACAGAGCTGCTGGGATAGTGCTTGGCCACGAAGGAGCCGGAGTCGTCCAACAGGTTGGGCCTGATGTCAAACACTTCAAAATCGGCGATCGTGTTGGATGGGGATACCAGGCGAATTCTTGTGGTCTATGCGAACAATACTTAAGTGGAAATGATGAATACTGCCCTGAACGAGAAATTTACGGAGAGGCAACTCTGGATCAGGGCAGCTTTGGCGAGGCAGTTGTTTGGAGAGAGGCGTTCTTATTCAAGGTTCCGGACACTATTCCGGACGCCGATGCAGCGCCGCTGATATGTGGTGGTGCGACTGTTTGGAGCGCTCTACACAAATACGGCCTGTCATCTACATCCACCATCGGAATTATTGGAGTTGGTGGTTTGGGCCATCTCGCTATTCAATTTGCCTCTAAGCTGGGCATGAACGTGGTGGTTCTGTCTACCAACGAATCTAAGAAAGACGAAGCTCTCAAGCTGGGTGCTAACCACTTTGCAAGCACGAGCAAAGCAGAGGCTATTGACATTGGTCCCTCGAAGCTGGACGCACCTGTGGTCACGGCGTCTGTTGAAACCAAGTGGGAGACCTACATGCCTCTCCTCAAACCACAGGCGATGATACTTCCTCTGACCGTTCATTTTGGCAACTTTACTATGCCTCATTTCCCCATGATTGGAAACGGATTGCGGATCCAGGGCACGGTGATTGCGTCAAGATTGGAGCTGAAGAGAATGCTGGACTTTGCTTCCAGGCACAACATCCGACCAGTCACTATGCTCTTCCCATTAAACAAGGTCGGCATTGAGGACTCTATGAAAACTCTCAGCGACGGAAAAATGCGGTATCGTGGCGTTCTAGTTGCTCAATAGCGAATGTCAGATGATAGACTTTCAGCAGAATATATAGACCAATGAACAGGTTTAACGGCACCATCTGTCGCCAGCTAATGCTAACGTCTTCTGCTACCGTCTGATTATCCATAAAACAATCGTTTCAGTATTGACTCTGAGCTAATATTCTACTTATAATGAGCTAGGCACATCAATTGTTGAATGTGATTAATGAGATATCGAGGACAGCGAATTTAAATAGGTACAGTAGTCCTTTACGATGTTCTATCGCATATAAAAGACGATCAAAGTGCTCCTCGGGGAAGCTTCAACTAACAGCACTAGAGCATACGACATCCGGTTACTCATTCAAGTTACCTAAATGACGCACCTTTCTGATTCTCATCCTCTAAACACACAGCCCATTAACGTCAGTAAAGTATATTTGAGTCGCCTTACTATTAAATGCTACTGCTTCGAGTGCAATCCAGCTACTTCTTCGGCACAGCAGGATACAGCTCCGAGCAGGCAGCTCAGCCCAAAAGAGGGTCGCATGGCGCTTGTGCTAGAGGATATTAGGCTAACAGTGTCGCTATTCATTTTACTATATTGGCTAGACGGTTGATTCAGGGCAGAGCTCTGAAAAGTATCGCATGCGTCGGCAAATACAAATGGGATGCTTACAAAGCTGGGACTGATCTAGACATTACGCACATATTAACATATTAGGAACATAGCTGCGAGACATTAATAGTTACCTACCTAGGTAGTTGTTGCTCATGTACACATATAGACAGAGTATTAGTATATATAGGCATATATAAATTGACCAGACATCAGGAGTGGTTATAGCATGACTTCAAGTAAATACGAGTCAATCAAAACCATCAAGCTTGTTAGGCCATCACCGCCATATCTGCTCAATCCAACCATGGCCAACGCTACTCGAAATGCTCTCGCTAAAAGCTTCAAAGCTTTGCACACTCCTCATCATCCACTCGTATTGGCCAACATTTACGATGCAGTTTCCGCGCGGGCTGTAGCATCCCTACCCAACGCAAAGGCCTTAGCCACAGCTAGCTATGCAGTTGCAGAAGCAGCAGGTCTTAAAGACGACACCTTAACACTGGAAGTTAATGTAACTTCTGCTAAAAATATCGCTTCGGCAATTAAAGAATTTGGAAAGCCACTATCCGTTGACTACCAGGACGGATATGGAGATGGGCTAGAAAGCGGCCTGGCGGAGCTTATTCAAGCTGGTGTTGTCGGCATTAACCTGGAGGACTACAATGGAAGCACAAAGAAGCTGTACAGCATCTCTGATGCCGCGGATCGAATCAAGAGAGCTATGAACACGGCTACTTCACTGGGAGTGCCTGATTTTGTCGTCAACGCCCGGTGTGACACCCTCGTTCAAGGAGGCGGTCTCGAGGAAGTGATTGAGAGAGGTCGTGCATATCTTGCCGCTGGCGCTACCACTGTATTCGTATGGGGTGCCGGCCGAGGAGTCTCACGTAGCGAAGTCGTTGAGTTGGTCAAGGTCTTTGATGGACGGCTGAATGTGATGCTCAATCTATCCGGCGGTCTGACGGTGAAGGAGCTGGCGGATATTGGAGTCGCCCGGATCAGCATTGGACCTACTCTGCAGATTGGAGCTATGGCAAAGCTACAGAAGGACGCTGAAGCCATTTTGGCAATGTAATTATAGTCGTATAGATTGTTGATGAATAAGGTAGTGACATCGGCCCTACAAATGATTTAAGTGTTAGCTTAGGCGCTGTGAAGTCCTCCTTGTGATCAGCATGTCTACTGTGAATATACTCGATAGTGCATATCGCAAATTGTAACCAGATATTTGTAGCATTACGCACAGCTATTCAAGATTAGGAAGAGCTGGAGATTTAATTACCTATATTAATGAGGACAAATATGTAATCACATCGTATAAGTACAAATCGACCTAGCTAGCCATTATGAGTACGGAAGTACCACCGTCAAGCTTTACAAAGGGATATGGTGTACGAGATGATTCTGAGAGTCTAATATCTCACATCATCAGATATCGTATAATCATGTATGGCCATGTAGGCAGAATGCTAGTAGGCTATGAGAAAACCCCAAGTTTGTGGTGCTGCTTCGTAAGTTTTAGAATGGCGGTTTCGCAATACAGCGTATAGTGAGTATGCCACTATAGATATGGATGCTGTAAGTCACCTATGACTTCTCATCGTGACTCATTTTGTCTGAGAAGTCAGATTCTGAATATTACCTAGCCTTTACTGGAAGCAGAGCACCTTGTAAGAGAACATTCAAATTGGGATTTGCGCAAAATACATTATGCAGCTAGATACACTAAGCAATCTCCAAATATTTGAGCGATTCATCCATTGAGACGAAATCGCTGATAGCAATGCCTAGGTCTTTGTAAGACAGGAATTCTCCCTCTTTGTAAGACCAGTAGGTGTCTTTATAATCGCCCATCCAACGAGTCATATCGGCGAGCTTTGTCCATTCAGGGTACAATACACCCATGATCTCGTAGCTCGTACTCACATAAGCCGCCTCCTTGCCCTTCGCCTTGGCCCAACGCTTCAACAGCTCTTCGAATCCAATTGTATCGGTATAGGCAAAAACAATGGCGCCATTCTTGGTCTTCTCTGGCTGTTCTGCTATGGCCTTGACAAACGGTCCAAGATTCTTCTCGACATCGCCGATATAGACCAAGGTAGCGTCTGGGTCATAGTCTCCGATGACGACATATCTATTGGCCGCCTCCACCCAAACGGGCTTATAGCAGGGGTAGTTAAAATTCAAGTCGTACCAGCCAACCAATACAAAGGTTGTCTTGGCAAGTAGATCAGGCAGGGTGCGGATGAAATCATTGGCCGCTTCTTTCCCTTCAAAGTTGGGACACGCGTATTTGCCATTGCTAATCTTGGAAGTCGAGGGCAGAGTGCTCCAGATAAGATGCTCAAGCGTAGGCGTGGCTTGAGCAGCCCGCGCAACGTTGCGACCCTGCTCGGCCTCAATATCCCTTCCTCTTTCGCTGCCATACTGGACAAAGCCGGGAACAAAGTCAGTGGTGCCAAAGATGACATGAGAGCCCTCAAATGCCACCCTCAATGTTGCTTCATCGTTGAGATCAGCTTGCACAACCTCAACTCCTCTGGCCTTGAGAGCTCTAGCAGCACTGCTGTCTGCATTGCGTGTTATACCGCGAACAAGATACTCAGGCTTTTGAAGGAATACATTGATAGCAGCTCCGCCTTGCTTGCCAGTGGCTCCGATAATTGTTGCAATCTTCTTCGACATTGTAAAGTGGGCAAAGAGATGTAGAATGAGAAATGAAAGCTGGAGTGATTTCTCGATGTTAGCGAGCTGGATTGTTGCTGCTGTGACTGCTGTGATGGCACTGATATAATTTCGTAGGATTGGGTGCTAATCGTCTCTTTTTAACCTTCTCAAAGGCTCATTGTATGGACATTGAATTCATGGATTTGTAAGTTTTCTGCATTACATTTGTGATACTGCTACGCATTCTTTTGTAAGACTCTTCGAGCAGTGTCCGTAACAAGTAAAATCAGGGCGTAGGAAAAGAGTCTGAACGCATTGGCAGCTCCATTGCTGCCGACAGGACAGGGAATATCGTGAGTACAGTATTTACCCAAAACAGACAGCTCGGAGGACCGATGCGACTCTGGCCTAAATGCGGGCCGTAGTTTGGTGGCGGCTTGAATCATAGACCAAGCCCAAAGACAGTCTAGGGACTGAGTGCCGGCACATAGCCCGAGACAGCAGCCAGACGTGCGTAGTTGGAACAGCAACATCTAAAAGTATACCTGTAGGTATTCATTTTTGAATAGATCTGGTAGTAAGTTACTACTCATAGTGTCTGCAGTTCTTTATTCTATAAAATTTGGCGCTGTTCTCGCAAGAATCCCCCAAAAAGAAACAGCACTCCATCAATAACTTCTGAGCTCCATGTTAGCGCCTGGCGGAAATTTTCTTTGCGCTTACGAAGCTGCCCCATTACCCCTTTCTGCTAGATCTAGGCTCTGGAAGCTGTGCTGGGGAGACTTTAGAACATGCCACTTCTTCTAGTGCGGTCGATCTTCTTAGCCTTAGCCGCTATGATGAGACGTATACACATGCATTGAAACTCTGAGTTGATCAGACTACATCGAGGCATTATTAATATCGTCTCACTTGATGAAAAGCGCCATGGCAATAACATGACTTCAATAATAATAGACACCAATGGTATCTCAAAAGCTATTCACCGTGGATCTAGGCCCATACATCTAACCTAGTACACGCAAAGCGTTTCAACTAAGCTCCAACGGCCACAATTTCTCCAAAGAGCTTCTCTCGTTTCATGAATAGCGCGGCCATCAGGAGAACGCCGCCCCCAATTGGCAGTAGATAGAGCGCTTTCTGTATGGCCTCTGTGATTGCCTTCACCGCTTGATTGCGCAGCTCGCCACTGATTTGCTGGAAAAGCGTACTCTGTGCACCAGATACAGCATCCACTATGTCTTGGTGTGAATAGTTGGTCCCGATGAGCACTCTCTCCAGGTTTTTAACTGCCTCTGCCTGGAATATCTGGCCAGCAATAACAAGGGAGATGAGGCTGGCACCCAACTGCGCCAAATTTTGTAGGCTTATTGCATCTCCAACTTCTTGGGGCTCCACAACAAGCGACGCCACGGCATAGCCGAGCTGGTTAGTGAGACCTGTACCAACAGCATTAATAATTGATAGGCCATAAATAACGGATATAGTAGTCGAAGGCTTGAGATAAACGACCATCAAAGAGCCTCCAACTGTCAGGAGAACCCCAGAAAAGATATAGATCGGCATGTATCGCTTCACTCTGGACAAGAGATGGCCAGCTCCCAGATTGAACGTGACCATTATAATGACGTATGGCAATAGTCGAACAGCAGCTTCTAGTGCCGAGTCACTGTGTACAAATTGAAAGTAGAGGGGGAAGAAATAGAGGAAGACAAAGAGGGTAGCATCGTTAGCAGCCATGGCGACGTATAACAGAAAGTGTGTCCGAGTGAATAGCAAGTTCACGGGAAATGATCGCGTCTCTCGACTTGTAAACAGGCACATGCCCTGTTGTAAAACATAGGCGATCAATACAATGCCGAAGACAACGAACATAGCGATGGTTCTTCCGTCGCCCCACGCCCATTGTCCGCCTGCCATTGTAAACACCAATGCAAAGGTCACCCATACGCCTGATCCAAGAACAAATCCGACGAAATCAAGATTCGCGAGCCTTGTGCGGGTTGACACTCCTCGAACGGGGTGCAATGACGGCAAAATGAATATGAAAATTGGCGCGAGAACTCCACCAATCACCAGGTTGATGTAAAATGCCCATCGCCAGGTTGCAGATGATACAGAAAAGGCCCCGCCGACGACCGGTCCAAGCACCGCTCCAATGCCCCAACAGAAGCCTATTCCTGTGATGTAGGTACCGCGCTCTTTTGGTGTAGTTAAAGAGGAAATATAGTTGAGACTTCCAAGATAGATGCCGGTCCCGCCCATGCCTGCAATAACTCGGCCGATAATGACTGTATTCATGTTTTGCGCAGCGCCACAGAGAACAGAGCCAACCTCGAACACTATGACGGTTGCAATAAATGTCCACTTGAGATTAAAACTGACAAAGGCAGCAGTAAGTGGCAGCACCATTGAAACTGACCCTAGTGGGAAACCAGCTCCAATCCAGGCAAGTTGGTCTATATGGCCAAACGCTTCCACAATGGAGCCTTGAACATCAGCCGCGATCGTTGTATCGAGACCATAGAGGAAACAAGTGACATATAGTGAGAAACACACTACAACCCATCGAACACTCTTGATCGAACGAACGCCGAGCTCTATATCATCTGATTTCTCTTGTATGTCTGCGGTTTTGCTTTGGACGCGACTGAGTCGTGAAGAGATCTTATCGATTGGGATCGTAATTGCTTCGGCAGTAGGCAACTCTCTCACAGAGTCTGTGGTCGACATGATGACCACTGGGGGAAATGAGTTTTTAAACAAACTCAATTTGAACTTGGCTAGCTGCTTTCGTGAATAGTGAAGCTTCTAAGCAGAAAAGCGGTTGAGTCAACATCTTGCTATAGCATGTGTATGCTTGGAAGCAGAGCGTTATTATTCTGATAGCTCTGCTAATGAATGGCTACAGTATTACTAATTGTATAAGGCTTTTGCCTTGATTAAAAATTGGAAATAGGAGATGCAGCCCCTTCGATGTCGGAGCGTATTCCTTCGTAGCGGCACTACGTGAATATTAGGGGTTGGAGATACCTCGGAGCCTGCAATTAAACTTAGATAGGTAACACTTGCCTGATAAATGTGGATAATGCTACCTGAGCCATATGTTAAAACCATTAAGTTGGCAGGGCAAAAGATCAGACCAATGATCGCAACTGTAGCAATTACTGTAGCGGAATTAATGTAACGGAGCCAGCTGTGGAACCAACTGCTTATAAAGTGTTCAACTGTTACAGTGAACCAGGTCGTAACAGAATTTCCCTTTCAAGCGGTTTGCCCTAACGAGAGCAAAGTTTCGACAATGGAATGAAGGGTCAGAAGCCATACTCGTACAGCAGCACCAAGTACTGCTACGAAGCAAGCATCACAAACATTAAAAGTCCTAAATAAAGCTATATGCTTAGTTGGCTGTTATTGTAGAGTACAAGTTGTAGAGCTACCTGAAGGAAATAGCTGTATCCCAACAATTAGAAGCTCATAAGATAAACCATCAGGACCGATACATGGCTACAGTCTAGCATCTCCAAAACAAGCTTTTTGGCGGTTAAGCTTTCTATGTGGTCTTAGCTGCGGTATAGCTTACCAATCGAACTTCCCGCGGCACGAAGGCCGGCAAAGGATCATAATTCCGATCGACCCAAAATTTTACTATACTGTAAACAACCATGTAATCTCTTTTGGATTAGAATGTCTGTTGGGTCGGGATTATGGATATTGAGAATCCATTGCCCAGTAGATAGATTTGGCGTGGTAGATCTGAACCATCGTGATCAGATCTTTCAGGCACTCACTATAGCCACAGCTTAACGACCTATTTGCTGTCACAACCATCTTTAAAGACAGGAAAATAATAATATCACAGTGTATGATAGAATCATTTGTTGAAAAAGTAAAGTGTAAATGTAAAATACTCGGAATGTATAATAAAAGAGCTGGGGAGGAGGCTAACGTTTGTCAGTCACTGGGTTGGATGAAATGGAGCAAATATGAAGCTTCCCACAAGCTAATACGCAAAGAAAGACTAGCCCCGCCCACTTTTGTTTGCTAACCAAATAGAGGCAAGAACACGCTTTCAGTTCTTCAAGTATGATGGTGGCTCTATGCCTCGGAAAGTTCCGCGAGTGATTCGTAATGTCAGATGCGTGGCTTTATTTATACGCCCTCTTGTGCCTGTAATGTGTTACGAGTGCCGCCTAGTTAGCTACTCCGCAGCGATCGTAAACACTTACGGTATCGTGATTGCTTACTTGCCCCATACTTCATGAGTGAAACTCTTCTTGAAAGTCTTGGGATCGCTCGCGTGCAGTTGAGCAAAATGAGAAAAACAACAGATGTATTTATAAGTACGCTGTCATGGCCATTCAAGGAGTACTTGACCAATTTGGTTAGATTAGAAAGCTTCATGAGGCTGGAGACTAAGTGTAGCACTCTGATGACGGTCTTATGGGTTTTAGAGATGATAGAATACCAGAAAGGGATTTTCTGCACCAGGCGTATTATGTGTCTTAAGCGTAGACCGCTAGTAACGTACATAAACTTAAGCTTCATCTAGTAAGAGCAGAAATCTTCCTTTATATATCATGGAAGAGTGAAGAATGTCAGCTGAAGCACTCCTTTTACGTAGACATACCACAGACGAGGGCAATAAGCCTATAAATCTCTCTTTCTCAAAAGAATCTGAAGTTAAGAGACTATCCTCATGCCCACCAGAGATGGTGTCTCTCACTATATACCATGTACTTATCTTTACTAGCTCGTGGTCATATACTCATATGCAAGTGAAACAACGGCCTTTGTTCTTAAAGCTTAACCAATAACTGTCAATTTATACTCTTACTATGATGAGTAAACTGAATCGCGTTTGCCTACTTTCCTTCCAGCTCCCGCATGATCTCAATGAAATCTTCGTCACCAGCTGCGGCCAAAGCTTTAAAGTGCGGTATGTTGTCCTGTACCCACTGGTCTTCTTCTCCAGTCTATTCCACAAAATACATGTGTTAGATACAATATCATCTAAGTGATAAATGGAGTTGCTGCCCACTTACTTTTGGCCGTCCGATTCCGGCTTCCAAGGCCGTTGTCAGTGCGCCCATCACCCAAACTGTTCGTAGTCCCTTTTCACCTTCCTTTCCTACAATTCTCTCCCATTCGGCTGTAATTTGCTTGCAATGGTCTAGGTATGTTTCATTCGTACGATTGCTCCCTGCTCGTGTTCTGATGATCACGCGATTATACTTTCGCCGGACACCTCCTCGGAATACTACTTGGTTGCTCACATCCGTATACCGGACGTTGATAAAGAAACGGGGAGTGTTGAAACGCTTTGAGTGCAAATCGGTGAAGGCAACAGCTAGCTGTTCTTGCTGCTCCGACGTAAGCGGAGTTACATATTCAACATCGTAAAGAGGCATAATGGCGGCCGGGGTAGAACGTTCAGTTGTAAGATTTGAGCAAAGGTAATTGTGTTTCAAACCAAATAATGGATCCACGCAATAGAGACTATAAATAGAGAAATAATGCTATCATCATGGCCGAGGCTAGGCAATACGTTTATTGATCTGCCTCGGCCTGAGCCAACATTGGCTTATTCAGCAGTAGCCTATAACTATTTTTCCACCAGTTGTGCTTCTAGTCCGGCGGAGTTGGTGAGGAGTAGAGTAGTGGGAATAACGTCAGAACATAACACTAAACCCAGTGACTGGCTAACCCCAGCCAATTTTATGCCTCATATTTGGAATCAGGGTCTGTGGTAAGTGTTTATAGCATACATTACAAAGATAAGGCTATTAATGGTAAAACGCAAGTACTACTGGAAGGCAAAACATGATAACTAAAATCTGTTTCCAATACCCGAAAAGCAAATAGTGTGATAATTTTAGAGTATATTGGTAAGCTGTTATTGATCTAAAATGCTTCCATAGTCATTATCTCAGCATACTATATCTCCAATTCAACATCTAGACAATGTCAACTATACCATCTGCGACACCTTTCTCCATTGTGGTCCAGTCCTGGCCGAAACAACTTCTCCAGAGTTCTCCAACTCTCTTATTAAGCACCACTTCTGTCAGATCTCGAGCCTCATTTGGTGGCGGCTCTGGGAGTTGGATATTTGGGCGTAGCTTATGCAATACAGCATGCACGTATGTCTAATATTATGCTGTAGCGAATCCAGATAGACACCCAGAGAGAATCGATTCGCCCAGAAGTCCGGTTACATGCAGACGCGCGACATCTTCGAGATCGACAAAACACTCTGTGGCAACAGCTTGGTTATCTCTTTCCCCCCACTCTCAAGCATTACATAAAATAACTTATGGGAAGGGAACAATTTGATTGCCGTGCCATCACCAAGAAAGAACCTTTTGCTAAAATCCATAGTAGAACCACTCATCTCTGTGGCAAGAATACGCCCCCACTACAGTAGTATCATTTGATCTCAGCAGAATTTGATGTAATAGGATTTCAGGAGACCACCTACAACTAAGTTTGACAAAAAGGTATTCAGAACTAACCTAGGATTGATTTCTCTGTGCCATTTCCAAGTGACACGTTCAGCTTCAGCATTTGAGGCAGTGTATACTAGGTACAGTTTGTACTAAGGTGATGTTTATCAGTCTCAGCAGCCTTTATTACATTCTCGTTATAACTATGTTTTATATGTCAGGGAGATGTAGAGTCAGAAAAGAGCCATATCAAAAACTTGTTGTGATAACATTCCTCTCATTTGGCACTGGCACACTAGCTGTGGCTGACGAGGACGTCAAGACAAGTCAAGTAACAGAGTTAGACTTAGTAGCAGCCTCCAAAGCAATCAGGGTTATTAGTTTCGTGTACGGAATCACAATTTCAGCAATAGGGCTTAGAAAAGCATCAGAAGCCTCCTTATCGTTGGTGGTTGGCTTGAATTTGAAGCGTAAACAGGCACATGATACCACGTGGATGAAGCCAGATATGTCATCCATAGCGCCATCGTAAACACCATCGACATCGATGATTTCCATGTAATATACAGAGTCATCCAAGTTTTTGTTCAACAGCCACTCAACATATATTACCATTGAAACTTACTCTTCACCTCAAATAGATACTGACCCTTGGGCATCTTCTAATCCATATTAACAGCGTCTTAGATTACAGGTTCTAGGAGGCGTAAATAACTGTTTCTTTTCACAAACGTTGTATTCAAGAGCCCTGAATGTGTGTTTGATCTTCGATTAGCTGCATATAAAACTTTGCAGTGGCAGAGTCGTCTTTGGCAGAGTATAGAGGTGACTCATCTTCTTTGCGCTCATGCGCAAAACACAATCTACACATTAGAGTTTTTAGGTGCCAGATTCGCAATACTATTCTTAGAAGTAGCAATGACTTACTTAAAATCCTGGTCTCTGTACTCTTCCAACAGGTGGTGGATAAGATGAGCTACTCAGTCTTCTCCTACCTCTATACTCAGCGGCGGCCGGACTATCATAAACGGAAGGTTATTGCCGGTATTAATCATTGTTTTGGCATTTGTTCCGATATAAATGTAAAAGTGCGTACCGCCAACTGCGCAGCAGCGTAAGCGGACACGGATGTTATCATTATTATCTGCTTGAAAGTTTGCGATTCGATTAACGAGAGAACTGGACAAATCCATTTGCAAGAAAGCAGCTATAATTACAGCAAAGCTGCGAACAAGATATGCGGGAGTGCCTTCCTAGGTGGTCTCGATCAAACAAGGTGATTTCGTGCTAATAAGGTGACCTCGATCGGCGCAGCAGCTTTGCTCACAACTATGAACTCTTTGAGCGGGCATCAATATTTTATTACCTAAGTTGACTTTAGCACTGTACAAAACAGTTTATTCTTTGTAAACTACAACACTGAGATGGCCCAGTTCTTAAATGGCTCTGTCAAAGATATCTTCAAGAGATTTAGGGTGTTTAAGATCTGCTTGATACTGGAGATAATCCACTGCGCTCTCCGAATACTTTCAGAGCGTGAGACAACCGCAACTTTGAATCCCATTTCTGCATGTACCTTTGCAACATCCACTCCATCTCTCGGTCCGTAGCCAAAAAAATCGCGCCCATGTTGCTCGTGTTGATAGATTAAACAAAACGCTATGATATTGCTTGAACAGCATTTGTTGTTTTTCCCTGCGGAATTAAATACACAATTTGAGACACTGGTTTCTGCTTTGTAGTATGGGCGAAGTTGTTATTTACGTACTGAGTGTTTCGAGTGCAGTACTCGAGGAAAGTACAGTGAGCTTGCTTGGCGTAAAGGGAACCTTGTTATAATCAGTGTCGGTAATACTTGCAACACTTGTGATAAGGGGCTGTGTTTCCGGTATCCCTCAATGAGTAAACTGTGTCCAAGCCAGCGGCATGTGTGGCTTAGAGCAGCAGAACGCTAATTCCGGCGAACCCAGGGCGTTCTACAGGCTATAATAAGCCTGTAAAAGCAGCCTGTCTTCTAGTAATAGAGAGGCGGGGCTAATGCAATCGCCTTCTCAACCCGCTGGGTACCTGGCTGTCTTGTTCGAAACAATAACATATGCAGTGTATTGCCGCTTTAGGCATTTGTAACTCCACGCTTGATGGGGCGATTTGAATAACCGTAGTGATTGGTAATTGCAGATTATCAATTCTAGGAACTGAACACCAATTTCATGAGTGCTTGAGACTCTGCCTTGTAAGGGTTCAAGAGGCATATATAGCTTCAAGTGCTGCGGTGTAAATATCGCCCAGCTCTATGCAGCTTACTATTCTGGAATATCGCGACCACAACATGCGCGTATTGTTTGCTAAATTATTCGCTCTAGGCGTCCTCACTGGGCCTGGCCAGGCGAGTCCTGTACAAACACAGCACACATCTCAAGTGCATCCCTTCACCATCAATCTCTCGTCGAGGGTACCCCGGATGCTGGAGCAGATCCGTAGTACTCAGTTACTCTCACAGCCCGTCTACACTGACACAGGAAATGCCAACGGAATCTCTTTACATGATTTAAAATCATTGCAAAAGCAATGGCTGACAGTGTTTGATTGGGAAAGCGAGCAACAGGAAATAAACAAGTATTGTTTCTTATTCCGGTGCAAAAAGGCAACACCGCTGACACTTTGTAGATTCAAGCACTACACGACCCTAATCGAAGGCTTGACCATCCACTTCGTCCACGAAAAGTCAAACGCAACGGATGCAATACCGCTCGTTCTTCTCCACGGCTGGCCTGGTTCCTTCCTCGAATTCACTCCTATCATCGAAGAGCTGACCAAGCAAGCGACAACGGCCACCGGCAAAAAAGTAGCATTCGACGTAATCGTGCCCTCTTTACCAGGATTTGCCTTTTCGTCCGCTCCTCCTGTCAAGTGGACAATTTCCGACTCTGCACGTATAATCAACACCCTATTAACGCAGGTCTTACATTACGATACCTACGCTCTATTTGGAACCGATTTCGGTGCTGGTATCGGCTATGACCTCTACGATCAGTACAACGCAACCGTTCGCGCAGCTCATTTGGCGTTTCTGCCGTTTCTGCCTCTGAACTCTGCACAACTTGATGCTCAGAATATCACCCTCAACTCACTGGAAGCATTTGAGGAGTCTGTAACAACGGAATGGAGTACCACTGGAGAGGGCTACTTTCTTGAGCAGACAACTAAAGTATGTCACCCCCTTCCAATTAAGGGTAATCTAATAAATACTCACCATTCTGATCAAACAAAAGCCCAACACAATTGGATAAGCCCTTCAGGATAACGCAGTTGGTCAACTGGCCTGGATCGGTGAGAAATTTCTCAACTGTAAGTCTTCAGCCACTACCCTCAATGGCTCCATGGCCAGAAAACCAAACCTCAATTTCACTTTCGCATACTAACTGTGCATGAGCAGGGTCTGACCCCTCTGCCGGGACTGCACCCTCTGTCCTTACACACAATGAGATCCTCCGCCATGTCTCTCTCTACTACCTGACGGAGAGCTTCGCCTCGTCGGTGGTCATCTACGCACAAAATTCCCAAGGCTTCGGTTCGGTGTACAGTAAGGCTCGTACCGATGCGCCACTTTTGTTCAGTGCGTTCAAATACAATGTGGGCTTCTGGCCACCGGCGTTAGTGGCGAAAACAGGGAATCTAGTGCTGTACAATAGTGAGTTTTCCGCCCCCTCCATCGGGCTCTCAGTAGATCAGTAAAAAGTTGAATTATGTACTGACATGCGTTGTAACAATTAGATCGCGATTTTGGGGGCCATTTCCCGGCGTTAGATAATCCACCAGCATTATTAGGAGATTTAAGGGAGATTGGAAATTATTGGAAGTGAGTCTATACACATTCGGGAGAGATTAACCGATCCTATCTTACAGGCACTGGAAACCATTGTGTGTGAAACAATTGCTTGCCAAGTTAATATATCAACTGATTATACTTCGCAGATTTATTATAGAATATATATTTTATCATTGAATCGAATAGTTTTAATAGTTATTTTGTTAAATTTTTAAAGTGTGATATCAATTTCATTTAATCACAGTACCATTAGTAGAGGGTGTATTAATCTTGGCTGCATCCTGCTGGTACACATCTTGCTTACGATGTCCTAGGTCTTGTAGCATATGAGGCCTAACGTGCCACGCGTGAGGAAAGAACCACATTGAATGGGACGAAGAGCAAGTAATGCATCACGCGATGTCAATGTGTTAAACAATGTGTTAAACTTTCTCTCACTTAAATTTTGCGACAATATAGATGACTCTAACAAAAGCAATAACAAAGATGATCGGCTTCTTCGTCTTCCTGTTATATATAGTTATAGGTTTTAAACATGTCCCATATGAATCACTCGCCAAATATGACAGTCTTCGCTCTTAGGTCTGTATCAAAGAGAGGTTTGGTCGAAATAAAACTGGTCTGTATAATTTAAGCATATTTAAGCATAAATTTATGAGCGACGGGCGGTGGTTTTGGTAAATATTGGCAACAGAGCGAAAGAGTTTGATACGAAACGCAGCTGACGGACCCGGTATTTAAGAACTCCTGCAATAGAATTGCCATCATCTGGAAAATTTCTTGAAGAAGCCTGAGCCCTTTACAATCATTTTGTAGCCTCAATTCGCCGTGGCCTGGCTACTGAGCTTGCAGAATGGTTAGTCAGAGACCTGTTGGTCAATTGGATTGGTTCAGGAGACTCGACGATCGCTTGTCCCCGCCTCCTAATCCAACTTGTGACGTCCGAAATTACTGTCGGGCGATGGAAAGCCTCCTGAATATTCTCAAGAGATCGACCGCGCGTCTCGGGCATGTAAAGCACTAGAACTGTAACTGTAACTAGAGCAAGGCCGCCGAAGAGGAAATACGCGCTGTAAGCAGACCGTTTCAATAGAATCGGCGTCAAGATGGCGACAATCCAATTAGTAAACTATAATGTAAGTAAAACAATGATTCAGCTGGTAGAATATGAGTCTTACAAAACTTAGTGCTTGAGCCACAGAATTGGCTGCGGCTCTTGTATGTCCTGGCTGTATCTCGCTGGCATATATCTTGCCTACAATGCCCCAGGTCGCGCAGTATGTGAGACTGAAGATGTAAACGCTAACAATAACAACCCAGCGTGCCACGCCTGAAGGATGAACCGCATTAGCTGCATACAAGCTGCCTATTAGAAACATGCATGCTGATAAGGTAATACCACCACTGATGGCGGATATCCGACGTCCCCACTTGTCGGCGAACAGGAAGGCGGGAATGGAGATTACAAGCATCAGAATAGCAGATACTCCAGATGCTAGGAACGATGCCGTGGAGCTCGTGAGTCCGGCTTGGCTGAACAAGGTAGGAGCATACTAGAAACGCGTGTTAATGAAGAACCACATGTGAGTAGAAGGTTACGCACATAAATTACGCCATCAATGCCGGATAACTGTACCATGCCAAGAATGAATAACGCAAGCATAGTCCTGGCGCGATAACCTCGTTTGAATAGCATAGCAAGGCTCTGCCAAAGCGAGAGACTGACCCGTTCCTGTGTGGATGTTAGGAAGTCACGCTCTGCCTCGGCCATATCAAACTCCAGCTTTTGCAATGAGCGGCGAGCTTGTTGCGTCTTGCCATGTTGTATTAACCATCGTGGGCTCTCAGGTAGGACTAGGCAGCTCAATGTCAAGGCGGCGCCCACGACTGATTGCAAAGCAAGGGGCAAACGCCACGCAATACTTCCAGAAAGCTTGACGCTACCGTAGCATGTGAAGTAGCCCAGACAGACGCCGGTAGCAGCCTGAAACTGAGGCAACCCGACGAGCATTCCGCGGTGTTTTGCTGGAGCGACTTCACAGATATACACGCTGACATTGCTCAAGAAAATGCCCTGTCCGCATCCACTGAATGCTCGTCCAACGAGAAACTGCGGCAGACTGTTGGCGCTGCCTTGCAATACAGCACCAAGAATGACAAGCACAGAACCGCACAAGATTACTCGTAAACGACCGAATCGCTCGGCAAGATATCCAGCAAAGAAAGACGGCACCACCCCTGCAAGCATGACAAGGGACACAGTGAAGCCAAGAAGCGTAGGGGACAGCCGACCTATGACGGCCTCAAATTGTGCCATGGTCGTCATTGCGCCGATAGAACCCGTATCATAGCCATTGAAAAGACCAGCAAGAGATATGGCTACGGAGGCCAGCGCATATTTGGGCGGGCGGAAATGCCTGGGGGTCGACATGGCGAGAATCTGGCGTGAGTGAAGAGTTTCACGCCACCCGAGCAAAACGTTTTCAATCGGCTATCTGCGTAGAGTTTTAGATGAAGGTGGGCAATGGCGTCTGTTGAAGGCCTGGGATCGGATTTCGAGAGGTTGAATCCTTATAGATGTTTGTGTACTTGTATCTAAATTAACATGTACGACGTCACAGTGGAGCGGCGTAAGAGTTATCTACTGTAAGTAGGACGTCTCAATGCCCAAAGTGCATTAGTAATACGGGCAATACGGGCGTAAGTGAAACAGAAGGCGGCTGGGAAAAGCACCACGCTTATAGTCGAGGTTTTGAAGATCACAGGATAAGAACCAATAAAACGCCTCTCTTAGCCAATTGAGATAGATATACGCCAATCTGAGCTTGTTTCGATGCCTAGGGAAATTTTACAATAAATTATGTTCCATAAGCAATTAGTAACTGAGATCCGGCCGTCGCCGTTTCTTACCTTGAAAAGCTACCCCGCGTTTGTCTGAGGGCTACACACTTGTGTTCTCGGTATCTCCCCCACACTCCGCTTTAAGCCCAATGACTCATGCTGGAGAGCCCCGTCAAACCTCTGCAGCATGAACGACAACACCGCTCATTCGTAGTCGATTACTAGTATTAGCCGACGATGGACATCGAGGGTACCGGATATGGCCAAGCGAAGCCCCTGGATTCCCACTTTGCTGTGCCAACATCATAGCGGTTGCGAGATCGTTTCCAGGTATCTCGTGATACGTCCGTATAACGGGCTCAGGCGGGATACCTGGATGTAAAAATAGTGGTACATCTAGTACTTCAAACTCATGCCAAAGGCCACAGAATGTAGGGTCATAAGGGGCTTGCCGCTGTCGCCTATCGAACTAGAAAATATTACGCCAAGAAGCCCCATTGCCGCAACTCTCCTCTGCTCCCTCCTCTATTACTACCGCTGAGCTGTGACATGGCATCTCAGCAAAGCTCTGAAACGTATCGGGTTTCTGTCAACAACCTTTTTGAGCTCGCTGTTAATACATTAAGCAAGCCTCAACCCCTCGTCAACGCTGGCAAAAGTCATATTGAGTAAGCTTTCATAATTGAGAATCTGCACTGCGATGCCCTCTTCGCCCATGTCTCGCAGTCTTTGGGCACCAACTTGGAGGCCTCGACCTCGTTTGTAACTAGGGCAGGATACTGTAGCATTCTTTCAAGATTCTTCTTGACGTGGGTGATCTATTTCGACTCTGGGAGACTTTAAAAAATTTAAGGGAACTGTAAGTGTTCTTCAAGGGCGATAAGTCAAATGTTGTGCGGCTCGGGTCACATGTGACTAACTCCAGGATCAATAAATATAACGCTCGTAGACATTATACTAAGAGTCAGATGACATTTTTAAGCTGCAGTAGAGTATTTCAATAACTGTCTACCTATAGTCAATCACTCTTGTAGCGCGCACAGGAAAACATCGTCGTCTTATTAATACTTTTGTGCTTATACCCTCCCTCACGTATCGCCACCCAACTGCAGCTGTAGGTATCCAATTCTCAATCGAGTACATAGCAGAGGTTACTTGCAGCCGGATCCATTGTAGCGCTTTCGATGACCTAATACGTTGCTGCCTTTTAGATAAGCTACAGTGTGACCGTGTTGTGGTCGAGCACTTAAAAGCTAATGCAGCGAGTTGCGACCTACACCCTTGGACTTCTGTAATATATCAAGCTCCTCAAGCCATGGCGTGCACTCGAATTATGTGCGGCCATATGTGTCTCTATCTGCATTGGGGCCGGCAGTCGGCCTTTAGGGTTGTTTTGTGAGCGGCAGTTCCAGGCTGAATTGAACTCTACCGAGCCCATTTTATAGTGTAAACTTGTATCATTTTTCTATCTACTGAAAAGAGAGAGTACCTCCTTTACATTTCATGCAGCCAGGTCAGGCCCAGTGAGCAAAGATTCTGGGATTCCTTCCTTATTTTGAAAGTGGGCTGCAAAGCCTCCTCAAAACTACCAGCCCTGAGTAAAGCCATCAATGGTTGTAAGTAGTAAGTCTTCCTTGAGAATCTGATCCTTCTTTCCCTTGAGTTCATCAACATCCCATTCCGCCCAAACAAATCGTCCGCTCAAGAATTCTGCTTCATCAGAAGCAAGCCACGCAAAGAACTGGCCCGCAAGCTTTCCATCCGTCATACCGGTAGCTGGCTCTGGAGCACCAGACTTGGCGAAACCATCAGATTTAATACTACCGGGGTGGCAGTTAATGAATCGGACGTCTGGGTGTTCAAAGCGGATATGTTCAAAAATTCGTGCTTGTCCCAGTTTGCTTCCGGTATAGCCTGACCATCCATGCAATGGGAAGCGCATGTGAGTAGCAAGAGTAGAAACATTAAGGACAATGGCACTCTTGCCCTCAGGCTTGGCTCTAAGGAATTGCTGCGTAACAGTAGCAGTTCCCAAAATATTAATCTCAAAGCCAGTCCACCAACTCTTCAAATTTTCCTTGATAAAAGGCCCTTCATCTGGGAAGTGGCCAGCGTTATTGATCAAGACATCAGGGACACCAAATGTCTTGAAGATAGAACCGATCTTTATTTCATCCGTAATATCAGCTGCGAATGCCTCGAACACAGTTTCCGGAAAAGCTTCCTCAAAGCGTTTTTTGGCCTCGTTGATACGTTCAAGGTTGCGGCCAACAAGTCCAATGCGTTGTGCGCCCGCTGCCGCAATTTCCCTTGTAATATGTTCGCCTACGCCACGACCGGCGCCTGTAATGAGGAAAGAATTGCCAGTAAGTGGGTTGGCTGCCACTGTATTCTCAAGGGCATCATAAGGTTTGACGTGGGTTGTAACAAAAGAAGCCATGATTTTTGTCTGTTGGGTTGTTTATGGAATCCTTGCAAGTGAAGTAGCCTTCTTATCTTGCCTTGGGCGGGCTATTTATACTTTTATCAAGGCTACAGAACAGCATTTTGACTCCTGATATATCGACGTTTGTTCAAGACAATATTTGCTCAATACATTACCAAACTCGGGCTACCAAGAAGATTCGAAGAATCGTGTTCTTACAAATCAGTGCAAAGGGAGCAAAAACGGATCATTGAGGACGTCCGTTTCATATCTCATTACTCAGCCTAGACGGGATTTTGAATAAAAATGCCGACGCTACTTTAAAATCGACGGATGCAGCTATAAAGGAATGGCCATGCCTAGCGCTGTCAGTATGTGCTATACAAATCAGGCCGACAATATAATTGAAATGTAACGCGTATTTTTAATAAATGATATCAATATCGCAGTATAATTTGTCATCGGTTGGGTTGAAATTCGCAATAAGTAGAGAGGGAGAAATGTAGGTTAGCCACTCTACGGAACGCGTGCGTTCTCAATCAATAGCTTCAAAAAGCTCTTCAATGCTTTATGAAATTCTTTATTATACAGATATTCTTAATTATTTAAAGATTTAAAAAATGTATATATCTTGGATTACGAAGAGACAAAAGACAGTAAACTAGCAAAATGATAAGATTACTTCCGTAGGTCTCAAGAGAGACGCTTGCCTTCTTTTATCGACCTACATATTTAATACCAAGCTAAAGCACCCACAGCAGCCTTCTTACTGTAGCACACTCTTATAGTTCTAATTCTTTCGTCATAATAATTGGGTTTTTGTTTGTTGGTCAATTTGGTTATTGTTTCCATATACCTGAGACAGAAGCAGCTTCTATCAAGTCAGGCAAACGGTCTTTTCGATACGCAGGCCCATAGGCTAAACAATGTGACGCCTGCGTAGCTAGCAACCGTATAAAACTTGATTCCGAGAATCTCACAGTTCGTGGCGTAGAGACTTGTTGGGCTGGAATCGCTGCCGCGCTGCTCCCGCCCTGCGACACGGCGGGGAAAAATACGTCTGCATTGATCAGATTGGGATTGAACGTGAAAGCCGTTGCCGACTGTGCTTTGCGATAATTGTCCCACTGTCCTAGGTCGATTTCGAGGATATCTCCGGTTATCCTCCGAACTCCGTGCTGTAGCAAATAAGACTCGACGCCGCTTGCATTAAGTAGTGTTTGGCGTAGACTGGAACTATGCAATTTTGGTGCTTGAATGTCTCCCAGCGCATCGGAATCCACAGCGGGACTCAATGTTGGAAAATGTTCGCGGTCTTGAGCACTGAGAAGTTGAAATCTTGTGACGCCCAATCTATAGGCTTCTCGCTGCCCTGGGCCCATAAACCATCGAATGTTGAATAATATTTCGTCTCTCGAGTGTAATCTGAGTGCATAGCGAAATATATCCCGTGCAGCGTCCGAGTACATACCGTCGTTTGCCTCCAATAGAATGTAGTAGACATAGTATAGGGTTGCTCTAATGATGAGGGTACTCATGGACTGAGCGACGGGATGACCAACAGCCTCGCCGATAGTAGCCGTGTATGAAAACGGCAGGTCCCTTGTCCAACCGTTTCCCAGCACGTTGGTGGGAGGCCCAGTGAGTTGAGGAAGCAAGGATGGGGTTGAATCGAATTGATCAAGAAGGGTCCAGAGGCTGCCAGAGTTCTGTGAGTTCCAGGATGGCAGATCTGATACTGGCCGGAATGAGCTTGCGTCTGTCATGATTGCTGCTGGCGCAGCTGTCCCCTCGGTGCCGGGGGCCTCAACCTCATGCGGAGCTTGTTGGCGGCTGTCACCTTGATTTCCGGTGCTGGGAGAGTCCCACCTTTGATCCGATGAAGCTGAAGCTAAAATGAGAAACGTGTGGATGGACTCATGAAGCCTCCCTGTTAACTCAGGGTCTTTTTGTTTCTGGTTCGCCTGGATAACATGGTTCACGAGCTCGAGGAAAGTATCGCCCATCCGTTCAACCGTGTTCTCAAGTTGGGATATTCGCAATTCATTTGCAGCCTCAGTGGCCCGTTTGCGAGCTCTGAATATACTCTGAGCCTGTCTGTTCTTTTCCCTTTGAGCCTACGTATCAAGTAAGCTCATATTGTTCGATTGAGTCGTTTGCACACCACTTAGCACCGACAAACCTTTACGGATGGGTTGACATCTTTCCGGGGGCGCCCCTTGCCCCTCCTTGAGACCTCCAATGTGGACATGTCACTTTGCAAAGCAATTGGACGATGGTGTTTCACTGCCACTGACGGTCAAAACAGTCAAACATGTGGTTTTGAAGCCAAGCGCGGAGATATTATTGAGTCGATTTTCTCTGACTAAGTGGTAGAATCCTCCGGACACGAGGGAGTTGCTTACTTATCAGCCTCTTGTGCTCCGTAAGCTGAAGCACTTTAGACTTTGGATCGGCCATTTACGTTATTGGGCCGATCCGGCAAGATGGCGAATGCACAAGCCACCGACAAAGATCGGTAGCTTCAAGTGTCCCCATCGGGCTAATGAATGTCTTTTTATGAACTAACCCGCCATTGAAACCTGTCTATTAAGAGCTATTTGTATTACCACTTGGCCAGATTAATGAACTAGTATGGACCTTTGTTTACAGATCAGGAGGTAGAAAGATCAAAGTAGCTCCTCACTTGTGGAGGCGCTATGATCAACTTGGTGAAGCCAAATTTAGTGACTGGTTAGGCTGGATGAAGAGTAAGGCTAATGATAACCGTAATGTGGCTTAGGAGAGTAAGCTGTGTGACGAGGAGAGAAAATCTGATAACGATCTACACATGGGAGTAGATTCTAGGGCTTCAAAAGATGAAACTTTTACAGTGCTGCTTGTATTATTTGACAAGACGGGTGGTTTAATTTGTGATCCCATTTTTCTATGCTCGGTCTTGAAGGTGGTGGACACAAGTTAAATTTCTTTGGCATGACTAGAGAAGTATTCCTATTCAAAGTGCGTATGAAAAAGCCTTATATATCGCATTTTCGTAATACCACTTTTTATTATACACACAAGATCTTCTCCCGCTTAAAGGGATAGATACAATGTGCAAGGGCATCAATAAATATTAAGATATCTCCTATGCACACTCAGAGTTACTGACAAGGTAACCGTCAAACATAATTCACAGAGCGATTGCAAATTGTCATTAGCTGACAAAATGGAAGAACTCGGTCCAGTCTTGTGCTGCGACCCACTGTCTCCAGCTCGTAAGCTCTACCACCTGCAAGTTGGCATTGTTAGAGAAGTGTTATTTGTTGTAGGTAAGCTTTGGTACCTTACCTGGCTCATATCGATTGTTTGAATCTCTGTTTGGATCGTTCTCAGATCGCCCAGTTCTTCCAGACATCTCATCTGTTCGTAAATCTCCAGAGCCATGAATTCAAGCCCTCCAAGCCTTCCAACTCTATCAGTGAATTCTTCTGACGATAGAGTTTCAATCTTGGCCTTGACACCAACAACTAAAGCACAAATTGGTGAGTGAACACTATATGCTAATTCAAGAATAGTAGAATGATTACCATCTGCCCATTGTTTAATTAGATCTTGAGCGGAGAAAAACTCGCCAATCGCAACAGCCATCTTCTGAAAGTAGTTTTGGGGCTGCTCAATGATAGCCCCAAATACTTTACCCAAATCTTCGATGCTCAGATATGATAGATTCGAGGTACCACCGTCAGGGTACCACGCGACATACTCATCGCCGACCTAGTCATTAGACTCAGTTTTGGCCAAGCAAGACAAATAGCCTTTGTTGCGCGCATAAGTGTCATGATTAAAGGAAGAGTGGTAGCGCACCTTTCTTGGGCCGCCAAGCATTGGATAAAACTTTTGGTCGAAAGTGAGATAGTTCTCATAGTATATGGGTGAGAATACGAGGGTTGTCTTTGCCCACAGATCTGGCTTGGCTCGGATGTAATGATTCAACACTGCTTTAGTGTCTAGGGAATAACCGTTTAACGAAGTGATACTCGAATACGGCTACAACCATGATAAAAGGTGACGACATACTGAAGTGATACATGTTTCTCCATTTCATGTCTGAGAGAGGCGCGAAGTCCAGCAAAGTTCCAAAGACGAAGTGTCTTAAACTTTTCGAACGAGCAGCAACCTCGATGGCTGTCATTCCATCCGTGATTTCGGTATTAAGGTTGGGCGAGATGGCACTGTTTTGAGTATTCCAATAGTCCGTAACCAAAAAGACTACCTCTGCGTCTGCGAATGCTTCTACCAGACTCTGCCTGTCCGAAAAGCTTGCTTGAACAAGGGATACATTGGGACCTAGTGACAGGAGTGCCCGTGCATTGGGCTTATCTGGGGACCTCGTAAGGGCGCGGATTCTAGCGTCGGGATAGGATTTGGCAAGGTGCCGTACGATGGCCCCTCCCTAGCTCAATATTAGTCGATTGTTGACCGACGGGCAGAAGTAGTAGAATTCAAGGACCTGCTGGCCTGTTGCTCCAATAATGGCGAACGTTTTGTATTGCATGGCTTATGATGAACGTGGTTTATAATGATTGCAAGAGAGGAATTGCATGTAAGCAGAAAGGGCAAATCATACCCAAGGCGACGAAGTTTCATACCGCGGAAGATGGTGTCTTATAGCTAGGAAATCCCACTGATGCAATTGTAATATTCCACTAGTCATTTGAGTTTACGATTAATTAGAGAGGAAGAAAAAATGATTCCATGATTTGGGTGAGTTCACAACTGTGGCGTGCAAGTTATTTGAAGGCGCTAGCACTCGACGCCAACGCGGGCGCTTGACAAATTATCCCGAAGCAAGAAGCCAATCGCCAGCATTATTAAAACACCAGACGAAAGAGGATTGGGTCATATTTATGATTTAGTCTTTTTCATGATAAATCGCTCGATATATTAAGGTAAGGAAACATATTATTAAGAAAGAACAAATATTCGGTCACTAATTTGAGTTTAAATGGTTCCTATGCAAGATTCACAAAGATACTCGAATGGTTTGACAAGGCAACTCTAAGTCAGAGAGAATTCCACATCAATCTATATAGATCTTTTGTTTTGTTCAAGCCATCTGTCAGTCTGCCGCTACCCATCATATATTGCATGTGTATCAACATTACAAACCATGTAATTGCCAATCTGTCCTCCAATCTTTTCCAACAAGTGACGAGTCTGACAAAGCAACGTTCATCTACAAGCAAAGTGTTCTCACCACTTATTCGTTTTATGGAAGAAGCCACTGGTCCGCTTGGCTTGGAACTTGAGATTCCGGAAAGCTAGATTACGACTCCGAGAGGGGAAGAAATTAATCGGACTGAATCCGATGAATTGCGCAGGTGCACTTACATATGATGCTATTCAACTCCGTGGACACACTTGAAAACAAACCAATGCGCAAACCAGACAATGATGTTGCTGGCTACGTGCATACAATCGGCAACGCTACTTTTTTTCTGCTTAAAGATCGGAAATGGCATTGTGTAATGGCATCTGGGTAGGATCTAAGGTCCACGATCCCAAGCCAGGCGGTCATGTCCAACGTACTAATCATGGAAGCGAAAACTCTCTTGGTCCAAGGTTCACCACTTACACTTTACCAGACATGGGGTCTCCTGATAAAAGGTATCTCCTTAGACCGCGGTGTTATCCAATCAAATGCTAACGTTGATCAACATTTCCAAGAGGCTGTCACATTCAGACTAAGCTACCAGCTTGATTTACTAAGAACAAAGGACTTTAGGGACCAGTCAACGAGATTACTTCTCCACGAATTGCGCTAAGCATCATGTTTGAAGTAATAATAATGTGAATTTAAAACCAGGCGACGGATTAGAGTATATATAGAGTTAGTCGTGTGTTGTAACGGTATTGCTTTTCAGCTGTCTTGCAGACGCAACTCGCTTGAAACGTAAAAGTAGGCTGATTGCAATTCTGTTGACATCCACCTCAAAGTCACCAAATAGAGATATGTAATTGTAAAGAACTAACGTATCTGCAGTCTCTGTATCTATTCCACTGTGGATTCCGTGGAAGGCGGGAATCTTAGTAAAATGTCCGATTAATTTCTCAACCACCGCGGCGATAACAGCATTCAAGCTCTATTAATCTTATAAGCACGCTAATAGCCACGGACAAGATTTATAAATATCCGAGCCTCCATATAGACTAAAAGCAAATAATCTATAACAATTTATAAGCTTTTGAAGAACAGACCATCATAAGTACATTATTTTGCAACGTTTGTTGCTTCATGTGTCCGCAGTAGTAAGCAGGCCATCTCTAGAACTGAGTCAAGTAAGAAAGGGGACGCCTAGTTTCTTTTCCAATCGGTTCTGCATATGGCATCTGACGATCTGTATGCTTTGAAATCTGTCACTATAACTAAGCAATGCGTAATTAGACAGGGGAGGCGGGTTTGTGGATTCTGCTAAATCTCGACTATATCATCAGATTCAGCCGCGCCATTCTACGATAGAAGACAGTTCTTCAAAGCTTGACGCACATAACCATTGTCCCCTATTGTTCCATATCTTTTTGAGAAAAGGAAAGAAAAAAGGAAACAGAAAGAAAAATACATACGCTTCAGCACGTCGCTCAAGACAATTGAGGCCAATGAATCCACCCAACGAAGCGACCTCAGTCATTCCAAATGGCAACTCATCTGATGACACGGAAAAACAACAGACGTCTCGAAATGAGAAAATACTCGACAATTCGACGCCATCTTTGCAGCAATCCATCTCGTCCTGGAAATGGTATTCCATTTGCGTTGGGCTGTATCTTACCGCTCTTCTCTATGGTATGGCGATGGCGCAGACAAAAGAGACTCCCAGATTTTCAGCGAGCTAAAAAATGTTCACAGGCTTAGATACCTCTATAGCAGCAGATGTCCAAGGGCCCATCTTGGAGACTCTAGGAGAGATCGAGAAGCTGTCATGGGTGGGCATCGGCTTCCCTATGGGCTCTGTTGCCACCATTCTCTTGCTCGGCTCCCTATATGGCGCTTTTGATATCAAATGGCTCTATCTCGCGAGCATAATCCTATTTGAAATCGGAAGCGCTGTATGCGGAGCTGCACCTTCAATGAACGCCATGATTGTCGGCAGAGTTGTGGCGGGAGTTGGAGGAGCCGGAATGTATCTTGGGTGAGACGCGAACCCTAGCATGTAACATGTAAACTACAGAATCACAAGGGTTTCGTACTGACCAACCGTGTCTAGCTGCCTCCACTACATAGCCGTCTTTACTACCCTTGAACAGCGTGGCCTGTACAATGCCCTCGTTGGGCTATGCTGGGGAGCTGGCTGCATTCTTGGCCCTGTTGTTGGCGGGGCATTCGCCAGCAGCGCTGCCACTTGGAGATGGTCGTTCTATATCAATTTGGTCCTGGCCGCTGTTACCGCACCAATCTACGTGCTCTGGTTCCCTCGGTACAATCCTCAACCTACAATCTCAGCAAAATCGAAGCTCGCGGCTGTTGACTGGGTTGGGGCCGCGTTGAATGCGTCTACCTTTACGCTCTTTATGGTTGTTTTGGCGTATGCTGGTACCACCTGGAAATGGAGTTCTGGTGGGTCAATTGGCCTTTGGGTTGCCTTTGGTGTTTCTCTCGTCAGCTACGCATTCCAGCAGACGTTTTGCATCTTCACCTCTGAGAAGAACCGACTGTTCCCCGTCCAGTTTCTCAAATGACGCACAATGCTTCTCCTCTACTTTACGACTGCAAGTGCCTCTACGAGTCTCTTTGTGGCGGTCTACTACGTGCCCCTGTTCTTCCAATTCACTAAAAACGACACGGCAATTATGGCTGCTGTACGCTTACTGCCTTTTATTACTCTCAACGTTAGTTTCACCATGTTCTCGGGTATTTTGCTGCCGGTCTTCGGCTATTACATGCCATGGTATATACCATCAGGAGCACTTATGTTGATTGGCGGCGCGCTCATGTATACGGTAACCCCCAACACAAGCGTTGGTGCAATATATGGGTTTGAGATTCTCATAGCCGTTGGTGCTGGTCTTTCATCACAGCTTGCCTATGCAATTGCACCTGCCAAGGTGAAGGCACATGAGGTTTCTGCAGCCATTGGATTCATCAATGTGGCTCAATTGGGTTCAATTTCCATTGCGTTGGCAATCTCAGGTTCTATCTATCAAAACCTTGGACTGAAGCTTCTTCAGGACGTTTTACAAGAGTTTGACTACAGTCAAGCAGATCTTCAATCCGCGCTTGCTGGTGTCAAATCTGCTGTTTTTTCACACAGCAATCCTGTCATAAAAGAGCTTGCTATTACAGCACTCGTCCGAACAATTAGTTCGCTCTATGGCCTTGTTATTGCAGCAGCAGCTTTGACTTTAATCAGTGCCGTGTTTATGAGGTACGAGAAATTGCAGTTAAAGGTTTCCGCGGGTTAGCCAAAAAGACTAGTGTAGTATAGAACTAATCTTAGGACTCAGTTAAATTTTATATTCATAGATTTCATGTCGGAAGCTTTACTTGGTCTGGCTTCCAAGGCCTCTTATATTAACCACCCTGTACTTCTCATGTATATGGATGAAAGGGCGTCAGTAGAGCAAGTCTCGGTGGAAACTGTGCTTTAACAAAGGGGTGCCCTGGTTGGCCATCCGTCTACTAGGATACCCCTCAGTTGATGTATACACAGGCCTTACTGTTGGTTCAGTGCCTTTTAGAGTCAGTTATAACAGTTCAACGAACATTATTCACGGTTTTTCAGGCAAAATTCTCTGAAGCATTTGAGTAATCTCATCAAGCACGCCATCTATAGATCAAGTCTACTGATAAGTGGTATATCCAGTATCCTCTATTCTCTTTTGCGCTTTCTAGGCTCAGCGTATTCAAGAAGTACTCTGCATGTTACAGTTATTCGTCAGGATTACCTTGTTTATCCCAAATTTGCGACCAATCACTTCGTAGATTGCAATGTTTCCCAGATTCCGGATACCCAGCCACCCGGCGCCATTCCCTCCATTGTGATAACCTTTTTGCTAAACAGCCATTTTCCATCATCCTGTCTTTTCACGTAGCTGTCCCATCTCCCCCAGTGATCAGGCGCTTTGACATGAGTACTGGCAATTACATGGGCTTGACAACGAGCCTCATTTGGTGCAACAAACTGAATATCGACTGTCGTAACGTGATGCGTCAGCTGCTCTGGCAGGTGGCTAATAACCTCTCTGATTTCACTCGGAGGTCTCTCTGAGCCGTCCGAGAACTGTATCTTTGCTCTGGGTTCAAACAACGCAGCCAGCTCTAGAGGTTGAACGTTTTCATGGGATAAAGCTGCATATCGGTAGACGAGTGCGAAAATAGCCATACGAGCGGCTCCTTCTTCTTCTAAGTTTGCAAATACGGCCGAGCCGATTGGCAAATGCTTCTGAGGCATTGCTTGATGTGTCAATTTCGACTTCAGCAAAACGAGAGTTGAAAAAGCACAAGTGGCAGTGCTACTGGTATATTTATTTGTTTGTTGGTAAATTTGTTTCCCCTTCGTATCAGCGAAGTGAAGACACTTTATTTGGTATTTGTAATAGGGTTATAAATAACTATACCCCAATGTGTTCCCTGTTTGCATAGACAAATGAAGACTGGATCAGGGGTCGATAGGATGCATACCACGCAGCTTGTGGGGCACCAAGATGGTCTTAACAGTATTGCCGCTCGCAAAAGGACTTAAGGCGGACTTAAGAACTCTGGGTTCCTTCACATTGTACTGCATCAATGTACGAGGGTCAATGGACTTCATCATAGACACCGATAGATGAGCCCGCAAGCCAACAGGTAAAGCAGGCAACGACGGCCAGTTATGGTGGGTAGTAAAATCATCATGTTTATAGAGACTATGATCCAGGCCTCCGCGAACGCTCGACCACGTATATTTGATCATATATGACCATCTATGCGCCTACATCCACTATCAATCATGCCTACTGCAAAGAGCACTAAGTTCTTTTGGACTTCGGGCTCTCTTTCTGACAGAAGAATCGGATACACCAAGGCAGAGCGCGTTCTTGAAGCTGGCGCCTCGATCGTCAGAGCCTTGTTCTGGCCCAAAACTTCTTTCGTCAGCCCTACAAAGTTTGAGTAACACTTCCCCTGAGGCTGCTGCAGACGAAAGGGTTCACAAGGATTCTTATGGTGTGTCTAAAGTAGAGTGTATCAAAAACAACCCGATAACAGCCTTGGATTCGCAATGCAAGGCAGAACTATGTTGTGCTGTCGGTGCTAAGACCTTCCATTTCTCTTTATGTACTCTAATCAAATTCGAAATAACAACAATTGTTACTCAATACTTTAGGAATTTAGAACGGAGCAGAGCTAGCTAGTCCAAGCTTAACAGTTAATTCCGATTTAGGCGCTTCGGCTGGACAGTGTTAGATCTCTAACACATACATGCGAGCAGTTACGAAGAAATATAACGCTATAGACAATTGTATTCACAAGGCATGGGATAGATAATAGCCAATCTCAGTTTCCTGCAAGACGTGTCTGTGGCTAAGTTTGATGACTAAATATCTGCAAAGGAAATGGCGAAGTAGTGAGGCTTGTTCAACAGGAGAGCGGCTGACTGTGGACGGTAGTCTGTGTTCAAGATTCAGTCCATTACGATTATATCGTACATGAACCTTTAGCATCTCCTACCTCCTCTTCATTTGTCAGCCCGTCACTGCTTTTTATTCTTCCAAGGGGCTGGTGCGAAATCAGGTTTGGTCTCATAAAACCAGTTGACCAGCTAACCGCATAAAAGTAGTTTGCCTGCCAAGATGCACCCCAGTATCGTTCGCAAATGACTAAAGATGCCTTATGTGGTATATCTGAGCAAAACTGTATGTAATCATCTCATCAACCTGACATTCTCTACAAAGAGCACACAGGCTGATGACTTTCTGCTGCTGACTGGATATACCCCGCAACCCCGCCTTCTTATCTCCCGGCCTGGTTTTTGGTTACGAGGATGAGGCTGACGCTAGATTTCATTGCACCCAATCAGCGACAACCATATCACGCCCTACAAATGACTAACGGCGTCAATTAGTCACCCTCCTCAGGTCAAGGATGCGCTTTCATACTCCAACGAGCCGTCTGCTTCATAGAATCACCACGCCCTAAAGTAGATATCCCGGGCTAATATTTCACGTAGCCCAGTACTACGCTGCCTGTTATATCTCTCAATCCATTGTGCTAATGATAGGTATCATGGGCTATGACGATTTCATCAATTTCTCCTCCAATATCGATAACACCAGCGTCCTGTTTCCCTGTGGATACTGCGCTCAGCAACATCTTCATTGTGAAGTGGCTCAGGAGGCCACATTCCTCGGTGCTTGTACATCATGTATAGCCGAGGGGAGAGACTGTGATTTTACGACCGACACCAGCGTGCCCGAGGCTCGGCGAGAACCCTCCGTTGCACCTCAACTCTCGGCTGACGACCACGCGAATACTTCGAAGCAGTCGAAAGCGCGTTCTCACAATGGCTCAGAGTCTGGCGCCGAAGCTCATGAATCACTGGAGGAGCACTCACCTAAACATGCCGGAAACAATTCCAAGGCCGGCGCCAGATTTTCGCGAGAGGCACTTCGCATTCTCAGGAACTGGCTACTCTCCAACCATCGTCACCCCTACCTAAGCAACGAAGAGAAGGATAACCTGGCCTGTCAAACAGGCTTGAGCAAAACGCAAATTAGCAACTGGGTGGCAAACGCCCGACGAAGAGGCAAAGTTCGAACGCCGAGGTCTGGCTCGTCAAGCCCATACCGACACCCCAATGGCATTGATATCCCACGAAGCGTGACTCCCGCTGTGAGAGAGATGAACCCTTTGGAACGATGGCAGCATTCTCCGCCTGACCAAGAACCTGCTTCCATAACTGACATTGCTACCGCAGCCCTGTCTTCAGAGTTCATGGGCAGACTCGGTCCCTCGCCTAACAGCTCCAACGATGTAGATGACCGGTTAGCGGGCTCTGCCGATCAACTCTCGTCTGCCAGCAGTTCGAAAACATCAAATTCCAGCAAGGGTTCTTTTGCCTCAGCTTACTCCCACGCGTCTCGTGGATCTATAGAATCCCTAACCTCGCTAAGAAGTCGAGGAAGGCGCCGTCGACGCCGCCAAATCCCCAAAGCTGTTGATGTTTCGACTATAATACCGCCTATTCACATGTATCAGTGCACATTCTGTACCGAAACCTTCAAGACAAAGCATGACTGGCAAAGGCATGAAAAGTCACTACATCTGTCTCTCGAACGATGGATCTGTACGCCAGACGGGCCAATACAGTTTGACGCCGAAAGAAATTGTTTAGCATGCGTGTACTGCGGATCCAAGAACCCGTCGTTGGAACATACCGAGCAACACAACGATTTTGTCTGTACTGAAAAGTCATTGGAAGGAAAGACTTTCTATAGGAAAGATCATCTGCGCCAGCATTTGAACATTGTTCACGCTGCCAAATTCCAGAAATGGCCCATGAATAGTTGGAAAGCATCCACGCCAAAAATTCGGTCCAGGTGCGGCTTCTGCGGTATTTTGATGGACTCTTGGGATTCACGCGTGGAACATCTGGCACAGCATTTCAAGAGTGGCAAATCAATGGCACACTGGAAAGGAGATTGGGGTTTTGGTGACGACATACTCACCGTTGTTGAGAATGGAATGCCACCATGTAAGCTTTTTCTGGGAAATCTTCAATCAATCTATTACTTACTCATATGCTAGATCTTATTCATCACGAACGGAATACCCTTAATCCTTATGAAGCCTCCAAAGACGAGATTGGTTCCAGCAAGACGCTAGAAGATTATGTCAAGTTATGGCTCGTTGAGTACATCAGGGATCTAGCCTCAGCCGGGAAATCGCCCACCGACGATCAACTACTTATTGAGGCACAGAGGATTGTACGGAAAGCCGACACGGAAGACACATCACTTACAGGGCCTGATGTCTCGTGGTTCCGCGATCTGATTATGCTTTGCGAGCCTTCGGACGACATTACGCAAAGCTTAGTCAACCAGGGAAGCCGAAAATTGGCTAACAAGCTTTCCTGGATAACGCAAATCGAAAAGATAAAAGCATCCAAATCTGTTAGCTCTGGCTTGAGCGTTATCGGATGTGAAAAGGAAAAGGTGTTGATGAATTACGTGAAATTCAAGCAGGCATTGGGCGAGATTCCCACCGATTCCGAACTGCAGGCACAGGCATGCAAGGCCATAGAGGACGTCGAGCCCAAGTCGAATTTTAAGAGTCGAGAGGCTGTTCAGTGGTTCAAATTCCTCATCAACTCGTCGACAAACTGGCTGTCAGAGTTTAAGCGCCGAGCGGGCTTATCCCTACCTCTCGTACCGGGACAACTCGGTGAAAAGGAACGATTGGCTAATGGCGGCATCATAACATACGATCCATTCGAGGTACAAGAAATTCCAGTTCATGATATCCTACTGCAACAGTCGGGCGAAGAGATGCTCGACCAAGATATGCAACAAGATCCGCTTATTGGATCAAATGAGCTGCATTATTTGAAAGCCTACGAGGGCCGCAACAACTTGGAAACCGATGCTCTATTACCGACACTAGGAGCCAGAGAACAAGCATTCGCACATCAAAGTAGCGATTCGGGGACCAATGCAGCCATTTCTCCCCAGGCGCTACACTGGGGTTACTCGGACAAAGCCGTTGACGGCACCTTACCGATAAATACAAACGACGACATCTCGGCTGCTAACGTACAGATGCCCCAACATGGCAATTCTCCAAGTCAGCCACCGCGATACTTTCTAAGTGATGTCAACTGTTATGGAAGGCTGGAAAAAGAGCTCACCCGATTCGTAGCGAGCTGCTTAAGTCCAAACAATCCACTTCAGCATGTATGTTTCTATCCCATGGCTAGCAGCCTTGTGGTGCTAGAGAATGAAGCTTGTACTGATTTTAACTAGATTCCCTCTGACGAAGAGCTCCAACACCAAGCTCGCTGGATTATATATGACGATGACGATCCGTGGAACCAGACTGCCGCTGATAATGTCGAGTGGCTTGCTCGCTTCAAACACGACGCTGGTCTCACCCCCTCTGGAGAGTTTGGACTATCACCAGTATCGCCTCCTCGGCCATGGACGGTACAAGATGGCGGAACAGGGTTTCATCCGCCTTTTGTGAAGCCAAAAGCGGGCAAACACATAGAATTCTCCGAAGATACATTCGTTTACGTTGACAATCGCCCCTACACCGTTAGCAAAGATACCGCGGGGCGCTATATGCATGCTCTCTGCGAAGGAGAATTCCGGTTCCCTGCCTCAGTGTTCTGCTCCCGCGAGCTCGAGGACGGATTGAACGCCTATATCGAAGAGTGCATTATGAGTCTCACCATCCCCACCGATGATGATTTACGTGCCAAGGCACGCGAAATTCTTGGCGTAGATCGCACCGCAGCCGACGATCCCAAGTTGCTTCAGACCTTCAAGTCAATGCATACGCTATGGCGCAAGCAGACGACCGGCGAAAGTAATTATTTGCCACCAGATGTTCACCTCGACAATGGTGCCACTGAATTCATGAATGGCGTGGATATGCTGATACTTGACACTTAAGAAATGAGGTCTATTGACCCTGTTGCTGAAGTTTCACACACGCTAGGCGCCTAGTGAGCCTAAGATATCTTTTGACATCCTTGTTGCCGGAAATGGTATATCTTGTTATTTGAGTTTCAATAGTCTAATTTTACTACTCCTGCTTGCCGTATTGAAGGCAAGATCCGTCAATTTTGACTTTGGTTGGCCTCAATACTTGGTGCTTTTTATCGAGAAGAGACAATAAATAACACTTTAATTAATGTAACTTGGCCAAGTTCCCTTCATGATCTGCCAGTCTATGGTGTAGAAACTATTACATCGTCAGGATTTGGCGGGGCCAGATAATCTTCGGGTATTTGATCAAGAGGTGGCGCCTAAAAGAAAGTCAGTGAACTAATATCTACTCTCATAATTTCTTCTTACTTGAAGATGCTTTGCCCATTTACGTATATCTTCGTAATTCTTGCAGGTATGTTTTGTGCGAAAGTCTGGGAATGCCGTTGGCTCCTTCGGGTTGATCCACACCTGACCCAAGACGCCCGTATCTACATTGCAAATTAAAACTTGGCGAACAGTGTCAAGGCAGTGTGCTTCGCAATAATTAGAGCCATTATCATGGATATAGTATATACTGCACTGGCGAACTTACTAATGTGCCGACGTAGGATATCCTCTTCGTTTAGAAATGCATGCTCTCCCAACTCTTTATATCGATCGTAGTTAAAATAGAGCGCTTTGCGAACTAAATTCTGATATACGGTTAGCATTACATTTGGAAAGCTGCAAGTGAATGGCTCAGGCATTGATCGTTACCAAGCAGTGCAAATGATGCATTCCCTCGACGTTGACCAGAAAACCTCCGCCATACTTTTTCGCGCGCTGGACAAAAGATGCTTCCAGCCCACTAGCTAGGCCATCCTCGTATGAGATAACACCAGCTCGATCTATAGACGGTTAGGTATAACATTTGAGCTTCAATGATATCTGGATACTCACAATTGACACCGAGATCTTCCCATGCTTTGTCAACTTCTGGTGATCCCACTTGTCGATATATATTCTCATTCATGAAAGACCCATTAAACTCTTTGCCGTCGTATTGAATCGCTACATCACGAACTAGAGGTGCTATAAATTTTGTTGTTAGAATATCGTAAATGTGTGCTTGCGAATGTCTTACACCATTGGTTTGTATGTTTTGCGCATACGCCATCAAGAGTCGGTTGTCGCCTGGACACACATGTTCCAGCCCAAAAAGAGAGCCCACAGGCGACCGCCAATACCAAAAATACGCAAAAAGATTTTTTAAGAAGCTTGCAAAAATCGGATTTCTTATTTAGCACCCCGCTGGTCGAGTGTTGAGGCAGGCTATCCTCCTCGTCAGACTCGTCCGAGATGCTAGAAAGTAGCCGACGTAGATGCTGTCTCTTGTCCATTGTGTCAAGATACTCTCAGATTCAGATATCCAAAAAGAAGCTGATGTTGGGAAGTAATTGTAAAGTCGAATTGTTGGAAAGGAATAAGCAATTGGCAAATACGCCACTAAATGACAAGATCATTCACTCAAACCTAAACTCTATTTTTCAGCTTCTCTTTTAGAAGCTTTAGCTTTTCATTATCAAGACCAATAAAATCCTGTTGCAAGGTTGTTTCAATGCCAGATCCTTGTCTCATTAGTATTAATGTGATCAAGTCAACGATTGTCGCAAGCAACGAGCGACGATGGTTATAATACCGGCTCTTCCGCCGACTTTTGAGGCGTCTCGTATGCGGAGGATCCCTCTCTAGTAAGCATCTAGCTAATCCACATTCCAAGCATAGACAACAACGGTAACATCCTATGACGACATAAATAGTCATAAAGTTGTATTGTCTGTCAAAATCTCCAGATTGGCATTGCTATTCATGTTGCTTCCTCGGCAATTTCCTTCACGCGTGCGGTGTACTATGAAGCAATTCGTTTGGGCCGACCCATTCGTATAGCTAGCTTCCAATTATACATTCCTCGAGTGGCAGACACATCGGAGCTGTGGCGCTCTTCCAATAGTCTAGTTATTATCTCGCATCCACGAATGACTTCAGTAAAGTTTGACTTGCCTCATCAAGACATATCGACAGGGCGTCATATATGAATAGCTTCAATTAAACTTTAAAATAAAGACCAAGAGGTCATTCAGCTAACATCGTGTGACTAGTTTGATCCAATTTGAAGATCATCAATGCCGCTTATTTTATGTTTAAAAGTGAGCCGCTTCCGCCGTCTAAGAGAGAGCATCTGAAGATCGACATTAAAACCCACATGCACATTCAACCGCATCTACTCAGCGTCAAGCCTTATCAATCTAATTATCACCAAGAACTTCAACATGAAATTTTTTTGGGTCACTCTGCTTGCTACATTCTCCTCAACTCTGGCTAGCCCCATCGCCGAAGCCGCTCCCGACCCTGCGCCAGAAGCTGATCCAGGATATGGCAATTATGGTGGCTACGGTAACTATCCGCCGCCAAAGGGAGGATATGGAGACTACAAAAACTACCCGGCACCAAAGGGAGGATATGGCAATTATGGCAAATATCCATAAAAGAGTGGTGTGATGATAATAAGCTATAAGAAATAGCTCGGTTCAGAAACGATGGATTCTCTAGGTCTCTGCCCACTCCACCGACAAATATTTAAACCAAATTGAATCAAATGGATTGCTAAGGCTCATTTGGAGCTGAAAACTGCATTGTGAGGATGCCTCAAACCGTATTCCGCACTTAATACAGTGCAATACTCATATACCAACGACTTATCCGTTGACTCCATTAAACTCGCCGAAAACTTCCCCAAGGTGAGCTAAGAGTTATCCACCAAATGAGATACACGATATATCGTTGTAACAATTTGTATGTCGTGGTGCATGTGTCAGTTCAATGGATTTAGGCTGCTAAAATCTTGAAATCTGTTCTTTGCTGGCTGTGCACCTTTCCCAGGGTCTTGTAGCTATTACAAGCTGGTCTCTTGTAACAGGTCAAATCGCTTATAAGTAGACAGCCCTGTTACAACCATTTCTACAATAGCGATTACTGGCCTAATGGCCTAATCCTTTGTCTTGTTTGGCTTAACAGCACAACGGATCGTTGCACTAGCGCTTGCTTAGCTACAGCAGTCGTACCCATACGAAGTATACATGTCCACCCTTTATCTATAGCACTCTTCCCTCGGGCTCTTTCATCATGTCCAGACTGTACTTATTTCAGGTGTACTCTTGGACACTCGATGCTACACTCGATGCTACCAAACAATGCTACAGATCTACTACGAGACCTTCTGCCAAATGTCGCTAAAACGGCGTCACTGACCGCTACCAACACGCGCGAACAAACCATGGGCCATCTCCATGGACATCACTTATAAACGTTTGGACACAGACACAATCACCAGATGGTGTTAGCTGCTTTTCAACCCCACCCTAGATCACGAAATGGCAAACAAGAAGTCATAGGTTCTCTCAGTCTGACTTATTATGCAAACAAGGACATAAGGAATTAGCAGGATGGGCGACTGAGCATGTGATCTCAGAAAAGGATCAGACGTTTACTTGGACTTCTACCTTCGTGTGCCTGTATGGGGATACACCGGGCATTCATCTGTGTAGCTGCTTCATTCGCGTGTTTCTAGCAGGTCAATGCTATCACTAGCACTAGTAGATGCATGATGTACTGTCACGCAGCTGACCCCGGCCATCCATCTTGCGCCCCCTCATAAGATTGATACGCAAGGTTGTGGACGGCTGGCGGCTATTGCTTGAAACGTCCACGACATATACGCAGAATGCGATATCATTAGCCATCTAAGGAACTGACCACCAAAATGCGCCAAGACTCTTCGCTCAGGTTATTTGGAAGCTAAGCTTGGCTGAGCATGGCACACCTTGGCGCTGCAGCCAAGACTCCTCCCGGGCATCGCAGCTCTCCGCCATTGTTGTTTTGCTCCTCCGCGTTGTGGGCTGGTTCTCAGTTTCTGGACCAGGGATAGTAATCAGGAATATCACTCCGAAGCTCTTATACTACGCTGCACTTTGCCTCGCACTACGGTATCCGGAGTACCTATGCTTTGGCGCCTGTGTAAGAGACAACCTCTATAATTCAGCCATAAAGAAGATGCCACTGTTGAGTATTTACAAAGTAGGAAGCTTTGTCGCTTCTGGAAACAGCATCCCTCGTAGAGCGTGCTTGTGGCTTGCTTTTGTTGTCTTGTATTTACAAAGGTTCCAATTTCATGACCCCTGTGTCTGTAAGTAGCGAGCCAAGAGATCCAAAGGTTCCTTGTTGGTGTGGCGTTGCCTAAGGGCAGGGGCAAACGGGTCGGCCGCTTTTCTGACTTGGGGCTAGCTTATCTATCTTTATTTGCTTTAAGAAACTTACCAGAGCAGAGTTAAAACGGGACCTTGTTTTTAATACTGTGTGACTGTTGTCTCGTGGCCATCTCTGGACCTACCAGGGAGAACATTCATTTAAACGGCGTGGATTAGCAGTACGTAAGATGTTGCAAATGAGCGCGTCTGCAAGCGTATATTTGTCTTGACATCCACTTACCATTCAATAGCCTGTGCCGCCGTACCCTTAAGAGAACACTCCTCGCTAAAACGTAATCATCATGAAGCCCGCATTACGAGACAATAAATCTATACCATGCGGTTCATCGAAACTTATCTTTGCCACTCATATTTTAGTCATTGCATATATTCCATGTTCAGGGCGGCCATACCGTATACAATACAGTCAATGGCCTCAGTCTAGGTAGTGGTGAGAAAGACATGCATCATTGTAACACGACGAATGCCAATCTCCATCCTTAGTAGTTTCTTGATACTGAATAGAGACCGAGTTCCCGCCCCAAATCTCGAACGATTAGAGTAAATATGTCCAGCAGCAGTTCCTTGCATCATGAAGCTTACTACTGCAGCAATAAAAGAAGAGGAAGAAAACAAGTAACAAGGCCAATGGCCCTAGTGGTAGCAGGAGCTACCGCCCCATGCTTCAGAGCAGGCTGGTTTCACAGTGTTTTATTTCCCATACACACTACCTTCCCAGAACCTAATCTAGTCACTTACCGGATGGGGCACAGATACGGGGGCAATTTATTTTGCCGCCGCCTCGAGCAATATCGCGGAGGTGCACAGACTCCACCTTGGATTTCATGATTGAACGATTGGTGCCGTTCTTCGAAGGAACTTATGTTCTTGGGAGGCCATGTGAAGGTAGAGGGCGTCTTTAGCTCGCAAACCGAGTGGTTCCAACTACAGCGCGGAATGAAATACATTACTTCCGATCATCTACAGTCATGATCGGTTGGTCCTTTCACCAAGGTATACGGAGATATCACTTTCTCGGTTAGGCGTGTTGCTTTTTGATGGTGGTTTGCCCGCATTAATGCAAAGTTCCAGCAATCAACGCCCAAAAAGTTCCCATGTACGATACTAAACAGTTTTTGACCACGCAAAAGTGCCTTCCTGAAGGATGATAGTTGGCTCATGTTCGGCCACCGTACACTTTCAACCTACCAGCGCTCGTAGATGACCCTGGCCACGGTGTTTATATATCCTTGGCATGCGTTAGTCCCAAGTGTGACCTTGTTATAGCCTTGCATCAACGATATTAAATACTGTGGCGAGGCCCCGAATTTCCTCTTTGTAGAATGCCTTAAGCGATACACCGAGATTACCTCCTTGACGACGATAAATCTGGCTCTTGGCTCAGCTCTGTGTAACAGAACGGTACCAAGAGGAGCAAGAAAAGGCCGTCACTATGGGTGCGCCTGTTGAGAAGTCCGAATATGGGGGAGACGAAGGTGGCGTCCAGGAGAAGCGAGTGTCTGTGGAGGTCGTTCTCAAGCCTGAGGATGAAGAATCGGAAGATGAGGCTATCACAGACCTGTTTACAAGTTTTCCTATACCTAAGGGAGTCGAGCCTGAGCCAAATCCATTGACTGTTCGAGCGGTCCTCACCGGAATCGTTTTGGGCTCCCTGGTTAATGCTTCCAATGTATATCTGGGTAAGTGAGCAAGGCACTTCATGTCAACCTACATCTCCTGAGCCGTGAAGTTATCTGCTCATAAGAAGACACTGCCTGACAATCAATCCAAATAGGTCTCAAGACCGGATTCACCTTTCCTGCCACCATGTTCGGTGCTATTTTTGGCTATGGTAAGTCATACACGAATAACGTTTGTGCTCTGTGCTCTATCACCACGACCAGAGCACCTCCTATGTGTCGGGCTAATCAGTCCATTCCAGGCTTCATCATCCTCCTAACCAAAGTCCTTCCGGGCGTCCCTGGTATCGGAACTCGCTTCGGCCCTCAAGAGAACTCGATTATTCAAGCCTCTGCAACAGGCGCTGGTGGCATGGCCGGCCTTTTCGTTGCCGGCTTGCCTGCAATGTACCGCCTAAGCCTGTTGTCCGAAAACCCCAAAGACGATTTCGGCCGCATCCTCACCATTACCCTTGTGTGCGCGTTCTTCGGCCTCTTCGCCGCCGTACCTCTTCGAAAGTTCTTCATCATAAACGTTGCGAGAGAATTGAACCTGATATTCCCTACACCTACGGCGACTGCCATTTGCAGTGAGTTCTTGCTTTAAAGCGAAGCACACGGAAACAATGCTGATTCTTCAATAGTTCGATCTATGCATGCCGTTAGCGGAGGCGCCGCCGATGCTGTACGCAAAGTCAAGGCATTGGGATTCACTTTCTTGGGTGCCTTTACCCATATTGTGGTATCTCAATATGCTGACGGCATATTGCACAACTGGCATATATTCACTTGGTTTTACATCTGGAGCGGGTACAAGAACGGGGCCCTCAACATCGAGAACTGGGGTTGGTACATTCAGCTGACACCCGCTTTCTTTGGTTCCGGTATCCTCGTTGGCCTCAATGCTGCCGTCTCATGGTGGCTAGGCACCGTCGTCGCCTGGGGTCTGATTGGACCTCTGCTTGTCCATTACGGTGTATGTGCGGGCAAGCCCATCGGCGAAGGAAAGTGGGAAGGCCTGGTAAACTTCAACAGTATGAGTGGAATCGGCACTCCTGGATGGATTCCCTCGCCTCGATACTGGATGCTATGGCCCGGCGTTATGGTACTAATTGTGTACAGCTTGGTTGAGTTCCTCATCCACATTCGTGTCATTTATGACGGCGTCAAATACGCTCTCCGCACCTTTGCCGGTTCGATCAACGATGCCTTGCAATCTCGAGGCAAGAACAATGCTTTTCTGCAGAAGCAGGCAGCAAAGGCAAATGAAGAATCCACCCTTTTGGAAGATTTTGCGCCTCCAGAGGACCAAGTGCCCATCTGGGTCTGGCTAACCGGCTCCATCACCTTTGTGGTTGTTGCATGCATTGTCTGCGAACTGCAATTCCACATGAATGCAGGCTTGGCTATCCTGGCCTGTATTCTGGGTCTTGTATTCGCATTTCTCAGTATCTATGGAGGCGCCGTCACTGATACCGCGCCGCTTACTGCCTCTTCCAAGGCTTCGCAGCTTGTTTTTGGTGGCATTACAAAGGGACATTACCCGGTTCAGGACGCTCAGCGGATCAATCTTATTGCAGGCAACATTGCTTCGGGCACTGCCGATGTTGCTACCAACTTAGTAAGCGACTTTCGAGTTGGATTCCTCCTCCGAACTCCCCCGAAGCTTCAGTTTTACGCTCAAGCTGCTGGCGCCTTGGTTTCCATCTTTCTCGCCCCTGGTATCTTTGTCCTGTTCATGTCCGCGTATCCCTGCATCCGCGATCAAACAATTGAGCATTGTCCCTTTTCAGCCCCATCGGTTGTTGCCTGGCAGGCAGTCGCCGAGGCTGTAACTCTTCCAAAGCTTCCAATTCCGTTGTCTTCGGGAATCTTTGCCATCGTTTGTGGTGTTGTCTGTGCCATCCAGGCGCTTGTCAAAAACTTTTACCTGGTCGGCCCCAGAGAGAAGTATCGCAGCTACTTGCCGAACTGGATGTCAATTGGCGTTGCATGGGTTTTGGGAATTGATAGTGGATATGCCAAGTTCGTATTGACCTCATAATGACTACTTGAAAAGCCATGCTAACTTATTCTCAGTGCCATCTTGTTTGGCAGTATCACCTCGTGGTGGTGGCGCAAGTATTTCCCCAAAGGCTTCGAGACTTATGCATTCTCCGTTGCTGCCGGTCTCGTTGCAGGAGAGGGCTTGGGAGGTGTTGTTAATGCTGCTTTGACGCTGGGAGGAGTCGATGGCACGAAGAAGGGCAGTATGATTGCGCTGCCTGGGGAGGACTGGTAATCAGTTTGGCCATGGCGGCGATGTGTATATTGCTGTATGTAGTTGAGGCAAAGTGATACCATCAGCTAAGGTCTTTTAATGCTAATGCTACCTATGACTTAACATGGTGACTCGCCGAGCGTACACGTGCTATTGCCATTGCAAGTTTTGTCGGAGCAAGAAGAAAGGGATGTTCAAAGATGGTTCAAACGAGTAGGCCACATGAGGGCAAAGGCATGGTCCAAATCCAAGCACGTCAAGAAAATGAGGCTCATGATGCGGTGTAGCAGTATGAGAAATATCTTTATTGATCATACAGAGCATGGCAAAAGTGGACGCAATGTTTATCCGTATGTTACTAAAGCGATTTCAATTCGGCATATATTGTATTATAATGCCATGCTTTTCAGCCAGATCAAATAATTTGCTAGTAAATAGGAATGGTAGAATGCAGAATATGACTGCAAAGAGGCTGATGCAAGAATATCATTTGCCCTTAAAGACGTGTGAGGGGGGAAGCTCACCGTTAAAGCCAGTGGCAGAATGTTGAATATAGGACTGGAAGCGAAAAAAAAAAACTACGCCTTAGAGGCGGTTAACATTAATCAGGCTGAGAAACTCGTTTCGAGTCTTTTCTCTGCGTTCAAAGCAGCCCAGCATACAGCTTGTGATGGTGGTGCTGCTCGTCTTCTGGACCCCGCGCATAACCATGCATAGGTGGCTCGACTCCATGACTACAGCGACTCCTTGAGGCTGCAAAATGTCGAAAATAGCATTGGCTATTTCTTTAGTAAGGCGCTCCTGAATCTGCAGCCGACGAGAGAACATGTCGGCGATTCGTGGAAGCTTGGATATACCGATAACGGCATTGTTCGGAATGTACCCGATGTGTATCTTGCCTGTAAAGGGCACCAGGTGGTGCTCACAGAGGGAAAAGGCTTCGATGTTTTTTACTATAACCATCTCGTTGTGTCCCTCTTGGAAGACTGCGCCATTGACAATGTCGAATACGTTTTGTTCATAGCCCTGAGTGAAGAACAACATGGCTTTGGCATATCGTTCTGGCGTGGCCAAAAGGCCTTCTCGGTTCGGATCCTCTCCAACACATTCAAGCAGCGTTTTGACGGCTCCTTTCATGCGCTCAAGTCGAGCGGCCTTCTCTTTCTCGCTCTCTTCCAATCGCTGGCGTGTGCCTATGCTCGGCCGGCTGAGGCCGTCGAAGTCGACGACAGGGCTCTCCTGTCGTGATAAGGATGTTGCTTCGGAAGAGGCCTGGACTTGGTCTCCATTGTCTTTTGGTCGGTCCTCGGCGACCTGGCGGCGCTTCCGCTTCTTGCGGTGCTTGAGTATGGGCTCGTCGCGCTGATCACGCCCGGGCTTGCTTATACTTGATCGCCGCACGACGTGGCTGCTGGAGCCGTTTGCGAGCCCTGCGCTTTCGCCGTATCCGCGCTTCTTGCCGGCAGAAGCATCGGCGACTTTGCGCTTCTTTTCGCCGCTCGCGGACGAGGCGGGCGAATCTCGGGCGTCGGTCGGGGACTGAGGAGACATTGGGCCAAGCTGATGGGCTTCGCAGCTCCAATGTCTTGTGATTGATGATGCGGCCTTTCCAGGCCTTCCGGCGACAAATAACTCGGCGAGTGGTGTTGATGGCGCAAATGAAAAATGAAAAATGAAGCGAGCCGGAAAAGTTGGAAGGATGCGTCAGACTAATCCATGTGCAATACCCGCTTGCCGGCCTACCTCAGCTAGCCCAATACATGTGTCAAACTTTGCTTCTAGGAAAGAGTACAAGGGCTTCCTTTCCATGAACTTTGTTCTGCTGCTCTCATTATTAACTTGCTGCCATTACCCTTCTCGTCCTCCTTGTTCCAGTCTCTTTCTTCTTCTTCTCAGTGGTCAACTGCAGTGCAGAATAGACATGCGCATCCTTATGAAATCGGTCTCCATCCATTGCGGCACTGTACGAACCACCCGCTAGGCATGGGCAAAGCAATGGCATTCTCTCTCACTTGTTTGAAGTAAAACAAGATGGCTGTCCCAATCAAAAATTCGAAAATCAACATACTTGACCCTCATATTATATGTTTTACTCATACCGCTCGCCTCGACAGTTCCTCAGGCACTACATGCATGCAACCCTCCAACTCCGTAGCGTCCGCAGCGCTCCGGGTTTTGCCTGGCACATGCGCCTTAAAGTGCTTGCCGCAGTCTAAAGCCCCCACCATAGCAGTTCCAATAACATTTGAGGTGCTCGTTTGCGTGACAAACTGCCCGAGGTGCAGTTGGAAGCATGAGTTCTTGGTGCATGTACACTACTCTAGAATCTCGGCTGGCCATAAACTCAGAGTCGCTCCAAAACCCGAAGCAACAATGAATTGGCATTGTTCTCGGTGAAATGTAAAACGACTAGTTCAATGCGCCCATATTTCATCTTAATCTCTTAGGTACTCTTCAACTAACATCCCCACCTAGATTCCTTCTCTTTAACTCACAAATTTCTTTATTACATCTCGTACACTAATGTATCCTGTGTCCAAGCCACGCTGCCGAATTCTGCTGACCTGCTCCATGAATTATTACGCCGCAAACAAGCCAGCTGTGGCGTTCATTTACAATCGTCTCCAGTAAATGCAGCCTGCGGTCAGGTGACGTTATGCCAAGCTCAAACGCTCATATCGTGTCGTTATACGAGACCAGCTTTTGCCATACGTCACTGGGTGAGCTACACATTTAGCTGCCCGGATAATCCCTTCACGCTTAAAGCGCGCAGAACGGGCTCTATCGATCTAGTACTACCATTTCGTGCTCGCATCAAACTAATTCAAGATGCCGTGGAAAGATCACCTCCATCGTTTCAAACAGGAATTGAACCATCGAGTCGCTGAACCAGGAGCCGCGGCCCAGCCACCGCCTGTGCCGCCTCACCCGCCAGCTATACCACCCCGGCCTCCAGCTGTACATTGGAAACCTCAATTCTATCCCAATGTTCCGATCAATCTTGAGTGGGACGCAAAGCTAGGCAATGGACCAGATGGGTGGGGGAATCAGGAGCTGCAGCATTATACTGCAGAACCCCAAAATGCATTCCAGTAGGTCGGGGCCGCCGGCGGTGATTCAACGGAGAAAAGCGTAGCAAGAGTGTTCTAATTGTGTATTGTGCAGCACGCCTGAAGGCTTGCTTGTCGTCCGAGCTCTTGCAAACAACTCTGCCCCTTCACCAGAGCAGCGATATACCTCAGCTCGTCTGGTCAGCAGACAGACTCTGGCTCGCGACAAGGGTGTTTTAAGCGCCACGATACTCTCCCCTTGCGCCGAGGGTATCTGGCCCGCATTCTGGCTTCTGCCTCGGGAACCTTTCTCTTGGCCCACTGATGGCGAGATTGACATTGCGGAAACGTGGAACGGAGATCACGAAAATCGCTCCTGTCTTCACTGGGGACATCATCACGAACCACAGAAGCACCGAGTTTTAGGTACACGTATTCCTGACATGCACTCTCGTCCCGTGCGGTATGACTTTGCTTGGGAACAGCCCAACGGCGTGCCTGGCCAGGGGAGAATGATCTGGTACATTGATGGAAGGCCTGTGATGAAGTGCCAAGTTCCAAGCGGGACCCGACCACTTCGAGACATGAACATACTATTGAACGTGGCAGTAGGCGGGAATGTCTGTGGTGGTAAAGTACCTCGAGATGGGTACTATGACATGGTCATTTACAACCTCTCTATTGTCAGTGAGCTAGAATATGGAGGCTGGCCCCGGTTTGAGCAAGATTGGCACCACCCTTCTGTACCTGGGGGTAACACTTACTAGATCGAGGTCACTCGCAGTACACGGTCACTTCTCAATCCAACATTAAGCGAGTTCAGGTTGCAAGCAGCGAACTATTTGCGGCAGTATGATATGCTATATCCTTATTTTAATAAACGATATGCATATATGGCTTCATGATTCTTCAGACAATCTGACAATTGAGGTACTAGCGTCTCTCGTGCATGACCAGAGACAATTATTGCTCGACTTGATTTTGATTGGCTTTCAATTTTCTCTAAATACGTTATACAGGTAGTGTTATGTACAATTTCCACCCGCTATCCTGAGAAAGCTTCTAAGTTTGGCTGTTGATACCAGCAATCAAAGTCCCCCAAGATCCACCGAAGCCGTCATTTGAACCATTGCCAAATTCCTTGCCGTCAGGCAGTCTCATTGTCTCTCCGGTCTGAGGTCCACTGGTGAAACCATAGAGGTGGGCACCGGAGATGGAGGTTTGAATGTAGTTCATAAGTCCCTGGGAAACTCCCGTCAAGCTTTGGAAGTTCCAGCTTCCAGCTCCATAGTGGAAGATGTTGCTGTTGCTGCCAGTAAACCACTGAGCAAGGCCCATGCGGCAAGTAGAGTCGCTACCGCCGCACCAAGAGAAGTTGGGATCAGAAGCAGTAGCAGTGAAGGGCTGTCCAGGAAGAACAACGGCGTTGTTACCCTGGTTGTAGTTGGTCTCACTCTGGAAGAGGGTGAGGAAAACATTGGCGGCGTTGTGGTAACCAAGCTGGAAGAGCCAGTTGTGCTCGGATCCAAGACCCGTCAACCAGGTACCGGCCGTAGCCTCAACGAGGACGCCACCCTTGACGGCAGTTCGAGTGCCCTTGCCGCTTCCATCAGAGGCGTGGTCAGCAACCCAAGACCAGAAGTTGTCAATGTAAGCTGAAGACCCAGCAGCCAGGTGAATACCAAGGTAAGCGGCACGGCAGTTTGCTTCACTGCTGCAGCTGAGAGATGTATCACGGGTGCCACCAATGGTGTTGAGAGAGTTGAAGACACCGACATCACCGGGGTTGTTACCGGCCATGTTGATGCGGAGAAGAATAGCGCCGGGCAGAGCCTGGTTGACTGTGAAACGGATATCCTGGACGTGGGCGACACCCTTTTGGCCAGGAGTGCTTCCAATCTGGACAACAGGAGTTGGGTTTTGCTCGTTGGAGAAAGCGCTGCCGGATCCAGAGATGGTGGACCAACCCTCGCCGTACAGCTCAGTTCCAGGAGGCAGAGTGATGGTTGAGGTCACAATGTAGATACCGAATGGCAGGTAAGCAATTTTGCCTGCGCTGGCAGCGGTGTTGATAGCTCCCTGGAGAGCGGCAGTGTCGTCAGTGAAGCCATCTCCCTGAAGAGTGTGTCCACCGTTCTGGGTCGAATCCTTCAGGTTGATGACATCTGAAATGGTTGAGCTGGCGTATTGCGGGGCGTTGATAACAGGGTATTTGCCGCCGGGAGCAAGCGCTGCAGGCCTGTTCACCGCCTGTGAAGTCGGGCTGGTCTGATAGGTCGGGTTTGCTCCGTAGGTGTTTCCGTAGACATAGGTTCCGAGGCTGGTAGAGCCGCCAACCTTGACAGCACCGTTGACGGTAACCATGTTGGAGTTGGTTGTGTCTTTGGAAATGTTTTCGAGCATAAAGTTGGGGAATCCTACAGCGCTGGTGAAGAAGTCACCAGAGTTGATGCTGGTACCGTCAATGACAGCGACCCAAGGCTCTCCGGAGTTGTAAGTGATACAACGGCCGACGGTGTTACAAGTCGGGGCAAAGATGGTGATGGTATTACCGCCATCGATGACGATACCGTTGGTGCAGTCGGTGAATGTCATGCCCTTGATCTGACCCTGCTGAGAGCCTGGAGGAACCGAGTTAGCACAAGATTTCGCCCAACTGTTGGATGCGGAATACTAACCAGCCCAGTGCAATCCAATGTTACCGAAGCTGAACGAGACATCTGAGACGGAGATGGTGGATCCAGATCCGACAGAGAGACCTTTAAACAAGGTTTATGTTAGCCAGAGCTTTAGGTATTTTTATCAGAGAATGTGCGTACCAGTATGAACCCCTGAGGGCATGTTGATCTTGACATTGACCTATAATGCGTGTTAGAAGATCAATTCCCAATAGAGCAAGCATAGCAGTCTGATGTACCAGAGCACAGTTCTGGGCAAGGGCCCAGCTCATGGCAGTAAACCCAGAGTTGCCCGAGTTAGCTGTGGTGTCCAAGATGACATTCTTGACTGGAAGAAACTTGTTAGCACCGTATATACACAACTATCACTTTCCATAAGCTTGCAGCTTAGACTTACTCATGATGGAGAAATGGGTTTCGCCAAAGAAGCCGCCGCAAGGACGGGCACTGCCATCAGCTTGGCCGGCAACAATAAGATAGTCGCCATTGAAGCCAGCAGCCGCCTTAATGGTAGGAGGGTTGGCGGCATCACCGATGATGACTGTGTCTGTGAAAAAGAATGCAGTGCTTGAAAGTGTATAGGTTCCTATGGCAAGAGTTTAGGATGAGTTTCAACAATAGAGTGCCACTTTTAAACTAACCCGGAGGCAGGTAGATGACACGCGGCTCCGCGGCCAAGTAGCAGTTGTCTCTCTGGCCGCCGCTGGGTCCTTGAGATGTCAAGGCATTTACAAAACCTGCCGAGTCTCCAGAGGCCACACTCATGTAGACAGGGTAGGTGAAGTTCTGGGTCCCGCCGTTGAAGAGGTCGGGAGCATAGCCTCTTACAGCTCCCGTCGTGTGGTCGATGTTGGGCAAAAACCACGACGAGGCCCTGCTCTCAAGCTTGTTAGAGACACCCTCAGTTGGCAGAGCCCACGAGAGGGCAGGCAGGGCTGCCAAAGCGCCCAAAAAGGAAAAGGCCTTCATCGTCGAAAATGATCAGCACCCTTCTAAACGTTTAGGTTGACCCGAACGCCAAGTCTGGACAATGTCCTGATCATTCTAGGCACAGATCGGCCTATATATACTCTTTACTCCAGACATCACAATAGGTTAAATTGCAGGACAGTGACAAAGCCGCTTGTGGCCTTAGTCGGACACCGCTGAACGCTGAGCAATACTTACTCCTCCTACCCATTTAGGTAAGTTCTCTAGGTTATGCAGACCGAGGAGCCCTACATATCCACGCCCACGCTATCGGCAGCGGCTTGCCCGCCCAGGGCCTGCTGACGCTCCACGAGCCATTGGCAGATGCCTAAGAAAGTCAACCACAGAGTAGCATCGGGCCGAGAAAGCCATCCGCCTTCCAATTTCAGCTAGGGACCAGAGTAAAACAGACTTGCCGCCATCTGGATCCGGAAAACCTTTGAGTGGTGTGAATGAAACTTCGAAACATATGGAGCGCAATCAGTAATACGGACGTGAGAAAACCAGCACCACATTTCGGGTATCCGGCAAGCTATTGCAGTGAGATTTCTTGCTAATGCTGGGGCTAGTACTTTATATCGGGCAAACAGAAGCTGCTCCACGGGCAACTATCGTGATTTTAGCGAGAAAAAAGAGCGATTGGGAATCATCCATTATATGGTTACAAGTGGTGGGAACACAGCCGCAGTAGTGTCGCATCCCTATCATGGTACTACTGGTGGCATTTGGAAAAGTAGGGACGGTAGCCAAGGTGGACGATAGAGCTTTCATCGTCACATCAATGCCACAATACACGAAATAGAGAATAGTATTGTTTCCGCCTCTCGAGAAACTAAGAAAATACGGCTCCGAGATAAAGGAGCACGAGCACGAGCGGGAGAATCATATAAAGGGGTTAAAGCAGTGGAGTTTCTCCTGCACCCCTCGTTCTAGCTTCCGGAGCTAAAATCAGCCAGGGCAGCGCTGTAATAGTACCTCGGCCATGAAAGGTGGAAGACGATGCCAAGAGTTTGCAATCCATGAGTTGTGCTGGCCAACAGCCAAGAGGAAAAATTTCACATCAAAGAAATTGTTCTGTAGCTTTAGGGGAGCAATTGTGTTTTTGTGAGTTTCTGGAGCTTTCTATGCCATCTAATTTTCCGGCACTAGACATCTGTCGTTTCCATATATAGTATTCCCGTATGCTAGTGTCTAGTGTATGTGCTAACTAGCAAATGAAACGCTGGAGAGAGATTTGAGATCTCACTGCTCCGTCATACTTTACGAGTAGTCTATTCTCGGATGTGTCACGCTCTAATTTATACTTTACTGTTCGCCCTGCAAATGAATCTTTGGTCAACCAATGATAATCTCATCTAAGAATAATCTCATGGTGATTCCGTCTTCTCGGCTCTATCATGGGATCATTAGGATGTCGATGGGTTATTTCCACTTTTCAGAACACGTGAGAATGAAGAGTTTAATGAATAGCTTATCTATGCGTGAGGCCAGAAACAGTTTCTGTATTAAGAATAAACTCAGCTCGCTGCCCCATTCTACTAGGATTGCTGCTGGTCTGTCATCAACCGTTGGCCTGTTGCTTGTCATCCGTAAATAAACACGAGACGAGACAGTCTCGCCACTAACCTGTCGGCGTTTTTTTTTTGTTTTTTCTTTTTTTTGATTACCTATCGACTGGCCCTTTTAGATGAATGATTGATAAGTACCTACTATGCCAGTGCATTTGCTCATTGAGGCTACCCGAGATTCATCTGCTTGCTACATCACTCTACTATTTTACTTGAGATGCGCCAACGCCAAAATTTTTTATTTTTTGGGGGGTTGACATTTGGCCTATACAATATAAAGAATCAATTCGCTGACTTGGAATTTCCCAAACAAAACACAAAGACCAGAGTGCAGTGTTATAATTGTTGTTCAAGGTTCCCATCTTTTCCTCCGAGTATCGACATGGTGTCGCAAAGAACACTGAGTAGTCAAAGCGCTTAAATCAGCTGACGAGTGCCATCACTCAAGGTCTTTAGTATAAGTCAGGAAATACTTGCATGCAAACTCAGTAATTCACTCTTTGAGAACGTGCATGTTTGAGTTGAAACTACGATCGCCATATTATCCGATTGAGCGAGTGCAACGCCATGCAGGAGACAAATAGTTATAAGGATGCAACAACGGGTATCCAGCTTTCCTGTGCCGTAACGTTGTAGTGCTAGTAATACTATTCATAACCCTGCTTTATTCTTTTCTAGCTATGACGCTCTCGTATAGCCCTGCAGGAAGAGTTATTATCGCATGAGTTCAAGTAACTAGGATGGAGCATGGGACATTTAACGAAGTCTGAAATAGGTACTATTTATGCTTAATGCATAGGATTTAGCCTATGTGACATGGGCGAAAGTTGACCATGAAGTATTGTTACCCGCCTTTCGTCGCGTCTACTCTGTACGACTGCGAAACGTCAGCCTTTTCTGTCTTGGAATGCACTTGAACTATAAAGATACACGGTAGAATTAGCTGGTCTCATATGCGCAGAGTTTGGAATGTGCGCATAAGAAACTTGGAATGTCGGTTGCCTGCTCGTTTAACCTTTTACAGCTAAACTCTTCATATTCTTTTCTTCCTAGAAGAATAGTAATCACAGGGAATAGTGTTTACAGGGCTTTAAAAGAGTTGAGTTGAGTTTAGCAAGTATTGAAGCTGATCCAAACCCTGGAAGAGTTGCTGATGAGACAACTTGCTAGGCAGGGTATTACCTACTACTGCTAGTGACCACCTACTTGAGCGATGAGCGACGCACTCAATTCTTCTTTCCGTGTTCTCCTTAGTCAAAGCATGGCATCATCTTCGCACACTCACCTGCCAAATACAGAGGAAGTAATGTTTATATGTAGCTTCCCTTTTAAGACTCGAAGGATGGACTGCCTGTTCAAGCATTTGCAGAAGACGCTGCAGAGATCCGGACTTTGCTTATTGCAAGCGCTTGGACCCGACGGCACATCAGATCGGTCGAGATGTGAGTCCTTGTAAAGATCGTCACTCGGATTACTGCGACTAGCACGTCGGCATATTTGAGGAAACGGGTGCCGCTGTTCCGGCAGCAACGTCTTGGCGACAGTAACGTCTTGGCGACAGTAACGTCTTGGCGACAATCCAGGCACAGCCTGCATGAACAAGACCCTGCAATGTCCAACTGCGACCAGGAGAAGGAATCTAGAATTCAACCTCGCCTCAGTATACTCAGTACATGTAAGCTCTTTGCGCTTCCTGGTGGTGTTAATCAAGCCTAGAGGTAGGTGTTGGTTAGCGGCGTTCTTTCGCTGGCTTTCGGGGAGTGTCGCGCAATTGTAAATCCCCACGGCTTGATCTCTTGGTACCTAGGTACATGTATGCTTCCTCCAAGTCTGTGTTGTCGGGTCTCAATTAGGATAGAAGCTGATATAGCCTTTCATGAAGCCACGCATAGCATCCTCCTTCTCTCAAGAGGCGACGTCAATTTGGTAAATAAATTTTGGAAGACGCAGGATACCGAATACCGAAGGAGAGCAGCCAGATTCAGCTACTGCCTGCTAGAAAAGCTCCCGGAAAATGGACATGTAAGCATCCGTCGGCGACGGGCGACGCATTTAGCTTAGTAATATGTCAAACGGAGTTTTCCGCGATACGAGTTCTTCAGCTCAGCTATGCACGGAGCCAAACGTCGACCTCCAGGCACTACGGAAAAGGCGATCTTCCGTCAGAGATCTTGGGCGTAAGGTATTGTCATCATCACGCGCCTATTGAGAAAGAAGTTCCTGGTTATTAGCTTCTATAACTAATGACTGCAGCTCCAGACATGTCTTCAACTCACCAACTAGCTGGTGGTACTAAGAGGCACTGCTCGACACAGAGATACGCACACGTAATACGAAGAACGCGGCCCCAAATCCGGTCGCTCGAAAGGCTTGATTGATCTCCGTATTCGCTCTTCCTTATCCGTTAATACCTAGAAACACGTCTTTCTAGGCCAACTAGCCGCCGAATCTAAAATTGCTCTTCGACATCATCCCTGGTATCTATTGTAGTCACGACCCTGTCGAGTTAATATCTCTTGAAATATTTACATTGGGCGTAACCACGCGCATAACCGCATCGCTAGTGGAGCAAATTAGAGTGTAGTCTTGGGCCAAGCCAAAGCTCGCTCGCCGCGCACAACATTGTGACAAATTGAGCGCTTCGTAAGCTCATTTCGTAACTCTAGGGTAACTTGGGCTGCCGTAATTAACTTAAACATCAATTCGACGAAAATCCACTTAGCTAAATGGTGTTTCTCAAGATACACATAGAAAAGAATAAGAATAAGAATAAGGTGACGAGCTTTTCTGTTTACAACGAATTCAGTGAAGCTCAAGAGCAGCTTACATTCGATTTCATGTACATACCTAGTTAGTTCACAGCTCTTCTCTCAACCAGCTCAACTATCTTCCAAGCTTGTTCAATACAAAGCCATGATGCTGCAAACTAGGGATAAGCTTCCATTTACTACATCTGTATCAAAGCAGTACCTAAAATCTGTTGCCATTCGTCGTAATGACACTGATTATAATTTACGACCATAATTGAAGCTGAGTCACCATACCGAGACAATGATAGCGCTACATTGTAAGTACATACATGCACTCATAGACATGCTATGGCTGCATTTTATAAGAGGTCAAATACTGCTAAAATCTATGTCTTGAGTGATTGTCTAGACTACAGTTATTTTCTGTTTTGTATGAATGCAAAATCTTTTGGTATAGAGAACTCAATTTGCACTTTCACATTGCTACAAAGCTAGGCTGGCTACGTCATCACAAGAGGCACCGGTCTTTTTTTTTTTTTAACACCGTTAGGTTAAAAAGAGGGGACAGAGAACAGGTCATGGAACCATTATTGCCTACTCTACTAGCACTGTAGTATTACGGAGTACTCCGTAAAATGCTCCAAGACAGGGCGCTGATCGGTGATTACAGAGCTGTTGTCTAAGCTGCTGTAGTGTTGCGTTGTTTACGAGGCGCAGAACCCTACAAATTCTCGAAGAATCTAAGCATGCCTTGCTTTGGGCGTCGACCGACCGATCCGTATTGATCCGTCGAATGCGTCACCCGCCAGCAGCAATAGGCTGTGGCGGCGATCGGGAAGAGCGGAAGTCAGTCGGTAGGCAGTGCGAGCCATTAGATGATATAAAGTGCGGGACACATCGCCTGCGCCACTTGGCGATGGCTTTGGTTGTAAATGAGCATGAAGTTGTCTACTCCGTAAACTCTCGCCAGCTGCTCCTTCGGCTCTGGATCGACATCGATTCTGACTTGATTTTGTTTCCCCGGTTCCTAATCTCTAAGCGACAAAGATGCAGAAAGTGACGTCGAAACTGCCATCTTGGGACACGACCAAGACCACAAGCAAAAAGGGCTTTGACAAGGTCTGGGGCTGGGCGGATAAGCTCGGAGCACCCGTAAATCGACTCTCGAATCGCATTGGCAGCGAAGCGTTTTGGCCAACGACATTAGACAAAGAAAGCGACAAGGCTGCGAGAATCCTGAGATCATTCTGCAGTGCGTATTCTCTTTTCTTTTAATGGTTTTCCCGCATCCTTTTTTTTTTTCGTTGAACTTCGGACAAGCACAAATCGCCCATCACAATGAGCTATGCGAATATGCCGCTTATTCCTTTCCATTTCTGTTTTCTCGTTTCGTGTTTATAAGCAAGATTTTTGTTGCTCTATAATTACAGATCATAGCTTCATATCTGATTCAATCGTTTTGGACATGGCTAACAACGTGTTGTCAAACAGAGGATGGCTTCTACGCAGATGAAGAACCTCAAGTCGACGCTGCCGGACCGAAGAGGAAGCAGCGAGTTATCAAGAAAATTCCTCAAAAAGTAATCGAGAATTGTGTCGGTCTCGCTATATTCACCGTCATGCGTACTGGACTGTGGGTGTCCGGAGCCGGCGGTTCCGGCGTGGTGGTCGCCAAGCAAGAGGACGGATCGTGGTCTCCTCCATCCGGCATTCTGCTCCACACGGCCGGTTTGGGATTTCTTGTTGGAGTGGACATTTACGACTGCGTCCTGGTCATCAACAATCGCAAGGCCCTGGATGCCTTCACCAAAGTCCGAGCCACAGTGGGTGGTGAGATTACAGCAGTCGCCGGACCCGTTGGCATGGGCGGAGTTCTCGAGAACGACGGAAAATGGAAAGAGGCCAACAGACCCAATTTTACCTATCTCAAGTCGCGTGGTTTCTACGCCGGTGTCCAAGTCGATGGTTCGATCATCATTGAGCGTACTGACGAAAATGCGCGCTTTTACGGACAGACGATTGGTGTTACCGACATATTAGCTGGCAAAGTCCGGCATCCACCATACGAGCTTAAAATGCTGATGGAGACATTGAAAGCTGCCGAAGGTCGCTCGGATGTTGATGAAGAGCTCATGGAGGAGCTTGAGGGACAGCCAGCACCGGGCGATGTAAATGTCGAGGCGCCCAGTGACAAGTCGTTCGGCATCCCAGAGCCTGATGACCCGGATCCATATGGCTTTCTGGCCCTGCAACGGGAGGGACTGGATATTGTCGAGGCCGGCACTCGTTCAAGACCGTCTAGCAGCCAGTTTGAATACCACCCAAGCCCGTCAAGCCCGACTTACAGCAAGTTTCACAATAGCAATAGACACAGCATGGAGACTGCAGAAACAAGAAGCAGCCGCGACAGCCACGCATCAACTCCAAACTCAAGGCTCCGATGGAGCAGCGGCGATCCGCATTATGAATCATCAGATGCCGGTACACAAACCGATGAAGTTATAACTCCAATCACGAGCCCAGTTTTTAACACCTTTCAGAATCGGAGTCTTTACGACGAGCCCGGGGAGTTCTACAATAGCCCCTGGAGTGCCAAAGGCCGCAAGAACAGCATCCACCGCGACTGGGGCAGAGATGACAGCCTCACATTCTTCAGTGAAGATGATGAAAAGTCAGAGGCTGCAATCATGTCTCCCTCGAATTTGCGATCGCAATCGATCAGCGCTCCCCCAGTCGAGGCCGTGGTTCCCATCAAGCGCGTCCCGCCCCCGCTGCCACCGAGAAATCTTCCTCGGCCCATCCAACCTGAATTCGAAGAAGTCGATCTCAAGGCAACAGAAGCAGCAGAGCATGAAGAGATATCCTCGGGTCCCCACTCAGAATTCACCAGGGAGACAGAAGGAAGCACGGATTATACGAGCGATGCGGCGTCTATCTCGCCAAGGAAGACGTCGGTTAGCAAAGACAGCGATCGCGTATCTGGCACGCTATTCGACTCCGACTCCCATTCACTTGAAATCAACAGGCGAGATAACGGCGATGTTTACCACCACGCCCTTAGCCCATACAAATCGGATTAAATTAAAAACAAAATGCGACTGCCATATATTGTCTTAAAGGAAGATGCTCTGGAAGGCAGTAATGATTGATTACAAATGACTTTGAGATGATGAAATTGTGTTATATCAATTAACAGTTGGTATTGTATCTAGAAGGATGATAAGCATTACTGGTGTACTCATAAGGCTGATGTATGTCGCCTTTGTCTTATTTACTGGCGTTTTACTAGGGATATTTTCTATAGCTATTCATGATAAATTGGCTTATTTATTATAAGATATCCTCTTCATTTTACAGTATTTTCTTTGCCTTTTAGCTACTAAAGAGAGAAGTAGACAAGTAAATATATGTATTATATAGCTTATTGTAAATACTAAGTGGTGTTATACACAAAAACACTAGCTATTGCGAAGCTCCAGAACAGCTGACAATATTACTTCAGCTGGGACAACCAGCTACCGTTGTGTTTGCTCCCTGTTCGCCCGAGCTGTTCCTAAGTCTTTTCCCCGCAGGTGTTGTTACCACAAAATCAACAATAACAGCTGTCCCGTTAGCAAGAGCGCCCAGCTGCTCATCTGTGCACGTGTCTGCCGCAACGTATGTGTAACACACATTCTCAGGTGAGTCCAAAGGTACGGAGTTTTTAATCGCCCAGCTGCTGAGTGGCCCTTTTGTACTGAAGCAGTCGTTCACATCCTGCGCTCCAGTTGCAATATCCTTTCGAAACATGCTTCTCTCGAATATCTCATAGACCGTCTGTGGTTGGTACGCAGCAACAGCGTGTCCGGCGTCAAAAACACGAGAGAAAGATACATTGCCGTGTTGCCGCACAAGTCCGCCTTTGTATGAGGAATTGGTCTGTATGTCAGTGTAGCCGGCTTGGCGGAAAGATGCGGCCGCGGAATAATCCATACTAAGAGAGATGTTCTCGGCACCAATCCCTATACGTCATTCAGTCCAAGATCCGTAGAGAGCTGGCGCTTCTTCTGGGTTATGGCTTACAGTTGCACTTGTAGTCGCGATCGCCAAACACCAATGCCACACCAACCCCATTATTCAAGACATGTTCAAGGAGAGATATGTCCTGTACCATGGCATTACCGGTCTGGGCAAGGAGCGCCGTCTGATATGAATAGTCATTGCCTGTGAAGTTGACACGGACAGCCAAGTCTTCCTGCACCCAACGTTGGTTGAAGAACCCATTGAAGTAATCTGCCGCATCCGATGCAATGTTGAGGTAAGTGATGTCGAATGAAGATATCTATTTGCGAGATGTGAGCAGTCATCGCCGGTCTGCGGGTCATCCCTTACTCACATTGGATACCTCCATGTAAGGTGCGACCACCTTTTCGAAACAAGCCTCCGTGGCCAATAGACAAGCCTGGTTGACCGTTTCGTTATTGCCATAACCATAAGGGTCGCCTTCATTTGCCAACGTTCTGCATGCGTCTACCGCATCGTAACATCCGGTCTTGGGGGCAACTACCTGCTGCATCACCTCGTTATACACACTCTCGTTATAGACCTGGATTCCGTATGTGTTGTTATACGCCAGATGAGGATAGCCAAAAGCTTCAGCACGCGTATCAATACAGCCGTTGGCAATGCCTAGGATACCCGTTGGAAGAACTGTCGCGTTCTCGTTCTTGTGCTGATTGGCTGCAATGAGCTTGTTTTGTGTAATGAAATGTGACATGAATGCGGTGCTCCAAAATCCTCCGTACTATGTAGCGTGCATATTAGTTTGCGCCATCAGCAATGAATGTGAATTGTAATACAACATACAGATGTGCCCCAGATTGAAATCTCTTTGTTCGTAGTATTGTATTTTGGAAACCTGCAAGGTAATAGTTAGCCTGGCGTTGACTGATGATGGTTATTGTGTCAAGAAATGTCCTACTCCTGGAACCAAATCTGGGCAAATTGCCAGATGGTCCGGGCAGCCTGCGCGGTTGTGTTTTGTGTGGTTTCCAGTGGCCGAGGATCCAATGTCGCAGCCATAAAAGTCGCGTTCGTCTTCAATTGTGAATTGTTCTGAAGCGGTGTAAAAACCGGCGGGCCAGGATTCGCAACGTTCAAAAATCCGTCTTGGATGGTCGCGTACGAAAAGCTGGTTCCTACTGGCTGATCAATGTATAGCATGTTCACATTATTATTCCAGGAGAACGTATTTAGGGTCGTGCTGTTGGAATCGTTGTTTATGTTGCATGGAAACCCAGACATGGAATCCAGGGACGTGTACCCCGGACCACCACCAAGGTATATTGCTGTTGGCGCATTTGCCGCATCATGGCGTGACTCTATTCAGAGAGTTAATGAGTTTGCTTTTAACAACAAGGAAAGGCAGAGTTTTCCCTACCAAAGTACCAGAAGAACAAGTTGACGTCGAAAGAGGCATGCGTATGCTCAACTTGATTCTGAACTGATGCTGGAAGCGAGACGTAGCCGCTCCATGCCTTGACACCTGGGGTGACCTCGCAGATTGACGTCTTTGTAGTCCTGTTGTGTAAGTAGGAGGGTCTGAACAAGGGCACCGGCCAAAGCTTGCTGCTCTGGGCCTTTAGAAGAAATGCTGTACCTGCTTGTAGTCAATGGACGCGCCCGGCCATCGTTGCGATAAAACGTGCTCAAGCCCTGACGGTGAAGGGATGAAAGTCGACTGTGCCAGAGCATGGCCTAAGCCGGATATTCCCACGCTGCTTACGATTTTTGATGGTTTCATGATGTAGGATGCAGAGGAGGGCAAGAAAGAGAGGATAAGAAAATGATAGAAGAGTCAAGGGGATATGGACAGATGCACAGCAGAGAACTTAATTAGAGATATTGGATTCAGGCAGGACTCAGCCCTTCTTATAGGTGAGTTCCAATAAAGAGCTTCATTTCGCCATTGAATGATGCCAAGCACAAGTTGGCGCGATCCTCCTTCCCTTGCCGCACGCTAGGATATACGTCTGAAGACCAAAAGCGGCCATTTTGACAAGTTCTATGCTAGAGCACGATTATGAGCCTCGTCACACCCCGAGCCCCTGATGCCACCAACTACATGATGTTTCAGGCCATGCTTCTTGCACTACTGCGGAATTCAAGTCCCAGCAGCAGTGCTAAGTGGCTTTTGAATGGCGAGCCCGCCAATGAAATCTCAGCGAGGCAAAGATCGGGTTAGCACTGACCACATCTCAAACCCATTCAGACGCTGCCGTAAATAGCATCCAAAATATCAGCCTCGATCCCACACGCGGCAATCTGTAGCAGTTATCCACCAGTGTGGGGCGCCCAGGTTCAGGTGTTGCGTCTATTGGTGACCTCGCCATTCGAGGAATTGGATTGGCCCAGCACCGCCACTTGCGCCATTACCTCTTGAGACAATGATGCGTAAGCCGAGATAGGGGTCCAGTGCAGTGGCGGTATAGACGTGCTGCCTCGCCCAGCCAATTTGTCACTCACTGCGGTTCATTTGGCTCCGGCTAGGTAAAGAGGTGTTGTATATTAGGTATTCATGCGTGCAAGCGTGATGCTCAGCTTTCTGACTGGCCAGTCTCTGGCTCTTCTATTGGCTTGTTCTGCCTTGTATGCTGTATAACTCACATCGTTCCTTCACCAAAACCCACCATCGGCTGGCTCATGTATTTGACTCGCGCGTCGCGATAGGCGCAATATCTTTCATTGATGTTAGTAATTCCTGAGTATAAGTCTTGCAGATGTACGGTCCAGCTTCATCCAAGTGGCCTCATTTCGATATTACAAACACAAGATCCTTGCTCGCTTCGTAGGTTCACTCCAGAGCCTTTATACGTAAACTGGGACAACCCGAGTCAATCAACTACCTTTCTAAGATTTATCAGCTAAAAGCGTTAACAACGAGGAAAATTGATCAGCTATGAACATTTGCGATGAGCTCTAGTCTCAGATGCGCCAACATAACCCCTTTATGGGGGGGACTACTAGTGAGCGGCAACAACATTTGCTTCGACTTTTGAGGTTTGCTGCTGAATGTGTCAGAGGCTTTCAGCGATTGTACGTCCCGAACCTAAACAGCAACTCTCAGCCTTTGCGCCACCAACCTTTGCAGTCCTCATCGCCCATCCTGCATAGCAAACCATTGCTTCGTAATCTGGCGTTTTGCAATTTGCAATGCCCTTGGTGTAGTCAACCATGGTTTTGGCCATCTGTTAACCGTCCTTACGCTTAAAAGCGAACAATGACTTTACGCTGATTTTGCCTTGATCCTGCAAGATGAAGAGTTGCAGACAGGTAACCGTCTTCCTCAAATACCGCCACATCCGTGTCTTGCACCCGGCAATGTTCTGGTATTACATCAACTCGATCCCAGGTTTCCCACGCCTGGAGTCCAAAACCAGGCTTTGTCCAGGCGTTCCAAGAGACTTTCATTGCGCTCTGCAAGTATCTCATCTCCGTTTGTGTTGGTGGCGAAAACTGCTGGTTGTCCCCGACGTCTCCAAAATGTACATGCCGCTGCTCCTCCACTTCGATAATTTTCAGCAACATTCCAGCAGCTGCATCACTTCTCCAGACTCCTTCACGTCTCTTGAGTTTTTCTAGCATCCTCACACACTTTCTTCTCAGCCGAGAGTGTCTACATTTTGATCCAGCCATATATAACACCATGATCAAGCCAGGATCTATAGACACTGATGTTGGATCCGAGGCTGCTCGGCGGCACAGCTCCTCGCTCAGAAGGATGACTCGCTCAAACAAGGCCAGATCCTGGTCAAATCTCGTTTCTGGAATCGGCTCGCGGAGCCGGTGGAGCATGATGTAGAGGAACGTATGGCAGATACGTATTGAAAGTGCATAGATCATATTTTCACACCCAGTTCCAGCTGCCCACGGTCTCGTTTCCCGTGTTTGAATGTGAGGCTGTATTTCGAATCGAGCCATTCCAAGTTCCCAAGCGCGCAAATCCTCACTGAATTTGTATTCTTTGATGAGAAAAGATGCCCATGACTGGTAGTGATTGACCATCAAAACCCTGGTGAGGGCGTAAATACCTTCAAAAGCTTGTCCGTACGTATCAAACCCCCTTTCAAACAGACCTTGTTGACCACAATGGCGAAGCGCCGCCATGTCTTCTCGAACATATGGTGCAGCCATATCCATGACTGATAAGCGGTCGAGATCGAGTCGAACCAGCACATCAGCAGCGCGCGCCGTCTCATGCGATTGATCTCCTTCCACGAATAGCTTCCTACCGGCTATGACGTGCATTCTGGCATCTTGAGTCCTGCCTAGCCCACCAGCGGCGGCACCTAATAAGATACTAAGCACCAGCATTGATGTTGGGTGAGACACCGTCTTGGCTAGGGAGATGGCTCGATAGTAGTGCACCTCAGAGACGCCTTTAATCTTTGCTTGGCGTGATGTGTGAAGTCGTTCCCCAGCACTTGCACCATTGTTCTCCGTGACGTGCCAAGCCTGCTGCAGTGAAGCCAGCGTAATACATGCGTGCCACATAGCCGGTTCATTATGCGTTAGTTTCAGAACCAACTGTGTCCAAAATTGTGATGGTGCGAGCAAAGTGGCTGACGGGATAGTCCGGGAGCGAAAAACGTCGAATAGCTGGAATTCCAGTGACAGACGAGATCTTTCATCCCCCAAACAGGTTGGAGTTCGGGCAAGGGCCGCTGGAGCTTGTGACAAGGACCGCGTGAGCACCACTGGTACTGCTGCTTGTCTTCGTTGCTGTAGTAGCTTGATGTGTTCTGGAATCGAGGTACCGGGATGCTTAGCAATATCAACTAACGCACGGCGAGACAAGGCGATATCCACAGGAAGGTAGCCATCGCACCGTCGGCCGGTGGAAATGCAACGGCGACAGTTGGGCCTAGCCTCATCGCACTTTACACGTCGGATCCTGCTCAGTTCACAAGTCAGTCATTATTATAGTTGAAAAGGGGGTATTTAGGCTACTTACCGACAGGTAGTGCATCCTCTTCCAACAGACCGAGGCATATGGACTTGTTACAAAAGCACCGATGGATAGTTGTCTTATGAACGAATATGGCATCAGAGGTAAAGTTGTCTGATACAATGTAGGTTCATTGAAGCTCTACAACTATTAATCTTACCCTGTTAGATTGTTATGAAGAACCGACTCTTGTTAGTTTGTACCTATATGACGACTGGACCGTGGCTGACCGTGGCTTAGCCGCAATCCTACCGTCTCTCTATGTGCGCGATAGGCAAGGTACTCAGCCGCCTGGTGTTTAAACGGCCATCCGAGAGTGAACCAACCCCACTGCTTCCTAGCGGGACGGTGAGCTTAGGCGAGACCCTATTCAAAAGCTGTCTGACTTGGCGCATACAGAAGAGTTGGCTTGGGTACCTGTGCCAGTGTCGCCGCCGCCGCAATCGGAGGCAGGACGATTTCTGGACCCTTGGCGTAGACCTACATGGCTGGTAAACGCGGCGCGTGGCTCTCCATCTTCTCGGGTTGGCATGCCTTCTTGTCGCCGTGTTGATAGCTCTGGCGTTCCCCGAAACGCGCGCACTGAGCGCGGTTGAAAACGACGGTCCAAATAATTGCATGCATCGCGATAGCTTCGTATCGTATCCAGCAACTCTCCCAAGAACCGGGTGTGGGCGCGCATCTCTGACATTTTGGAGCTTAAGCAGATGGCAATCTTGGTCGAATTTTTCTTTCAGAAGAATAAGTGGCCAGGTCTGCTTCTTTCTACTATATAGTCTGCTTTTGCCACACTGGGCAGCTATTCGAGCGTGATTCTCATGCAGCACACAACAAAGCGCTTTAGTGGTCTTGGGCCACAGTATGATTCATACCTAACCCACAAAACCCCCGGGTTCATGGTTGTAATCAAACAAAAATAAAATAAGAAGATACTTTTTCCATTGGATGCTAATTGAAACTTTTGGCTGCAAGACATGAATTCACATTCTAAATAATAATCATGTTGTAAATTTAATTGCCTAACGTCCTGCTGACGATCCTATGTAATGGCTGTTCACGAGTCCAACCTCCAGGAGCTTTTGACATTACAAAATGTGAGCGCAATGGAAGCTTCGTAAAATAAACAGGCAAGCGAAAATCATTATCTGCTTTCTACATGGCAATAAAATGCATATACGTAGTTTATTACTATTAAAATGCTGCAGTTTGCGATACTGATAGAGCACCAGGCCGTTGTAGGAAAACTTATAGTGATAATGTAATAGCGTACTAACTCCCCTTGGCCGATTTTCACATATCATGTTTAATAACTCCAATCCGCTTGAGCTCATCTTTCCACTCCGTGGCATAAAGAAGTTTATAATTAATCTCAAAACTGGCCTTCCAATCCATCATTTCGCGTTTTGTATGGCCTTCACCGCCGCAGCCGCTCAACATTAAAGGGCACTGTGCTTCTTCACGGCAGTCTTCAAACAAGTACTCGGTGTATTCCCACCAGGATGCTGCTATTGCTTCTGCCGCGTTCTTTTGCCTGAGTTCATGCCAGAGCAAGGATAGAATAAATGTTTTATAGCGAAATAGTGGACGTATACTGGGCGACACGGCTATTGCGTGTCGTAGTCTTGAGCCATTGAGAAACGGACTCTTATGGACCAAGTCTAAAGGAAGCTCATAGATATCAGAGCTACCTCGCTGGATATCCACTGCTAGCATCTCGAGAATTGGTGGACTGATTTCATTGCCGTTTTGGGAAGTGAGAGACGCAGGTCGATAGGTCGAGTCGGGTCCCAAAGCCAGGATTGTTAGGTTTTGCAGGTTCGGTAGTTGACGGATGGCGACGGAGCCGGTGAAAGATGTGATGTCTCCTGGGATTTCACAAAGTGCAACGTTTTTTATTCGCTTTCGGTCGAGGGCTATGAAGCCATCCACTGGTTCATCGTCGTCGTCAAGTATCACGGGGCTGCGATAAGCATCCACGGGGATGCCTCTTGACGGCCACCCATCAAAGACTGTGAAAATATCCGTATCGTAGCTGATGAAAGGCGTATCGAATCGAATATCAAGATCCGATACTCGAGAATGGCGAGAAGGCTGAAAGAAATGTGGCAACCAAACGTCTCGAGCCTCGCGGTTCACATGAAGCAGAGGAAATATCGCATGTTCTCTTGGCTGAACAATGTATCGATAATGGTAGCGTTGCCAAGATCCCGTCCCTGGACGTCCCCCGCCTGAGCTGGCTCTAGAGCCAATTGCGCGGTAGTAGTGACGATACCAGTTAGAGGCTGGAGGTAAAACGCCAACCACGCGGCTGGGTCTTGGTACCAACTCCCATATTTTGATCCTTAGCTCGGCTGGTAATTGAGGGAACAGTGTGAATTCGGTCAGAGCAGCCTCCATGATAGGTACTAGCTGGTAATCACCAGAAAGGAGCGGGCGCAAAACTGCAGTGCGGAGAAAGAGTAGCGTTGGTTCTATGACTGCCCGTTTGAGAGGCCGCTCAAGTATTTAGAAAGAAGCACTTGACTAGCAGACAGGAATGTTGCAGAGCCCGTCATACTGGTACTAAATAAGCCCCCTCCTTGATCCCGTGCCCCGCCATAATGACAATCCTTTCATTGGTCACTCCTGGTTCTAGTACTAGTATTACGGCACTGAGTTGGATGGCAGTGCTTTCATCGGAATTTACCTTTCTTACCTCATCTGCTTATTGGCATATGCAGTCCTCGTTGGCGATCGTTACGTGGCTTGCTTTAATACGCTGCCAGCCCCGTAACTGGCTAACGCACGGCCAGCTCGGAGGCTGACCTCAAAGTGGCAAGAGTAGAAGTTGGAAAGATTCCTTGTGTGAATGCAATGCTACTACCTAGTACTAGTACTAGCAAAGAGTAGAATAAGAAATGCGAATGACGTAGGATATGCGATGCAGGAGGTTGACGCAGGGGGGCGGAGCGCGCTTCAACGCTTTGAGAAAATGGCGAAAGGATGTAGGAAGAGAACAATGATGAAGATATTATGTCTCTGGGACTTGTAGCACTGATCGGACAGAGAATAAGGAGAATAAGAAAAAAATATAAGAGATCTCACAATGCAGCGCATCTGAAATCGCATTGCCCCCTCCGAGACTTTAGAACTCACATCGCGCAAATATGGTGATACCCTTATTAGGCTTCTCTTTAAAGGCTGACCACGCACGAAGTTACCTAGTAGGGCCATGGTCCTCAAATCTCAATAATCTCTCATTCTGATTAGCTACCACTAGCCTGATAATTATTTCATCGTTAAACAAACGTGCAAAAAAAAAAAAGTAGCTCCTTCAGCGAAAACCATCGCAAATATTGTTCCCAACATCAATACTTCCACTGGTCACACCAGTTTTTCATCAAGGTCTCATCGACTGGTCCAATATTTCTCATGGTCGGGCTGTGTGCCATGGTTCTCTCCATATCCCACTTGGGATGGCCACTGCCGGATGCTATGCCCTTATACGCATCAAGGAGCTTGATGGCAGGATTTCTGTTTACATCGTCCGCCGTTGCATTGACAGCACTTGCTTCAAGAATTCGTATCCATTCAGTCAAAGGCACGATATCCTTTATTCTTCCAGAATAGTGGCTCTTGAGAACTGCCGCGAGCTTGGTCCAGCTAGTTACCAAAGGGTTTACTCCATGGAAGTAACCCGATATGGCTGAGGGATCGATCTTATGAGTAATTCCAGCGACGTCTAAGATTAAGCCAGCAATATCATCAACCGGCGTCCAGTCTACAACGTCTGTCTTACTGAACCGGTCTGGAAGCACTCCGAGGTGCACTGAGCTAGCAATCAAGCTCGGGATGAACTCCTGGGGATTCCACACGCCCTGTTTGGCTCGTGAACCAGCGATTTGTCCGACGCGAATAACAGCAGCCAGGATGCCCGATTGCTCAACAGCTGCATCTAAGATGGAGCTTGCGGCAAGCTTTGACCGGCCGTAGCCCATGGCGGGCAGAGTCAAATCCTCGAGGCGGCGCTCAGGGATTGATTGTGGGCGCGTCCAGTTACCGACAGTACCGACGCTTGAAATGTATATAATGGGGACTCTTTTGGCTGCTTTGTTGGAGAAATCCACAAGCTGGCGTACACCAAAAATGTAGGGTTCAAACGAACTGACGCTAATGTTAAAGTTGACGGGCCATGCGTTGTGAATGATGCGGTCTGCTGTGGCTAGGACGTCGTTGTATTTCTCCATAGGGAGGCCGAAATATGGCTTGGACAAATCAACACCGAGGAATTCAACCTTGGAGAAGTCTGTGCTCAAGTTACGGTACGAGTTGTATGCTGGCTGACGGGAGCTACCTCCATCTTGTCCACGATTGAAAGCAACAATTTTTGCTACTCGAGGGTTTTTGATCAAAAGGTCGAGCATATAAGCACCAAGAGACCCCGTAGTGCCCGTTACGATAACTGTCTGCTCTTCATCCAAGGGATTGGACTGATTTGTGTTGGGAGGCGGCAGATCCTTGGTGTATTTGGACATGAGTTTGACCAGAGCACCGATTTCTCTTTCTTCGGAATCGTCCTCGGTACTTCCAGTGATCACTGAGGAGTATAAATGCTTGGCTAGTCCTTTAATTGTCGAATTTGCATAGATAATTCGAGGTGCAACGGCATCTTTATCAGGCCTTACACCAGCAGACTCTAGGCTAGATCGAAGGATCTTCGACAAAGTGATGACTTCCATTGAGTCCATGCCGGTGCTAAAAAGATCCGCTTCAATGTCGACCGCTGGTTTATGGATCTGGCATCTGACAATATCCAAGATCGACTGTGCCATGGCCTTTGGACTCGTTATGTCCAGAGAAATCGTGTCGCCCATATCAATGCCTTCGTCTTGCTGGGCATAGAGTCCATCAATTAAATCTTTATATGCTGTGACAGTTGCCACTCGTTGTATTGAGCCTTTGCCTGACATTGAAAATGGCGTGCTAGGATCTGCGAGGACAATCATATCGCGGACAATTCGCCCATGAGCCACGGTGACTTTATTCACGTCTGAGACAATTGGCCATACGCTATCAATAAGCGATCTGGCTGCTTTCTCGTCTTTTGGGTACTTATGAGGTTCCAAAATCAGCGCAGGCTGCATCCTTTGCTGTCCGACCACAAGAGCGCCTTTGATCGCGGGATGACCCGTTACGGCAGCCTCAATTGTGACTGGATTGAGCTTCTCGCCAGTGGAGAAGACTATAACGTTGTCAGTGCGACCCCAGTATTGCCAGTGATTTGGCTTGGTTGGGTGTTTCTTATACATATCACCTGTTGACCACTCGGTCTTCTCAGGGAAAGTATAAAAGAGAGGTTGTCGCATAGCTTCTTTTGGATCCTTTCGAACAATGAACATTTCGTAAATGTCATCATCCGCTATCAGACGGAAGTCAGCTCCCATTTCTTCAGCGTTGACGATGAACCACTGCCACATTTTGGGGTCCGTCTGGCGATGGATGACATATGGCGCGACCCTGAAAATGTCAGCGACGAGCATACTTGGTGCTTTAATTTTTCAACTTACTCGGTAGAAGCTATAGCATTCAAAAGATTGACACCTTTCCTCACAATCTTGTCGCCCACCGAGGGAGATAGATTACCTGTAGCTTGAAGTCAGTTTTGGGTGATCAATTGAAGGGAGATCATATTGGGCGAGGTATTCTAACCTCCACCAAAGCCAACCATCTTGAGATCGGCTAAAAGCCGAATTTGTTCTTCGTTGGAACTCATGTCTTCAATGATAGACGGAGGAAGAACAGCTGCATCGCAATCCCCCAGGAACTTTAGGCATTCGGCAACAAGGCCTGCGCTTACAGGGCGATTTGGCACTCCCAGACATAGCTGAACTCCAAAATAAATTCCAAAAAATGACATACAACCAACTCCTGCCATATGGAACGCGGGCATTGGTATAAATACTTTCGAGCAAGTGCTGGGAAGATAAGTCCATACTACAGGAGAGCCATCCATATATACCTCTCGTAGATCGTCGACAATGGCAGCGCTTCCCTGGCGAACAGTAATAGGCTTTGGAATACCAGTAGAGCCACTTGTGTGAAGAACAGCCAAAGGATGGAATCTAGCCTCATCAAATGGTACATCGTATGGCACATGGGGCGCAGTCGACTGAAGCCAATCTTCAAGAGGAGGAACCGCTCTCGCTGGCATGGGATAGAACTGGAGCAAGGGCTCTACAGTGGACTGCATCGAGGGCTCGTACAGGATTTGGGCGCATTGTGTCTTTTTGAAAAGCGAAAGCTGTGCTTCAAGGCTATTTCGCGGAGAGATGAATAACGCTTGGCAATGTGCCTTTATACACGCAAGCATCACTATGGTGTATCGTACGTCGCTTGGTCCGATATAAGCCACGGTAGGAAAGCTGTCTTTCTCATCGGTGGTATCTTGTCTTTCTTTCAATAGCTCGCGAGCAAGGTGGTTCACACCCCTAGAGGTTTCTGTGAACGTGATGGGGCGATAGCCATCTTCGAGGTTGCTGGAATAAGGCTGGTAGACAAAAACACGCTCTGGTTCGTAGGTTGCATAGTCGTCGACTATATTGGGTAGCAGTCGTTTTCCGTACTGCGGTTTCGGCGGCTTTGCGTAGCCATTCATGTTTAATGAAAGGATAGCCGAATATGATACTCTGGTAGAATTGATATGGAAGCGCGCTCAGTTTGTATTGTATTTGTGAGGAAGATGTCGGGCAGATTCTGTTGGAACGGCATGAGACCGTGGGGATATCTTTTATATCAACTTTTATGACACTAGCAATCTTATAGATCACGTCACAAACTTAGAATACATAGGGTCGGTCGTCAACATCCCGCCACCCCCTCAAGAAGCCACGTCTTACAATTTCTTACATATCTTACAGTTTCTTACAATAGACTTTATTGCTATACTAGCCAAATAAATTTGCAGTTACATAACTAAATAAGTGATGATTCTATTGTATTTTTCAGAAGTGCCTACAGCCGAGCTAAAGGAATGACCCCCAATGCTGCAAGATTCCTGCGTTCTTATTCCCTTTAGTCGAGATGATCATTCTATGTGGCTCGATCCCGAGGATCTGAAAATCTACGAGCTAAATTCGCGCGTTCGTAATGTGAAAAACGCCAATACACTACAATTTCTAGAGATCGCATGACCATGTTTTGCATGACCGTGTTTTGCAAGACCTCGGCTGCTCCTCAGGGCAGCCATGATCATGCCGCCCGAGGCATAATAATACTACCTCCCCAAGGATTACAAGTGCTTTCTTTGTTGCTTTGCCATCGCGATGGGACGACTCCCTTGAGTCACATTGTCACGCCATCGAAATCTGCTGCCGTCCCCTCGGAACAGCGAAGCCGATCGCTACTTGTGTTAAGAAAGATGCTAGCAATATCGGTAAAAACATTCTCAGTTATTCGCTCTCGAAAGCCTTTTCCAGCTTCTTGGTATACCTACCCTTCGCGTATGGTTGCCTCTTGCAAACGTAACAACATGACACAGAGATATGAGGAGATGAAAGCAATGCTGAGCCGACCCATCCCCCAAATTTGATCGTGCACTGCTGTCTATAGCGTAGCATCCAACGTGCAGGGAACTCGATCTTGGCAGTTGGCCATTCTTCCTGTGACTAAATGTTCAACCATCGCACGGCCAGCTTCTCCCCCGCGCGCGTTCATCTACAGTGTTTAGTAGCTTGTAGGTAGTGTCAGGAGAGGAGATTCTTGGCATCTATCAAGATGGCTAGCCATATTACTGGTTCTGCATATGCTCAGGCTAAAACCAAAACTGCCACTCGTATCCCACTTTAGGAGGTGTGGCTGGCGGCCCGCAGAGGACTAATAGCACGCGATCCATAAAAAGTACGGTGGTCGGCGTCAACTTGCCGGGTTGCGGAATAATACGAAATGCTCCGTACGCGTTTGGCAGCTGGATCTTGGCATGTTACGGGGTGCTGAGCGGGGTGATGGCATCCAGACGGCTGCGGTGCCTGATTGCGCATTGATCTTGATATCATAACCCACATGTCTCGGAGCGGCGTGAGTTCTACGCCATCGCCGCGCATGATGATCGAGTGATGGGCTTGATCGCCTTGGGTATTTATGAGATAAATGCCGCATTGTTCACCGTATCGATGGAATCGGCATCCGTATCAGAAATAGCTGATTATAGTGGCTATTTGACTAAATCGTCGTCTGTGGCAATTAGTTCACTTGGAAGTACTTTGACAGCATGAGTTACGGCGACTAACCTATAATTTGGATTGCACTGTGTCATAATTTGGCAAGTTATAGTAGGTATAGTCACCACAGCTTTCCCCATCCAATGAGCGCAGGGAAAGGTAGCAAATGACGGAGTAGACTTGTCAAACTGACTTTTTCTAAACTCAGTTTGGCTCTTCTTATTACTGCTAAGTGCTTAGAATACCATTTGCGATTGTGACCCAAGAGCGTTGACTTATGTCGTTTCCTCCTCTTTGCGGGGATAACAAGGGATTTAAGACCGGACCGCGAGAGATCCAGCTAGTGATCCGAGGTGAAATTCCCCAACAAGGAAAAACAGCCAACCAAAGATCTGCAATGCGACTCACCAAGCGGCACGAGGTTAACTGAGTAGAACTGTATTATAGAGCTGCTCTATGCGCTGGAACGCATTATTGCTCCGCGAGATGCAATGCGGTAGGACAGAAAAAGCTCATCGCCTATTTTCTGCCTCAGCATATAAAGGTCGCGGCTCCTCTGGAGTTTACCCACGTCAATAGCCTATTCGTCTTTTCGTTTTGCTTCCAATTTCTCTTCTCACGTCATTTCTCGTCGCCCGCCCATGAGCGGCAACACAGCCCTGTGTGCCGCTTTACTGGCGATTTACTCTAGGTAAATATTGAAGTCGTCGTGCAGGTGACGAGAAGCAGCGGCAAGGCCAATGATGCATTCGTTTCACACCTGACGCCGAGCATTGACTACTTCAACTCTTTTGTATAATATTGGCAACCTGTTGCTCTCTGTTATTTAACAAGATACATACTTCTGCTGGAACTCAAAACGGGCTTGCCGCCGACCATTGCGTTGTACATAACGCTACATGTATACGAAAGCCGCTACACAACAGCACACGCCCCAGGGCGTTGCACGGGAATAGCGGGCTGTGAACACGATTGAGCGCGGCTTAAGAGTGCCGGTGTAAGCTAATACAATAGGTAACGAAAAGTCAATTTAATAAGTTATTGTAAATGGCACTCTGTTTTAGCAAATTTTTATCTATTCTGTTTTGTAAATAGCTTTGTATGACGTGTGATATCGTTCCCACCGTCTTTGTTTTCAGGTCTGGGCTATTGAATGACAAATAGTCGCTGGTATAATCCTCTATTTAGGTTCTTTTGGTTCCTATTAGCTACTCAATACTATCACTTGAAAAGGATTGTTTGTTTTAGAAAAATGCCTTCACGACTCAAGTCTAAGTGAATTCACGTGTGTTTACACACTTAATGCCACACTGTACTGAATGTAGAAGACGGATTTACTCTCTCACCTGTAAGACCCAAAAAAGCTTACAGCACCTGCTAACCCGAGTATAAGCAGTCAGGTGCACTATCTACAAGATCTGTCCCCCAATGGGTTACCCCGCACACAAAGCCGGTCGTGTTAGAGCTTCTCTTAGACGTCTATTATAATCTGACATGACAGTCAGCACCATGCTGCTGGGGATTAATTAGTTCTGATTGTATCCCAATGGTTTACAGTGAAGCAATCATCTCCTTTTTGGTCTATAATTGGAGCTTAGCATAGTGGCTGTCGTATTAACAAAGTTTGCGTTTGATTCTAGCATGAAGTATGAATAATCCAGGTTAGGGCTGTTTTGCATGCTTTTATCTCTGATCTGCAAATGTCCTGTGTTTCTTTTTTAACATGGCGGTATAATAAATATGTATTACTTATATAGTAGATTTTAATGAATAATTTTGCTTTTTGCAGGTCTTCTCAACGCGTCATTACTATTAGCGCGACTGTTCCCGCGGTGAATATGCTACCCTCAAGGTTGGTAATTAACAAAAGTGTTAGAGTAAATGTCGTATCGTATTACGCGACCAGCAGTGGTAAATTGACCTTGTTTACTTCTCATAGAGTTCATACTTGCGAGATGCTTTCGATTTACATCTACATTTAGTTATTACATTCAACGAATCTAAGCTTTGATGAAACAATGAGTTTCGCAGAAGACAAGGTGATTCGCAAATTTTAGAAGTGCGCTGCCATATAGTTTGTAGACGTTTGTCAGAGCTAATAGGCATTGGAATAACCTAATATACTATTGGCATATGACTGACCCATTGTAAATGAGAAAGTACCAATTGCCGCAATGCACGACGGTGCGCATGATGAAATAACGCATCTCTATCGCCTAGCGACGGTGTCACCAATGCTAACCGATTCGCAAAGGAATTATGTATATTAATGAAGATACTGTCTGCCGTTCTATTATGTCCATATGCACTCACTTTTATTCTTACACATCGTGTTGGTTTCCATCAGGAAGCAGAAATGTTTATTCGATTGTCCAGAATTAGCTGCACCGTATATCATTATGCTCGCAATGCTTTTTACACACAGCTTCATAGATAGGTAACATGACATCTTCTATGGGATTAATTCCCTTTCATAAAACCAGCAAGGAAGATATCCTAATAGTGATTTGATTATTCAAGTTGCATTATTTTGTTCACTGCAGTATATGTAGTTGTCGTGATCGTCATTGTCGATGTGAGAGGCAACACTGGCCCTTGTGACGGTATTTGTCACGATGCGGATTTAGTTACGACTTGATCTGATATAGAGAATAATAATCTGTCAGATAGCTTTTATTAGGGTCCCGGAAGTGGAATTATCTCGTAGTTCATTATTCGTTATTCTCGTGACCCATCATTTTCTTTCGGCAAAATAGTCAAAGATGCTTAGTCTAGAAATGGCCATTTAAGCTGTGCGACCTGCCTCATATAAGTCACAGATCAAGTGCCACATTTTAAAGCTTATATGCTTCGATATATGGATCTAGAAAAGAATTCTACATACCGCAATTTCTATAGCCTTTTAACACGCTGCTTACCTGTTATTACTAATTGCCCTTCTACCGACGAGTAAGGCTGTGGTCGAAACGTCTGAAACATTCTAAAATGGGGCATATCCAGCAAAGGAGCCCCTTTTCAATAAATGCACAATTGCGAAACAATTGCGAAAATGCAGTATGCTAGCTCTAAGTAAGTTCAATAAGAAATGGCTTCTTCATAGCTGATAAAAACATTCATCATATGAATCTGCTTCTTCCTAGAACCCGAAATAACACACCACTATCAAATACTGCCTTGTACCATTTTAAGACATATGACACCTATTTATGTTTCTTAAGCATTGAGCTTTACCAACATCCATTCGAGTAGAACGCCAGACTTACAGTATTGAACTCGTGCGAATGTTACATCTCTTCCGCTCTTGTAACCAATTGCCCTCAATGTTGGCGGCAAAGGGGAATGTAATTGACCTCAACCGCTGTCCTGCCCCTATGTAGTACGTAACAGCGAGGAGCCCGAGTTGTATACGATGGACAAATCCGGCAGCTCACAGTCTGATTCCATTGCACAGAGCAGTACTGTTTGCATGTTATTAGCAGGATCATGCAGCTTGTATTACGATCTGGCCGGTTCGTATATCCTGGGGTACTCTAGCGACTCAGCTTCTAATGTTAATTGAGCATTATCGATCTAGCAAAGAAGAATAAAGAAAAATTCCACCAATCAAATCCCAACTGGAAGATATTTTGCCGGGTGTGCGGCACGACGGACAATCTACTTTTAGGCATATCCTGGCTGGGGCTCATGTACCTGTCATTTTAGAGTTAGTGCGACAACTCACTAACTACTCGTTCTAGAAGCAGGATCATCAAGCCTTACTCGCCGTTTGACTGTATCAATATATAAAATGGCAAGATTATCCTCTTTCTTATCTCCCTCTTTTGTCTTCATCCTAAAGCTTTACACCAAGACAGCTTAGCTATTCATCAATTCTTTCTCCAATAATCATGCCTGCCCTCAAGACTCTTCTAGCCACTGGCCTTGTTGGCGTTGCCTCAGCGGCGCTCAACCCCAGCTGTGCTCCCGGCGGCAACTTTGACCTTTCCAAATGGTCCCTGCAGCTTCCCATCGGCTCTGCGGGCAGCCCAACCACGATTTCCGCTTCCCAGCTCTCAGGCTGTGGGGGCTATCAAGATCCCGGCCACAAGTACTTCTTCACTGAGAGTGGCGACGGCGCCCTGGTCATGAAAGTCCCTGGAGCACCCTCAAACACCGGCTGTGTCACAACACCAAACAGCCAGCACTGCCGCACGGAGCTGCGCGAAAGCAACCCCAGCAGCTGGGACCCCAATGCCAGCAACAACAAGTTGACGGTGACGCTCGCCGTGGAACAGCCAGACAACTCAGGCTATGGCACTGTTGTCGGCCAAATCCACATCTCTGACAACGTTAGCACCAAGCCAGTGTGCGAGCTGTACTACAGCACCAGCGGCGATCTGACCATGGGCGTGGAACAAACCCGCTCTGGCGGTAACGAAGTCATGACCAAGGTTGGCAATGTTCCCGTTGGCCAGCAATTCACCTACACGATCAGCTATTCTAGCAACGTCCTCAGTGTCAGCATCAACGGCGCTGCTGCCAAGACTCTCAGCACCTACTCCCTTGATGCGCCCTCCAGCTACTTCAAGGTTGGAAACTACAACCAGGGCTCAAGCGCTTCCGATGTTCACTTCTTTTCCATCAACGTTTCTCACTAAATTGATTCAATCAGCCAACAGAGGCTATTGTAAATATTTTCTTCTTCTTTTTTGTGGCGAGCAAGGGCCGTTGTACATAAAGGGCTTCATTGGCAGCTACACTCAAATCTTAATTTGTCACCACATAGCGTATTTTGGCATTGTTTTAGGAAGGTTGAGAACACTGAGAAACTCACGACTTGGTTATTAGCATACAAGTTGACCAGATAATTGACTCAATAACAAGAAGTATTTTTCTGACTTTGGAATTCGCTAAGACGCTTCCTCGCTGGAGCTGCAACGCTTTGCCATACACAAGCAAGCCAAGTATTGGCAATGCACTCTGAAGCTAACTTGCCGCCAACATTGACATGCGGAACTGAAGATGCGTCTACGAAGTTGAACGCTACATCTAGGGAAATTGTTCAATACCAACGATAATGCTGGTACAAAAAACGGTATCCGGTATCCGGTATCCGGGGTCTTCTTGCTTCTTAGAACTTCCATTTTAAGCTAGTAGTATTCACGCTTGATGTACTTGCATTCATACGAGCCAATATCTAAGAGTCGGCGGCATCTGCAAGCAGCAAGTAATTCTCCTCCCAGCCTTCCCTTGACTGATATTCTCCAGCTGTAATCTCAGCGCGCATCGCAGGAAAAATAGCGATACATGTCGCATATTTCCGAGTTTCAAGTTTCACTCATAGTAATCCTGGAGCTATAAAAATGGACGTCGACTCTAAAGCGGTAAATATTTTTACAACGGGCAAATATAGTCGCCACCAGAGAAAACATACAAAGAACTCAACTACATAGTCCACTACAACTTGCATGGCTGTGTTCAGATTAATTAGCCAATCAAAGCTACCCAGAAATGCTGAACTGAAAAGAAGACAAAATGTAATTCTTTGTAGCTAGTATAATATTTAGAGACAAAAGCCGCCACTCATTACAGCACCACTCTCTAGATTTCCACCAGCATCAGCATGAAAAGTGTAAACATTATGCAAATCGTTTAATACTGATGCATATATAGATAGATGAGAATAAAAGTCATCGTTGGTTTGTAACCTTTTCGACTCTGAATGTAGTGTATTAAGATCACAGGAATAGCGCATCCATCTTAGCTGGCGCTCGTGGTTGCTTTCGAACCGATTGGTTCTAGTTCTTGGGGCGATGATGAATCAATTCAAATCCATTCTTGAATGTCTCTTGACCACGAAGCAATAAACCAATTTCTCCCGGATGCATCCAGTGAAGCCAAGTCACGACGGCCAACATTGGCAGAGCATCGAAGACGTAAATAAAGGCTTCCTTTGTAAGTAGGTACCCGTCGTTCCCTTGAGCATATTCGATAACACGGAATAAGTTTCGAATGATGATCAAGCCGCCGGCAACGTATAACGTTAGGAGGTATCTTTGCCAACGGCAATCTGGCTGTTGCGAGCGACTAGTCGGAACTGATTTCATTCGGCGGTGGAAAATAGCTGCGACAGTAACAAAAATGGCAAACCAAAGGAGTTGGAGAACAAGGCCGCCAATGATGACATTGTTACCGGTATCTGTGGTAGACGGGTTGTCTTTGGCTGAACTTAAGATACCGCTGCCTAGTAATGAGACACAATGGTAAGCAGTTGATTTCGAACGCGATATTTTTCACGAGAATAAGCCCCACCTCCAGCCAGAAGCAAGAAGCAAACGACGTCTCCAACGACGAATATTTTGGTGAGCCACTGCGGCCGGATAATTGCGTGCTCTTGCCCACCGACAAGAAGAATGATTCGGCCGAGTATCATATAGATGGACGCTGCGAATAATGCGGGTGCAAGCAAAATGAACATGGTCTGAATGAGGTAGGGCCCCAGTGTCCAACAGCCTGTTTTTTGTGCGCCAGATGCAGCTCGGCCAATAAACCCAATAAATTCAACTATAGTTGTAATACAAAGTCAGTGCCATTGTAAACGACTTGGTATAGCGGTGGCTGGGAATAAACACACAAAAACATCCAATTACCAACGGCGTTAGGTACCAGCATCTTGTTTTACACATCTGAAACAAATGCAGTATGCCGGACAAGAAGAAAAGAATGCAGAATATAGCGGCCGCGGCGGTAGAAGGGGTGTAGCGATAGAAGGAAAAGGCCGCATGTTGCCAGTCCGCGACGCAGTTGGTGCTCATCCTAGATACTGCGGTGCTGATGCAGCTTGAAAGAAGTAAATGCAGGCGGTAAGATGTAAGAAGTAGGAAAGAAAGGAAAAAGAAGTGAAAGAGAGTTAGTTAACGAAATATTCTATATTGAAAAGAAGTAGAAGATGGACCTAAGATATATAAGCCCTTTCCTTATTAATGCTCTGAAAATATTTCCCAAGTACTAGGATGCCACACAGCCTTGAGCTAGCCTTGAATTACGTTGCTCCCATAGAAACTATACTATAAAGAGAGGAAAGAGTAGCTATTTCTTGGCGGTCTATCCCTTCGGTGTCTTTTACTTGTCCGGTACTATCAGAATACCACGACCTTGGTGTAGATGAGCGTACTGTTAACGCACTGATTGGTGAACGGTTTTGGCATTCCCCACAGCAACGCGAAAGATGTATTGTCTGCGCCTCGTACTAGCTCTCCAGAAAGGCTCGGACAAAATTCTACCAATAGTAGCCTTAGTTGTTGGTGTATCAACTGATACGAAGCTGACGAAACGATGTATGCAAGTGCCGGACCTAATTTCAAAGTCCCAGAGCCCCTTGTTTATCCGCGCAGTGCGTATTCCTGGGCTTACCATTGGCTCATCTATTGGTCTCCACCACGCGAATCCCGTTGTCTTTCGCGCTAGGTGGGGGTTTACGTAGAGCTTAATGTTGCAAACGTTTCTAGATGTCAGCTCAGATTGCTCTTTTTTAGTAAATTTAAAGGTAAATCATACGGCATTAATAAGCATAACATGGTGAATGCGAAGACCGAACGCTCAATCCAACTTCTATTCTATATGATCATTGTTTAACGCCCCCCTAGTAGGTAGTACTATATAAGCTTTAAGTCTTGGCCTACTCTAATTCCATTTACCACTACCTTTATATCCTGGCTTCAACACGGAAGAGGTACCCAAGATTACACTCCCTGTAATATTCCAAGTCATGTTGCTGCCAGTTGGCTATTTGGCCACAGAAGCCATTGTTCCCATTTTGTCCCTAAATATGTCGAGATTGACTGGATCAAAAACCGTCCCGAGTCGCCAAACACCCAAAACGAACGGTGGCGATGCAACAGCACAGCATAGAAAGACAGTATAACGAGTGCCTCTGGGATCCGGCTCCTAACCATATCACCAAATCGGGCGGACACTAGCATTGTCCATGATATTGTAAAAGGAATTTGAATGTGGACCCCTGAATCCACTTCACATATATCGAAAATGTTCTGCAGAGCTATAACTGCTTGGGAGCATGCCTCTTTGTCTATCTCTTGAAGGTCGCTATCGTGAATCAGGGTATTCAAATGTCCACACGTTTCAGGTCGCTCATGATCAAAGTCGGCTGTGTCTTCAATCCGTCGCTGCCCGATAATCTCATGAATTATCTCCCTGACAGCTGGCCACGCTGTTCGTACCACAGCATGAACACCTTGGTGGATAGGAAAATAAGTGGTAAGTTTATCGCAAAAGGAGTCAAAATTTCTGCATTGGAAAGTCTCGAACATCATCTGGATGCCAAGAAATGATGCATAAAGAAACCAAGAACGAGAGTTTTGCATCGAGATGTCGGTTTCCACTCTATTAAACAAGGATACAGCCCGTGTTTGAAGCTCCATCGCTTTGTTGCTGAACATCTGTTGCTGTTCTCGGCGAAAAGTACTCATGTGGGCTGCCGATAGGGCAAGAATTTGATCCATGAGATAGGGGTTGGTGAGAGCACATTGCATGATCGCCATGCGTATCGAGCTCGGCAAAGGTAGCATACTCGCTTCAAACGCGCCTGACTCGAAATGGTGAAGCAGCTCAAGATGCCCTAGATCATACTGCTGATCTTGCCATTGCTGAGTATTGCATTGGATGGGCGGCGAAAGCGTTCGCACCGATGGCGTTGATGCACAAGACGCTGCTTTCGGGCGGCTGAGCCGATGCATTGGACGTGTAAGGCGGTATGAACAGGATCGATTCGTGATGGTGCAATTGAGACAAGTGGGCGAAGCCTCATCGCACTTTTTATGGCGTTGCTTGCATTCTCTACATCCATTTCGGGATTTGCGGTGAGAACTGCGCATGGTCGGGGGATTAAAGACGGTGCAATAGATCCAAGGGCATAAGACCTAGTAACGCCTGGCTGTATTTTGTCTGAGCCAGTGTGCTGCTGATGTGTACCGACCGGCGAGTTTTGTCTTAATATGCTGAGGAAACCTTGACTGAATGTCTTATGGCCCAGCAACCCCTTACGAATGGAAGCAGTCAATTCCCGTATCTATTATGCAGAATACGCGCGTACGTGGTGTTCCATTGAAGACTCAGCCACCGCTTAGTTCCTTGGATCGCCCCACTCGCTGCTTGATAATTACTGCGGCAAACCTGCGGATTAAAAAGACACCGGAGGTTAAGATGGGAGTTGTTACTGCTCTTATGTAATGAAACTAAATACTTCGTATTAAGATAAAACAAGCCGCCCATTCTCGAATCGGGATGAGATAACACAAGTGGTTTCGAAAACGCGCTACTCTGTAAAATGAATATCTACAAATGTGTAAATGGCTGGCCACACATCTAAAGCCTAAAATTACCCTCAAGAAGTATATTGACCGCTTCTTCCCAGCCTCGCGAAGATGCAATCTCAATGACTGACCGTCCCTGGTCATCTTTGGCCTCCAGATCAACACTGAACTTGCTGCTCAGCAGCTTCAAGATTCTCATGTCGCCATTCTCAACAGCCTGCATAAAGGCGTTCCAGCCCCTGTAGATTTTATTTGGATCCGCGCCCTTCTCAAGAAGCATTTCGAGAATCTCCGTATCGTCGCCGCGGCATCTTCTGACTGCCTTGACAATAGGGAGATGCTCGCCGGGAGCGTTGAGGTCGGCATGGCCGTCCGTGATGAGGAAAAGAACCATTTCCTTCAAATCCTCGCGAATAGCTGTGGTCAATGGAGAGAAGACGCCGCCGTTTTTATCTTCCACCGAAACACCAGCTGCCAACAGCAACTTGACAGATTCGATCTGGTTGGCGGCCACAGCCATTTCCATGACGCCTTTATAAGCGCGTGGCTCGGCAAGCACCGATAGTATGCGCCTAAGGATCAACGGATTCTGCACAGCCATGCATACCGGCCAATCCTGTCCGCGCTTGTTGGGATCGGCTCCTCTGGCGAGCAAGGCGTCTATCATTTCCATCCGGCTCTCTCGAATGGCGCTCGTCAATGGGGATGCTCCCTTGAGATTCCTCTCATTTGGGTCGAGGCCTTGGTCTAGTAGCCACAACAGCGCCTCCATGTTGTTTGAGCTGACTGCAGTCTCTACTATCCCCTTGGGGGAGTGCAGGTCCGCGCCAGCAGTGACAAGCAAAGGCAAGAGGTGGACACGGTTGTGCGTGATGCATTTGAAGGCCGGATACTCGCTAGCTGGGACATTTGGATCCGCGCCGCTGCTCAGCAGCAGCTGAAATATGTCCATTCGGTTGTCTCGGATGGATGTGCACAGAGGAGTATAAACGCCGTCTTTTTTAGCATTGGGATCAACCCCGGCTTTCAAAAGCACGCGCACCGATTCGATATTGTTGATACTGGTTGCTAGTTCTATGATGCCAGGGCATTTCTTAGAGTCTGCACCATGGTTAAGAAGTAGTTGAAGGCAGGGCGCCTGGTATGTTGCCGGCCACAGCATGTGCTTAGGTCCGGGGAGGTTTGGATTCGCCCCACGATCCAAAAGGCTTCCTGTGATGTCCACTCGAGAGGAGCTAATCGCTTCAAAGAGAGCTGTTTTCCCTTCTCTATTCTTCTCATTTGGATCCACTCCATAATGGAGAAGAAGATCAATCATTCTCTTTGGGGTTTTCTTGTTGATAGCTGCGATCAACAGCGTGTCGCCGTTGGAGGTGCTGTGAGATAGATCTCCCCCATACATCAATAAGAGATGTGTCAAGCTGACTTTGTGAGCAGTAATAGCAGATGATAGAGGAGACTCCAACTCTAGGCCGACCAAAGCATTAGGATCCGCCCCATACTTTAGGAGAGTGACTGCTCCCGAAAAGAACATCTTTTGAACTGCCGCAAACAGCGGTGTGATGCCATCGCCATCTGCCTCGTTAGGATCGGCCCCGAACAGAAGTAAGAGCCGAATGCTTTCGGCATCAAGGAGATTTACAGCCTCTGTCAACGCCGCTGCAGGAGACACTCCTCTGTCTAGCAACTGCTCAACTAACTTATGGTTTTTTCCTCGAACAGCAGAAATGATGCTGCCTCTCAAGTTTTCGGCATCCGAGCCTCCTGAGCTGCGAGGGGTCCAGCGTGGCATCGTGAAAGGGTCTACTTTCAGACGTATGGCTTTGGACTGTCCAAGATCCATGCCGGCCAACTCTTCCAAAAGTGCATCGGACTCTGCTGATCCAGTATGGGATGACGTGTCTCCAATCGTGCTGGCTCGATCAAACGTTGTAACAATGCCGGAATTGGCTCTCTCGTTCGAGATAATCGAGCTCGGAGTGGTGATGCTATAATGTTGAAGGATATCGTCTGATGGACCGCGCGAGTTCGAAAATGACTTCTTCGCCATGTTGGAATCGGGTCTACGTGAAGAGGATCTTTCGCTCCACGCGGCTGGAGATGCTAGCATTTGCTGATGCTGTCCCTCGACAGACAAAGGCCCGTGGCCAAGAGGAGACGGGCGATGACGCGACATGTCCGGCTCGGAAGCCTTTGTTTTCACACGTCCAGAGTTGTCATCCAGCCTATTCAATGCCGCTGCGAGCCCTGTGTATCCGATGCCCATGCCGCGTTCAATTCGTTCGGTGCCCAGCGTCCACTGGAAGAGCAGCGCACTCATCTTCAAGCCTTCTTTTGTTCGTTCGAGAATTGCCGTTATCTTGTCGATGTCTGTGTCGCCAAATATCTTGCCCCAGCCACGTCTCATTTTTCCCATCGTGCCTTTGCGTTCATATTCCAGGAGCTTGCCTAGCATTTCATCGAGAATATTAAAGTCCGATTGAGCAACTCGTAACTTCTTGTCCAATTCCGAGATGACGTCCGGCGGCAACTCTGGGGTTGAGCGTCCACATTCTGCGAGGCCAGCTTCGATAGAGAAGAGAATCTGGCAGGTGTCAAGGAACAAATGCGCCAATCGATCGACATTATGCGAAAGTTGCTTAACCGTGGTGAGATACTCGAGCATGCGAACAGAGGTTCGATCTCCGCTAGCCGCAACGTTATGGCAAAGGTCACAGCATCTTGTATGGGCCTTGGACAATTTATGAGACATTTTCGCGGGCTGTTTGGCAGGCGCGTGCAGGCCTGAAGAAGAGTTGATGTTGGTGGCGCTCGAGGCTTTGGACAGTGGCGTCGCCAGAGGAACTGATTTCGGTGTGATTGGCGTGCGAATAGAGCCAGGCAATGAGAGAAAATCCTCAGTGTCTATTGAGAAGGGCTCTTTCTGAGGTGTGATGGAGAGAGCCTCAAAGAAGTCGAATTCTTGAACGGAACTTTCCTTGGGTACGACAACTGCCGACGGTGACGAAAGCATCATGCCCGGCAGAATGAGCAGCGCGTAGCATTACAGCCATCCTCGGGAAACCGGGCAGGGCAGGAAAAGACTCTGATAGTTATTTAAGCTAGGCCTGTCTGAATCATCAGATCCGATGGCCCATTTCGATCGAATAAATCTCATTGCTTTTGGCATCCAGGCCATCATCGAGCCCCGTAGTGGCCACGAGGCACATGGATTGCCCATGTTCGATTAGTGTAATCTCCCCATAATTCTACGATAGTCTTTTCAGCTCCGGCCAGATCAGCCAATCGCATTGTGCTATGCTGGCCTAGAATCGGCCATGTGGAGCTGATTGGTGATGGCCTTCGGATAGCTGCAATTACACTTGCGCTTCGTATCTCGCAGCTGAAGCTGAGTGGCCAGTCTGTGCGTGCACTAAACAATGCTGCTGAAACACACTATCAAGCCGCGGATATTCTCTGCCTTTCCCGGGCCTAGATTTTGAAAAGCTTGACGCCTCGATCCAGGGGATTCGGGCAGAAGGGGAAGGCATCTCCTTTAGTGTGGTCATAGTAGTCCGGAAGCTACAGTAGCAAAGACTTCAATCGTGATGCCCTCCAATCGCCACCATCTCGCGCTATTTTGCATCGCAACCAATGCCGAGGCTCTGTCCATGATGCTTGCCAAGCATCTCACCATCTGTATCCAATTTTACTCCGTAGTTGTTAGTCAGCCCTCAGACTTGCGTGTCCTTCGGAGCAGCAAGATGATTTTTGAGATTCCCTCTTCTCATTCTAAATTTGTAATTTACATAAGAGTATACAGGCCGATCTCGCTTGGGTAGCAACTAGTACACATGTATTTAGTATAACTTGCGGAATTCTGGTCTAGAACAAGGTCTCTCTCTCAGTGGCAATTATTCGCTTGAGCAGGGGCGGGAAATGCAATGCACGTGGCCTTGGCTCAGGACCGTAAAATGTCTTGGACTGAAAATAGCGCGAGTTACCACTCATACTGCGAAATTAGCGCTTTTTTTGGCAGCAAGCCCATATAAATAGCTACATGTATGCAGGGAGGAGTATGTAGTAGCCAACAGCCAACGGCTTAGTGTGATAGAAGGTGATTGGCAGGGCAAGGCAAGGACTTCGGCTTGATAAACAAGAAAGGGTCGCACGAAATTTCATTCTGAATAGTAGCCAAGAGAATAGTATTCCAGGGATTGTGTTTCAGGTAAATGACTCCTCAAAGCCACAGCCAGTCACTTTTCTGGAGTTTTTGGCTTTTGTGACTTCAATTGTTGATTTATAAACCCCCAGCAAATATATTGATACAGCATGAGAAAAGTCATCCTCGGTTAAAAACCTGCGTTATAATACTAGTGTTATTAGCAACGTGTATATGTGTGTCCAACTAGATCAAGTAGTTACCTCGAGCCTCACCTATCGAATATTACAAGTTGTAAGCGTCTTTAATAACGCTGTAACTTCACTTTTGCCTTGCGCAATGGTTCTCGTCAAAAGAAAGGGGTTCGCATTCGCACTTCTAACTCCACCTAGTTATGACTAGTGACGTCTATATGAAACTTACTGGCCGCTCGTAATTTGGCTCCAAATTTGTAAAACACAAACGGTAACACTCCCAGAGCCACAGAAACAAATCCCAAAATACTAGTAGCCCACGGCGTACCAAGCTTCTCATACATCGTTGTAGCGAATACAGCAAAGCCGGCTCCAAACAGACAGCGAAGCATTGTGTTAGCCGCCAAAGCACTGGCACTGTAACGCTCATAACAGTCGGTGAGATATGCATTGATGCCGAGGAAAAGCATCACTAGAGCAAAGCCAAAGGGCACACCGGCAATGATGGACACAATCCAATGTGTTGGCGGCAGTGCTGTCCATCCGAACCAAAATATGCCAATCGGCAATAGCCAAACTATTGGGATCAAATGTGGCAAGCGAGCTTCAGGTACCGGGCCAATCTTCTTCTTGTAATGGGTGTAAATATTGTTGACGTACGGGGAAAGACCAGTTGCGATGGCCATCCCAGTACCGATTCCCGTGAATGCCAATCCTGAAATGCCAATAGACCACCCGCGCGCTTTCTGGAAAACGACCGGATAAGCGGTAAAATCTAGGTAGAGCACGCCGTAGATGAAAGCCATGTAAAGTGATAGCGTGAAGAGAATCGGCTCTGTGAAAAGCATAATCCACGGTCGCATTAGACTTTGAGTGAAACGAGTGCTTCGAACGCTTTGTCGGACGTCGATACCAGCCTTGGCGTTTTTGATCTCAAGCAGCCTGGGAGCGTATGTCTCAGGAAGAGCAATTACCATAATGATGTATATTGCAGTTGCAATGATAAATACGACCCACGAAGTCCATCTCCAAGACAGGTACTGTGTTAAAAAACCGCCGACGAGGGATCCCAAAACCGGACCGCAGAAACTAGCTGCTGTGTAAAGCGCGAGCGGGACAGATCGGTGAGACTGGGGCCATAGATCGGTAATCGAACCGCCTGTGTTTGCAACTGGAGGCAAGCCAAACAGTCCGGCAAAGAACCGACAGACCAGTAGAGTTGTTATATTCTGTGCCAGTGCGCATCCTAAAGTGGCAAGGCAGAACAACAAAAAGGAACCATAGTAGAGCGGATTGCGACCCCTGCGTCCAATCAGTAGTGCGTTGGTATATTTGGCCTATGCCAGCCAACTTACCAAATCTCGGATAATGGTGCAAAGAGCAGAGGCCCAAATGCTGATCCGATCAAATACGTCGTTGACCCCAGTGTAGACATCAAGTTAGAGACGTGAAGACTGTCAGCAACTGATGAAATGGCCGGTGAATAAACACTGGCACTGAAACCAACGATGCCTGATATTGCGACGACGATAATCGTGTACATCCCTAATATCAAATCAATGTAAACCGCGATATTTCCCCATGCACTGGTGATAGATGATGCTTACATCTTGCCAATGCCGTCCAATTCAACGGGTCGTCGTCTCCTTCCAACTTTGTGATAATCTCAATTTCGCCAAGTTCAAGATCACCCAATGCATCTTCCAGTGCTGGCGACTCATTACTGGCGGCCTCCTCTTTCATTATAGTAGATTGTCGTCGAAATGCTCACAGCCGGAGCTCTTTTGTTGAAGCTGTGGCGCGGGAAAAAATGTAATTGATAAAACTCCGATGTGTTGTGAATACCGGCCTTTGGCTGAAGGAGTTGCAACCCTCAAATCTGTGTATCTATATAAAGATTCTGATAGATCGGATTTTGAAGATTCCGAGAAAGCGCATAATTACCACAAGGTGTCCCGATATTGCAGAACGGTATTTGTAGAAATCTACGCTTCTTATTATAACAATTTTACGTAGCAGTCAAAGAGACATTCATGGCGGGGATGGTCGAAAGTAGGGCGCGTCGATCCCCAGTAGGGTAGCCAGATCCCGGCCGTTGCACTACGTATAAAACCAAGAGGAGGCAGGTTGGGAAAATTGCCGGCAGTTCGGCAGAAAGAAAGAGATGGGTGAACCAACTGCTGTTCCGTATCAGTGGAGTCTTTGACTTATTCACATGTAGTAATCACTTTATTTTCATATATCCACGTACTCTATTTAGTTTGCAACGACTTGGAACATACATGCATTCTCTATTAGAAGCAGTGAAATTCTTCATTAGAGACGTGCATTCAAATACAGTTATTATCCTTTGTATTAAGTTGCTTACACTCACATTCACACTCACAAGCATACACACATATATGTATATGTTTATATTTGTGAATATGCTTGTAAACAATAAATACAACCGATATACCCAAACCCTGTATCTGTGTACGAGCAGTCATTTTGTTTCTTCACCTCCATTTTCTCGAGGCACTCAGCCCCTGTGTCTCTGGAGCGTATTCTGCCGGTGGTCCCGCTGTACTAGGTTGTCTACAGCTGCCCGATCCACTACCGTTATGGGGTATTCTCACTGCCTAATCCTACAGGGAATTTCATGTTAGCGTAGCACTGTGTCAGCATGCATCTAGAAATCCTTCCGGCGTGCGGCAAATCTACCCGCTTCAATACATCCGGTACTAGCGTTTCTAAGAAGCGGCAATTGGGTCGATCACACCTTCAATGCATATGCTGTTCCACATTATGAAGGAATATAACCATTGAAAGCCCATGTAGATGATGTGATGAGGAAGATGTTAGGTGACATATTGTTCTACGCTCCAAAAAGCTAGCCCGGCTTGTTGACATGGAAGAGGTAGGACTTATTAGAGCTTTCTGAACTAGTCACAGCCTACAACCGGCCCTTTAGGTCTCTCTTCACATGCCTTTATCGTAACATCGTATACACAATTTATTAGTTGGCGAATGACTTAAGGGTTACAAATAAAAATAGAAAATCTCTCACAAAGAATGGAATTTTTGAATGCTAGAAATAGATCTTGACGGTGGTTCAAGACGATGTTTCGCGCGCCTATTTAATATTCTAAAATTGAAACGGCATACTGTAGCCTCTACCACGGATATATGTAGAATAAATTCTATTCAGAAAACAAGTTCTTTGTTGAATTTCCTCAAAAGACCTCCATATATTGTACATTCATATGCTTTGGTATCACACAGGCTTTGAACCGTCGCGAACTTATATCTGTCTTCTGTGCACGGCGTTGATCATCCAAAGTCAAGAATTCCCGGCCGAGTACCAAAAGGGGGCTTATAGAATCGGTATGAGTCTCGTCAGTTTCAATCTTAGCTTGAATTGGGCGGCCTAGAAGTTGGGCAGTTGTGTGGAAAGCCGAGTCTATAGCCCCTGCAATCTGTTCAAAGTGTGTAAGTAGCGAATGCTTGCGTTGGCTTGGGAGTCTCTTCTTACCCATGTGTGGTGCTTTGATAGATGCTCTCCAGCAAAGTATATGTTGCCCTCTGGCTTCTTTGCTATTTCGAAGAAGCGAGAGAATTGGCCTGGAAGAAACATTGCATCTCCACCGCACGATTGGGCTGACCATGTAATGTCAAACGCCTCAATGAATTGCTCGTAAACATCAATGTCAGCTTCGTCTGCATAATATTTACTAAGATCATGCAAACAAATCTTGATTCTCTCAGATCGCGATAGCCCACTCCATTTCGCAGCATCGCTCATCCAGCTGTAAAGCAACAAGACACCAGAGCCGTTGCTGCCGAGATCATTGGATGGATAAACAATCCAGCGGAAGCGAAGATCAGTAGTACTTTGGCCACCAAAGCAAGGGTTGACACTGGAGCGCTCCCAGAAGCGCGTTCGAAAATGCAGACCAATCTTATAGAGAGGCTCATAGTGAGCGCCGCGAATTGACTGTTCTTTCATGAAGGACCATCTAGGGCGATCGACAATACTGTGAAGTGCAGATGGGGGAGTAGCAACTACTACAGCGTCAAAAGTAGCAGTATAGGTCTGATGAAGACCCTGCGCTGATAGCTGGACTTTCCCATTGTCTAGGTTTGTAATGCGATCCACTCGAGAGTTCAGACGAACGTTTTTTGAGCCTACTAATGAAGCTGCACATTGGGTTATGCGTGACATGCCGTCTTTAACCGTTGCCCACTAAGTGATAAAAGTTTTAGAAATATGCCATTAGATGAAACAAGGGAGGAATAAGCTTACATCTTTTGTGTCAAAGTCCAAGTTTTGCATGATTATCTCGGTAAAACTTAGATCGTATTGATTAGTCTGGGAGCAGAAGAGCTCAACGAACTCTATAACTTCATGGGGCCATCCGACGATGAGGCGGAGATAAGCCCGGAACGAGTACTCGTCATATTTGAGCAGCTTTTCAAACCCATTGTCAAAGTCCTGCCGAAGTATAGACAGCCACGGAAGGACGACGCTTCCAAGTAGTTGCTGAGGAGTCTTATTGCGGTAGGCCTCCGGAAGGCCAGCTTCGGTGGCCCATTTACTGTCTTGTAAGGCACCCTTTCGGTCTTGAAAAAAGGATCTGTTATTCTCATGATCGAGGATATATGGAATAAGCTCAATCTTGTCTCCAGCAAACCCATGTGTATTGAGATAGCGGACAAAGTCAAAGACTTTGGAATGCAAAGATGAGCGAGGGATGCGCATAGCTCCTGCTTCAAAATAAATATCCTCTGATTTAGCTTGTGGCGTAAACCGATATGTGTAGATACGACCACCGACTCTATCGGCTGCCTCGAACACAGTCACTTTATGACCTTCTCGGCGTAGCAACAAGGCGGTATAAAGGCCTGATATGCCTGCACCGATTATTCCCACATGCATTTTGAAGCTTGAGAGTGTAACAAAGCAATGTGATACTGTAGCTCAGCGATGGGTGAAAGGTTTTCAAAGAGTGTAATGTCAAACTAGCAATGTAGAGAAAGATAGCATGCGCTTAAAGTCATAATGCTTTGATATGTATGCAAAGTTCTTTGGACTTCGCTTCTTTAGGTGAGTTAAAAACAGAAGAGTGGCTACTGCAAGATGACCCAATTAAAGCCAAGAATATTCAGGAAGGGGCAGAAATCACACGTCCTCGGTTAGTTTTAATGGCATGATTTCGCGAGCAATCCAAGCCTAATCAGGCTGCCACTTTGGGTCTGAACATAAGTTACGGTAAGCAGTTGGAGTATCTTGGTGTATTCTATCTAGCCATTCTGGTAATATGGATACGTATTCTATGGAATAGATTAGGTATCAGCAATTGCCCCTATCAAAGCTTCCATTAAATGCTTTTGTAGATAGTATTTCGTAAACCATACCGAACATTTCCCCCTTTGATAATACTATGTAACCCTCTATCATATGACCACTAAACGCAACTAACCGACGGATGAACAGAACTCGCCGTCAATATGTGTTTGAAGGGCAATATGCCAGGCCTGTTAGTGCCAGTTTCAATTCGAAGAATACGCTAGCCTAGGCCAATCAAATAAATATAATTGTAAAATTAGTTGTCTCATTTGCGTCAAGAAAGTTCTACATGTTGAAAGCAATCCAATACCACGCTGCAATACCACGCGCAGGGGGCTAGAAAGGGGAGGTTGGTTGTAAAATGGGGGTGGCAATGAGATTCGTATGACACACAAAAACGATCTTCATACCGGCGACGGAGGTAATAGCGAATCGTAACTGAGAAAGGAAATAGGCTGGAACTGAGAGTAAGATTTTACGTTGTATCGATGCAACCGTTTAACGTATACATGTTGGCGTGGTGCCTAGTAGATTTCTGTATATCGATCTTGCATACTTTACCTGATTTGAATGATGTCACTATAATACAGCCAGTGACATACTTATCCAACAAATTACTTTGACAAGTTGGATTGTGAATAACGCCATGGCAAGGCCTATTTTCGCAAGTTTTACAGACTTTACCTATTATAGATATTGTTCGCTTAAGCAGGGGCTGCATCACATTACGGCGAGATATTGTTTCGGGCAAAATCCCCTTCGCGCGTATAACCTAACGAGGATATACCATTTTCTGAAAATGGAAAAAGCCTACGATGCATGGGTCTGCAATGGGGCGATTCATGCATAGGTAAGCTCGGGAAAAACAATCCGCTCCTAAACACCGATAAGATCGGCAAATCAACGTCTATCGAAACGTACACGTAAGCTAATAAAATAGACAACAGATGGAATGTACGTTGAATAGAATTACATGGACTTCAAAAGCCAAACCGATTGGACAGTTAATATACTTTCAAGTTACTGTTACAGCATCATTTGCTAATATAAAATGAATGTTACTGCGTTGAGACTACACTTTTGTTCAAGTTGATATAAAGGCGTTCTGAAAAAAGTAGGAGGATATTGAATTTTAAGGACTAATCTGACATAGCTTTTATAAAACTTTGCGCTAACACTTGTTTGATACCTTGCCCTAGAATCATCATCTTACTTCCTGAGTAGCAGTACTAAGCCAACTGACAGGTAGCATTGATGTGACTGTATGCAGCCTCCCTGCAAAAGTAGATCTGTGGAGCGGAAGTAAGCGGGTAGCGGCCCGGGCCATCCCCTTGATCTATGGAGTTTTTTTAACGCGTATTACATGTGAAGACAATACGACTCAACCAAGATATACTAGTGGAGAGATTGATCAATGGGACGATCGAGTGGTGCATAGCCCCAACAGTAATATTGCCTAAATGCAAGTAATGTGTTTCATAAGTAATCAGAAATGGGGTACATACTTCAAACCGCTTTTAGGTCAAACTGGGCTTTCGAAATGAGAGCATCATTATTAAGTATACAGTATAGAAAGACAAAAAGAGCATTACAATATCTCAAAAACAAAAAAAAAGAAAGAAAGAAAAAGAAAAAGATAGGGGAAAAAAGGCCATACTACCTCTACCTAGGTATAAATTGCAAATTCATTGCGCTGTTCAATTCCAGCTATTTGCTACTACATTAAAAGCTAGTATTAAACAAGTTATACTTTTACGGAATTGTTTCCTCTTGGAAAAATAATGTATGTATTATGTATAAATTTGAATTCTCTTGACAAATAATTACATGGCGCAATATTCAACTCCTAGTTCAGAATCCTTGTTTTTGCCCCCGTCTACTTCGGTGTGCTCCAGGCTCACGACTGCAGCGTCCGGTATGAGTTTAAGGCAGTTCAATAGTCTGAAGATTGTTTGGGGGAACCTAGTTGTGAGATGTCTACTGCTAGGCAGCAGCTTGCTTCACGGGAGATGTAAATGCCGATATGTAACTCCACTACAATGTCTTGAAGTATAAAGTCCAGCCATGATCCTCTCCATCTGGCATTTTGACTCGACAATACTATCACTAACAATCGTCGACGGATAGTTCACAGCCTTTGTCACCTTCTATCTTATCAAAATGCCTTCTTCTAAGAGCGCTCCTGTCATTGACTTCTCTGACTTCTTGTCGGGTGATCAACAGCGGATGCAGCATTGTGCTGATCAAATCAGAGATGCGTGTCTTACTCAAGGCTTTTTCCAAATTGTCAACCATGATATTCCTGCTAGCCTTCAAAAAGACATTTTCAAGGCATCAAAGGCTTTTTTTGCTTTGCCACTCGAAGAGAAGATGAAGCTAGACAAATCTCTCGTACGTCAATTGAGGCGCATCCATGTCGCTCGAATGCTAATGCGATCGAACAAAAACAGAACAAATACAACCGTGGATATGAAGTCATGCATGGCCAAATGATTGAGGCAAACACCAGGCCTGACCTTAAAGAGGGATATTATGTCTCTCGTGACCTGCCTATGGACCACCCTCAAGTTAAGGCAGAAAAGTTTGCCCACGGCCCAAATGTGTGGCCTGAGTCTCTTGGAGAAGCTTTCCGAGAAACTTGCATGGATTATTTGAACCGCATCGTGAAGCTTACAGAAGAGGTCATGCGGGCCATGGCAATGAGCTTAGGCTATGATGCGGACTACTTTCAGGAGTTTTGCTCGGATCCCATGTGCTTCTATAAATTGCTTCACTACCCACCTCAGCCGTCAGATGCCCATGCTTTGCAAAGAGGCATGTTGACTCATTCCTTTTTCACATTTTTGTTAATTTTATGCTAACATTGACTCAGGTATTGGAGCTCACCGAGACTTTGGCGTGATTACTTTACTCCTGCAAGGAAACGTCGCTGGTCTCGAAGTCTGGGACGAGGAAGTCAAGGATTGGTACCCTGTTCCTCCAGTTGAAGGAGCCTATGTTGTTAACATGGGTAACCTGTTTGAGCAGTGGACAAACGACAAGTATATTTCCAATGTTCACCGCGTTATCAATCGCTCTGGAGAAGAACGTTTCAGCATCCCATTCAACTATAACGGCAATCCGGATTTCATTATCAAATGTATCGAGAAGTGCCGCTCTAAGCCTGAAGAAGAGAAGTATGCTCCGGTTAGTGTTGAGGATTACGTTGTTCAGAAGTACAAAGATGTTTATGGTCGGGTTGGCATTTACAAGTCCGAGTCATTTGCTCCTCAGAAGGCCAACGCTTAGATAAAAAGACAGTCAACATATTACTTGTTTTTGTTTCAATTAAAAGCATCAAAAAATATACTGCGGCAATCGCTTCTGTTCTACTGCTAAGACGCATTTCTTTGCTTGTAATTTTGAGTCATTAACGTCTATGCGGCGGTCCTCCGTGTTTCATCTAGCTCTACCGCTCAATAAATTCAAGAGAAATAAATACTATAAACGTCGAATTATCTCTAATGTCAGTAATTGCACTTCATCTGATTGTCGCAAGTGCAAACGGCTTTGCTTTCTGGCTTTTTGGTACCCACGTGCAACAGTGTTGTACAGGTGACGGTGTATCTTCTATGATCAAGTCATATTGCCCATGGCTTTCACAATATGACGAACGTAACAATCAAAGTAGACGTGAATGATTTCTTAAATAGGTCTTAAATGGACATAAGTATGTGTGCCGTGAATGACCAACAATTAGGTTTTAACTAAAGATTCTATTGCAGGATCAGTCCCTCTGAGGGGCGGTTCTGTTGGTAGAGGCCACTGTAAACTACGGCTTCTATGTATTATACGCCCACCAACACTTTTTGATGATAGCAGTAAGCGCGCAGCGCGAAAAGACTGAAAGAGAAAAACAAGGGCTCGCGTGGTTCTTTTCATGGTCTCGAAAAATGGCTTACAACACAGGATCGGAAATCCGCAGAACAGCGGCTCAATATCCTCTTCAGGTGATTTAACCTGGCTATACGATGTTCTGTGTTGCAATGATATATTAGACGCGCAGCATGCCAGAGATGACAAACGGCAAACAATCCTCATGAATGACGAGGGATTCAAGTGCGAGGACAATGCCACCGAGATATGTACCTGATTGGCGGAAGTCTCATGGGTGGTAATCTTTATAATGATGTCCTTGAAACGTAAAGCACCTTGCTCTTATCCGGCTCTGTTCTCATTCCTACTGCTGTATACTACGAAGCCTCAACAAATTAGTTCCATATATAGCCTGTGAAGAAGACGTCAGGCCTAAGACGTACGTCCATAAGTGTTGACAGTGGTTTTACTTATTAAAATCGCCGCCACTGCTGGACTTGTAAGCTTTACTTTTCATTATATGATAATTATACTTGCAGTAGAATGTGGAATAGAACATAAGCAATTTAATAAACCCCAATCTGTTAAAAGCTAAACTCGTATCTATGAAATTTAATATATACATCTCTCATATACTATATACACCTCAGGGCTTTATATACATTGTCTGCCCTATACTATATACACCTCAGGGTTATATACATGGTCTGCCCTGTAACAGCTACTACCATTAATTGAGATAGAAAAAGGCTACTCAATTAGAAAACACAGCCTGTCAAACGGTTGGCAATGTCTGAGGAGTACGAGCTGGTAGCACCACCCTCGCTCAAGTTTCCGTCGGCGGGGATGCTGCCTGAGTTATAAAGTCGTGCAGCCTGATAGACTGCCTGAGCTCCAGTAGTCGACAAGCTGGCCAGAAGCTGCTGCAGACCAGAACCAGATGCAGTTCCTGTAGTGCCATCCTGGATCATGCCTACAATCACGTTGTTCGGGCATGGGTTGATGCCCTGACCCGGTCCCAACCAGCAGGTGTTTGTGCCGTTGGCGTCCTGCATCAACCCAGGGTTCGCCCAGAATCCTTGCGTGGTCGGAACACGCACGCATCCCTTGCTCTCTTGTACCACAGTTGCCAAGACGTAGCGCTCATCGACACCGGACGAGGCTGCGATACTAGTGATGGCGGACTGTAGCTCTGAGGTCTCTGTAGGAGAGTTGTTCGCCACTCCCCAACCATTGTTCTGACACGCGCCATTGATCACGTTGAGATTGGCATTCCATAAGTTGTCGAAGCTGGCCCAGGCGCTCTCGTCGGGCCAGCCACTGCCAGTCGAGCCATCACCGGTGTAGAAGATCTTAGAGGTGCAGGTGATGGCTCCAGTACCACCTCCGTTGCCAGGGGGGGTACCAGTTCCATTGCCAGGGGGAGTGCCACTTCCGCTGCCACAATATGCGGGACCGGTGCCACAGAAACCAAATTGCGAGCAGCAGAGGCCTGTGGCACAAACAAAGCCGGTGGTGCCACCACAGCTTCCGTCCGGAGAGGTTTGCCGAGTTTTCAAGCTGCCAGAAGGCATGGCCATGACGCTTGAAGCCAAGCAAAGGGCAAGGAATGCAGGGAGTGATTGACGCATTGTGAAATACGGGTATTGAAGCTGGAAGATAAGTCTTCAGACGGACAGTTGGCCAGTTAGCGAATAGCTTTGCAGAGTCTGCGGCTGTTGAAGGGATTGCTGGTTGAGATCTTCATTGTTTCTGCGAACCCATCCTCGCTCTTATATAGATTATCTGAAGTTGGTGCTGATTCCACCAGGGCGTTTTGGGATGTCATTGCCACTCTTAGTAGGTGTGGTTTTGAGATGCCATAACCATTGTAAGTAGGTGAGGTTATTACCATTTTGGTAGGTGTGGTTTGGAGACGCTATTACTGTTTTCAGTAGGTGTACCTGCGTTTGTGACTGTTGCGTGTCTCACTTTTATTTTAGAGATGTTACCCCTGTCATTAAACCTTAGGTAGCCCGGAACTCTCCCGGATCTACGAACCATACAATGTCTGCGCCAAGATCAACAAGGAAGCATAATCATGTATTCCAGGAAGTTAGTCTACGTATAATGATACTTTCTTTTAAAACTCAAAAGCCAGCAAGCTGTTTAACTCTTTTTATCTTGCTCGTCTACGGCTTTTACATAAGATAATAAATTTGTTGCAAGGCGCTGGTACAAGAAAGGACATGTCCAGAATGCTAATCTAGGAAACTGCAACATTGAGTTGGTATTATTCTTGGTGTAGGTAGTTCTTGTTAGTTACTAACTTAGGAAAGCTGTCCCGAACATGCAACACCCCTTGAAAAAGTATCTTAGCCTTGATTGGAAACAGTGAAATATAACGCACTTGGTAAAGGCACATGTTTTTTTGTGCCATACTAAGTAACGTTGCTAGATGTAAGATAAGCGTTTCAAAATCTATTCCTATCCCATAAGCGCTGTCCTGGATAGGCAGTCCAGGTTTGTAGCTTGTTTTTTATTTGACTATTGTTTGAATACAAGGCTTTCTAATTCCTATCAAGTAGCTACTTTTTAGAATCTTGTAGAGTAAGAAAAAAAATTGTAGAGTAAGACGACGTGTTCTAAAACAAGTAGGTATTTGAAATATATTGCGATCTAGTTTGACAAGGCTTTAGCCCACCTTCTGTTGCAGGAAAAAATCTCGGAGTATTAGTTATGCCGAGCCTGACTCGGCGCTATACATAGGATGTAAAGAAACCTAGATTCTGTTTGTTAGATAGAAAACCAACACAAGTTTACTATGCAAAATGGCCCCTAGCTGCTGCAGCGGCCTCGTTCCTGCTAATTCCAGGTCATATAGGCTAGATCAAATGATTCTGTAACTTGTTCTCGTCCTGTGATCCTCATACCGGCATGACCAGCTTGGTTGTTGATAATGTGGTGGTGTGTAGATAAGCGAGTGTTCCCAACTTTTCAATATACTAGCCTCATTGAAGAAATAAGCAAGGATAACCCCTGGATTTTGGAGCTAATAGGATCAAGGCTGAAATTAATTGTAATCCAACGCTTATGGGTTACCTAAATAGTCAGGCTGGTGCCTAGTAGAACGCCCCCATTTGGAATCTACAATCAGTCAAATGCGAGGTTACTTAACACTACGGGAGAAAAATAAAACAAAACAGTAACATCGTGTTATAAATTTCTTATAGTGGAATTTTTTTTTTAAGTCTTTGCAAGCATTCGTCCAAGACTTCTACGTATCCAAACAAGCGGTGCCTGTAGTGTTGTTGCAGAACGCCGATTCCGGGCGCTGCACACAACAATAGCTGTAAACAAGAGAGTAAAACTTTTTAGGCCTAGTCTAGTTATCTCATCTTCAAACCTCTAGGCGTTGCAACAACCTCTAATATACCCGCTGGCCCTTGGCGCCGGGCTCGTAGGTATTACAACGTTGTATAACCCGAAGGAGTGCTGCTGTTGTTAAGATCGAAGACATTTGAGCTGCGGTTAAATTCATCCCAGCTGCCTTGATTACTGCCACTGTTGCTGCTGTTGATCCTGCTTTGCCTTACCATCTTTGTAACTCGCCGACAGACTCAAATTTAAGGTCAAATAACGACTCCGTGAAGAAAGCCTTTGATATGAAAAATCGGGTTGCAACTAGCTTCAGTTCAATAGATATCTTAGTTAAGGCTTACTTGTTAAAAGACGAGGAAGAGAAAAGGGAAGTTGTCTAATAAAGTGCGGCATTTGACTGAGTTGGTGGGCCACAGCCACAGGGACCGCTTGTTTGGATATGTAGCGGGTACTCGGGAGCGTTTCCCTTTTTTCCCCCTCCAGTTGCTAAGAGCGGCATTAGTTCCTGGAATTCTATTAAAGTAATTGTTTTCGCTAGTATTCAAAGCTGTAGTTGCTTTTTCTGTTGTTTCCTTGTGTTTCTTGTCTCCTTCATCCTAATTAGCTACCTATTCCAGCTTTCTCCAGTATTTCTGTACTGCTTATTCATTCAATGCTTTTTGCTAGCTGAGGCTAACCTATATGCTACTAGTAGTACAAGTGGTAATGCAAGGGCGCAAGCCAGCCTTCTTCCCACGCCCTTTGCCCCACGCGCTGAGAAATACCCTTTGTAGATCTTGCCTAGCTCAGCATTGTAGTAGAGACATATACAGCGACTATAGAGTTAATGAAGTATAAATAAATCAAATTGGTAACTCACCATTCTTTGTTCTGATTTGCACGCACCTCGGCATCATTCGCTCAGCCCAATTCAATACTTATACCACTGCATTCGAAACCATGCCAAACTCAGAATCCATCCCAAGACTCCTCAACTCATTTACCGACAAATGGTCTCCGCGCCTCGTCGCTGCAATTAACGACCACCACGTCAAAGTTGCCAAAATAGATGGCGAATTCATCTGGCACGCACATCCGAATTCGGACGAACTTTTTTATCTGCTTGAAGGCAAATTGACCATCGAGCTCGAGGGCCAGGATGACGTTGTGATGCAGGTTGGGGACACGTTTGTGGTTCCAAAGGGTATCAGACACCGTCCTGTTGCAGAAGAGGCATCTATCATGATGATAGAGCATGAATCTACAGTCAATACTGGAGATGAGACCAGTTCGGACAGGACAAAACGGGTCAAAGATGCTCGTGGACAGTATTAAGACGGGCTGATGTTATTTGTATATATCAAGCGGATCCGTTCGGGTCGACTGATGCTTGTGGAGAAAGAATGGAGCAAGGAGCGATTGATGAATTAGTAATGCAAACCCCATATTGGAGCTCCATGCTCCTCTACAGTATAATATGATCTTGAAAATATGTATCCAAGAGTTACTGCTCCTGGGCAGTTCATGTGATTGGCAAGGAGCGCTGCTTCTATTAGTATCTCAAAGTTTTCTTTTGTTAAGGGATACGGTAGGTCTTTTTCAAAAGAGTTCAATGGGCGTGCCCATTGGCTGCATCGATGCATGCGAATAGGTATTAGGATTCTGCTGACAGACGGTTGATAGATGCATAGCGGCAACACATAGAATAGCATACATGACAAAAGTCTTCCTATTTTGAATTAGCCGATGTATTAGGATATAGAAATCGGTTGCACATTAATTAAAGAACGTTGTAGGTCATATTTGGGGAAATATGAGTGTTGTTCCGGTCTTCTTATCTTAGCGATGGAATAATTTAACATGCAAAAAGTTTATCCGAAGGTTCCTGCTCATCTCTAGGTGGATGTTGGGTATAGAAACCAACGATGAGACGGCATGTTGGCGAAGAGGCTGGAGGCATTGGATATTGCGTTCAATGCAGCTTGAGCATGGGGAGTGCTTATAAATTATGATTCCGACATTATTTTGGCATCGGTATTTCCCAACATCTGCAGTATAGTTTCATGCGTTGAGTCTCTGGTGCTTGCATGCACTACATCGCCGACTCTTGCAGCGGGGACGCTTCTTGCGCGGCTGGTCAATAACTCTAATTGTTTGTAAAATTTGACCCGTATCTGATCAGGCTAATACTAGAAAAAAGCATAGAGGGCTTTGTGTATATAATGAAGCGGTCATTCGTGTGAGAGAGAAAAGAACGATATAAACACCGCTGAGAGAAACATGATTTTACTCAGCATCTGGGGGAGATCCTTCGAAAACTTGGCCTCTCAGTCAGCCGTCGTATCCCCCGCTATGAATGAGAACTCTTTTTCAAGTATACACGCTGTCTAGGGTAAACTAACTTCAACGGGTTAAGAGACGCAGGTTGCCAGCTCGTGCTCGACTCAGATAATACCTAGTTTGGTAAACGACACAAATGCCGCCGAGATGAAGTCGAGAAGAACATAAGCTATTGCAGCGCTTCAGCCATGGTCGATGCCATTATCAAAGGCTGCCCTGTTGCGCCAACTATAATACCGTCGCAGCGGTACATCGATGTTGAAGATACGGTGCTACTACATCTTGGCGCATTGACACTCGACGATGCGAATGACGAAAGAAAGCTCGCTTTTGCTGGGAGATATTTATGGATGCAGGTTCTCGAAAGTCTTAATAGACAGTATCCGCATATGATGATGTCAGAGTCGATTGATGAACTTGCCGTACATGCTAGAAAAAGAGAAGGCTCTAATTTACTTGGTTCTAGACTTTTTATTATACGAATTTGCCTCGCGATGTTATAATTTATGCCTTTTCACTCTAAATTATGGGAGGTCACCAGGCCGATGGTAACTGTGCCTATGGTCATACAGCCTAGCTCACCCCATAGCGGCCTTATTCGCTATTGCACCTACGAGCGCTAGTAACTGCACTGCAATGGGTTGGAAAATGGTAACACACAATCCCTGTAATTAGGAAGCGGGGATTGCCTCCCGCTGAGTTGTACCACTGGCTTAACGGTGCAAATGTAAGAAACGAGCTATCCCTCCGAAATCTTTCATCTCTGCGCATTGTTTCCTCTGGCCAGCACCCGTCGCCGGTTTTTGTTTTTCTTTCTAGATGAAGTAGAATCTTCCCAAGAGAGAAGGACCCTCACTCTAGTTATGGGCACTCCAAAAGACCACCTGCCGGTCTCCATTTCAGAGGATGACATTCGAGCTCTTCTTGTGTCGCTGGATCTACCATCGCCACAACTGGTATCTCCTTTACCTACCACAGCGGAATATCATTCAATTTACGTCCTTTCTTTTCCTTCAGCAGTAGCGGCTACCCTCTCCCCAACTTTGGCACCTCTGCGCGACGATGATCACGTCCAGCTCATCTTGCGTATTTCTGGCAACCATCTACCCCGCATCAAAACCATCAACGAAGTTGCAGTCATGACTTGGGTGCGGCAGAATACTCGCTTGCCCGTAGCGGAAGTTGTGCGCTTTGATGCTACCACCGACAATCCACTGGGCCATGAGTATACTCTCTTGCAAAGACTTCCTGGAGTTGCAGTTAGTGACGTTTATGATCGCCTTTCGCCAGACGTTTTAGATCGTCTCATCGACCAGATGGTCGACATTGTACACCAGACTCATAGTATGTCTTGGCATGGGGTATTTGGTCTCCAGTTTGACAGTAATGGAGATGTCGTCCCAGGCCCCGTACTTGAAGAAACATTTTGGCACTCGCCTGATGTGGCCAAATACTGGCCGGCTTCAGAATCGGTGGAATCTCTCAATATTAGCGGACCATACGAATCCTACACCGACTACGTAGCCGCAATGGTCCGCGTATACCAACATGCAATTCGTGTCCATCCAACATTGGAAAACATGAGAGACCTTCTACCACGCCTCGATGCTTTTGTGGAGGCCCTGTCAAAACATCCTGAGCTCAATAATACCAGGTATATTCTAGCACATAAAGATTTGCACTTTGGAAACGTCATGTATGACGAGTTGAGCGGCTGCATCACAGGCATATTGGATTGGGAATTCTCTAGCATCGTGCCAGCGCCCCGCTGGAATCCCGTCAGGGCTTTTCTGTGGAATGGCCAGTACGCTCCAGAGGCCACTGAAGAAAAGAATCGTGTCAATGAGCTGTTTAGAGAACGTTGCATAGCGCGAGGATTGGCATCTCTGATAGAAGAGACAAATTTTAGCTCGACTATACAGCAAGTGATGCAAGATACAGTCAATTACTTGCGTGCAATTGTCGAGGTCAGCCCACGCCATCAAAAGGCAGAGGTGGTTCCTAGCTGGCGGGCTTCCCTTGAGGAAGGGCTGACTGCTTTTAAGGTCTGAAAGGCTTTGTAAATATAAGCCCCCCATATCGCTAGCATAGAGCCGAATCAGAAGACAATTATCAATGCATACGCTATATAGAATTTAGTTTTTAAACGCTGGAAAATATCTCTTCAAGCCAGAATCCAAGAATCTCATGCCAATAGGTTTCACCAGATAGTCATCAGCACCAGCAGCACTCGCGGCTTCTCTATCTACATCACTGTCTTGCCCAGTCACAATAAATAGAATACTTGAGTTCCATCCATGTTGTTTCTCCAAAGAGCGTATCTCCTGTGTGGCGTCAATGCCATTACACACTGGCATCTGCAGGTCCATGAGAATCAGCTCAATGGGAGCACCATCACCAGCAGCGTGTGACGTTTGTCGCTTTGAGAATATCTCAACAGCTTGTTTACCGTCAGCCGCACTGAGGCAAGACAGTCCTCGCTTCTTGCAATACATCTGCAAAATGCGGAGGTTGATAGTGTTATCATCCACAACGAGTGTGATGGGTTTAGCTGATCGTGCGGGGGCTGGGGGTGTGGTAGAGTGCCTCCGGATGGCTAGCTCATCAGATTGACATTTAGATAATAAACCCTTGTCTAAACCTGACTCGCCGCCATGTTCGAGCGTCTGGCCTGATTCCCCATTAGTAGAGAGTGAGGGCGAACCGTCTATAGAGTCGTATCCCTCGTCTGAAGTCGAGTAAGACTCATCTGAAGGGTTGGAATGAACAGCAGAGCCACCTTGAGCCAAGTCCTCGGCCAGGTTCTTGTTGGAACTGACAAGTCTCTTCGCTGGATCGATCATCATGGCAAGGTTATCGGCTTCTTGAAGTATGTTCAGAAGCTTTAATGTTGAGAAGGGTCCGCTGACATATATGACATTGGGTAGCGAATCGAGAGACTCTGAATCAACTGACGTTGGGACCAGACAGATGACGACTTGGTCCGATGGTACAGATGAAATGTGGCTGTGGTTTTGTTGCGAGTCACGGCGGGATTCAAGGATTGTAAAGCAGTCTTGGTAGCTCTCCGAAGGGGTGAGTCCGTTACGAATCAGGAACTTGGCGAAATTTGAAGACAGATGCAAGTCAGGCAAGTCAGCTCCCAGCTGGTGGAATCGCAGCGGTAGGTATCTAAGAGAAGACGGTGTTATATGCGAAGGCGCGGTCGAAGCTGTGTAAGTGATATCTCGGAATGTTGCCCTGAAATGAGAGCCGCGATCGACTTGTGATGATATTAGCTCAATAGAGCCGTGTAAAAGCGTCGAAAATTTGGTGGCCAGAGGCAAACCTAGTCCAGCGCCTGTCGAGTGCTCGCCACCTTTCTCGTAGAGCTCAAAGATGCGGCTCTGGTCGTCTGGCAGAATGCCACAGCCCGTATCTTCGACATCGATCACGAATGCATCTGTCCCCTGTTGTTTCGAGGACGTGATTATAACAGCACCCTCTGATGTGTTTTGAATGGCATTAATAATAAGGGGAAGGACGCTGTCCCTAAGTAAGCTGAGGTCGGTTTCCAAGCACCTACAGTCTAGAGGTAGATCGCAGTGAAAAAATATGGAAGGCGTCGAGCCTGTGTGCCTTGTCGCTGCGTCAGAAATACCTTTCATGAGCTCCAACTCCAGCTCGCTAATGTCATGCGCGGCATAATGTCGTTCGGCCACGGCAACATCAGCCCATCTGTTCAAGGTAATCATGCTGTTAACTGTTGACATAAGCTCTCGACCTGCTGTAGATATGGTATCGAGGTACAAGGATGACCTTTTAATATCAGAGAGAAATCCTGCAATACCCGCCAACGCTGGCTGTATTTTGGCGTTGTCAGATATAGCGATTGCCTTTAAATCCTCGTTGAGCAGTTCGGCGGCGCCGAGAATACCATGTATCGGAGTTCGAAGCTGATGAGATATTCCACGAAGAAACCTTTCTTTTGCTCTGATTGCTTCTGATAGAAGACGCCTCTGCCAGATCTGGGTAAGCATAGATGCACAGGACTGTATAAACCAAGCATCGACATCGTCAAATATTCGTCGAAAATCCTTGGTAGCTACAGCAAGCACAGAATGACCCAGCTTGCTTTCGCACTGCGCAGAAATAACCCGAACAACTCTATCTTTAGGAGTATCATTATGATTTGATGTTGCAATGAACTCTTCAATATAGGCAGTATCTTCCCATAGCCCATTGTTTAGGTCAGAGGGCAACCCCGAATACTGGCTGTTGACGAACTGACCAGTTCCAGACGACAGAATGCTGATCGACTCATCCGGATAGGCGATTCGCAGTATCTCGAGCACTGGTTCTTGTGAATCGTTCTCGTCGGATACATTTTCAACAGTCGCAATGAGCTCGGCTAGTCGATGACGCTCACGTTGGCGTCGGGCTCGTGTGCACTGCACAATGTCGGCTACAACCCAATCGGCAAGACGAGCGAGGGTTTGTTGCTGCGGCTTAGACAAGGGTGGTTGACTGGTTGCTGAGGCGACACACAACGATCCTAGACCAACACATTCCCCGGATTCGTGCTGCATTCGAAGCGGGACGCCTGCATATGCTAACAACCCGCCTTTTTCAACATATGGCGACTCTCGAAACCTCCAATCCTCCAACATGTCTGGTAGGAGAAATACATTCTATACGCATGAAATTAGAATGTATATACTAAGGGGACACTAGAAGCAATTGGCCATACTCCAGGTGGTTGTGTCACCGTATGGGCGCAAAGCGTTTCGCCGCGGGGGAGAATAGCGACCTGAACACCAACTGTTGCAAGACGGATATAGACGTTGACATCAAGTAATCCCACAATGGCAAACTCCCAACCAGAAGATTCTTGTGCTAAACAGACTTTTTCTTGAAGCCCTGACAGGAGCTCAGATTCGTTGCCGAGATCCCGCCCGTAGTACCATAGCATAGACAATCTCAGCCGTTCATTTCTGGCCAAATGAGCCCGTAGGTATCGAGATGTAGCACTGGCAGGTTTCTTGGGTATCGATGCCGAAGTGTAAGGGTCTTTCTTCAAAGGATAGAAGCACGACTCGGTTTCCGGAGTCCACGGCGCAATTGGAACATGAACATTGTCGACATCGAATATTACACTTTCGGAGCTACAACGCGCTATTACAAACTTCGGTTACCAATATTTAAGGGTAAGTAGCTTCGGCAGAAGGTAGGTTATCAGACAATCTTCATTCATACATCATACATACAATACATATACTAATATGACAAGTTATAGGCCTATTGTACAATAATATCCTTAGGAGCGGAAGAGCTTGAACAAATACAGCTATTTTTAGCATGGTCTTGGAGCCGCTGAGTTTCAATACTTGCAACGATCACTGGTGCTAAATGTCAGAATAACTAAGAGTCCCTGTAGTAAGTGTTTCAGCTATTCTAATTCAGTATGGTTCCCAGCAACGGTCTCGAAATTACTTCAGGGTAGTGATGTTATTGTACACAATAAATTTTGTTAGCTGCAGAGCCAATGTAAATAAAGTGAAAATAATACATTTTGTTGTGTAGTCCATTCTGAGTTAAATAATACAATTATATTACATTTTATATTAAGAGTTCTATTTTGGTCCGAGTAGAAAACTGGAGCCTGTGTGGTTTTAACTCAAAGCTCGTCCTACTATACCTGGTTTAACAGCCTGAAAATCTGGGTCGATACCTAGCGTTAATGAACCTTTGCTAATCTAACTAGGCCACCGTTATGGCTGGACCTCCCTATAAAACTACAAGATAGCTAGCACTAGATAAAACAAAACAGCATTCGCGATGACCTCGTTTTTATTGAGAAAACGCATCGGTGATTAGATTACGTGGTTTCTTGATGTGTTCACACGGGTCTTCCTTGCTAGCCGCAGAGCTACTTAGCTTGTGTTGCGTTGGAGTGCTTTGTTCCAGGTTGAGCTTATACATACGTTCCCAAACGCTTTAACAAATTGGTATTCGATGCAGTACTGTATACCAATTTGTTTGTAAGTCGCTATTGTGGGTTTTGGATTCGTGGCAACTTTAATTCTTTTGCACAGGTGAGTTTAAGACATCTATAACGTAAAATACTAGATTTGGTAGACTATTACTTGGATACTGAATTGAACCTCGTTTCTACACAAAAGAGCTCATGAGAAATGAGCCATTCACATGGCAATCCTATCGGTCTATGATGATCTTGGCGTGGCATGCTACCTGTCTTGATTTATCCTTTCCCATTTCCCTACACGTATGTATATGTCGAAAGATGGGTTGCGTATATATGGAGTACATAGCTTGTCCAAGGAGTCGCATACCGTCGCCATATATGGGCAGCAAGGCGTCATGTACATTTCTATTTTATACAAGATTGAGCTTTCTAGAACCACTTTATTTTCTCTTTGGTATACAGAAACTGAATCCAGCTTCTTTACCCCATTGCTTGGCGAACACTATCATTGGCCGCCAATTTAGCCTTAGAGCAGTATTAAAGTGCATGCTTATACGGAATCAACTTTACAAGATTGATCCACTATGGTGCGATCGTTGAAAAGTGCAATATAAAAGGGCAAACAATCTATGTTGAGTTGCAAAGTGCTCTTCGCTCTGATCACTGCATGATAACACGTCGTCTCTTTCATTAATGAGCATACCCAAATAATGGTTCACTTCAATTTACAGGCCATCCTGGCATTGGCAGTCACAGTTTCCGCTCTGCCGGCTGATAGCCCGACACAATACGTAGGACCTGAGAATGGCAACTTGGTGATAGTCGGGGGCGGCACGCTGGACGATTCCATTCTCCAGCGCGTCATTGACCTTGCGGGGGGCAATGATAGCTCAATTGTCGTCATTCCTACTGCTCAGGGTGATCCAAGCTATGATCAGAATGCAGCGAATGCGGGAGACTTTCGTCGCCTTGGCGCCAAAAGTGTTACTGTTCTACATACATATGACCCCGAGGTTGCAAACACGGAAGAATTTGTTCAACCACTTCTCAATGCTACTGGCGTCTGGTTTGGAGGCGGTCGCCAGTGGCGTTTAGTCGACGCTTACGCCGGAACGCTCACTCAACAAACGATCCGAGCTGTGCTGGACGCTGGTGGTGTCATAGGCGGATCCTCTGCTGGGGCATCTATTCAAGGGGATTTCTTGGCGCGAGGCGATACGGAGAGCAACACTCTCATAATCGGAGATCATCAACAAGGCTTCGCATATGTCAAGAACGTGGCTATCGATCAACATGTGCTAGTTCGCAATCGACAATTCGACATGTTAAATGTGCTCAAATACAAACCTGGGATTCTGGGCATCGCAATCAACGAAAACACCGCTGTTCATGTTTGGAAGAATAGTGCTCAGGTATTCGGTGCTAGCTACGCCATCATTTATGACGGAACATACTGGTCTAGGGACGGTAACGATCCGAACCAACTTCCGGATGATTCAGGCCTATTCTATTTCTTAAGAGAAGGGGATGAATATGATCTTGGGCTACGCAAAGTCATTAAATCGTCTTGACCTTACCTTGTGGTCGTTCTATAGCTTAGCATATCTTGTCATCGAGAGCAGACTTATATACCTATTGTGCATTTCGATGAATCTTAAACTTGTTGCTAGGAAGCGATATGCTGGCGGGCACTCTTTGGCTGGGTGCATCTACTAGTTATATGGTATTCTGCTGCGACATACTATTGAGTGGATAACACGGCTTAGAATAATTTAAAAGAAGAAGCATACGTGAATACCGTCGACTACCTACAATTCTGATGTATTAAAATAGCTTTCTTTTGTATTGCTCATCTGGGCTATATTCTTTGTGTCTGTAATGTTGTGGAAACATGCATCTATACTATCTGAACGTGGTTTAGCATTACTTTGTGTGCAATGATAAAAGTTGCGATAATGGAAAGTTGTTTCAGCTCGGCAGCGCATATTTGGCCCGTCTAATATGAGAACCGCCACCGTGGGTCTTTATCCCCTTCCCAGTCTGATGCGTCTCCTACATTCTCAATTTCAGGAGAGATATTTGCCCTTGCTGTATTTTGCGCTTTTAGTCGCCATCCGGTATAGCTGACCACAAGAACATTTGCACACAAGTAGGCCAGTGCGACTGAGTGACCAACGACAAATCTAGGCCCATCATTTGACCGATACAGCTGCGTCCCCATGACAGCCCCTAGATTACCAATGCTAATCTGCATCGCGTTTGCAATAGCTCTTTTTGTCTGGCCAGATACATTGATAGCCGGCCATGAGAGAACCAGTGCAGTGGCCGGGTAAATGCCTGCAGCAGCAAAGAACGTGCCAGCGTACGACAAGCCCGGCCGTGAGACAGGGTCGGTGTTTGCAAGCAACATGATATATCCAATTGCGGCCGTGATTGAAGAGCCCGCTATAAAGATCGCCCTTTTCCCCAATCTTTCTGACGCAATGGCAACTCCCACAGTAGTAACGAATGCTAACGCATACGGAGGAATCGTAAGGAGCTGAGCTTTCGCTGCTGTATATCCAAGGTTGCTGATAATTGTTGGCTAGTACACAGTCAGCGTTGAAGATACTTCAGATACTTCAGATGAGTTTGTACAATACTTACCAGAAATAGAGAAAGAGTATATAACGGTAAGCTCATTGTATGAAAGCCCAGACTGTAGAGCCAGCAGCTTGGGTCACTGACTGCCTCACGTACAGCAGCCCAGTTGAAATCTTCTTTGATCATAGCGTCGCAGTCAGCGGCCAATCTAGTTTTGATCAACTCTCTTTCGGATTTCGTGAGAAATTTAGCGGTATCGGGGTAGTTCTCAATGAACCAGTACGCTGATGTGGCAATGATGACAGTAGCAATTCCTTCCTGAGCTACAATGTCAATATAGACTCTCCAGCCCTTTGAGAGACACTTACGAGAATGAATATCCACCGCCATCCATTACTCCAAACGATCCCTCTCATCTTCGCAATTCCCTAAATATTGTGTTTAGCAGTGTTAAAATGAGACGATTCGTGAGCATCACGTACAAATGCTAAAATGCCACCAAAGGCTCCCGCAAGCGATGCCGCACTGAAAAATAACGAAATACGATACTGCCGCTCCTTTCGTTTGTACCACATCGATAAATAAAACACAACACCGGGGAATAGGCCGCTCTCTGTTACACCTAGGAAGAATCGAGCAACAAGAAAGCCAGGAAGGTTTTGTACCACTCCCAACAGCGTAGCAACAACACCCCACGCTATTGTCAAAGTTGGGAGCCATAAACGAGGGCTTGTCTTTTTGAGGATAATATTACATGGGACCTGTCTCTGGCGTCAAATATTGTTCCGAAGGACGGACAATTCTAGGCCACTGACTTCGAAAAGAACATAACCAATGAAATAGATGGTAAGTCCAGTAAGATACTGGTTCCCAGCTGTTAAGTGTCAGAAATATCTCGGCAACTGAGGATCTGCGTATGTCGAACTCATGTGGAGGTCATTTACCATGCCCTCAATGCGAGCATTTCCAACTAAACATTGTTTTAGCTGAGTTAAAACGGAACCTTCGAGTAGCACATACCATTACTACGATCTAAGAACGAGAGAAGGTATAAAATACCAACTCCAGGCAGGAGTCTAGCGTCCAGTTTGCGAAGCAGTGATCTCTCTGTGACTTCTTCGTCAATGGCGATAACGTCATCCGTTTCATTTTGGATGTGTGATGTATCTTTCGTATCTGCCATTTTGTTAAAAAAAGATGGTTGGATGGTAATTAATGTTCATGAAGCATGATCTTTAGAGGCGTACAGCATTTTAAATTGTATCATGACCTAATATATAGCCTGGCTATCCCCTGGCTATCTATGGATATTTTTCTTCGATTCTCTACCATGACTGGCCAAAAGCTCTAGCATGACATGGCACAATAGTAGGGCCATCGTGCAATACGCTTTGCATAATGTAGAGTCAAGATCGCGTCAAATGCTCAGCTAGCACGCCATGGTGGGGAAGGAATGACCCCGCCAAAAGTCTACGGTCTACTGAAGGAGACAGCACAAGTAAGAATGAACTGATGCTATAGCTGCTGGGGCTATAAGTAATTAAACCTGGGGAAAAGACCTCGCGATAAGTGTACTGTAGTAAAAGTGTCTAGGAGTTATGTTCTCATATAGGCATACAGCAGACTGAGCTACAAAATGCTGTATTATGCTCCTAGAGCTCTTAGTGGTACATATGATAACTCTCCATGTGAGAAGGGCACGAAATCAAGCTACACTTCTATTCGTTTGTCTCCTCCTATCTTTTATAGCTACCTTTTATTCTTTGGATACTAATTTGTGCCGCTTGCTAGTAACCTAGACCTTGAGATAATCGCTAAAAAGGCAATTTAACATCCATATTCCCAACCTTCCAATCGCTTTTTTATATATATATATATAAATGCGTCCCTATACTATATCACAGTTACAGAAATTACAACTCCAAATATTCTAAGACATTTAACATCAAATACAGAAAAAGCTGTCTCAATTCCATTATTCCGCCATAAGAAGTATTCACCAGGCTTACTACTAAGTAAATCCACTATTCATAGCGCATGCTCCATGATAAAACTAATCACAGAAGTGCGAAGAGGCAACTGCTAGGAGTGCGATTTTTGTATGCACAGCGTATGATACGAACAACAAAAGACACCAAGGAAGCAAGCTGAAGGCGCCGCAAGGGATAAAATGAGTGCAGTATCTAATTATTATTGTACATATATAGGCATGCAAGTAGCAGATTAGTCAGGCACCAGGGAAACGAAGACCACAAAATAAATTCTTGAATACACAATACCAGATTCATGTGCAAAGGAACGCGAGTAGGGACATCAGCCTTTCTGTATGTGTCGGGCGTATGTGTTTTCTATTCGGAAACACCTCAAATCTCTAGGAGTTAGCCCTATAAACCAAAAGCAGCAAGAGAACAAGGAGAACCTCGTGGCTTAATAATCATTGGTAGCAGGGCATGGAATGTTAGGTGATACTATAGCTATTTCGCTACCTTGCTCGATGTTTACAATGGAAAGAGTATGAGCTTCAAATCTAGTTCCCTAAGTAGATACATTACGAATTGCTTGTAGTTACTTTCATTCATAAAGACACATTCTTTCTGTTATTATAAAGACATCGCATGCTTCGATATCTATTGCCTCTCACTCAGCGTCGATACCATCGGACACAATTTCATCTATAGGCGTCGGCAAGAGCCTTGTGAGTTTTAGCTAGCGTACATCTAAAGCCTATTGTTTCCCCCAAAAAATTAACAGCCGAGGGCAAGAGCACTGCTGCTTATATGCTTTATATGTTCACTTGGTTAATTTATAGGCGAAAATGGATATGATGGCTGTAGAGACAAAAGCCTTGCTGTATTATTCGAGTGCATATACTACATTCGAACTGTAGCGGCACTAAATGTCCTTTGACCATCACTATGTAACGCTTAGTATAAAATTGCCAGTGAACATAGTATACCCACTCCGAGAAGCTGGAAGATTACATCTCCCGTGATCAAATGAGGATGACTGGCAGTCATTGGATGTCTTGTATATTCCTTATTACTCTAGCAATCTGCCGTACCTGTGAGCGCAGGAACGTTGTATCCTAGGATAATCACGGAGCCTTATTGAACAACCCTTTATCAGACTGTTGAGTAAACGAGCCACACCTGTATCCTAGTATAGCTCTCAGGCGCGTTCCAGGTTCATTTAATTGATGTACATGTGCTAGTCGCGCCGGTGTACGAAGCCAGGTAAGTCGCTGGCTTAAAGCCTCAATTAAACGCGGTAACCAGCTAATAGCGCTGAGGGACCTGCCTAAATGGCTTAATGATAGGTACAAGAGGTACGTGTATACAGGCTAATCAATATCAATAGCGGCATCAGTATCTGAAGCTTCCTATTCAAGCAGCTACAACAACCCTCGTTATCTCTATGCTAATTTCCCGCAGAGTCTCTCAGTGGATCAAGTAGTGTCGAATCACGTAGCGCATGTGACTGCTCCACCATTTACAAAACAATGTCACGATGCTACAGTCCCTCAATCTCCCCAAAGAAGTCACCTGCCGGTTTTTCCAATGTTGAGGGATCTGTGCTGGATATATCGGCACGTCTAGCATTCCTGTGAGGAAAATGGGAAAATGTTTTCGTTTCAAGTAGTTATACTACAGTCAGGGCACGGGACAAGCGGTATCGACTATGTAACGTCTCCTTCCACCAGAATGACAAGTTGTAAGTCAAACTGCGCGGACTTCTCTATTTACGTGCCCTGCGTCAGCATGTATACTAGAATTCAAGTATAGCTCAGTACATGTAGGTTATGGTATTGGAGGATTTAAATACCCCTGACTTTGTCGGCGGCTTTCTACCTGTGAGGCTATCTGATCTATATCAAAAAGGCAGATACATCTTGCGCTGCTGTTTCTCCATTAAGCAGTTGTCGAGTTTAAGATTCGTTGTATATATTTTCCCCATTATTGTATTTACCATTTACTATTCTACAACTTCAGTATGCGTTCAGCCGCTTTTCTTGCCAGCCTTGGACTCGCCGGCCTGGTTGTCGGCGCTCCACCGGCTCCGCATAGCGTTAGAGCTCGCCAAGCTTCCGGTGCTCAAAATGTCGTTTATTGGGGAGGCACTAACAACGAAAGCGACGACCTTTCCACGTATTGTGCACCCAACGCAGGCATTGACATCCTTGTTCTGTCATTCTTGGATATTTACGGCTCTACTGGCAGCATTCCGGCAGGCAATATTGGTAATACCTGCTACGTCGGTACGAATGGCGCACCTCAGCTATGCGATGGTCTGGCTGCTTCAATAGCCAGCTGCCAGGCCGCTGGTATCAAGATTATCTTGTCTCTTGGAGGCGCGGCCGGCTCTTACTCGCTCCAGTCGCAGTCACAGGCTGTTTCAATTGGCCAATATCTCTGGGAGGCCTATGGCAACTCTGGCAGCACTTCTGTCCAGCGGCCCTTTGGCAACGTCTTTGTCAATGGCTTTGACTTTGACCTCGAGCTGAACCTTGGCAACCAATACTACCAGTATCTGATATCAACCCTCCGATCCAACTTCGCCAGTGACCCGAGCCATACGTATTACATCACAGGAGCGCCGGTAAGTCAATCCACAACATTTTGAGAGTAAATACAGCGTGCTAACTCCCCAAAAGCAGTGCCCCCTGCCGTTGAGTCTTCCTTGAAATCGCATTTAGACAAGTGGCTCATGGCTTGCTAACAACGATGGAGTTGATAGGGAACCTAATATGGGAGAAGTCATAAGCAATTCCCAGTTCGACTATCTCTGGATTCAGTTCTATAATAACAACGGCTATGGGCCGGACCCCTGTTCTCTTGGGTTACCTGGCGACGCACCGTTTAACTACAACAACTGGACGTCATTTATTGCCACTACGCCTTCCAAAAACGCAGTGCGTGCATTTGAACACTCGATGTTATCTTTTATGCCAGAAAGCTAACAGCTACTACCAGAAACTATTTGTAGGAGTGCCTGCGAACACTTTGGCTGCTAATGGCAATTCAGGCGGTGCGGTTTACTATGCTTCGCCATCGCAGCTGGCTTCCATTATCGCGGATGTCAAGTCCAGCCCAGACTTTGGAGGAATTATGATGTGGGACGCTGGGTACTCGGATGCCAATGTCAACAACGGATGCAATTACGCCCAGGAGGCCAAGAACATCCTCCTTACTGGCGCTCCCTGCGGCGGCTCATCGCCGCCGGCCAGCAGCAGCGCCCCTACATCCACCGCAAAGACAACCAAGCCCGCTAGTAGCAGCACCTCCTCAGCCTCCGGAACAGGCCCGACGGGAAGCGGCACAGTACCCCAGTGGGGCCAGGTGAGTCACTGGAGAATTTGGGCCTTATTAGACTATGGCTTGGGGCTAATGCTGAGTGTTTTACAGTGCGGCGGAGAAGGATACACAGGCCCAACACAGTGTGTTTCTCCTTATAAATGCGTTGTATCAAGTGAATGGTGGTCCTCTTGCCAGTAAAGTTACAAAGAACTTTGCCATGAATAGGAGTCACGGGAGGAAAATATGTCATGCGCAGGCAGCTTTGCATGTAAAAAGAGCGCAGTATATAGCATCTATAGGGAAAGGTTAAAAACCAAGTATATTTGGCAATACTTTTACTCGAGTAGAGATCGCTTACTTTGTGAAATGTCTTGCTGGCTTTGCTTGAACAGAGTGCAAACAAATTTCGACTTTCGGGTCTGTCATTTCAGCAATCAGATCCAACAGACGGAGTCAATCGGCAGTCTTATGATAAAGGTAAAAATCTCTAGATGCTGGAATATATAGCTTACGACACAATGATTCACACATGTGTACTCTGCATGTTCGGACGGTTATAAAGAAGTCTCAAATTTATCACTAGGCTATTTGTTAGGCTTATGGCCACTTGATGTTAAAAGCAGTCGAATTTTAAAAGTGGATTCATCATTTGTATTGGGGCAATTGAAAGACCAAATGCGGGGTTTATCTCTGACAATTTCAGTTATTTTGAACAACTCAGTTTGGATGATCGGACACTTCTCACTCTCTAGCAAAAGGGGGGATTAAGCCAATTGCATGGTGAGTCTCGCCTACAATTAACCGCAGCGATTTCCAGATTCCAAGCTGATTCTTGACTGTCCAATTAGCCCAAATCTGAGACCCAGGACTACGCCATGTTGCCTTCCCAGATCAATTCTACCTTCCACGTCCACCGCGGACACAGCCATCTCAAATGGTCCAAGGAAATCGCACCTGTGTTAACCGTCGACTCGGGAGACGTTGTGACTTTCGACACTATCGACGGTAGCAATGGACAAGTAACCCCCACCTCGACGGCTGAAGATGTCTTAAAGTTCAAATCAGAGCTGGCAAACCCCATTTTTGGCCCCGTATATGTGAGGGGCGCCGAGCCGGGAGACGTTCTTGAAGTTGAGGTATTGAAGCTCAAAACCTCGGATTGGGGTTGGACTGCAATTATACCTGGATTTGGGCTACTTGCAGACGATTTTAAAGAGCCTCATCTTAAGATCTGGAAACTTGATCCTGACGATTCATCCGCTGTGTTCAAGGACGGCATTCGCATCCCCACTCATCCTTTCCTTGGTGTCATGGGAGTCGCCCCTGGGGAAGGCGAGTTCTCTACTATTCCTCCGCTCGACACAGGGGGTAACATTGATACTCGACAAATCATTGAAGGTTCTAAGCTCTATCTGCCCATCAAGGCGTCTGGCGCGTTATTTAGCTGTGGGGATGGTCACGCCGCCCAGGGCGATGGAGAGGTTTGCGGAACCGCTATTGAGACTCCTATGCAGGTTACGTTGCGCCTATCGATCAGGAAGAACATGAACTGGGTGACATCTCCGAATTATTCAGCCACATCATCTACGCTCACTCAAGCTGAGGATCAGGGATATTATGCCGTCATCGGCGTTGATTCAGATCTGTTGAAGGCTGCTCAAAAGGCTGTGCGTGGCGTTATCGAATATATGGTTCAGACAAGGAGCTTGACCTATACAGAGGCATATATGCTTGCAAGCGTTTCTATTGGCCTTCGGGTGTCAGAAGTTGTAAATATTCCTAATTATACCGTTTCTGCCAGTGTACCGCTGAATATTTTTTTTTCATAGTACTAATAGCAATTGACTGCCAAATTATTAATAACATGATTTTGTATTTCTGTGAAAAAGCCCGATTTCCTCGCCTTTCTCCAGATGCGGGAATCGTCTTCATGTCGAAGAACGCTTCAACACAGGCATGTGAGCTGATGATAACGACTAGTGAGGCATCCTCAGGACTTATATGGCCCAAGCTGAGAATTTTGTGCACACAGTGACTGCCACGAGGCTATGTCTTCGGCCAGAGAAGTCAACTTGCTGAGGAAGATGCAACCTGTTCGCCGCTCATCAAGCCATCAAATGCATGCTTTTAATTTTGGGTGCAGTACGCTCAAGCCTCGCCACCTATGATGCCTCTGTTGATTGCATTCTCCGTGGCATGATCGATGGATTCTCTCTCTATTTTCCGACAAGTTCGTTGTGTTGGTCTCGGCGCACCTAGTCCAAATTTTGACTTCCTTGCTAGCCATCATCTGAAAGCCCATGGGCGGAGAGTAGTTCGTTCTATTGCTCAAAGGTCGCACTTGGTGCTATTAAATGTCCTCTCCAGCTTTAGCACACTGCATCTTAGCAGCACTTACTCTTTCATATGACGCTCTAATTCTTGATCAGAAAGCCATAAATACTCTGAGGATTAAAGCTATCGCCCGGGATATGTTAGACGGGCTAGAGGAGGTGGAAATTGAGAGCGTTCGTACGGGAGAAAGGTGTTTCACCTCCTAGGTCTATATTATATTATACACCTGGGCAGATCATTTTTACGGCGTCTAACCTCTCAGGATGAAGCGCGATACGCTCTTAATACTCAACCCAATGGTGAATCACTGCAACTATAGGTAAAAGTGTATATTTATGAAGGTTATTGTCGGCTAATTTTCTCTGCTATATCCAACGTCGGTGCACGTTGTTTTGTAACCTTTGAAAGATCCCGATGTCACAGCATTTTGGTGCTGAAGTCGGTGCTCACTCCTCGAATTCTCTCTATCAGATCTTGCCCTAAGAATGCCGGTGTGAGACAACCACCAGAGACGCCGCCCTCTAATTTTCTGCGATAGAGTAAAGAAGCTGCGCCTTGGGCCAAGAAAGCAGCGGTGGCATGGTATGGGCCCCCTGGATACGCAAAATGAGAATACGCCCTTGGTGCTGTCGCGTCATCGTCTGTGTCTGCAATCGCGACAGCTTCCATCTCGAATCGGTAATTTTTCTCCTTTACCGGATCAGGGCCTTGACCTGGAGCTGGTAGCACCATCGCTGCAATAGCCCTCAGCGGCGGAAGCGCTAGCATTAAGTTAACTGCCATGGTGTTAAGCATCTGGAACATAGCAGCAAGCGTGGATGATGCTTTTTTGTACTCGCTGTAATGAAAATTCGCTCCATACGCCATACCGCCGTTGAGCAGACCCCAAGTTCTGTGAACCACAGCTCTATTTTGCACGTCGCTCAGCGAGCTAGTCGACATTATCCCCAGAGTCGGGTCGTGGCGCACGCCGAAGAGATTTGTTGAGCTCAAGTTTTGGCGGCCGACGATTGGAGAAAGGTACCAAGGTTGTCGCGATTCATACTGGACTTTGGCGTCGAGGCCTCCTCTCATCATTATTGACTCGACTGTGCCGCCACTTGGGTCCGATGGCATTTCGAGCAGCGACAAAACCAGTTCCTTCGTCTTGAAAGATGAGCTCTGTTGAAGCTGTCGAACTGATGACCAAGTAAGGAGATCGTGCGGAGCGCTCAATGCGCCGCAGGAATTAAGTATCTACTGCCGAGATTAGCATCAATGAGGACGATAAACATAACATTCGTCTTACAACAACACCTGCAAGCTCAGCTGCGCGGTGGTAATCGTTGATCCATTGCCGTATGCGAGGTATGGTTCCGGCACTATATAGTTGACCAGAGTCAGCAGAATTCCATCCTGCTTATGTATCCATCGGTTTGGGATTTGCTCACGTATCAATATAGTCAGTTACGCCCTCAATACAAGCCTCGATTACGAGCGGCCCGACGTGATGGTATGAGACAACGCTGACACATAATCTTGCCTTTTTGACAATAGTGATCAGTTGAGCTTTGTCTTCAACATCTACAATCTCGATTACTGCACACTGGTAAGCTGCAATTGCCTGTTAATTTACATATGGAGGTATACCTGGCTGTATTCTATCAGGTCCCAGCTCCTTTAATTTTGCGGCAAGCCTGTTCAGTTTCGCGCTTGACCTCCCAGCGATAGCCCACCTGAGATTGGTTGGGAGGTGCTCGGCGATATGCTCCGCAGTGAGAGCGCCGGTGTAGCCCGTTGCGCCAATAAGCACAAGATTATAGTCGCGTCCGCTTTTATTGTCTGACATTTTGCTTGTATTGTCACGTCGCACGAAGTTGTACGAACAATTGACGCATATGGTTTCTTGTCAAAAATTCCTAGAGGTTGTTTGTTTTCTAAAGGTATATATACTGAATTTTAAGCGGTTTGTTTCCAGGCAGCGGGATTAATAGTGCTCCGGCTGTCCGCCCCGGAGTTGAATTCCGACATACCCTAGTATATACCTTTGCTAAAAATTAAGAAATAGACATATTAAATATATAAATCTACATAAGCTTGGGCTGTGGTAATGGTTTCAGTGAGAACCTGAAGCAAGAGCGCAAAGTTGGATTCACTATCTGGCCGCTACCGAGGAACATAATTGTGCAGACTGTCAAAAATTCGTGCGGTTCGCAGCTATAGCAGAAATGACAATCCTTTGCATGAAGCTCACCTACATTATATCACGCGCTACATGTCAAGCGGCCTCGGATTTAGTAGGTATCAAAACCATTCTTCCCACGACAGCCATCAACAGGATCGTATGCATCTGCATTGCCGTTGCCAGTATACGTTTTCAACGCGTATGCAGTGTAAGACAAGAGACAGCTCCCGGTATGCTTGCCGCTATTCCAGTGCCAAAATCAACAAACATGGGTCTGGCAGCAAGTGGGAGGCCACAAGCCAACACAGGCCGTAACATGATATTTGCTGAAGTTGAACTTGCAGCATATGGCCCATAAGTGTCAACCAATGTATTAAGGCACTGCTAGAAGACAACGGTAAAACCGCAGCTAATAAACGCTGTAAGTATACGCTGGTAGTAATTATCAATGCTACTTGGCCCTTGATCAGCACGGGTAACTTATAAGAAGCCACAACAGGCAATATCCATGGATGCGATGGCTCGGCCGTCCATCTGAACCAAAATATTCCCGTGTAAACAAGGTCCCCCAACAAGCACAGGTGGCAGCATCGACTACTTGCGGCCATACGCCTGACTGATAGGTGCCCAAAACATAGGACCGAAAGCAAATCTTTAAATAAATTAGCGAGTTGTGTTCTGACTAACAAGACTCAATTCGACTATTAGAAGAGAGTGGAATAATGAAGACGACGCACCAAGGATGAAAAGTGACATTGTAAGTACTGTTACCTCAGAAGGTATATTAAAATACTTTACAAGTGCCTGTGCAGCTGGATTAGTGGTGGCAGATCCAACTGATCCTGTGAATGCCAATAGACCTATATAATCTTTATACAGAAGCAATTATCTGTAGTGTAATAGCTGCACATTTATACCACAAACGTCCATTGCTCTCCATATTTTATAGCGAAATATACTATTCGGTCCAAAAATGCTGCCCCTGCACCGCTTCCTCTTTTTATGTCTAGCGATACTGCCTCTTGCCGCATGTGCATATCGGGCAAAAAGATTGACACTCCAAGAGCTTACAAGCGGCCGCACGTTTGTAACCAATGTCCTTGATCAGTTTACTTCGCCAAGCTGGGCAAAGAATTTAGCTGTCTGCGACAATGGAGACATACTGATCACGGTGATTGCACCATCAGCAAGTCTCTATCGAATTGCAAACCCACAATGTTCAAATCCAACGACGACACTAGTCCATACCTTTCCAAACGTCGAGAGCCTTCTGAGAATTGCGGAACTCCAGCCAAATCTTTTCGTTGTCGTTGGTATAAATGCTTCTGGAGTCGTTGCTATTCCCGGCACCGGATTTCTGTGGAGTGTGAACTTTTCTGCTTCTTTTCGTCGCCAATCATTACGGAAATTACTGCTTTACCGTAACGGTATGACAGCCTTACCAGAAAATGACGGTGATGTTTTGTTGGCAGATTCATTTCTGGGCTGCGTATGGCGTATAGATATCCATACAAAAGCAGTTAATATCGCAATGAAGTTGTCGCAGATGGAGCCTCCTTCAACTGCCTTGGTACCAATCGGCATCAACGGAATCCATGCGAAACAGAACCCTTTCGGCTCAACTGTGCTATATTGGTCCAACAGCTTTGAGACGACAATTTACAGCATTGGCATCGATGGCTGCACTGGGGCCATGTTGAGTGGGCAGCAGGAACCCCAGGTAAGGGCTCGTGCTGAGGACGGTTATCTATTTGTTGATGACTTCGCGATGGTATCCCAGGGTGGCATTCGGGCAGCCGCCAACTTCAACAATACTGTTCTGTACGCGTCTACACAGTCTCACATTTTACGCCCTGTTGTTGGATCTGAAAATAGCCTTCTAATGGCTGGCTGTACGTCATACAGTTTTGGCCGTAGGGCCGGCAGAGACAATGTTTTATATGTGACAAACAGTGGCGCTGAAGTATATCCGGTTAATGGAGCTCTGACAATGGGTGCAAGCGTTGTAGCAGTAAATGTATAAAGGATAGAGTTAATATTTAGGGGCTTCGTGTTACAAAATACCGGCTAGACACTATATGTATGCTTAACAGTTTAGACCTACTTTAGTCTATATGCATTTTGACAGGATTAACGTGTAATAATACATGAATCATATATAAAATTTACTTGGTACGCTAGATTCTAATATTGTGATTACTTTTCTTCAATTATCCAGTTTTCATAATATCTTGTTAGCCTCTCTTCATTGGGACAACGTTTGGCATCTAGTTGAGATAGCCAGTAGAACAGGTCAGAATAAGTTGCGTCATTGATTGCAATGACTAATGTTCTTTATAAATAGTGCTTGAATGCCATAAACGTCTTCTATTGATGAGAAGCATTTGATGAATCCTATCAACATACTTCGTCGTTGAGATTGTGTAAAAATCTGTATCCTCCAATAATCTACATTGGAGCATGTCTGAGATGCTTTCCGCCAACATAACCATTTGCAGAATCAATGAACAAGTTTCTACCTTTGACGTATGAAACCAATACTCCCCACAATCTCCAGTTGCCAATCTGTCCCGTCGCGTACTTCTTTCCTAGCGAGAGAAAGATCATCGTCTTGTTTATGGGCTTGTAGGGTACGTCAGGGCCGTTACCTGTCAAGGCAGCATCCAATGCGCTAGCCAAGTAATTTATCTGGTTATCCGTGACTGTAAGCTGCTTTGGTCCAGCGTTGCTCACGTCACCAATGGCCCAAATGTTCTCTGTGCCAACCACGCGCATCATGCCATTGAGATCCACGTTGCCGCGAGAGTCTAGAAAGCTGTCGGTAACGAAGCTGTTGTTCAGTTGAATGCCATGCATTGGAAGATACAAGTCAGTGGCAAGCGTCGATCCATTACCCAAACTCAAAATCTGTGTCTTGCCATCACTGCTAACATTAACGGCTTCTACACGTGTTTTGCGGATTAGCTTGACACCGAGCTTCTGCAAATCCGTGTCCAGAGTTGTCTGAACAGAAGAGAGCAGGTCTCCGGAACTTTCCAATGGAACATCGCCATGCATGATGAGCGTTATCTTTTTCAGCTTTCCAAATTTGGCAGCTAATTCCCCCGCCACTTCGACACCAGTTGGGCCTGCACCAGCCACAATAATGTCTTTGGCATCGTTGACTTTTGCTTGCAGATCATGCCATGCCGTGAGCATCTCTTCATGCGTGCCAATTGGCTTTAGAGGTAATCCGCTGGCCATGCTAGAGCCAGTTGCAATTACTAGGTGATGATAATGAAAGATGCGACTCTCGCCGTTATTGGCAAGAACAGCAACTGAATTCGAGGATGATTGGATGCCGGTAGCTCTGCCGAGAATGAATTCGAATGTGTCGGCCGAATAATGCCTGAATCCAGTTGCAATTGGAATAAAGATAGATTCGTCTGGTATCATTCCAGGAATAAGAGCCCTAGTTGCTGCCACGTTCCAAAAGAAATGGCTGTTTGGAGATATCAGAATGACTTTGAGGCTCGTCTTCAAAGATGTGTATTTGAGTAGCTTATGGGCAAGTGGTAGGCCTGCCCATCCTGCACCAAGAATAATGACAGTTTTCGTGCTGGCCATAGTCGCCGTATGGTCAATGTAACATAAGTACTTAATTGGATAGAAGATATGATTGATGTGAAAGGCGGCGTCAAATATAGCTGGCTACCACGGTATGGCCCATACGGCCTCGGCCATCGGTCGTAAGTTTTCGAATTGTCGCGAATCCGAGAACAAGACAATCAACATGGCGCTGCCCCGGGACTTTCATTAGCGGATGACTTAGAGTCGGTTCACGGAGCACCTGTTAGGTTTAGACGCCAATGAAGTGGAACTGGGCGTGCCGCAAGGATTTAGACCGAGCTCCGTGTCCGAGATTTGGCTACCTACAGCAGCCTATCCACAGCTTCTCAACTTCGCCCAACTCAGTCACACATCTATTTTCCGAAGAACAAGTTTATCGCCTGGCTTACGCGGGAGAATTTGTTCATAGGACTCTTACCGAATAAATCGCGCATTGCTTATCCGCTTGCGCTGGATGAGTCTGTCCGAGGCATCTGCTTCCTCGTCCACCATGTCTACCGATCGCCCCACAGCCGGAGGAGGCACCGTCACCGAGGATGGTTTGCAAATATGGAGCTGTGTTACATGTCGACGACGCAAGGTCAAATGCGACAGAACAAATCCCTGCTCCAACTGCGCTAGGAACGGGGTCGAATGCCACTTCCCCGTCACTGGCCGTCTTCCACGTCGACGAGATCCCACGACTTGGAAGTCGCCCACTGAGAAGCAAGCTGAGCTACTAAATCGGCTTAGGCGACTTGAGTCACTTGTTACAGAACTTGCAGCACAAGTGGAAGACGGCCCCGACAAGATCCAATCCATACTCCCGGGCTTATTACCCAGTGCCGCAGGTGTTCCTCGTTCTTCGGAAACGGAAACGGTCAACCCTGAGATTGGAATGCGGGAACGACCAAGTCAGGATTCGCCTATGCATTTTGGAGAACTAGTTTCTGCCATGAAATCTCACTTAGAGGGAGAGACAAACGAAGATTTTGGTCGATTGGTTATCGGAAATGAGGCTGGCTTACAAATCGGAAAGGGTTTCTGGTCCGTTTTTTGTAGCGAAGTGAGTCTGAACTGTTAGGAGATGCTGGCACAGGAGAGGCTAACGATGATTGTTTAGGTCGAACATATTTTTGAAGCCATTCAAGATGTGGCTTCAACAGCATCCAATTCAGACTATGGGCGTTTCTCGTCTAGCAGCCAAATTACCTCGCACAACATGCACCCCGATTTTTATTTTGGGAACACCTACACAGGAGCGTTCGCTCAAAGTCTCGATGATCTATACCCTCTACCATCACAAATGCTCTTCATATGGCGGACATACGTAGAGAACGTCGACCCGTTCATCAAGGTCATTGACGTTGCAGCTCTAGATGAGGTTGTAACTAACTTGAGGGGCAAGTTTGGCTCCCTACGGTATAGTTTACAGGCCCTACTATTTGCAGTGTGCTTGGCATCAATCACGTCTTTGGGCGAGGAAGAGGCTCTGAGTTGCTTCGATATGCCAAGAACTCAGCTGCTTGCTCGCTTTCGTCTTGGGACAGAGAAAGCGCTTGCCAATGCTGGGCTTCTGGTAACGAAGGAAATTGAAACGATACAGGCATTTGTGATATATCTCTCTATTTTGCCGCACATTGGCTGCCAGCAACTCCTGTCGCCATTCGTGGGCCTATTATTGAGGATTGCGACATCCGTGCAGTTGCACAGAGATGCTGAGAGCTTCAAAACGCCTACTCTAACCCCATTCGAAGTTGAGATACGCCGTCGGCTATGGTGGCAGGTTATCTTCATTGACTCTATATCTCGATCGAGACATAGTACAGGATTGGCAGCTTCAGATACAATGTTCGATACCAAAGCTCCGAGCCGTATATCAGCCAATGATCAAACGAGTTCACCAGTATCTTTTGATGTGGAAAGCGAGTCTCTGGTTTGCATTATGCGATGCGAGATATGGATTTTATGTCGTTTCCTCAACGCAAATCAGCGGAAGCCTTTGGAGCAGAAACTCAAAGCCTTCAACTTGACAAGTTCCCGATTGGAGGATTCATATATTGCTAGGCTCTCTTCAAATGATGCTCTAGAATCGTTAGTCAAGACTATGACCTCGCTTGCCTTCTCAAAAGTGGAGCACACAATCTATCTACAGCATTTTCGCAATTTGAAAGAGCTCTTGCAAATGCCATCTCAAGAAATGGTCCAGCATCACTTGGAATTGTCAATAGATATTCTCAGAGACGCTCATAAGGTACGAACAGAACCTTCATGGGAAAGATGGAGATGGCAATTGCGGGGAGATTTCCCTTGGGCTTCGATGAGCGCAGTATTCATCCAGCTTTGCCAGTCTCCATGGTCAGCAACTTCTGAAAGAGGATGGGCGCTAATAAACGAAATATTAAAAGACGTCCCGGATAGAGTAAAGGAAAATGCATCTTGGGGCAAATTAAATCAGCTCATTACCGCCGCCGAAGCTAAACGTAAGAGAAATCCCGGAGAAGCAATGAACCAAACGAGTAACCGCGACGGGATTTCCGTACGCGATCCCGTTGAAACACAAGAGGGCAGCAGAAACTCTTTAGATTCATTAAAATCTCGGTCGCATAATACTGGTGCTTTAATTGGCTACGCAGAGTCGAGCCCGGTCCTAATGCCTAGTATATTCGACTTTGGAGTAGAGTTTGACGACCCGAATGAGTTGGGATCCGATGTGACATTTAATCCTATGGAATGGCAGGTATGGGATGAGGCATTTGTTGATGATGATCAATTTTGGGACCTAGATTATCCGTTTTAGATGAAGTATACATTAGTTACAGGTCGAGGAATGTCCTACTAGTATACTTCATTTGAAAGGCGGTAAAAGATCAAGTTTGTGAATTGCGATAGGTGGAAGTCAGTAGCATAGTAATTCATCTTTGGCCAGGTGTCTATGGGAAAGAGAGCATAGTTGTCCAATTCATAATCGAACTCAAACGTCTTACATTTCTTTTGTAAAACCCACCATTGAGCATTGTATTTCAGTAGCATTTACGAAGTCTATGAAATCCTATCTTCCACTTTTACGATCTTCTTGGGAGCAAAGTGGGCCAATAAGATCAGGATTAGAGACTATGAATAGTATTTGCATAAAGTAGCGGCACTTAATACAACTGAGGGCTATTAAATTCTCTTAATAAGAGGAGATATCAAGTCATGTGCAGGTCTCCGAAATGTATTCTCAATGAAGTCATCAGGTTCGAGGCGAAGACATTAGTAATTGGTTTATTCAACTTCATAATCGACGTGTCTTCATAATTTGGTAATTTGTACATAGCAATTGAAGTCGTACGACGAATATGTTGAAGAGATAAACATATGTTTACGCCGTCCAACTATAGCTGGCCTAGATCTATGTGGCGCACATATTCTACTAGATACAGAGTTGCCATATTTCGTGATTGGATCCCCGCAAGAAATGGGAAATTAGATCCCATTTTACAATCCTTCACGCCTGGAGTTTATAGCTTAAAGGACTTGTTACCGGCACGATCTATGCAGCAATGCCGGCTTTATCGGACTTAGCAGCCAGAAACCGGACATCTTGAAATATAAATATTCCGCTAACGACGCTTTGCGTTGAGTTGGTAGGTCCTTCATATACAAGCAACAGCCAAACCATATTACCCATCAGAATTACAAGCATAGTCCCAACGTTTGCATTACCATACAGGTAAGTTAACAGATACATTAACTTGAAATGGTGGCTATTAACAGGTTTACTTTGCTCTAGTTTGAACCTACGCTCCTCAACATCTAAGACTAGTTTGATTCTGAATTTGCACTATGGCTCCCAGTAACCGCGCATCATGGCTTCTGGACAAGCAACACCCCGTTAATGCTGTCAAAATCGCTCCCTATACAGCAGCATCTGATAACGAGATCGTCATAAAAGTCAAAGCAATAGCAATAAATCCCGCCGACGTTAAAATTCAGCAGATGGGAATACTAATTACCGATTATCCTGCGATTTTGGGATGTGATGTTGCGGGAGAAGTTATCGAAGTTGACCCGTCGCTAGCCGACATCTATATGATTGGCGATCGTGTGATAGGCCAGACCAGCTGCCTCGAACGAAAAAACAATGTATATTGCTATTCTGGCTTTCAAGAATATGTTGTCTTGAAGTCGCCTAAGATTGCCAAGATCCCCGAGGATGTTGAGTACAAGGATGCTGTTGTGCTGCCTCTTGCAATCTCAACGGCCGCCAGCTGTTTGTTTCACAAATCAGAGTCTTCATTCCGAGCTCCTACACTCAATGGTACAAACCCTGGGAACGGTCAGACTGTTCTTGTCTGGGGTGGGAGCAGCAGCGTTGGTTCTTGCGGAGTGCAAATGCTCTCGCTAGCTGGCTACGACGTTATAGCTATTGCTAGCAAGAGAAACCACAATATGGTTCACAGCTTGGGTGCTAGTGCCTGCTTTGATCAGGCAGAGTCGACAGTCAGAGATGATATTGTGGCATATCTCAAGGGCAGAAACGTAGTCGGAGCCTTTGACGCTATATCTAGTGACTCGACAATAGAAACCATCTGTGAGATTCTCAAGGAAGCTGGAGCAAGGGGATTTATGGCCTCGGTGAGACCTGGCGCTGAGCAACTGACGAAGAATGATGTCAAAATTGTTACAAACTTCTCAATGCCACCCGACGAATACTCCGAGCTGTCTCAGGCCACTTGGAGATGGCTAGAGAAGTCGATGGCAGAGAAAACAGTCAAATATATGCCGCCGGCTGAAGTTGTTGGGCATGGTCTAGAGAGTGTGCAGCTAGCAGTTGACATGCTGTCTAAGGGTGTTAGTGCAAAGAAATTGGTTGTAAGTCTTTGAACTGCAGGCATTCAATAGCTTCAGTTTAAACATATACGCAGCTACACACATATATACACACATACACACGGATATATAAAATATTTATACATTATATTTACTCTATATTAGCCTTATTCACTCTAGTCTGAATCGGCGTATTTTAATACTAGATAATCAGCGTGTTTTAATTACCATACACGCGTGTTGAAATCTGGTATTGGCTGAAATATTGGGCTATTATCTACAAAGCAAGAGATGTTCAACTATAGGATATCTTTATTCAATGTCTAAAGATAGCTCGGGAAAGTGCCACCAATTATCATGAGACCATAATAACAGGCTGTGAAACATTACGGCGTCTGCCTTCAGTTCATATTACAGGGGGCTTGAAAACGATAGCGCTCAAGTCTTTCCCCTCAGCTGCTGCATCACTACTAGGGAGGTCTCAGAATCGACCTATCTCCCCGTACTAGCTCCACATGTCACTTGCTAGCCGCAAGCTCCCTGCTGCGCTCTATATGACTCTTTCCGATAACCTTTTCTCAAAATTTCAATTATATGTTGGCGCTCGCAAGTGTGAACCCATACTCTCCTATATCTACGAGTCCGTCTTGATTGTTCTCGGAAAAAGCGAGCCGCTGCCTTGTTACCTCTCGCTCTTCATGTTCTAGAATCGCTGCAGAAGTTCTATTATAAGGCATTTTGCCACCTGCAATACCAGATCTAGAAGCAAAGGCGCCGCTTTATAGACAGCGTCTAGAAATAAATGTTGCGGCAATCCGCGCATTTCGCTGGTAGAAGCGACACCTTAGCAACCCTCGCAACTACTAGGCTACCGTATCATCTCTCGTGTCTATCCAGAGATGGCTTCCGCCAGTTCTTGATATCCGAGTTATGATCTTTGCTGCACTTTCAGTCCTCTTTGCGGTAGCTACCAACCTCTACCGCGCCAGGATACATGGTAGATGCGATGCATAGTGTTGTAGCCTTTGGCGAGTCCCATTTCAATAAGTTTTTATATCCTTCATATCACTAGAGAACTCTTTTGGACTACTACTATCTTCGCCATCACGTGGCAAGATACAGTGGCAAAATGTTAAAGTTAAATACCGGATAAGAGTAAATAAGGAAATTCCTAGCTTTCACGATGTATCACCAGCTATAGGCCCGGCCAGAAGGTGGGCTTCTATGGACGTACAGGCGCGGCAAATCTTTACCCTCAATAGTGTTCAAGTCAGTAGATCATACTGGTATTACAGTGATTAATGGGCTAGATATTGCCAAAACATTCAACGAAGACCTCACCCCAGTCTGTTAACTGTCTCGCAGAATCCCGCATTGATCCTTTGGACCCTGCACTCGACCTTGTCCTACCAGTTCAAAGCCAGCTTCTCCATCTGGCGAGAGGATCATGATAGTATTGGAAGCACTCTAGAATTAACACATGCTTTAGAAGTTTGGATCATAGCCCAACCTAAATCTTGATACTGAGTTGAAAGTTTGGCTCGTTCTATTAGGCAACAACTGCTCGCTTACCGGACAAGGGGAAATTCTAAGAGACAGCAGGGTTCTTGTCCGTTGATAACAGTATGGGTTTAGTGAATGGATAGCTTGAGAAATTGATGGTAGAGGCATTAGAAACAGAGTCCACGCATTTCACAGTAGGGTCGACATTTTATCGTCCCGATCTGCATATGACATGATGGCTGTTTTGGATGCCAGTAGGATTACCGATGTTGGAATAGCCAAGGATATGTGACAAGGTAAGTAAGCAAGATACTTTTCTTATAATAAGAAACATTAAGCAACAGACCCATTGTTTCCATCCTTTCTTTATAGATGACTTGATTTACTATTCTATCATCGATATAAAAACACAACGCCAGCATCTTCACTCATCAGATAGAGTGGAAGTCTAGTGGGGCTTCGCGGTGTGGTATCCGTGGGCCGGCAATGGGTAGCAAACGGTGTAAACCAAACCTTTCTCACATCTATTATTGTTAAAGCGTAGATGGTTACTTCACGACATAACATTAATAGAGAGCTCGACCAATTCGCCAGAAACTGCTTAGTGCTGCCTATGGCCTGCACATGTCTTGTGTTGGCTGCTTTTTGTTTTAATTGCGTAGACATTATTTGCACCAACATGACACTAAAGTAAAGCGGATAGTTGGCTAAGCTTATTTATAGTATATTATTCTTCGCGGGCGGAGGGATGGACTTTTACAAGTTTTTTATAAAGGAATGAATGTCATATATTAGGTTAATGTTTTTTGTTGTTATTTTTTATATGAAGTAATGAACGTTGTTTAGTCTAAAATTGACTCAGTTTGTTGAAGTATCCATTTTCCATGGTTGAAGTATCCATCTTCCATGATTGAAGTTTTCATCATCCATTTTGTTTTCGCAGCTCTGCCAAGATTGACAAGAATCGTTTAGCGGCACCTTTGACGGTTGAAATCCCAGTCTTGCCTTCGGCAGCATCTGTGCGAACGGTGGTCGTAGAACCAATCGCTCTGGCAGCAAATCCTTCCATCATCATAGTATCTGAATGAAGGCTGACGGCAGATGCATCTGCGTTGCCTTTGGTTCCAAGACGCGAAGCGACCGCAATCTGGGTTTCTGTCACGGGCAGCGAGATCTTCGGCTTCAATATCACGGGCGGCGATATTGTCTCCAAATTCTGCACCACGGGCAGCAATGTTGTCTCCGAATTCTGCACCACGGGCTACAAGGTCTTCTTCAACCTCAGGACCAGGAACAGCAGTGGCAAGGCCAAGTGCAAGAAGTGCAGGCAAGAGGAGTGTAGATTTGAAGAGCATTGTGGGCGACTGGCGAGAGTATAATGTGGGGGATGGACCAAGTAAATGTATGAGTTCCAATACTAGTTGTTTGTGAACAAAGGTATTGAACAGAGAGGGTCATCGAAAGGGGTTTATATACATGAAATAGAGACTACTAAAATCGCATGAAATACAAATATAAAGACTTTTCAGATTTAACTTTTCCATTAGAATTATGAATGTGTCATGTATTTCCGCCTCTTGTATAATAATTGTATAATAATATATAACTAATATACATATCCGATCAGCCTTACATGTTAATCTTATCTCAGCCTCAAACATTCCAAGTTAACCGAGCCAACCGGGGAGGGGAAATCGGGCTTGCAAAAGGCAATAGAACGCGCCTAGTACTAATGTAGGCCCGCTGTAATTTCTGACCTTTTTTAGATGTATCTAGTCCTTGGCCTCTGGTTCTTGTCCAGTAAATCCTATCTGGTAATGCTATTGGAAATGAAGCTTTAGGTTACCAGAGTACTACTTCAAGGCTGGATTCAATTGTTCATCCCCAGTAACAAAAAAGCCAACAAATAATAAGCAAGCTAATATTTAATTGTTATTATTGCTAGAATATAAAGCGATATCAATACCCAACACTTTATCCAAGACTCAGTGTTCCCTATAGGATGCGCAAGTACATGTTTCAAACTTCACATGCTACTCAAGTGGCGCTAACATTCCAAAAGAGTCCATCTTTTATTTGACACTCAAGCGCCTCTTCAATTTTGGTAAGTGTCTGGCCTATATTATAGATCCCCATCTTTTTAGAATGACACCTGCTAAAAACACTGCACTGTATACTTCGTACAGTCCCTTGGTAAAAGCTGAAACAAACTTTGCCGAATACTACATTTCTTACAATATCGGCTTGTCGGACGCCGGTCCATCGGACAAAGCAGCTATTCCTCCAAGAAGCGCAATATGGCTAGTCAAACTTCAAATAATTTTAGCCGAATTCCAGTCTGAAAACTTTGAGAAAGGATTTGGCAGCGATCTGCCAGAAAAATTCCCATCTCCAAGACTTCATGCGAGAGAATTTCCCGAGCCACAACCTGAGCAGTTCCATGTAGATTCTGAAAATTTGTAATTACAGCCCAACCATCTGGTTGGAGCATCGTTTCTTTCACAAGATATACATCCAAAGATCTAATTAATATGGCTGCCTACCTAGATAACTATGAGCCAGAAGCCAGTGTTTCATAGGGCCGATAGGAATTTCGCATTGAACAGCAACTACTACAGGATTGGATGAGCCTGGCAGCCATTTCGCGAGAATCTGCAAGTCTAAGCGTTCATGGTCTTTTTTTTCTTAAAAGAAACAGCTATAATGCTGACGTAGCGTGGCCGTAGCTAATACGGAACAGGAACGTTAGTACATAGTATTAGTTGTAGTATTGAGCATTTGAAACTTTGACGCCGTAGTTGCCGAGTCGGAACTTTTAGAAGGATTTGCTTGGGATTGAGTATTTCCTGGGTTTTATATACATGGAGGCAGCTAAGCGCGGCCCCGAACCTTACTTACACAGGGTTATTGCTGATATCTGGGCTCTTGTGTACAGCATCCTGTCCTTAGTGTTGAGAGAATATTAGCTTGCCGCCAGTCACGACTGAAATGCCCCAGGCCGTTTCTGCCAATTTTTCAGCTTAGTACAATATTATTTCAACAGCAGGAATATAATACGTTTTCAATGACTACGACTACATAAGTTTTTGTTTGAGACGCACAAAATTACAAAAGGTTGACAATGGATTGTTAAACTTGCCATCCCTTGAACGTTATATATATTTTCACTAGTATTGAACCTAATCGTCGAGATCGACGCGCAAGATTCAATCTGCCACTTAAGCCTCGGCGCAGCTGCTACGGCGCGAACGTTGGAATTCTATTCCGGTGTAAACAGCCAAGTTGATCTTTAATACCCATGTATAATTGGGTAATAGAAAGGCCATTTGACCACTAAATACACTGTAAGAGACATAGCTTGGTTGATCCAAGCGTTTCCAATGAGAGCGACAACCCGTTGCCTCCGAAAGAGTCTGTCGCCCAATCTGTTATGCAAAATCCCAAGTCCTCTTACAGCAAACACGACTGTTGATTACAGCGAATTGAGCAATACAATCGTCACTGAAAGCACTACCATTTCAATGAATCTAAAACTAGTGCCCAAGCTATTCGTCTACATTGCGTCTTGTTTCTCGCGCTGAAGGGCAGCCACAAGATCACATTGAGACTGGGCTTAGCTCCGTCCGTATCTGGTAGCGCTGTCAATTGTCAATTACAACCCGATCAAATGTGTTTCAACTTCATCGATGGGACATCGGCAAAACAGAGTTGACATTGAATGGCTGGCTATATTGAATAGTCCCGTAGGTTTTCGCCTTTTTACGTTGTATACCTTCAGCTATATCAAGACGTCTTCGAGCCCTACTTTTATTACATTGCTACCTATCTATTACTGCTGGCATGTAAGTAAGGTCTACTTTGTAAGATTGTGGGGGGCGATCATTTGGTAGCGTGTTGGCATCGCGCTTTGGTGTTGTAGAGAGTATGGGGGCTATTATATCTGTCTATTACTGGAAACAAGGAGGCTATGGCCGTGTAGAATTGTAGAATTAATGCTCTCCTTTCAAGTACATTACAATAACTCAAGCTTTGCTAAAAGCTCTATCAAATCCTGCAAAGGTACAGCGATATCGAAATGCGTTGTCCTGCTGTTTCTCAAATCCTATTTTGAGATTTTGTTCCGAGATATCCATGACCTCCACCCAAGGCTTTACATTCTTTTCAACGGCCAATTTTAAAAGCGCCTCCATCTCTTGATGGTTCCCGAGATGACTACCAGTTAATTTGGGAGCGCCTCCAGCGAAGATGCCAGCAGACATTTTAGGCAACGGCTTATCCGGAATACCCACCATGTGAAATTCTCCACCAGGCTTAAGAAGAGAAAGGTAGGAAGCCATGTCAAATTTGTCGGTCACATCTGTGCAATTCATAACAAAGTCAAACTTGGCCTTCCATGCTTGAGACCAGTCTTTATCAGTTGTTATGATGACATCTTTGGCGCCGAGTTTCTTGCAGTCGTCTTTCTTGCTGGGGGAATGGGTGAGAGCGTAGGCCTCTGCGCCTAGAGCCACCGCCCACTGAAGGGCAAGGTGTCCCAGACCTCCAATGCCAACTATACCCACGGTCTTCCCAGGCCCTATACTGGCTCGAACCAAGGGCGAATACGTCGTGATGCCGGCGCACAGGAGAGGGGCTGCAACGTTTGTCTCAATTGCATCAGGAATTTTGAATGTGAAGTACTCGTGGGCCCGAATGTGGGATGCAAATCCGCCGTGAGCCTGGCTGCCGTCTTCATACTGTGCGTTGTATGTGTCCACCAACTTTGGGCAATAGTTCTCGTTCTTGTCCTTGCAAAGGTCGCACTCAAGGCAAGCCCATACCTGGGCTCCTACACCAACACGGTCACCAACTTGAAAATTTTTAACATGCTTTCCGACCTTGACTGCCTTGCCGACGACTTCGTGCCCGACGCACAGGGGACCGGTATACTCTCCCCAGCCACCTGTTATGGTATGAAGGTCGGACGCACAGATACTGCAAGCTTCAACTTCAACATCGACGTCGTGGTCACCAAAAGTCTTAGGCTTGAGCTCCGACCTGTGAAATACATTCCATGATTTCGGTTCATCCACGCAAAAGCCGGTAAATGTGTCAGGATAACCCATATCTTTTAGTTGAAAGTGATTGAATTGAAGAGTTGTTGTGTTATGGGTTGCAAAAGTGACACGATTGCACGATTTAGATACAGAATAGAGATGCAACATGCATTTGACAACTTGAAAGTTATTTTCAATCTCTGCCCGAGTCATTGTGGCGTTAAATGACGATGTGTACGACAGCAAGTCTACGTCATAAAGCGATTGTATGATGCTGTGAATGCCTTTTTGTAGGAATTGCATCAGTCGATTCTATTTTACAGCCTGTGGTGCTAGCAGTGTTGACACACGTATGTCGTCATGCGTCCCAATTAACTAAGCATTTCAATTGCAGCAACGCGCGATATGGCCTATTAACGGAACAAGAACATGAGTTCTAATATCCTTGGCTTCGGTTGAACAAACTACAGCAATTGTACAGCCAACTTATTGATTGGGCGAACCCTCTACGCAGTCGGTCAGCTTCCCACCTCTATTATAGAACAGCTGTTGAGCCTACAAAAGGATGATTAAGCGGAAATGATTACGCTTACTTTAAAAGATATATATTGTTTCACCAGCCGTTGAGGCATTCCATTGAAACCGTGATTGAATTGTCCGCCGCTTGGTGCTAAATACAGCTGCAGTTATACACCATTTCTTTTGGTAAGACCGCGTTCGCCCAGCGCATGCTTCGAGGTCAGAGCTCGAAACGCCTACGTTACTAGACTATAAGTAATGATGATGATGATGTAAATATTAATTGAAAAATTGTGAGGGCATTGTATTTTATACCCTGACTTGATGCTCATAAAATGACCATGGAATGTGAGTGCTCACCAAGGCGATTCTATCTATGTAAGCTGAAGATATCTATGGATGTATACTCAACTGACTTCGTCTATTTGGCACCACCTACATATGACAACCAAACGTGCGTTCAGCTATATCATTCGCACGGGAAGGCTAAGCACTACAGGCCCACTAATAGCTCCAAGAGCCAGGGCTGTCCTGACATTATTTTCCTCAATAGGGAAAGAAATCGCTGCTGACCGTGGAGCTAGCTTTTTGCAGTTACGCTCAATGCAGTATATTTTCCGTTTAGAAGCGACAGCGGGATTCGGACACGTCTTGCATCCCAGCGGACAGCATCGAAATTCCGTACAAACAAGCGTGATGAACGAATGGTTCCAGCATGATAAATTGAGGGCTTGGGAACACGATCTGAGAGTTTGTTAATTTCATTGTATTCAATCTATACACTTCATTACTCTCTTTGGAACATTGTTATCAACGAAGTTCTATGCTGTTATCATGGCTACTGTGCTTGTAACTGGTGGCTCAGGCTATGTGGCTTCTCATTTGATCTTGAAACTGTTACAAGAGGGTTACACCGTCAAAACTACAATCCGGAGTCTCTCTAAAGAAGAGCATGTCAGATCGGCGTTACAAAAAGCTGGTGCGGTATACATGAACCGCCTATCATTTCATCCCGCCGATTTAACTAAGGATGAAGGATGGGCAGAGGCTATTCAAGGATGTTCCTACGTCCACCATGTTGCATCTCCATTCCCCGGTCAGGCACCAAAAGATGAAAATGAGTTGATCATACCAGCAAAAGAGGGAACTATACGAGTTCTAAAGGCCGCACGAGAAGCCCGTGTGAAGAGACTCATATTTACATCTTCTTTTGCTGCAATTGGGTATGGAGATGGTGATAAGAGAGAACCATATACTGAAAAAGATTGGTCTGCTTTGGATGGTCTACCAGCATATCACAAGAGCAAGACATTAGCAGAAAAAGCTGCGTGGGACTTTATTGAGTCTGAAGGAGGGGATCTGGAACTTAGTGTTGTCAACCCAGTGGGAATCTTTGGCCCCGTGATGAGCGAATCCATCTCTTCATCGATCGACTTGATAAAGAAGCTCATGGACGGCAGCGTGGCGAAATGTCCCCGGACGTATTTCAATATTGTGGACGTCCGAGACTTGGCAGATCTGCATATCCGAACCATGCTTGATCCCGCAGCAAAGAATCAGCGGTTCATTGCAAGTTCTGATGGCAAACCCTTGGCATTAATTGAAGTCGCCCGCATTATTTCTCAAGGTCGACCTGGAAAAGCCCTAAAGATTCCAACAGGCGAAATACCGTCGTGGATCGTTCGATTCGCGGCTTTATTCAGCCCCGCTGCGCGACAAGTGGTTCCGTTCCTAGGAGTTGTCAGACTGCTTGACAATGGAAAAGCAAAAAGGGTACTTGGTTGGACACCACAAGCCGTAGAAGATACTATTCTGGATACTGTCGATAGTCTGGTGGAGTATTCCATTGTGTAGTCGAAAATAAGATTGGCATTCGGTTGCATAAGTAAATGAGATCATTAAAGCTATTTCTACTCGAGGGTTAGGCACTCGATGAGTACAGCATATAGGTGCAACTAACCTACATGACATGTAAATAGCCCTTGATTAAACTAGACGCTCTTAGATGTCTTTAATAGGCGGCATTGACCGCGCAGTACCTTTGTTTATCACCGTAAAAGCTTTGAGCGAGCATCAAAATGTTGTATTCTAACGTTTATTTTTACGACGTAGTATAAGTCCAAACACGTCCATGCATTGGTCAGAGCCGGTTGAATCGGCACCTCCGACATGCTAGAATTCGACAATTGCGGCATTCGTATATGAATTGGGGCAATTGGTGATAGCACTCCTCGCATTGAAACGAACCACGGCGTGATCTCCACCTCTGATGCAAACACTGATGGTTTTCAACGAGATTATGTCTCTCACGCTCCACACGAACAGCACGATCTGCTTGCTCAATTTGCATTCCGCGGGCGTCCCGATCTACGAGAACATTTGCTCGGTCAAGCAGTCTATGCTCATCCCACTGGTCACAGCGACAATCTTTCCACGGCACTCCACAAACATAACAAAACTGAGCCCCGCAATGACAAGCTACGAATATATCTATTAGCAGAGAACTACCAAAGGGACATTAAAACATACTGATATGGTTGCATCCTGTGATCAAATCAACCATCCTCCGGCACGAGTAACACCTCTGCCAGTCATTCTCTGACGCAATGCGAAGAAGGTCCAATGTTGCTGTATCTTGGGGGCAATTATCTTCATGAGACTGACTCTTGCAAATAGTGCAAGTCTCGCTCTGACACTTTTGACATATTGCTATATCTCCTTTGATGAAGGCTGGAGGAATAAATGTAGAACAATTAGGCAAATGACAGTATGTTCTATCCTTCGTAGCATACTCCAGCTCCTTTGCTCGATATTGTCCAACCAGTTTCGCAGGCAAGAAAATCTGATTAAGGCCAAGAGGTATCGCCTGCCTGCAGCAACGAGGAGGAAATAAGGATTCATCGTACATTGCCGCTTTAAACAAGTCCGCTATGCATCCACGACAGTATTCATGAGAGCAGGGGCACTGCACAGTTTCGAAGAATGGGACATCTGTCATACAAGAGACACATTGTCGCTGCTCGCTCACTGTAGCTGATGTAACAGCTGGTGATGCATGGCTTGACGAAGGCTCCCCGTTTGGAGGCTCTGCATTGCCGACATAGAGCGCTGTAAGCTTCTTGATCATTTCTTCATTCATGACTGTTCCTGGTGTGGTTGTGCGCGATATCTGTTCCGGATATTCGCCATGTATAGCAAATTCTCGGTCATGCGTCGCCTGTTCCTCTTCAAAGACATGTTCGGCGACCAATTCCCCATCTGTCAAAACCGCATGAGCGATACTGCGGCTCATAGTATGATCATATTGGAATGAAGCAAGTGACTCGAGCTCCAGCCTATACAGCCCTGCTGCAAGCTCGGCGTCGGATTGCTCGCCAGCCCGATGCTTTCCTTTAATCAAGGTTTGAGTATCCTGCAGCTGAAGCTGAATTATTAAATCAAGTGTGGCCTGGTCGATTTGATTATCCATAGTAGCTGAAACCGCTCCTTTTATTTTGTTGTTGGAATGCTTGCCGAGCATGACATTAGATGCGAAGGGCGGGGTTTGCACTCTCAGAGCTGGGGTAAAAAGGAAGTTGACGTAGCTACTAAAACTTTGCATTTGTGTAACCCAACTACCTACATCTATTGGTAGAATCGAGTTTCATGCATACTACAAAAAATACAAGCATACCAATTAAAAGTTACCCGTTATATGTAGTAAAGCACTATATGTAAAGCTTTGCATTATACAGTTTCAGATACATGGAAGTATGCAAAGATAATGTATATAATTCGTTCTCTACATCCAAAATCTTTGCTTTCATTCTGCTTTCACTGGTTCTACCCTGTCATAATTTATCAAGATAATAAAATAAAAATATCTTGCAAATTCTTATAACCTCATGGTGTCTCTTCTTCCCATTCCTCGAGTCCCTTGGTGCTGTAGCCTTGTACAATTCAGCTATAACAGCAGGAAATTCCGAATATATCAGGAATGCCTTCCGTGTCCTGCTCTAGAATCTCTGCTGAGCCAGTAGTGGAAGTGGCAGGACACCGAATTTGTGGGCCATAACATAAATCCGTAATGAAATCAAGAGGCTAATAGTGTAACAACGGTGATACGTACTTCAAGACCGTTATCACAGGCTGCGGCAAAAATTGGTGATTGTAGGCAGACGGTAGCGCAATATGCTTTGAGTTCTTAGCCACTATATATAATAGTTAAATCGCAATAATTATCCTGCAGCAATCGTGATTTTATAACAGGGAAGGTACTGCTATCTTGCGATATTCTTTACTCTATCCAATGAAGCTATTCGACAAAGTATTCTGTCTTGAAGTAGCTTATGAAATCAGAAGCCGCTTTTCGTGGGGGTAGGAATTGATAATAATAAGTGGACGTAGTTGTATTACTTAACGCCTGGAAAGTACAGCGCCCTAACTGTAATTAACTGTGTACTAAATAGTTAGTAATACAAGGGATTCCTATTTAAGAAAGTCGACCGTTCATTCAAGTGATACCGGAAAATTCGAAACTGGGTGTCGCGGGTTTTCTTATTTATGCTCCAATCATGCCTTCCTTCGGTGGCGGCAATATTCTCTCAGTACGTTAAGATACTTCAAAGCAACTCTAGTATGTCCGATTGACGAATGATTGCTAGGCTGCTGCAGTTGCCACGGTAGTGGTGGATGTAACGATGCATCCCATGGACACCATCATTACAAGAATCCAATCGCCCGCCTACAAGACACACTATCGCCAGCTCAACGGCCTGTTCCATCGCAATCTGTTTCAAGGGCTCTATCAAGGCTTTGGGCCAACTTTGATAGCTGGAATACCATCATCCGCAGCTTTCTTTTCAATCTACGAGGGCTCAAAGAGCCTCTTTGAACATGCACAGAAATCGGGCCATTTGCAGTTTGTCCCTCTTCCAGTCGCACATGCAATCAGTGGTGCGGCCGCGGATCTCATGGCCTGTGCCATCATCAATCCGGCCGAAGTAATTAAGCAGAATGCACAAGTCTCCAGGCAAAGGAGCACATCTCCTAGACAGCGTTCGCATTTGATGCGAGCCCTGAAGACGTTTTCGCGGCAACCCACCCAGCTATGGACAGGTTATACCATGTTGGTGGCCAGTTCTCTGCCGGGGACTAGCCTGACGTTTAGCCTGTACGAATGGCTCAAGCAGAGATTGACGGCGGCGACCGACAGTGACCTGACTTGTGACATTCAGTACCAAGCAAAAGTCAGCGCTGTGAGTGCAGCCGTTGCAGCTGGCTGTGCTTCATGTATATTTGTTCCGGTAGATGTTGTCAAAACGAGAATGAGGCTGGCCGCGGGCGACAATAACTCAACCACTTCCAGTACAAATGTAATCGTGCAGGGCCCAATGGCTACAGCGAAGAACATTCTTCAGACCGAGGGAGTGAGAGGCCTGTTTCGTGGGCTGACCTTTACATTTTTGGCAAGCATGTTTGGCGCTGGATTATACCTGGGCTGCTACGAGGGGTGTAAACTATACATGGCAGGCGACGGGGGCTCTAGCAAGACGCTTAGTGAGTGATGACACCGTTGGGGGTTTTTTTTTCCAGAGGATGTAAACAATAATTCTCCGACTCTAGAACTAGATAGACTATGCAGGTAAAGGCAGCACTTCACTAAATACGCGAATGATCGACTAATGGACTGCCAGCAGCCAAATCACGAAACTAACCCCCTTCAGCTATGCCGTAGAGTACTGTGAAAGCCCTAAGATCTCCAACCGTCATTTTACGCCGTTGGCTCACTGAGTACCGCAACTGAGCTCCCCGTTGAGATACGTAATCGTCTGTATCGTCAGCGCCTTGCTGCGTCATCTCGCTCAGCCGCAGTTTGTGTTCTGGGCAACCTACCAGTTTAAGCTTATACGATGCGGTCACAGCCAGATTGGAATTCAGAAACTTTGCCAGTAAATTCTAGGCAGCTTGACTCGTGATTTTATTCACATCCGTTTACGTCCTGCTTTTTCGTCTCTCTAATGCTAAGGATGCAGGTTTAAAGAAGCCTTCGGATAGTATGGTGGCCTCCCGCGTATCCCCCACCTCAGATGGCGGTAGCATAATTTCTTTTACAACAATTCCTTCCAAACAAACGCCTGTCTCGACAGATACGGACTACGCCATAACGCCCAAAGCAGACGAGAAAGAAACTCTCGATACCGAAAGCAGCAAGTCACTAGCTCTCAAAAGGAAGAAGAAGCCAGTGCCTGGCAAAGGCTTCAACAAGTCGCGAAAAGGTTGTTACAACTGCAAGCGACGCAGAGTCAAATGCTCCAAGGCGAAACCAGAATGCTGTAGTTGCAGCAGCATGGGACTAATCTGCGTATATCCGGAGACTCCACGGCCTACACTCAAAAGATCACATAGGACGGCTTCCTCAAGTTCAAAATCATGCGTTAACCTCAAACCTGCAATTTTACCACCATTTCCTGCTGGAAGCTTACCCTCCTGCGCCGCATGGTGCAGAACCAGTCTGGCACAATGTTTACACCATGTCTCATGAGGTATGTAGCTGCTTAAGTCCCAAGGAAGCCTGCTTATATTGGCCTGTTAACGCCGTCGACAGTACGAGTTCCTTGCCAACGCCATACTTGGCCTCTCTGCTCAACATCTCACCTTGTTCCATGGCGCAGACTACTCCATCCAGGCACTGGATCTGCAAGTCGCCGCCATCAATGGCCTCAACGAAGTCTTGTCATAATCATGTCTGACGGCCGTTGACGCCGATGCTCGATATGCCAGATGCAATGATGGAATTCATAACAATGCTGCGAGGGTGGATGTTTATCCAGACAAAAGTGGTTCCAGACCTCGAAATGTCCACGTTCCGTAACTTTACGAGGGAGGCATTTGTAGGCAGTATAAAACAACATATTGCCAGGCAGCTTACCGACAATAGCGAAATCACGCTAGATGACTATCTCGCGTCTCTCAAAGTTTTTTGGACGCTATGCCAGGGGACTGTAGAGATCAAGTATCTCTCTGCACTTGAAAGGGTGGGTCGCTTGGCCAAGCAGTCTCCCATTGAGGGTACGTTCTAACTACATCATGAATAAGTACATAGATTAACTCATTACAGCGTTTTTAGAGATTGTGCCATGCTACGCATTGACAAATAAGATGACGGAAGAGGAGTTGAAGCCATTCACAGAGCCATCCAACAGCTGCGCGCGTGTTTTACTGTTGCATTTTCTCATGCTGAATTACGCGTTAGAGCAGCACTTTCTAAGTCCCAAGCCAAAACAGTTTGCATTTTGTAAGGAGATTAGTATTGCGTGGGTTGTTAGGGTAGCTGCAGGTATACCCTTCAGGTTTCAGCAGCACATGATGTAACCGCTGGGGATGGCGACTGGCTCAATGAAGACGCGGTAGCTTTACATATAGAATTATTACAAAATTATAAGTAAATGGTATGTTTAGAGTATGACAGATGAAATGGGCACGTTTTGTATAAGCGGCTCGCATGTTTTCTTACATTTGAGGTGTGTGTCCCAATTCACACACTCAGCCCGGATGAACACAATGGTCCATTTGCGTTGTTCATATGGCCAGCTTGATAGCCAAGATAGAGTTACCGCCGAGTGCGAATAAGTTACTCTTTAGGCTAATTATTAAGGGACGAATTCTGATTGTAGCGGGCATCAAGTTATTTAAAGTTACAAGTTCACTACCCATTGGTGCTTCAATAGTACCATGTGCAATTATATTTAGTTGAACAGCCGCTCCAAAGAGATCTTGGCACTCCGTATCGCGCAGCTCTGATACCCAAGTGGCGACTTCTTTTTGGGAGAGCTTGCCTGTGGCCAAGGGCGACTTATTAACAACGGCTCAGAGAGTAGAGAACAAGAGCGAAATGGTGACTTTTGAGCGTGTTGGTTACAATATAGTTCTCAAAGGCATGGTCAAGTATCTGAGGACTTGCGGTCCTTGCATTTGGCTTGTAGCCCTGTGGCGTCACGACAGCTATGAGCTTTTTGCTTGCTGGTCCAGCTGAAAGAAGTACGTGCGTATTTGACGGCCTGGTGGCTCTGGGTATGGTGTCCATCTTCTTCTAGCTCGGGACATTGACAATGGAGCTTGATCCCAAGGTCAAGCCGTCCATAAGAGATCAGGCTCCCCTCATCACTATATTGCACCAAATTACCGGTACGGTAGAGTCGACCTGACGGTTCAGAGGGGCCCATGTTCAAGAAAGAGGATTAATGATGAAGTTTTTAATAGTCTTCTGAGCGTCATGGAGGTATTCTCATGGTCGGAGTGGCCCTTCGATGAAGAGCTATCCAACACACCCGTTAGGGACTAGAGCGTGAGGATTATGAGGCTGAGAGACCAACAAGTTTCGACTGGAAAGCAGCTTTTCAATACATACCGATTCGCTTTGAGCTTGAATTGGCCCGTTCCACGCACAGTAGATTGAAGACTCGGCCGGTCCAAAGCAGTTTCTGAGACAAACCCTGTCGGCCTAGGTACCAGCATTATCTTTTGTCTCCACCTCACCAGCTAGGATCGGATATTTGAGGCTTAGAACCTAGACTGGATCAACTGGACTTGCTACCGTTGGAGTCATGCACGCCGAATTGATATCCAACCTTTGTATAGCTCTAGCCAAGTCATTCATAGGTTCATCCTCGCTAGGAAAATTCATCCTCCACTACGGAGTACGAGCTCAACTGTGTGGGCAGATCACGTTTAGACCGCACGTTTAGACCGCTTCAAGAGGAGTTGAACTTAAGCTTAAATGTTTTCATTTTAGGCACTCATTTAAAACTACGGAGCTACAGGTTTCACCTGCACATAAACCACATCAGGTTGATCAATAAAAATCTACCCTATATTTGTAGTTTAGATCAGAATCTTGCTTCTAGTTACTATCTAAACCTTGTACAGGCGATATCCGAAGTTAGCCAGGGGGCCATGACCCTGCGATACTGAGCTACGTTTATTGGTGTTGGTCATGATGATCTCGTAACAAAAGTACCATTGAAGCCCCGCAATGTAGGGTAGGATCGAGGTTGCTGTCTCCGCAGTGACGCCGCATCTGTCTAAAATCTGCGCATCACGAATGACGAGTCAGTTTCACCTTTTCATCTTTCTTCCAACAACTCCGCGTTGAATACGAAGCGAAGCTAACAATCTCATACCTTGGTATGGACTTGATCGACTTTACTTGCAGCCTGGATTGTTCTTACATCTTCAAGAAGAGAGTCAATTGACTCCTATTGGTACGGCATCCGGTCGGGAGCGCCATTTGTAGGGCCCCTGCTCTCTGTATCCCCAAGAAGCAGCAGTACCCACCTCGGCTTTCTGGATGCGTCCCACTAGGTGCATTGCATGAGCATGCTTCACCACTGCATCAACTAAAGAAAAAAGGTGGTCGATTACTATTAGGGCAGAGTTTTTGGATTCTGGTCCGAGATTATTTGCATGAGGTAAACTGAGTTATTGTACATGGATTTTGCTGCAACATATTATGCGCTATGCGGACTGGGTGTTGGTATTACGCAAGTATGGCGGGATGGCAATCCCATTGAGTGACGGACATTCGAACAAACAGACAGTGCAGGAACTCTGACGCTGAGCAGGACTGTGAAACAAAACAAATGTAGAGAGTTTGTTTGACGAGTGAGTTTCACTTCTACAAATGTTGTTAGACGCAGTCTTATTGTTGCCGATTGAAGAAGGCATGATGGGGTCGCTTGGTAGGGTTGCTTGTAGGCGCAGACAAATTTGGGGACGGCGAACAGTACAAAGATTCGTATATAAAAGGGCGCAGTCGGCGAGGAAAGAAGACTGAGACAGTATATTCTGACATCTTCTGGACTGCTGTTTGCATCCTGTTCTTGTGAAGAACCACAGACAACGCTGAATTTAAAGGATGCGTGGCACTAGGGTTGTGTTACGCCAATGGTGGATGCTCAATTATAAATGACGACCATGAACCGGCAATCTCGGATTTTGTGTGCGGGCACCTCTCATGTGGAAACCTTTTTTTTTTATTTTGCAGTATACAAAGCGTACATGGCCCTTTAGAATGGATCCTTCTGTGATAGGATGCTTGCGGTAGCAGTCAAAATATTGGAGCTTCTACAGCGCCAAGACTGACTGCATAGGTAATATTCATGATTGATGAATCCTAAAAGCGATATGGATCCTCCCAGGCAGGGCGTACCCATACCATCTCCGCCTTGAATATCATCCACAGTAGGCGATCTGCTTAAGCTGTGGCCCCGTCTGGGTCTCGAGATGTAGATCTGCTTTGTTATCATGTATAGTTTAAAGCAACAGCCTTCTGAGAGATGATATCTGCACCGCGATTTTGGCTGTGGCAAGTTTGAAGAAAATAATTGCAACGCCGGTAATAAACTGACGGAAGAAAATGCAAACTCGCAATGTGTAACTATATCTAAATCTGAGATTGCAACTCTATATATGGACGCAAGACAAACTCTATGACCTCTTGTGAACTAGGTGGTGTTTCCTAAATACTCTTCACAACTTGTCTTCAAAACAAGCTCTAAGCAAATTAAATATATTGTGTCGCTAATAGTGCAATAGACTTGTGAAAGCTGGTCTTTGACGATTTCCTGCAAAAGGTTAGACACCAAATAAACGGCGTCCATATAACTTGCCTGGGTAACACTCTCGAGATTCCTCGCCCCTTGGTTCACTTCCCTTCTTGATGTTACATTTAGTAAGCTTGGCCAATTGGCGATGTCACCATCGCCGACCATAGAACGCTCTGCTTAATGTAGGTCCCTCTCTCTGCATGTTGCAATATTCTACGCTTAAGTGCGTTGCCTATGTACGGTTTCCAGTAAATTTTGGTCGGCCACCTTGCGGCAAGATCGATCACGTGAACTGTAGATCAATACCCAGATTATTTGTTGTGCCATTCTGGTCGATCAGTTGGATTTCGTAATCGGATTTCTGGTACATAAAGTAAGTAAAACGGCCTAGAAACGATGCGGCTAACATTCTCCAATGCTCAAGAATATATCTCACCTTTAAGTATGTCTTCCGTACTCGCATCCTTGCTCGCCAATTCAATATCTACTGTCTTCAAGATTCTCTCCCCTGTCCCTCGCCTGCCAGTAGACTCTTCGTGCCGGACTGCGCCATCGTTATCATCCAGGCTCATGACGTATCCATCCGACCTCCTGCTGTTGTAGTTGGAATCTCCGCGGCTGGATGCATTGTGGCTAGCGTAGAGAGACGTGGGGAAGGCGAGGTCGAAAATGGCTTGAAAGCAGGGTCGCATGACCACCAAGGAGGCAGCAATGATGGTAATATTCATCTCGACGACGATCATGATGTGTGTGGGGATGATTAGCCCTGAGGGAGAAGAATATTAGATATGGTAGGAGATACTTGGGGGATCGAATGGAAACACGTACAAGTGAAATCTCTTTTGACGTTGTAAAGATCGGTAATCATGTAGAGCCGGACTATGGATACTACAGTATCGCTAGGAAAAGTTAACAATAGTCCGTAAACCCGAGGGCAAATTTGTATGTACATCAAACCAAAAAGGATCAAAGCAGTCAACTGCTTCACCTCAATGCGCTTGTTCTTGGCCAGATATAACACTGGTAATGGAATGCAAATCAAGCATATACTAGTAGACACATTGACGGAACCAGTGACATAGTTGAACATGATAGTCGTATCAATGCAGTGCCCCGGGACCTTGGGTAGCCAACTTTTATAGACCGGGTTGCAGGCGAACATGCTCACGAGCGTAGCAGCAGTAAAGAAACCTCCGAGAACGACTATAAGGGTATAGTTGACAGCACGTGAGAATCTGACGAGGGGATGATCGACGAGGCTCATGAGGTCGCGATAAACAAACGTTAGGGAGAGTTTACTGAACAATAGGGGAAGCTTGGTGAAAATTTGGATAAGCCAGAACATCTGCTGCTGTTAAATGATGCGAAATAGAGCGATAGAGTTCAATGGGACATACGAGATTGGTCTTGTAGGACCCTTGGAGATCTGGCGGGAGATCTCTTTGGTGACGGCCATAGCCAAATGCGGCCGTGACTGGAAGATATTAGAATTTTGAGCCGATAAAGAAACATTAAAAGGATAGCTCTTGCGCACTGGTAATATCAAGAATCAGATGTACGACGGCAGCCAGCTGAAGTATGGTCAGTCAAATACGATTCAACATTTCCCACAAGACGCTCAACTCACCATAGCCGTGCTGACCAGGTAATCTGAAATTGTGAGCCGGCTTTGCGACCATCGATGCCAGACTCTCAGTATGACGACGGATAGAGCTAGAACCGTGATGGAAATATCAACACCGAGAAAGAGAGCGACCCTGGATTCTGGCATATTGCCGATGGTCTGTCAATGGATCACCAAGTTGAGAGAGGAGGAAAGGACAGTCATGATCTTCCTGTCTCCGTACGCTTCAAATGAGTTACTACGCCTACCTATACTTCAAATTTGATACAGTATGTGGAAGTAGAATCCTACATGTTTAGGGATGGCATGGGCGCCTTGCTGACTATGAACATGGGATTGTAGTACTCGGACATGGCCATAGCGCAGGTGCAGGTGCAGGCGTGGAGGTGCATACCGAGTCCGGCTCAGAACCCGGTGCAGGGGTTTGTTTTGCGCTACTGCGCCGATGTCGAAATTGAGTACTAGTCGAAGAAACATGTGTTTGTGAAGTGTGTGAATTTAATTTGGAGCGAATGTCTCTGTTGGTTACTCATAGGCCCCGCCGGATGTGCAACAAGCGGGTAAGTTCCAAACTCTTCTATTTATCTCTAGATGTGCTGAGAATTTCTCTCCCATTCATCACTCACCCAAGCTTCCATATCTGACCACCATGGCGGCTGCGGACGACAACGTCATCAATGTGCCAACGAGCACAGAGAAGTCGAGCCACACCAGCATTGCCAACGAGGAAGTAGCCGCTGCCGATCGTAGTTCCACGCCCAAGGACTCTGACGATGGTAGCGAGTTTTATGAAGACCCCAAGGCCGCCCGGCGACTGCTAATCAAATGCGACATCCGCCTGATCCCCATTTTGGGATGCCTATATCTCGTTTCCTTCTTGGACCGCTCGAACATTGCCAATGCGCGGCTTTTCGGACTGGAGAAGTCGCTTCATATGCCGTTGACGGGGTTTAACACCTGCCTGTGGATTTTCTACCTTCCTTTCGTGATTGTAGAGATCCCGAGTAACTTGTTTATGAGTTTGAATAAAGTCAAACCCAACCACTGGCTTGCGGGAGCCATGTTAATTCTTGGCATGTTTTGAAGAATGTGTGATTTGAGATGTCCTATCTAATAAGATTTAGGTATTGTGTCAATGTGCCAGGGACTCACGAGGAGCTATGGTGGGCTTCTTGCTTGTAGATTCATCATGGGCATCATGGAGGCTGGTTTGCCGCCAGGTATGTATCAACCTACTATCCTTTTGAGGGTTCTATAACTGATGCCTCCAGGGGCCGCTCTTCTTATTGGGCAATACTACAGACGCAGTGAATTTTACATCCGCTTCTCATACTTCATCTGCTTTGCCTTGCTTGGTAGCGCTTTCAGCGGCGTATGTCTTGTGTCCCCCATGTCAGAGTAACATCACTAATGAAGCACAGCTCCTCGCATACGCCATCGAGCACATGAATGGATTGCGTGGATATGAAGCTTGGCGCTGGATTTTCATCCTCGAGGGCCTCTTCACCTTTGCCTTCGGACTCGCGGCATGGTTCATCATCCCAGCTTTCCCGCAAGAGGCGACCTTCCTCAGCGAAGATGAACGAGCTATGCTTCTCGCCCGCCTGCGCCACGATCGCGGGAGGGAGAGGGTTGACTTCAAGGGAATTAACTGGCTGAAGATCCTTACTGATTGGAAAGTCTGGTCATTCACTCTTATTTACTTCTGTGCCGACATGGGCGCTGCATCCATCTCATCCTTCACCCCGACCATCCTTGCCCAGCTCGGCTGGAGCGCCTCTCGAGCCCAAGTCATGAGCATTCCTATCTGGATGGTTGGCATCGTCGTCACTCTATCTACTTCTTACGCGTCTGGGAAACTCTCCCTCCGCTGGCCGTTTGTGCTCATCGGCGCCATCTTCTCCCTCATCGGCTGGTGTATACAGTACACCCAAGTCCAGCCACCGGCTGTGCGTTACTTTGCTCTGTACATCATCGCTTTTGGTTCATTCATGCAGTTCCCCATCCTCATCGGCTGGCTCAACAGTAACCTACGCGGTCGCCCGCAGCAGGCTGTCGCAAGTGCCGTTCAGCTGGGTATGGGCAATTGTGCGAATTTTGTGGCGAGCAATGTGTTTATCACGAAGCAGGCTCCCAAATACCCTACTGGCTTTGCTACGGGTGTTGGATTCGCGACGCTCGCAGCTGTGAGTATACTTTTGGTGACAGGGGCCTTGGCTTGGCATAATAGACAGTTTGACCGGAAGCATCGGGATAGGGTTGAGAATATGGAGGACCAAGAGAATTTTAGATACATGTTATAGATCACTGCTTGCATGTAGACATGGAAGGGGGGGGGGGGGTAAAACTTTCGCGCAAAGTACCACGATAACTACTATAATCATTCTTCTTCTGAAGAATCTGATACAAACCTTGCCTTCTCTCGCTAAACTCTTGTAGTCTATATTCAATTTTACATTACCCATGCAAGACTACCTCCATACGTATAATACGCACCTAGTATTCATACGGTATATGCCGCATTTATGCCACTTTACTCTAATGGTGGTGTCTAATGGCGCCGAGAACATTGAACCTTTCCGTTGAAGAGACTGTGGCATCCCACCGACGTCTCCACTTATGCGGTTGGTCCCTAGCGTAGAGCATACCCCTGAAGCTACTCTACTTCGTTCGTCTCGGTATGCATAAGCGCTACCAACTTTTAGCCCTGCGGCTTTTCCGCCAGCCCACATATTAAAAGTTCCAAGCTTGAATAGGTTATTTCTGAGTTTGTGGTGGAGAGGAAAATCCTACATGATTACATACCTTGGCACCTGATGAAACATTGCATGGTATATGTAGCATGTTACTCGTACATACCATGCAGGAGACTATGATTACAAATGTCTCGCGGTCCGAATCAAACAGCGAAAGGATCCCGGATTAAGGTTAGGCCAACCAAGCTGATTCATTCACCATGTGGAACCAGCGGTCTTTCGAACAGCGGTTTTCTCGAGACGAGCATTTCAACCGTGCCTTTCCTTGGCTGATTTGGAGTTTGCAACACAGCAGCAGAGACAACGAAGGATCCTTACATTATATATTATTTCAGCATCTGCGTGACAGCGCTTGTAAGAGGCAATGGTTTCCACATCTATTGAAACGCGTCTGTTCATTGACGGTAAAGTATGAATTGACTGCGCAATGTCAGTCCTCCCAAGCTCACATTCCACAGTTCCGGCCGTCCTCTAGCAATGAAACCTTTGATCTTCTTTCTGCAAAATCTGGTTCGTTACTAGCAAAAGGTACGGTTCTCTGATCAACATTTATTCTCTGTCTATGTTTCCGGCTTGTGTCATGTCAATGTGTGTTCTGACACGACAGTTAAACAGTATATGAAGCGACCAAGGAGGATGTAGACGACGCTGTAGCGGCAGCCAAAGCTGCTTTCCCAGCGTGGGCTAGTCTTTCACCGTACGAAAGAGGCAGATATCTTGTGCGGCTTGCCGACCTCATCGTGGAAGCTAATTCAGATCTAGCGCATCTGGAGGCTGAGTCCATGGGTAGACCTGTGTCAACGTACTTTGATGCGACCGTGGGTGCCAAGTACTTCCGCTACTACTCTGAGGCAGCATATCCTCAGGGGGGTTCGAGCTTGAATACCCCGGGGTTTGTGAACATCAGTTTGAAGCAGCCGGTAGGTGTTGTTGCGGCGATTATTCCTTGGAATGCACCTCTTGTCTTCTTTTGTAAAAAGCTGGCGCCAGCATTAGCTGCTGGCAATGCTGTTGTTCTCAAGAGTAGCGAGAAAGCGCCGTTGACTGTCAGTTGTCTCTGATACCCTTCATATCTTCTTCCCACGTTAAAACATCCACAGTCTCTGTACGTCGCTAGGCTTGCTCAAAAAGCCGGTTTTCCCCCTGGCATCCTCAACGTTCTCTCTGGCCACGGTCCCGTCTCGGGCGCAGCGCTCGCGTCGCATATGGACGTTCGGGCCTTGACATTCACTGGCTCCAACCGCACGGGAAAGTTAATCGCCAAGATGGCCGCCGATTCCAACATGAAGAACTTGATATTCGAACTCGGGGGCAAGGCACCCGCCATTATTTTCAACGACGCTGATATTGATGCCGCGGTACGGGAGACCCAGTTCAGCATCCAGCTCATGAGCGGGCAAACCTGCATGGCGAATTCGCGCATCTATGTGCAGCGCACTATCGCAGAATCGTTTATTGAAAAGTTCAAGGCTGCCTTTACGTCTGCTCGACTCGGTGATCCGACAGACCCCCAGGTCAACCATGGGCCGCAGGCGGATAAAATTCAGCACGCGACAGTACTGCGGTATATCGAGTTGGGCAAGAAGACAGGCAAATTGGTGACTGAGGAGCAGTCCGTTTCGGGCCTGTATATCAACCCTACGATATTCACAGATGTCCCTGAGGATGCCCAGATCATGAAGGAGGAAATCTTCGGGCCAGTGGTTATCATCAACACTTTTGACACAGAAGCGGAAGCAGTGGCAAATGCAAACAATACCGAGCACGGTCTGTACGCATCGGTGTATACAAAGGATCTAGATCAGGCAATGAGGGTCGCCTCAAGGCTGGAGGCAGGAACAGTAGGGGTCAACTGCACAGGTCCAACAAAGGGGGACGACATGCCATTTGGTGGGCAAAAAGGGAGTGGAATACAAAGGGAAAGTTACATCCATAGTATGGAAACATTCATGGAGACAAAGTCGGTTTTAATCAAGGTGGCAGGATTATAATAAAAAGAAAGAAATAGTTTATTTAGTATTTTATTTTTTCTTATATTTTATTCAAAAAAGCAAAACTTATAGTTTACTAAAACTTTATAGTTACTAAAGAGACTTGAGAGACTTCCATTCTCTTTAGCTGTATGTTCATTTGCTTTTTTATTACTAAGGTGTCTTTGAGAAGAAGGATATAGGCTACTTAGATAGTAATATCTAAAAGGAGGTTCTTTATAACTTGCAAAGCCTTATGTTCACACTTGCTAAATACAATAGGGCTATTCTTAAGAAGTTATCAATAAGGGTTAAATTCTCACAAGAAGAGTTGCATTTCTTTGATATATATATTTGCAGTGAAAATACCTTATTTATTTTTTGTTAAATATTATTCATCCTGTCCAGTAGCAACATCCCAAATTTTCCATTTTAGCTAGCTATTACACCTACGCTGCCCATAGAACACAGCCATAGTCGCCGTTGTGCACAAAGGAAGCGCCATAGCTGCCTGTGTCATCATCACAGGTAAATACAGCCTCAAGTGCTTTGGTGCAATAGTCACCCATAACGAACGGCTTTGCGTCCTTACAAACAGACCCCGGCATTCTAAGATATACAAACTTATGTCCAAACAAACATGTTTATATCTCTGCTATTTCCACCTCCTCAAAAACTTACAACCTCCTACTTCTCTTTGTAACAAATAAACATAAAATGAATATGTTAGAAGCTTATCCTAAGCTCGCCGACTCGCGCAGCATTCGGGTCATCAAACTTCATGGCGCCACCAAGCTCAGCGTCGATATTCGGTTCGATCTTATTGCCGTGTCTCTCGATGCCCCTTTGCCCTATGAGGCTATTTCATATACATGGTCTGGGCAAGCACTCGACCAGCCTGTCTATGCCAATGGCAAAGAGCATCTTGTCACTAGAAATGCGGAGCATGTCATGAGGAGACTACGCCCAAACAGGCCTGAACATTCCCGCAATCTGTGGATTGATGCCATCTGTATTAACCAAAAAGATAACAGAGAAAAGGCGGTAGAGGTGCAACTGATGTTTGAAATCTATGCCAATGCAAATTGTGTCAATATTTGGCTTGGCCAAGGAACTGAATCAACTGCTCTCGCACTCAAGTGGCTGAGATGGTACAGTTGGTCGTTTCCCGCAATTTGGAAAACCCAGGCGAAATTTGCAAGAGCTATTACGTCTGTGGATTCAATCTTCATAAGGCTCCTTTTGGGGATAGCAGCAGTAAGCATGTCATGTGTCTGCGCATGCATCATGATGCTTGTTGGAGCCATAGTCATATTTCCTTTTGGGCTGTTACCCATGTTCAAAAGTGGGCAGTTTTGTTATCCTCTATTTTCAGCTTTCCTAACTAATAAACACACTTTTAGGCCATAAAAAGTTATTTCAAGCTGGTTTGGCAGACTTGGCGTCCATGGAGTATTGGGAGAGAGCATGGACGGTTCAAGAAGCAAACGCGAACGAATTGTGCTTTATTCTATGCCGATCATCTGCACCGTTTCGCCTTGATCTATTTTACATGAGCCATAATATGATCCCACCTATGTATATCTTCAGCTCTCTTAACAACAGCAAACCAAACCAGCGCTATGGCTTACACATACTTGACATATACCACACTCGTACGCGGGCAGAATTTGGCAAACACATCTTCAATGTTCTTTGTAAGACGAAAGCAACGATAGCCAAAGACAAATTGTTTGCTATGAGAGCCATGTTTCCTCACAGCCTAGGTGCATTGACCATCGACTATTCAGTCTCTGACCAGCGATGTCTACACAGAAGCCGCGCGTATTGTTCTGGGGAAGACTCAGAACGTTGAATTCTTCAAATATGCTTACCAATCTGATCGAGAGGACAGTTTTCTTACCTGGGTGCCGCCATGGACAGCACTTGTCGATATACCAGAATGGATCTGTAAGTTTACGCCGGCGGCAATTTCTCAAAAGGCTATTATAGTAGAGGGGGATGATACGAAAGTGCTCAAGTTAAAGGGACTGCTAGTTGATAGCGCTGTGTCAGCTATCAGTGAACGGTTCCCCACTGTAGCACCACTGCAAGCCCCGTGGTCGCGCACACTAGATCTCAATCTCGCGAGAGAGACCCTTGTGATGTTTAGGGAATGGGTAGATTCAACTGGAGCAGCAAACAACCAGGACCCTACCATGCATCGGCTAGCGTGGATGATATCTGAAATGACCAAACTGAATGCGGGAGATGTTCTTGCTTGGTTTCAATTAATATGGACAGAAGACAATTTTGGTATGGAGAAACTTTGGGATTACGGGTTGCGTGGGGGGAATGTCTGCGATTCTCGGAATATTACTGTGAAGTTTTTGCAACTGGTCAGTGGCAGGTCGCTTTTCATGACGGAGAGTGGAAGGATTGGAATGTCAACTTTGGTCATATGTCCAGAAGACGAGGTTGCGCTGCTTACGGGGGAGAAACTGCCATACATCATTCGGAAAAGTCTTGACCGCCCAGACAAGTACACGTTAGTAGCTCTATGTTAGCTAAGCGGTGCTCTCATGGGTGAAGTATGGCCGGATTGGAATGGGCGTCGGGAAGACTTGGAAGATGTTGAGTTGGTTTGAAACCGCGCGCCTCGAAGCGGTGGAAACAGAGAATGCCTTTCGTTCCTTGGAAGCCTCAAATGGCCGAAGACTAAGCGTATATGCTGCCAAGAAGGTCTCGTACTCTGTCTCTGTCGATGGGAAGTCTCCCCAAGCCCTGGAAGAATTGAAAGCGGTTCTTCTTCAGGAAGGAATAATTGCCTGAACATCTAGGCATTTGCCACGCTTGATAGTTTAGAAGATGCTGAATTTGTAACGACTGCGTTGATATATTTAATGGGAATAGGTAGTTCCTAATATAATATCACAGTCTTATAGATCCCTACATTGATCGCATTGTAGTAGACCCTCCTTAATAGAAGCGATCATTTGAATATGCAATAATATAATATAATCACTTTGTTTTTGCTATTAGTGTAGGTGCCATATAAAGGTTTCGCAATAGACCAAAACTATTACTACATGCTATATTATACAAATTTTTATAATTATACTTGTGCTTTTGCCCTTGATTTCCCAATTGTTTATAGTGTGTATATAGAGCATTATCGCATTGAAATGCATCTTGTCTAACTATGCGAGGCTGTCTGATCCGCTATCCAATCCCCAAATGCCGGGCTACCCAACTATGTACAGATTTTGTTAAGAGCAAATGTATTATAATGCATCTCTGACATTTATATTAATATTAGTTATAAGATATTTTTGTAATTTCTTTTATGAAAGTAAAAAAAAAAAAATATACAATTAGTAAAAAATAACTTAAAATTATGCTATATAAGCTGGCGGGTGCTCCATCTCCTCAAACTCTTGCATGGACAAATCGTAACCCAAGTGCCTCTTCAGCAGCTCATGAGTTACAAACCTTTCTGGCGTATTCCCCTGTGCATCAACAAAAGACACGTGTGGGTTGACTTCGCTTATTCTCTGCAGCTCATTTGCATGCCGATGGTGATGAGGGCAGCCGTCCACTCCGACCAAGAATATAGTGACGTGAACCCATGAGAGACCTAGTAGATCAAGTTCAAACTCGTCCATGTCTTGAGCCTCTCCATCTAGTAGCAGGAGAACTCTTAGAATCGGGGTCTCCGGCCCCGCTTGCCAGCCGTATACCGGGTGATAGATTGCTGATGCTGAGTGTTTTTGAAAATGGAGCTCTTTGACCTTTTGCCACCCCGTCATAACGCGTGTGCCCCCTCCGAATTTGACCATTCTCCAGACTTCTTCGAAGTTTCGGTGGTTCAGAGCGCCAATGTAATCTGCGTGGTTGGAAAATGTGGTTAGTTGGTAGCCCTGAAAGTTGTGGTCGTGGTTGGCAAGGGCGTCTGTGAATCGCCGGACGATGGCTTTGGCTGTATCTGCAATAGAATGAGTGTGGTTAGCAACCGCTGGCTTGTTGGACGAGATGGAATACTCCACCTTTATTCTTGGGTTGAGTAGATCGAGTGTATCCTGTTATGAGATACTCGTTGTATAGTGGCCGCATTGGCTCAAAGTCCATCGAGCCAGATACGTCTAGCAATATCACGCTATCGTCTGACGCAGTCTCTGGAACGTCATAGGGTCGAAATGGCGGAGGCATAACTTGTTTAGAATAGCCGTCAGAGGTATGCTGTAGATGGCAAGTGTCGTCTGCTGCAAAATACGCCGGCGGTGGCTCTACGGCAGATGCCATCCTTCGTCGGGCCATGTCTAGCGCGGAAATTATATCGGGCTTCAGCCTCCCTCCGGCGCCGGCTCTGTGATTCAACACCCAGTATAGTCTCTCTTCTGCTGTATCGTCGTAGCCCCTCCAGGCTGGTGTAATGCCTCTCCACCCTGCACTTGCGTCAACCGTGAACTTGAGCGGATTGGATATCTGGTTCGCCCACGCCACGGGAATGGGCTCAAAGTAGCCTGCTCGTAGCATATGAAGGTATTGAATGGGGCTGCGTTGGCGCATTTGGGCGATTGTATTAGCCATTCCCACTTTGTTTTGGTAGGTGGCCACGATCTGTCGCCACTCGGCGTCTGGCCATCTGCCATTTTCCTCCTGTAAGATCTCGTCATGTAATTGTTTGCATTGAGCTAGCGCTTTTTCTAGCTTAATGGCTGCTTTCTCTTCGGGAGACTTAATTGAAAAGGCCTTCTTTAGCGTTATGAATCTTGATGGTTTGCTGGATGAAGATGATTCGCTGTTCCCATTGACCGTTGCAATCGTTGTCGTTGAGCTTTGTTCACCCCTTTTCTCAGATTTGTCTCTGGCTAGTCCTTCATCCCCCTTTTTTGTTGATGTCGAAGAAGCTTCGCTGGCTATAATTGACCGTGAGATATCAGGATTCTCAAGGTCCCAAATATTCATCTTTGGCTCCCTTGCATTGATGGCCGACTGGGCCTCCTCGTTGAGTTGCGCATTTAAGCTAATAGTCTGATGAACTGAAAGACTGTAACACCTGGCTATGGGACGCGCCACACTTAAATAGCTCGAAGTAAAGTTGCCGTACGGCGATATGACGCGCATTCTATACGGATTCCTGGAAAAGTAACCAAACCCTGTCTGGTAGCTGTCATGATATGACTTTTCACCTGCAAATCTGGGTGAGCAATCGAGGGCTCCTGAGAATGTCTGACGTCTCTTACCTGGGTACATGACGGCTTCTGACCACCTATTCTGCACGTCAAGTCGTCGCACCTTTAAACCCTTGTATTGGTGAATGTCACACCCACAGAAGGTGTCCACATCATGCTCTGGCTCGATGTCACTATTGAATATGCGGTGTGCCAGCTGCACGTTCTGGAGAATATTTTGCATTTCTTGCTGTGACTCATGAGACCGGAGTTCATTAGAAGGTTAGGGGAAGCACAGGCAAACCTCATCTCTGGCGCGTATCCTCGCCGCCTCAATCACTTTATTCGTGTGTGGACGTAGATGTTGATGGATGGTGTGTCCTCTGCCGTTGTCGGAGAAATTATGTGATGGCGCTTGGTACGCCGGAGGCGCTTCACCGACTGAGCCAGGGACGACATTGGCTTGTTTAAGAGACTTAGGCTTGGGTTGTAGATATTTTCCCGGATTATCCAGGTATTCCTCCACCGCTTCGTCTATGCTCACTGCCCCCTTGCCACAGAATTAGCAGCTACGATTACTGACCTCGAATTTTGATCATTTACCTCCAAAAAGACCCACGCCTTGCCCTCATCGGCATCTGGAACGCAGGAGATGAACCTGGCTATCGCATCTTCGGAGGGCGTCATGGTGTAACAACAATCAACTGTGGAATTGGACCAGAAGCTCCAGCAAGAAGCCAAAATCGAACGACATCCAACAGTCTATATGTATGCGGCTTAAATCTAATTCTTTTGGCGCAGTCATTTAGTGTCATGGCTAGACGGGTAATCGGCACATGCGCAACTTCAGCTCCTATAACATCGGCTGTAACAAGAACAAGTGGAAACAGCGGCTGTGGAAATGCCGCAACCACCGGGCTTAGTAGGTAGGCCAAACTTAATTAAACAGGCACCTGATCAAGTGCTGACGAGTCCTCAGCCAGCGATTCCAAATTGCTTGCCACAAACCTCAGCAGCCTCATTTACCAGTATTCAAACGCTGGTTATGCAGACGTTCCCTAATGCTCCCAAGCTATTCATAACTCAGGTCAGATTGGAAGACTTAGTCTAAGTGCTTGCTACAGTATCCCTATTTTAGTTGTAGCGTCTGTGCTTTATAGAAGAACAACTATTTTACTGTACCTTGTATCTATAGTTATAGTACGTAGTAATTGCAAAATTATAAATAAGTTAATGGTGCAATCTTTGAGTTAGTAATATTTAGAGCTGGGGGGCCAATTACTATTTACGTGCCACTGTAAAACGTTCAGTATAGATAAGTACGGAGTTACAGTGCGCGCTTCCCGCTATTATATTACAGCAGTGGATGGTAAATGCATACAAAAACAAAAGGACCTTTCTTGCCATGTTAAGGCAACCTTATTACATGTAATATAATCATTGATTTGTTCACACAAAGTCACAAGGGAGGAACCGCTACAAGACTTCAAT